GGGAAGTCTTCGGGAAATCTTTCGGAAGTCTTCGGAAAGGCTTCGGCTGGTTGCCCGGTGGCTTCCCGTGTTCTCGGAGATTATTTCGCCGGTTGCCCGGTGACTTCCCGTGCTCTCTCGGTAGATCCCGGCAGCTGAGTTTTTGGTCTGACTCTGGCTTCGGCACAGCCGCAGCTATGTCCCCAGGCTCCAGCCTGTAACATTTAATAATTTTATAAAATACTACTAGTATAGTATCTTCTATATAATTCTTAGAAATTCTAGATATATCTAGTATATAAAATACCAGTTTTAGTATTGCTAAATTAGATATTAATAGAGTTTAAATAGTAATTCTTATAAAAGTTATTCTAGCAGTATCTGTATATATATAACTAGGTAATTATACTATATAAGTATTATTTAAGATATCCAGCTATAGCCGGGCCTGTTCCAGCTTACTATAAATCTAGATAAGCTACTCTCGAACTTGTAATAATTATTATACTATCTAAGCTATAGTTCTAGTAGCTTCCTCAGCTATATAGTCGCTAAGTTTTACAAACTCGAGCTAAAAATCTACTTTTATTATATTTATTCTCTTATTAAAGTCTTATTCTAGGAGTTATTTTAGGCCCTGAATTGCCTCAATTATACTGCCGGCTGCCTTAGTGTTACGACCCATGCAACGTGGACGCCCGACGTCACGTGCACCCCCACAAATTTCCCCCAATAAAGGATCACCTCGCTGCGGCTCACGCCGCACTATGAGACTCACCCGTGAGCCGCCCAAGCTCACGCGTGAGCCTCCATGGCTCACCTGCGATTCCAAGGCTCACTGCCGTGAGCCTCACATATCATTCTAGTATATAGACACACCTTCATTAGCACTTTCCTAGACTCCTAAGCTACTCAGCTATCAATACAACTTGGTTACCTCAATCACCTTGACTCGCTACGCATCATTGTGCTTGACTATTACCAGACGTAACATTTACTCTGTAAGTGACGCCCTAACCGCTCTGCTAACATAAACCTACGGTTTATCCACCAGCAACCAGCCTCTTGTCTACCCTAGACCACGTCTACGGCAGACCAAGAGACACGACCGTTACACTTAGATATAGCTCTTTTCTTAATTTAGGTATAACTTAGAGCTCCCTCACTACTCTCTTCTTCCTGCCATTCCATATCACCTTTTTGCTACTCGGATTCTATTGCCCTCGTCGTTCTGGTTCTTTTATGCAGGGGACGATGATATCCCCCGTCCGGAACGTCCGGTTTGCCTTCTATGACGGTGATGACGTCTGAAGCGGGGTTCACAACTCCAGACATCCAAAGGCCTGAATCTCCGCCAAGCGGCTACCGGGTATTTCAAAGGTTATAAAGAAGATAAATAATGAGATTTCGAGAGATCAAGAGATCTCCAAGAGGTTTTCCAGAATTGCGGACACCGAGGACTTAATATCGAGGACTCAATATGGGCTCGAGGACTCAATATGGGCTGAAGGAGACCATGATACAATTTGGGCAATGAACGTGTATATTAGTAATTAGTGCCCTTTCGGCTCTAGTGCCGCCGGGCGTAATAAATTGTATTGTATTCTCCATCATTCACGACGACAAGGCCGTCCTCGCCCAGAGTGCGAATCACCTTAGCAGCGCAATGACTTTGTAGCACCCCACGATGCAGCTAGTATTGCCCACGACAAACATCTCGATAAGGTCGATCCCGTCGACCTGGTCCTTCGCAAATAAAACGGACCACTCCCCCCCTCGCACCGTCACCAGCGGCAGCGTCACCCCTAGAGCCATAGCGCTCTTGGACGTCCCGGACAGCGCCCGCAATCTTGCCATATACGCTGCCGCCCAGACCGACACCTGCGTCTTGGCCTCCTGGCCTGAGCCGTCGGGGGTCTTTGTCTCGATGCTGATGGCGATGGGGCGGTAGCGAAGGGGTTGGTAGGGGCTGTGGTTGATGGAGTAGCAGTCGCCGGCCTTCTTGAGGCGGTGTCGAATTGCTGCAGTGGTGCTGTTGCCTCCTAGGCAGATGTAGAAGTCGACCATCTTGGCCTGGAGATCGCTGCCCGAACCGTGCCGCGGGAGGTACAGCTTATTCATGGGCGCCTTGGTGACATCCCAGTGTGAAATGGATTTCCCAAAGGGCTCCAGTGCAATTTCAAGCAACAGCTCATGGACCCGCGCATTCCAAGATACTTCGGAGACATTCTCCAGTTCGCATTCTTCCGTGCGACGGACGATTTTCTGCACAGTCTTGAACTTGCTGTCTGCGTCCCACTCCGTCGCTATGTGCCCAGATATTGCCTTCATAGGCAGCATTAACCAAGAGCGGATCGTCAGTAAGGGTTATTGCATCCTGGATATTGTGTAGGGCCTCTTGAGGGACAATATTGTTACCCGCTTGTGTTTCGCGTATGTGTGTGAACAAGTCGATGACGTCTGAAGGAAGGTTCTTAATCTTTCGAACACGGATGGATTAGATGGGTTTGTCGGCAAGCAAGAGGTCTGCCTTATTCTTAATGGGGGTTCGAGACTTCCTCGACCTGCTGTCGGTCGTGTTTGTCGTCGTCGTCGTCGTCGTCGTCGTCGTCGTTGTTGTCGTTGATTTCACCCGAGTCGAGCGTATAGTGTCCCACTCGAGACTCCGGGATGCTTCCAAGGGCTGCTGCAATCCGAGCGACGGCGTACCCAAGTCGGTTCGGCGACGCTTCGATGAGTGGGATACGCGCGGCGTGACGTCAAGGTTGCAGCGTATTGTCGTTGCTAAGCGGGGGCGATGATACGCCCATGGTCACGACCGCATCTGCGAGTTTGCGTTTTGATCCGCTGGGGAAGGCTGGGATGTCGGACGGCGATGTAGGAGGGCTGACTTCTTGGACCCAGGCTTCGATATAGTCGCGGTTCATTCTTGTCGGGGCTGTAGGAGCTGTTGGAGCGGTCGGGGTTGATTTATGTCGTCGTTTCTAATGTCTATGCCAAAATGGCGTTGGTTATGGTAGCGTGATGCTATCTGTTGGATCCGTTACGGTCAATTCGATTAAATGGATAGGGATTAATGCAGTGATGATGATGTTGATGCTTGCTTCTGCCGGTCATCTGGACCGACTGGAAGAGGGGTAATCAGACCCCCCTTCTAACTAAGGTCAGGATATCAATCTATCAGAGGTTTCGTAATACAGGGTTACAATCCAACAGATATCAATAGTTACCCCGTAGCTGGCAGCAGTGCGGCCTGTGTGCGCAGCAGCCAAGTCCTCCGCATCCTCATAGTGTTCTGCCTCATCCTTGCCCCCCTCGGCCTCATCAAAATCAGCCCTCCTCGCTCCCTTCTCTCTGGTATGCCTTCTGCTAATAGCAATAGCTATATGCCGCCATTGCTGCACTGTAACCCTCTGGCTGCTATAGTGCTGGCTCCATTTAGCTAGAGCTCGAGATATCTGGCTGCTGTTCTAGAGGCTGCTGGGGCTATCTTTATGATGCCAGATGAAGTCACTGGGCAGATAGACCTTGCCGAATGAGGCCCAGTAGCTGGCCTAGAGACGGTCTGTGAAGGACTGGATGTAGATTATATAGATAGCCATTAGCTGTCCGATCCGGCTGGGTAGGATCCTTGGGATAACCTTAGGGCTATTAAAGTGGGCAAAGGACTTGTGATATTGGCTGATCAGGACTACCTCAGCGCTCTTAATAGTCCAGACCGTTTAGACTATTAGTCCAGACTACACTTGCAACGCTGAATCAAAAGCAATTAATACTGCATTCTAACTGGCGGAATAAAAATTGTCTAATTGGATGCTCTTACTTTTTGCTTTTGAATTGAATTGGTTGTAGTATTGCCCCGGGTGACGATATAGTCTGGACTAATAGTCTAAACGGTCTGGACTATTAAGAGCGCTGGACTGCCTCTCTATGGATAACAAAGAGGCTGCGGTCCCGATTGATGCCATTGACCAATTATAGCCCTGTAATCTCTGTACCCCTGAGCGGGTAGTTGGTTAGATGTACTAGCAGCAGCAGCAGCTCCTGGAACCTTCTGACCTGCCGTAGGTATCGCTGCAGCCAGGGCCATTTCTACTCGTCTTAGCCATTGAGGAATTCCCTTTTGATAGGCCCAGCTATCAGGTTCTGCAGCATCTCCTTTTCTTTCCCACTAGGCCATTGGTGTGAATAAAAGACTGGCCGCGTTGGGTCTGGGTTAGGTCGTCTTGAATAGCAGTGAGAGGGATAAGAAAGCGGTGTGCTAGTCTGGAAACTGGCTCTACCTTGCTAGGCTGGAACATCAGCCCTTCCTAAAGAAGGTCTTCTGCATTGAGAGTCATTTTCCTGATCATGCAGCGGATAGTATCTATAGCAAAAGGCTGGCCCTGGCTATGGATGGCAGCTTCGGCTAGCAGAGCCCGGCCTATATAGACTAGACCAGCTAGAATATAGGTAAAATGGTGTGCCGGCCGTAGCTGCCCAGTCTCGCCATCAATGCCCAGGACAGCGACGAAATACCACAGCAGGCTAGCAAAGGGGTCCTGGGGTAGCAGCTACATCCAGAAGCGGGCTAGAACCTGCAAAACCTCCTCTTCCAGCTCCTTTCCCCCTCTCTCATCAGGACCTAAGAGCTTGGCGGGCTGGCCGGTCTAGATCGGCGTGCTGTCTCTGCAAATGGCTTCGTAAGTCAGCTATGGGATAGCCGTGCGCCTGACAGATCAGCACTCGGTGGGCTGGATAGTGCAACAGCCAGGAGTGGCCAGCTGCAATTGCTGACTGCTGTAGGAGCTCTCGCTGCCGTTCCTGGTGGCTGGCTTGGGCTTGCTTGATGTCTATCACGTGACCATTAGGATTTGATGCCCCGCACTTGAAACCTCCGCAGACATTTCCTCGCGAGCCAGGTAATTTCTATGCTTCATCCACCGTCGACTACACCTAAGGACCGTCATTTACACGCCAAGAGAAAATAGAGCTCGGACCCAACTATAATCCTGCATTCGTTACTCAAGATGATGCAGACTCAGACAACAACTTCTATTCCAACCCAGCCAAGTTCTTTACCTCGTTGGGCCGCCCTGTTCCAAAACTACCGTCCGCAGCCGAAATTCTTGATGAAGCCAAGAAAAGAGGACCGGAAATATTCCGCAATTACAGGTTTTTAAATACTGTCCTTGAAAGGCACGAGTCGATGATATGGAAAAGATGGGCCAAGAAAACCACCAAGCAAAGACTTGGTATCCTGTCAAAAGCATGGCCAGATAGGCCGGCCAGCTACCGACCGGACTTTGCGGCATTTCGACAAAAGGGAAGACAATGGCAGGCCCAAGGCAGCAAAAGCACTGGCTGTTACATGTGGCCTTATATCAACCAGGAGGACCTCTCCCAGACGCAGCCGCTTCTGCTGCTTCTTAATGTACGAGGACGGGAGGTTCTATCCAGCTTCGCAGCTGCTGATCTGGAGGCTATGCACCTGGGTATAGTGAGCGATGTCATCGAGCGCCCGTTTTTGAACAGCTACACGATGATATTGCATGGAGTCACAGATGGCTCCGAGTACGGAAGCCTGCTTGTATGGGATGATTATCCGGACGCCTTTGACTGGATGCATACCCAGAAATAGTTCGCCCCGGCTGATGGTATTGTCGTGCTCAAGGCCCAAGACGCACTGATGGAGTTTCTTGTTAACTGCTGCCAAGCTATCCTCTATGATATCCCGAATGATCAACTGGGTAGTGACGTGTATCCCATCCAGCTAGAGCCTCCTTTGAAGACGGAAGTTGAATCGCTGGGATTTGAGTCGTTGGCCGCAATGGCCGCCGCAGCGCCTTACCGAGTCCCGGCCAAGTTTGAACTGGAAAAGGTCGAATCCTTGCTCGCGGCCAAGATACAAGCGGCAGAAGATCACCTCTGGGCCTTGCGTGAGGATCCTCACTACTTTTATCAGCATCTGGTAGAGGGCCAAGAATATCGACAAGAGATGATCAAGGACACAGACGGTCGGCCTCATCCGACTCTTGTCCCGGGCCAAGAAGCGCTTTTCTAGACGCGGGTGATTGGCAATGTCCTTGTTGAGGGATACTTTCAGCTAGAGACTTTCTCCGAACTCCATCAACAGAGTAAGACGTTGGTGGACCTCCAAAGAAAGTACGCCGTAGATATTTCACCCATGAAAGATCTCCCTCGGGAGTATTTACTCGCGCTTCTGCGCTTTCGCCACTTCCTCAATCAAGCTGTGAAAGGCTCTTTGGCGCAGCTGAAGCAGACCGTGGTGGTGTCTCCGCCAATGCGAAGATTCTATGCTCGACTTCCCCCAATGGATCGCACTTCGTCCAAAATGCAGATTGTGTCCAAGGGTATCAAGATGTCCAAGATCGAGGAGAATCTTAACCATCTGCTCCGAACACTCTGGGAGGACGACCATGACCTCTTTCTCTTTAGACTTTCCAATGTGGTTGACGAACTAGAACGTCTCTTAGAAGCCGAGCCAGCAGCAAGAGACCTCATCTCATTCCACGTGGCCAAGATCATCGGCAATCTTTCCATTCAATCCCAGTGTCTCCATCAACTCGAGATATACCAGCCCTGGGCCCAAAACTTCAATTCGGCAGCCGTGGACCTCCAACCAGATCTCGAGAAGGACTATGCCGAAAAGTACAAACCGTGGGCTCTGATCCTCGCAGCCTTCCACGACGCCAATCTCGGGAAAACTGCGAGATTCGGAGAACCGCTGTCTGGGAGGTTCACGTACCCCATCGACAAACGTCGCACGAAGGAGAATGTGGAAACGCTGCGACGAGCGGAGCGGAACCTCGATGTATTCTGGGCCAGTGTCGACCGTCTGCTGCATGCAAAGCTTGGGAAATTGCAAGCATCTGCTGTGCAGGGGCTTTTTTCACAGGCTCGTCTCTTGCAACGGACGCCGGAATGGGTCGAGCCATTAGCGGGTCAAAATGTCGTGGCAACTCCTCCTACAGAACAGCCGCTTTCACCCTTCTATTTCGGATTAAGGGACGGCCCATCCTCGAAGGCAGCAATGGATCGCCCAAAGCCGGAGCCCTTCAAAGCCAAGATCAAGACTCGAGGCGCCCCTGGCCAAGACGCAGAGGCATTAGAGAGTGTCGAGGTCGGTCATTAGGAAGACACGGCAACCCGGCCGTTTTTCGCAGTTGACAATCGCGCGCTCAAAGTTTTCCGTACTTTGTTCTTCAATCCTGCTGTTACGTCAACGCCTGGAGAACTCCCGTGGAGTCACTTTGTGCATGCTATGACGTCGGTTGGATTCGGAGCGCAGAAGCTCTATGGGTCCGTGTGGCAGTTCTCGCCTGTCATGTCTGACTGTCTAGGAAGTATTCACTTTCACGAACCGCATCCAAGTGGCAAGCTGTCGTTTGTAGTAGCTAGACGCTTTAGTCGGAGACTAACTAGAGCTTACGGTTGGACTGGAGAGCAGTTTGGTCTTAGCAAGTAAGAATTGAAGACTTGGGAAGGATGAGCAGGCTGGATTTGAAATGCCGACTGTCCAAGAATAAACTGTTGAGTCCGAAGCCATAGCCGGCAGCTCTGTCCGGGGATAGCACAGTTGGCCAACAACCTCGCGTACGTTTAGGAGACCGTTAACTAAGATAAATGGATCTTTCGGCTAGATTTTCTTGTGCTCTCTTTCCTTCAAACTTCGTCTGAATTCCCCTAGGTAGTAGAATATAAATACTGGGAATATACCTAAGATATATACTTAGAAGTAGGGGGTCCAGTACTTAATTTATAATGACTTACTGTGAGGTAATTGGGTTCTGGACATAGATGAGACTTTTAATTTTATTACTTTACTATCTATACTAAGAAGCTATATATACTAAAAGAATAAGTACTAAGAACTTAAAAGAATTAACTAAGTGCAGAGTAGAAATACTCCTTACAACTTGCTGAAATTCACACGGAAGGTTGACTTCCTTAGCGCAAATAAATCGGCACATTCCTAGGGGAGGGGTATTTCGTAAATGATACGTAAGGGTAAACTTTCTAGTCCCCCTGCAGAGGTGTATTCGTGGCCCACAAAAGCTAATCTCTTGTGTCAGCGGGCGCGTTTTACATGTGACAAGTGTTCTAATATCTGGCGCAGGCTGTGGGCCAGTCAAACAGTCCAAGACTATGTAAATGCTGTGGTCGTAAAAAAGCCACTGCTGTAACTTATCTAGCGATCCGGGGACCCGCCGCTGTTCAATGGGCATCGCATACTCTGATCTGACCCACAGGGCAACCATTCGCTGCCAGTAGGTCAAGAAGTAAGCCTTATTAGAAGAGTGATGCAGGATAACCCTCATAAACAGGTAGGTGTGATATATCAGTCTTCACTCATCACATCAAGAGTATCAAAGCACACTCAAGTAATAATAAGCTCAAATAGCCCACATCAGAGATTACTCGGCAGCACTTAGTAGTGCCAAACGGAGCTCAGTCAAGCAGCCAAGTAGGAGGGTAAAAGGGTAGTAAGCAGTTTCGAGGCGCTGCCATTCCACCAGGTGAGTTTCATGAGAAAGTTTGTGTATTTGATGCACACAAACCGCAAGCTTGAATTTTTTGCGCTTCCACTTCACTGACGAAGGGTTTATCTTTTTGAACTTGGGCTGCTATTATTAAGTTGGTCAACGAACGTCCGAGAAATTATAGGACACCAAAGCCACAGGTATTCTCCTCACCCTTTACCACTTCCAATTTTGGCAGGCTTCCTGCATCTGTATGCCTTGGTTAACCCAGTGATCGGAATGGTCTGGTCTGGTCTGGTCTGGGGGGTCAGACCAGACCAGACCAAGCCACTTTAGTCTAACCGGTCTGATAGACCGGTTAGACCAACAAGACCACCAAAGAGTTATGACGAGATCGTGACTTTCATATTTATTGTCAGAAAAGGTATTTTACTAAAAGCTAATTATCCATTGATTCTATTGTTGTCATGCCCATTATGGTCGCTGTCACTATCACCCTCAACAAGATCTCTCTGGGGTCATGGCGGGACAGCCAGTACGCAATGGCCTCTCACAACCTGGCTCATCGTCCATCGAGTCGCCCGGTAGAGATGTATTGCAGCAGAGACCGGGCAGAAAACAGGCAAGGTTATGGGAAAGAGAGAACCCAGGAGGAAAAAGCAAAAAAGACACGATCTAGCCATATTGAGCTAAATTTCAGCCACCCACATCTCTAACTTGACCTATTTGTAGCAGACCATTAAGGACCATTAAGACCGGTTAGACCATGGTCTGGAGAAATCGTCAGACCAAACCAAGTCTTGGCGGTCTAGACCAGACCAAGACCAAGTCAGACCAGACCATTCCGATCACTGCGTCAGCCACATCCGTACGGCCATCTATCGATCTTCGAGGGCCGCCCAGAAGCCCCCTTTGTAAACCCGTTTGCGTGTTTGACGCAAGTTGTCCTATTGGGGACGACTACATCCAAGGGTATCCTGCTGTCCTTCAGCTCCTCTATTCATCCTCCTCTTTAAAGCGTGCCATAGGGCAACGTCGAAGGCACCCAATTTCTTCCAACTTTATTAATCCGATGCAATGTTGAACAGTGCTCCAGAGCACCGTACAGTTGCTACTCCGTCAGCCGCCTCTTTATTAGAGAAGGTGTCAATATCCTTCCACCAAACCAGCGCTAACAGCAACGGCCCTGAACAGACTGGCATTGTCCCGCAACAAGCTTTCATTTCTGCCTGCTCGATTTTCGGAGTTCACTTCACTACGGTATCTAAATATCAGACGGAACCATATCAAGGAGTTTCCCCTGCCCGTAAGACAGCGTGTCCCTGGTTCTGCGGTACTGCGTCTAATGCTGTGGTAGCTCTGCGATCTTAAGTCCCTCGAGATACTGGACCTTGGCAAAAATCAATTGCGCGTCCTACCCTCCAATATTTCGAAACTTTCTTTATTAAAGGTCCTCAGTGTCGAAGGGAACCAGATTCGAGAGTTGCCATTATGTCTTGCTGATATGGTGTCCCTACAAGTGCTCAAGTTTGAGGACAACCCCATCAGCTTCCCACCAAAGCATGCCCTGGATTTCCTAGCCACTAGTCCACCCATTGAAAAAGACAGCGAAATGACTGAGACTATTTTGACGGACAGCGACAAGGTTGTGGTTATTTTGACGGCGCGAATTAAGAATTTTTTGAAGCAGCATGCCCAAGCTTGTGATCAAATAAATTCAGATGAAATTGACTCTAGTTGGGTTTAAATTAGATATTGAAACGGGGTTATCAGATTGGTCTGAGGGTTCAACGCTAAGGGAGTGATATTAAGGGAGCGCGTCTCACGGCTAGATTTAACATTATCAGCACCTTCACATGCAGACTGTTGGAAGAAACGAGACCTCCCAGTCTGTCAGGCCGGCCAGGTCTTGGCTTTTGTTTTGCTTTTTAATATTTTCCGAGTTATACAGTCCTTTTGCTGTTGCTCTTAGACTCTTCTTTTAACCTAAGACCGTGAGCCAATCTGCTATATCATGCCGATTCAGATAGTATCTAAGATCCTAGGCTGCAATAACCATCTGATGCTTCGCTAAACGTCGCTCCTAGGATCTATCAGGACTACCTACTTTATTAGACGCTTCCTTCTGCTATAGCTAGCTTCGGGCCACCCGTGCCCGCACAGCCGACCGTGCAAAAAGACTCGTTATGTAAGATGTTGGATCCGATACGGCCAATTCAATCAAGACAATAGGGGCTAAAGCAGTGGAGCCCAAGGATGATGATATTGATGTCTGATGATTTTTTGTTTCCCCCCAGCCCCCTTTTCCTACCTATGTCATGCGCTCTGATTCTGTGAGGCATCTGATTGGGTGTGTATATTGTCTGAGTTGCCTATGATCCCCACTCTTAGTCCCTGTACAGTACAGGTCGTGCTCCCAGCGTTGCAGTTGTGACATGGTTGTTCTCGGTCGAATTTAACCTTGGTCGCCGATATATCTTTTGGAACTTCCTTACATCCACACTTCATTTTTACAGGACTAGTTTCGCCTTCATTCATTAAAACTACCACTCCGTACTTACTTACAGCGACGACATTGGCAGCCTTCTTCTGCTATGCCCCAAAAATTTACAGATGTTCACCAAAGCTCACAAAGAGGCTCTTTCTTAGGACAGTTAAAGGCCTCTTTAAAGCCAACCGAGTTCTGCAGCGTCAACAAGATCCTCGCGGCGTTGGGACTGTGCACATCCGTCTCAATCAAACTCAGGGCATACTCGGGGCTCATATTCTGGCACCACGCCTGTCCCCATTTGACGAAGAACAGCTGTTCATGGGTGAACTTTTCAAGGCCTGGAAGATTTTTCGCTTTGCTATGCGTAGACTGCCACTTCTTCCACGCAGCATAGCTGGACACGACACCACCAGCATCGGCAATATTCTCATTGATGGTTTGTTCACCATTGACGTGGACTTGCGTCCCGTTAGGGGCCGTGATGGTGAACTTGTCGTATTGCTTGACAAAGCATTGAGCCTTTTCGGTGAATCGTTCGGCAGTAGCGTCATCCCACCATATTGTCTGGTTGCCAGTGGCATCATACTGGCGTCCTTGTGTATCAAATCCGTGCGTGATTTCATGCCCAACAACGCTACCCATTCCTCCATATAGCATATAAGATGGAAAGTCAACGTCATACAGAGGGAACTGCTGGATTCCGGCGAGCAGGATCATCTGGTTCTGGCCAGGCCAGTTGAATGCATTCACAGTGAGGGTGCTGGAAATGAAGATGCCTTTGGGGAACGGCTTGCCGAGAATTGCCCACTTGTTGGCCACGTTGACCTTGGCCATAGCCAGGGCGTTATGTGTATGAGACGAGGTGATTTCAGCGTTCTCATAGAACTCCCCAATCTTGAGAGCATCGATGGCATCTGGGTCGGTGGGCCATGCGATTTTCTTAACGGTAGCGTGCAGCTTCTCGGCGGCGGCGACTTTGACCTCGTCAGATGCCCATTCTCGAGACTGGATGCGCTCGAGGAATGAAGCCTGGAGGTTTGTCACAATATCAGATGTGAGGTTCTTAGCTTCCCAGGAATAACTTTGTTCCAGGAAGAATCTTGTGAGTATCCACGTCAGTCCGCTGGGGCCGATGGCGCTCGAGGCTGCCTCATCGTCAGCAATCCAGCTGACGCCCTCGTCAAGGAGTACGATGCACTTCTTCCAACGAGGCGTGAGGTCTTCAGGGTCTCCAGAGAGCTTCGCCTGAAAGTTGTTGTACGCATTGGTCGGCTCGGACTCGATGTAGGGCGACAGCGAGTAGATAGCCTTCCAGATAAAGAATGTCTCGAGAACCTGGGGTGGTGTCTGCGAGATGATCTGAGAGAGATTTTGGAAGTAGGTGGGAGCTGTGACGACAACACGGTCTGCACTGTAGCCCTCGGGAGCGAGCTGGTTGATGACGAACTGGTAGTTCAACTGAGGTGCCGCAGCCTGGATCTCGGCCAAGGATACCGTTACTTGGCCACTCTCCATTCCAGAAGCCACGATGTTGCTCACGCTGGCCTCCCAGACTAGCAGCGATTGTACAAGAGCTGCAGCCTTCTTGACAGTAATGTTGGACGGATGCACCGAGGCGATGAGAGCAGCAGCCAGCTCGACGTATTCCGCCAGGTTCTCTTCGTCGGGAACGTCAGAGCTAGAGGGCGGCAAAATGTTGATCAGAGCCTCATTAGGGTTGTAGTCGTTTTGCGATGGCCCGATGCGCTGTGTTGTTGCAATGCCGAGGCTCTCGAAGAGGAGCAGGGACTTTCCCATGGCATCGGAGTGATCGTATGGAAGCGTATCGCCATTATCGCAGGCGGCCGAGAAGTCGCTTGCGATGGTCTTGACGAGCTTGGCCAAAGGCTTGAGACCCTCTTCGGCAAGGGCCGTGTAGTCGACGCAGACATCGTAGGCCTTCTGGATCTTGGCAAAGTTCTTTTTGTCGACCTTGGCTTGCTCGTCGGTTAGGCCGACTGTTATCCAGCCTTCGTGCGGGTACGGGCCTTCGAGAATGTTGCGCACCGTAATGTAAATGTCGTCCTGCTGAGCGGTGAGGGCCATGGTGGACGAACTACCGGCGGGAATCTCGTGGTAAGCAGCCCAACTACCACAGACGACTGCACTTGTTAATAAGACTGCGGGAATCTGAGGAATGTTTGACACTTACGCTCATCGAAGTTAGTGCACGGGTCAATCTCAGTATAGTTCTTGGCGAGGCCCCAGAGGACTTCGGATGCGAGGTGGATGCATGCCGGAGTCGTGCAGAGGTCCTCCATAGTGGTTGGCTTTGGCCTTGATATGTGATCTCTATTGAAGTCGTTGCTAAATGAGTGAGTCTGTCGTAAACGAGATGACGGCACTGACAGCTGGGAGACTTCGACGGAGAAATGGAAGCTCTGTGGGGGCTGTCTTTCGGCGAATTCATCGTGTAAAACAACTCCTCTTATACTGGGTGCCTCCCAATCGCCGCATCGTGCACAAATAATACCATGACTTACAAAGTCCCATTTGAGTCAGCTGCTCCAGCCCCCAGCCCCCAAGGTTAATTATATCCAAGACGTACTAGGAGATTTGTTGAGGCTGAGCAAACCATACAGCACAGCCTCCCATCGGCGGATATGTCTCCGACGACTGTCTCCGTACCCGGCTTGGCAAATAATTAGTCAACAGACGAGACGAATCTCGATACCCCGCGTGTACGCGGTCGTGGGACGCACTAACTTGGTGAGGCGGGGCTGAAGAGGGCCCCGGGAGAATTGGAGTGGTGTTTCTCAGTGGTCATTTCAGTCCTGATGACTTCAGTCCTGGGTGCTAAAGTTCCATGGATACATGCTACGCTGACATCCATCTCACATGAAAACACGTAAAGGGACTTTGGATGGTTGGATGCATTGCCGCCACTTGGCCTGCTTTCACTGACCCGCGCGACAATTAGGGCCCAACTACTACGTAGCATTGTTTCGGGTGCGTTAGTCCTGTGGAGAATTACACTTAGACTTAAGTCGTAGGCTTCTTCAGCTTTTGCCCAATCTGGACATAAATTTCTCTCGAAGACTGATTTTTTGGAGGGTTCCTGATCCTACGCCTAGCACCTATTAGACGTGTATTGACTAGTGCCTCACGACTGCCTCATTCTCCTTGCCCGATTTCCACTTTACTCCAGCCCGATCAAGGATCCGGTTCTCGGGCTTTGGACATTTTCACCTGATGGCGGCCATGTATTTCTCCGCATATTAGAGTGTCACATACCCTTGAGTCCTGGCAGTCTTCGATATCACGGTGTTTGGCAAGACGGTGAGCAAGAAAGTGTTGCGCGTTGGCGACCAATCTATAGCTGTCACAAGGTATGTGCATATTGAATTATACAATGCACAATGCTATTCGTTTATATGGTCAAAGGTTACGAGGAACAAAAACAATAATGAACTTGGTGAGTGAAGTACGAGATTCCACCAACGAAATGAATGTTATCAAAAAAATATGCTCCCTACCGACCATCTAAAGAGATATTTCCAGAAGCTTTTCAAACCCAGAGTTGAGGTTCTCCAGGACAAAGTCATCCAAATCATCATCGGCAAGGCCCTCTGAGGTATTGAAAAAGTCTAGCTCTACGTCAGCGCCCAAGACATCCGAGATCTCATGTACCAACGTCATCAAGATGCCGCCCCGGCAAGCCGCTTGCGATGCTGCAATGGCCACTTTATCGATAATAAGGCTCTGGTGTGTGATATCACCGTTAACAGCTGGGCGTGGAGGGTAACCGAAGAAGGATCGGACGGTGTTGGAGAGATGAGTCCAGAGGCAGCTTAGGCGGTCACTGACGCTGGCGTGCTAGGCCTGGGCATCTAAGCAACACTCACGGTAGACTTCGCGATACCGCTTGAACGTTTCAGCTGAATCCTCAAGTGGCTCCTCAGACTCCTCTCCGTCGCCGTCTTCGTCCTGAATTTCCTTGTCCTCTCTCCATTTCTAACTTCATCTTCGTCCTCGACTCCTCATCCTCACTCTCATCCTTGTCCGTTTCGCTTTCGCCATTCCCGTCCTTATCAGAGTCATCTGCATTGGTGTCTGCGTCGCTAGAGTCCTCATCGCCAAGCTGCTGCAAGCGTGGACAGTAAATCGAGACCGAACGCTGCCATGACGCCAGAAAAGTGTGCCAGAGGATCCTCATCTTCGTTATTAAGCTCGGTGGTGTTATTATCACGACCATTAAGACCGGAATCGTTCTGGCCGTGGATGTCCAACTTTAGGCCGTTGAGGGATTGTGCCGGTCTCACTGTGCGCGACTGTTCAGAATTGGCAGGGATGACACTGCCAACTGACAAGGCCAAGCCCACTTCATAAAACGATACTATCATGTGGTGAACGATTTTAGTGAGTCACCGCATACTGCGACGTCGGAGGGGATTGCTATTGACCCTGCTTCTCTTGTATTTGCAATACAGGCTACGTATCGATGGGCTCAGTCAACCTTAGTCTTGGAAACGTAGATGCCAACACTAGAATGTGCTGTTATGTGCCATGGGTGTATTGATACAGCATATGAACCCAAACACTATCAGGTCGATACGCACCTTGCCAGCCCGATCAAATACACGATAAATAACGAGTCACCGTAAGATATCTAATCTCAAGACTCACATCATCTAACATCAGCATCTAATTTGGAGCTCCAATTTGTTCCATATAATTCAGTAGCTCCAAACCCTAAAATAAATCTTGCAGTCGCGAAACGTAACGACATGGTGATTCTCCATGGTAAGAATGAAACAAAATCAACGCTCCTCATACTGGTGAATCTCCACTGTCCGATAAATCCGTACCTCATCAAGACTGCCCTTGCACTTTTTGCCATCGCCTTCCGAGTTATTGGTTTCTGTAAAACTCGAATCTCTGTCAACCTGGACTTGCGCTGTAATCTGAGCCTTGCCGTTGCCGATGAGGATATTCTCATCGCTCTCCGTACCGCTTGGATAATGACAGTTGGTATGGGTATTGGTTGTACTTCCAGATTTCTGTTGTGAAGAGGTCATCATCTCGAATCGTGACCTTACATTTGATGCATAGAGCGGCTTGTCGGGTTGGAGGATGGACTTCCACAGCATGGGCATGAGCGGTAAGCAGGCACAAATGATTCCAATGCCACACTCAGCGATTCTGCGATTTGTCAGTACTTGAGCTGACGTACAGCCTATGAGTAGACGAGAGAGACAGAGACGACTGACCCTGTAAGATTGATCTTCACAAAAACGTAGGTTTGGTCTGGACTTGTGCCATCTTTGACGATAAAGACTAAGCGAATGAGACCGAAAATGCAAGCAATGCCTCCCGCACTAAAGGCAGCAGCGATTTTAATCTTCGCCCATAGCCCAACTTGAAGCTTTTTTGTCAACGGGCAGGGTAGGAGCAACACGACGACGTCGCTAAAAAGACTGATGACGTTGTCCGTGAGAATCAAGGCACGTTGATTGAAGCATTCGCCCTCGACAGAAGGATCCCAGAATCGCGATATCGGGCGGCAGATGAGCATCTTGAGGAACAGCATGATGATGTAGTAAATGGCCATGACACTGAGGAAGCCGTATATCCACTTGACGTAGGTTCGATACGGTTCAAAGATGCGCGCGATGAAGAGAGCGATGGCTGCCTTGATGGCGAATACTGTTGGGCCGTAAATCACCATGGTGGCGTAGACAGTCTGTGCCTAGGTCAGTATCATATCGTCGCGGCGGGGGACGAATATAGCGAGGCGCAACACAGTTTGTTATACGGGGTCAGAAGGGTTTCCGGAACATCCCACGCGTGTAACCCACCGCCATACTCCAGCCCTACAAAGGATTAGATCTGACTGAGTGAGTTTGGATCACTTACTTATTAGACAGATTGTGCAACACCCCATGAAACTGACCTTGACTGGTGTTTAGAAACAATGACGTGGCTGGGGCATACAAGAGTCATGACTTACATGGCCAAGAATGCAAGCAACTGTTGACGGGTCAGCATCTCATTAGTAGCGCTGATCTTTCCGAACATACCGTCGTCAGCTTAGAGCCTCATCGACAGTCGGTAGCGTGTCCACAATCGCATCACGATGAAGATTGAGCATATTGACATGGCCATGACATTGGACACGATACACATATTGTACATGTCGCGATCTGGGTTGTCGAAGTCGGACTTTTGGCCCACAGGCGGCTCCAGAATCGGCGTGACCATGATGCTCTGGGTCACAATTCACCGCGCTTCCGGGACCAGAACTGAACAGCAAGCCACGTAAGTAGGTAAAATAAAATAGAGGTGTGAGAATGTATTTTGTGGTTGATAACTTGGCTGAGAGTGGATGCTTGACCAAGACGTCGGGCAGCCAATTTGTTCCAGACGTGCGAGCACACGTGTCGCTGTGTAAAAAGGATCGGCTGGAAGGGAACAAAGCCAATTTGAGCATGACCTGTGTTTGCCTGTCGGTCGGGTCTTGAGTCCTTTCAGTCCATAACCATCCGTCATCTGATAGCATGCCATCCGAAACTTATGACTTTATCGATGGTTTGCATGGTATTATATGTGAGACTTTCGTGGGGGATGCCAGGCAAGGGCTGGACTGGTAAAGACGCCCGGCTGTTGCACTTGTTGCCTGACTTGGTTTGAGACATCCCCAGATGAACGTCGCACTATTGGTGATGGAATGGATTGCCGTTCCAATCATTGGATGGAGACATTAGTACTAAACAAACCAGGAACATCCTCGAAATGAGCACAGTCTAGCCTTGCTTGAAGGAGCCTGTAGCGCAGTCTCCTCATTTGTACTCCACATCCCCCAATCTGTACTCTGTAGCTAGGTCCCGTGTTGATTATCCCTTTGAGTGCGGTAAGGCAACACTTAGGTCACGGGACCCACCACACCCCTGCCACAGCCGAGGTACCTAGAGTGACCTAAAGCACCGCTAGAATCAACCCCGCCCAATTCACCGTACAACTCATTCTGTGTGCACTTATGGATTCCCAACAGCTCTCCAGCCAGGCAGTCAATGCGTATGATGACAATAGCTTCATTGGCACTGATAACAGCCGTCGCGAGCAGCCGACTGATAACACCTGCCGGCCGATATATGATCCGGTTCCGGATCGCGGTTACAACTTCGATCCGATGGTCATTCCAAGCCGGGTCCCTGAGATAACAACCCTACCCCCGGAGCCGCTGTCACTATTCCAGCAATTCCTGCCTGTTTCCCTAGTAGAAGGCTGGGCCCAATACACCAACAGCTGGGTCAGTCACCGGCTTGAGCAGCATGAAGATGGCAGCTGCAGATTGAAGCCGCGGTCTCGGCTGCTGGATTGGAAGCCGACCTCTGTTGCCGAAATCTACATATGGCTTGCGATCTTGATATATATGAGAATACATATCGAGCCGCAGATCAAGCTGTATTGGAAGACTTCTGGATCTAAGGATCTACGCCCTATTCATCCAGTAATTAAATGGATGCCTTATGACCGATTCCAGCTGCTATCTCGATATCTTCAGATCTTTAACTTTACAACCATCGATAAGGATCCTAACACAAGCTTCTACGGCCGCACCTTTATCCGGATTAAGGCTTGGTCTGACCATATACAACATACGTCTACGTTATTCTATATTCCGGGCACATCTATTGCTGTAGATGAGTGTATGGTCCGCTTTCTCGGACGATCTATTGAGACAACAACAGTCCCTAATAAACCTATCCCCACAGGCTTCAAAGTGTGGGCTGTAGCCCAACAAGGCTATTTCCTGCGGTGGATTTGGCACCGGCCCGGCCGGAAATACGGGCCTGTTGGTATCCGGCTGAGCTACCGGCGCCTGCCGTCACAGCTGCGGCGGACCCGGCAGCAGCGACAAGAGAGGAAGACAATCCATCTGAACCCGACCCAAGCTGTGGTTGTTGCCCTAGTAAATCTGCTGCCGGAAGCCAGATACCATGTATTTCTCGATAACCTATTCTCTTCCTGTGACCTCTTTCGCCGGCTCCGACAATGCGGCCACGGTGCCACAGGCACAGCCCGCAGGAACTGTGGCATCTACAAGCCTCTTGTCAAGCTCAAAGCTGCAGATAACACAGCTGCCGGCAGCCTTCAATTCAATGATATCAAAGCTATCCCGACAGCAGATAACCAAGTCAGTCAGAGAGACAGGATTGTATTGATTTTCCCTACTAATTTGTCTTCGGCTAGGTCAATCAGATCGCATGGAAAGATAACGCCCTCGTGCTATTCCTGTCCACTGTGTTCAAGGGCACTGAGAGACTCGAACGCATAAGGAAGAGACCGACAACAGACCAAATGCAAGCACGGCCAATACAGCGATTTTTTGGTGACGAGGCTGTCAAGCTGATTTCTATCCCATCCATCGCTGCTGTTTACAATGACGAGATGGGTGCTGTAGATCGCGGTGACCAAATGCGGTCATATTGGAGCCCTACCCGGCGTGCCCGTAGGGGCGGCTGGAGGGCTCTAGCTTGGGACTTCCTGCTAGAAATAGCCCTTATTAACAGCTATATTTTACAGCAGCGAGGGCAGCCACAGTGGAAGCCGGAGATATCACAGGGCAATTGGCGCCAACGTATTGTTAATGACCTTATCGCAAAGTATCAGTCTGACAGTCAGGCCCGACAGAGATTTCGGACTGGAGACGAATTTACGCCTGTTATACAGCACAATTGGGTCCGGAATAAGAATCCCTCGGCATGTCAAGCTTGTAAAGGAATACGGCTTGGAGAGGGTCGGCCGCAGCCGTTACGGGCAGTCAACGGCAACAGAGGTCAGAGACTAAAGAAATCGCGATATCGCTGTCAGCAGTGTAATGTAGCGTTATGTAGAGGGGGGAATTGCTGGGACTTCTATCACCATATAAAATAGGTGGGGATCTATGTACCTTTAATTTGCTATACTCTGGTTGGCTGGACCCCCCTGCTAGTGACCTAAGTGTTGCCTTACCGCACTCAAAGGGCTATATAGAAGAGCAGATGAGATCATATCATCCCTTATTCTTTGGGCCTGGCTCTGGTACGACTCCGGGTACAGCCGTGGCGTCTTTAGCTTCGCCGATCCTTGCTGTGGGGAAAATAGCTACAGGCACACTTATGATCAGCAAAGTATAATGCGGACTACAGGGATCAACACGGCACATCAAGGGCACAGTTTCGTCCATTCGTATAATATCGGACTCACGGAAGGGGGCCGGCGGTTCCGGCTTGTTCCTTGCATCACCGGTGGACTAAACATCGGTAGCAACCAGGGTTTGCCCTCAATACTGTACTGTACTTCGTATGTAGCTTCTGCTAGAGTGAAATCTGCCTTCCACCCATCCATGTCGCCTGAGCATGCTACTCATTTAAAAGGTGTCTTGTGGATTGGGTGACGGAGAAACAAGACCCACATGTTAAACAGGTGAGGTTGGAGGAGAGGAAGAAAATGCAACGTTTCAACTGCATTTCCAAGCCAAACAGCTCACTCACCTGTCATTGATCCACAATATGACGGCGGGCACATGGAAGTGGAAGTCTTTCGTCCACCATTCACTAGCTAATGCGCGTGTACAGCCCCCCAGGATTACAATTGTTAGCTCGTTAACAGTATATCGCCACCTAGAATAGCAAATGCTGATAGGCTTTCGACCGTCGGAAGATGCCCCGGTTCTAGGAGATGAATACTTCTCAATTTTCCACAGTCTATCTGTCAAGGTACCTTACTTTAAGAATATATCAGTGCCAACGATAAGGTATCTTTATAAAGTCGGGCTCGAACTAACGTTTGTAATCCTGGGGGGCTGTACTTACATCATCCTCACGAGAGGTGGGTTAGGCTGGGGGGAAGCGAGTAGACCATGAGAGGCAAAGTCAGCCATGGATGTAGCCTTTTGACTGATTCCACGGGCGGCCCCCCAGCTAGTCCCATCCCCGGCAGCTGTGGCTGTGAGCCCTATTATTCGCGCGTTCCAGGCCTACTTAGCACAAGCATTGTTTCTTCAATCCCTACTTACATACCACATGAAGGCTCAAGCGGTGGTGTAGGTGTCCAAGCGTACTTTAGCTTATTTAGATCCCATCCCACGTCGGGCTAAGGTAGCCAGCCGTCTTTGACCTGCGGCAATATTCCGTGCCGCCAGACACGTCGCCAAACGCACTACTACACGAACAAAAGGGCGGAATGGCTTCCGGTGGTTCGACGGCAGAGTCGCTCGCATCCATATCACATGCGCTTGAATCACAAGTTCGTGAAATCTTTCCTGACGCCTAACAAGGGAGCCGGGTCTGGACAAGGGAGCCGATTTTTGATTCAGCGGCCATTGGCTACTCGGATACGATCCGTCGAGATTGCAATCTCAACGTAACTGCGGTGACCTTGCCGCGATATCAGGACAAGTCACCATCTGGCAGCAGTTGCCGGGGTTCATCACACTTTATACTTTGGAGCGGACTTGTTTCACCTTCACCCTCTCTTCACTTCATCCTCGCTGACCCGAGGCCTTCCTTTGCTTGCCAGAATATTCGTCAAAAGTTTTTGCAAGTACTTACAAGTTGTAGTAACGATGCCGCAAACCGGGAACCAGACGAGCCTATACAACAGGCTTGTGATTGCCTTTGTCGCGCTCGGAGGCACCGTAAGTTGTTGTCCAACCCTTCCCGCCGCTTGGATCCTCTTCTGGTCCTGCAAGGTTAATTCTGCCGTCTAGACCTATGGGTATGCTGCCTCCATCATAGGTAGCACCATCGGCCAACCCGGCTGGTATGCCTTCTTCGACCTTCCACTCGACGGCGAGCCGGGATACGACACCATCACTACGCCAGCGATCGCCACAGCAAATGGACTCTTCTCGGCTGGCGGTGCCGTCTCGTGTCTCATCCTCATGTGGTCATGCGATTATTTCGGTCGTCTGCGGAGCATCCAGATCGGCTGCGCATTGGGCATGCTCGGTGGTATGCTGCAGAGCGGTGCTCAGAATCTAGCGTAAGAAGCCGCTTCTGCCGTCCTTGGACGGAAATTGACGGTGCAAATTAAAGCATGTTTCAGGCTGGCAGATGGATCATGGGCATGTGTGTGGGCCTCATGGCGACTGTGACGCCCATGTATCTCTCCGAAGTGTCCAGTCCCTATGCTCGTGGCTGGCTCGTTGGCCACCACGCCATCTTCCTCGTCTTTGGGTACATGCTTTCGTTGTGGATCAGATTTGGAGTCTACTTCTCAGCTAATATGGTGTTTGCATTCAAGACTTCCTAGGCTAGAGTCTACTTAACAAGACCCTCGGCTGGCGGTTTCCTCTGGCATTTCAGGTAGTGCCGCCTCTCGTCCTCCTACTGGGCTCCCGCTGGGTTCCCCGTTCTCCTCGTTGGCTCATGTCCAAGGGACACAGGGAGGAAGCTTGGTCCATCCTTGTCCGCCTTCGACAGTCTCCGAATGATCCTGAGGATATAGTGGCCCGCGAAGAGTTTTATCAGATCGAGAAGTAGCTCCAGCTTGATTCCGAGAAGCTTGCGGCTTATGGTGGTAGTCCGTGGAGAGCTGTTCTCCAGATGAAGAGCTACCGTAAGCGCATGATCATTGGCTTCATGACACAGTGGGGTGCCGAGTTCGGTGGGCCTCTCATCATCGTAAGCCATAATCCCTCCGATAAAGAAGTAGAAGCACCCGAAGCTAAAGGCCACCAGAATAACTATGCCGTCATACTGTACACCAGCCTTGGACAGACTGGGTACATGCCGCTCTTGCTATCAGCTCTCTGGCTCACAGCTGCGGGACTCATCTACAACCCTGGGGGTGCCTGGTTGCACGACAAGGTCAACTCGCGCAGAAAGATGTACATGACCGGGTTTGTAGGCATCGCCATAACCACATCTATCTACGCAGCCATGATCTCCTTATACGCTGGAACTAACAACAAGGCTGGTAATGCTATCGGCGTCTTGTTCATGTTTCTGTACCTCGCTTTCCAGGGAACATTCTGCAACACCACAATGTATCTGTATGTCGCGGAGATCTTCCCAACGGAAATCCGATCTATCGGTATTGGCTTCTCTCTTTTTTGGACAGTTTGCTGGTACGTTGGGCTTCTCTTCCGAGCCCTATGTGTGAGGCACGCTTTGCTGACAGCAGCAGCTCCCATCATTCTTTTGCAAACCGCACCGATCGGCTTCGCTGCAGTGGGCTGGAAATACTTTCTCCTCGTCATTTGCTGGAGCGCTCTTTTCATTCCCGCGATTTACTTCTTCTGGCCAGAGACCGCCAAGTTGTCGCTTGAGGATATTGGAAAACAGTTTGGGGATGAGGTGGCCGTACATATCACCGATGCTACCCAGGAGGAAAGAGACATCATAGACCAAAAGCTGACCCAGGGACATGTTATTCAAAGTAAAGCCCTTGCGGATTCCGCTTAGCTCTGTTATAATCATCTTGTCGTCGTTATCGAGATCTCGCGCTGATGAGTATGGTAGCTAAGGGCAAGCTTCTCGATTGTCCTGGTACCAAGTCTGGACCTCGTCTTTCTCCAAACTTGTGTTATGGCACAGGCTTTTTTTCTTTTATAATATACACTGAAATTGCTGTAAAATAGCACATGGTAAATACTGTTCTTTATTTGCCAGTTTTCGAAAATAAAATAAAAGATATCAACGGGTTAGGGTGCCCTAGTACGTACATACCCGGAGGGGGGACTCGAAACTCAACAGTAAATGAAAACACCAGTAATAGTATCAACAATGCAGACTACATACCCAATCTATTCAATGGCCAACAGTTTACTCAGAAAGACCAAGGGTACTAGTCCAGTTATATTCAGTATAAAGTTGGTATTTAAAGGCCATTTCGAGTTTATAGCAATTAATGCCAGCTTTCAGGCATTTAGTACTATCTAAACCTCTATCAACAAGAGAAGAATCAAGTATTCTAGCCGTGTCATGTTGCGAATGTCCCGGGTCGCGGACCAAAGTATTGTCCTTCTGGCACCTTCAATCTTGTACAAGCCTCAACCTCACACCCGCTATCTGCGTTGTTGCCGATCCAATTAATATCCGCCCCATGATAGCTCACAGCAAAAAAGATAACAACAGCACTAATAGCAATAGCCGCCTGCCAAGAAGCCGAGAGGACGTAATTGTACTTGGACCAGAAAGCGAGATACCTCTTCCGAATGATGACCCACGAGATCCAACCAGGCAGCACAGCCGGCCACATGTAACCTAGGTTGTAGGGCGACCAAGTATGACCACCGCTAAAAATGACGACTGGATGGATCTTGGTGAGCCAGTGAGTCTTGGGAAGTCTGCGGATGGCATAATAGTAGAGGATGGGAAAGGCCAGTCCAACGGGAAATGCTGCGAGCATTGCGGTGTACTGAGCGCCCGCGCCGAAGACCTTGCGAGGTGCAAGTGACCCGAAAAGAACAGCAGCGGTGAAGTAGCTCTCAACACCAGGGCAACTGAACTTGTCCTTTTGGTTGGTTTCGCAGATGTCTGGGATGCTAGTGATTTGGAAGTTCATCACACCGGTGCAGACGATGGCTGAGACAACAGCTAGAAGGTATCAGCAACGTTTCGAGATATTTGCAGTCATGCATCACTTACTCGCAACGGTCTGGCACCAGAAAGTTTGGCGCTGGGGGACTTTGAGGTAATGGCCAAGTTTCAGGTCGTTGGCGAAGTCGAGGGCGTGCGCAACTGTTACATATCCAAAGCCTTTGAAGAAGTTCATCTATAACAATCAGTATTTTCTTGGAAATGATCGGGTTGAAACGCGGGACTTACAGCCAAGGCATTGCCGGGTTGCCACGCTCCGCCAATGAATTCCGCAAGAACATTGTATTCGACTTCAATTCCAGTGGTGGCAAATATGATACCAGTAGGAATGGTAAATAGTATGGCGAGCGCAACACCAAAGAAAACAGTGCCCACACTTGTATGAGTCGGCCAGCCTGCCACAGAGGCAATGCCTAACGCAATGGCGATAATCTAGAAGCAGAGCCATGTCAGCAATTTAGGCCCGTTCATATCCCTAGTTGGGGTGTCAGATGATCCTTACGTTGAGAATAAGGTACCACCACTCTGGGACTTCGCGATACTTTTCCATGAGCATTGTGTGTACGTCCTTGAAGGCGTTGTGCTCGACCTTTTTCGTGAGCCTGTTCCATAAAGACCTGAAGCCCAGCTTGATGTCATTCCAGTGCCAGAAGATCGTGTAGGATATAACAGCGCTATAGACAGCGAAGAAGAAAACACTGATATGGTAAGCTTGGTGCAATTGAATCAGGCGAAAGTAACATACTAATAGGTCACAGATGAGGCCGCAATGTAGACAGGGCTGTAGGCTTGGTACTTTTCTTCGTCCAATAGGCCATTCTCGTCCAGAATTGACGACACGTTGTATTTCATGCCGTTGTGGTCGAACATCGTATTGGTGTTAATTGGAAGATAGCCAGTGTTATATGTATTGGACCAGTTCATTGCAATGATTGTTACACCACCAAGCAGGGCACCGATGAACATGTTGAGGGTGATATGAAACGGCACCAGTAGGGGCTCAACGTTGTAAGTGACAATATTCCAGTCCATAGTGGGAAATGGGTTGAAACCAAGGCCTTTCTTCAGGCCTGTAATAGCGGTCAGAGTGAAGTTCTCGGGTGCGATCCAGGCCAGCCAGTTGAAGAGTGAGATGGCGCTAACGATGTGCTCGGGAAACCAAAACCATACGAACATGGCGGCAAATGAGAGCAAGAAGAACTTGTATCGGGACATGCTATACATCTTCTTGAAAGGGCCCAAAACCGCAGAATTTTCCTCTTGTGATAGTTAGTCAATTGTACCAAGTTTGAAGCTGGAGTGTTTCCACACACCATTGTGCAGACTTTGGTTGAGGGCAACAGTGGCAAGCGAGCGGGGCCAGATGCAGTACGACGGGTAAACTAGGAATTGTCTGGCCAGTCCTGCCAGTCCAAAACCCATTAGATTCATGGATAGCTATTTCAGTCAGCCTTGAACAACAGGACCTAGCTAACGGCTGGGTAATTATCTCACCGCAAGACAAATTTGAAACCCAAAAGAGGAGGCGAATTCCAAGTTGAAGTACTTTTCCAGCCAACTGGTGAAGACGATATACCGTGAGTGAGGAAGGCCCGTCGCAACATTCGCCATGATGGAGATGAGCATATGCTCCTTCTGGTTGAATTTCCCGGGGTTTAGCATGAGTTTCGACCCGAAGAGTGTGAATGCTCCCACAGGCATCCACTTCTCCCATGCCTTGCCTAGCGGGAATGAAAGCACTTGTACGACCGGGGCCTGTAGTCGAATTGACGGCTGGCGGACAGAAAATAGCTGGTTCACAAAGCTCAATAGAACCACGAATAACAGTCCAATCACCCATGCTCGGATGGTCCCGACTGGTGCGGAAGTGTCGTCCTTGTTGCTCACAACGGCACGAACTTCGGCGTATGGCGAATTGATGGTAAGGAGTGAAACTTCCGTCTTGATGTCGGAGATGAGATCGGCATGTTTTTCGGGATTTTCGAATAGGGCAACGTTGGCGACAAATGCTTGGAGACGGACGATGGAGTTCGGGTTGAAGTTGGGGTCGTTTTCGTGGAAGTAGAGAAGGCTCTCGGCTCTCTGGGGCTTATGTTAGCAAATGCAATGAGCTAGTTGTGGTTGGTGGTAGCTTACCTTCTTAGCCTCTTCAAGATCCAAGGTTCGACCATACTCTGCGGCCTCAAGAACCTCGTCCGGAGTAGCCCCTAGGAGTCTCGATTTCATCGCGATCGACTCTTGGGTCGAATTGGCAGTTGAGTCTGAATACTCCGGGGTCCCTGACGCCTGGACGCCATCCCCCAAAACGAGCTTCTCGGGAAGGGCACTCATGCTGGAAGGTATACAATCGAATGCCCTAACATACAGACTTCCTGTGCCTCGCAATTCCTGGAGCATCAACTGCCTGCCCTTGGAGATCATATATACGCCCTGTTGAACGCCCTTGATCTAGTGCGGTGCTTTCTCGGACGATCCGAAGCGATCAGATAGGTTTGGGCGGAACAGTGGATTGCAAGGACCGATTGCGCAAGCACAGGCATGCCCCAAACACGAGATTTTCCTGGTATATCCCTCATGCCAAGTCCATGGGTCCTCCCTAGCTCACGGTCAGTCCGACGGCTGGTCCAACTTCAACTTGTCGAAGGGTGAAGAGTGTTTCATGGCCTAGATGTCATCGAACACAGCGCTCAAGGTGATAATTTTTTCGGTAGTTAAAATTTGACTCTTGATTTGGCAGGAATTGTAAACCTGGTTCATTGAAAGTGTGTTTCCTATCCCGAATTGTTTTCCATTGTCCACGACTAATCCACTGTTTTACCTCAGACCTCTACACCCCCGGTCACATTATAGTATACGTAGCTACCTAAGCATGGATAATGTTTTAGGACTCGGGCTTATGCTTACCGGTATTGCATCCCTTGCGGTGGAAATGACTGCCGACTGGGTCACGCAAAAATTAAAGTTGCGGGACGGATCAAACGTTGAATCGACATTTAAAGTCACGATTGCGTGCTGAGTACGGCGTGTGGGCCTTCGATAAACTCGGCGACAGGGATAAGAAAGTACTACGCGTACGCAAACTCGATTGATAAACAACTCCAGAAAAGCTCAGCGGTTAACACTCGTTGAGAGAAATAATAGGTGTCATCTTAGATGATATGTTTTTTGTAAATTTTCTCTCTCCCATTCTCTTTTATTCGCCTCTATATTATGGCCTTTTAGCTGATAATTGTTGCCGCTGTTGGAAAGTTCCCCACTTGAAAAATCGAAATTTCCACATGACGAGAGTGATCCCTGGAAGCACATAATATTCAAAGACATTTCCATTATGTAACACCAGGCTCAATACAATAGCATAGTTGGTGCCCCTAGTAAAAATTACGCCCGTGCTACGTCGTACGTAGGATTTGAAAGACATGGCAAACTATAGGCGGAATATGAATGGTGTGCTCGGTGTAGCATAAGAACAATCCTTCGCTTCTTCAAGATAGTCCAGGTACTCTCACAGACTTATTCCTATTTAGTGAAAAAATTAGTTAAGAATTTTAAGGCCCTTTGTGCTTCTTAATATAATAAATAGAGCAAAGGCCTCTCGGACTTTTCTGATCAGAATCAAGTGATTGTAAATAAAAATAGATTAAACTCTAAAATTAACAATGTGGTAAGATCACCTTCCTCTTAGGAATCGATCCTTAATTACTCATATCCCTGCCTCATCCACATCCATGAGCAAGGGCACTGTCTCACCCGATGTGCCCGACCGTCGCCCGGTTATAGTGCTGTAGCAGACATGACAAGCTAGGGTCTCAGCTAGCAAAGAATAGGGATCTTCCTATAAAAGTTCTATTTCTGTGAGGTGAAATTGTCTCTCATACAAAGCTCTATATGCTCGTCTTTTAAGACACTGTTTTGAAAATGAGATTCCTCTACGCTCTTGCACTCTCTGCTCTTGCCTCCTTTGGCGATGCTGCTGCTATTACCCAGGGAAATTCTACGTCTTCCGAGCCTACATACGATGCCATAATCATCGGAGGCGGTCCTGCTGGACTTTCAGCTCTGAGTGGACTTGCTCGCGTACGCCGCAAAGTTCTTCTGATTGACTCGGGGGAGTATCGAAATGCTCCCACCCGTCATATGCATGATGTTATTGGATTTGATGGTAAGTGATTCTTACTTTAATGCAGCAGGTTTTAATCAAATCCAGGTGTAACTCCCGCTTACTACCGCTGGGCGGCTCGTGGGCAGCTCTCCCATTATGATACTGTGTCAATGGTCAACGGAACTGTTACAAAGATCGTGGCCCAGCAAAACAATACTTGGTTCTCCGTATCAGCCAACTACGCGAACGAGACAAAGACCTTGTCCACGAAGAAAATCGTCCTCGCCACTGGCCTAAAAGATATTCTCCCGGAGACACCTGGCATTGAGGAAAACTGGGGCAAGGGCATTTACTGGTGCCCTTGGTGCGATGGACATGAACATGCCGACCAGCCTCTCGGACTCCTGGCTTCTTTAGATAAGATACCCGGGCTAGTCCGTGAGATACTGACCCTAAACAGGGACATTGTGGCATTTGTTAATGGTACTGATACAAGCAAGTCCCGTGAAATTGCGACAAAGGATCTCCCTAAGTGGGAGGCATACCTTAAGATCCACAATGTCACGGTCGACAACAGAACGATTACAGATATTCAACGACTTCGAGAAGGAACCACTGGCCATGAGGACCCAAGCCTTCCTACCGCCCCTGAGAATGACTTGTTCGAGGTCAACTTCAATGAAGGCCAGTCTGTTCATCGCGCTGCATTCTTAACCAGCTTTGAGGATGAACAACGATCCAGGGTTCCCGAGGAGCTAGGCGTGCGGTTATACGGTGGACGCCTGGCAGCAGACTCGGCCAATGGTTTAGTCACAAACATCCCCGGCGTGTATGCGATCGGTGACGCGAACTCGGATAATGTCACCAACGTCCCACATGCGCTCTTCAGCGGTAAACGAACAGCTGTGTTCCTACATGGTGAGCTTTCTGAGTTAAATCAGCGTGTGCTTACATGTGCTAATGCTTTAACAGTTAGACTCGAGCGTGAGACACAAGCAGATGAACTTGCGGAGGTGGACGACGAACCCGAGAAACGAGATATCCACTTAAAGGCTCGTGAGGTTTGGGAGAGGGTCAATGGCCAACCTGGTGACTTGTTATATGCAGGGGATTTTGACCAGTGAAACAGCAAGTGTTACTGCAACACCCTGTCGAGCTCTTTGTGCAAGCGTCTATTGAATAGCCCGTTGCCGAATTATATTGTAAACCCAAGATTGAGCAAGTTCTATGACTGAATTCCTAGTGGACACAATAAATAGCAGCTTCCAATTGATCTGTGAACTTTGGACATTTCTTACCGGCCTCAACACCTGCGAGGGTTGGCCTTTGTTTTGCCACAACCTCAACAGCAAGGATGGCGAGCGTACCGGTCTTGGCCGCTGCCTGATGGATATGGCTAATCCTGATGGATTACAAATGATGTCGATCTGTCCTTCAGCCAGCCTCTTGGGTGCAGCTTCGGCCGGATTCGGAAATAACGGCGTAGGCTTGCAAACATCCCGATGTCAACGATATCGTACTCCTGCCCTCGTATGAGGACTCTTGTTGACTGAGAGAAATGATGAACGCGTTCCCTTTGCATATTTAGTCCTTGGGTGCAGATTCAGGAGCAAGCCGACACTTTCCGGCGGTGTGGTGTGTTGAAGGTCTTCAGTGCGACAGCGATACAAAATCAGAGTAAAGACATATATTTCGGTCGTTTAGTGCCAGTCCTTAAAATAATTCAATCTCATCAAAACTTTCGTCTTCTCGCATTATATCGCTAATTTTAACTCAATTCAAAGCCTCATGCCTCGCGCCAGCTCACGGGGTGGGACCTATCGTCTCAAGTCACAACTTGAATGCTCGATTGAGAGAGGTGATCTAGGTTACGTTAAGGACACGGCCGACTGGCATAAAGCAATAATTCTGGAACAAGACACTGGAGCACTTAACAAGCGTCAAAAAGAAAATCGATTATAGCTTGCAGAGATTGCCTACAGTAACTGGACTATACCACTAGTCCTCAACACCATAGACCTGTGCGGTTCGCTTCTTAAACAGGTCGAGTATCGCCTCTATCAATTCACCCGAGATACCAAGCTCCTGGCAAGTACGGAGGAGATTGCGGAGCGTATGGAACTGCTGGCTGCATTTTCGTGCCCTCTCCTGAAGTGACAAAGTCATTCTCACCGAGTTGTCTCCATGTGTCTAAGAATCCCCGACGCTACCGATGATTTAGGAATCCAGAGTGTTTTGATGAGCCCTTGAATCAATTGGTCTTTGAAAAGAGCCGTCTGCTTCAGCATCACAACAGTCTGGACAAAGCCCGACGCGACACCACACAAGGAGACTACGAGGCTGAGCCCGAGGGCCGCAGATGCGTCGTACTCGGTGCTGATAAGTTGAGGCGCTCCTGGGGTTGGCAACGCTGGTTCGATTTGAGTAAAGGTCTCGTGCTTGCCGCTGATGAGAGATACTGGTTCTGGCAAGCCAATTTGGTGCGGCATAACCAAAATAGTTCCATGGAGGTAAACCGAAAAGCCAGCGTGTATTGCGGCTGAAGCTGACTCGATGGTCAGCGATGATGATCCGGTGGTAATCGATGATGATGCGGCCTTCGGTGCTAGACACATCAAGACCCCCTTAAAAGCATTGTAGAGTGCTTGCAAGTAAATTATAATAACGATTACGATATGGTTTACCTAGCACACCCTGTTACGGTCCGGGAAATGTTGGCACCAAGAACGCCCAAACGGGCAGTATTGTAGAGGTGCGGTTCCAGACTGTAGTCTTTCATCCTACCTTTACGGAGGCATTTGCAACAGCAGCTCCTATTAGTCCTAGGCCCAAAATGGACACGGACTGGTCAAACACAGTTGAGGACGTTGTTGCTGGGGCAAACTGAACAGCTGTTAGGAGTATGCACGCTGCTAGGAGTGATATAGTTCCGGAGATAAATCTAGGTACTTGGTTTCAAATTACAGACCACAAACGAGCCGGTGCAGACAAGCTGACAACTGTTCAGAGGAGATTTGACGGAGCCAGGTCTCTGTTGATAGCTTTGTCTTATTGCAGCGTGGCCAAATTCCAGCTACTCGAGACAAAGGGATCGCCGTCTACCATGTCGATGGACTGGACATCCACGGGTGCTTGAGGGTTGATGTAGGATCACTGTCTATTACAAATTGACAGAAGATCAACAAGCCAGGTGGGTACTCGCGGCTGACAGTGGGCGATGGCACCTATCTAGTCGGTGGGGATCCTCGGGACAAGACACTTAGATTTCCATTGTCCGAGAATTCAGGAGGTGGGCTTTTGGAAATCGTTGCTTACGAAACCATCAGCTGTTCATTCGTTGGGAAAATATTCCAGCATGATGGAGGCACAAGCAAAATCCAGGTCATTCAAAAGATTAACAGGACGATACTTTGAGGACTATTCGAGTTAAGTCAATAGGTGACAGTAGCCTGCAGTTGAATCCCCAGGTGGCATCCCAATATGACCTCGAGGTAAGAAAGCTTTGGAGCTACTCGCTTCACCCTTTCGGGAATACATCCATGCCAACTTAGCGGGCATGTCCGACTTTGACACTGGTTTGCAGGCTGCAGAAGGGTTCTTAAGAGAGCAAAGACCCGCAAGGGATCGAACAACCCGATAAAACGAGAAATATACTCCTCGTACGAGAAACCCACTCAGGTACGGAATTTGCCCCGAATGATCTTGAGTGTGTTCGGGCTTGAGAGCCTCGGTCCTGAAACCCCGAGCTGCAGTATAATAAACAGGGGTTGTATCTTCAGCTGAACGAGGTCGGCCGACATGGGCCGACAGTCAGAAACGGGTTAACCGATCTTGTCATCGAGCGAAATGAAATTATGTCCACGTGAAGCCGAGCACCGCCTCATAGCTACGGCCCTCTGGTGTGTTCCAACTAAATCTCGGATGTAATGTGTGCTAGATGATGCATCTCGTATACAACCGGCTGACCCGCGAATGGACCAATATCCACTCCCACGAAAAGGCCACCACCATATCATAGCTTTCGAGACTACGGATTATTTTACCCACTTGCGCTAAGCTGAGGTTCGGCCCCATGTCCGAACCTGAGGGAAATGACGTCGTCTCGTCATCCACAACTACCGGCTCTCCTTGTGGCTTTGGAGCAGGACTGAGAGATAAATAGGTTCACAGATGACCATGGCCCCCGCCGGTTCGTCACCAAGCTCTATTCACTACATTTCCGACGTTTTTACTTCATCTCTAGATGGTTCTCTCTCTACTTTGTGCTTCGGCACTGGTCTTGTTCACCAACCTGTCTCAGCCTGCCAATGCCTTGCCCAACCCCATCAAGAAGTCTGGAGACAATGACTTGCCTTTTCCATTGTCGCATTTTACTTCGACTGTGGCATCGGTGCAAAATACGTACTGTGGAAGCACCTATAACGTACCTGGTGTCAAGTTTAGCGATCAGACATTAATTTACGCCCTTGGCGACGGCGACACCGAGCAACGCGCAAACATCTATCACTCCAAGAGCTTGGGTATAATTCTCGCCTATCAGGGAACCAATCTCTCGAGCTTTGTGTCCTCTGTGCACAACGTTGAGGCGTTTCAGACATTGCCAGATGAAGACTTGGGCCTTCCGTTGGGATCAGCCGTGTTTGCAGGGTTTCAAGTCGCTTGGGCCGGGAGCTGGAACCATGTCAAGCAAAGTCTTCGTGAGGCAATGCAAGAGTATCCTGAAGACAAAGTTACTGTTACAGGTCACAGCCAGGGCGCCGCAATTGCGCTGTTGGGTGCCTTGTCGATTCATCACACGTTTGGCGATGTCATCCAAGAGGTTATCGCGTATGGAGTTCCTCGAGTAGGCAACGCTGTATTTGCAACCGCTTTTGATAAAGCCTTTGAGGGGAAATACACGGGAGTCATCAATGGCGCTGACTGGGTTCCAAATCTCCCACCTCAGTTCTTGAATTACCGCCATGCGTCTGGCATGGTATGGATTAACCCTGCCAACACGACTTCGTGGAAATTCTACGACGGCCAAGAACACTCCGAGGTCAGCACGAGGAAGACAGAAATGTTCTACCCCGGCACTCTGCGGTATAACTGGGGAGACCATCAAGGAATTTACATGCACAGCTCAATGGGTACGGTATTGGGACCATGTCCCGCTCAAGTGGGTGGTTATTGAATAACGAGGGGCTTTCCGAGCATGGGCGGAACTTGATTGGGAAGGCGGGCGATCAATTGTGGTCTAGTAGAGAAAGCATGAGTCGGACAGCCATTTATCTTCAATCATGACTAACTAAGAAGCCTGTAACGTGCATGATAAGCATGCCGGTCAAACAAGCTTGCCAGTCAAAAATTATCACCCTCAATCTAGAAATTAAAATAAATACACAACAAAGCATCTAATCAATTAGAACTAATCGCTATACTCTTCTCCAGACATCGCAATAACTACCTGACATGTTCTTGCGTTATGACCAGTCTTGCCGCATATTCCACAACGCCTTTCCTTCGGTCGCGCCGACCCTCCTTGACCACGATGTCTCGACGATTCGGCCACTAACTGCGCATCAAGATCCTTCTGATCAATTACATCCCTTCCTTCATCTACAGTCATCTTCCCTCCATTCCGTAGGCGGTTTTTTTTTGCTCTGCGCCGCTTGCTAAGAGTCTCATTTGCCTGTCGAAGGATCTGGTTCTCAGACTTCAATAATGCTATCTGATGCATTATTGCCTTCGTTCCCTTAGAAAATGACTTAAGCGCGTCAACAATAGATGCTGGAGAGCTGCCCTGGTGCCTTCTGATTCGTCTTTCAAGGTATTCGGATTGAGAAGTGGCCTCGAGGACGGTCTTTGGCGTCTTGGGCACCCAAGGGTCGGGGAGGCTGGCCTCCTCCTCGACGGGTGTTGGAGTCCGTAGCTGCACATCAAGCTTTGATATGACACTTTCCGGGTCCAAAGGAACAAGCCCGGCCCCTCGAAAACCTCCCTTGATATTACTTTCTGTCATAGCGGCTTGGTGGGCGGCGTAAAAAGCCGGAAAGAAGTCAGTCTTTGAAACGTGGGTAATCGAGCATCTGATCAACTGCTCAATTTCTCGACCGTATGCGTTTTTAAGCGGCCCAAAGCACCCTACATCAAGAGGTTGAAGTAGATGAGACGAATGAGGCGGCATACAAAGCGTAATAATATGGTTTGCTTCGCAATATTTCTCAAAGTCAACCGAGTAGTGACTTTCATACCCATCGAGGATCAGAAGACAATAGCAACCAGTTAATCGGGCCTTTGTGTGCCGGTCAAAGTGCTTAAGCCACTCAAGACCTGTCTTATTATCTGTCCAGCCATTTTGAGTCGTCGCAATAGCCCAATCGCCCGGGAGGTTGCTTTCTCGGTACCAGTTGGCGAGGTGATATTGGCCCGCAACCACGATGAACGGCTGGATCGCCCAGCCTTCCGCATTGATCGCCTGGATGACTGTAACCCACTCCCGATTTCCAGGCTGGACTGATTTTGGGTTTCCACGTCTTTCTGCGCCTGTGACAACTATACCGCTTGCAATCAGGCCCATCATAAAGCCGGTCTCGTCAAAGTTGTAGATATCAGCGAGGGTGATACCATATTTCGCGATTGTATTCTCCACGAGCCTGAACCAATCGCGAATAATGGTTGGATCTTCGCATTTGGCTCTCTGGTAGTCGTATTTACGAAAAAAACGCGTCTTGAGCGCTGGTTGTCGCCTGACGAAGTTTGAAGCCCAGCGCTTGCCGACAGGCGACGCGTCGCGGTCGGCGAGCAGTCGGTTGGCCATTTCTTCAACACCACGCAGTCGCGGAGGAAATCCTCGCGAATCCAGGTCGAGAATGAACTGAACAATGATCTGTTCCTCTAGATCGGATAGTTTACGTGATTTGGGGATCCAATCGCAACAAGCAGTGACGCCATTCTCTCGGTCAAAGAGAGTACTATACTTGACTTGATAGATCTTTGCGGCGCGTCGGAGACTTAATTTTGGGTCATTTCGATAGACTTGAAGCGCAAGAAGGATATTTGCCTTATTATTTGATTGTGGTATCTTGACTGGTTGAGAATTGATTGATTAAGTAGGAAGATGAAAGGTTGAGGGATTTTTGACCGGCAAGCTTGTTTGACCGGCATGCTTATCATGCACGTTAACTGTTTCAGATATTGGTCGTCCGGCACATCCTTGTAGTCTTCTCTGTCCATGTCGACGAACCCTTCCTTCTCCACCGACCGACGGGTGATTATGAAGGACCGACCTGGTCATGCAAGCTTCTGCAGAAGTACCTCCACCATCAGAGGGAGGTGGTTACCATCGATACTCTTGTCGGTAGCGATTCGTAGCATACACTTTACTGCATCCTTTTGCTCTCCAAAGTCAATTCCACGGTCGAGCAACCACTTCTTGTACTCTGCGATGCGAATGTCGCTCTTGATCCAGTATGGCATGACATAGTTTATGCGGATGTTTTGTTCGTGGCCGGAGCGTCTGACGGTGCGCATAAAGCCGCGGAGTCCATAGTTAGTTGATGTATATTCCCAGTTTCAGGGGATTCAATCCAAGCAACCATGCTGCCGGTAATGATGAAGCACCGGTCTCGCTCGTCATTCACTTGTTGTTTCCAAAAGTCATGCACTGCTAGTTTCCCAGTATACAACGCTCCGTCCAAATTGACTCGGACAATATTCAGGTCGGGCTCCGTTAGTCCTCCCTCGGGGTCTGCATAGTTCAAATCAGAATTAAGCTCGTTTGAAGCCGGATCCTCTACTTGTAAAGGGCTGAGTTACTCACCATCGAGGGTCCATGAAGTTATGAACTGTCGCCTGAGCTACGACTGATGCCAGCATTAGCAATCACCACATCGACGCTCTTGCTCGGACTTTGTGATATCACTTTCTCGAACACAGCTTTTTGCTGCTCCCAATCCCGAATATCGCATTTGACACAAAGGTACAGACGTTGCCATTAGCGTTCAATTATGCCTCAATGACGTGGCCACGCTTCCCATTCACGTCGGCGAAAGTTACGTAGGCACCTGCGACAGCGAAATTTCGAACGAGGGTCTCACCTACCCATGCCATTAGCGCCTCCGGTCATGATGACCGACTTTCCCTTGATAGGCTTGAGGCCCGGAGCGACCTTGTGATCTACCGGACCGTTGTAATTGTAGCGGCTCAGGCTTATCTTGGTCGACACTGACAATATAGAGAAGATGGTGGCGTATTTCCGTTCCAGACACCTTGCAGGTTTAGACTTATTTGTTTCGCTGAATAGTGAATAGCTTAATAAAGTAGTTTAAGAGCTAATATTGTATTCTAACTTCTTTAACTCAGTTGATGTTATTATCTTTAATTCTTCCTGTTAATTAGGGTTTCCAGCCCTTATCCAGTTGTATAGGGGTCAAGGCAACTCAGCAGTTTCTCTTACTTTTCAGTCTAGCTGCCACATGAGGGGGGATTTGCAACAGCATAAGCTGGTTCCCTTTTTTGAAAAGGGTGCACCTCGCCCTGAGGTCTGCCTAGACGGTTAACCCCTCCGCCACGAGGTCTGCTTTCTTTCTTAAAGTGCTACTTAAAGAAATCCAATGTTGTGATAATAAGGAAGCAGGCTCTGGCAAAGTTATCTTAACCCTTAACTGGGTAGCAGAGGTGGAATCATTACTTAGCCAGTTGGTGGGTTATTATGCTGCATGGGTTCTTCCATGGTTCTTATATGGCGAGGATACCGTACTGTCCTATCTTAGGGTCTCTGAGGAGTGTGGCCATAATTGTGTCCTTTGATTTCCTAACGTATACTATAACTACTTGTTTCGCCTGTTCCTAATGCATTCCCGCCCAATCCCACATAAAGTTTCGTCGAGGCCCAGACTCATATGATATGTACCACCTTTCCTTATGCACAGCTGGAGACGTCTCTGTCTCCACGTAGTTCTTGCGGATGGCGGTCTTCGCCAGTTTCCCGGTTGTCGTTCGAAGTAAGGGCCCATCCACCAGCGTTATGATTGTGGGCATTTTATACTGTGGCAGCGATGGCTGCAAGTCATAGCGAAGCTGTTTCAAACTGGGCAGCTCGTGTTGAGACTTGACTTGAATGACTGCAGCCACGCGCTGTCCAAATTCCTGGTCGGTTACTGGCATCACAGCAGACTCATGCACATAGGGAAGTTCGTTGATCTTGTCCTCAATATCGGCAGCATACATCTTCAACCCTTTGAAGCGAATATCTGGTATTCATTAGCCAAGGATTCAATCAGTTGGAGTAGTGTGTGAAAGAGCCTATAACCTACAGTCGAGTCCGATCCTCCCTGACAAATATACCTGGCTTTGGCGAATCTCAACAGCGTCTCCTGTCTTGAAGAACCCTTCCTCATTGAGGGCGAGCTGTGTCCGTTCCGGGTCTGAGACATATCTGTTGTTTGTAGTCAGAAGCTGTATATCCGTTAGGAGCTAGTTGTGATCTTTACCCGAGGAACATCAGTGGGCTCTTGACACACGCCTGTCCACTTTCGTCAAACTTGACTGTGACATTAGGCAATAAGCGGCCTACGCACTGCTGAAGACTCGTTAGCGAAATTGTTCCAAGGCATAGCCAAGGCATTGAGAATACCGGGTCAGAAGAGTTCGTTTCCGCATCATGGTAGGTAATCATGCCTCCAAGTTCCGTTATCCCCCAAAGGTTGGTGTATAAGCCTCGAGGAAGAGATTGATTCCAGTATTCCATGACCTTTCCTATCGCAGGAGTACCTCCACTCATGAATAGACGAGCACTTTCCAAGCCTCTCTTCACATCCCCAACGCCGATGTGGTCCTTGAAGGGCAACGAAGGGAGTTTCTCGATCGCAAGCATGATCGACATCCAAATCCTTGGCATTTCATAGCACATAGTTACGCCGCCTTCTGCGACCCGCTTGCACCACCACGTTGGACTCATCCGGCTTTCGCAAAACTCGACACGGGCGCCAGCAAGCATCATGCCTAAGGACCATCTCACTCCACTCACCCAGTGAACGCCACGTGAATGGAGAAAGATATCTCGGGCCGTCACTTGAAGAGCATCAACAGCAAGGTGTGACAAGTTGTGGAGGTACCTTCTGGGGAACATGGCGCCTTTAGGTGGCCCAGACGATCCCGACGTGAAGAGGATCAATGACGGGGCTTCAAGAGACGGTGTCCAGGCTTGATCAAATTCGATTTCAGGATATGGCGACTTCGTAAATGGGGAATGGCTTGTTCCAAGGCAGATAACCTGCAATTTTCCCGTATGTTCCACATTGCTGCCCGAAGTAGAAACCAAGGCCGGCACCGCACTGGCAAGCTTGAAGCGGTTTTGATCACAGAGTATGAAATGCGATCCAGATTGAGAGATGTAGTAGGCGACTTCTTCGGGCAGCAATTTTGTCGACAGAGGAACCAACCCAGCGCCGAGGGATAGAATTGCAAGAAAGGCGACCACGAAATCATAGCCTGGTGGGAGGATAGTTGCTATGAAGACTTCCTTTCCCGCTCGAATGGCGGTCAACGTTTCTGTGCCGAGTTCATTACCGAGTCTGACACGGTACTCGCATACTGCCGTGATTAAATCGGTGATTGTGGCCTGGACTCCTGTTTCGTGATCAATCACAATGATATGATCCGGCGGCAGATTACGTGAGAGACGTATAAAATCCAGTAGATACGGGTCTTGGGGTAGTTTAGAGTTGACTTTCAACATGGCTGCAAGTTGCATGAAAATGGAATAACGATAGAGATTTTTGAAAACAAAGGAGGTGAAGTGGTTATTGCAGTGTTAATTAACAACTACTCGACGTGTAACTATCTGAAAACACTTCAGGTAAGTCCATTTATTTGTCAACTACGTAGTCAGCATTACTATCTACCAGGTCAAGTGGAGCCAACCCCTGCATGGATGGGCATAAAGTTTATTCTCCATTAAAAGAAACTGATTTGTAATTCACTTGTTTTGGCCACTTGACCGATGACCCATATGAGTAGGCTAGGGTACGAGTTGTGGGCAATGATTTCGATACGAGGATTAAGCTTCACGACTATCGTGTGATCTGCAGAGGCGAATGTGGCCTGGGTGTTCATCTTGCAGAGGGTCATAAGAAATTTAAGCTCGAAGGCAAGTATGCTTCATCCACAAGCCTAATTCAGTTGTTGCCCCGTGAGAGACCCCTGCCTGACCGGGCTATTCGGAGGGCGTAGATTTGAGTTGAAGCTCAAAGCTTTGCTACCACATGACCCTGCTATCGGGGGAAATCCCCGACCGCTTTTTTGAGCCGATGAGTAGGTGCTAGAATCATGTTCTGATTACTCCAAGCGCTCTCAAGCGAGTTGCAGATTTGGATAGCTTTGTAGCGGCTGTGTCTTACGTGGAAAGCCTGGCATTCACACTGAAACAAACACAAACCATGAGTGACAACCTTGCGAGATCGGAATGCCTCTACCAGCCGCAACTATCCTTCGACTCCCGATAAACTCACCCAGGACAAAAGACTCCAGAGAAAGATGCATCGCACCAGTACCAGCACTGAGGCGTTGCCAGACACAGCGGTGGCGGTCACCCAAAAGCCGGCAACATGGAGAAACATGCCCAATAAATGGCAACTCATCGTCATAGCAGCTGCTCGCATCACCGAACTCCTAAGCGAGCGCTCGCAAGCGACGTACATGTTCTATCAGCTACAGTCGTTTGCACCTCCAGGCGAAGTTTCGGACAGTCAAGCCGTGTCTCAGGCAGGTGTCTTGATGGCATCGTGGGCTGCAGCACAATCCATCGTGGCTGTCTGGTGGGGTCGAGCTGCCAATTCGCCTCGACTTGGTCGGAAAGGCGTCCTCCTCATCGGCCTCGCTGGAACGGCTGTTTCTGGCCTGGGCAGTGGCTTTGCACAATCTTTCAATCAGCTTCTCTTACTCAAGGTTATCGCTGGTGGATTGAATACCAACCTGGGAATCATGAGGACTATGATTGGTGAAACAACCGAACCTCGATTTGAGAGCAAAGCTTTTCTATTATTACCTATGTGCCTTAACATTGGAGATGTTTTAGGTATAGACCCACGCCTGCTGGATGTAATATTCCATGCTTTTCTTCCGCGCATTCTTGATTCGTAGCTAACAGCCATCAAATTACAGGACCTTTGTTGGGTGGTTTTCTAGCCGACCCTTCCGTCTCAGACAGTAGCGAAGCGACTACCTCGAACGATTCCAGCAACAACAGCGACTCTAGTTGGATGTCTAGATTTCCATTTGCGTTACCGAACTTCATATGTGCGCTGGTCATCTTGATATCTGCGCTCATGGTTGCTTTTGGACTAGACGAAACCCACCCATCTTTGACGCGCAATGGACGGGATCGATGTCGGGAAATGGGCCGCTGGATATTCAAAAAGCTATGGACTAGCGGCGTCGGAAGAGGACGATATGAACGACTTGCAAGAGGAGACGATGAGGAACTTGCTTCTATATCGATGCTTCCCGAACCCTACCCATCATCGGGCGAGGGCAACCCTGGTCGGGTCTCGTTGGACTCAACAAGCAGTTCAACGGTAACAGTTGTTACACAACCGACATCGCAATTTCAAAATAACACCATCTTGCCTAGAGTGATGACCTGGAGAGTTGGCCTTACACTCTTGACACATTTCACCTTGATGCTGCATCTCTCTGCATTCAATACGATCACCCCCTCTTTCCTCTCTACACAACGAGCTGGGACAACCCAAAACTATTTGAACCTGCATCTTGCAGGTGGTCTTGGCCTCTCTTTATACCAAGTCGGTCTTGCAGTTGCTGTCCTTGGATTGATTGGCTTGTCATTTCAATTACTCGTCTATCCGATTATCACTTCAAAGATAAGTTCGTACATGAGTTACAGAATGTTCCTTCCCTTCTCTGCACTCGCATATTTCTTCCTACCTTTCATCGTACTATTGCGAAAAGACTCGTGGGTGCTGTGGCCGGTCTTACTCTTGCTTTTTGGGTTTCAGGCCGTATCCCGCACCTTTGCGCAACCGGGCATGATCATACTCATTAACAGCTGCGGCTCACATCCTCATCTACGCAGCACCATCCATGGTATGGGTCTTTCTGTCGGTTCGCTGGCAAGAATACTAGGTCCCATTGGTAGTGGCTGGGCATTAAGAATTGGGTTAGAGAGAAATATGGTGGGTGGGATTTGGTGGTGTATGGCATTTGCTGTTGCTGTGAACTGGATTTTGCTCTTAACTTTGCGATTATTTGATCTGTCTCATAAGAAATCAGGCGCAAATTAAGTCTTGTAATACCCGAGACAGTTGTCGACAATTACTACATTTGCATAGTCGTTTTCAGGGTAGTATACCAGTCCGCTCTTGTTGTCTGGTGGGAGGGAAATTCTCCCACTTAGTAGACTGATGTACATTCATTTATTTTCTCTTTCCCCATTCATCTAGTAATACTGGAGATAGATTGAGAGGCTTCACGTTTTCTACAGATCCTGGGTCTAATCGAAAACTCCGGTGCACTGCGCTTGCCGTTACGTATGTGTTATGACAGTACAGATTTCATAACAACAACTGATGCTATAGACGAGTTGGCGAATCCTATTCCTGCGACAGTTCCTTCGTGTATATTGCTTTCTTCAAGGATCCCAGTCATAACCGCAAGTGACATACTGTTATTCCGAAGTTACCGAGCAGCTAAACACGCTATACTCTGCTTCAAATAGGGGTTTGTATCCCGGTTACTTTAGAGTTTTTCGGAATACAACAGAGGCTACTCTTAGCTTCAAATAGAGTTTTCAGTATCCCAGTGACTTTAGAGTTTTCGGGGCATAAAGATACTGGGCTTAGTTCTCAATAGAGTTTTCAGTATTCTGGTTATTTCGGAGATTGCGGGATTCAAAAGATATTATTCTCAGCTTTGAATGGAGTTTTCAGTATTGTGGATACTGCCAAGTATTAAACAAAGCACCGAAGTTCCGAACACGCAAGAAAAAGAAATCTTACGTCAATAGCATCGTTATCAACCTAGCCCGAGCCCTAGCTTTTCCTTGATTCTATCTATTGCTAGTTGAAGCCAAAGACTCCGAAGGATCCGAAGCCTCTCGGTTGTCCGAGGTCATCGGATGTCGTCGTTCATCTCTTGGTCTATAAGACTGACCTGATCCAAATACCCTCATTCGGATAGGAAGAATATCAAGAGCTTCTCGCACACATGATCGTTTCCATCTGCGTTATGTAATAGTTACCAGCATAACCTTCGTCCAGTTTGTTCCTTCCAAGATGCAGCTTATGAGCCCACCCCCGATTGGTACTCCTGTCCCTCACGACCGTCATGCTGTGTCGGTACAGCTTCCAACGTGGCAAGATATGGTCGACCTTGGCTCTCAACATCCAAGAATGAAATTAATCCAGAAGGGAGGCTATCCCAGGTCATTTATCCACCCTTACATACAGGAGGTAAGTCCCATAGCCTGAAAAGTAACCTTGGTGGTTAGAATATCAGCTAAGACAAATTCACGAAGCTTGCCGCAAGATGTGACGGTTATCATGGCCGCCCTGGACATGTTTACTTTTTCTACCCTACTTATGAGTATATGGAGGAGACGAGAGCCTATGTACTATCTCAAGCACGACTTGAAGAGCAAGGCCACCAACCTTCCACAAGAAAAGTACCAATGCAGGTCCTAGGATTCTCTAGCAAAGCGAATGGTGGATCCTCCGAAGTCCTGGTATTATATGCGCTTTTGATTCCATCTCTTCTGGTCCAACATGCTATGTCTGCTTGGAGGCTCACGGGATTCGGTATATCGTCAAGACTTGCCGGCCAGTGTCTTCAGCATGTCCCTAGCCTTCTTTCGGAGAACCCCAAGCTTTTCGAGCTCAACATGTCCAGGGCGATACCACCCCAACCAAAAATATCCATCCAAGGCACAGACGCCAGACTGCGTGGCCATCTTGCGAACTTACAGAACTTGGGCCGTATCATTAGAGAGGCGCCAGTCGTTACCGAGGACATGATATTTCTTTACCCTACGGGTATGACGGCTATTTTCAAGGCCCATCAGCTACTCTGCCGTCTTCGACGCGGTAAAACTGTGGTATTTGGCTTTTTGTATGAGCTAACACCGAAACTTCTGCGAATGTATGGTTCCAGCCTTGAAACTTTTGGTAATGGCACTCAGGAGGAGTTGGACAAGTTTGAAGACATGTTGAAGGTCCAGAAATATGATGACCCATTGAACCATGTTCAAGCTGTTTGGTGCGAATGCGCCTCGAACCCTCTTCTCAAAACTGTCAACCTGGAGAAGCTTCGGCAACTTGCTGACAAATATGGGTTCTTCATTGTAGTGGATGATACAATTGGCTCGGTTGCCAATATCGACGTGTTGGACGTCGCAGACATAATAGTCACATCATTGACTAAGAGCTTCAGTGGATATGCCAACGTCATGGCCGGCAGGTAGGTCCGGGATTCCTCTGAATTCGGGACATATCAAGCTAACCCTTTAGTATCACTTTCAGTCCAGCATCGAATCATTATGCTGAGTTGCACCAAGAGCTTCTTCAGTCCTACAAAAACACACTGTTCATAGAAGATGCGATTCAACTGGAGCTGAATAGTCGCGACTACCTTGCTCGGACTAGCAAGATCAACCAAACAGCTTCATACCTAGTCAGGTTTCTCCAAGGCTATCTTGACAAACCAACACCTCTTTCGGCGGTGTACTATCCTGAAACCTGCCACTCATCTACCAACTATCGACGACGTTTGCGCGCTAAAGTCGATGGTCAGCCTCACATACCAGGGTTTGGGGGGTTATTCACTATAGAGTTCGTGGATATTTCAACTGCTACGGCCTTTTTTGACGCTCTTAACGTTCACAAGGGCCCTTCATTAGGTGCACAGTACACATTAGCGCAGCCATACGTCCAAACAGTGTTCCAGAAGGAAAAGGCTTGGGCTGCAACTTATGGATTAAAAGAGACTATTGTGAGAATATCTGTTGGATTGGAAAATAAGGAATCACTTAAGGGCAGTTTAATTATTGCTTTAGACGCGGCTGTAAAAGTCTTTCGACAGGGTAGATATAATTAGATCTGAAGCTTTTAAAAACTAACATGATTTAGTCATGTGAGAGTAAGGGTTATTTTCCCCCCCAACATCTAACTTTTCACTTCATCAATCAAATCTTCACTACCAAGCATGCCATAATCAAATATTGAGTCAAGAACCCTTCTCGTCCTTCTTTCCCTTCAAAATGACCCAAAATTAAGCGTCGGACGCGGCGCAATCAACTATGAAAACAACGAGCATAGGCTCCGTTCCTGACAGAAGCGTATTCTTTGTCGACGCGATACCACCCTGAATTCACGCAAGCTATCTGATCTAGAGGAACAGGTGATTTTTTAATTCATTTTTGACCTATATTCGCGAGGATTTCCTCCGCGACTGCGTGGTGTTGAACAAGTGACAACCGCCGAACCAAGTAAGAAAACCCAAGGTTCCCACTTCTCAGCCTCGTTCAAATACTCAAGCTGCGCAATTCGCAGGGTGACTCAAGTCGCTGCAAATTGTTTCCCTTACCCTTCAAAACAAGGCAAAGGAATGTGGCCTTTTTGCAACCCAATCCGCCAACCGGATCCCCATTGACGACCCGACGACCCTCAATGCCCTGTTCGCAACCATCTTCTGCTCAGATGTCGAGTAAACGCACCGGCCTAACAATGACAACGGCCAGATGAGCAAATATCCACTGCCCGATTTGTACTCTGGCACAGCTTGCCTGTTGCCTTCACCGTCGATTTCCCCAAGGGCAAATGGGATATTGGAAGATATGCTATGCAGAAAACTTTTGACATTGCTTTCCGCCATGGTGAGTGTGGCATTTGCCATTTGCTTTTCTGAGCGGTCGTCGGACAGATCAAAGGTGAGAAGTTTCTTACAGCAAACGGCAACTTGAGTGTAGAACAAAACAAAACTGCAGTATTGCAGGGACCAAAAGCACGCGGTCCATCGGGAAGAGTAGACTCGAGCGTCATCAATGCCACTGAGTTGTCGAGGTTTCAAGGTTTCGGGTACGGAATGCGTCAAGGTGTCAAGGTTGCTTTGAATCATAATGACGTCTTGCAGGATTGCGAGCAACGATGCCTTGGCTAACTCACTGCCTGCGTCCCGGTTTAGCTGGTTAATTGCGGCGCAGGTATCTCTGACCGCGTAACAAAACCGCACCATGCGTGAGCTCATGCCAGAGAGCTGGGTAAGATAGTCTTCTTCTGCTATTCCGCAGAGCGGAACCCACCTGGCGTTTAGGTGTATGTATTGATCTATGATGGAATGGAAGAGCTACTCTTTTATTAGCTTTTGACGCTTCTCTCTGGAAATACTCAAGACTGACGATTTGAGTGTAAGCCCACCCATAGAGAGATCTGTTTGGGTCAGCAGGGGGCCCAATCTTCTCTCTAAGTTGTACCAGTGACACCATTCCCGAGATATGGGAGTTGCTAACTCCTGGCCTGGCTCCATCAATATCCTGGATGACGAATCAGTTTTTAAAGACAATCGAAAGGAAGGGCCGAGGGCACACCTCGAAGAGACTGAGGAGCATGGCAGCCGCCAGAGTATCATCCAATGAACTTTCGTCTGGGTTCTGCAACGTCGAATTCATAGAGAGCAAGGCTTCGTGATGAAGGCGACGGGCGTTTATTTGGAGCGGGGGAGATTTAGAAGAATAGTACAGCGACAAATTCGCCACAGCGTTGAGTGATGTCCTCAGACATGAATCGGCTGGCGAATTATGGTACAGGCCGGGGAGAAATTCGAGATGCCCTAAGGAACCCAATCTAGGCTCTATGACGTGTTGGTCGAAGAAATGAGCAACGGCCACATCCTCCCAAGGAGGTTCAAGGGACCAAGTAGATGTCGCTGCGCTGGATGCAGCGGGTGACGAAAGGGCAGGGGAAAGACCAGCGTCGTCGAGAGCCGAATGGCCTCCATCCGGAAGGCGGTTTTGATTCCTCCCAGAATCCGGGATGGTATTGGGACTGCGATGTTGGTTCTCGAACCGGATGATGAGGCGATTGTCATAGCCTGGACATTCGCGGCCGTACTTCTTGCACCGCTCACAGGTCGGCCGGCCCTCGTCACACTGGGCAATGGTGAGACATGTCGAACAGGAAGAGCCTACTACGTACCTTGACCTTCCGCTTACGGCACCTCATGCAGCCGGTGCTCCTCTTTCCAGGGTAGACCATCTTGCTGGTATTCGTTGTTGTGGTTTGAAGAGGTTGAGAGCGGGGCGGTGGAGAAAAATAGCCAACCGGATCAACTCGCAAGTCCCTGGGTATTATGTCTCAAAACCGATGACACTTTGAAAAAAGCCGAAGGGGGTATTAGTAAAAATATTAGGGGTTCTACTAACCCCAGAACGAGCTACGCTGGCTAGCTGGTCATGGCGACTATGGAGCAAGTCACGAGACCTTCAAGAAACTTCAATTTAGCCAAGTATTTCTTTGCTCTTGGTCAAGTACATTTGTTGCAATGAGTTTCCATCGAGACAATCCTCGACTGGATTAATTGACAGGCAATTGGTCTCAATCGCTCGTCGTATATTTTGTTGGTGGGAGAAGTCTTGAGTGCAGACCACACCCGTCTGTAGGGTAGGCGCCCAAGAGGGACAAGAGATAAGACAAGACAACAGAAAAGTAGTCTCCTGAGGGCAGCAGGTAGGGAAAATAATGAATCAATTGCTTGTAAATACCTCCGACAAGAATAGAAGAGAAAATATGGCTAAGAGCTGCTGCGACAACTATTATATAAGGAGCATACTAAAGCTAGAGGAATCCAATTTATTAGAGAAGGACCAAAGCATACGGTATTCTTTTTTCAACCAGACTCAACGCCTTGAATAGGGACAGCCTAAGCTAGTAACAGCCCCCACTTACCGTATTAAACTTTAGGTGGACTGTTGGCTCTATTACAATATCCGTGGGGAAAAGCCGAGAAAATGGCGTAATGCCAACGAGGAACACGTAACCTTTGAGCGAATACGCTGGGTTAGTTAGACTATCAAAATAACAACGATCAGATGAAGTCTTGTGTTGGAAACTGAAGTAATGGAATGAATTGGAAATCTCCCTTTTTTAGGTATGCTTGGCATTTAATGGCGGCCAAAGTGGGAAGCCTCGGCTCGATGTTGACATCGCACATTGATGAGAGTCGTCAAGACGACTATTTCCTGCTTCAGGACTAGATCAAACTTTGGAAATCTTATACGGTGTCCCATCAAGCTGAATCTATTCCAATCAGCCTGAACTTTTATTTTATTTTATACACCTTTTTTTTCTTGGTTTGTTTTGGGTCTGAATCAGGACCTGTCCAGCCTTCGCAGATCTGTCAGGATCCCCGCCCGAAATATAAGGCAACAAGCGACATCCCTGTGGATTGACTAACCCGATTAAATCCCTGTTTGCGACGTGCAGACTTCAGTCTTGGCCTAACCGGATTCAGGCCTGGCTTGCGATGTGCATGTCTCCATCCACGTTTAGCCGGATTCGGAAGACTCTTGCGAGGTGCATTAGGTGCGTAGTCATGAACAGGATCATCGTGACAGTCAGGCGGGGTTGTGAAATCAACAGGATATTGTACAATGTGCTGGGGAGTGGTGGAATGAAGATCCAAGGAAGTCGAAGATAAATCACTGACCACAGGCATGAGGAGACCTGGAGTGGCGGGGTGACATGGCCCATTCTACCAGTATTACTTCATCAACTGCCAAGTGGACTTTTGGGCACCTATGTAACAATGATTCAGATGGCATTCTCAAGGCCCAGTAAGTTTGATATGCGCCATTCAACTACTTGTGATACAAAATCTCAAAAGCCCAACTACCGGCGCCTACAATCTTAACACTATTGCCATCAGAGCCAGGTAGGACGATCTCCATCTCAGTTGTTGGCGGAACAACAACATTGACTTTCAGTTTGGAAGTGCCTCCTTGTTCATCAGTCAACGACCAAGACCCAAACACCTTGCCGTATGGGGTCGCGTGCTCTGCCTTGGCCCAGGTAAAGCCTGCCGCAATATCGGGCCTCATCTGGGACCTCTTCCACCCCGGGGCAGCAGACCGCAAGCCTACGAGTCGCTCGAACATAAAGGCAGCCACGGCGCCAAAGGCATAATGATTGAACGAAGTCATTTCACCGGGATTAATCGACCCGTCGGGTCGCATGCTGTCCCACCGCTCCCATATGGTTGTCGCGCCCATCGTCACTGGGTACAGCCACGAAGGGCACTCCTCGTTCAGCAACATCTTGTAGGCCACGTCGCTGTGGCCGGTTTGCGCGAGCGCCTCGCACACGAAAGGTGTTCCAGCGAAGCCTGTGCCGATATTGAACGAGTTCTTGGACACTATTTCGGCGAGGCGGGCTCCTGCGTGGACTCTTTGGCTTGGGGTGAGCAGCTCGAAGCAGATCGCCAACGAATACGCAGTCTGGCTATCGGATACAATTCTTCCACTCGGGGATATGTATTCATCGGAGAATTCGTATCGTGCGGCATCTAATTGCTCTTGGAAATACCGTTGGTCTGTTGCACGCCCGAGAATCCGGGCCACTTGGACCATGATGTCGAGACAACGGACTAGGAACGCGTTGGCCACCAACACGGGATCTGTCAATGCCTTTTGAGGGTTTTCAGGCGGTGCATTAGGGTCTAGCCAATCCTAGTGCCAAACGTCAGGACATTTTTTCAGGTCGAGTGGAAAGTTGATGTACATACCGCGAGCTGGAAGCTCGACATGTCCCACAAGTGAATGTGGCCAGTCTCATTCCTGGGAATCTTGCGTATCCAAGTCGCCATAGAAGCATACTGACGCTCGAGAATATCCACGTCACCCGTCTCTTGCCACAAGTCCCATGGCGCAAGAATGACAACATCATGCCAAATCGCAAGGGGCATCACCTTTCCCCATACGGGGTCACCTAGCAACGCATTGGGGGAGACAACGGGAGGCGTGCCGCCGAGAACGTGTTGATCGAATGCCACATCCACCAGCCAGTTTTTGAGAAACGGAAAACACTTGTACAGCATCACAGCAGTAGGCGCAAACAGAGCCAGGTCTCCCGAGTACCCAAGACGCTCATCGCGCTGAGGGCAGTCGGTTGGGACGTGGAAGAAGTTTCCCCTCATCCCCCACTGGATGTTACGAAAGAGCTGGTTCAGCATTGGGTTCGAACACTCAAAAGACCCTGCTGACTCCATGTCGGAGTTGCATACGACAGCTTCGACGGAATCGAGCAGACTGGACTCGGGTTGCGGCCAGTTGTCCACCTGCAAATACCGAAAGCCATGAAACGTAAACCGGGGTTCAAAAGACTCGCCCGCTTCATCTCCCTTACAAGTGTAAACATCCTGGGCGTCGCAGATGCGAAGGGTACGGGTGCAGAGCTCGCCTTTTTCGAGCACTTCGGCGTGCGACAGTATCACACGGTGCCCTTTTGGTCCCGATAGCTGCTTGAGCCTGACGTATCCCACGAGGTTTTGTCCGAAATCCAGGATGAGCTTTCCTGATGGAGACTGCATCTGCTCAATGGGGCGTATGGTCTCTAAACGTCGAACAGGTTCCGCAAAGCCAGAGGTGAGCTCTACACTATCCGAGAGGGGTTCGACATTGACGCTGCGCCACTGTTGAGTATTGGTTCCAGGGCTCGACCAGCCATCGACCTCCATGGTTGCGTCGTACTTTTCTCCATTGTACAGCTCTGCAAGCCGGATCGGGCCTTGAGTTACAAGCCAGGAATCGTCGGTGCAAATAATTTGAGAGGAGCCGTCGCCGTAGGTCATTTCCAGCTGAGCAAAGGCTGCATTCCTGACGCCCCAGATGTTGCGGCGTCCGCCCTCGAAGCCGAAACGTCCGTTAAACCAGCCCTCGGCAACTCGGATGCCTAGGCAATTGCGTTGCGAAATGTGTTTGGTCACATCGTAGGTCTGGTACTGAAGCCTTCCGGCGTACGAGGTCCAGCCTGGGGCGAGGAAATGGTCTCCCACTTTTTGGCCGTTGATCTCGGCTTCGTATACGCCGTGAGCTGAGATGTAGAGTCTTGCAGATGAAACGTCCTTTTTTGCATCGAATTCCTTGCGGAACAGGTCTTCCGGCTGAGGCTCCTCCTTAGACTCTGCCCAGGGCGCTGAAATGAGCTGGCTGCTCCAATCGTCGCGCGAGAGGAGGCCAACTTCCAGTATTGATGGCTCACTCCATGGCGTAAAGTCCGACAGACCCTTTCCACGAGCTCTCACCACTACCGAGTATCGTTTCCGAGACTCAAGGGGCTTGTCGTACGGCCAGGGCACGAGCTGGGAGTCCGAGGCAACTACCCGAACAGAGCCCAACTCGGTAAAGCCATGGTTGGTGAGTTGTTTCAGCTCTAGCTGATATTCTTCCTGATCAAAGTCGAGAGGGGCGTTCTCGAAGCGCCACGAGATCCTCGGATTTGTTTCATTTACCCCCAAAGCGTTAATGGGTTGGTAGTGCTCGAATCTGACGTCGACAATGGTGGTAGCCATAGCGTGGGATGTAGGTGGATGATTGATGGACTATCGAAAGCAGAGTACAAGGGACTAGAGTTGTACACTTGTCGCATAGATGAAAGAGGAAGAAACATGGCTGAATAATAACAGGCAGACAATCATCATGGCGACATGCTCGGGAGAACGGCCACCGAGAAGTGGCCTCTGTAGACCAGTCTCCAATCTTCGCAAGGTGGGTAACCCATCATCGACAATCAACTCACAAACTGGCCTCAGACATCGGATGAGGACGCTCCACTTCGGCTTTGGATAACGCGGTCTTCCGAGTCGAGTCATGTTGCGTCCGGAATCTCGGGTCAGCCGAGTCGAGTGGAGTGTCGCTAAATGGTTGTTAGCGGGACGAATCCAGGCTTATGAATCGTCTCCACGTTTATCGGATTGCGGGGAGAGTACGATTTTTAGCCCCGTACCGGCTGGGACAGACCTGGGGAAGAGGCTGGGGTCAATCTTGCCCTCGAAATGTGTGGTTAGCAAGTGTCGTCGGTCGGGCAATTGAACGTGTATGGGCTCGCCTTGACTTATACCGAAGGCATCGCGAGTGAGTAACCTCGGCCCAACACAGCTATATATAATACATCGACGCTTTCCAGGAGTCACCACGACACATCCTCACCTCAATTCATCGCCACTCTACCAACCGCTACCACCATCATGCAGGAGACAGTGCCAGACAAGCAAGAACCGCAAACCGAGCACCGCGACTTGGCCAATGCGAAAGGCGCCCCGGACGCCGTTTATGATGAGGCCGCAGCCAGCGGCCAGTGTCTCACCGGGTACGAGACGCTGGGGCTCTGGGAGACGGCTAAGAAGTTCAAGGTGAATTCCCTCACCTGCTTCGCCATGTGCTTCAGTGCCGCTACAGATGGTTACCAAATTGGGTATGCTTCTTGTAATGCCGTTCAATACCCTCTTCGACACAGCTAACTTGCGCACTTGAACAGTATCAACGGAAACATCATCGCCAACCCTGCATTCGTCCAACAATTCGCGACTGAAACCAGTGCAGATGGCTCACCTGCTCTTGCGTCGCCTATTCTCAGCGCATGGGGCTCCATCATGTCTGTCGGCCAGATCATCGGCATGACGACCTTGCCCTTTGTATCTGATCGGTTCGGCCGCAAGGTGGCCATGTACAGCTTCTGGTTCGTCATAGCCCTGAGCGTCATGTTCGAGAGCATCGCCACGCGGTGGGAGCTATGGCTCGTCGGCAAGCTTCTCGCCGGTGTCGGTGTTGGGTGCATGCAATCGACTATCCCCACCTACATCAGCGAGGTGTCTCCTACCCGCATCCGAGGTGCCCTCTTGATGTGCTACAGCCTCTGGTGGTCGCTCGGAGGCTTCTTTGCCCCCGTAGCCTTGCAGGTTCTGTCTGAGACGAATGCCACCAACTACAAGATCCCCATTTACACCCAGTGGGCCCAGGTGGGCATCATGCTCATTGTTTACCTCGTGGTCCCCGAGTCTCCGACCTGGCTTGTGAGCAAAGGCAAGTTTGACCAGGCTAAGAAGACTCTGTCTCGTCTGCACTGCGACGTCCCAGACTACGATGTGGACAGGCAGCTTCAGGTTCTTACGCTTTCTATTGACCACGAGCGAGCTACTGCCGCGGAGCAACGAGCAGAGAAGTGGTACAGCATCTTCAAGGGAACCGACGGCTACCGAACCCTTGTTGCTCTGTGGACCCTCCTTGCGCAGCAATTCATCGGCCTCACGCTCTTCGCCACCTATAGCTCCTACTTCTTCCAGCAGGGCGGTATCGAAGACCCTTTTAAGGCAACCTGCATCACCTCTAGCATTAGTTTCGCTGCAGGACTTTGCGTTGTGTACGCAGCGGAGCGGCTTGGTCGTCGAGTTCTGTCATGCGGCGGCACCACGATTTGCTGGGCGTGCAATGTTGCGGTGGGAATTCTCGGCGTGACTCCTAAAGTCAATGCCACCGACTACCTGTTCATTCTGTTTGCTTGCATTTGGTGTAAGTACCTATCTAGAAACAAAGGACGTGAAGCTAATCAACTTCTTAGGGATTGGGCTAGTTGCCAATGGAGCTACGGGATGGGGATTTATCGGCGAAATCTCATCTCAACGCCTCAGACCTTACACTGCTGGCTTTGGTGCCGCTATGACCTGCGTTGTCGGTGTCATTATGAATGTCTTGACGCCCTACATGGTAAACACCAATCAGTGGAACTGGGGCCTCAAGACAGCTTGGTTCTACGTCGGTATTGGCCTTCCATTTACAGTTGCCATCTGGTTCATAATCCCCGAGACTGCTGGGTAAGTTTAAATGTGCCGAGATTTCCTATAATAGATACTGACAAGTTTGATAAGCCGTACCTCCGCAGAGCTAGATGAACTTTTCGAAAGAAAGATCAAGCCCTGGCGATTCCACAAGACTACGACCATGGCCCAACGAGCTGTCGAGGCTGGCACGAATAAGCTTAAGGAAGAGGCTTGAGGTCACATTCGCTGAAAGACCAAGTTTGGTGGATAGCAGGTGTCAACGTCGCAACTACACTTATGAGCGTCATTTGTATATGCAATCTATGTCTCAAAGCTGAAATTTAATTCGCTAGCGTTGAGGTTGAATTGCATCTGCTGAATAGAGGCATCCTCTGGGGCGCCTTCTATTTGTACAATTGATTCACTAGAAAATGTAACATACTGCAACTGGCTGGTATGCAGGAGTTTGATGGTTACTTCATACAGTTTATTTTGGTTCTTGCGAAACTCGATGAGGTCTTTCCCTGGGAGTTCGAGAATGAGGGTTGTTCGTAGGAGCACGTCTAGCTCTGCAAGAATTATATCTTATAAGATTATACTTATTTTGTTTCTTTTAGCTTTACTCAAAATTATAAGATAGTTCAAAGGCATATAGTATTGTCAGATAGTAAAGATAAATAGTAAGTGCAACACCCAGCACCGGAAGAGACAGTAGAATATCGCGAAGCATACAGATATCAAACTTGAGAGAAAATTGGAAAAAGGAGATCTATATATACTCTATTGGAGCCCGTCACCATATGAACTGCAGTAGAGTTTATATGCACAACCCCCAATTTCGGGGAAAAAAAGAAATTCACACCCTCGGATTGGTCCGTACCCCGTGAGATCCTCTTTCACTTGAACATATGCTTCAGGGCCTACATATGGTTCTAGCAATCACCACGACTATGCTTGTATGACTTATTTCTAAAGTAATCGCCAAAGACAGTGCTGGATGATCTGGTGAGGCGGAAGTCACGACATGGCGCCACGGCCTGAGGCGACAGCCGGCGGGTTAGGCTATTGGTTTGCACGAGGCACACAACTCGTATGCAATAAAATGCCGCAAATGATGACCGCATTAGCTCTAATAAGTTGAATTAGGATGCCTGAGTCGGATGATTACGGTCCTGCACAGAGGTCACAAGCATCTACAAGGCACAGTGACGTGTCCAAGCCGTATTGGCATGGGTACCATTAGGCTCTGTGGAAGGCATATTTGCGTGGCATTTGCTGATTTACCTTATCGCAAATGATCACTGCATCCGTAGAGATGTACATGCAGACCTACCAAGCGACTGCACGCAACAGCCATCTTTAATGCACTCTTCACCGCGCACCCTTGTAGCCGCGTGCACAGTCGCATCCTTACATACCTTCCGTAAGTGACACTAACCCTAGATTGATGCGGGAGTCCGTCGCCGCCGCACAGGGGCTGGGATCCTGGTCATAGAGCCGGTGATGTGGTCTGAGATAAGAGGAGAAAGAAAGAGAAGCCAGGTTGTCTAGGATATGACCCCGAAATGTGACACCTACTTCCCTGATGTTTGAGTTACTCAATTCTAAAGGGCAATGCTCTACTATTACAATCGTTATTGTTTATTTTAAATAACAGCATATATATATATATCACAACTGAGAGCAGATTGTATCAATATAATGCTAAGGCACACTTTCCCATAAAAATCGTGCTGTTCCATTGTCTAGATCCCCAGAGAGAATCAGTGTTACACGGTCTGGACCTGCTCTACTCCGCAGAGCAAGAGTGATCCAACGTGTAGACGTACCGGTAATAGCCTAAGTTAAGTAGTCTGCCTGGTCTGGCCCAAATGCGACCGTCTTGCAGACGCCTAGTCCCCCCCTCTTTACCATTAACCAATAGGCCAAGGCGTTTCAAGCCCCATGTTGATTTTCAACCCGGTCGCATCCTAATCACCTTGCCTTTATCAGCACTTCTCGCCTCCCTCCTTCTCTTATAATTCACCTGCTGCCTCAGTTGATGAACTCTGTGTTGTGTCGCTTGAAAAACCCTGGCAATCTCTGGCTGTCGGAAACGAGTCAACAATGGCTGAACAAGCTAGTCTCGTTTCCAAATTGGTGTCCAGCGTTGCCAGTGTCCAGAACGAGCTGCAACTAGCAGTGGCTACCCTCAATCTCGACTTTACCCTTGTGAGGCTGGAAGCGCCTAAAGAGTACAGCGGCGTCGCCACCACTCTCGCGGAAGATAGGAAGGAGAATGCCGAGTCTGGAAGTCTTCATCGAACGGCACGGAAGCTCGGAGCCTTGTTCGAGGGCATTCCTCCGTCAACCCCAGCACTCCTTCGCGCCTACGGATCGAGAGTTTCCGAAATCTGCGAAAAGGAGAAGATTGATCCCCTGGAGCGTGCCCGCCATGGCATATTCTCGAGATTTGTTGGTGTTGACTCGGCAAGCATCTGGGCTGCCGCTACGTCGGGAAACAATGCCATTGCCGTCCATCTCCTGGCTTGTATGATTGCTGAGATCTTCGACGCGCCGCAGGCTGTGTCTCTCTGGATGGAGCTTATCGAAAGGCGCAAGGCAGATATTGAAATGACCATCGGCGACGAGACAGACCAGTCAAGGGCCATCGCAAAAGCCTGCGCAGCAAAGCAGGATATTTCCAGGCCCGAAGTGGCCGCCTGGGATAACAGTGCCAGGGCATGGCTGCGAACGGCCAACGAGGCCAAGGCCGTCGAGAGACGAAGAGCGCTTCTCGAGACCGAGAGCGTCGGGGCAATCGTCAGCAATCTCCCCGATATGTACGAAAGCACAATTCGCGCCTGGAAGGATGCCATGAGCACCATGGATCTTCTAATCAGAGGCACGCCGCAGCGAGGGAGCAACGGCGCGGTGCTGCTGGCTATGAATTCCTGGCATCTCTTCCCTAACCTGTGCGTCCTGAGCCGCGGCCCAAACATCATCACCCAAGATGATCATCTCGTCGTGAAAACGGGGATCCTGACCATCGACTTTGAGATGGCAGACGACGACTCCGGTGGCATCTCCTGGTCGGTGCCACTGTCCTACCTGAGATATTACGGAAGGCCTATTGTAGTGAAACAAAAGCTTAGCCTCGAAACGAGTCGTGTACCCGTGGATCAGTTCCGATTCGTTGTACTGGGCTGCATCTTCTCAACATGGCTGGACTTCAATTCGTCAGCAGACCATGCCATTTCATGGGCGTGCATGCTTCTGGACGTGCTGCGGTCGCCTGAGCCAACTAAAAATCGACAGCAGCTCGCCTTGATGCGCCAAATCGCGTCGCCTTCTTCATGGATCGGATATCTATTGCATGCCGCAGAAGAGCTCCAAGGTGCTGAGCCTTTGGAAATCGAAACGCCCTTGAAACTTCTCCGACTTGGACATCGGAAGCGACAATTTCTATGCGATGTAGCCCATCATCCTCCGCCGTTGTTCGGACTCGCTCAGGTCAACAACCTCTTCTCCGTCTTGTCCGGCTCCGAGACTCGCATCAAATACCTAAGGGAGTTCTCCAAGGACGTTGGACTCGAGCGCAGCTCACACATCATCTGCTACAAGCATACACAAAAGATCCGGAACTCGACTGTCAGCGTATGGGAGCTTGCGTCCATCGCCACGTTTGTAGGTGACGTTGCTTCTCGAGACTCGAAAGGGCGTGTTGTTCCGAGTGCTTTGTCCGTCCCCGACAAACCAGTCCGCTGGATAATTGTTTCATCAGACTCGCAGCGATGCCAGCCCTCGATTCATGGTTGTCCTTGCGAGATCCACCGACCGACGAGCTGCGCCTGCTGGAAGACTGGGGGCTGCTCGCTGTATTGCCACGACTGGTCTAAGAAAGAACCCTGCGCATCTCTGCATCAGGGAGTTCTGTGGGATAGGGTTCAAGCAATCACCAACGCCGGCGAGCTGTGCTTTCCTGCGTGCGAGAGTTTTCTTGCCCTCCCTGGCGTCAGGCAAGTCATGTTTAGCCCCGGCGATGATTTCAGAGACGGACTAGTAGCAGCCGGTGAGTGTGTCTGCATCGTTAATCGGTAATCTTGTTGTATACTAAAACCGAGGCAGCTGAAAATCCGGAAAGAGCCGCAACTGTCTTCCTCAGATTTCGATACGGAGATCCAGAGACAGCCTTCATCCTCGAGCGATATGACTATGTCCGAGACAAAAATAAACCCCCTTACCCGGCTAATACCACAATGCCCGAGAAAATCTTGGCCACTCTGTTCTCCTCTCGCGCTTTCGACTACACCGCCCTCGTGTCATACCTTCAAAACCAACGTACGGAATACCAAAACACCATCGCAGCGTGTGCTAATGCCACTGAGATTTTCAAATGCCTTCCTGGAATGACAATGTCGCTCTCCATACTCGAGCGGCCGCAGCCTCTTAGTCAAGCGAGATGGGTCAACGTCCCCAACATGTCAGAGAGAGGCCTTGTCAGCGCCTCCAGCTGGCAAAAAAGCCGAATATTCTCCTGCTTGGCAATGTTCGAATCTGGGAGCTTGGACATTGACCCTAGCAACCTCACGAATGTCTTCGCAATGTCATCTAGCAACTCGATATTTGTTGCCAGCTCATTCTTGTGCGACCCGTACGAAACTACAAGCGAGACGGAAATCCAGCGAGTCCATGGCAACATTGGCCAGCCTGGAGTCTCGTTTCTCGTGCCTCCGCTGGAGCCTGTGGTTCAGAAGCCCGACATCGGCAACTGGGCTGTGCTGAACTATGCTCCGTTCCGAGGCGAATGTGAGGACAATTTCTCTCTGACATCCATCCATCTTCGTCTGACAGAATACGAACTCCCCTTATCTGGCTTACAAGACAACCATCTCATTGACCATCCAGCGCGTATCCTCGAGGCTGTCGCTCAGGTCTATGACGGTCCCAAATGGGTCGCAGATCTGGATATCCTGGGTGCTCTCAAGCGAATTCACTGCCTCCAGTGTAGATGCAAGACCTTGAAAGCGAAGAGCGCGTACTCGGAGGTATTCAGGGGAAATTCGGATGTGGTTTCAATTGATAATTGGGATGAATTTCTTACTGAACAAACTGATAACCGGATCTATGCGGTAAGGTCCTTCGCGAATTGGCTGGCAAGGCTTGCCACCACATGTGTCGGCGTGCAACTCGGCTATAAAGTCTCGGTTTTGCCTCGAGATATTTGTTGGCACTGCGTGAAATCGTATGTTACCAATAGTCATCAGGTATTCATCCTGTAATAGGAGCAGGTTCCGAGCAGCTTCGGACCTGTGACGGGACAAGAGCACGAACGAGGTCGGGTGCGACTTGGTCAAGGGATTGTTTACAAGGAGAGAAAGAGATTCCTAGGGAAACCTCTAACTTGAGCAATTTCCATAATATCCATAAAGCGAGACTATTTATAAAGTGTGAAAGTCACACGATTGCTCCCTCACAGTTGTGTTAATCGAAGAAGAAGAAAACTAGTGCTAACAAGCGGAAAAGAAGATATCCACGTCCCAGCCAGTAATAAATCGGAGTAAGCATTAACCCGTGAAATAACAGATCCCAACACCGGCGGTTTGGATCAGAGCCTCAAAAACAGAACAAAAGGAAAAAGAAAAAGGGGGGGGGGGGGTTGTCATGTAACGTCTAAAACCCTTTTGTTTGGAATCCCGATTCAATATGTCATGGAAATCCGGTAATTCTTTCGTTCTCCTCTTTCTAATTGCATAACCACGAAGAGGTCATTGCCTTTCAGATTGATATGGACCCCGAGGCCCTCTCGCTTTCCCCGAGTATCCAGCTCGGGATTCAGCGGGAACCACATCTTCGAATACTCTAAGTCTGTCAAGATCTCCAATCGCGGCAGTTGGAAGCAATCAAGCTGGGCCCCAGGTTCGGTTGTGAAATTTCGTTGGATAAGACTGTGCAGTTGATCCTGGAGGACCTGTAGGATCTCGTGGTTGACAGAAGGGTTGAACTCTGGATACAATAATGAGTACAAGTGCTCTCGTCTCTGGTCTCGAGCGACGTCTAGAGGTCTGCTGTATTGTTTTGAGATCGAAGTATTTCTCAGAGTTCTGGAAAGCTCTTAATACAGTCAGTAACTTGTTCTTAATTCCCTAGCCAGACCGTACGTACTCCATGCGCCCAAGTTTAGAAGCTTCTGGACGGCTTCCTCATTGCCCCACCATGCAGCCTGGTGGAGAGGTGTGAAGCCGCTCGCACCCTTCGCGGACTTTGTCGAAGAACCTAGATAACGTTATGTCGTGAACCAATTTTCTGGTAGTAGAGATACTCACTAATTCCCCAGCAATGAGACCAGTTCTGGTGATAATGATTAAAGCCAACGGTAAGCTGTACGTCCATCGCTTTCCAATCACCGTAGTAGCTTGCGCTAGCGAGCTTATCTCTTTCGTCGAAATATGGTGACTTCTCGTGCTGATATGACTTGCGACGAATCTGTCCATGCCAAGTAACGTCGGCAGCTGAAGACAGTTAGAAAATACCTCTACTATCGAACGTTGCAGATGCGATGGTTCGGAGCTACATACCAGACAGCGTCTCAAGCACTGTGTCCGTGTCGTCGCCCAGCTCACTAACGGGTGGGCTGGCATATGAGATCCTCTCGTGATCTGAACCACTTTTCGAGTTTGAGCTAATTCTTCTGCTTTCACGAAGCAGGTGAGCAATCTCCATGTGTCCGTTTTCCTCAGCGTGCTCCAGCGGCGTGAGACCAAAACTCGTATCCTTTGAGTTGATGTCGATTTCCTTGGCTGCAAGCAGTATCTCGACAACAGCCTGGTGTCCTTCCCCAGCGGCATACGATAGTGGTGTTAGACCAAAATGTTTGTCTGTCGAGTTGACGTCGACAATAACGGTATCCAGCAGCAGCTTGACAACGTCGGTGTGCCCTCTCTCGGCTGCCCACGACAACGGCGTCCGATTGTGACTGTCTTTTGCATCTGGATTCTGCTCAAGTGTGAGGATTCTTACCGCTTCAGTTACTCCAAGGTATGCCGCCAAATGTACTCCGGTCATTTCCTTTGGAGCTCCTTGGCTGAACCTTCTCTGCCCCGAGAACTCCTCGACAGCCATCAGTGCTTGGCTTGACGCCTCGACATTCTTCTCAAGTCGTAGGAAGTCCAGTATTTGCTCTGGAAAGTTCGATAAATCGCAAGCATGATGTCCCCAGTAGTGTGCGGCGTAATCATAAAGCGGATTCGATCGCAGCCGCTCCTCAAATTCATCGTCTTTTTGACAAAACCCGCTCTCAAAGACGCTGAATGAGAGATATGTGGTGCAGATTGTCGTGATCGCCGCTTGAGCGTTATCAAACCAACGGTTTTGCGTTCTCTCGAAGTATTGTTGCGTGGTGTAGTGGACCAACCGGATGATATTGCTTCCCTTGTCTATTGTGACCAATCCAGCACATACAGAGACCATACCTTCTATTTCCGGAAGGTCGTCCTCGTCAAGGTTGGGTTTGCCAGGTCTTACCGCAAGGGCGTGTTGAAGCTCCGTCGATGTGAGCGGCCTCTTTGTGTAGGTGATCCAAGATAGGACTTGCATAGCAAGCTCGCTTCGGTAGGGGACTGCTTTAATACGCTCCATTGTTTCATCATATGCATGGTCGTACGCGCCAAGCACTTCTGAATTGGTAGACCACTGTTTTAGAGCAGCTCGGAGCTGATTCGGAGTTGTCGTTCCAATCAAGGAATTAAATCGGAGCTGTGCAAGCAAGAACCTAGCGAATTTAGCATATTCAGGTGATATAATGTGGGTATTAACGTACCTGCCATCAACAGTTTGAATAATCTCAGATTTGATTTCTTTCTGGAGATCTTGTCTCCTTCTGACAAACGATGGTAGATGCGACATCCTGCTATCCACATATAGTCCTACATCTTCGGCCTTTGCATGTATTTCCAGCCGAACACATCCATCGAACTCCTCCATAATTTCTGGGATAAATCTGGAAGTTGCAAAGACATTTGCTTTACATTTGGCCTGAAGATCGACGATAGCCTCCAGAAATGTGGATCGGCAGCCCTCAAGAGTTGGGCATTCATCAAGTGCGTCGATGACGATGAAAACCTTCGAATGCATCTTACTCACAGACTGAAGCGTAGTTGAGATTTGGTCGAGCGATGGCCGTTGCCCCTTGCAGTCATCGTAGAATGATTGCACGCTTTTTGGCAGGGATGGCCGGTCTTGAGCCAGCTGTCTTAATAGATTCGCGAGGAGGTCTTCGGCCGTCTGGTTGTGCTTCCGTCGGAAGTTGCAATAGATGTATGCAATGCCGAAGGAATCGTCATTCCCGAAGCGGCTCGTCAGCTCGTTAATCACGATTGATGTCAGGATTGTCTTTCCCGCTCCCGGAATGCCCGGGCAGAATAACGTCTGCTTCTCCGTCTCCACCCATGACTTGAATTCCGCCGAGTCCAGAAACCATTGGCCCGTCCCCGTTTTTCGTTGACGAAAATAGTTCTGCTGAACGGTGTAATCAAACGGGGCGACCCAGTTGAGAACTTTCGTGCGTTGCTCATTGGCGTGGTGACGATCACTTTCCAGCTTCAAAGCATCCACAGCGTCCTTGACAGCCGACATGGCATTCTTCTGATCCCGGTGTGCCTTTACTTGTTGATTGAATAGGCTGCTCATGCAGTCTTTCATGTCAAAAGAGAGTTTCTCTCCGGCGTCATGTAGCTCTTCCTGCCGATCGTATAGCTGATCAACACCGTCTCTTATGGCCGAAATGGCTTCCGCCTCCTCTAGATGCCACTCATATTGTTTCTTGATTGCCTCTTTGATTTCCTTGTTGGTATCCACCGCCAAAACAGCAGCATCGACCATGATCATCTCATGCAGGACTTGGCATCTCCGGTGGAGATCCTCGACCGCATCTCGAGTATTCTTTGCAAAGAAGGCGACTTTCAATCTTGTCAAGCCCCATTTTTCCCCTTTATCTTTTTTCTTCAACTCGGCAAGCAATTTTTCCAATTCTTCTTGGCATGTTTCTAGCAGGGACTTCGGAACCTTTGATGGAGAAGCATGAAGCTGCGATAGCACCAACGATGATCGGCCTTCGAATGCCGCTGCGTATTCTGGGTTGACCACGATGCTGGAGTTGATTTGGGACAGCACCGCGTTGAGACCGCGAAGCTCTACCATGAATTTTTTGACGTTATCCGGCGCATCGTTGCAGTCTAGTCCGAACTGGACTGCTACCTGCGCAATCTGAATAGTCAGACCAATAATACCAACGACACCAGCTCCAATTCCGAATGCTTCTGCCATGGTGATTATGCGCAAGTCGAAAGGTCGATATTAACGTCTCGGAGGGAGATCAAAGGTCATCAGGCTCTATAAAATAACAAGAACGTCAGCATCGGGCACTCATCTGCACAAACAACGCGGATACGGTATGCCCGTACCTGGTCGAGGGTTGCTGAAAATCACCGCTGGATCCTATTGCTAAGCTCGGTCACTATGCGTGGACTAAAGACTCAGAGCATCTGTTTGAATAGTAGGGGAAGGGATGGATGCGATGATAGATGAAATGTGAGCACCGCACAGAGCCTAACGAAAGCCCAACGTACCTGGTGGGCTGACTCTAGCACGTGATTACAGGCTCCCCGTCTCTAAGAAAGAGGGGGTGATGAGGTATGTAACTGTTATTAGATCGAGAGCTGATGTGAGGTATAATATGCCTGATTTAGGCTGTTTAATTTAGAAAGACTATGCGATATCTCTCGGACTCTCCGACTAGGTGCTCAGCCTTTTTCACGTCTTTTTCCTTCACAAGGAAGGCTGAGTCTTGACCGAATTTGGAATTAGCGGACAGCGCGCTCATTTGCAGCAGGCCAGCTGCCTAGGTATCTTCGAGTTCCTATGGAACTGAATGTGGCGACCAAGGTCGTTTTCCATTGTAGTAGTGTGCACTCTTAGTGCGTAAAATGCATCGCAATCAAGCTCCCTAGTCGTGTGATGAACGTCGAGGGAGGATTTGGGTGGCGTATATGAGATAAAACGGTATTTCGCCAGTCTTGCCCAGGTCTCGCATTCTGAAAATGCACTCATCCTCGACAGGGTACTCAGGCACGAAACGAGCTAGCGCGACAGCCTAGGTGAAAAACCCGGATAAGATGATCTGATTCTTGATGCGCTTGGATCGGCCCCCTTTGGATCATCGATCACTGTTGTGATTGTGTGTTCCAAACAATCTTTCTTTGTAAATAAGCACGCATTATGTAGACAAAGCTCTAACGAGGCTCTGGAGCACTGTATTGACATTGGACATTTCAAAACGCTGGTAACAGCGATATAACAGACAAGCCCCTTCAACATAACCATGTCCCGTTTCAAAGTAGATATCCAAATATGAGAAACGTAGATAATTTGACACCGACTCTCTCGTCAACTATTATTTTGTCTAATCTGTGTGTTATCAGCACCGACAAGATATCTACAAGCTGGAACTCGGTGATAAATTCGTGATTGGAACTTGAACGATGTCCTGCACTGAGTGGAGCTCAGCACAACATTAAGTCCACAACCGTTCATTTCATCAGGATTTAGTTTTCTTCTCCCACCTTCACATCGTTCATCATTAGCTGAGTCAAGGGATGAATGGGAAGTAAAGCCACTGACAGGTCTAAAAAGAGCTTCCATAATATGGAGAACATTAAGCCTTGCATGCCGTTGGCCAAAATACGTGTCTTGAGCCCCCGGCCGAAGAGACCGACAATTCCGTCTTGACGAACGATCGACCGCGCTGCTTCCGCTGGAAGACAATATTAATACCAGCTCTGGGCTTTGCATAGGATTCAAGTCAATACTCACAGTACGAAACTTTCGTCTCATTGACCTGACGGTACGTCTTAACCACTCTCAGCGAGTTTGAGACAGAGTCTGAGACGATTGACGCACAGAATCCGATGAAGGCCAAGCGCAATAGCCACCAGGCAAGTGGGTGTTTCGGTGGCTCGGCAATTATATCGGTCAAGAGGTTGTACTAGGGTTTTGTCAGTGAGCACGTATCACGACAGTGTCGAGGCTTGAAGGCTGCTCACAGTAGCAAACCAAGGATAGTGTCCAACGAAGGTGGCGGCAGCCGTTGCGAGAGCTCCCCACCATAAACTTCCGAGCCCGTAAGTCTTTATACGGCGGCGTAATATGGCTGTTCCGCTGGCCCCCTGCGCCTGAAGAGTCGTCTTGAGCGTGTCAATGGGTGTGAGAATCATCCGAAAGCATGCAGCACTATGAACTCTGTCTCAGCCACGAATCAATTGTCAAGGGACGGAGAAAGATGTATACCAGAGAGAAGCGAATATGGTTTTGATCAGTGATGGCATTTTGTTGAGATAGGGATTTGATTCGAGCAAGGCCAAGATGCCAGCGTTGGCTGCAGTATCACCAAACCTGGAAACAGGGCCTAAAGTACATATCAGAACATGCACCGCACAAGCGTCGATAACGGGAAAGGGACACACCTTGGACAAGAGCGGCCCCGATGCCTTGATAGAAACGCCTTACACCTTGTTCCTCATACAGATCTTTTGTTGCGGGGCGGAATGAGGAGCCATGGCGATATTGGTAATTCATAATAGTTCGAAGAGGCTTTGACACCGGTTAGACTCAAAGATGTGTTTGCGATAGAGAAATATTGGCATACCATCAGGAGTAAAACCTGCAAGACCATGGCTGCAGCTCCACTGAGACCTCCGCCGAGCGCTCTCTTTAGGGCACCCTTCAGATCAAACTACCACGAATGATTAGCGAATGAGCAGGAAAAACTTATGGGAAGCCTCTCACGTCAGTGTCCTTCGCATCAATCCACCCTTTGATGAAAATCGCCAGTACAAAAATCGCCAAAACAGCCCACACGATTTTCCACGCGGATCTCTTCCACGCAGATTGGTCTCTCGTCGCTTCCTCGTGCTGGGGCTTTGGTGAAACGGGTCGTTCGTCCTCAAGCAGGGGACGCTGAGAGGCGCCAAGCAGCGGTTCTTGTTCACCGCGCTCTGACGCATTGAATGGATCTGTGTCGGAGGCCATGACGCAGCTATCTTTGCGTTAGTAGCTAAGTCGATAAGGGCTGTGCGAGTGATAGTGAGAGAGAGAGAGAGAGGGAAGGTCTCGCTGCGCCAATTATTCCCCGCATGGGTGGATGAATGCTGATGACTTAAGCCAATGCTTGCGTGATTAGATAGCCGATGGCGTCGTTTTATCTCCGAAACAAACAATAGTCTAGCTTACTAACTCACTTCAAGACCTCAACAGGATCAAAATTGCTTTCAAAGTCGATAAAAATTGCATTTCATGTTCAGCGTTAAGCCAAACGCGGCCTGACTCGCACTTCTGACACGCAGTGTCAGCAACCTCCAAAGGGCGTCGAATCCCGATCCCAGATAACAGCATCGCATCGAGGCCTTAAGGGACTAGATGAGACAGACACCATCCGACCCGGATGTTGATTCGTGGTGGATCTGTGAGTTCTACGATAAAGGTGCGGCTCCATAGTCCAATCATCACCAACTCTCGGTATAAAATGTTCAACACTATGGGCAGACAAATCCGCTCATCTGACTCATCTCTTTTTTATCCCAGACACTCTTCCCATCCATTTGGACATAAAGCTCCGTGTCAACCGTCGCGACCTTGCGCTTGCCGACAGCCATGGCCAGATATGGTTACAGCTCGTCTCCATCCGATCGAGCCCCTACCCTGTATTTCACCGAGACAAATGGGACTAAGAAGGTTGTCCAGAAAAGAAGGTTAGATTTCCTGTATACCCAATTCTTATATTTAATATAACTAGAAATTATCTCACTTTATCTGTAATATCCTATTTAGCCACTATATCTACTCCGCTGTGAAGATTCATAAGCCTCCTCGAAACTTGGGGGAGCACCGTCAGAATGCGACTTCTCAGGCAATCCATGCATCACTATTTGAAGAGGGACACTCAATACAATGGACTGACCACCAACACAGACATCCAATTTGACTGAGTATGCCCGTGAAATGAAACACGAATGAAACGTTGGTGTAAACGCATGCGTCGACATGGGAAGTTCAAACGAAGCTTCCATGTGGCTCGAGTAAAATGGAAGTGGTGGTGACCCGTCAGTTTCATCACCACCGCTGATTCCCATATGTTGTACCCATACACAAGGGTTTGCGGGCTTCAACTCCACCGAGACGTTAGATGAGTCTGATATCATCGCCGGACCCAGATTCGGGAAAAGGCTGACTGCTCTCCCATGCGACCATGTGTGTGAGATGATCTTCGCTGATGCGTGACCGATCGCCGGAGGCGAGGAGCCGGTCTCGAGAGGATCGTACACAAGAGCTACACCGACTGTGGACGAAGTGGCGGTGCGTCCATCGGAGCCAAGATAGATAGTCGCGGCTTCTGTAGCCACAGCGCTTACACTGCCAAGCGCCTTTGAAAGCAAACTTTTTCTGATGGTGACCTTCTTGTTTGTGGTGTACAAGGAGTCGAGTTTACTGAGACTCAGTGGTGGATCTTCTTGTGACGATGGAATGACAAAGATGCTCTTGCTGGTCCCCATGACTGGGGAGGGTTCAGTCTTGGAGTCAGCTCGAGCGTATCTCATCACGGAGGCTTTGACTTTGTACTGGATCTCAGTTGTATCGGGGGTCATATTGGCCTTTTCCCATTTTCCCATGCTGGGTGGCAAATGCAAGTGGTGATCTCTTAATGACTGCGACGTAGTGAGGTGAGAACACGATGCAGCCGCAAGCTGATACGGCACTACAAACTCGAATGGGATTTTGTACTCTTGTCCAGCTTCAAAAACTCTGGACTCGGGCAGGGCAGCCAAGGGAATGGGCATTTCGATGTCGAGGAAACTGAACCGCACAACCGAGGTTGTGCCTATGTCTTCGTGAAGAACACTCCCGTCTCCCGAAAGGCAAATCCGCACCAGATCAAATCTGACATCTTTCCTGGGTGTGATAGCGAGTTCACCTGCGATAAGTGATCCAGAAGTGTACACCTTTGATGTGTAATCGTGGTGCAAGTTGATGCTGAGGTCTTGGTTTCGGCGGTGGTTCTTGAGCTTCAAGCCGAAGGCTTTGATATCCCACTGAGTTGACTGCATATCCAGTATTGCTTGCTGGATCTCAGCGTTTCGTCTAGTCGATATGAACGAGGAGCTTGGTCAAAGCGAGGAAAATGTGAAGGGATGATGCCTGAGGAAATGGAACCTTTTACTAATTTAATGCAGTGGTAGAGACTAATAGTCCTCATGCTAAACAATTAGGTAGATGCAGCTGGGATCATTGACTCACGCGGACACGCAAGCTGACAGAGGCATCCAGCAACGTGAGCTGCGTCATCCAATTGTACCCACCATCACCGCTAATGGTGCGGTGCAGTTGGTGACACCATACCACCCTCGGAGTATTATGACCCCGATTTCAAGGCGGTTGCCTAGTTCATTCGTAATGTTCTCTGAAATTTTTGCTTCGACTCTCGCTCCACCAACGAGATAGATATACAGTGCTTTCTATATACCCTTGATTGGCGATGCCAAACCATGAGCGTCCGTCAAGGCTGAAGCTTGTGAGTTTGATAAACACGAAGAATGAGAACCCGACATCCGATATTTCTCACATCTGACGGCGGGACCTCGATGAACAAATGTCTTAGGAGGGCGCTGGACAGGGTTTAAGAGGGGGTTTGGGGTTATGTATGGGTCAGCGGGTGGATATTTAATTGCAGCCTGGACAGACCGGGATTAACAGGTACAATCAATATCCAGCCATCCACGAGCCAAGTGGATTTGTCAGATGGCAAATGACGCAATCTAATTTGCGGTTGCATTGTCTAAATTGCTTCGAAGGGTTTAGGCAATGACTCACACGGGTCGGCCAGTTAGAACCCCTCCTCTTGCAGCAAAAGATTACTCTGCTTAGTCCTGATCTGGTTAAAGTATCTGTTGAAGTTTCCCTGTGAGGCAGGCTGCATCAAGTGACTGACGGATATCTGGAACTTGACATCCACGTGGAGTCTATTTCATGTTACTCGATGACGAGATATGCCTACAACCCAAATGTCTTTTGAACACTCTGAATGATCATTCGGTTGTTTTGCTAAAACTTGTCGCGACTGTGGTGAGCGCTGTCAGCTAGCTCAACCTAAGACTGACTGTCCAGATGCGATTGATGCTACCCTACAGCACTACCACGCAACATCGCCATGGGCTTCATCATGACAAGTTTTCCAGGACAACTCGGATTCAGTGCGAAAATATAGGTTGGATTCCTGTCGCCTTCCAAATCTTGATCAAAACACGAAATGTGTCAATTTCTACGGACAACAACGACCTTGTGAATTTAGCGACAGGACTAATCATTCTGAGGCGATAAAGTCCCGTGTCCTTTGTGTATATAATATGGTGGATAACACATAATATCAAGCACCTACGATAACAGCTCTTGGAAACTACAGGGTCCCGCCGAGTTCCCTTATCTATATCAATAGTTTCTACTTCTAATGGCCTGCGCTGTGCGTTACAAAATTGGAGGTCCACAGCTCTGCTAAATAAGAATCATATACGTACACTGGCTATCTTCACACTTGGCCCCTTATCCTCGTCACCTCGTGCCCACTCCCTCCTGTCTCGTCCCTTCACTCAAGAAATGTGTTTTCGGTAATCGCCTGAGACAACCAAGCGCAACGCCCAGGCACAAAAGCTGCATCAATACCCCTGGAGATATCTGGGGCGTTGGATGTAGCATTCACTCCCATAACCAACACGTTCGCATCAGACCCGTACGGCCTGAACGATCGCACACCATCAGCACGTGGGGTGCCTCGCGTAACAAAAGTCGCGATCCAGCTCTGCAGAATTCCTGCGATGCTAATCTCGGCCGACGTCGTCGGCGGGGGCGTAATGCCGCCGACTCTAGTCTCCGGACCGTTGTAGAATGTATAAGGAACGTCCTGCGCGTGGACACCCGGCGGGACGGCGAACACGTAGTTGTCTGTGCGATTCTGCAAACCCCAAGACAGTATCGGCGAGTTGCACGTGAAGAATAGCTCCTGGAAGGTAATGAGGCCACGCTCAAATTGGCTCGTGTATCCGTAGGAGCCATCAAACACCTCTGGGTAGAGCACCTCTTCGATATGCGAGGCGCTGGCGTTTGAGATTCCTGGTATCATGTTGCGGATGTACGCCGAGTAGGCCGCAGACGACCCAACCGTCGGGTCTGAGAAAAGGATGCCTTCGTGGGAGTTCATGCCGATGAGCGCCGTCACGGACTGGTCAAAGTCCCCGCGCGCCAACAGCGCCGAGAGTGGCTCCGGTACGAAGGTGCCGTCAACGGCGGGTCCGAAGAAACCCAGCCTCTGCGTGCTGGTAAGGAGGGTGTTCGCGGCGTTGAGGGTTGTCAAGGGCACGGCGCGGAGTTCCTCCATTGTCGACACGTTCAAGGCGGCAAAGAGGGTCTGCAGAGACAACTCCAGTGACTCTGCCGAGGCGGCAGGTTGAATGCCTGCAGACTGCGTGATGATCCGCTGGAACGGGACGGGTCCTTTGGAGCCTCCGTACGCGGTCAGCTGGTTGAGAATTGACCCTCCGCCTGCTGACTCGCCCATGACGGTGACCCGATGGGAGGACCCTCCGAACAGGTGAATGTTCTTCTTCACCCAGTCCAGTGCCGCTCGCTGGTCGAGGAGTCCCGCATTTGGTGTTCCATCCTTCTGTAGAGTTGATCCAGCCAAGAAACCGAATGAACCGAGCTGTAAGACATGGTCAGCGACTCCGAAATTTGGTCAAGACACAAGTTGTGGGCATGAGGGAGAACGTGGCTTACTCTGTAGTTGATGGCTACAAAGATGAACCCATTATCTCCAGCGTCACGACTCGCCTGGATCATGCCTGCAGGGTTGTACCGTCCGAAGCCCGTCTTCTCACCAACGACATAACCGCCGCCGTGGATCCACACGAGCACAGGAGCCCCGGAGCCAGTGCCCCGCCTATCAAAGATCTTCTTGGGCACGACGACGTCGAGGAACAGACAGTCCTCCGTGACGCGAGGGTCAGATGACGAGGCAGGCGAGCTTCGGTTCGCATACTCCTGTTCCAGCTGGTCGTAGTCCAGCATTGTGCCCTGTATGTATGCCGAAATCCACTGTACCAGAGCAGGATTGCTGAGCAACGAGGCTGGCTGCGGGCAGATGCTGCCTACAGAACCAGTGTTGAGATGCTTACTATGACCCTTGAGCGGAACTGGTGCGCGGAAGCGGAGGTCTCCCACAGGAGCCTGGGCGTAACGGATGTTTGAGAAGTTGTAGGTTCTCTCGGTTTCCTAAAAGTCGATAAAACAGTTGTCAATTGACGAGCTTTTACTTGAAGATGGGGGGATTAGGGGGTGGCAACCCGGGCGTCTGTACATTGAAGCTGATGGCTTGGTGGCGTTCCTGAGAGAAAATATCAGTCCTAAACTTCCCGGCTTCGTGGTTGTCGCCATACATAACCCAGGTCTATAATGGGGAGTTTGGCTGGCCCATTATCAGAAGTCGCAGGAGCTGCAGCCGCCTTAAGTGCCAGCAACAGCCAGACTGACTGAATACCAGAAAACTTCATGATGGTGACTGTAGTAAGAAAGAGATGGTGAAGTGGCGAGCTCTGAAGTGATGGAGTCGAGGAAGACGAGGACTCGAGGAGGAGCTTGGCCACCTTTTTATTGTGACACTTGGACTGAGATTTTGCCCTTTTGCGCAGCCATGTTCCACGTCATCTTGGCCACCGTATCTACCCCTTAATTACCTCGGCTTCGCATCACGGAGATGCCGGGGATGTCAGCTATGGACATGATGTTGACGACCAAACAACGTCATGTCTCCTTCCTTGGCCTTGCGGACTGGTATACCAAGCCGGCGCATCGGCGAAATACATGGACGATTACCGGCATATAGCATAGTACCTGCCGTTTCAAAGTGAGCTAATTTTGGCCCTGGTTCCCTGGTCCCCTGGTCATACCTAGGATGGCACGATGGAATCGTCGACTCTCCTCCCTCTTGACCAGACTCGAGGTTAACAAGCTGACAATTAGAGTAGAACATGTCTGCCATTAAATCTAATCTTTTTTTTTTGTCTCTGAGATCTATCCCAAGCAGAGCTCAATATTGTTTGAAGAAAAAGATGTCGACATGGCTGCCCTGGTTCCAGCATCGCGGGCCATGGAGATACATGATGGAGATAAATCATGGAGATAATATGCGGGACGATAAGTGGATAAGGCTTCAAAGGCTATGTTGGCGCTAGTGCACTTTGCTGACTGCTAGCGGACCCACCGGAACTATACCGAATATAGTAACTTGGCTTGGGCATCCCTCGTCATCCATACATCAAGAGACCTTGGGAGTGAATGCTTTGGACCAAGAGCTGGAGCCGGATCGAATACATAAACCCTCGACGTCCCCGGCCGCCAAGAATTCATCAAAAAACTTTACACTCTCGTGCCTGCAACGCAATCCAGAACATCCTACCACCACCTTCAACATGACTCGAGTCCTCCTCACAGGCGGCAGTGGCTTCATCGCTACCCATGTCCTCGAGATTCTTCTGAGCCGAGGGTGCGTACACGCTTGAGAGTAAAGAAACTTGTCCTCTCACAATTGCTGACCCATTCGCATTACAGACACTCCGTCGTCACCACGGTACGAAGCCTCGACAAGGCAGAGAACATCAAGAAGGCCCATCCGGATGTCGGGAAAGACAGGCTCGACTTCGCCATTGTTCCCGACATTGCTCGCCTCGATGCCTTCGATTCTGCTGTTGTCTCCGAGCCCCCCTTCGAGGCCGTCATTCACACCGCCAGCCCTTTCCATTATAATGTCACGGATGTCCAGAAAGATCTCCTTGATCCTGCCATCGTTGGCACCACGGGGATCCTCAAGGCCATTGCCAAGAATGCCCCGACTGTGAAGAGGGTGGGTATGTATTACACCATTCTTGTCCATTGTCTGGCGCCGCTGCTAAATGCGAACAAGTCATTACATCTTCCTTTGGCGCCATCACCAACCCATTCAAGGGCTTGTGGCCGGAGCATACCTATTCCGAAGAGGATTGGAATCCTTTGACGCAAGAGCAAGCTGTCGAAAACCCTGCCAGAGGGTACCAAGGTTTGTCGGCTTCTAATGCTCGTATGTTTCGGGAATAGCGAATGTGACTGACGATGGGTGCTCGCAGCAAGCAAGGCATTCGCCGAGAAGGCGGCTTGGGACTTCGTGGAGACGGCGAAGCCCAACTTCAGCCTTTCCACCATCAATCCGCCGCTGGTCTTCGGCCCTGCTGTGCAGAGCCTCAGCTCTCTCAATTCCCTAAACACGTCCAGCCAATACATCCGCAGCTTCATCACGGGACCGCCAAAGGAGGAGATTCCTCCCACAATGGTAAAGTGCCGGCCCCTCCGTTTGAAGCACGCCCAATAGCTGACAGAGAGCAATTACAGAGTCCTATATGGATAGACGTCCGAGACGCGGCGCTAGCTCACGTTCTTGCGGCTGAGACAGTTGAGGCAGCCGGCAAGCGATTCTTTGTCACAGCAGGCTACTTCTCTAACCGCAAGATTGTGGACATTATCCGTCAGAATTTCCCCGAGTATCACTCTGTGCTGCCGTCTGAGTCAGCCAAGGGAGGTGGTAAGTTCTACACAGAAGCATATGGTACGGATTTCCCAGTTCTAATAGTCTACTAGATCTGCCCGAAGGCGGCGTGTTCAAGATCAACAACGAGCGGAGCATCGACATCCTGGGCCTCAAATACCGATCCTTCGAGGACTGCATTGTGGATACGATTCGGTCTTTCCAGTCCGTAGGGGAGTAAGGCTTGGTGCTGCTTATATACGCCGAGCAGGAAGGGAAAGACTGAGTGTGGGTAACATGGCCTACTCGGCCTGGCGTCGAGGCCAGGGCAGGAATGCCTTCTTATGTGTTTTGTAGCAATCACACTGGCCGTTGTTTGAATCCACATTCCCAGGCAGTGCCATAGCACACATAAATAAGCTCTAAATAGCCTACATCTCAAATTGCCTCAAGCCGGCACCCCTAAACCCCTAACCGGCTCCAAACACAAGCCTCTTCTCGCCCCTCGTCTCGCGCCAGGTGTTCGTTGCCGCCCAGATCTCTGGACATCCACGCGTTAGCCAACCCCACTTGCGTAAGAACGGGACTGTGGCCTCCCAGCCGAGAGGATCCCACGACTCTCCCCAGACGATAAGAGTCGGCCTCTCTGTGTGGCCCTCGTCCGTGTTCACGAGGTCGGCACACAGCTCGTCTTCGTCGACGAGACCGGCCACCACCGCGCTCAGCACGTTGTCGCGCATGCGAGGCACAGGGAACAGATCGATCCAGGGGTGATGCGTCACGGCCAGCTGCAGCTCGGTTGGTCGAAGGCTTGCCGGGCAGGACAGTATGGGTGAGTTGGGCACGTGGGGGCCCAGCTGGTTGAAGGGCGAGATGAAGTCGTCGTGGCATAGGCCCTCAACTGGAAAGCCGAGGGCGGAGGCGTTGCGCGCCACTGCGTTGAGGATGTTGATCCGGATCAGGGCGGGCAGGTTGCTGGGCCGTGGGGAGCGGAGGCTGTAGGCCTCATATGCTTTCCGTGCCAGGCTGTGGACGCGTTCGCGTCTCACGGGGCAGACCAGCATGAAACCCCCTGCTACTACTCGCAGGGCCATTTGCTCGTTGATGTATCCATTGCGTTGTTGGCCACCCATTTCCCAATGCTGTAAATGGTGCTGTGCCGCCTCAACGTCAGCTTGCTTCCGACGTCCTGTATTACATGACGAGACCTGTTAGCTACGATAATGGACGCAATAGAGAACGGCCGTAGAGAACGATCGTAGAGCACTGACGATGGGCCCGCTGGTTGAGGCGGTTCTGCAGCTTTCTCCTGGTGGCTGCGCTGGTCACGCCGGTCCAGTCCTCGGTTGGATTGTGCGCATCCAGTAGCTGCGGCATGGTTTCCACCACTACCATTGAGGATGAGGCTGGGTCGGCTGGCAGCTCCATCGGGCGGGACATGGCAATTGGAATACCAGATCGAATCAGAAGTGCTGCTGAGCAGGAGTTGGATGTATCGTGTGAAGACTGAATGGGGCTTAGCTAGCGAGGTGACGCAGCTTTCTCAGGGGTTGTATGAATACGAGTATTCGTTCGGTCATTCCGAGGGTCGATGCTCAGATAAAGCTTGAATCCGAGTCATGGTCGCCCGCCCCATAAATAAACTCGGTATCGATGAGACTGACTATTACATACATGGTTAAGCGGCGTTACAATTCACGCCTAAAACGTGAGGCATGCTACGACAAAGGATATGCTTGCCCGTCAGGGACGTGGGGAAATAGGCACGGTCAAGGCGGAACAGCGTTCGTAGACGATGGAATACCCAAGGAGGATAATCGTAGGTGATCTCTCCTGAGACATGCCAGTCGCCGCCTTAATTTAGCTAATACCGCCTCTAACCTAGTCACAACCTTTCCACTTCGAAACATTTTGCACAGTGAGCCAATCTTCACGTGACTGTATTCGTCCATGATCCAAAGGCTCTTGTTGTTATCGTGTGGAAACAAGGTCGGGAAGAGACCCAGGAACGAATGGAACATTGCGCATCCGCCCTGATCCAGGGCTCTATTTTGACACAGGGGAATGGCCCATTCTTCCACTGGCGATAAGGTATGTCCGGGGCACATTTTCTTTTGTTGGTGGCGGGGGCGAAGCACGCTGCCCAGTATGGCCCCATATCACTATCAGCTCTTAGCTGTGGATGAAATCATGAATACTCGTATTCCCCGTAACACGAGTATAGCACCAAATGAGATACCGCGTCAACGAATGAACATATTACTGAAGGGGGAAAAAGAATTGGAATATAAGTCATCATTTGATCCAACAGCTAGCTTTATTCGTCTTCAAATCCATCCCCCTCACTCTCAACCTTGCTTTCTTCACATCATAACTACCCTTGTTGTCCGTCCCGCTTCAAAGATACTCACCCTTCTGCGTCTGCACACGTGCGAGTCACTTCGCAGCCGCCACCATGGCAACAAACGACCTCATGACGCCCGTTCCCGGCGTCGATCCAACCAAAGGCGGCTATTATATCTGGCGCTATCTGCCAAACCAAGGCGCATCCGTCGTCTTCCTTCTCCTCTTCCTTGCCTCATTCATCTTCATGTGCTGGAAAATCTGGAAGACCAGGGTCCGCTTCTGCATTGTCTTCGCAATTGGATGCTTATGTGAGGAACCATTGATCTTATCCACCCGCCATGTCGGTACTGACATACTTCATAAGTCGAGTTTATTGGCTTTGCAGCCCGTACAGCCGCACACAACAAGACCGGTCGAATCATGCCATACGCCATTCAAAGCATGTATATTCTTGTCGCCCCGGCCCTCTTCGCCGCCTCTATCTACATGACACTCAGCAGGATCATCTTGGGTGTTCAAGGCAGCAAATATTCCCTTATCAAGCCAAGCAGGGTAACAGCAATATTCGTTGGTGGAGACATCGCCACGTTTATGATCCAGGGAGGCGGCGCAGGGTTGATGGTGGTCCAAAAAGCTGGTTTTGCCACTTGGGGTGAGAGGATCATTCTAACTGGCCTCGTCATTCAGGTCGTTTTGTTTGGCTTCTTCATGTTTGTTGCTCTTATCTTCCATCGAAGGATGAGGCAGGCACCGACGCCCCGTTCCCTCGATTCTACCATTCCTTGGGAGCAAACCCTGATCATGCTCTATGCCGTGAGCGCTCTGATTATGGTTCGGTCTATTTTCAGGGTAATTGAGTATGCGCAGGGGCAGACGGGCTATTCTCTCTCTCATGAGTGGACTTTATATATATTCGACGCTCTTCCTATGTTTATCGTCACAATTTTATACGGATGGAGATTCCCCAGTGAACTCAAGCCGAAGGAAATTGAGTTTCACGAGGTTTGAGCCATCCTCAATTTAGTCTTAATCTATTCACTTCCTAATTGAAATGCAATTCCTGGATGGCTATGGAATTTCCCAGCATCTTTTTGGCACTTTATTATAAATAGAAGGTAGCTAACTCTACATCGCTCGGGGTATGATGCTCCCGTCTCGCGTGTCCTTGCCAGCTTCGTCTATAGAAGGGCAATTGGGTAGATCTCGATCAGAAGATACGTCTTGCAGAACTTAATTCGGCCAGCACAGCCAACATGCCCAATAGGCCCCGAGATGACTAGTAATTGCTCGGATCAAATACTGTCCTCCATCCCCAAAAGTCCACATGTTCCGATTCCAATGCAATATGACTGCATGGAATGCCAGTATTATGAGTGCCTCTGGTCGACGTTGATTGAGATGTTCAATGTAATCGTGATTAATAATAATGCAAAACGCAATAGCAGCATCCATGAAATAATTAAAATATAAATACTAAAAAATATTTTTATAAAATATAACTTTTTAATTAAACTGTAGTAAATATTTATTACTTTAGAATAATTTTATTATATTAAATTTGTAACAGTATACTTAGTTAAAATTTGCGCTTGAGAAAATTAAGCTCTGGAAATCCCAGGTCCGGGGAATAAGAAAGCTGTAAAGGCTGAGGTCTGGGTCGATATATCTCGGGGCTCGTCCCCGAGCTCTTCCTCCCCCCTTTCGCCACCTATTTGCCACCTGCAGTATCAAACATCTTTTTCGCTCAATCTTTGCACCGAGCCGGTTCCGTGCTTCCATGCCGTGATTCAGCGGTACTTGACAATGCGAGGCTTGTAGGCTACGGGAAACTCGCCGCGTTAGTTTTCCCACCTGCGCCGGGTGCCAGCGGCGCCGCCAGTCTTGCCAGTGTCCATCAACCAAGTAAAGCAACAATAGGACCCCTCACTTGATGATTCCCCTTACTTGACTTGGTTTACTCGACGACAGTGCCTAACTTTACTTGGTTGACATTACTCGACTAATTACCGCCTGCGATATGGGTTCTCTTTAAACTGCTGTACGTAGATCTGTGTGAGACCATAAAATGCCCAAATAGAGCCATGAACATAGTTTAAAATAAGCGGCTTAATATAGTTATTGCCTACTGATTGATGTGGGTTTTATCCTATGTATGGTGGAGGTAGATTATACATAGGTTTTTAGCCCTTTTTACCCGCTATTTCGTCACCGGCCCCAATCGCCTGCCTCTTTTGTATCCACCACCTAGCGAGCCTCCTGTCATGAGTTTCCATTTATTAATCGTTTAGAACACTGAGGTCAGTTTATATTACTCTATCGTAGGTAGTGAAGTATTGATTATCGTTTTGGAATCGACACTATAAACCGTTCGGATGATATATGTATGTCACTAGTATTACGTTCACACTTACATAAAACCCAGTCCTACTGGGATTGCCCTTTACCTGCGGCAAGGTTTGTACTAATAATTAAATTTCTTATTACCTAGAAGTGAGACATGCAACCGCCCAATTTCGGGAAGCTCGGCATCTGGTTTACGGAGTGCTGCCTCCTTATGTTCCGAGCCGGGATATTGAAGAGATCGTTTAACTCGTCTCCAAACCCAGTTTTCATCTGCTTGCGGATTTTCCCCATTTAAGTCCCTCTGAAGTTTTCATTCCCTATACCGGGCCCGGGCTGGTCAACCAATAATATCGTGTAGTGGCAATAATCTGACCGTGTATCTGGAACCTGCAGGACCAATAGCTAGCCTAGAAAGTCTTAAATGCAAACACCATATTAGCTGAGTCTCCAAACCCAGGAGACCACAAGTATAAGTACCTTCCCACTCACTTTCAAGAAAGCAATAGCCTCCAGGCACACACTCATCACTGGCATCCACCAGCGTCTCCCACGTCTCTCGAATACGGTAGGACCTCCCGGAACGATTGTAAACGTCTGGTTCTTTACTCACCTCGTTCAAGTCAGTACCTGCTCCTGGTCCTTTGGGTTAGAGTTGGAATTACGCCAATCATCCGCTATGAAGCTCTTCGAATTCGCCTCCATTGCCGCCGCAGTCATTGCTATTGCAACCGGCGTTATGGCCGCGCCGCAAGTTATCAGCACCTGCGTGTTGTGTGTCGACGCTACAACCACCGAGTCCTGTCTTGATTGTGCGAGGGGGAACAATTGTCCTAACAATGCTTGTGGAGGACTGCTGAGCTGCGCCAATTGCCGCGCCGTGGCCGGCCAACGCTGCCGGGACTGTCAGACAGCCGTCGGCTCCAGATGTCGCAGTTCCTTCACGTGCCCCAACTAGTCGAAGGGCTCGGAACCTTGGGAATTTCAATTCGGATAACTGCTACCTCGACTTCAGAGCTGTCTGTCATGGGGTTGCAATGTCACTCGTTTACAATTGTGTTCTTTATTATTTCGGAAGCAACTTACTCTTGAAGGAGCAAGAAGCAGATTATATAGTCACTCGTTTACTCTAACAATTTATCACTACATTAAAGTGGCATTGAGTATGGGGTGCGGAAGTTATATGAAAGTAACGTCCTTGTTGCCCAACTGCTCCAATTTAGTTCTGTTTGGCCATCACTCCTTTCATGGATACGTTTGCCGAGGTCTCTACTGCTCTTCCGACATCCTTTTGCTGTATTTGAGCTCAGCTTCGGGCTCCTCTTTGAAGCAGTTGTAATTAGCACTGTAGTTCGTTCTATGCATGTCAAGTTGCTACGGTAAATCTCTTCTAAGGAACGTATCTCCGCGTCTCCGAGGCGGTGCGTTAATGTATATTCCGACCGATCAGTTCGGCAAAGTGACTGGGTATGTCTCGGCCAAATCAAATGGAGAAAGAATACCTGTAGTTAAGTTCTGCTTAGTTATGAAGTATGGTCTTTACCTTAGGCTTCGGGATCTACTAGCCCGACTGAATTAATCAATACTGCAGCCGCTTGGGTGCATGCTGAGCCTAAAAAACACGTTCAGGTTATTGTGATGCCGCATCAAATTGCCTTAATCGTAGGACCTCAAACTTTAATCTTGATCCTGAAGTTAAGGGGGAACTCTCAGTTCTTCCAAAATCGTGCAGCTCTTTATTCTGCCAGCCAGACAGCTGTGGTCGCGAGCAGCATTATGGGGACAGCTGAACAGCATTCCAGGTGCTTGAGGGGACAGGCATACGTTGTCTTAGACCTGGCATATTAGTTAGGATATACTTCAGACTCAGCCTATTAACCAGGGGCTCTGCGGTATGTAAACCTCCGCTAAGATTACAGAATTCCCTCTGTATTCCACAATTTCCATATATGGCCCGGGCCCCGTGGTGTGGTAGTGAATCCACAAGAGGGTCTGATGGAATGGAGTGTATTTGATATATAAATCCATATGTGGATTTTGGTGGATTGGCTTTAAACTCTGTTACTCCTGCGGAAGTCATCCTTCTTCTTCGCCCACTGGACCTGCCGGTGGCTCCACATCTGGCGCTTCATCTTGTAGACCTCTATGGTTTGCATTCGTTGGGCCAGTTCTTCAAATCCGCAGCCCAGAGGAGGATCAGAAGGAGGCTCAAACTCCCCTGGGTCCTCCAGAACAGTGGTTGATTCGGGATTGACGTATTCCACGATTGTTATTCCGTCCGTCTAGAGAAGGCATATGGAATTCTCTCTTTACGCCTGTACTTCTCTTCTCCTCCCTTCTTGGGCTTCACTTTCTCCACGATATCTTCTGGGACTATAACCCTTGAGGTGGCTTTCTTAGTCAGTTTATCTAAGGTGCTCACTCTCATTTTAAAGTTGCTATCAGGATAATAAACCAATTATCGGAAGATATTAACGAATTTAACTATGATAGTATTATTATATAGACTAAAAACGTATCAAGTTTCAGTAGTAAATACAAAGCTGAGTCCAGGCACTACAAGAGTAACAATAAATAACACCGCAAGAAGCGTTAGCGCTCCCCACTGAGCCACCTCAAGCAGGTGTAGTATATAAATAATCACTTCACACTTACACACCGCGCCTTAAGCTCCTTAGCTATCAAGACACCTAGTTACGTCAAACTAACTTTAACACATTACCAAACTGTGACCTACATTACTCACCTCCACGTCCTGACCACACTAGAACTAGATTATCCATCTTGCGTCCCAGTCTACCCTATACCCCCGTACAGGGTCAGCCGGATTGCTACATGATGGTTAAATCGATTAACACAAGAACTGATAAAGCCGCGAAAAGAGTAGACAGTAAATAAGTACAGAAAAAAAAATCATCCGATGTTTAAATTGTTCTCGTTACCGAGTTAGTTTTCGGAGAGGAAAGGTTCGAAAACGGAGGCTGGATTGATGACCCCGAAGACGGACAATGGAGATATAGGACGACCCGAGAACCACGAGCCACTCACGAAGGCCATCCTCAGCCTATGTCAGGACATTTCGGGGGTAGAGGGTTTGGATGAATTCCTACGTGATGGGGACGAAAACACATTGCGAATAGGTGCAATGACATGCCGCAGGACTTCCATTCTGCTCTGTATGAAGTCTGAAGAGGACAACGAAAATGTGACACAGAACGGCTCGACATGAAGAATGACAGCCACCGCGGGGTATGACGGAAACCCAAGAACGGGTACTACTCAGTCTGGCGAGTTGTATAGAGTCAGAGATTGACCTAAACCGGCTTCGTCGGGAATAAAACTTGGCCTACCCGACGGCTTGGGTGAAGATCAGGATGCCCCTGACCTCAAGCAGCAGGTATACCCATTCCATCAAACACAATCTCCCTACAGCGACGCAAAAAGCCCGACACATCTTCCTCCGTATGCCATGCATCATTGTACGCGGCACTAAGGCATAGCTTCCCATCAAATGTACCCAAGAACAGACCCAGTCCGTTCCCGAGCTCCTCCCCAGTGACCCAGGCATCGTGGACCCTGAAGTCTCCCGTCTTCGGCGCCACAATGATATCCACACGGCCCATACTGGATATGGACACGGACGGATGAGGGTTTGGCGGCGGCACAGGAAGCGGGCGAGGAGACGGGGGCACCGTCGGATTTCCGATGGCCCAAAGATCAGGCGCCAAGACGGAATGCTCAGTGTCGTGGCGGACTTCGTGGTAAAAGTCCTTCATCTGACGGACAATGGAGTGGAACTCCTCCTTACGAAGCTCGGGGTCAGCCATCTTGCCCCCTTCCAGGAGATCCATGTCAACGACAAGACTCGGTCCAGAAACCGAGTGATACAGCGCGGCGGGGTGCTTGGTGGTATTGTACGGCTCGACGCAGCTCGATCGCTCGTTGCGGAGGATATAGTTGATGTATCGAACACGCTTCGATTCGGCGGAGGGAGGCTGTATGTCTCGGTCGACCATGGCAGCAGCGGCGTGGAAGAGGTGCGTCAGGGTTACCTCAGCCGCTTTGCAAACAGCCAGAAGGTGAGTAGTCTGCTCAGCTGACAGTGTGAGAGCCACGCGCTGATGCTTTCCAGGGACCAAGGCACCCTTTCTATATGGCAGGGCGAGTATCTCGATATCCGTCGCGGCTCTGACCCCGGCCTTCTGCGCAATGACGCCCTCGAGGCGCGTCTTTTGCTCGGGGCTGAGATCAACAGGAACATTGGCAGCGATGCGATAGGAAGGACTTAAGTTGACGACTTCGGACCCGTCGAATATGGGCAGCTTGAAGGTTGCCCCTTGCCTAAACGCGCGCGAGGCATGGCCGATCAGATTGTTGAGCATGATCAATGTTCCGATGCCATCGATAATATCATGAGGGGATCGAAAAACAAGATCGCGACGTATGACGGCGGGATGGGTCGAGACGGTGGTGGGCTTGACGACGAAGAGTGTCGGGAGACGAGGGGCCGGGGGATCAGAGTTCGCCCATTCAAGGCCAGTCTGGCCTGTCGAGACGGGGACAAAGGTGTTCTGAAGCCAAGCGATCCGGTCATTCTCGTCTTTGAATTGGGTGTAAGACTTGGTCCACTCGTTCTTCTCGATGTTCTGGGTGATCTGAGAGGCGAGTGTTGGGTGGTCATATCTCAGGCTGAGCCACGCCTTCTCCAACGCCTTGTCAACTTCCTGTCCCACGGCGTCGGCGTCCATGTTCTTGGGCACCTCGACGGAGAGTGACAGGAAGCCGGTGATGCCAAAGAACATGCGGCCACTGGCCTCGTAGAGGACAACCATGGAGGAGTAGAACTGCTCAATCTCGTCGATCCCGCGCTGCCAGACGCCCGGAGCGACCTGGCTCCAGGTCAGGTGAGGATACGCATCGGCCATGATTGGTATTGAAACAGGCGAGGAGGAGGACTTTGGCGAGGTAAAAGAAGAGTGTAGTGTAGAAACTCAAGAAGGGTCCCTGGGGCAGCACGTCGAAGGCTTTTGAGGTCATCGTGTCCCCGTCTTTGTCCGGTAATGCGGGCCGGTTTCCGTCCAACTTGGAAGGCTTCGACTCCCCCGCAGAACAGGCGGGGGTGTATGTAATAGCGGGATTGCCTCGGCGATCTCATTCGGGTGTCCGTCCATCCTTCAGCTAGCCCAGCGGGGATAAGCTCGCCAAGGCTGGTTGGTGATGAGGGGACACCCGAATGAAGTAGTTAGTTGCTTCGGATTTAGGCCATCTCGCGGCCTAAAATTGGGCCGGGTGGTTCTCTCAGTTCCCAGAATAGGTAGTCCTGGCTTGGAATGTTCCCTGGTAAACATGTACCAACCAGGTCGTCCTGGCGCCGGGCAACGGGTCTGGCATCACCTCCCTACCAAAGCGGAGTAGATCTCCTGGCATGATGTAAACGAGACTGGAAGCCAATCAAATAACGTACTTCTCGAGCCGACCAATGAATCCTCTTACAACCCGAAGTCCGCCGCAAACCTCCGCCACTCCGCAATTTCACCACTATTTATACTCCATTAACAAGAATGGCAAATCGCTAGAATTGATCTCCATTCTGTGTGTGTCAGTAAGTCGAATATTGAACGCTATGCATCTACTTGTTTTAGGGGCCACAGGCAGAACAGGCGTGTACGCTTGTCAATATGCTCTCGAGCAAGGTTGGTCACCAAAATCAAGCCCCTCAATCTTGATGCAAACTGGTAAACACAAATGGAATTTGGATAGCTAACAAGACAGCTGCCAGGTCATCATGTTACTGCCATAGTCAGAAACATTTCCGCCCTTTCACCACGTGACAACCTGACGATAGTTCGTGGTTCGGTAGTGTCAGAACAAGACATGGACAGTGTGTTAAGGTCAGCACAGGAACCTATTGACGCCGTGGTCCAATGTCTCAACACCTCGAGCCTCAGCCCGCCAAGGCTCATGGCGGATGCTGCAGCCAACGTAGTGCGTGCACTGCGACAACACCGATCCCGCAAAGATAGAGTCCTGCCATGCTTGGTCGTCATGAGCGCCATCGGCGTGGGTGAGAGTCATAAGGTAGCGCCGTGGCTTTCCAATCTGTTGGTCGACTATCATAGCGGCACGGTAATGATATATAAAGACCACAATGAACTCGATGGGGAGATTGAGGAAAATTGCGGCGCCGAGGTCGATTGGATACTGGCTTTGCTGAAGATATTACCACGTGCTCAGGCAGACTGGGTGCTCATTTTGCTGGAGATAATGGTGAGATGGCTAGATTCAGAGTCAAAACGTGTCAAAGCATGGAGACTTTGTAAAGGTCCCTGACGCTTTACCCGCTCTCCTTACATGGCATTACATGACAGAGGCCTACTAGATGCGTTAACGGAGTTTCTCTTTAGTAGTAGTTGCCTGTAGTTCAACGATGCCCTCGGGTGTAAATTCAAGACTGGGCTCTCGACCCCTCTCACGGTGGATGTGCCCCGGGCGTCTTGTCCGTAGATGCTCGTCAGCCTCGAGTGAAGTATAGATAGCCCTCGATCCAAGACAGTCTTGACCCAACCACTTCTGCATCTTCTGGATCATCAGAATCAGTGTCACGATAGAGTCCACCGGTGTAAAGCTTCTCCTCCTCTATATCAACCACTTCACGCGCTAGCTGTGCCGTAACAACTCCATGTCAGATGCCTTACCAGCCTGCAGCAGATTCGAGCATCCGAATGGCCCAACGCCTGATTGAAGGGGCTTGATACTTAAGAGCCATGTAATGCAATGATGGAATCAACCCCAGCTAGCGTTAGGGTCTAGGCCAGTCCGTTATGGCCAAGGGAAACGTGCGCCTAGACGTCTACAATAGCTGCCTAAACAATGACGACGAGGTGTGGAGACTAGAAAATCCCTCCGTAAAGTAGCTATCGTAGATGCATTCTGGTGAGAGCCTGCATAGAGGCAATGGCCAACTACCATAAGATGACTCTTTTTGTTGAAACCGAGGTTGTGTGCTCGTTCGTCTGTGTTCCAACTAGTATATTTCCTTCCACCATTTTTACTCAATGCGTAGAGCCCGAAGCCAGCACGGCGTGCAAAACTGCCGTTTGCGTGAGACAGGCTACAGGAGAGTCCGTCTCAGAATCGTGAAGCAATATCAGTGCTTGACGCTAGCTCGAAATCCGAACCACCTCGGACTTGAAGTCGGGTTAGGCGCCTTATTGGTCTAATCGGGAATTATGTACCGAGATTGGGTGGTGATCTCTGTGAGCCTCTTCCTTTCATTTAACTTTAAAAACATATTATTCGTCTTGTCGCAAATGCTGGTCTTGGGTCGTCTTGGATGCCGCTGTTCCCGGGATGATTGTCAAGTGCACTCAAACTCCGTCAAGTCCGCAAATCAGGTCAATAATATATAAGACCGGTGTTCCAAGATCAAAAGAGCTCTATTCTGACGACTCACAGTTCCTCAACAACCCTTCTTACCGTCGATAAATACAATCCTGCTGAAACGGGCGGCATTCAGATAGTTCTTCTGTCTTACTACTTTCAGCGTCATCATGCCGCACCCCTACAATCCCTCGAGGGACATCCCGAGCCTGGAAGGAAAGGTCATCCTGATCACTGGCGGCAATATCGGTCTTGGCAAACAATCTGCCTTGGATCTCTCTGGGCACGGCCCGGCCGAGATCTGGCTTGCTGCACGGAATGCCCAAAAGGCCGATGCTGCACTCGCGGAGCTCCGAAGCCACGCACCTGACGTCTCTGTTCGGTTCCTGCAGCTTGATCTCGCCTCGTTCGAATCCATCAAAAGTGCCGCTCGCACCTTTACATCCGCCGTTTCTCGCCTCGACATACTCCTCCTGAATGCCGGTGTTATGGGTTGCCCCCCGGGAAAGACTAAGGAAGGGTACGAGATGCATATCGGAACAAATCACGTCGGACATGCGTTGCTTCTCAAGCTCCTGACCCCTCTATTGGCCAGAACCGCGACTGACCAGCCGCGTTCGGGAGTTCGGGTAGTCACCGTGAGTTCGGTCGCACACAAGTTCTCCGTTTCAGGGGGGATTGATTTCGACATGCTCAAGACGAACGGCGAAGTCTCATCGCCGAACAACCTCTATGGGCAGAGCAAACTGGCAAATCTCGTGTACGCCACGGAATTCGCGAAGCACCATCCGGAGATAACATCCGTGTCTATCCATCCGGGGACGGTGAAGACGGACCTCCAAACGGGAGGGGGAAACTTGCTTATGCGAGGTTTCCAGAGATTTGTGGTTCCCCTGATTGGGGTTGAGGTTGACGAAGGCGTCAAGAGCCAGCTCTGGGCAGCGACTGCGGCAAGCGTGAAATCCGGAGAATATTACGAGCCTGTTGGAGTCGCCGGAAAAGGCAACGCGCTATCCAAGAGCGAGGAATTGGGGAGGAGGCTTTGGGAGTGGACCGAGAAGGAACTTGCTGGACATAATATGGCGACTTGATCCAAGACCATGATGTGCTATTGAGTGCAGATGGCTCATAAAGGTTCCGGGTTGTCTCAAACCTGCAGGGTACAAGGGCAAGCAAGACGAACCCCTCCACTTAGCTATCAATCCAAAGACCAGTTCTCCGCTTCTAAACGAGATTTGAAATCTTGCCTGTTGTTGAAATCTTCGGTTCTCGTTGCAAAGGTTGGGAAGTGTGGTGGTGTCGGGCGGGTGGCGGCATTTTGGACTGTCGCCTCCTATATATGTCGCCGAGGTGATAAAGGAGTGAATTTATTCGTGTTGTCCCCGTTATAATAGGAATAGAAAAGAAGGAGATGGATCCCCGTCCAATACACACTACACGGTGAGTTTCAATTGTACTAATTCAGTCCAGACCCAATTGTACATTATCAGCTAAGTGGGACTAAGATTCTAGGGCGGCGAATCAACGTGGTAAAATCCCGAGCCGACAAATCACGGCCTACCATTTGCCCCCATCAAACCTGTGGTGTGACAACCGGACCTGGCTAACTGTAAGTTACGAAAACACACGACCCTTTCGAGGTTGAGGGGTGTACTATTTGATGGCTGGCGTTCTCTTAATGTAAGGAGAGTGCGGAAACCCATTTGGCCTGATTCCCAGTGGCATATGAATTGCGATACCTTCAGTGTCAGCTCGAACAGCTGATGCTTTTGGGGAGGGAACGAGAAATCCAGCTCTGGTCCCTCAACGGCAGTTCAGTGATGGATAGGCGGAGCGACTTTCTTCGAAGATCACCTACAGCCGCTTGTGGGTCCGTAATAGGGTTGTGCTAGTCGACGGGATGTCCATAAGCTGCAGGGTCATGGAGTGTCTTATCAATCTAGCGGTCTAAGAAGGCTTTCACTCAGGAGTCAGTCATGGACTTAGACTACACGTTTCAGAGGCTGACAAACCGCAAAGACGACAGCCCTCACCGATTACAAATCCCAGTCCTCACGGAGTCCGTCAACATTCCGAGAGGGGACCAGAACGATTGCTATCAGCCGGATGCAAAAGTAGGATTTATCAACTGAGGGCATAAGAAAGACTTAAAAGCTCATGTTGCCACACAGTCAACTTCCAAAAAGCATTCCTAACAACTTTGGTCATCATTCGAAACAAGGAACAAGGACTCGCTGCCAAGATGAAGACAGCTTTGATCAGTACCGGACCAACTGTCGAAATTGTCGACTCTGAGGTCCCAGAGCCTGGCCCAGGCCATGTGCTGATAAAGGTGTTTGTCGCTGGGAGTAATCCTAAGGACTGGTAAGTGGTTTCTGTATCCTTCAGCGTTCCTTGAGAGGCGAGCCACACAGCTGAAGGGATGAGCCAGCTGACACAAGTTTGTGACGACAGGAAAGTTTCTGAATACCATGGTCTACAGCGGTTTAACAGCGGCGATGACATTGCAGGCGTAGTGCATGCTGTTGGACCTGGCGTGTCCGAGTTCCAACCCGGTGACCGCGTTGCCTCGATGCACAACAGCGTGACACCGGCCGGAGCCTACGCTGAGTATGCCATTGGCCCTGTTGATACAACATTCCGCATCCCTGATGGGACATCGTTGGAGGAGGCAGCAACTATCCCGCTTGCAGCCCTCACCGCCGCTGTGCTGCTTCATAGAGGCCTCGACGTGCCTGAGCCATTCTCAATCCATCACGACGCAGTCAACATGGGTCCCCTCGTCGTGTACGGTGGAGCCAGCGCTGTTGGTGCCTTCGCGATCCAATTCGCCAAGCGAAGCGGATTCAGCCCAATCATTGCCGTCGCCGGGCGTGGCATCTCTTTTGCAACGTCCTTTCTCGACCTCAGCCAAGGCGATGCTGTTGTGGACTACCGCACTGGCAGCGAAGCCGTGGTTGCGGGCATACGAGCAGCGTTGAAGGGCGCCAAGTTGAAATATGCGTTTGACGCCGTCAGATCTGGCGGCAGCTATTTCGATCTCTGCAAGGTCCTAGAATCCGACACGGCCGAAGGTGCCAAGGCCTCGAAACTTGTTACCGCACTTCCTATTCCAAACCTGCAGGATGCATCTCACCCTGCCGCAAAGGAAGCTGGCATTGCAGGTGCAGAGTACTCCGAGTTTCGCCAGCCTCCAGGTGTTGAGACGGTCTCGTTTGGGGTAACCATGCTGCATGATCCCTCGAGCGAACGGAACCGGGATTTCGGGTATGTCTATTCTCGATACCTATCCAAAGGCCTTCGAGACGGCTGGCTCAAGCCACACCCATTTGAAGTACAGCCCGGCGGCTTGAACGGCATTGAAGAAGGGCTACGCAAGATCAAGGCGGGAGAGGCAAGCGCAACCAAGTATGTGTATAGAATCAAGGAAACCCCGGGTCTCGAGGCTTGATGAGCATTGCATGGATTGAGGTCAAGATATCAGGCGATATTTTGTCTACAATACACTATGATCATGATACGAAACAGAGTTTTAGATTACATTCTACCAATGCCTTCTTTATACAATCAATTTATTGCCATTTATATTTGGCCCCCAATCTGCGACTGGCCTTCTACAACAATTTAGCTTTCTCGTAATTTTCATTTTGCAGGGCACTGTATATTAGTTATTACCCGCAAGGGAGAAGTAGTGAGGCATGTATCCGGTAACAAACCCGATACCGATGAAGTGCTTGGATGTGTAATGGCCAGGATAAGTCCGCCGCTGCATCATCCTTACCCTTCATAATAAATCATGCAGGAATATGGAGCCAGGTTGAAGTCTTGTCGGAAACCCGTGGCATTGTTGCCGTCGGACTTTGTGAAGATTAGAAGGCAACAAGGTTCTTCAGATCAACCCACAAACTTTACGAAGTCCGGCGTCGTAAAGTAACTGAGGCTAAGAAAGAACACAGCCAATAGAGTCGCATAAATCCCAATTAGCACCCTGGTCCGGTGCCACTCTTAGTTTTACAAGCAAGCCCCAATCCTTACTGCCTATTCCGGTAGTATTTCCAGCTTAGGAACTAAAGTAGCCAACCCACCAGACATCAAATACGACAAGCTGGCGAATAGACTAAAGGAAATCCCGACTGAACCAATCAGAAACGCTGCTATTATTAAATCTAACCTTGGCTTGTCCACTTCTTAGTCATCCTGACTGTGTATACACCAAGCTGAAAGGGCGCGGGCGCGACTGACTGCCGACACAAGCTTCGCTTTCCCAGTCTTGCGTGCATAATGGACAAAACAACACCTAGCCCTCTGAACAGCTCCAGTAAGAGAGTTTACTCGAAAGCTGGCTGTCACACTTGCAAGTAAGAGTTTCCCGCCACGGCCAATAGCCGTCCATACTTTCCGAGGAGCCGAGTACATCTGATCCACCCTGCCAACAGGATCCGACGACTCAAATGTGACCAGGGGAGACCAGGTTGCCGACGATGCCTCTCCACCGGCCGCGTGTGCGATGGCTACGGTGTCTGGGGCGGAGGAACAGGCATGAGCGCATTGATGCCCAACACGTTCCAGACAGCCCCGAACCTGTATGATATGTCGACGCGGCGTCGACTCGGCCCGAGCAATCACCTAGAGCGAGCTGGCTTCGACTGGTTCAGAAACCGAGCGGCCGTCAAACTATGCGGGCTTTTCGAGTCGCGCTTCTGGGATACCTTGGTCTTGCAGGCGTGTACGACGGCCCCGGCAGTCTTACATGCTATGTTGGCCTTGAGCTCTGCGCACAAGGCGGAGATGACCGAGGGGAGCCGGCCGGAACGCGAACAACACGAACGGTTTACACTGGAACAGTACAACAAGGCCATCGGCTGTCTTCGTCCCCATTTTACCCAGACTGACCGGGACGGCGAGTCGGCTCGTGTGGTTCTCATTACATGCGTCGTCTTTGTCTGCCTGGAGCTGCTTCGAGGGAGGTATGTTGAGGGCCAGACTCACCTCCATAGCGGACTCAATCTCCTCAGTCAGCTCCAGGCCAAGTTACATACTCCTGGGACTCAGGGTGTCCTCGTCCTGGGCCACCCTCAAGAGTCTGTCAGCGATAGCTACTTGCTTGAGGCATATTCCCGCCTTTACGCCCAGTCGTCACTTTTTGGACAAGTTCTGGGGGCTTTCCGCAAACCGTACACCATCGCCACCGTCATTCCGGACGCAACCTTCCAAGCCCCACCTCCCATATTCAATTCCATGAACCAAGCAAGACAACAGCTTGACGGGCTCTTCAACACCATTCATTGCCTCACAGTCCGCTTTCCACGGAAAACTGTCGTCTGGGATGTCCCGCAAGCGTTGCTCGACGGGCAAAGTCGCATCCAGACATGTCTGCAGCTCTGGCGCCAGGCTTACAAGGTTTCCCGTCTCACCCTGACCTCGCAGCTCAATCTCCGAGACGCGCTATCGTACCCGCTTCTGATGATATATCACACCATGGCCGTCGTCGTGGCGGCGACATGTCTCACGCGGGACGAATCCATATTCGACTCTTTCGAGGCGGCTTTCGCCTCCGTGGTGTCCACTTGCGAGGAAATATTGAAGGCCGCATTTCAGGTCATGGTTGCAGACACGGCAGCGGGATATTGTTCCGAGGAATTCAGCTTCACGGCTGACATCGGACTGATTGCGCCGTTGTATTACGCAGCTCTCAAGTGCCGGGTCCCCTCCATTAGGCGTCGCGCCATCAAGATGCTTGAGATTGCCACGCACAAGGAAATGATTTGGAATGGGGCTATTGCGGCACAAGTTGCCCGCGAAGTGGTCAAGTTAGAGGAACAGGGGCTCTGGAGCGATCTGTCCTGCGTTGATATGAGCCCTGACTCTTTCTATCACGATGCGGGCGACGCCCAGTTAGCCAGCTTGAGAGTGCCGGAGTGGCATCGAGTTCATGAAGTTGTTCTGAATCTCCTTGATGGCTTGCCTGGGAAGGCTGTCCTGACTTGCGAACGGAGACGAGAAAATGGGGAGTGGGAGTTGTTGGAGAAGCAAATGGACGTGTGCTTTGCTTCTTGACGCAGCCGGTATCCTTAAATATAAATTACGCTTTATTCTAATCCTGTGACTCCCAGTAATTTATTTCTACCCCAACTAGCATCCTGAGATATATAGCGGCGCGAGGTGGTCACCAACATAAAACCAGCTGGTTCGCGGCATTTGTACCATGCCCACTCAATGTTCGCAATAGGGTGGCGGAGCGATCTCAGGGATGCTCTCGTAGTCTCCCGTTCTCTTCTCGTCTATACAATACTTGGGTGGAACATGAAGTCCTTCGGCGAGTATGTCCAGCGCGTTGCTGGTGAAGTTCTGATTCTCCTGCACAAAGATGCCCCAGCCATTGACCGGTAACTCTGGTGAAACGAATAGAATAATTGGTATCGAGGATTCATACTAAATGAACGTTAGTTGAGTGTTTAGGAAGCAGGTTTCGAGATGTTACCTCCGATACGGTGCCATTACTTTGCATCAAGGTCACCGCAAAATACAATGTGTGACTTATCGAAATCATGCAGGCGCTCAAGTCGGGAGAACACTTCCTGACGATCCTTGGTAGGTCAAGGCACTGCTGCCAGGAATGCATCTGACCTCGTGTGTCGTGTATCGTCAATGGCCATTCCATTACAGTACGCTGTCCTTCATAAGCCAGCCGGCCTGGAACAGTTTCGTCTTGTAATGAGTGCACTTCGCGCAAGAAGAACCTAGCCTTGACGACTTGGACTCCGGGCTCGAGTTTTGCAAGCTGGGCATCCACAGGAATCAATCCCCCGAGAGCAATCGCCTGGTGAGCCATCGATACGTTGTACTCGACTTTCCCAGCCCACTTCCCATGTGTTGTTATGGGATCTATTAGCTCGTATGCAGACAGCGCCGGGCAACGAATGATGCGGATAGGTGCAAAGTCCCAGGAGCTGTTAGAATTGTCTTCGCTGAAAGCCGAGGCCTCCAACCTGTAATTAAGGCTGCACCGGCTGCATCCCCGGAAAGACTCTTCTTGATTTCCATCGATGAAGAGCTCAAAAGGCCACTCGTATGTCCGGCCATTTGCACACGTCCGGCTGATTTGGTCTTCGGTCAGAAAGGGCTCCCACTGATGGAAAAATAATTCCTTAGAAAGCCACTTGGCGGATTCGTCTGTGTCTGCTTGATGATCTCTGGGAAGTTGTCAGAAACAATCTCCCAAGTTCAGAGCTGCCGGCTTACCCAAGCAAGATGCGTCCCGTCATTCGTAATCGAACCCCCAAAATACTCTCGCCATTTGGCTCGAACAAAATCAATTTACCCCGAAGATACTGCCCACGGGCTTCCTCTCCACTCCCGAAAAGAAAGACGAAGTCGCACGCTGGTCTGAAAACGAAATTAGCCAAATTTTCGTTGGTCGGATTGCTTGCTCAGGATTATTGTGCACCGAATTGTGAGACGGGCTTTGGGTGCCCCAATAAACCTTTTTAAAAAGGACCGCATGTTGAGAGTCAGCGACAGGGATTTTTGGGTGGCAAGTGGACAATATTGGATCGCAGGAGATAGCGTTATGATGATTTTGGCGCAGGTCCCAATATCCAAAAAACCGGCAATGCAGAATGCAGTTCACCGCGAAGATCTCTTTCTTTTTCTTTGAATGGAGGGTAAGGACAGTATCAAGCGGGTGCAGAGTTCTGGGCAGATTCGGCTCGTGTCGTTATATGAGAGCGCCAAAGGCTTAAAATAGAAAGGATGGGCTGTGATGATGACCAAAAAAAAACGTACAATAAGACTAATTTACCTTACTTATGAATGCCTGCTGAATGTCCCATCATCCTTCATGAGATCGGACCATGGCTGTCGGAGTCGGAGTCGGAGATTCACAAGACTCGGAGATCTTGGAGCATCGGAATTGACTGAATCGGAGATGATGTCACCATAACGCGGTCAGCTGGGACTCTTTCCACAAACGGTTAAGTCAGTGTTCTCCCCCGCTCATCTTGTTCCCATTTCGTCATGATACCTTTTTCGTTAACTCCGACATTTGCTTGCTACGTCACATCAAGAAAAAGGTCAGACGTATAAATATCGTACGCCTAGATTCAAGGTTCTTCTTTCAAAAATATCCTGACTGCAGCAGTCTGTCGATTTGCAGTTAATTTTACATTTTATTCATCTTGCCCCGATCAAGTTTCAGGCCATCATCAACTTGTCACGGCTTTTACTATGAAGACCATTGCAGTTGCAGGAGGAACGGGGGGCGTTGGTAGCACCATTGTCGACGGCCTCGTCGAGTATGGTAAACACAAGGTCTATGTCCTCTCCCGAACGGTACGAGTTCCTCTTCGCTATTTGTTGCACGTCTAACAGTTATGCTCTAGGAACGGCCGTCACATGGAGGTGTCAACTATCTCAAGGTTGATTATAATGATACCGATGCCGTCGCTGAGGCCTTCGAAAAGGTCGGGGTTAATATTGTGATCTGCGCTATCAGCGTACTCTCGCCGGCAACCAACCAAGCACAAAAGAACCTCATCCGCGCAGCCGAACGATCAACGTCTACAGAGCGTTTTGTCATCAGTAGCTTTGACGTTCTGCAAGTCAAAGAGTAAGTAGCGATGTGATTATTTCCATGGGCATGTACGCTGACTGTCAACGCAGGGACATTGAGCTATCTCCTCTGGCACGTTACGTTTTTGAAGCTATTGATGAGCTGGAGAAGACCAAGCTTGCATACACGCGTATCGCTAACGGCTGGTTCCTTGACTATTACGGCATGCCAGTTTGGAAAAGTCACCTCGAACCGTGGATCAACATTCTCAACATGAAAAGCAAATGGGCAGTGATTCCTGGCGACGGAAGTATCCAATGCAGTTTCATCACCTCCCAAGACATGTCGAAATTTGTTGCCCGCTTGATGGACTTGCCAAAATGGAATACCGTCAGCGCGATCACTGGCAACACGCTATCATACAACGAACTCGTAGAGATGGCAGAAAAGGCTCGAGGTGAGTTGCTCAATCGAAACGAGTATATGCCGCATGCTAACGGAAGGCAGGATGCAAGTTCCAGATCGGAAACGACAGCCAGGAGAAGCTCAAGTCGGGGAAAATCTCGTTCTTCCCCGACTACCCCTCCATTGGACACGGGGAAGGCGACGAGGCCTTTTTTGCCATGATTCATTATCAAGCTTCCCTCGGCCGGTATCTGGTGCCGAGAGAGTACCCACCCCTGGATTCTGAGTTTCCAGATCTGAGGATTACTACGCCTTTGGAGGTTATGGAAACAGGTTGGAAAGCCGAATAGCCCCAATTCGTGGGCAAATTGCGTGTGTTGTTGGGATTTTCGGTCCATAGTTGTGTCATTCTACAGCTAATTTGTGCCTTCTCCACGGCTTATTTCTAATCATAATTTTGACAGTCTATGTGACCAAACAAAATAGTTGTTACTACTGGAGAGCGCCTTCTGGATGTATGGATCGCTCAATTGCAAGACGTGAGCCCAGATGCTGTCGGAATTTATATATATCATTCAAACTCCGTCTCAGTCCAAAGCCACAATTTCTTCGCCAAGTCGCTGTCCTTGGACAGCTGATTCCCCTTTGCCTGAGATAAGGTACCGATGAGAACATAATTCTCCCCGTTCTCGACTCCCTTTGCCGTGGCCGCCCACAGCTAAGACTTGGCCCGTTCCTCAACGCTTACTCCGATGAGAGGAGCTACGTGCTTTTGTAATGCACTCACCATCCAGCTTCCATCGTTTGACTTCTGCAGCTCGGTCTTGAGAGTACCAAGATGTATCGATACTGCGTTATGCTCAGGGTGGCGTGCGGCGAGCTCTTTTATGAACAGAATATTGGCCAGATTGCTCTAGTCATGGCGATCATTTTTGGCACACCAGCGGCAGATGACTTGGGGGCAATTGAACTGAATGTGTCTGAGGGGCCAAACTTGTGGGCAACTGAACCAACGTCAATGACTCGCACATCAGTGCCACATGGGGAGCAGGCAGTGAGAGTTAGATGTGGTATCAACTGATTCGTCACTGCGGCATGGCCCATATAATTGCAAAGGCAAGGAAACCGCCGAACTGGGCTTTACTCACTTGCATGCGAGAGTTCACGGAGTAATAAAAATAGCTGTATAATTTAGATAAATGATAAAATAAAATATATAATTAAATTTTAAAATTAAATTTTAAAGTATCAAGAATAATACAAGAAATGATTAATATAATTATTAACGTGCATGATAAGCATGCCGGTCAAACAAGCTTGCCAGTCAAAAATTATCACCCTCAATCTAGAAATTAAAATAAATACACAACAAAGCATCTAATCAATTAGAACTAATCGCTATACTCTTCTCCAGACATCGCAATAACTACCTGACATGTTCTTGCGTTATGACCAGTCTTGCCGCATATTCCACAACGCCTTTCCTTCGGTCGCGCCGACCCTCCTTGACCACGATGTCTCGACGATTCGGCCACTAACTGCGCATCAAGATCCTTCTGATCAATTACATCCCTTCCTTCATCTACAGTCATCTTCCCTCCATTCCGTAGGCGGTTTTTTTTTGCTCTGCGCCGCTTGCTAAGAGTCTCATTTGCCTGTCGAAGGATCTGGTTCTCAGACTTCAATAATGCTATCTGATGCATTATTGCCTTCGTTCCCTTAGAAAATGACTTAAGCGCGTCAACAATAGATGCTGGAGAGCTGCCCTGGTGCCTTCTGATTCGTCTTTCAAGGTATTCGGATTGAGAAGTGGCCTCGAGGACGGTCTTTGGCGTCTTGGGCACCCAAGGGTCAGGGAGGCTGGCCTCCTCCTCGACGGGTGTTGGAGTCCGTAGCTGCACATCAAGCTTTGATATGACACTTTCCGGGTCCAAAGGAACAAGCCCGGCCCCTCGAAAACCTCCCTTGATATTACTTTCTGTCATAGCGGCTTGGTGGGCGGCGTAAAAAGCCGGAAAGAAGTCAGTCTTTGAAACGTGGGTAATCGAGCATCTAATCAACTGCTCAATTTCTCGACCGTATGTGTTTTTAAGCGGCCCAAAGCACCCTACATCAAGAGGTTGAAGTAGATGAGACGAATGAGGCGGCATACAAAGCGTAATAATGTGGTTTGCTTCGCAATATTTCTCAAAGTCAACCGAGTAGTGACTTTCATACCCATCGAGGATCAGAAGACAATAGCAACCAGTTAATCGGGCCTTTGTGTGCCGGTCAAAGTGCTTAAGCCACTCAAGACCTATCTTATTATCTGTCCAGCCATTTTGAGTCGTCGCAATAGCCCAATCGCCCGGGAGGTTGCTTTCTCGGTACCAGTTGGCGAGGTGATATTGGCCCGCAACCACGATGAACGGCTGGATCGCCCAGCCTTCCGCATTGATCGCCTGGATGACTGTAACCCACTCCCGATTTCCAGGCTGGACTGATTTTGGGTTTCCACGTCTTTCTGCGCCTGTGACAACTATACCGCTTGCAATCAGGCCCATCATAAAGCCGGTCTCGTCAAAGTTGTAGATATCAGCGAGGGTGATACCATATTTCGCGATTGTATTCTCCACGAGCCTGAACCAATCGCGAATAATAGTTGGATCTTTGCATTTGGCTCTCTGGTAGTCGTATTTACGAAAAAAACGCGTCTTGAGCGCTGGTTGTCGCCTGACGAAGTTTGAAGCCCAGCGCTTGCCGACAGGCGACGCGTCGCGGTCGGCGAGCAGTCGGTTGGCCATTTCTTCAACACCACGCAGTCGCGGAGGAAATCCTCGCGAATCCAGGTCGAGAATGAACTGAACAATGATCTGTTCCTCTAGATCGGATAGTTTACGTGATTTGGGGATCCAATCGCAACGAGCAGTGACGCCATTCTCTCGGTCAAAGAGAGTACTATACTTGACTTGATAGATCTTTGCGGCGCGTCGGAGACTTAATTTTGGGTCATTTCGATAGGCTTGAAGCGCAAGAAGGATATTTGCCTTATTATTTGATTGTGGTATCTTGACTGGTTGAGAATTGATTGATTAAGTAGGAAGATGAAAGGTTGAGGGATTTTTGACCGGCAAGCTTGTTTGACCGGCATGCTTATCATGCACGTTATGTTATTTTATAATAATTATATTAAGTTATTAAAATTTAATAAAAATTTAATATCTCTTAAAAAAGAATTAGGAAAATAAATTATATATTTTTATTAACTATTTTTACTATTAAAAAAGGATAACCTGTTTTTCTTTTTTTAAAACAAAAGATTCAGTAACGAATACAGGGTAGCTCAAAAATTAAACCCACAGTCACCTGACAGCAGCTAAAACCGAGCCCGAAGGCAATTCAACTGTGCCAGCTTACTAAAGTCCGATTTTCAAGCTCCGACGCTCAAGTCCGATTCTCAAGTCCGATCATCATCAAGACATGGCACACGAGACTCGGGTTGGAGCTCCCCTTGTCACGCGATACGATTTGACGTGTGTCTCAGCTGAATCCCGTCGCCCGTCCCGATAATGGCGACATCTGCTGGCATGCAACTGGCAAGTCCCCGAAGCCCACATTCTCTTGGTCATGATCGGGACCCGAAGCGCCGCACAAGGAAGCCAGTTAGCTGCGAACCATGCAGACACTCGAAACTGAAATGCGATCGCCAACTGCCCTGCGCCACCTGTCTTCGAAGAGGCTGGCAAGAGTCATGTTCCTACGACGCGACCCCCAAGGCCACTCGCCGCTTTCCTCCTCGGAAGAAGACTCAGCCCAGACACTCCCGGAGCGAGCCTGAATCGGAGATTCCGGTAGCCAGCTCACCGGAGCCAGCCTCACCGCAAAACCTGGCTACACTGCCCCTAACAACTGGATGGGATGCCATATTGTGTCGGCCGCCTGTGGTAACAGCCCCTGCACCAACAGACGCCCCCGTCACGCTACCTTTTGGACCGAGTATACCAAAAACAGAGCTGCTTGGGATGCTACCCCCAAGTTCTATCTGCGACTACTTGATATCACTGTATTTCATCCAGCTCTCTCCACTCTTCCATGTCCTCCACGGGCCGACCTTCCAAGGCCAGTACTCAGCTTTTCTACGAGACCCTCAACAGGTGGATCTGGCTTGGCTAGCCTTGGTTTTTGCCATCTGCTCACTCACAGTGAGAACGGTTGACCCTGTCGACCCTGCCCTAGAAGAGATATGGGAATCTGCGTCGTCGCCTCGAGATCTGCCTTTCCTATCCCAGCAATATCGAAATGCCGCCATGATGTGCCTCTCGCAGGATCAATTCCTAGTCCGCCACAATCTCAGCACCCTGGAAGCATTGCTGGTTTTAATACATACAATATCACATGGTGATGGAGCTGAGCATGGCTGGGCACTTCTTGGAAGCGCCCTCAACATTGGAATTGCCCTTCGTTGCTATGTCGATCCCGGCAGAACCAACCTTATCGAACGAGAGAGACGTCGGCGATGCTGGGCGGGCATTTTGATTCTGCATACTGTTCAGGCGCTCGTTTTCCGGGACATCGACTTGTCTTTCCTTAACAACATCAAAGCTCAAATGCCAGCTGAGGTCAACGATGAGGATATACAAGAGGATGCCATCATAATGCCACAGAACCGGCTGCCGTCAGCTCAGCTTACCCAGACGTCTCTTCTAAACTTCCAAATTCGTCTATTCCAGCTTGCCACTCGTGTATGCAGTCATATTTCTGGTCCGGATCGACTTAGTGAGAAGCTATTGAGCGATCTCGATTCTGCTGTGTCAGAAGAGAGTCAGCAATGGGACTCTGTATATCTGGTGAACGGGTCTCCGAGTATTCTCGACACAGCAAGGTACGCACACTGGAGTGTTCTCCAGACTTGGGCCCACCAACTATATCTGCTACTTCATCGACCGTTTCATCATTCTCGAACAACTCAGTTCGTCCCTACTTCAAGAGATAGGTGTATCAAATCGAGCGTGGCCTTGCTGGACATTCACCGTCAGTTCTACGAGCTTCCTCGGCTGAAACCCTATCGCTGGCTCGTCAATGGAACAATGACCTGCAATGCTCTTCATGGAGCAGTTGCCCTGACCTCATGCTTACTTGATATGCCAAACGATTCCGACTTCTCCAAATACCTATGCGTCATCGATGCCGCTGTACGTCGACTTGAAGCCTTGCAAGAGAAAAGCCCGGCCTGTTCTAATGTATATCCTCTCATGCGCCATTTACAGTAAGCCATATGCAACCGACTGAGTACTCTATGGGAACTAACCAGATCAGATCTCGTCTCTGTCGGCAACCCCAAACGCCATCTCTCACAAAGGATATCGATGAAACCAGATTTCAAGACTGGGTCAGTAATATTGACTGGTTCAGACCGGATGAAATAGATTGGGTAAGTGCTACCTCTAGAGAAGCACGCCAAAGAGCTGAGTCTGATTTGAATAGGACTTCTGGGACGGAGATTTTACGACACCGCATACCGACGATCACGAAACGACAACAATTTACAACAGTTGATGGTAGCATATTTGCCGGTGACGTAAGCGATTGATTTCCCGGAAAAGATCGTCAAAAATAAATCTCCTTTCCTTAACGTAGATGCCTAATATTTTAGTTTGGCTCAGTAGCTCACTCAAGAGACGAAACGGAATGGGGAGCTAAATTGATTCGGTATCATATAAACCTGATTTTGTATTAGTGTATATTCTTACCTCACAGTGCTCTAATTCGACATGAATGCCTTGACTCTGATCTCAATAAATGGAAGGTCTAGCTACTTCTCAGGCTGACCTTTCAGGATGATGGCTCGAATGATGTGTTAATAGAATCAGAATTCTAATTGACAAACTGGAGTAATGATCGCTGTACACTATCCGCTGCAGAAAAGGCAGCTCGACAGAGACAACGGCAAGAACCACTCCATGCGAAGCAAGCGCAACAACATATCCAAGAATGTGACGATAATCCGAAAATTGGTCTTTTCGATGACACCCTATTGCTAATACCAAGTTCGCACACTACAACCACAAGCATATTCTCAACCGAGGCTGCGTCGTTCTGAAAGCATAACCTATTTATCATCGCCGCGAACTAACAATCTAAAAATTAGTAGACCCACAACTCCGATCAGCTGGGTACTGTAAACCGAGATGGCGTGGCCCTAAACCCAACCGACGAACCATTACTATCATCAAAGGGGAGAAGTTGAAGCCCCAAGCTTGCCGACGTCGAGGTTATATCCGAGTTTCAACCGCTTATTGCCCAATTAGGGCATAAGTTACGGAGTAGCAGAACGGATGGAGATAAGGACTCGGTAATGGTCACTTTTCATACGGGGCAGTCGGTGGTTTCCCGGTGGATAATGAAATCCGAACAAGGCCCTAGCCCGAGTCGGCATCAAAAACTCCGAATGCGTGCAAGCATGGGGAGTATCGGCGGCTGCTTATCGGCTGCAGCACGAGACACCTCTCCAGACAACCGACAAGGGAGTGATTCTATCTAGCATCGTGTCTCAACGTGGGGCTGCACTAACTGTTATAAGGCATAGATAGCAGATCACACGGCGAGGGAGGGGATGATATCTTTGTTTCCCAGATTGTCTCCATGCGCAAAGAAAAGTACTAAAGAACTCCGCTCTTCATCATACGATTGTTGTACTTGTCATCCTAATTCGCAACTGGCACAGTGCGGAGCGATGTCTGTCACCGAAACATTACGCAGATTCCCCTCGTGGGTGCCACAGAGCTCAGTATTTGTCAATCTGCTGCTGCTCTGTACGGCTTTCAGTACCGGCTCAGTGAGTGAGATTCAGCACCATTGCCAAAATATCATGATAACTTATTCACTGTCGCTAGGTACTTGGCTACGATGCTTCGATGATGAATGCTCTCAACATCTTGCCCCAATACACAGACTACTTCAGGCTCACTCCCGCTACCACGGCCTTGAACTCGGGGATCATCTGGGTTGGCGCAACTGTGGGAAGCATCTCCTACGCCAGGGTCTCAGATTGGATTGGGCGAAAACCATCTTTATTCTACGCGGGTATTATTGCTATCTGTGGCGGGTAAGTCCACTCTGGGCCACTACACGGCATTTGACACACGAGAGACTTACATGAGACTCTTTCGCAGTGCCCTCACAGCTGCTTCCCAGAACATCGCTATGTTCTTGGTAGCTAGGACCATCCTCGGTCTCGGCATTGGGGCGACATATGTAGCCGTCCCCGTCTACATCGCAGAAGCCCTTCCTCTCAAATACCGCACCGCAGGTCTGGGTATCCTCAACGATGTGTACTACGTCGGCGGTCTACTATCTGCTGGCATAACCTACGGGACCTCCCGTTTCCTTTCCACCTGGGCCTGGAGGCTGCCAGCGTTGTTCCAAATCGCCTTTACAATCATCTCTCTTCTTGCGCTCCCCTTCGCCCCAGAATCTCCTCGTTGGCTCGCGTTCCAGGGCCGCAAGAATGAAGCCTTAGTTGCTCTCGCCCAAGTGAACTCAAATGGCGACATCAACGATCCAGCAACCCAACTCCAGTTTGTTCAGATCTGCGAGACTCTGGAGTTTGAGAAGGAAATGGAGACGCCGAACCCCAAAGAACTGTGGGTCAACAGAGGCTACCGAAAGAGAATGCTCATCACCTTTTCTGTTGCCATCTTCAGTATGATGACGGGCAGCAACATCTTTTCTTACTACCTTGGCACGGCGCTTACCAATGCTGGCATTACCAGCTCAACCACTCAACTCCAGGTCAACGTTATTCTTAACGCATTCTGCTTGGTCATCTGTCTCTTCGGCACATACATGGCAGACCGACTGGGCCGAAAGATGTTGACCATCATATCGACTGCCTTGTGTACCGTCACTCTGTTCATCATCGGAGCGTTGACCAAAGAGTATGGCGATTCAACAAACAAGGCCGCAATCTACGCCAATGTCGGCATGATGTTTCTGGCCCAGGGAGTTTACAGCTTTGGGTGGACTCCGATTCTTCAAATGTACCCGCCGGAACTTTTGAACTATCAGATCCGCAACATCGGAATGTCGTGGTGCATTACCTGGCAAAACATGACCATTCTGATTCCCATCTTTGCTTTCCCCATTGCTATGAACAACGTAAGTTTCGCTGATGGAATTCCACCGCTACGTCGCTGCACAACTTTGAACTAACCTTGATGCTTACAGATCGGATGGGTTACTTACATTATGAATGGCGGTTGGAACATCTTTGAACTGTTTATTATCGTGAGTTTCTTTCATGCCCTTTACTGTCACTCAGATATTCAATCGAAAATGGAACCGCTGACCTCGGATAAGTGTAAGTACTGGCCGGAGACCCGCGGTTTGTCCCTCGAAGAGATCTCTGTTCTGTTCGATGGCGAAATACACTCGCAGGTCACCGATGTGAAGCATATCATCGAAGGCGTGCCCTCCAAGCTGGACACGGAGAAGGTTCAATCAGCAGTCAAGGCCGAGCTCAGCAACAAGTCGGAGCTAGTCACACAATGAATGGATGTCCCAAGACAACAGCAAGCTAGGTAGTCGGGGTACACTGTGGCAATGCGTAGATGACAAGGTGTTGTTTCTTTCTCAATCTGACTGGAGTTAAGTAGATTAAGGAAGGGAAACCAACGTTTTGTCCCTTCTAATCCATAGATTACGTAGACTAGAGCCTCATCACTAGAGATTCTAGAGTCTAAGAATACGATACAGGACACTTTTCAGAATTTTACTTGCGTTAGATTGTCGCGAGTGAAGATGTTTTAGGGTGTCCCACTGGGACATATATTACAGGCCATATTTGTCGTGAAGGACCAGGGACTGACTTTGGTTGTACGAGGCGGTTGGAAGAAAGCAATTCTGAAATACAGGAACAGAGCTCTACTACTGTGACAGAGTCTTTTTGTTTATAAGATTAAGTATCAGATGTCCATTCCACACAATCTTGATAATCAGGTGTGAAAACTACGCTCTTTCCAATACTTGCACATTGTTACCCACATTCGCTTTTTCTCCGGCCGAGAGTTCCGAAGCGGGACCGGCGGTCCGTGAAGGCGACAACTTTGCCCAGTTGGAGACTAAACTTATCAACTATTACGGAAGTAGGTTAAAGGTGTCCGAAGAGTGGCTGTGACCCATGCCTGCCGCCACTACGCACAGTTGGAAAATAAGTAGTGGATGCTTTTAGATCCGTGAGTCATGTATTTTATCCGTTTTGGGAATAATTGCTTATTTCCATAAATGGAAAAAACAGGTATATTGATCGGAAGCAGTCAATGAGTACTCCATTATCTTGATAGTTAAAAAAGAACTAGCTATTCCCTTCTCGTGCAAGTTCTTGGGCAGCCTATCTCGTCGACTCTAAGAAGACCTGAAGTCCTTTGTCTGAAGCTATATTTGGCATTTGAAGCCCCATTTGAGCGGTGTCGCTCAGCAAAACAGCTGACTCGGAGCTTCCAATATGTCGCCTTGTGACAACGTCAAACAATTGATCCAAAAGCTAACGCTAGAGGAAAAGGTTTCGTTGCTTTCGGAAGCCGATTCATGGCAGAGCAAAGAAATAAGTTGTCTAGGTATCGGTTCATTCAAGGTATGCTCGTCAATATCACAAATGCCCCGATAACTATTGGTGGGGGTGTCGGAAGAAGGGCAGCAACATGGAATCTGACACTCCGATGTACGTTTAGACTACCGATGGCCCCTCGGGGGCACGGGGACATTTTTCTGTTGACGGTCCCACGGCTGCGTTTCTCCCTGGGCCAATATGCCAAGCGGCCACCTGGTCCAAGGATCAAATTCGATCTATTGGACGCCTGCTTTGTGACGAGTCCAAGACGAAGGCGTCGCAAGTCTTACTTGCTCCAACCATCTGCTTAGCACGAAATCCCCTTGGTGGTCGGAATTTCGAAAGCTTTGGAGAAGATCCCTTCTTGACAGGGTCTTTGGCAGCCGAGTATGTTGCTGGACTGCAGGAGACGGGCGAAGTTATGGCCACGCCTAAGCACTTGTAAGAGAGACCCCTCTCCCTTTCTATTAATAATGTCTCCAACGATAGCGGCTGACCTTAGTTCTTTCAAATTGCAGCGTCGCCAATGAACAAGAGTGGCAACGCTTCAGTATTGATGCCAGGGTTCACGAAAAGGCCCTGCGAGAGCTTTATCTCAAACCTTTCGAGATGGTGGTACGCTCAAGCACTCCTCCCGGGTGTATCATGACTTCGTACAATGTGATCAATGGCGTGCATGCCGACATGAACACTCATCTGATTCAGCAAGTGCTTCGTGGCGAATGGGGCTACAAGGGCCTTGTCATGAGTGATTGGGGGGGTACCAACTCAGTGGTCGAGAGTGCCCTAGCAGGGTGCGACCTGGAGATGCCTGGCCCGACTTTGAGAAGAGGCAAACAACTTCTCGAGGCCGTCAAATCAGGCAAGGAAACCGAAAAGCTGCTGGCAGCCATCGATGATTCAGTGGGCCAGGTACTCTCGCTGTGTGAAAGATTGGGACTTCTAAATCTGTCGGCTGAACAGGCAGAAGAAACGCGCCAAAAGCTGGAGCAGTCCTCGACGAATCAGGAGGGCATCAAGCTCATGCGAACGGTCGCTGCCCAAGGAGCTGTTTTGTTGAAGAATGACAAGGGAACAGTTCCTCTGAAAACAAAGTCCCTTTCGCACAAGCAAGTCGCTTTTATCGGACCCAATGCGAAGATTGGAACACCAGGCGGCGGTGGTTCTGCAATCATGAACCCGCAATACCTCAGCCAGCCGATGGATGCATTCCAAAGCGCAGCCAAATCCCAAGGTCTGGATATTGACGTGGTATATTCTCAAGGAGCTTACAGCAAGAAGTGGCTTCCATTGCTCAAGGCAAACCAGTGGGAAGCTTGCACCCCAGAACAAAACAAAGCGCTGATTCGGATCGACTTCTTCTCAACTACCGATCTCTCTGGGCCAATTCTCGAGACTCAGTATCGCGACAGCTCTTGGATTGACTTACTGGACTCGGCTCCAATCGTACTTCGGCAGGACCGAGTCCCGCCCTATTCATTCCGCGTTTCATCAAGCCTCATACCTCAATCGACCGGGACACACCTCTTTAGTGTGGCGAGCGTAGGCGGAGCTCGCGTTTTTGTGGATGGCGAGCTGATTATGGAGAACATCAACTGGACTGAGAGATCCGAGACGTTCTTTGCATTTGGTAGCGTTGAAAAAACCAGTTCAATGAGAATGCAAGAAGGTCCATCATACAGCGTAGTTATTGAGGGCTGGACCAAACCCGGCGCGGAGGAGAGCGAGCTGGAGCATGTCTTCGCGTCACACCCATCACTGCGAATCGGCTTCCAAGAAGAGCTTCCTACAGACATGATTGACCAAGCTGTCAAGGTTGCTGATGAGAGCGAGTATTCGGTGGTCATTTTGGGACTCGATGATGAGTGGGAGAGCGAGGGTTATGATCGCCAGACAATGGACCTGCCAGGAAACCAGAACGAGCTAGCAGAAGCACTGCTGACCAGATGCAAACGCCCCGAGCGTCTGATCTTTGTCAACCAGTCTGGCTCTCCTGTCGAGCTACCTTGGGAGAATAGATGTAGCACTCTGATACAGGCTTGGTACGGAGGGCAAGAGGCTGGCAACGCCCTGGCAGACTTGCTTCTGGGAGTTGTCAACCCCTCTGGTCGAATGCCCATGTCATGGCCCCGAAAGTACAGCGACCTTCCTTTTGCTGTGGATCCAGAAATGTGGCCAGGAGTCAATGGCCAAGTGTGGTACAAAGAAGATTGTCGGATTGGTTACCGATATTACTTGAACAGCGGTATCAGCCCTCACTTTTGGTTCGGTTACGGGCTGAGCTACACCCAATTCACGACGTCAATCACGCTCAAGAGCACGGAAAAAGACTCTTGGGTTTTCACCGCAGACGTTGAAAACGTTGGCGCTGTTGAAGGCCAAGAGGTGGTCCAAGTCTATGCCTGGTCATCGGAGCAAGAGTTGGAACGAAGACTGGTTTCTTTCGAAAAGACCTCGTCCCTGAAGCCTGGACAGAGCGTATCTGTAACGTTGGTGGTGAGGCAAAGGGATCTAGCTCACTGGGAAGGAGACAGCGATGGTCAATGGGTTCTGACAAAGGGGATTTGGCATTTCGCTGCCACTCGTCACGCTGGTGACGAGGCGGCGAGATATGTCAAGGTACAAGTAGATCTGGGAAGAACATGGAACGCCTCCGAGTGGTAGAATGGAGTGTGTGAATCGGATTTATTTGAGAAAATAGTTGTGTTTATTTTACTCGCTTGGTGAAAGTTTCGCCTCATATGAAGAGCCCCGTACGTAGGCTGCAGTCTCCCTTGTATGACGTTTACTAATCTCTAGTAACTTAGGATGGCAGACGACCGGGGCGAGTAACTTCCCCCGTTTCCACCAGAGAGCTCGACAGGTTAATAAAAGGAGCTACCAGAAGATAGCAGGCACAATTTTGTACAGAGTCCGTTGTCGTTTGTCCGACTGCGATAAGTTGGTATTCGGCTAGCGGTTGATTGTGATGCATTGGGAAGATACTGCACTTCCACCGCGATAAGTTACTTCCTAGGCTGTTGCAGTCAGAAATTCCATGGATTACAGGGCTACCAAGTTTTAGTTACAGTCTCTCCTACTGTTCTTAATACTACGGCTAATGTTGAAATAATTAAATTATACAAAAGTCTGAAAAGATGAAATATTATTTGTAAATATCGAGAGTATTTTATTAATTTTCAATTCTTTTAATAGATATTTTAGGGCCTCCAAAGCTCAATCAGTTAGTTTTAAATATAACATAGGTACACATTTTACCACCCCTTGAGAAAGAGGAGCCTTGAGCTCCCAGTGGATGCTGTAATTTTGTGCAAGAGTGAGCCTCCCGGGTAATCGGCCTTTTACATAAAAATACTACCGCTCTAGTCTTAGCGTCTAGAATAAGGCCCCATAAATAAGAGATTGCCTGATCGGGAAGCATCGTCAGCCCCTCCAATGAGCTGATAGCCCCGCTCCGTCACGTCAACCTGAGGCACCGCCAAGAGCCGTCAGGCACTAATCGGATTGTCGGTGAAACGCTGACCGCGTCGCGGTGAGATTTGCCCTGTCTCCGTATTAAGCCGCACCACGTCCGATCTGTAACCGCCTTCAATCCAATCTCGATAAATCGCTCTTTTTGCCCTTATCAGCGTTAGCTAGATATCCCTGTCCAGGCTAGCAGTACATAATGGGTGACGTCCTGGGAACCGCATCGGCTCCGACCGAGTCCGGAGATTGGTGTACGTTCGACGAGATAACACTCCCTTGCTCGCTCGCAGTGATTCTTGTGTTGCCCCCGTACTGACCACGGTCATAGATCTTCCTGACAATATGCTCCAACGTTAGTGATAAGGGTGTATTGCACTTTGGAGACTTGCGCAGACTGACCATCGGATGTAGGACATCCTAGCAAGCCTCATATCGGCAGTAAGTCTCATCACCCTCAGGGAAAGACCCAGGCAACTGACTGAACTACAGGCCTCGATGAGTATCGTCAGATGCACAAGGCTTCCATCGAGGAGCCTGAAAAATTCTGGGGAGACCTCGCTCGAGAATTGCTGACCTGGGAGTCTGACTTTCACACCGTTCAGAACGGCACCTTGGATCAGGGCAACGTCACCTGGTTCCAGGGCGGGAAGCTGAACGCCTGCTTCAACGCAGTTGACCGTCATGCTCTCAAGGACCCCAACAAGACTGCCATCATTTATGAATCGGATAGCGGCCAGGACGGCCGGTCCGTGACGTACGGCGAGCTGCTGAAGCAGATCAGCAAGGTCGCCTGGGTTCTCAAGGACCTGGGTATTCGCAAGGGTGACACCGTCGCCATCTACATGCCCATGATTCCCGAGACACTGGTCGCCATCCTCGCCTGCTCGCGTATCGGCGCCGTCCACTCTGTGGTCTTCGCCGGCTTCTCGGCCGGATCGCTGAAAGACCGCATCCTCAACGCCAAGAGCAAGGTCGTCATCACCGTGGACGAGAGTCTCCGCGGCGGCAAGACGATTGGCATCAAGAAGATCGTTGACGAGGCGCTGAGCCAGTGTGTCGGCGTTCAGGCTCTGGTCTACAAGAGAACCGGCGGCGATATTGCTTGGGTGCCTGGCCAGGATCACTGGTGGCACGAGGAGGTTGCGAAATGGCCCAGCTATCTCGCCCCTGAGTCTATGGATGCTGAAGACCCCCTCTTTCTCCTCTACACCTCTGGATCGACGGGCAAACCCAAGGGTGTCCTGCATACTACCGGCGGTTATCTGGTAGGAGCTGCCGCCACGGGCAAGTATGTGTTTGACATCCACGAGAACGATCAGTACTTCTGTGCCGGCGACGTCGGATGGATCACTGGCCATACCTACGTCGTTTACGCGCCGCTGCTTCTTGGTGTGTCCACGGTTGTGTTTGAGGGTACACCTACACAGCCGACTATCAACCGCTACTGGGATATCATCGAGAAGCACCGTATCACGCATTTCTATGTCGCTCCTACTGCGCTCCGGCTGGTGAAGCGCGCTGGATCGGATCCTGTTGATCACGATACCAAGAGCCTGCGCGTACTCGGATCAGTTGGCGAGCCGATTGCCCCGGAGGTTTGGAAGTGGTATTACAATACTGTCGGTAAGGGAAATTGTCATATTGTTGACGTAAGCATCCATGGACCGTCCCATCAGTCTTGGGCTTTGCAAAAACTGATCATCTTGCAGACCTACTGGCAGACCGAGACTGGCTCTCACGCCATCACACCCCTGGCTGGAGTCACTCCCACGAAACCCGGTTCAGCCTCTTTGCCATTCTTCGGTATTGACACGGTAATCATTGATCCTGTCTCTGGCGAAGAAATTCACGAGAACGATGTTGAGGGTGTTCTCGCCTTCAAGGGCCCTTGGCCTAGCATGGCTCGTACCGTTTGGGGTGACCATCAGCGCTACGAGGATACGTACTTTAACGTGTACAAGGGATACTACGTGAGTTACTTACCTCCCTGGGGAATTTAAACTGACATTATATCTAGTTCACTGGCGATGGAGCCAGCCGTGATGAGGATGGCTTCTACTGGATCCGCGGCCGCGTGGACGATGTGATCAATGTCAGCGGCCACCGCCTCTCAACCGCCGAAATCGAAGCGGCCCTCATCCAGCACGATGCCGTGGCCGAATCCGCCGTGGTGGGCATCGCAGACGAGATCACAGGCCAGACCGTCGCAGCCTTCATCTCCCTGAAGGAAGCCTTCCGCGCGGACGACCCTCGCGAGGAGCTGAAGCAGCTGATCCGCAAGGAGATTGGGCCCTTTGCCCAGCCCAAGAAGCTCTTCGTGCTGGACGACCTGCCCAAGACGCGGTCTGGCAAGATCATGCGCCGCATTTTGCGAAAGGTTGTCGAGGGACAGCAGGATCAGCTTGGGGATATCTCGACGCTGGCTGACCCGACGGTTGTGGAGGCGATTATCAAGGTCGTCCATCCTCCCGTGGAGAAGTATCAGTAAAAGAATAGTGGAGGCGGAACGGAGGCCACGAGTAGCATAAGCTGGTACCCGTAGTTTACCAAGAATCTATGAGAACTCAAATATCGGCTGGCATGCTTGAATACGTCTCTTTCGGTGCTTGCCAGGCACTGTCGAATCACAACAGCCACGGTGCCCTTCACAAACGTAATGTACACGAGGTGGCGAGCAAGCCGATTACTTTGAAAGCCGCTGCTGCAAAGGCTGTGGCATCAACAACACCCTCCTCTGCCGCCGCCATCAAGGGGAAAGTGGTGACTCCTACTTGAACAACGACTAGGACATCTTACACTCTGATTGTGCAGGTGCAGACGCCTATTTTATGTGCACATGACGTTTTTCACACATTGCATGGCTTCGAATTACACAATTTCTCTCTGAACCATCTTTGTGCATGTGTCACTGTGTGATCGGCTGTACCAAATGTCGAATGTGTCCAAAGCTTTGCCGTTGAAACGCATATTGCATGGAGCTACATCCGGCTCTTGTCACTCAACCACGGACCCGTAACAAATTCCAAGCCCTCCCGCAACCATCCGTCCTGTGTCGACGCAGTGAAGTCGAAGCCGTGGTCACCCGGGCGTATTGAGACGTGGAACTTAGTGTCCGGGTGCTTCTTCTGTAGTAGGTTGACGAGTTTCCTCGTGCCCTCCACCGGTACAGCCGTATCATCCTCCCCATGAAGCAGGAAGAGCGGCGGTAAGAGTGGCTTGCCTGCCTGTCTTGGCGGCAGAGACCCCATTTCAATGCGTTCGAGCACGAACAACTCCTCATCATGGCCGAAAGCTTCCAAGAACCGGCCGTTCTGGACTATGGCTATGGCGGAGTCAAGGCGTGAGGGCGGATCCGCTTCTGTAATGGCCGGCTTGCCCAATGTGACGGACAAAAAGTCGTCCACTGCCTCGTTGGGGTAGTTTGACACACCGACAATGGATTTTGGGTACGGTTTAGTGTAATGCGACGCGTTCATGTCAATCATGGGGTAGAGCGTGATCATGGCCTTTGGACGTGTGAGCCCTGATAAGACGGACTGGAGGGCAAGATAGCCACCTAGATTCCAGCAGTCAGTCGGAGTTTGCTGTTGGAGAACTGGACGCCTTACCTGCACTCTCGCCAGCCAGGAGGGTCTGGGATAGGTTCAATGCAACGTGAGACGATCCTACTGACGCAAGGTGACGTTCAGGTCCGCCTGTCTGTAACCATGTCCAGAAATTGGCCATGTCATGCATGATATCCCGTCCCTTCACTTCAGGAAGCAGCCGATAATTAGGACTGACGATAACGGCGCTATGTTCCTCCGCGAAATCCAAGATCCATTTGGAGAACCAGGCAGGGAACAGGCTTGACCCTGTGACCTGAACCGCGGCGTGAGCTTTTGTTGTGAGTTCCGTGATGGGCATACGTACGAGAAAGCCCCCATGTATTCTTACAATCACCGGATGGCTCCCGGTGGGTTCCAGCTTGAGGCGCTTGGGAGCCAGGATGTCGACCTCGATCTTGGTGCCTGCGGATTCATAGTGGGTGCGTGTGATGTCGAAGGCGCTGTAGACCTCAGGAGTCACGCTATGCAAGAGATCGATGAGCGCCTTGAACTGAGCCGCTCGTTCCTCTGCGGTAGGCGACATGGTTGAGACGAGGGTTGCCTGCTACTGAGCCCCTTGGGCCTCTTGGCTACTGTAAGAGGGATAAAAGGAAGAAAAAGTGGTAATCGCTGTCTGCTCGCCTGTGTTATGCTGGATATGGGCAAGTCCCTGGGGCTCTCTCGTTACCCCGCTTCTTGTGGTACTTCCCAAACGAGTTTACTCCGGCACCTGTATGTGTCTGGTTTATGAAGCGACGTCGGATAGCAGAGTGAAGGAGTTTGAGAGTCGGAGCTTCTCGGTCCCATACAAGAAAGATAGCAATTGTACGGCTACTCAAAACAGTTCTTTGAAAATGTAAAAGAGAAAAGGGCACAGTAGCTGGTAAGAGTTTAGGAGGACATTCTCGGTAAAGTAACAGTTTGCCAACTTTCATCATCTAGACCTTTTCAAATGGCTTGGGCTTTCATATATAATGCTATGGAAATCCTGGCTCTGCTACCTGTCAAGCCCTCAAACTGGGGATGAGCGCATTAACCCCTAAATCTTCCCAGCCTCCTGCTGTAATGCCTTGTAAATCTCCGTCTCAATGCGATCCGAGCACTCAAGCACAAGCCGATCTTTTCTATGGTGTCAGCGACGAATCCCGTGCACATCTGAAGCAACATACCTCCGTAAGGAAGAATCTGGGTGGCAATTATACAGCCGATGTTGTTTGTGCGGTCAGCAAACCAAAACAGATTTGCCAACCCTTCCCATGACCCTGCACCGGCCGCTCGACCGGTGTCGGACGGAAAATGGCTGATGGAGAAGGACAGTCCCCAGCCTTCGGTGTGGTCGTCCGGCATAGGAAACAAAGGCGTCGGATTGGCTAGCTCGGGCTTCGCTACTGGAACGCACACGTTGCTGTACCGCGGTTTATCTGCAATTTGATCCTTGAACATATCTATCGTGAGGTGGTGGTCAGCAAAAGTTTGTCGGGGCCGTTGATACGGTGTTCAAATACCTCGAACAGTTGAAGGATTAAGGAACCGCGTTCCAGTCGGGGCGTCCAGTCCATCGTTCAACAGCATCGAAACCAGCCCTTCACTGTTAGCTAGGGTTTCATCGTGTGATAATGGACTCACTCATGAATTCTGCCGGCTTCCCAAAACACCCATGGCCTCCGGCGCAGGGAACCTTTACATCGCCCCGGGCGAATAATGGCTCTTGATACAGATGATCCGTGTGCGTCAGCTTTCCATCTGACGCTCTCCGGTTCATGTATGCTAGATTCGCCTTTGCCTCTTCCGATGGATGAAAGGTCACGCTGTGCATGCCAAGAGGCTCAAAGATCTTTTCGCGGAAGTATTCCTCTAGTGACTTTCCGGAGAGCCGCTCGATGATCACACCCACCCAGTCCATTGAAATTCCGTACTGGAATACTTCGCCTGGTTGATTGACGAGGGGACGGTTGATTCTGTGAACTGCCTCGCCCGAGAAGTCGTCGGCTCCGACCGGTCGGCCAAACTCGGCGAGTTTTTCATCCTCAAAGGCGTACCCGAAACCAGCTTGCAGTTATTAGCAGTGTTCAATCCGCGGCCATACATTCATGATTTTTTACCAGTGTGGTTGAGAAGCATCCGCAGCGTTATCCGCCGAACCTTGTCAACAAGCTCAAGCTTGCCCTCAGGGGTGCGCGTCAAGACTTTCACATCCTTCAGCTCAGGGCAAATGCTCTCCACCTGGTCCGCATCATCCAACTGAAGCAACCCCTGTTCTACAAGCTGCATGCACGCCACGGATGTCGCCAGCTTCGTGAAAGATGCGACCCAGAAAACAGTATCGACGGACATAGGTTCCTCGGACGCTATCCCTCTAGTGCCCGCGCAATGCTGGAAGATCGGTTGGCCGTCATTTCCGAACGCAGAGAAGACCAGGCCGGGAATCTTTCGGTCGGAGCCCCTGGTGGTGTATTCCGCGATGATGTCACGGAGCTTTGCCTGGAGGCTTGGTGACAGGGTTGGAGACATGTTGGGTGCGGAGTGTACGTAAGCAAGAGACGGAAGCTGAGCCGAGTATCATGTCCAAGGTCGTCTAAACCCGCTGCTGGGATAAGGATCACTTTGATGGCATCAACAGCGCCGAGGGGATTCTCTTGTTTGGTGGAGAGGGCGAGTATCTTCCGGAATAGGATAAAGCTCGGGGGACGGGTAAATATTTCTGAGGCTTGCTTAAAGAGGACCTTAGTGAGGGGTACTGCTTGTTCCCCCAAGTAACGACGCAATAACCTTTTCCTGCTTTGCGACTAAAGGGGAAGTCTATTATTCCGTATTATCTCGCGCCCGGTTTGGTAAGTTATAGATTTTTCCCCAGCTTGCATGGGGTTGAAACTCGAAAGTTATTATTAAGTTCGTATTCTGGGAGTGAGATATCATTATTAAAGGCTTAATATTTACCAGCGAGTGCTATGAAAGGTTTAATAGGGAACTGCCAATGCGACCGACGTGTATGGGAATAAAATCATATTCTACTAGTGCCTTCTTGATTAGAGACTTGTAGCCCTGAATTGGAAGCTCCCATTCCTTTCCAGAGAGATTATTTCGTCATCATTTTGCTGGTGTAATTCCCTCGTTTAGTTAGTACGGAGGGCGGGGTGGCCGGATTTACTACCTAATAGGGTGAAAACACAGAGCAACTCCAAGTCGTCGCAGGCGACAAGCCTGGACATAAAATCCGAGCGAAATGCCATCTGAATCTGATAAGACCAATGCGGACAGTCTTCTCACTATCAAAAATGTCCCAGTCTATCCGATATCAGTTCCTCCCCGGGCCCGTTGGGGAAATGCTGCGCTCCGCATCTCTAGCAACCACAGCATCTATTCCCCTAACGGGCCGCTTGGTTATCACCACCGGCCATGTCGGCCTGAATCTCGAGACGGGAGAATTCGTCACCAGTTCTCTCGAGGATGAGTTCAATGCCGTCTTCAACTGCCTCGACGCTGCCCTCAAGAATGGTGGAGTGAGGGGCGGCCTCGCTTCAGCACACAAGATCGTTGCGTATCTTCTTCGTGCCGAGGACGAAGCAGTCATGCTGGCCGTCTTTCGCCAGCGCTGTCCGGGCCATACGCCGACCTGGTCATCCGTGGTCGTTGCTGGCATGATCAACCCCGGGGTCAATGCGGAGGTGCAGGCCGAGGCGATTGCCGCCGAGTAGGTTGGGTCGGACGGGCGGAGGGATCAGGAACCTGGGGTCGATTCAGCAACACTGTATGAGTAGTTGAGATAGGCAAGAAACGACTCTTGGTTAACACGAATATGGGTGGATTAGTCGACAAGGGCGTGTCTGCACCACGGGGTCATTAATCGAACTCGGATCCAAGGTCGATGTCTTTTATGTATGCTATGGAGGACGTCAGGAAACCCAACAGTGGCAAGCCGAGTTTGATATGAATCTAATTTTTTTTCCATGCATTTCTATTCTATGCCCCAGAAACCACGACGCAATAGAACGATTCAAAGTGCACCATTTTGTGAAGTTCGATCCGGCATGTTTCGGTAGGGGTTGCTAGGATCTGCCAGCTCCTCCTCAACCGACTGTATCGTCTTGACAACCTTTGCAGGGGCACCCAGGGCGATCGAGTAAGGGGGAAGGCTCTTGGTCACGACGGCACCGGCACCGACTGTGCATCCTCGGCCAATGGTGACGCCGGGCAGGATCACGACGTTGCCACCGATCCAGCAGTCATCCTCAATCCTGATGGGATGGCCGAACTCGACGAACTTGATACGGGAGAGCACACTCGTCTCGTGGCCTGCCGTATAAATGTGGACGTTGGGACCCATTTGCACGCGGTCGCCAATGATGACGAGGCTGGTGTCGAGGATGGTGAGGCTGGAAGAGGTTTAGCATCATTTGGTTTCTGGATAGTTGTCAAGGTACTGACCCGAAGTTCATGAAGCAGTTCTCGCCAATGGAGATGTTGCTGCCGTAGTCGGGCGAGAAGGGGGGCTCGATAAAGGTACCCTCGCCGACCTTGCCGAGGATTTCCCCGAGCATCTCTAGGCGCTTGGTGGCGATCTGTTCGTGGTCGCCAGTGTTGGGGTCCAAGTTGTTGAACTTGTAGGCCAGGCCACGGGCCCTGTGGCGGCCCTCCAACAGCTTGGGGATGAGTGGGTTGTAGCTACGGATAGCAGGTGAGACAGTGCTCTTCGGTCACTGATAGCAGGATGGACGTACAGCATGCCAGACACCATCTTCTCATACTCATCGCACCAGGGGGTGCCCTGCAGGCCCTTGGCGATCTCAATGATCTCTTGGTCAATCTCCTGCTTGGCCATGATGATAGCTGGTGCGGGCTAGCGGAAGAGAAGGCTGGTGATTAAATGAAGAGCTTATCGGAGCAAGGGGCAAGGGGCGAGTGATGTTTGTCAGAGGATGATGCGGTGCAAGACTTGGCCGATGCGGAGGTTGTGAAGCTGATGCTGGTTTTAAAACCGGAAATCAGTGAGACCTTACTTCCGGATCGGGTTATAAGGCAAGAGGGCTTCCTCCAGTGCCGCTTCCCCTCTCCGGGTCCACAGTGTAATCGCTAGGGGAGGTATCTCTTCGATGTAACCCGCTTATCGGCGTCGACGTCATGAAGCGTTCCTTCGACTTCCCAGGAACTTCCAAGTCTCGAGCCTTCTACCGGGCCACTGGGGACAATTCCGCCGCGCTTGCACTGCAGTTGAAACAAGGCGCATCCTCTGATTTTGGAGGCAAAAATTCACACAATTAGATTTGAATTCATCATAATATGATAGATGTACAAGTCGATGTCTTTGCCTCAGGAGGTTATGTTGAAACAATACCAAGAAGATTTCCGTGCCATGGAGCTCCGAATCGGCCAATTTATGACGTGCAGGCGATCACACTAATCCAACATCTTTCTGCCTGGACCAAGTACTCCAATATTCACAAAAGGTACCAATAGTCGGTCAGAGGCTTGGGAGTTCTTCTCGCCTGGCTGACGGCACGTGGAGAATGACATCAATCCGACAGTGTGGGTAAAAGGCAACGCTTGATATATATCATTGAGCTGAGAACTTGACATATGGATACACAATGATCGCTAGTACAAATTGGTCATTTGGCAATAGGTATACAAATAGCTGTCGAGGAGTTTTTACAGCTTGCGGACTGTCTTCTTTTGACGGGCAGCCAGTTCACGGTGCGCGGTATGGGCATTGAGGGAGCCTTGCTCCAAAGCACCGTCGATGGCCGCTCGCCATCCATGCGCCCAATCCGCAGATGCGAACAGGATGTTTCCATGACGGCTTTGGAGTTCGTCCTGATACTTGGACATGTAGCCAGGCTGCCACCACGCGGGACCACCCTTGGAGAAGGGATCGGAGCTCCAGTTGTGCAGGATCTGAGGAGTCATTAGCATTTGCAGCGCAGGCAGGGTTCGGAGTATCTTACCAGCCGCTTCACGTCCATGGGATGGAGCTTGTTCAGGGCTCCGATTGTCTTCTCGGCGTCATTCTGAGGCACGAAAGTTTCACGCTCGTCAGCGCCAAACGCTACGACGTGCACATCGCCGTTGGGCAGGACGCCATCGCCGTAGCCGTACATGAGAAGGCCAGGGAAGCGCATGCCGTTCCATCTCTCGAGCTCTTTGTTACTGACGTCGGCGTGGATCTTGGTCATATGATTGACGTGGCCAATGTTGATGGCCTCCTGTCGGCGCTGGGACAGCGGAGGGGAGAACTGAATGTCCCGTAGAACGTTGAGAGGAATTGTGCTGATGATCTTGCGAGCGCGAAAGACATCTCCCTTGGTGGTACTCACAGTCACGGGCTGGTCGCCCGACGACTCTTGCTCGATGGACTTGACCGGCGCCGAGAAGGCGTAGTCAAGGCCAGCCTCTGCCGCCTCCTCAAACATACGCTTAGCAAGTGCCGTCTGGCCGTCTCTCAGCTTGTACCTCAGCCAAACATCGGTAAAGTTATCAGAGCTATGCATGAGAAGGGCATGGGAGCGGATCATATCCCAGAGACTAGACTCCTTCATCCTGCCTCCGGAGATGTGAAGCAGCAGCGAGACCAGGAGGCCCTGCTCCTCGCTTGTGAGCTTGTGCTTGATCTCCTCGAAGCGGTCGTGGCAGGACAACTGGTCCCACTTCTCTACCGTGGCTCGGGGGACGATGGGGTTGTCGAGCTGTGCGTGGGGGAGCGGGCAGAGGGTGCGGCCGAATTGGCCGTCGACGTTGACGAACATGTCCCAGGCCTTGGCCTGCATCGCGCCGGCCTCTTCGTGGCTTAGCTTGCGCGGCTCAGCTCCTGTTGGCTCGGGTTAGTTACACGGGTCTTGATAGGAAGGATAGAGTGATAGCTTACCGGGAACGTCGATTGTGTAATAGCCCTTGTGCATGTCCGGGCTTCCAGTGGTGATCAGGTCGTGGTCCATGCCATAGCGAACCATTTCTCTGAACAGGTATCCCATATGATGAGTTACCCAAGTCCCTCCCATCTCATAAAGAAAGCCTGAGAAGCGTCAGTGAGATCATGTATGAACCTCAAGATACGGGTGTCAATCTTACCATCTTTCTTGGCAGTATAGGTACGGCCGCCAACTCGATCTCTGGCCTCGATGAGAAGAACATCATGGTCTGGCACGGACGCAATTAATATTGAAAAGATAGCTGTGGGATATATCGCTTACTCAAGAGAGCGAGGTCGCGGGCAGCAGAAAGGCCTGCATAACCTGCGCCGATGATGATGGTGTCGTAGGTCTTAGTGGCTGAGGGAACGGAGCGCGATGGCGAAATCACAGCATCGCTCTCAATACCCGCCTGCATGCCACTGGAGGGCGTCCATACGTGACCGTCTCGAGTCTTGGTGGCCATGGTGATGTGGTCTGGTGAGCAGCTGATGCAAGCTTAGAGGGTCGATTCAAGCAGCAGAAGATGACGCTTATCTGAGCCAATCCTCCAGTAATGAGTCTAGGCAAACACCGAGTCCTCAATAGCCGGTCCGAGATGTGGGACGTCCCTTTTTAGACCCGTCCTCTAACTTCCTTAACTTAGCGTTGACTGTCTCCGAATTGGAGACGATTTCCTATTTCCTTTTCAGGTAGTACGAGACCCCGCACTTGGTCTATTACTATTTTTGGTTGTTCGAGTTATTTCCGCATCAGGCAATACTGCCAACACTCGGCACTAGTTCACGCCACAGACTCCGGAGCTTCGTCAGGTCTCAAACACGACAGCACGACAGCTACTTAACGCCTGCCGATATCCAAGGATCAGGGCCTCGATTCGTTCCAGAGCAAGCGAGATTGCATCAATAAGCCCTCCATCCTCAGCCCAACCAATCCCTTTCTACACTAGTCCACCTCTCACGCCACCACAGCCATGCCTGACTTCACCGGCCTCGAGCTTACCGGAAAGACGGCCATTGTCACGGGTGCTTCCCGGTACGAGACTCCTCCTTCTCTATATTAGCTGCCCTCTTACATCTGGCTGTTTGGCTTGCGAACTAACAGATCCCTGCAGCGGTCTTGGCTCCGGCATTGCAGTCCTGCTCGGAAAGCGAGGCGCCAATGTCGTTGTGAACCATGTCTCAGCCAGCAGCAAAGAGCGCGCTGAGAAGGTTGCCAAGGAGATTGAAGCCAACGGCACCAAGGCCATCGTCGTCCAGGCCGACGTTGGCAAGAGCGAGGATATCCCCAAGCTGGTTGACGCTGCGCTGAAGATCAGCTCCACTGGCAAGATTGAGATTCTTATCCACAAGTAAGTCTACGCCTCTGCTTCAATTCCATGACCGAGACAGGCCAGCTTACAGTTTCCAAAGCGCTGCCCAAGGCAACGAGGCCAACCTTGTAGACACAACCGAGGACTTTTACACACGCCACTTTGACGCCAACGTCAAGGGTCCTATCTTCCTTACCAAAGCATGTGAGCCCCATCTGCCCAAGGGCGGCCGCATCGTCTTCATCTCTTCCGCCGGCGCTCGTCTGGGCGTTGCCGGCCAGACCGTCTACGCTGCCACCAAGGCCGCCGACGAGGCGCTGGTGCGCGTCTGGGCCAAGGAGCTGGGCCAGTCGCACGGAATTACAGTCAACTGCGTCAACCCTGGACCCATTGCGACAGGTAAGATCGAGTCCCCCGTACGTAGAACCCAACCGCTAACTACAGACTGTAGACCAGTGGTTCCAGAGTGACGAACAGTTCCTTAAAGATATGCAGCCTCTGATCGACTCTACTCCCGCTGCGGCCCGTGTCGGCGAGGTTGATGATATTGCGCCCCTGGTGGCCTTCCTTTGCAGCGATGACGCAAAGTGGACGACAGGATCGGTTCTCTCGGCCAACGGTGGCTTGTATAACTAAGCGTCTCCGGCAAAATAGTAAATTAAATTCATTTTGAGTACGGTCGTAATATTGTATTGTATCTCTAGTCTAAAGCGTGCAGATAAGCCCCGTGATGTCCGTAGTTGATCCAAACAGGGCGCATGACTGTAAGAGTCGCTCAGATAAGCCAATGGTCCCTCAACCGGCCATCTCATGTCCTTCCAAGAAGTATTCCGTAAATTTTTCGTCTATTCTCTCCGTCTCAAATCAGTCGTTTTTCAAGCTTAGCTGTTGATTTTGGTATTAGCCATTACTCGGAGAGCCCGTCTCGAAATTCTCCGCCACCCTAATGCACACTGTACCCGTTTGGTGAAGGTTAGGCCGTTCGAATTTATTAGTGGACCAAGCCGCTTCACCCGGATTTCCCAACTCTCCCCTCTTCTCGCCGACAAGTCGCATCGCTCATAATTACGACACCTTCTCTCACCTCACCTCACCTCAATTCTCCCACAGCACCATATCCGCAATGTCCCAGGCCAAGGCCCCGCGCGAGTTCAAGTTCGTAGGCGCTTACAGCCGGAAACGTCGCCGCAGAAATGGCATCGATCCCAATGGCCCTCCCCGGAACTGCACTGCTGGTGCTACCACGCATCCGCCAGCGTCAACACCGGCGAGGACATCGACCTCGAGTCCCAGGACCGTCCAGGGAAAGGAGAGCGTTGGAGAGAAGCCGGCAAACAGTGCGCCGCCTCCGTCAACAAAACCGCCAGAACCTCAATCAGGCCCAGTCGAAACTCCTTTGCTTTCCGACGAAGCAGTCAACCTAATCGAGAGCGAGATGCTTCTGAACCCACCGACCGAGACCATCAGCCAGGACAGCAATATTGACTGGTCACATTCGAATTTGATGAACCCATTTCTCGACCCGGGGCCGTCATTCATGGCTCCATTCGATCATCTCCCCATTTACTTCGGACCCGATGTTCCTCTTGTGCACTTGGACGAAAACTCGTCTACCGATAACTCGCCTCAGAATAACGTCGATGGATCTACCCTGCAAACCGACGGCGACGGCGACGGCGTAAGAATAGAATCTGCGACAACCACAGACCCTTCCACGATCGACGAGATTGTCCTACCATCACTCAACTCCCAGGAAGCACCATGCAACATCAGCCTCACGATCACCCAGCTGCTAACCCGATGTACGATAAAGTCTTGTATATTACCTTGATCTTTGTTTCTGACTGCGTACAGATGACCAGGAGTTCTGTGTCATGCCACTAACCCACGACTTCGACGCAAACCCGTTTCGCTTCGATGCCGAGACAGGAAGAGGCTCTCAACTTCTCCTCCACTGCATCCTGGCGCTTTCCTACAAACACATCAATCGAGATACAGGTTCTTGTGCCGACGAGGCCAAATCACATAAGAAGAAGGCGCTTCAGATGCTGAGGGATATGGAGGGCGCATCACAAGCTTCGCCGCTTGAGGCTTCCTTCTTGGATGCTGTCTTGATTCTGATGACATTAGACGTAATTAAATCTTGCCTTACATTATTAACAAAGGAGATGCTGACTTTGGAAAGTGCGCTACATCGGCCCATGGACCATGGGTCTGGTATCTGAAGAGGGCACACAAGATGATTCAAGCGACCGAATCTCTCAACATCAAGAAGACCCCACGGATGCAAGCGCGCATCGAAATGCTCGTCTGGTATTTATTCTTTGAACCAAGGTTACGCCAGCAAGGTCTAACTTACTCAGGTGGGACGTCACTCTCGCTCTTACACGCCGTCAAGGCTGCGTTCTCTCCGAATCCACCATCATCAGCCTCTTCAACCACGACGAAGACAACAAGACCTTCTACAGCGTCTCCGGCTGCCCAGAAGCGCTCTTCCGACAGATGATCCGCCTCGGATCGTACGCATGGGAATGTGAACTAGTTGCAAACATGACATGTGCGAAATTCGACATGGGCCCGGTCCTCGAGGTAGAAAGCAAAATCAGGGAGTGGACTGATCCAGACTACGGCAATCTCCACCACCAATACCTCTCCGACACAGCACCGGGCTGTGACCTGGGCGACGTGGCACACTACAAGGAAGATTTGCACCACTGCGCCGAAGCTTGGCGATACGGCCTGCTCATCTACATCGCGCGCGTCTTCAGGTGGCAGCGCGACCAGCCCGCACCGCCAGTGTTGGGCTTCCTGGCGCGCAAGACGCTCAACCACGTATCGTCGTGCAGATATACCTCGATGTTGCAGAAGCAGCTGCTTCTCCCCGTGTTTCTGGCAGGGTGCGAGACGTCGGATGAGCACCTCCGCCAGACGGCGAGGACATACTGTAGTTGGTGGAACGAGCGCACTCGCTATGACATGTTTCTGACAGCCAATGCTCTGCTGGAGGAGGTATGGTCGAATGATAGCCCGAATGCTTGGTGGGGATCTACCATTGACCAGAAGAGCCGGTCGAATGTCGGGTCGGGGGATGCGAGGCAGTATTTGTTCGGATAGGGAATCGGTCGAGGAATTTTCGAGTCGATAGTCTAGTGAAACTGGTATTTATGACATCGATTCGGCGTTGGCGTTGGATGAAGTCGTAAAAACTCCATATTTTCGATGAACTTGAGCTTGTTGAGCATCTCCTGTTCCGTCGCTGTGGGAAGACGCACCTGTTAAAGCCATCGATCAAGCTACCATATCAGTAAAGATATAGAGCCACAACACTTCAGCTGGATCTTGTCGTTAACCAACGTTATCCGGGTGGTCTGATGTCGCGTCTTTCGTTTTGGGAGGTGGAAGACAGCATTGGGGTTCCGCGTGTTTGGCAGGTTTGAAGACAAGAGCCAACGGGCCCTTCAGAAACACCTTGAAGATCAACGAAGAGAAAAGGGAAGGGAAAATGGAAAGCGAGGGCTGGGAAGGCTGGTTGCCATAGATTATCTGTTGCATTTCCAGCTACGCCGAGAGTGGAATGAGCACTCCGTCAATGCGCATCGCAATAATGTCCTATAGTAGATGTGTCATTATCTTTTATTGCATGTCTTCTTCCGTTTCTAGAAATGCTTCATTCTTGGCAAACTACCTAGAAGGGCAAATGGGGACTCGCCACGTGTTTAAGGCCTCATCCAGGGTTAAAATTGGCAAATGCAAGTCGAGATCGCCTAATGCCGGCAGTGTTCCAGACAGCTGCATCGTCAATATTGGGAAAATTTCCTCGGCTCAGGGGAGGAGTTCCTAGCGGCGAACTTGATGGGGTTCGTATCAGAAAGCTTAGCAATATTCCCATCATGCCAACAGTCCGGGCTAGAGCTTGTTAGCCTTCCGTAATACCCTGTTCGACATGGCCTGGGACGGTTTCTGCCCGCTATTGCCGACGAACTTCGGGCTGTCTCACTGGGGATAGACAAGCTCGACTTGAGGGGTCCTGTCAACCATTTCTCTTTTGGGGTACTACATATGGGCAGTTTCCGACGGCTGCCGCATTGAGAGGTAGGATGGCACCACCAGACACTGTTCGAATTCCACCCCACACACGTCTTTCGTGACTGCAGGGCACATTATTGCTCCAACAGTACAAGAAATTACAAGATACCCGCAGCACGGTAGAATGGATGTGGAGCGGATATTGCGTATTCCTAAATTGGGCGCGTGTGAAACGGTGCAGTACCCGTTCACAATATTGCACAATGTAGGTAGGGTTGTTTGTTCAAGACAGCCTGCGACTTTTCACAAAGACGTGGGTTGACGTTTTGATTGGGACAAGTTCTGAGTTGTTTACGACAATTTGTGATCAATTTTCAGCAGCATAACAACATTATATGTATTTTATGCCCTCAGCCTGAGGTTCGCTTTAACTGTAATATAGCTTTTCAATATTTTTTGAGAGAATGTGAAGCGATACTGTAAGATAGCTTGTGACACTCCGCCTCGCGCTCTGGTACTCTAGGGTATGTTAGGTTCGATATATCTCACGCTGTCAACGCTCGCTTATTTTCGCGCCATCCTGTGCAAACCTCAACATACCGGAAGATCGGTTCTTGCAACATCACCTACTTCCATCCATTCCCGAAGCCGTAGCATCGCCAGCTCCTTCCAAACACAGCATATCTTGTTATCAATTGAAAGGATTAGGGAAATACGGCGGACTAGATACCGTGACGTCATAACACCACTTTGGTGTCGGAGGCACTTATTGCCTAAATAGGCATTACCGGATTCGGGTCAACATCTCACACCCTAACTTTTGCTTCGCCTGATGGTCCATGAACTCCACGACGATTTTGGAGACGATCTTGACCAAAGGCGGGAGAGGGTCTACTTAAGCAAGGCATAACATCGTGATCAAATTTTGAAGATTCATAACCTCCAGATCACATCATCACCACCAGTCTTCTTCCCTCAGCCCGCCAAATACACCCATCACTACATACAACCAACAAAATGGCCACCATGGACAAGATCTTCGCCGGCTATTCCAAGCGACAGGCTGTACTTGAGAAGAGTAACAACCCTCTTGCGAAGGGTGTGGCCTGGGTCGAGGGCGAGCTCGTGCCTTTGCACCAAGCTCGCATTCCACTGCTCGACCAGGGCTTTATGCACTCCGACCTGACTTATGATGTGCCCTCCGTCTGGGAGGGACGTTTCTTCCGCCTCGACTGCCATATCGATCGTCTCGAGGCCAGCTGCAAGAAGATGCGCCTCAGGCTACCCATCCCCCGCGATGAGGTTAAGAAGATCCTCTGCGATATGGTCGCCAAGAGTGGCATCAAAGATGCCTTTGTCGAGCTGATCGTCACCCGTGGTCTTACCGGCGTCCGCGGCGCTCGACCTGAGGAGCTCCTTAACAACAACCTCTATATGTTTATCCAGCCTTATGTCTGGGTCATGGACCCCGACGTCCAATACAAGGGTGGCCACGCCATCGTCGCCCGGACTGTGCGCCGCGTCCCTCCCGGTGCGATCGATCCTACTATCAAGAACCTGCAATGGGGTGACTTGGTCCGCGGCCTCTTCGAAGCTTCTGACCGCGGAGCTACCTACCCTTTCCTAACGGATGGAGACTCCAACCTTACCGAGGGCTCGGGCTTCAACGTCGTCATTATCAAGGACGGCGTCCTCTACACCCCCGACCGCGGCGTGCTGCAGGGCATCACGCGAAAGAGCGTTATCGATGCTGCCCACGCTGCTGGTTACGAGATCCGCGTTGAGCATGTTCCCATTGCGGCTGTTTACGACGCCGACGAGATCTTGATGTGCACTACTGCTGGCGGCATCATGCCCATTACCGTTCTCGACGGCCAGCACGTGAAGGATGGAAAGGTAGGCCCCATTACAAAGGCTATTTGGGATGGTTACTGGGGCATGCATTATGACGACAAGTACAGTTTCGCGATCAACTATTAGCAAGGCCAAAGTGCATGATTTGTTTAAAGTAAAAAGAATAGAATAAAAATCGTTTAAAGCTCAAATAATCTTTCGGGTCTTGTTTAGTCCCGGTCTTCTGCTCAAACATAAACAACCTGACTGTTTATCACAATCAGTTCCGTTTCGCTTCTGCATCAATCTTTGAAGCTTCATCCTTCCCATCAAATTAGTCGTTAGAGAGTGGATGATATTACAGCTACGATATCGGAAAGGCCTAACTCCCAACAAGGCTCAGATCACGGGGTTTAGCAAGGCCGGACAGCGGCGAGCTCCTCAAGTGCGAATTTGGAACATTCGGGATCGAGTTTTATTGAAGTCGGGTTGTCCTAGAATAGGAAGTATCCCATGGTTGCGAAATCGTGGGGCGGATCGTCATATCTCAATCTGGGTTAATGCCTGTATGGATGCTCTGGATCACAAATACCACGTGAAGTGCTCACTCGCCTCCAGTGGGTATATTTAGTACCCGCTAGCCAAGATGAGTTCCGGCTACCCCGTTTTATCAGTGCCAATTTGGGAAATGCTGTATTGGGAAATAAGGCTTCCTGGCTGTTGCCGCGTGCGAACAAGCGAACACGATCGGAGCATGCCGACTAAGGGGTGGACCTGAGAATTATTCGAGACCATACTGCGCCGGCGGCCGATAGCTGCCGTTACAAAAGCTCCCGTCATGACTTCACGGTTGAGAAGGTTTGGCAAGATCTTCAGTTTTGCATGTAATTGGGCCTAATATTACTGTTGAATAAAGCGATTGTGGACTACCCAAATATGTCTTCTCAGGGCGCTCAGGACAGTATCGTCATCGTCGGGTGAGTTCAAGACGAATCCAACAATGGTGATTCAGTGATTGGTGTTGACTTGCGACTAGTGCAGGAATCATTGGCCTCGATGTAGCACTTGTCCTCTCCGAAAGAGGCTACGGGCGATCTATTACAGTTGTCGCTGAGTATCTACCTGGAGACACAGCACTATCTTATACATCCCCATGGTTAGTCAAAGCTCTTGGCGAGAAAGAAGACTTCAGCAACTCATTCCATCTGCAGGGCGGGATGTAATTTCTCGGCCATCTCGGGCACCGATGCCAACGCTCTGAAATGGGATCGGGCGGGATACTCTCATCTGAGCAAGCTTGCCTCCGAAAAGCCAGAATACACATTTGTGCAGAGGACACCATCGACTGAGCTTTGGGATGACAATGTTCCTCATGATAAGATCAAGGCTATGTCGGAATATCTGGAAGATGTGAGACTGAGTCTGAACCCTCCTGTGTGCGAGGACTCTACTGATTAGACCCAGTTCCGAACCCTCCCAGCTGATGAGCTGCCAGAGGGTGTCAAATTTGCCGCGTCTTTCACAACTCTGACCGTGAACGCGCCAAAGCATCTCCTCTACCTGTACAACAGGCTAAAGCAGGACTACGGCGTCCGCTTCATTAGACAGAAGCTCCCCAACCTCAGTGCAGCATTTTCAAGCCAGTCAACACACGTCGTTTTCAACTGCATTGGAAACGCGGCCAAGACCTTCCCTGGAGTTGAGGACCCCAAATGCTACCCAACCCGTGGACAGGTTCTCTTGGCGCTCGCGCCCGACGTGCAGACAAACATGATGAAGCACGGAAGGGATTATGAGACTTATGTAATTCCCCGGCCATTCTCAAAGGGGCACGTCATTCTCGGCGGCTACATGCAGAAAGGAAACGGGTAAGTCACCTATGGCTCTGGATTGGACCACCCACTGACCAGCTTACCAGCGATGGTGCCACCTACTCTTACGAAACGCAGTCTATCCTGGACCGCACTTCAGAGCTGAGTCAAGAGGTCAAGGAGGGCACTCCAGAGGTCCTCGCGGCATTCTCCGGCCTGCGTCCCTCACGTGAAGGCGGCACACGAGTTGAAAGGCAGGAACTGTCCATTGCTGGCCAGACGAGAACTGTCGTCCACAACTACGGAGCCGGAGGAACTGGCTTCCAAGCCGGCTACGGAATGGCATTGGATGCTGTAAATATTGCTGAGGACTTGCTTTCCCATGTTCAGAGAGGACTCCACTCAAAGCTGTGAGAGTGAGGGCGGTGAATAATCCATTTTCAGAGAAAGTCTGTAATGGTTTATTGAATCTGGAGCAGTCTAGAGCGGAAATTTATGTGCTGTTCATTCATTTGTCAAACGCTGTGTAATTGGAAATGGCCTGGTAGAACTCCAGACAGCCTCCCGTCCCAGCGAAGAAAGACCTTTTGACCACTTCAAGGACTGCAAGATGGGGCCAGTCTTGGATTGACTTTGCAATTGCCGAATCTTCTCCTGAATCGCGATGTCGTGGCGGAGCTGCAAGCCCCTGAGACAATGCATCCGAATCACCTGAGCGACAGCGGGGTCTGTCTGTCTCCACGAATCTGCCCCATGCATCAACGGCCGCTGGAGAGGGATGAGCGAACTAATCGGTATTGAGCCATAGTGCTGGTGAAGCGTCAGTCACAAGACCATGCTGTGTGGAAGGAACCTACTTGCCTTCGTGACGGAACTGTCTGGATCCATGATAATCCCTTCGGTGTCACACTCGGGGGGCCGTCGGGGATATCCTGAGCGCCGACTGGAGAGGCAAATCCTGTCCTGAGTGGTAGGTTTCGCCGTCCGTCTCTAGCACATCCAGTTGCCACCGCTCGGCCTCTCGCTCACCCTCAAACTCCGAGGCAGCGCGAGGGTCTCGCTTCTCTAGCTTGTGTGTTTCACACAAACACGCCCAACACCCTATTCTCACACCGTTGCTCGAGCTGCGGAGAGCTAATCAGGCCGGAATGAACGTGTTTGGAGCTATGGCTTGACGTACAAGGCAAAATTGATACTGCAAGTTGTTGGGCCACGTACCCCCTACCGTACACGCATCCATGAGGCCTGACGCTGACATCCGAAGCTTGCGAATGATGTAGATAGAAATAAAATCCCGCAGACCGAGAGCCGTGCCATCGCGAAGAAGCGACGCCTAGAGCCAGCACTACGTGTGGAAATAGTGGAAATAGCTGCAACATTTCACACTCTCGGAGGCTTGTCCCAGGAGGTATTACTCAAATGGCCATCAGTATTGCCGAGGGCTGTGACTCTCTGTGGGGTCGGAGAGGACGTGTGAGGCAGCCGGCAACTTGGTTTGGGATTCAAATTCCCTATCTCCCCAGCTGCTGAGATGCTTGCAGTATCACAGGCAACACGCAATGTGAGGGGCCACATTTCCAACTGCGAGGCTTACAACACAGAATCGTTTCATTCACACCGTGGGGGTCACTGGTCCGGCGGAGCCGCTGGTCTGGACTCCTGCAATCAACAAGATCTTGACCATCTGCAGCCCCAGTTCATCTCCGGAATGGAATCTAGATCGCGGCGCAGCATTGGCCAAACTGGGGTACAAATCCACTCTCCCCAAGACTCATGATACGGGGAAGTGTGCGCTATCCCACAAGCAGTAGTAAGGCATATGGCCCCTTGTAGTCAGTGCCATGCCTGAAAGGACGGCAATCTCACAATCAGATAGCTCAACACCGGATTGCTTATCTGGCCGTGTCCCAAATGCCGGGATATCGCGTCGAGCTGGTGGAAGCTTGTAGAAAGCTGATCCCCCTGTGATTTCTACACTTCAACGCTTACTTCTACTTGTGGAATAGTCTAAAGCGTCTCTGTTAGTCTCTCGTATCTAGTGTTCGAGAGCTTCTAAGTTTCTACCCCGCATGTGGCCAAGAATGTCCGGATAGACGGAAGCCGATAGACGGAAGCCCCGTGACCTCTTCTCCAACACAAGCGCGAGTCTTCTCCTCAGGCATTAATATTTAGTGTCTAGATAACCCGTCGTAATTTTCCCATGTCAACAAGACTTCATTCTGCGCACTCGCAACAATCGACAGCAACCAGCATCATGGAAAAGAAATCTGAGGATCTCGGTGCCAGGGACATTGACCGGTCTTCGGTCGGAAAGGGATCCCTTGTGGATCTCGACGAAAGACGCCTTCGTGCTCAAGGTCACAAAGCAGAACTTGAACGATCCTTTTCCTGGCTGGGTGCTATTTCTCTGGCATACAGGTTTGCCACTTCACCATTATACGCAAAGTTCCGACTGACATGGGCTGGATGACAGTATTTCAAACTCGTGGCTTACATATGCGTCAACCTTTGGTCTCGTACTCATCTACGGAGGCGGCGTGACCACCCTATTTGCCGTCCTTATTGCTGCTGTTGTTCAGTGGATTGTCTTCCTCGGCCTGGGCGAGCTATGCTCTGCATTCCCGTCATCTGGTGGCCAGTACCACTTCGTTTATATCCTCGCCCCGGCTAAGACCCGAAATTTTGCTGCCTATATAACGGGTTGTATTACTATTATTGCCTGGTGGATTGGTACCTGCTCTGGTATTATATATACAGCTATATCAGCATTTGGCTGTGCTGTTGCCTGGTTTCCAGACTTTGCACAGGAACGGTATCAAGTCTATCTATGCTATATCGGCGTCATCATACTATCGCGTAAGTTCTAGATATAGGGGAGTTTCACAAGCTAATAATTGTCAATAACAGTCATTCCAATCTACACGATCAAGCAAAGATATATTGACTACATGACCAAAGCCGCCACCGGCTTCTCGCTGATTGGTATGGTCCTCACTATTGCCGTATGTTTGGGAATGGCCGATAGCGACTATGCCCCTGGATCAATCCTGCTCGAGAACCGCGGTATCAGCGGCTGGAATGCGGGAACAGGCTGGCTTCTGTCTATTGCTGCTTCTCTCTACTGCTACTCTGCAAACGGCGCGGTTGTCCATATCGCTGAAGAGCTGCCAAACCCTGGACGCAAGCTTCCCCAGGTCTTGTAAGTTAACCAACTCGCTAATGGTACGCAAGGTTCTAACTCTCTCTCCAGGAATATGACTATGGCTATGGGTATTATTATTGTTATCCCATGGACTGTTGCTATACTGTTTTGCATCAAGGATCTCAACGCCGTCCAGAGTTCATTTCTTCCTAGCTTCGAGGTCTTCTACCAAGCCACTGGAAGCAGGTCAGCCGCAACCGCTCTGCAGGCATACCTAACCTTTCTTTACTATAGTGAGTTTTTGACGTGAGGTCCGGGCATATGTTTACTAACTCTGTTTTTAGCATGCATTCCTAGTCAGTGGGTGACTTGCAGCCGTATCACTTGGGCCTTCGCTCGTGACGTGAGTGAAAATTAGCAACTTTGAGACTTGGAAACCGCTAACCAGTCCATAGCAAGGTCTTCCGTTTTCGACGTATTGGCAGCACATCGATCCCGAGCGTGGCATCCCTTGGAGAACAACGGTCCTCTCTGCCGTGTTTTGCGCCATCTACGGTTTAATCTACATTGCGAGCACGGCAGCGTTTAACTCGATCATCAACGCAATGTGTCTCACTCTGAACCTCTCATACATTATTCCCCAGGCAATCCTGCTTACGCAAGGCCGCGACAAGCTGCCGCGACACACATACAATCTCGGCAGATGGGGTTACGCTGTCAACGCCTTCTCGGTCGTATTCTTGATTGTCATCGGCGTTGTGTTCTGTCTACCTCAGACAAACCCAACATCCATTAACACAATGAACTAGTGAGTACCTCCACCATATATCCTTGACGCATATTGCCGTTTGCTCCATTCGCTAACTGGTGCCGTAGCAACGCACCTGTCATCGTCGGATTATTCCTACTCATCTGCCTGCTCTATATTGAACGCCGCCATAAGTTCGATGGCCCCAAGATCGATTGGGACCTGCTTAACGAAATGAATACAGTTTCATAATCGCATTCAAATCCTTTATACTCTAAAATGCTATGGATGACGGGTCTTATTTACTAAAGGCGTAGAATGTATAAAACAGTATTAAATTTCAGAGACTGCAATTCTTCCCACTCCCGCCCAACTAAATACTTCGGTATTGTGGAAGTAAAACTTTAAAATCTGGCTTTATCTTGTTGTTTTCAATTTCCAATATATCAAAAAGATTACTATCAAGAAGTTAGGGTGCCCTAGTACACATACCCAGAGGGGGGACTAGAAGCTCAACAGTATAAAATAAAAAACTAACAATTGTATCAAGAATAAAGAAGATTGGGACATGATGTAAATATTACCATAGAAATCTATGCTTACGGCTAAATATAATTTTCATTTCTTAAAAACAGTATTTGCTGGCTTACATCCTCCTGTCCCGAAATTCCAAAACTTGACCCGTACAGAGGAGACTATTACCCCTGCAAATATCTACATTCCATTCCGGCAGCATTCATCTTCGCCGCGCTCTACTTTAGCATTACGGCCGCAGTCGCGTAGTGTACCTGGAAGACACGATCATGGCTTCGCAGCGGGTTTGCTATTGGCAGCCTTCGTGGGTGATTTCCTCCAAGATCACTGGACATGTTAATCATCAAAATCCATTCGAGAATGTCGGCTATATTGCTCGGACAATGTCGCGCAACACCACGGCAAAGCTAATGCCGTTCGCTATCCATATCACCTTCATCCTGCTTGCCTCGGTGCTGTTTGCAGCTTTGATCTACATGACTCTCTATCACATAATCCACAACTTTGACGGAGAAAGCACTCCTTCATCGTTCCCAGCGGTCAGCAAGAATCTTCGTTACAGGCAAAGTTCTCGCGTTATCAATCCAAAGCGCGCCGCAGATATCATGACGATCGGCAATCTCGCGCCACTTGCTGAAGCCGTCTTAATTCGAGGCCGTGCGTTTAATATCGTTATCTTCGGTATTTTTGGGGTCATGGTGTCCTGATTTCATATCAAGATGCGTCGAGATTCGACGGTGAAGAGTATTCCTGCCAGTCTTCAATGGGATAAATCTTTGGGTATGCTCTACGTTTCGAGTGCCCTGATTATAGCGCGATCTATCTTCCGTATCCGCGAGTCCTTTATGTGCCATGATGGTGAGCTAGTGACTACGGAGCGGCCGATACGGTCATGGTAATATTTTCGAAGTAGCTCCCGTCAGCTGTCCAACAGTCTAACATCGACGGCTGCAAAGATAGGCAGGTTGAACCGATTCTTGAACGGGTAATACTTTACAAGTCCCTGAGCAAGTTGAGGCAGGAAAACGAGAGCGGGAGTAAGGGGAACATAGGCGGAAACAGGATATACAATATGAGATGGTTTAGCCTGGTAAGCTCGTGGCTATGAATGGTAACGCTTCCTTCTAGGTAAAACTAAAATTAAAACCTGATACTTTCTCAACCCAACTGTCGCTGTGATTACCAAAGAAATAATTGCATTTATAACTCGTCGCCGAAGAAGTTGGTCCGAGAAGCACTGTGATCTTTGCAAGACCAACACCTTGAGACTGTCGCATCCCCACAGTCCTCTTCAAAATAAGCCTTCTGCGGAAAAGGACATAGGATGCGGCTCCAGCCTTTTCCTTTCGAGTCCCTAAAGTTGATAGGAGAACTGGTCGGCGCGGTCCCATTCTCCACCCAATTGCGCAATTGTTCAAACATGGCGGTCGGCTGGCCGCCACTACCGCCAAAGCAATGAGCAAGCCCAGGGACTTCAAAGTATCGGTAAAAGCTTTGTGCGTCTGGGTCCAGCGATGCGACAGCCCTGTAGTATGCCTCCGTACTCTTGGCTGGGATGACGTTGTCGTCCTACCACGAAGATGATTAGAATATGGGCCTCAGAGCAGTCGTCTACTCCCCTATCAAGATGTGAGTTGGTTTACTTACGAGACCGTGGAAAGTGAGCATCTTTCCTCCAGCATCTCGGAACTCTGATAAGTCGGGCTCATACGTGCTGATAAATGACTCGAACTGTTGATGCCCAAAGTTGATCAAGGCATCGAATTTCTCGTGCGTAAGATTTCCGATGTCAAAATTCGGGTTCTTTGCCACAAATAGCTGGAGCCACTGTGCGCCAAGCACATTAGGCTGGCTAACGCATTTGCCATCGCTCGAGCAGTTCGTGGTTGCGATGCCGGGTTGATAAGACATGGCGCCAGTGAGATCAGAGCCAGGGTTAAAGCCATACCAGATTTGCTTCCCCGATGCGGATACAGGGCCTTGCCAGGTTGCGTTTACTACAGAGGCTGCGGTAGAGCTAATTTGCATCTCCTTATCGGTCTGCGGGCAGTAAATAGGTGTTCCGACGAGCTGGAAGGGATCGAAAGTGGCCAGACAGCTCTCAACGTCCGCTATCAAGCCGTCAACCACGCCATCCAACTTATCGCAGGTCGATATCGCAGCTTGCGTGATTGCATCCAGCTCACAACTATGCGGGTATTCGCCCATCATATTCATCATTTGTTGCGGCCAGAAGATACTAGCTGCGAGCTTAGGCATTTCGAGAGCCGGTGCCCCGGCGGCGATGCCGTCATACGCGGTTGGGTAGCGCTGTGCGAGCATCAGACCCTGGCGTCCACCTTGGGAGCATCCATTCCAGTATGAATACAACGGAGCCCTGTCGTAGAAGGTTTTGATGACTTCTTTGCTGATCAAAGCCTGTGGATTGTTAGTATGACGACACTGCAGGACGAAAGAACAGCCCACCTGGTCGTTGAGAGACGTGGATGCCAGATTCTGCAGCTTTTGCACATCGACCTGTCCGGGGCTGAGAAGAGCCCAAGAACTCATATCCTCTGGATCTGCATCAAGTCCAAGCCCTGCATCTGTCGTGCTTGTGGCGTAGCCCTCTGCAAGAGCACCAGCCATGGTAGCATATGAGAGGAAGAACCGACCAGCAGCAAATCCCCCACCGCCAGCGGCATAAAACCTCTCATTCCATCCATCGAGAGGCAGCCAGATCTCAACATTTATTCGGTCGTCGGCGCCTGGATGCGTATATGTAACAGTGACGTTGCAGAAAGCGACGTTTTCTGCTTCAACAGAAGGCTGTGTAAATCTATAAGCACTGTGGATGTTTCGAGTGAAATTTGTGATAGGCGTTGCCTCGATAGAAAGGATATCAGTGCCAAATATGGCCGGTGGTGTTGCAAAGGTGCTTGGTACACAGGTATCGATGAGAGATAAGGCATCCATATTTTACAGGTAGCTGGAGCATAAATTGACCTCTATAGCTGCGTTGACTTGATGTGGGTAATTCTGTTATTTAAGCTGTAAAAATGCAATGGGATTGTTGGGAAACTCTTCAAAGCGGCGTGAACGTCGACAAAAATATCGCCAACAGCAATACTCGTAATTTGATTTCTTCTTGGGAACACGTGTGGCTCAGGATACTCGTATTCCAATCAAACATGAGGCGGAGTCCAATCATGTGCGATATGTCTTGCAACCATGGGTCCACCCTTGTCCAGACTCAAGTATTCCAAGTGGACCCTCCCCCACCTCGTGAGATAATACTCGTACCAGAGTTTTGATGCTCTGGTACGGAATTAGAATACGAGTATTTGGTGAGCACTCACGTGGCGGATGATGGCGTAGGATGATGTCGGATAACTGAGACACTCCGGATGCTTCGGGGCCTTTGGCTTCATCTAGCTATGAGCGTAAATGAGGGGAAAACTAGGCTGGTGACGAGGCCGGTGAGAGGCAGGTGACGAGGCAGGTGATGGTGACGCCTATGGTGAGAGAGGAAAAGCCACTGTCGCAATAGCCGTGGAAATCTGATATCCTGCTATGTGAAAAAACGTAGGCTGAATATATGTCACTGGACCCAGAACCCCTTCATGAGTATTAATTTTAGTCACTGGTGATTTTTCAACTAATTCACTAAAGATCCTTGACAGCGATAGCTTGGCTCTTGGTGTCAGGGAATGAACCGCCTCTAAAACCACTGATGACAATCTGTCAGTCTTCCCCCGTACTGTGCCTTCCGACGGCGTAGTCTGCAGTGCGCTTGCTATTCTTGCATCGATGTCTTTCCGAGGAGCATTCTTCAAGACTGGATGGATATTACACTAAGGGCAAGTAGGCAGGTGCTCCTGCTTTGTCGAGGTGAGTCTATATAATATGAATAGGGTTGCCGTATCAATTGCTCTGCCACTTGGCCCATCCTCACTCTAGTCACGCCGATCCAATCGTCAATCCACCCGCGACTACGTTCCTTGTCTCGCTCTACAGGATAGCTAGGCCAGCAATGCAGATACTGCCATATTCATCCTGCTTCACCAGATGCTTCAGCAGCGCGCACATCAGCTCGAGCACGCCACCCCAAAGCCGCTTCTGACCTTTCATCAGCCCACCCGCAAACATTCAAGTCAAGTGAATGCTTTCTGCTCTTGACAACCACGGGCAAAATCGGGCTTTGACGACCCATCGGACTGGGCATTTCACCTTTGCCGATATCTAGCTTCTCTATGATCTAGTTTTTATCATCTAACTTTTCCAGCTGCATAAACCATCCCAGGAGGTAACAGTTGAGGCGGCAAGGCTTAATTCTCCACAAAAGCACCCTTATGAATGATTCTGCAAAAAGATGACTCAAATTCATGTTGGGGAAAGCTACATGCCCGTAGGTATAAAGGAACCCCGAGGCCTCTTCACATTCGAACTGCCCTTACCTACTACACAACAACCCATCAACTACGCAATAAGCCATCGGTTCATTCTCCATCAAGTCAACTTCTCATCATCATGTCTATACCAGCGCGTCAGGGTCAATCACAATCCGATGAATTACCATTACCACCATCCTGGTGGCCCCCAACAGGATACACAAGAGAAGAAGCACTCTGGAAATATCGCACCGACATGGAGGGTGCGCATCGGGTCCAGGTTCGTGTGCGCGCCATCATAAACAGCTACAGAGCACCACTTGGAACTCCCGGCCCAATTCCCGACATGGAAGTATCAGACGTACTTGATTGCTGCAACAAGTCGGTGGCTGTCTATGTGCCATTACTCACTGGAGAATACCCTAATGAAAGAGCACTTCATCCCCTCGTCCACAATTACTTGTATCATCGGTGGTTTCGCCCGTACCAAAGCGAAATCGAGCTGCAACGCTTCATCTGCAAAACCATCACACCGACAAATTTACCACACGAGCCTTCACCTTCAGAGGCAACAATTAATAACTTCGCATCGCTAAACGGAGCCACATGTGCACACGTCAAGGAAAGACATGGCATCTACGACGAGCTAGTTTCCGCAGGCCAGCGCATACACGAATTGAGATTTTACGGCGACCACAGACTGTATATGCTCCAGCCGCTATTTCAAGCCCTGCTCATTATCGTTTGTGTCCGCAGCTACACCTTCCGCGAGGACTCTACAAACATAGGCCAATTTCCGGTGCTGCTAGTACGCACGGGTGTCGAACAAGGGCTAAGTGCTCCAATCACGTTTCAAGGCTTGGCTGGCGCGGGAGGCAACTCGGACTCTGCCTACTACATCAAGACGGCGCTTGAGACGGCGGTTGATTTTGTCATGGCCTTGGAGGCCCGGGAAGCGGCCGTATTCGGCCTCCAGCCGGACCCTAAAGCTGCGTTCGAAAGCTGGAAAGAGAGCCTGATATGCGGGATGGGACTATATGAAGAGGACTTGGGGGATGAGCCGGTGATTGGGCCTAGCTCCAAGTTTGTTGACGTCAACAAATATTCAACATGGGGCGGACATGGCAGGTGCCAGGATAGGGCGGCGAAGAAGTATGAAGAATCGCTTCTGAGATGGCAAAGGGATGAGATGAAAGGGGACTTAGACTGAGTTAAGAAAATAAGAAAATAAGAAAATAATATTTAGCTAAAGCTTTATATATTCATAATAAATAGTTAACTTTAAGTAAAAAGACTGAGGTTATGTAGCAAAGTTCTACAGTATCGAGTGCGAAAGTCTTCGCATCGCTAAGATGGCTTCCTTTCATACGCGCAATCAAAGCTTAGCGAGGACGTCAACGAATTCAGCGAAATTCGGTGGGAATTCAGCCAACTAATATTCCTCCCTGATAACGATGCGCGACGGGCTTCCCTCCTCACTGTCGCAGCAAGACCTTTCCGCTTGAAAGACCAGATTGAGATCTACACAGCGGTGATGTCTCGCCATGCAGATAAAACGGAGCGGATTCCGGAAGAATATCTGCTCTGGAAAGACGACTTGCACCTCTTAGCAAGTAATATTGCCGTACTACTACCGCCTAAATAGCGTAACTAAGTATTTTGAAGGCAGGTTTTTGCAAGCCTGTCAGTCCTGAGAAGATGATTGAATCAGTCAATTCCAAATTAGCACTATGGATCTGTCAACGACTTAATCCTACGGGACGGCTGGAATAATCTATCAGTTACTAGGCTAATTACATTTTATTTCTATTGCCTTCAGTTGATGAATACTTCAACAGAACAGAAAAAGGTAAGATCGAACAATCTTTCTCTTGACACATTGACCTAGCAATGGTAGTAGGGGCAGGAGCGAGTCGACATCAACTCGCGCCATAATTACCAACCTTACGCTACATCGGGCCTCTCCCGTATCCATCCGTTTCCCGAAATCTGAGGCACATCATGGTCCAGAAGCTCGAGCAGGTTCCAACCTGCAGATACCCTGTCCACCATTTGGGCAACCTGGGAGCTTTCAGGGAAGAGTATCCCTCCCTCAGTTGAGACAGGCACCGTCGAATGCTCCTCCTGTTTGAAACCGAGCTGGATTAGATAGAGGTCTAGTTCATCCTCTACCCAACCCAAGTTCTGATCCCGTTGCTGCGACTTGGCCTCCAAATACAAGGATGCAGTATTGGTCATTAACTGACATAACCGCCAAAGCCGTTCCATTGCCTCAGAGGAGTCTGACGCGAGTTCAATCGAAGCGCTGAAGTCACGCAGAATCTTCAGATCGTCCCCTGATAGTGACTCAATAATATGGCAGAATAGGACAAAAAAGGGGGCAAACGGCGTCAGCACCAGACTCCTGTAGCAAAGAGTGAGCTAAAACCGAGAGGGGACATGAGGGAGATAGCCAAGGACATACCAGTGAAAATACATCGCCTTACAGTAGGCATCCTCTTGGATAAACTCCAAACAAGATAAATGCTTGAGCACGGCTTGTCGGGCAGTTATCAGGCATTCGTCGCAGAATCTGCTTCCCAAGCCTTCAGGAGCGGGAACTGTTCGATATATAAGTGTCATGATTGACATGAGTTGAACCTCATCGCTTTTGAGGTGAATGTGCACTAAAGGCGATGCGCCGATCTTCTCCAGGGAAGCTACGACTGTGTCTCGCAACTCTGTAGCTTCAGCTACTAGCTGACGGCATTCTTCTGCTAGGAGCTGAGCACTCTGAATGCGTTCGGCGGGTGATTGTTGCGAGGCCGATGGACTATATCTGTTGCGTTGTTAGACTTGCCGCGAGGACGACTCGGGATGTAAAAAGGAAAGAAAAGACAGCCCACAGTTTTTTGTAAACGCGCCCCTGGAGATGCGAGATCTTAACCCATACCATCTCCACGCCTGCCGTCTCGAGCCCATTCAAGCCCCTGGGACTAAACTTAGGAAGGATGCTGATATCCCAATCCTGGATCACGGGAGCTCGACCAAGCCGGAGCCCTAGTGACTTGTCGAGGGAATAGATATGCCAAAACAAACTCGCCTTAACACTGGAACTCTCTGGATGGCGGAGGTGGTGTTCAGTCCTATGGAAGCCTGCCATTTGACAAATCTGTGCCGCTGTGCTATTGAGATGCCAAGCAACCGAGGGGCGAGAAACATCAACAGCGTACACCGACTACCGAGATGAGTTAGTTAACCTGCAGTACAACAATGGGTAGGCTAGCCAATGTCCCATTACCCCTATAAAGAGAGCCTGGATCGTTTCAAGCTTGGCTGACATGAAAAGAGACATGTTCGCGAGGGCGGTCTCCAGGTTAACGCGGCAAAAATGAATAAAAGGTTCGAATTCGTCCTTTGTGGCCTTGTCAGAGGCTGCGGCATGCTGCTCGAGGAACAAATAGTAGAGCCCGGCGTTCACAATAACAAAGGTAGAATCCGGGAAGTGATCGGAGGGGAAGTAGACAATCCGACACAAGGCATCAAAGTCATTAATACCTGCAAAGTGGCATATGAAGGCGAAAATACCAGGAGGGGAGGCTGAAAGGGACATTAGTATGAACTGGGCGAAGTTGGCGCTTGTAGTGGCGTACCACACCTTTTACATGCCTGAGAAGAGATACCACAGTATCCAGGGGAGGCATTTGTAACTGGCTGAGGCCCCCGGGCGGCAGCCGTTGCTGATGAGGAAACCGGGGGCCTTGGCTGATTGACTCGAGCGACTGAAGCTGAGCCAAGCGCCGGAGGCTTTCAAGGGCTTCCCCTATCTTGGGGTTGACGTCGTGTAGCGAAGTGCGTTCAACGGCATTGCTTTAAAACATCGCTAGCATAGTTTGTGTGATCTGCAAGGACTGAGTCCCCCCCGGCTATTGACTCATCATCTGAGCTGCCAGATTCTGCGGTGCCTATACCAGCACCATAACTTGAGACATGCTGAGGCGTGTGGGGCAAATAGGGGACGCTGCTTGGCGTAAGGTGACCATGACCAGAGGAGAGACCACGTAGAACAGTCTCAATGCCTCCAAGACGAGTCTCAATGAGGTCTATCTTCTGTTGGCTGTTGAAACCAGCGCAAAAGGCGGTCTGTCAGTTATTGATATCTCATCGAGAGGAAAAAACGTGGTTTGGCCGACGGGTTCGACAGACTGACTATACTGATGAAATAAGGACGCGTTGTTGAGGCTCTTTGGGTCGTCGTCGATTGGTTGTAGAAGTGGTGCAAGTGCGTCGGCTAGCCTTGCAGTTTGAACACGGCCATTCTTTGTTGCAACGGATCTAGAGTGCAAAGATACCGTCAGCGGTCTCGGCTCAAGGATTGATATCAAGCCACCACAGAGGACTTCTGGCTTCCATCTGGATTGGGTATGGGCCTAACTAACCTTGCGAGCGCCACACTGATCACACTAAAGACTCGTGTACAGCCGGTGAGTCAGCATAGGTTCCTTCGAAGGAACAAAAGTGCGATCAATCCAAGTTGGGTGATTGAGTCCTCTTCTATTTCGCCACGACAGAGCCAAGCGTGCGGGGATAAGGCAAAGCAGGACTATGGGCAGTAGAGCCACGAGGCAACTTGCAAGCAATGGGGAATGGAAGTGGATCGTGGCTCTGGTTATCACACTCACAGCTCGCTTTGCTGTTTCATCAGAAACGACTATAGAAACCGGGGCAGGGTCTGGGCTTTGATCTGAGGACTCCATGGGATTAGTTTGAGGCGTCTTGTCTCGCAGCGGAACAAGTAGAATTGAAAGCTGAGGCAGAGGATCGCACAGGCGAAAATGGGCAGCAAGTCCTTTTTATCTTCGCTCCCGGGGTCCGCGGACGTCCGTTGGGAGGGGGTTCAATACGCGGCAAATCAGAAAGCACTACCAAGTATTCCCAGCGCCAATGCCGTTTCACAGAATCTTTACACACCCACTGTATTCTTCTCCCAAAACCACATACTTGGCCTTGGGTTGCAGTATATTTCGCCCAGGCCATTCAGGGCAACATAACCAGCTGATGGTCTAGCCGCCAGGCGAGGCATGCCAGATTCCTCTAGTGATTCACACGGCGCCCACCACACTTGGAGTGCTTATAATTAGGGCTGTGATCCGCCGAGTCGATAGAACGTTAGCCATACGTTAGAGGTACTTCTAGCGTGCATAAATAAGCCCGGCCGTACCACCGCTTATCGCTAGTTACCTTATGCAGATGTCCTTGGCAGCGTACATGCTTGTGGGGCGGCTGTGAACAAATCGGATTTAAGCCAGTATGTAGCTCAGTTAGCAAATACTTCATCTTGAGCCAAACTAACTATGGAGAGTCTGGTATCGATGCAACGTGGCGCTGCCCCGCAAGCATTTACAATGCCAAGGAGTTATGCAGATAAGCTTAGCCCCTAAACCTGGTGTAGCTCCCTCCCATAGCCGCTATAGGTAGTCCTCTATAATCCTTCAAAATCATTAATATCTAAAAAGAAAAAGAAATTACAGAAATAATATTATACCATATATTTATTGATACAGTTGTCTTTTTAATTTTAATGATAATTATTCTATCCTCTCATACAGAAGTGAGAAATGCAGAAGTGAGATATTCTGAAGTGAGATATACAGAAGTGAGAGCAATCACGTCGTTCCCATCCCGATATGTCCTTTTTGGCCGCTCCGAGGATAATCGCGAAATATGGTATCACCCTAGTTGATATCTACAACTTTGATGAGACCGGCTTTATGATGGGCCTTATTGCAAGCGGCATGGTTGTCACAAGCGCAGAAAAGCCCGGAGGATCGAAATCAGCCCAGCCTAGAATCCGGGAATAGGTTACAGTCAGGCTGGCAATCTATGAACTGATGTAGACAACATGTACCGGTAGATGTAGGTAGATGTAGATCTACATTCATAAACTCAACCATTCTGAAACTAGGGCCAATCTGTCGCTGCTTAATTCTGCTGTCAGCTACATTAGCCTTGTGGAGTGCGCTTCAAGCAGAGCAATGATATTGTGGGCAAACCTCGTGCAGATGTTGGACCACATTACTACTCTATATAAGAGAAGGCAGATCTACTTCAACAAGATTGGTGTCAGACGGAGATATGGACCACAATAGCACTACCGGCAAGAGGAGTGATCATTCCCTTTTGCCGTAGCGGTTATTGCGACAATTGGCAAAGTAAAGTAATACGTTAAGAAGATTCACCATCCGGAATAACAGTGCCCTTTACAATCAATCAACTAACCCGGCCTTCCTCATAAATTGAAGAGTCTCAATAACGCCCTGCTTCAAATCAAGCCAGCCCCTCCCGGCCCATTTCTGGATCAGCGACGGAGCAATATCGTTTTCAATGTGATATTCCAATTTAGGGTTCCCGACGATGAAATCCTCTACAAAGTCGTCGCTCGGGTAGGCTTCGCGCATAATTGCCAGGGCGTCATTCAAAGTGAACGAGTTAGCCTTTACCTGGATCCGCGAGCCTTTAACGTCAGGGTCAATTGCTGCAGCAACGTGGACGATTGCATTGTCGATGACGTGCGAGTAATACACTGCAAGGTCAGCCTGGTCGTCCGATCGTTAAGACTTCAAACTGACTTACCCGCTGGAGTATCCGTTAAGCCGTCCACCTTGCCCTGAAAAAATTGCTCCATCAACTGCAGGGGGACGGAACGGACATTGTTGACGTGTCGTAGGTCGCCCAAGATCCAGCAGGGACTAACCGAGTTGAGTTCCCAGGGCACCTCATTCTCTGCTGCAAACTTCCAGACGGCCTTCTCAGCTTCTGTTTTGCCAGCAAAGTAGACTTCCAGCACGCGGCTGAGCTCATACGGCGGCGGCGCCCAGGCTGCCTTGAGGATCTCGTCATTCCAGGTGTCCATGCTGATTGTCGATGTATCACCGGGTACAGGCACCGCGGCCGTCCAGAAGGTTGTAGTAAACACAAACCGCTTGATCGACGGCTCTTTGGCGGCGGATCGACAGACAGTCAAAGCTGACTCGACTGCAATCGGGATAGAAGTGTTGGGATCTGGAAAGAAGTCGCTGAAGACTCCGATGTGGATGACAGCTGAGACTCCCTGGACTGCATCGTCGAAAGCATTGGGCTTCAAAGGGTCGGCGACCACGAGCTCGAACCGGCTCTGATCGGCAAAGGGCTTTATGGCTGGGTCCTCCAGAAGCCATTGACCATCTTCCAACTCGCGCACTGAACCGCGGACGTTGAAGCCGCGTTCCAGAAGCTCGATGACAACATGGCAGCCCGTGTAGCCGCCAGCTGCGACGACAAGGACCCAAGACCCCCGGGGGATTGCGGTTGGTAGATGATCCATTTGTATCGGAAAAGACTAACTCCAACAAGGCTCAGGGTTTGGGGGGAAAAAGCAAAAATACGAAAACGACGCAGAAGCTGCCATCCGGTCTCGTTGTTCTCGGCCGGCGGTGGATCGGCCAAGGTTGGACCCCTGAAATGAGGGGAAAGATCAGCACTACTGGAAGCTAGGAGTTTCTGTATCTCCGTGGTCCGGGGCTGAGTCCAGCATGTACTTGTCACCTGGAACTTGCGGTATTGTTCTCATTTTGCAGCCAACTTGCAGAGAGCATTTTCGTATAGAAGCTGGATAATTAAATTGTTGCCAACGTAATCCACTACCAAGTGGTGTACGTGTCTGAGTGGCGCACTTTCTGATAACGCGCACACATAAGGTACCGGTACCTTACTATGAGAGTTGGGACGTCGCCTACCCTAGAGCCAGGTCACCTGACATTTGCCACAGCTGGTGAGAGCAAGTTCTGGACTCGTCAAGTGAGGGCTTTACAATACAGCGATTCCTACTCGACGAATTTATCTATAATTTACTTATAGTCTGGAAACAGAGCCCGGTTTAAGTTGGCGAGGTGGATATTTTCGAATAGTTAGTCGCTCAAAGTCGGGAACCGGCCCCGTTTCCGATTTTAATCAAAGAGTACCTAGACAAGCAGTCTCGTGACTCTCGTCCGGCGCCGAGATCCCGGGTGTGACTATTGAAGGACGCATGTTGCTGCCGCATTATAACCACAGCGACCATCTAAGATCTGGTGATTCTATGAGCTTAGGCACTCCCACGTATTACGTACTGCGAGCGAGAGGCTGGATGCAACACTGGCTACAGGAAGGAACATTTACCCGTATACCCGACCAATTATCTTAGCGTTGGAATTAATGGCTGTAGAAACTGCCCATGACAGTACCTAGTACCGGCCGGTAGATGGAATGCAGCCATACATAACTTTCTTCAACGCGGGGTCACTACGTCTAAAACGAATGCTTCGGAAGCTGTCCCGGATTTAGCCACGTCAATTGTCCCGATGTCCGCATTCAGTAATCTCAACTCTCATGGCGTGGTTACTAAATCCAAAAAGAACCCTTCGGAGGCTGTCCCGCATTTAGTTATGTCACCTGCCCCGATGTCCACATCCAGCAATATCAGCCTCTATTATTCTGACAGTCCGGGGATCCTCTACGTTGGAGGTATTGACGAGGGGTGTGATTTGAGTCTCCCGTTTCTTTGGTCGATGGCTTGTGCTGTTGCGCATGGAGAATGGTCAGTGGAAGCGTCGGCCCGTACTCCCACGCCGAGGCGACTCCGGCGTGGTTCGGTTGGCTCGCCATCACGCAGAAAAACATGCATGCTACCTACCTAGTTAAACAAATCCACAGAAATTATCACTAGTGAGTGCTGCTTCGGCTCAAATCTGGTATAATGGCGGCGGTTGTGCCGTGGATCAAGCCATCGTCAGATTTACCCAGCTATCAAAAAGCACCCAGACGGTGTTGGAATACCTAGGCTTAACAAGCGGATTAATTGCAGCCCCTTTCGGAGGATTGACCCGACAGTCCGCTGCGAGGTGCTTTTGTCGTTCGAGCCGGAGCTTGTGATGCTATGCGCTTGTTTCCAGGCAATATAAAAGTTCATCAGTGTCCCTCTTGGCATTTGGATTTCCGTAGAGCGTTTAGACATTTACCAAGCTCATGCCTCGGAGGGAAAATATCATGCATTTTTCACTGGCTCTCTCGATTGCGTTTCTGGGGCTCGTCGATCCCTCGTTGCAACAGTCATGTGCAGCGCCATGGTAAGAGAAATCGATTTTCGCCAGCCATCAAAGTCAAAGAGCTAATATACTACAGGGCCCAGTGCGGAGGGAGAGATTGGGCGGGGGCGACCTGTTGCCAGTCTGGCTCGGGTTGCGTCTACACTAATGACTACTACTCTCAGTGTATCCCTGGTGCCGCAGTGCGTTGATATCTCCGGTCCTACACCCTCTAGAACTTGTCTAATGTTCCCTTCAGTCCAACCCCAGCACGACCACCACGAGCAAGTCAACAGTCACCTCGGTGGCCACTGGATCTACCTCATCAGTTTATACAACCACCGACACCGCAGTGGTGGCGGCGCACTCACAGTCTGCTTATCCCAGCGTCGATGGCAGCTCATGCGGCTCATGGACCCTCGTCGACAATGTATGCTGCCCTCGCTACTGCTCTAACCAGAACACGTCGGAAAGCTGTAGTTCGAGCTGCACTGGCTCTTGCGTGACGCCGCCATCTGCCGACTGCAAATCTGGCGCCATGTTTAACGAGGTTCATCATGTCACCAACAATGAGGCCTGGCACTACAGCGTGAGCACCGATTCTAGCCGTGTGTGCTTCTCAATACTGACTTCCTTCAGCGTTCGACACATTTTGGCTTAACAAGCGGCGGGGCTTGCGGCTTCGGCATGTATGGGCTGTGCACAAAGGGCAGCTCGACGGCCAGTTGGACAGATCCAATGCTGGGAAGCACCTGTGATGCCTTCTGCACGGCATATCCCATCTTGTGCCAAGACCCCACAAACACTACCTTGCGAGGCAACTTTGCTGCACCGAACGGTGACTACTACACGCAAGTCAGTATTTTCCGACAGTCGAGTTTCTTAATTCGGAGCTAACGGAGATAGTTCTGGTCCTCTTTAATCGGCGACAGGGACAACTACCTGTCCTGTGGCGAATGCTTCGAACTAGTTCGCACAAAAGCAGACGGCACCGATTATGCGGTTGGCGAGGCTGAATACACGGATCCTATTGTTCTCGAAGTCGTCGACAGCTGCCCCTGCAGTGCTAACTCCAAGTGGTGCTGTGAGTATGCTCGTTTAATGGTCCCCTTTTACCAACTTACGGGTCTAACGAGAAGGGAAAACCATAGGCGGTCCTGGCGCTGATCACTGCGGTGAAATCGATTTCAAGTACGGGTGCCCTCTGCCATCGGACAGCATCCACCTAGACCTCTCCGACATTGCCATGGGTCGACTGCAGGGCAAAGGCAGCCTCACCGCAGGCGTGATTCCGACACGCTACAAGCGGGTGCCTTGTCCCAAGCCGGGCAACGTGTATCTCTGGCTGCGTGACGGCGGCGGGCCGTATTACTTCGCACTCTCGGCGGTAAACACGAACGGACCCGGCAGCGTCACCAAGATTGAGATCAAGGCTGCGGGCTCCGATCAATGGGTCGCTCTCGTCCATGATCCCAACTACACTTCTAGCCGACCACAAGAGAGATATGGCTCTTGGACGGTGCCGAGTGGGACTGGGCCATTCAATGTTCCCATTGCCATGCGGTTGACCAGCCCGACTGGGCAACAGATTGTCAATAATGCTGCAATCAAAAGCTTTACACCCCCGGCCAGCGCCCCTGCGGGTTTCTATTACATCGATTTTGGTGCACAGTTTACCAACGTTTGATATATTGACCGTGTAACTGCCGGTTTGTCAAGGAGACACTGAAATGATTATAACACCAGAGGTCTAGGGCCGTGAGACCGAATCAGCAGAACCGCGCACTGCTACAAGTTCATGTGGAGCTTTTATAGGGAACCAAATTTGTTAAATATGTTAATTGCTACTCTCTATAAACCTCATGAACTCTGTTGGTTATGTAAATGAGAACGCGCATTTGAAACTTTTATTCTACTACATACCTAAGATCTTGAGCCATTGTGATTCGTGAGTCACTACGACGACAAAACCCGGGAACAAGAGCGCGGCTTTCGCGATTGTCAAAGAACTAGCCGAGGTTATATGCAAGCTCGAGATACCCAACAGAATTAAATTCTCCCATGAGAGTCAAAAGTTCTACATTCAAGAGCTTGATACTCTGGGCACCGCCAGGGCAGGGATCGCATTTCAACACTGTGGCTGGGAGAAATCTATCAATCCGCAATTCCCAAGCTTCAGGCTTCCTACCGTAAACTGGAGGGCTAACAGAGTATCAGCACATTGAAAACGAAAATGGGGTGGCGGAGAATATTGGAGCAGCACAAATGGGCATATGCGACCGTGGAAAAGCAGCGAAAACGATTGAACACTTTCTGTTCCGGTGTACGTAAGGGGATGCGCAGCGTGACGGCATGCGAAGGGTCGGACGGCCGAGGGAGATTCACTGCCGAGCAGGGCCCGAGGCTGGGCGCTAAGAGAGCTTCTTCCAGGTATTGGCAAGCCGCGGCAACCCTGGAGCGACCAAGAATATATCCAAGGAAAACGCGATATGCTGGCCGACTCCGAAGATGGTGTCAAGGCATAGAGAGCGGACCCGTTCAAACCATTCTCAGTCGCTGAGATTAGATTCAAGGCCTTCCAGAAGATGGTGATGATGAAGGACCTCGACAACCTGGTTGCTTGTGGCGACAGCCTCTTGTGAGGAGAGACTATTGAGAAGATGTTCGATGTCTGCTACTCTTCCAAGCTCCGGCCCACCCCAGCGGTTCGTCTGCCGAGGCAAAATTCAGGGAAAATAATGAACAAATGAGGGGTAAAAGTAGACTGAAGAGTAAGACATCGACTTATTCCCCATTTCTCACCCCTGCACCGCAGGGCAGTCACAGCAAATAGTGATTGGTCTAGCATTTGACAAAACTATGTACATTGATTGCATTTGAATGTTGACAATTAAATGATGGCTTTGTAATTATTGATGTATGTACATTAAAATCTATTACAGTGAATTATCTGACAAGTAATTGTTATTCGTGAGCGACTGTCCACTTTATCCCCTTGACTCGGGTGGCTCGGCAGAATTCAGTCTCACTGACGATGATAAGGCGGATTCACCATCGTCACTAGGCAGCTTTTCCTTGCCACCTTGTTTTGAACGCTCGGACAAGCCCATTTGTAAGAGCCTTGAAGCGCTGTATAACTGTGTTGTAATCCACAACGTGAAGATGATTGGGGTGGTGATTCGCCACACAAGGGCCCATTTCTCCCACGACAGCTTGAGAAGGTAAATTGTGATGGAGGTCTCGACGAGTGCCGCTCCAGCGCCCCATATGGAGCAAGCAAATGCCAAACGGGCCAGAAGCTGGTGGTTGCCACGTTTGATGCGCCAGATGATCATGGACACATAAATAGGAAGCTCGACTACAACATCAAAGGCGCCTGAGATAGTTGTTAGTATCTAATGCCACACAATTCAAGGGCGGACTGAAAACTTACCCCAAACCATGCACATGTAAAACTCCAGTGCCGCACCAGAGCGTGGCTCGGGACTGGCGAAGAGGGATAGCGCCGTTTGGGTGATGATGAGGAGGCCGAAGTGGTGGGCGATGCTGATTGGGCTGGCAAACCTGGTTCGAAAACACAGCTCGAAAATATAATAGGCGCTGTAAATCTCGGAGAATAGGAACATGACATCGCCGACGGTGATGTCGCTCCTTTTCTTGCTGATGGGTGTCGAGAACTCGGCAGGTCCAGCAATGAATGAGAGTACGGGATAGGCTCCGACGCAGAGAAGCGAGAACATGGTTATTGCGCCGAGGTGGAAGTAGGTGAAAGAGCGACGACGCCTCTCATTCTCAGGCCTTTCTAGATCGAGCCAAACTTTGCCGTATAAAAGTCGTAGAAGCCATCGTTCTAGTATATTGGAGAGTAACACAATAAGAAGAAGACTGAGGGTGATAACTAGGGATCCATAAGGTATCAAGTCGGAGAGCTGGTGGTTCTCGAGTCTCGCGATTTTGTGCTCGTGCTTTGCATGCACTGTGGTCGAGTTCATCATGGTGATTCGCGTATCTTGTTGATGTCTAGGTGGCTGGACAGATATATCAAGGCGTCGTCAATAAATAGATTATCAAAAAGAGGAATTGTGGTGAATTGGATGCAAACTGCGGTTCAATGAGCGTGACGGAGGCAGAATGGTAGAAGACAAAGTAACAGTAGTAGAATGGGAAAAGCTGAGTGAATCGAGACAGCCAAGGCGAATAATTGCAGCCAGCCTGATGAAGATAAATGAGACCATCGTCAGCACTGCCTCGAAAGGCTTGTTTGAAAGGAGCAACAGCCGACGTAGGCACCGTCCCAAGGCAACTAGCTTTCCGCAATATTACAACCGAACCCAACTTGCGATCACGTCAAGCGACGCGTCGTCGTGTGTCTCTAGACCTAGACCCGGTCAGGATGCCGATGATTAAAGGGACCCTGAATAAAAGGCTACGAAAGGACCAATGACAAGCTCATGCACGGACTAGAACCGTGTCTAGATCTCTCGTTTACGGATAACCGGCCTCATCGGTTAGACGGCCCCACGGAAACCCGGCAGTGCTGGTCCCTCAACAGCCCTCGTAATTTTATCTGGATGCCTAATGTGGAATATTCGTATTCTGCCTGGAGACGGTATTCTGGGGTCTGCTTGAGGCGGAGCAGGGGTGAAATGCCAAGCTTTTATACTCCGACAAATTTGACGATAGATTTTCGGATACAGGTACGACTAAAGTCCCTCTTCCCTCACAGGTACGACTAAAGTCCCTTTCCCCTTACAAGTACGACCAAAGTCCCTCTCTTCCTACACTACGACCAAAGTCCCTCTTCTCTTACAGGTACGACTAAAGCCCCTCTCCCCTCCCACTTTAGCCCTTGAAAACGAAAGCAAATCGAAGCCATTCACGCGTTGTCGCATTTGGCCTGAGTCTGACCCCTTTGCACGCGGGGACCTAATTTGAGCCAATTGCGGTCCATCCAAGGGTAAAACGGTTGCGACTCGCAATGCTTCTCCTATTGATTCCATCTCAGCTTCTGCCCCTTTTTCTCTGTTCTTAGAAGCCGAACTCCGTGGTGGCAAATGCTGAGGGGCCCTGTACTGCCGTGCCGGTCAATTCTGGTCGTCGGTGCGTTATTTTTGTTTTTCGGAGCAGCTTCTAGCGCTTGTGACACAGTCTGAAGCAGCCACGCGGGACGTTTCGCGCCGCAAAGTGTCACTAAGCACAATCAGTTTAGTGATGTCACCCCGATAAAATGCGAAGATTGGCCTCATTGGATCAGCAAGTGATATTGAAGGTTTGATTTGAATCTTGTCTTGGGTGTACTGTACCGACCCAGCCTCACTCTATGTCGAGAAGACAGGCTTTAACGGAGCATCCTGGATCCCCGGCTCTCACAGTTTTACAAAGAAAGAGAATTGGCCTATTAGCCCGTCCGGAACCTCGTTGCAAAACTCTGCCGCTGGACGTCGGTCTTCTCATTTCGGCTATTAATTGGGGTCTGGGGGAGGCCAGTTGAGCCCTTCACCACAGACGTGTCACAAAACCTTTGGCTAAACGAACCACAGTGACCATAATGGCGGTCTACGAGTCAAATTCAAGATGCTCTGTTGAATGGAAAGCCATCTTGGTGTACTTCCAGTTCAACTGAAGCCCGTTTCATATTGGCTGCTCCCTTCTGGCGGTCAAAATTCAATGCATTTGCACGGCCTCAACATAACCACATGATGTGTGTCAATATCAATAATTGCGTTACTCATCGATTATTAGCTCGGGTCCCATCCCCCTTTGCTGCTAGGCTATTGCTACTGTTGGTGATGTCGTAATTCGTCGTGGCTGAGCATTGGAGTCCGTTGAGTAATCTAGCCCAAATGGGTTGTCGGCTCAGGGTTGCCGACTCAGCCTTAGCGGAAACAACTCCGCCCCTGACGGGGGTTTCTGCATTCTGATTGGATTACTGCCACAGCTGAATGAGCTGTCACGATTCAAGGGCACGAATTCCCCCACTCTTGGGAGACCATCGAGTTCAATTCAATTGTTAGCAGCGATGCGGAGTCTGGTCTCCCCTGAGTCGTTTCCCCGATCTTTGCTGGGTAATCTTTCATCTGCAATGCCGTAGTTACTATGCCAGATAATACAATGGGTTGGTGGACGGTCCCAGCACCCAAAGCCACTAAGTATAAGACAGCAATTACCCTTAAGCAAAACAGCTGCGCAACGTGACTTTGCAACTTATTCAACACAGAGTTTTGACAATACAGAGGGGTCGCAAATCCAACACGGCTAATTAGTCCAATTTTTGAGTAGTGTCGACGAAGATATCGCAAGTTGATACAGCACCTGAAGCAACTGGCAACCCTAGGACCTATAGTACAGTAATAAAAGTGACGATCTAAGCCGTATTTTACGCCAAAACGCGAGGTTTTTTATAATAAATAAAAAAATAATCCTCAAAAGATTTGAATCTTTTAAAAATCTTAAATATTAAAATAATATAAAATTTAAGTAATTTTCTATTTAGAATATCTTTAATATTCCATTTTATTTGCTAGTAAGTAAGTCATCGCTGAGTTCTAGGGTAACATTTCGGTGTAAAACCGGCGTTGGATCATCACTTTTGCCGACCCCCTGTAGCTTTCTGCATGTGTTGTGGCTGAATCTCACGTAACCCCGCCACAAGTTATAATGTGACATCTGTCCAGCCTTACTGAGGCGTCATATTCAGCAGTATCACTTCTCACTGCGGGATTTATTGGCACTCTTCTGAGACTACCGAGCAACGTCTGAATCACTGGCGGCACTGTGCCGCATCGCAGATATGCGGGAGGCTATACCTGCAACAGGGTTGTCAGTCGTCTATGAGCCAGAAACGAGCGCTCCGCTTGTAGAGTGAGCCACCTTGAAGCTGGGGGTGGGGGGAGCCTCAAAGGGCGGATGCTGACAGAAAACGAACAGTATCGTTTTAGTTCATGGTCTGAAAGGACACCCATATAAGACATGGACATCGTCTAAACTTGCACCCGTGCCTCCGAAGTGCCACGGTGAGCCTGCGGAGAGCTGCCAGAAGTCCGCTAGAGGCAAGAAAAGTGGACTGCCTCAACCGATATCCTGGTTCAAAAACAAGTCATCAGCCATGGATGAAGAGAACGAAGGGTCTGTAAGAGCCCTCTCTAGCAAAGCTCCTTCAAGCATATCAGATGGAGTCAACCATACACTCTTTTGGCCTGCCGACCTGCTTCCCAAGGAATGTCCTAAGGCACGGATCCTATGTCACGGCTACGATACCAAGATCACCAAGTACATGTCTGGTGCGACAAACAAGAGCAGTGTTTTCTCCCATATCAAGGACTTCTTATTCGCTTTTGGCAGAGAAAGGGTTCTTAACCGTCCCCTGATATTGCTTGCTCACAGTCTTGGAGGAATAGTTGTTAAAGAGGTAGGCACGCAAACCGAACAAATAGTAGCAGAAATTACTAACTAGCTTTCTTAGATGCTTGCAAGATCATCGGCATCAACGGACACGGACTTAAAAGATGTTGTTGAATCAACATCAGCAGTAATATTCCTAGGAACTCCTCATCGGGGCAGTCCTGAGCTTTCATCGCTTGGCGAATGGGCCCGCTCTATCCTCAGTGCTCTCCGGATGGACACAACCTCAGCGATCCTTGATACTCTGGGACTGAAAACAACCGACTTAGAGCGTGCACAGGAAGCGTTCTCGGGAATCTGGCAGACATACGACTTTCGAGTCAAGACATTCCAGGAAGGCCTGGGGTTGACGGAGGTGAATCTCGGCATCTTGGGGAACAAGGTCGTCCCGGATATCTCCTCACTAATAGGAGATGAAAGAGAGCGCGCCGAGACCCTCCAGGCTAACCATCTGGAAATGTGTCGATTTAGTGGCTCCGATGATCCAAATTATCTCAAGGTTGTTGGGGAACTTCGCTCCATGTACCTATCGATTGTCAGCCTCAACACACAGGGAGTCCATCGCAAAAGACAGATTGGGCGGCGTATCTCAAGGGTGAAGACGCCCGTCGTGCCTGATGTCTCTCGAAATCTTAACGACAATGACTTCAACAGGCTACAAGCGGCTTGCCTCGAGTATTTGTGATTTCCAAGCATGAACAGACGTCGACAAATGATTGGAATACCCATGATCCAGACATGTGATTGGCTTTTCCGCCATGAGACATACGGGAAGTGGTTGTGCCCTGATTACCTTGGGGAGCACGTAGGCTTGCTCTTGCTGAAAGGAAAACCAGGAGCTGGCAAATCAATCCTCATGAAAGAAGCCGTCAGTCGAAGCTCAAGGGATGAGGAGAGGTCCAAATATCATGTTGCGTCTTATTTCTTTGATGCCAAAGGAAATCAACTACAAAGGTCCATTGTCGGTCTTTTACGATCGATATTGTACCAACTTCTGCCTCACTACCTAGAGGAATTCTGAGAAGCATTGCCGATTTGCATTATGAAGAGAAGAATAGTGTCTGGGACCAGCCGGAAGGCCATGGACTGCACCAAGCGGACCTCGAGCCTTTTCTTAGAACCATGTTCTCTCGGAAGTTGGGTAAGAGAGTGCTCATCTTCATTGACGCTGCTGATGAGTGCGACAACCCATGGCCCCTAGTATTCTTTTGGCGAACTTTGACAGACTTGTATTCAGTTACTGGTCAGCTGAGTGTGTGCATCTCCCTACGGCATTATCCCGCAATCACCGTTGTCAACGTCTCGGAAATCATAGTAGAGCACCACAATCGAGGTGATATATCACGATATGTAGATCATAGGTTTCGGATTGGGCCTGCAGAAACCGAGTCTGCGGGCCAATGGAACTTGTTGAGAACGACGATCCTTGAAAAGTCCGCGGGTGTTTTCCTGTGGGTAGTTTTGGTGACGGATGGAGTCTTGAAGAAGTGGGATGAAGGAAAAGGCACCAAGTATCTTCTCGGGTACCTCGACACTGTTCCGAAGGAGCTGGAGAATTTATTTGCCAACCTGGTTCAATCGCTCGTCGTGGAAGATAGGCAACTGACCACTCGCCTCTTTCAATGGGCCATCCTATCAACCCGGCCTCTTCGTTTACACGAATGGCATCATATTTTAGCATTCATCAGCTCTTCAAAGCCACCTTCTTCACTCGAAGAGTGGAGCAATTCCTCAAATTTCACCGAAACCGACGGACAATTGGAACGAACAAGCAAAAACATTTCGGGAGGTCTATTGGAGGTTGGCCCGAGGCGCCTCGAAGAGCCATGGGGTAATGATGAGGAGATACTCTCCATGATCGCTGGAGCAGGGTCTTTGGACTCCGAGAACGGAGGACCTCGTATCGTTCAAGTGATACACAAGTCGGTGCGCGAGTTCTTCTTGAAAAACAACGGATTCGGTTTCTTGGACCCCAGCCTTGTGACGAATCCCATCGGCAAGGGTCACATCTCGCTGATGGATACCCTCTTGGATTATATATCAATCACCGAGCTGGACATGCTAATACGAGCTCGAGGTCCAAGGAAAGACGATGGTTCTTCCCATGCAGCACAATCGAAAGTATCAGATATGCCTGACCCTGATACTCGCCCCCAACCAGCTGACCCTGGGCAAGTCCGTCGCGCCGCCAAGCCATTTGTTGACCTTGCCGCAAAGGAACCTACTGTGATCGACCTCCAGAGTTCACGTCCTTCGAGCAAACATGAGCAGATTCTCAAACATCTCAACTCTCTCACTTCTCCGGCCCCCAGAAAGTTCTCCCTCGTGCACTTGGACAAGGATAATGTACACGCGGACGCCATTGAAGATGTTGACGGCAACTCATCAGATCGAGACGACCCGACTAAAGGAAGCGAAAGAGGCAGCCTAGATAGGATGTCATTCCAGAGATTCTGTGAGCTTCACCGTCAATGGTTTACTACTTCAACGCTTGAACAGAACGACCACAAGCCAAGTTTGGGTACTGAAGCATCTCGATCCACTTCGGCCGTCCCTCGAACCCACAATTGTCCCGACAGTGGTTCTTCAAAAGGCGCAGTTAACGATATAAGCCAGAATCTCGACACACAGTTGAGGCAGACGAGCTCTCGCTCTTATCGCATGGAGTATGTGGATGCTTCCCGAGATTCGCCTCACGGCTCCCCTGTTGTATTGCCGGGGAGAAAAACAGACGCCCGGAGCAGAAAATCACGACGAGCACTACAAGAACAGAAAAACGCTACGGCTTTCAAGCAACTAAAATACTCTCCCGTACCTACTGCTGATGCTATTGTGAATCAGTGGATAGGTATGAGCGAGGTGGCTGACGGGCAACAGCTCAGGGAAAGCCATTCTCCATGCACGTCTTCTCGACTCCCACCAGGTTCACGTCGTTCTATGCTACTGGAAGATCATTTTGCCCTCTTGCCTTACGCCACATTATCCTTTTCGCCCATGCTCAAATAGCAAAGGCCGCAAGGGCAGATCTTGCTCCTATATTTAATCGGTTCCAAGCAAAAGATATATGGAGTCGATGGGTGGCGCTTAGGGAAGATTTGCCGCAATCAATCAGCTTTCCGACATATCTTTCGGTCTATGAGGGTATTAATTGGACTGGCGAATCAGTCCTCAGTGATGATGAGGATTGTGAGAACCGTGGCCCTATCGTGGAGAATCGACGGAGTTCGTTCAGTGTTGCAAGTTTCAGCTCTGCGGGCAGTTTCAAATAATGCCAACAGAGGTTTTGCGTATAACTATTTCATTAGGCCGTTTTATGACGAGTTTTGCATCAACTCCAGACTTTTCTTTTTTCACTTCATGCCAACAGTAACTCGTATTAAGTAGTTTAGGATTAAGTCCATAGGACATCAGTTATTGAAGTGGTTAGTTTCGACGGGCGTTCTCCTTAGCCATCGATATTCAATGCATCTGCTGTACCATGTGTCTAGCCGCAATCAACTATGTGGGTAATCGTGACACATCAAACTGAGCTTACATAGTCGTTGGCGTTTTCGTTCCGGCCAATATAGCTTTTGCATTCAAGATTTCCTAGGGTTTTTGTGTTAGTACGCCGATCCATATTCTCCCATGAGCGTGAGAGCGATCGATCATTCATTTTCAGTATCACATTGGCTGCTTTTCTTCAAGTGATACGAGGCAGTTAGATTAGGTTCTGTCAGTCTAGCTTGTATCTAGGTTAATACTGAATCTGCCACGGCTTCAACCAGCTTGGTCCTGGTCGAAGTGCGCGGTGATGAGATTCCGGCACTGGGGGACGATCGTCAGGAGTCACACACCAAGGACATAGCCCCGTGTTGCCTCAGCTACCAAGTCACTGAGCTTGCTGATAGGGCTTATTGATATACTCTCATAACTCGCACGTCTTCGTGCCATGGGTCATGAGAAACCGTGCCCCCAAACCATCTCGGATGTCATCGAGACCTCAATTCTGAAACAGAGTAATGCATCCTTGCAGACTATGGCGGTTGAAATAATTAAAATATTAGATAGAAATAATCGTAGAGTAGTAGGCCATGCCGCTCCTTCTTGCTAAATCATTCCTTTTGCCCCAATGCCACATCGCACTGCGTACTGTTCCAACTGTCGCTCAGTGATGCTTTGCGAGACCAGTAGGCTACGCTTGTTCAGCCGTAGAACTAAATGCCGGTTCGTTCTTCCGTCGTAGGCTTTTATGCCGCGGATCAATCTTTGTTAGGGGTTTACGATTTAGCCCAAGAGATTCCCTTGACCTGAGTTTTGTCCGGGGAGAAGAGAAAGGGAGTGCAGTGAGAAGATGAGGGAGACGCCACGGGAGAGAGGCCATGGGAGAGCGGGGAGTATATCAAGCAATGCTCGACACTAGTTATTGGAGCATAGTCTATTCTCAATGTATAAATGCTAAAATGATTTCTAAGTAAATACAAGTGATGCAGAAAAAAGAAGGTTTGAATCGTGTAGCAATGGGATGCTACCTTTGGCTTCAGAATTGGCGGCACGGTGCGCGAGTGATGGGAGGCGCTCCCGCAAATGTCACGTCGTCATTTTTAGCTCTCTAGAAACCAAGCTTGAAGCCGCCCCAGTTGAGCTTGGTGAACACTAGGTCGGGGTCGTACTGGTCTCGAATCTGTCTCATTCGGTCGAAGTTCTTCTTTCCATAGGCGGGGAAAGGCTTCTGCCACTCGCCAGCGTCGCCCATGTAGACGAAATCAGTGCCCAGGCCCTTCGACATGTTGATCTCGTGTTGGCGTGCGAGCAGAGACTGGGCCCAGGTGGTAACTCTGAGGTCATCCTCAGCGCGAGCCCACGAGGTAGTGATTTGCCACCCTTAAAGATGCGTTAGTTCAGCTAGGATAGAAAGGAATAAGTTCAAGGTTGTTTGTAAATACATACAGACATAGGACTGGTCATCCTCTAGACCAAAGGTATTTCCGATACCGTTCGTCTTGGAAACCGTCATGGCAGATCCCGGAGAATTGTTCAAGATCAAGGTAGGGCGGATGCCTTCGACATCAGCGACATCCTGTATGGCCTCAATCCAGGCTTGGTAAATCTCGTAGAGACGGTCGGCATCGGGCTTGACGGTGTGATGTCCATAATTAACGCTGGTAGCAAGAGTCAGCTGAGCTCGATGACAGCCAAGAGGGCCAATTCTCACCGGAACATCTGGTTGGGGGATTCGAATTGCGAGTGGAAGTTTACAGGGGCCGTGACGTTGTGGACTCGGCTCACAGCGGGTATAGCGGTGAAGTTGGCGAACATCGAGGGAGGGGACTCAGTCGTCTCCTGCATGCCGAAAACCTGGGGCGTAGCCTCCTTCGTAGTGATGTTGTAGTTGATGTTGATAACAGCTCCAGCACCGACGGTTCCACCATTTTCTGAGAGAACCATGTCGCAAGATGCCTTGATGAAAGCTGGGATAGCAGACATGTTGAACTTTTGAAAAGTAGTACTGACCAAGGGAATGTTGTACGTTTTGAGGACAAACTTGGTGACAATGCCGTAGTTGCCGGCGCCTCCCTTCAACGCCCAGAAGAGATCTGGGTTCGAGGTTGCGTTGGCGACGACCTGGGTACCGTTACCGAGGACAACGTCGTAGCTGAGCACGTTGTCCATGGTGTAGCCGTACTTGTTGAGAAAGTAGCTGACGCCACCAATCAAGCTGAGTCCAGGCACGCCGATTGTCTTGAGACGACCACCGATGGTGTACTGGCCGTAAGGCTCCAGGGCTTGATACACGTCAACCCATCTGTTACCCGGTCCGACCTCGATATTGTTGTCGTTCTCGTTAACCTTCAAGCCACTAAGTTTATTCAAGGCCAGGAGGACTCCGTCGTTGATGGTGTTCGCCCCCGGGCACTGAACAAGCACGCTTGATTAGGGAGTGTCTTGCGTTAGAGTGATTTTGGAGGTGCTTACAGTCATGTGGCCACCACCCTTCACGGCAAAAGGAGCATTGCAGGTGTGGAAGATCTCGACTGCCTTGGCAACATCGTTTGCACTGGATGGCATGTAGATGCAAGCCGGATTAAGATTGGATCTCTTATCCCAAACATTGATGCGCTGAGTTTCGTAGGCCGTCGAGTTGGGAAACAGGGTCGAATTCGATGCGGCGCTACTGAGTTGGGTGCAGGCACACCGAACGCCATCAGTTACCAAAAGGTCTCGGCTTCCAACGTAGACATGCCGGCTGCGGCGGAGCCCGCCCACAGAAAGGCAGGGAGGACAAGTGAGGACAGCATGGTTCCAAGGAAAGACCTTATCGTGAAACGACTTGCGGTGGGAGAGATTGATGAAAGATGGTTGTGAGATTTCAGAAAACAAGAGACTCCAAGGGGAAGTATTCTCTCTTATAAGAAGAATTTATTTGACCTGGCCTGGTCAGTCTCACCGATACCTACGCACTGTCGCAATACCGCTACGGCAAAAGGTAATGATCACCCCTTTAGTCGGTAGTATTATTGTAATCTATATTTCCGTCTGACACGCACAAATGGCTGACGCAAAGCTTCGACTGTTTCTCCCCGATCTTCAATCTGTGGCTTCTTAGTCTCCACAATCCACACACCAGAATACGATAAACCTGCCAGGGGGCTCAAAATCCGCGCACTAGCTGCGTCGGCATCTGTAGGGCTGCGAGATAACTGCTCGGCAGTTAATCGTCCCTGTCAAGGGCAGATGGCCAATGTCTTTCCGAGAATATGATGATCGAATGAACAAAGCGCTGAGATCGCCCTCCGTTCTATACTACGTTGCAGGTTCATCGGGGCCTTCCGGGGATTGACGCCTTTCGTCAGATCTGATCGTGCCAATGTCATCGCTTCTCGAAGCTCGCGTAGATGTGGTGGCCGGCGGGCGAAGGCAATGAGGGAGAAAAGCAGGCTGTGACGACGGCGGCCTTAGCGTGCCATCCAGGGATTCTTTCTCGAAAATAATGATACCACCATTCCTTACCTCATGTTTTCATGCTGATCTTCTTGATATTGGCAGAATACGCGCCCTTACATCTCAGCGAAGATGCTTAGCCTTGGATGTGATGAGCACCATGATATCATCAACGTTGAACGTCAGTCCGTCTTTCAGCCGCTCAACCATTCATCAGGCATAGAGGAAGTTACCCTTAGCTCTCATCTGTAACTTTTTCATTATCCAGTCGTCAACTACACACAATCAGCACGTTTTGACTACAGCTCAAAATCGATGCACATCGACGGATCCTTACGCAGCTTGCTGTTGGCTTCTTGGCGACTCTCCAGATTGTTATCGAACTTGGGTACCGCATTTATTAAGAAACCCTTGATGTTGGCGTCCGCGTGGGCGTCTATGTTGATGGCAGGCCATTATTTTCGACGTTGTTTTGAGAGAGGGTTCACAAGTCAGGTTGGGCTGGCAACGACGCGGGCACTGAAGTTTGGCCTGGTCGTATGACATAAACACCAAGTGAGCAGCTGTAACAAACATACTCATTATAAAATATTATAATTATTTGTGACGCAGAATCATCCAACTACCTTGCGCTGCGACGCTTGACATGCTTTTCCGGGGCCACGATTACTTGATCAGGTTTCCGGCCTCCGTCGCTTGCCTCTGATGCCCTTGCTTGTGGAATGAAATAAAGGCTAGTCCCCTAAATATTCGGTGTCCAAGATAAACTGACTAATCTAACCATTGGAATGTTCGCCTTCTACTCCGGTCTACCTCTGCCAAAGCCCCTACCCGTCCCCCAGCCCCTGCCTCTACCAAAAGTGCCATTTCTTCTTGCCACCATTTCCTCTTCTAGCTTAATCAAATGATTCCTATTGTTCTCGCGGATTTTTCGAGGTGTTTCCCCTTTGAAATTGGGCAGATCCATAGCCTCAACACTTCCAGTCTTCTCTAGAATCTGCATCATTCGATCCTGTGCCCTATTCATCTCGTCTGCTCTAATCTCATACCCTGGTAGTATGATTCTTCCTTTCCCAGCTTCGTGGAGAGGTGTGTTTCCTTTTTCATTCTTCAGCCAATAATCAGCTGCATTCCCATGGCCCAGAAGAAACTCTACGGCCTCAAGATTGTGCAAATGCATTGCCGCATAATGCAAAGCGGTGTTTCCAGCTTTACCGGTATCAGTCGTTCTTGCACCATGCTCCAACATCAAGGCTATAGCAGCTGCATCAAGGGGCTTCCGGTTGTGAGGTCGAGAACATAGGCTATGCAGCGGTGTTTCTCCCCGGTTGTTTCGCAAACTTGCATCTGCGCCTTTGTCACATAGAGCTTTCAAGATCTTTGTGAACTCCTGACCCTGATCGCCATACTTCTCGGCGGCGTAATGCAAAGGCGTGTTCCCTTCATTGTCTTGGACGTTAATCACTTTAGGATTCGTCACCAGGAGGAGCTCAATAGTTTCAACGATTCGCTGAACATGATCCGTGACGATGGTAACTTCAAACATGGGGTTTGTTGCGGCCCAGTGTAGAGGCAGGCGTCCCGAACTGTCGGGTTGGGATACCATATCTGCAGCGTCAACGTCGCTGCTTCGTTGATCAAAGAGGACTTTGATCCCATTGGAATTAGCATAAAGGCTACCGACAAAAACTGCCGTGACACCCTCAACTTCGTCCTCTGGATTGGGATACATGTCAACACTATGCTTTGGTGTTGTCTTCAAATGAATGTCGGCTCCTCCCTCGATGAGTCTTTTGATTAGCTCAGGACGAGCCCAGCGAATGGTCAAGGTGAGTACAGTCTCGCATGGCTCTTCCGATTTGGGTTCGCACAGGAACCAGCGAGTAGAGACGACATCGCGAGGACATGCACCTCTGTCAAGCAGCAGATGCATCACCTCGCCACTCCTATCGAGGCGTTCTCGCTCCCAAGCTGTAAACTGAAGCCTCCCGTCGCCACACAGAGATGCGGCCGCGGTTAGTGCGGTGTAATCAGCGCCGTCTCTTGCGTGAATGTCCGCATATGACGGTTGGTTGTCGAGGAGGAACCGTACGACATTGGGGCAGGCAGAGTAGGATGCGACGTTGAGCAGCAAGAAGCCCCGGTCGTGAGGAGATGGTACCTGCGTAAAACAAGAAGGGTAATGCTCCAGGAGAATCCGAAGGGCATCGGCACTCCCGCTGTGGGCAGCAATCCAAAACACATCTCCCCCTTCCGGTGGTCCATCTATAGGACTCAGAAGGAGAGGATACTTTTCCACATATTGACGTAGGAGAGTATCGTCATTCCGACGAATGATTGTTCTTAAGAGAGACCCATATTCGGTTTCGTAGAGGACAGTGCCGTCACTATCAATCAGAGTCATGGGGATCCGGCCGGGCTCTTCCTCCCCAAAATATTCGCGCTCATGGAAGTTGCGGTAAGGTAGGGGCTGTGAAGTCATAGTATGCGGTATTTTGCGAGGGTATAAGGAGAGACGAAAGGTAAAAATGGGTGAGGCTGACTTGAGGTGATGATTCACTGACCCTTTGGTTCCTCTGATTCCTGCTCGACTTTCAATATCGTGCAGAGAGCAGAGGACACAGCTAACTCGGAAGATGACCGGACCTTGAGCAATATTAATTAAGCAGGGGGCTGGAAGTGGAGGCTGGAGGGGACCGGCTGACGATCTGATTTGCCAGTGTTGATTCCCCTGGGAATAATCTTGGCCCCCAGCCCACTCTTTTCCCTGCGAGGGGGTTTTGCCATAAGTCTGATTGTTATTATTCTTACACCGTATTATATTAATCAAGCATCAATCTACTAGCAGTGAGTGAACCTTGGTTCTTTTTTTGTTTTGTTTTTCTGTCTCACGAAAAAATGCTGCGAATTTACAAGCAACCGACAACCCGTTTTTTTTGTATCTTTACCCAACATCATCAGATAGATCAAAGCCGTAAAGTAATTTCAAACAATAGAGACAACCAGTTAGTGGTACATCCAGCACCGGCAAATGACAGTATATATCTCAAACCCAATACAGGCATAGTGATGAAGCCAGAGACCAGCCTAGTGTCGCTAACTTTTGAATTCTACGAGTAAAAGATATCCTCGGTAATGCCACACTTTTGTGTGATGGATCAACAACTGACGCCATCCTTAATGTAGTGCCAGCGGTGCATCCATTGACTACTCCAGACTTCATTAGGCTATAGATGCACTGCTTCTCTATGTGCAGGTTGCCGACGTAGCAGTCGTCCAAGAGGGAACAACTGTCACCGAAATTAGCGTGGGGCTTGTGACGGCTGTTCATTATGATGATGATTTCTTTAACGCCACACGCACACGTAGGTCTCGCCAATCCGTCGGGCGGCAAAATGGCGTACTAGACTAGCTAAACTTTCGTATACGGACTGGGGAAGACCTGTATATCGGAGTAATCCGGTGGGCGACCTGGTGACTTCCGTCCTGAGTCTGGACATTGGGTCTAGGGTAGGCGCGGATCGTGGGGCTCACGCTGTCCAAGCAGCGATCAGGACAATATTTGAAGATAATACGGCTTTGTAGGCTTTAGCTGGGCACGTAAGTTGACATTCCCTACTTGATTTGATTTATTGGACGATATTTTGAGTAGTGGCGTATGGTATCGACCCAGTAAATTGGCCCTGAATCCTTCCCCCGCTCATTGCCTTCGGGCTTTTTAATACCTGATAATTTAACAAATCTAAGCCTTGTATAGCTTAGGTAGCTTTAGTCCAAAAAATCAGGGCCAATTTATTGAGTCAATACGGCATCCAATTTAAATTCGCCTCAGGATTCTGTAGTGGCGTATGGGCGTGGTCTGCCTGCAAGATGGGCGGTTCTGGACAAAGATACGGATCTCTAAGATTGGGTGTTCCACAACATTAAAGTAGAACGTGTCCGACTCAGTCCACGTGCTTTTAATCTTGATACGATGGCCCTTCTGGCATACTTTATTGAACTAAATTGAGTGCCTGCTTGTCGACCAGCCAGCCGTTCTCAATCAGATCGTGGGTCAGCTCGTACTGCCAGGGTGTGCGGATGGGCCAGGGCATATGTACTGTAGTATGGACCCCCGCCTTCGGGATATGGGATTCTAGAAGCAAGGATCATATTTTTAGCTGCATCACGACAACGTGGTCCGCGGGGACCGGCGCTGTGTTATCATCAGGGGGTCGTTATCCGGAAGTAGCTCAGGAGTGAGTGAGCCGGCACCGTTCATGATATATCTACTTCGCTCAACCCTCAGTCACATCACATACACGCCTGTGAGACTGCCTTGTATCCTGTGGTCTAGCCGACTTTGCAAGATCAGTCAACCGATAGAAGGTAAAGGGGATGGCCACTGAGTTAGAGCATAAGCGACTGCAGGGATTTCTTCACCACTAGAAAAGCACAGTCCGCCTCAGACAACAAATTTAGTACCTGTCCAGATCACATTCACAGGATCATACCGAGTCCTCGGCGGGCAGGAAACGTAGACTCACGTCACCTGTTGCTAGACTTCAGTAGATTTCTGACATCTGGATCAAGCCGTTGGTGAAAGTTTCCGAGTACCGGTATTCTGGCCACCAGAGGGCAAGTTCCAGCCCCCGACAGGCCGAGATTACAGACAATGCAGCCGAGAAAGCCGCATAGCCGGTTGACGAATAAAAGCAAAGAAGCACAGGACTGTGCACAAGTCAACCGTCCCTTGCATTGAATCAAACAGGGGCCGAGGGGCAAAGAAAGCGAGCAAACTCAATGGTCCACTTGTACTCCGTAACTTACCGTATCCGTGAAAACTCGACGGATCCGGGCGCCTCGCGTAAATACTCGTCCCACCTTCGTCTGCCGATCAAACAAGATCTACGCCGTCTCTGTGGATTTGCGGAATGCAGTTAGACCACCCCAGTATTCCATGCGGCGCTAGGCAGCCCCGACCAGCCGAGATTTTAGCTATGGAGTACGAGATCCAGGTACGAGGTTATAAAAAGTCAAAGGGGTCAAGTACGAGAGGACTAAAACTAAAGGGTCTTAGTCACTTGCTGGGCCAGGAACTTTTGGTCACACCCCTGCATTACAAGCTCGTATCACCATGTTTACAGGACGTCATGATGTCAACAAGTTCGGTTCATCGGTAAGGCTTTCAGTATAAGACCCCACGACAGCCCGAAAGCAAACAAATCCATTCAACAACTGGAAAAGGACTCATCACCAACACACCCACTCTCTCAATCTACCAACCGCATCTCCCACCATCCGACCCTCTCCAGACACCAACGTCAACACCACTACACAACGCAAAGATGGGTTTCAGCACTCGAGTTGCCCTTGCCGGCTCCCTACTGGCTGCCAGCCTCGTTGAGGCCACCCCCTACTATGGCAACTATGGCAGCGTCGCCAACACCACCGCTGGCCACGTCGTGTACACTACCGAAGTTGTCACTGCCCTGACTACCTACTGCCCTGCCGCGACTACCCTCACCTACAACGACAAGACCTACACCATCTCTACCGCCACAACCTTGACCATCACTGACTGCCCTTGCACCATCAGCAAGCCTGTCGCTCCCACAACCTCTACAACTCCCAAGGATGAGTGCGCTGAGGGTTGCTACACCGCCTACAACAAGTGCCGCGGTCAGCCCAATGCCAACATGGCTACTTGTGCCGCTGGGTATGCCTCTTGCCTGGGCTACAACCCCTTCGGCGGTGATGGCTCTTTGATCACCCCTACTGCTTGCTCCAAGACGGCCAGTGCTACCGGCCCTGTGTACACCACTGAGGTTGTCACCGCCATCACCACCTACTGCCCTGAGCCCACGACTCTGACCTACAACAACATGACCTACACTGTCACCAAGCCCACCACCTTCACCATCACCAACTGCCCCTGCACCGTCACCAAGCCTTCGGTTCCCACCAGCGCTGTCCCCACGAGCCCTGCTGCTACCTGCCCTCAGATGTGCACTGATGCCTACAACAAGTGCCGTGGCCAGGCCGGCGCCAACATGGCCACCTGTGCTGCCGGGTATGCTTCGTGCCTGGGCTACAGCCCCTTCGATAGCAACGGCTCTCTGGTCACTCCTACTGCCTGCTCTGCCGGCAGCTCTGCCACTCACACTGTTCCCGGATCTGCCACTGGTACTGCCCCCGTGTCCGTCCCCACGACTCCCGTTCCAGTTCCCGCGAGCGGCGCTGCCGGACTCATGGCTCCTGGAGCCATTGTTCTTGCTCTTGGTGCCCTCATTATGGTCTAAGAACTGGTCGGCCTGAAAGGTACAAGATCCAGACTGGACGCCGACTCTGGAGCGAAGATGAGCAGCCAGCAGGCTTGTTGGTACTTGATATCTCTTTCTCTTGTCTATCACATATGTAAATCCATCCAGGCTTCGCATGTCTGTGATGGCGGTGTATAGAATTTTACTTAATATTCGACTGTATAGAGCTACGTCACTATTTTTAATCTACCTTGGATAATGCACTATTGAGTGCTGACAACAAGACTAAGCAAAATGAAGGAAGAAGAAGTCCATTTACTTAGAGAGATATGGCCTTTTTATGAATATATTATTACACATTCTAAGTTAGACCCCTTGAATCTTTCCGTTAACAGGAAAGCTATTCTTGTTGTAAATCTAAAAGCTGTAAACTGATTGGCAGAGAAGTCTATCAGAAGCCTCATCAGATACTGTTAAGCGAATGGGAAGATCAAAATAGAGTAATTCGACGATTCTCAAGACAATTCGTGATGCTATTTGTACTGAAACCTGCTATGCCGTTGTCGACATCAAGCTTTGTGTCATCTTTTCCAACAGAATTGCCATCAACATTCCCAACGGCCGACTTCTCGTTTTTAGGTCTATTATTATCAACAACCTCGGGTTGATTGTACAGACAATGAAGAGGAGAAGACTTTCCAATACATAGACGCTGATTGAAATCTGTGACCAGGAATTTTCAGACATGGTTGATCGCTGCTACCACAAGTGTTTTCTGTTACAATTCCTAATCAGCTAATCATAATTAGGCTAAGTACACTAAGTACTTCCTACTTCTTATAAGCACACCATCATCCACTAGATCCTGGCCACCAGCCCCCAATGCCACTGGAGCTACAGAATGTATAGGGGATAGCTTGGGGATGCTGTCACAACCTCTATGTGTCTCAGGTAACTGACAGGGTACAGGGATGTAGTGTTGCTAGCGCTTGGACGAGACTTCTGAAAGGGCCCTCCGTAATAAGACGAGCAAATCCCTACATTTTATTCACAATCTACAATCAAGTCGGGGAGGTGCTCCGCTTAAGTCAGTGCGATTCGGAATACCGAATTTATTTATTTATTTTCCTCCTTACTCCCTTGAGCCTTTGAATCGTCTTCTGTAGTCGAGAAGGGTTGATTTCAGTAGGCCAGACTTTCCCACCATTCAGCATAGTAATGGCAAACATTATCAGGCGGCTCAGTCGCAATGCTGTTCTCCGCGACTTAGCAGCCAGAAATTCCTAAGCCGAAGATAGGTATGAGTAGTAGAAAGGCAGCTGGGAAGAATTGCAGGATAGGGTCAATTTTCTAACACGCTTGTTCGGGGGTTGGGTGAGAACTTTCTTCGCACAGTTTTCTCGCCCCAACTCACAGCGTCACAGCACTCAGCCTGGTCTTCCATCTCCATTTAGCCTCGACCTGTTTCTTGTTTCTCGTCCTCATTACAATTCATGACTCACTTTCCCAGCACTAGAAGCACCTTAAACCTGCGGCTTGAGTCGTACGTGACAATGAGCAGATTCCTATTCCTAGGTACGCAATGGACGTGGTCAGAGGTCCAAGTATCAGCTCCTGGCACATCGTCTTGTGCACACATGAGCGGACCCCCAGTGACGGTAGCCCTTCACGAGGGAGCTTTTCATTGTTTCGTCGGCATGTATTGAAATCTAGTACCAATTCCCAGGTGGCCACGATTGCCTCTGTTGTAGTTAGCGATGCCGCCAGCAGCAGAACAGGTCTTGTGCAAATTGGTTCGTGGATCTGAATTGAAGAAGCCAGGGGTGCGAAAATAAGCTACCGGGATACCGCGAAACTAAACTGCTTCATCTGGCGTCAGCTGGACGTGCGCGACATTCCACGCTTGATTGGTGACCCGAGGAGCAATATTGAGCTCAAGCCCAGCGATAGAGTCCAAGGGCCCCAACAAATATACATGGAGTTTATTCTTTCACAATTGTCTCTGCAGATAAAGTAAAAGCAAACTGTTTTTGTATTATGATACTTTTCTTCACCTCCAACTAGCATACTAAATCAATATTAGATTCAAGTTGAAACCTCCTACACTTCTGTTCTTGTAACTCATTATCCTGTGTCCTTGATTTAAATGACGTTCCTGACCTGGATAACACCAGGCGCTGCGAGAGTTTTCCCAACAACAGCATCGGCCGATGCAAAACCCTTGCCAGTAGTGAGGGCAGCGTGACTGAAACCTGCCATGACATTCTCTTTGTAAGGGAACTTGGCTTCCAATGTGACCTTGTTCTTATTCCAGCGAACATTCTCGGCCTTGACACTAATGGGTAGCTGCTGGCCGGTAGTGTAGGTGATGTACAAGTTTTCGGGTTTGCCATAGTAGTTCTTTGCAGCCTTGGAGCCCTTCAAGTTCGCCTCAAATTTGAGCGTCTGATCCTTGGGCGCCACCTTGGCAATGGGGCCTCCGTTGACCAGAAGCGAGGGGAAGATTGGGAGTTGAATATTCTTGATATCCTCCGGGCATGAGCCAGGCACAACAAACAGTTGCAGAGCGGACCAGGCGAACGCGGCAGGAACAGTTGTCAGGAATGGAGACTCAGAGGGGATCTCGCCGAGGTGAATGCGGTAGAAACCATTTTGTTCACCCTCTTGGCCAATGACAGATGAGACAAGGCGGACAATCTCGGGAAGGCCTTCTGAGGAGAAGATGACGTTGGCATCCTGGAGAGCTCCAAGGACGACTGCTGTGAATGTTTCTGCAAGGAAGATGGCGTCATCGAGTTTGTTCACTGGGAACTGGTACTTGCAAGGCGACGGAGCAAACTTTCCAGCTGACTTCAGAATTGCGAGGGCTCCAATGGCATGTTGCTTTTCTTGCTGTAGGTGGTGTTAGTCGCATGAACATCGATCATCGTCGGTGGGTACAAACGTACAGCTAAGATGGTCCTGATAATCTGCTCAGACTCTCCGCGCTCACTTGATGGCACCTCATATCCTCTCACGCCTTGAGTGATATTGTGGAGCAGAGAGCTAAAGAACGCAGTCTCGAAGAGTTCGTTGAAGGCAATGAGTTGGAAAGCGGTAGTAGAGCCGGCGCCCAGAGTCTTGGGTGGAGCAGCGCCGGGTAACTTTCCTAGGGCTTGGAGGGCGATCTGCTTCTCTTGAGCATCGTTTGGGAAAGGGAAGCCGTCGCCTTTGGGGATGCCGAAAGATCGGGGAAGAATGCCACCGAGGGCAGAGCCGAAGAGGCCAGCTGAAGCAATAAGGGTGGACACGAGCATGTTCGGAGAGGTTAAGTGTATTGTTTGCAGTTTAAAGCATCTGATGGATACAGATATTGAATACGGCTACTGAGCAGCTCTTGATCTTTATAAATGAGAGACAATTGTTTCCAATGTTTCGGAAAACGGCGAATTGAGTTCAGTACAGACAACCCTTTCGGCACTCTCCAGCGCATGGTTGGTACATTCATGCTGACGACATGCATGCAAAGTGGCTAATAACTCGGTGCGATTAATTTCAACAATTCCCTCTCGAAATGCCGTGGAACTGGCTTGCGTGATCGATCGTCCGGAAATAGAATTCGATAGTGTAGAGTCAAGATCGTCATAGATCGGGGAGAGAAGCTGTACATCCATTGCCATGGAGGGATTTCACAGAGCTGGGAGGCCGAGACCAGACCCGAAAAAACACAATTACTCAGCCTGAGCTTACCTGCGACATGAATTGAAGCTTGCTTTTTACATTGCGATTCCATGTAACGATGAAGGTTGTTCCTAGATCGTCCAGCCCTTGCAGCCGCCGTATCCGTGTGTTCCGGACCACAAGCTTTCGAGGATGGGCGTGTACTACTTGCGGCTAGGCAGACTGGAAAAGAAACCGGAGACACGGAATTTGCGGGGAGGCGCTGATCTGGAGGCGTCATCAGTCTTAGTCCTAGTCACTAAATGAGATTGCCACTTCACAACCGCCACGGTGCCGTTCTGCAGCCCTGCTCTCAAGGTTCCTTCCAGAAGATGGGGTAGCATCTCACCCGGGAGCTGGGTCATCCGTAGGGCTAGAGCCAGAATCCTGCTGTGAAGCTTCGCGTCAGCATTGGGCGGGATATTCCAGCTGAAGCCCAACATGCAGGCCGAAACTTTGGATGATGTCAGAATGTCGCCATGAATACGAGGTTTCACCCAACTAATGGACTAATGTAATCAAATTACCGAGCCCGCAAATACGAGCTCAAGCATTTAGGATTCCGTGCTCGTTGTGGCTCCATACGTTTGTGCGGGTAGTATGAAGCTCTCCGAGAGAATTTTGATCGTCGCCAGTGGTAAATCTGTACAGGAAGATGCCACGACGATACTTCGCTAGTACACCCCGCTCATCCAGTCAAATACAGGACCAAATATGCAAAAATTATTGCCGGAGGGATCAGTAAACATCTCTGTATTTAAAAAACGGCGTCTCTGCATTGATGAACGTCGTATTGCAGCTTGACCTATTTCAGTGCACACTCCTTAGATTGTCAAAGTAACATACAGTGTGGCTTGAATTTTCTCTCCCACCGCCAACCGAAAATTGCCGCCGCATGACGCCAACGGGGGCTTTGACCGTCTCGATTGGCATCACCACGACGACGTTTCACATCTAGGTGTCTACGAACGCACCGACTGCACTACAGGGCCTCACGGTGGCTCTACGTATTTTCAAATTGCGCCCTAATTAGCAAACTAATGGAACACATTACGGTCTTTGGAATTGACAGTGGGGAAGGGAGCATCGGTAAATGAGCGAATTTGCCTCCATCCGCACTCTTGCGATGGTCCAGCTCGGCTCATCTGCAAAGAGGACCGAGCCATCCGTGTGCAGCCTTACGCACTAAATATAAGCCCGCACAATCTTTGAAGAGGTCCGAGCAAAAATCGAGGAGTAAACGGCGTCGGCAAAATCCGGCACTTATTGGGATTGCCCTAAGGGCGCGAACCTCCGCTGAAAGGTTGTAGTCACTCTAGCCAATGCCACCCCTGCTTTATTCGGTCCAGGTCTTTTGTCAAATGCGTGTGTCTTCAAGCAGCCCGTTGGCATGGACTCCAGCCCAGGTTTGTAGCTTGTAATTGTGAACGTTGTAGCGGGAATGCTCGTCAACACAACAGGCATGTGGGCCATGCCTCGTGCCGGATGGTGAAACATTACACCCATCCCTTGCTGGGCTGTTTCAGGGAGGCCCATGTGTCTCATGTTTCCGGGCTGGGAATCTGACTGTCTGGATAGTAGGAGGAGTAATGATTGCCATCATTGCGGTGTGCAGGCTGAGTTGCTGGCAGCTGGCTATGCAATAGCGGGAAAAGCTGGCTTCTTACAGTAACGAGCTCCCTCGCACGTTATTGGAGGCGTTCCGGCGTAAGGTTCTTCCATATATATGCTCATGATTTTGCCATTCAATTCAGATTCCATAGACTCGGGAGCCAAGACAGGCCTCATCTAATTTGGGTTGGGTGCCATCAGCGTCGGTTTGGCTTGGCTTCGGGTGCCGGAAGTGAAGGACCGAAGCTTGGTTGAAGTAGACCATGTGTTTGAGATGAGAGTGCCGACGAGGAAGTTTAGGTGCCATTGATCACCAAGCCAACTTTAGCCCGACAATTCCAGTCAAAAGAATTTGATCATAATTTTCCAGTAGTCTTCTCTGCCGACTCTCGATTGAACCAGACATCCATCACAAGGGGCTGGTCAACTTTACTCAAATATCACACTGTGAGATAACCTTCCGCCAGATTCTTCCCGAGGACGACGTCTTCTTAATGCTCTAGATATCCAGCTTTTTTAAGCTTTTAGGCCAAATCAGCCCGCACAAGGGATTTCCGGGATGCCTCTGAAGTATGTGACCTCAAAAGACATCACGGTAATCAACCGACCAACAGGGTCATCACGGTCATCCGAGTTGTCTCTGGAGGCCACGCTGTCGTTATACAATTCGTCTATAAGACTGACACCGAGACCATGCTTAAAATAAAATACAAAGAGTCATTATGATGCATGTCAATGACACCAGACCTCAAATAATATGAAGATAGCCATACCGTTGGCAAAAGCCTCGAGCAGCACGCACTCAAGATTCTAATCTGCATTTCCACTTTTGATTTGAGGGACCATGAAAGCCGGGATCAAAATCACTCGCTTTTCCTAACGACTCTTACTCCTAAGATTGGGTATGTCTAATGCAGTCAAGCCACCTTTGTAAGCAACATGTTGGTAGCCTACCCTAGACGCTTTGAGAAACTATATTATGGCATCGACGAGGTGGTAGGTGTGTGGAAGGCACTAAGATCAAATAAGTATACTGAGTTCATTCCTCCCTCTCCCATCGGGCTCGTAATTTTTGAACATTTACCAATCTAACGTGGGCACTGATTCGTCTCCCGTCCGACTCGAGCGCGGCTTGGCATACTTTGTGGAACTAATTTGTACTGAGTGCAGGTCAATGGGGTGCAAACTTGCAATGGGAGGTCATCATCGAAGAGGATCCTTGGCTGCTCTTTGAGGCCGGCCTATGTACGAGGCAAATATAGCGTCGTTTCTGTATCATCAACATCTGTGGATGGTGATGCTTGTCCCTCTGCTCTGCCAAGACTATGTATGACGGATCTCTGGCTGATTGACTAGCAGCTTGGGACCGACTTCTATTGGAGTAACCGAGTCCCCACCATTGTGCTTAAACCCTTTAGTGGCGCTCTATTTTGCTAGGCCATACATAGTTAGCAAGGTAGATAATCTCTCGTTCCCAACAACATGTGTCCACGTTGCTCCGACACAAACCATTTGCCCTAGCTCCCGCAAACTCATCGTTCTACCCCGTCCAATCAACTGGTACTGACAATGAAATCCCCGATCCCTGACTATCTTAACCTCGTGCTCGAGAATGCGCGCCCGATTGAGACTGGCTCGCCGGCTGCATACATCGACACACTAGCTAGGGCGGACACGTCTAAGATGGCCGTGGCCCTTGCTATGGTGGATGGCAACCTATACTCAGCCGGAGACGACCGCGTTGAGTTCTCCATCCAGTCCATCTCTAAAGCCTTCGTCTACGCACTGGCAATCGAAGATGCAGGACTGGCACATGTGTTGGAGAAGATCGGCGTCGAGCCATCCGGTGACGCATTTAACCGCCTGTCTCTCGAGCGTGGTAGCAATCGGCCTATGAACCCCATGATCAACGCCGGAGCAATCACCGCACACTCGCTCGTCGTATCCCCTCATGCCACGATAGAGCAGAGAACAGATCGCATCCTGAAAACGCTGTCCAAGCTCGCAGGCCGGGAGTTGCATGTGGACGAAGAGGTCTACGAGGCTGAGCTCAAGGACGCCAACCGCAACATGGGCATCGGCTTCATGCTCAAGGCAGCTGGCATCATCACTGGCGATCCTCAGGAGGCAGTCAAGGGCTACATCCGCCAATGCGCCATCAACGTCAATGTGCGCGACTTGGCCATGATGGCGGCGACGCTTTGCAACGCCGGCGTGCACCCTGTCACGGGAGAGAGCATCATCCCGCAAACGAGCGTCCGCCAAGTCTTGTCCGTCATGACTACGTGTGGCATGTACGACGCTGCGGGAGATTGGGTTTCAAACGTCGGCATTCCTGCGAAGAGCGGTGTGGCCGGCGGAATCATCGGTGCTCTGCCAGGCCAGGTCGGCATTGCTGCCTTCTCTCCCAAGCTTGACGAGCGTGGCAACAGTGTGAGAGGCGTGGCGATATGCGAGCGGCTGTCGCGAGATATGGGCCTGCATATGATGGATGCCAGCCAGATCTCCAGGGCCACGGTGCGTACATCCGTGGCAACCATTGTCGCAGGCGAGAGCGAGCCCCATCACGCGAACTGCCAGAAGGAAGTCGTCATATTCAGCCTGCGAGGCGCCGTTCGCTTCGCAGGTTCGGAGCGTCTTACTCGGGCTCTTGCGCGCGAACTTGGCCCGCCAAACCCAGATGACCCCGGTTCCGGGAAGCACGGGAACGCCTGTGCTGTCGTCTTCTCGTTCCGTGAAGCCTATTCCCTGAATGCCATTGCACAACGAATCATCCATGAGGATATTCATCGACTACTTCTAGAAGACAAGAGCGTGGTGGTGATCGACCCGTCGTGCGTTCTGCAACTGGATGATCGTCTTGAGGGAAGGACGCGGCATCCGCATGTTGTCCGGACCGAGACTGAGGCGCGGAACTACATTGGAGGGATCGGGTGTCAAACCGTGTCCAAGTCTGATAATTGGTGATGCTCTACGGAGTAATTGATTAGTTATATACATCATGGTCTATACCACCAAGGCAGAGCAGATGTTTCCCCACTAGCAAATTGCCTCGTTTTCATTTCCCTAAGCGTCTCACATGCAAAATGCAAGCAGGGCGAGAGGGGCATGAGAAACATATTTTGGTCTCGAGCTACGGAGGGCTCTTTCAAAAGTCTTATCCAAGCGCTAGTAACATCATATCCACTTATCCCTGTCGGTTACCTGAGATACATAAAGCTATCACAGTCTCGTTAAACGGCCGCTGTAACTTCAGGAGTAGTACGCTGCTGATCAGGATATAGCGGTTGCTGTGTGCTGTAGCGTGCTATCCTTTAGGGCCTATAGAAATCAGGAAGTACTTAGTGTACTTATTATCTAATCTAATAATTAGGACTTACTTCTTATGGATAAGACTTTGTTGAATGATGACCCTGTATAACGAAACCTCGGATAGATTGATATCCTGACCTTAGTCAGAAGGGGGGTATGAAAACCCCTCTTCCGGCGGATCCGGATGACGAGATGAACTAATCATCAATATCATCAACATCATTATCACTGCATTGATCCTTATCCATCGATTGAATTGTCCGTAACGGATCCATCAGACTTTTGAAAGGGCCCTCCGTACGGGTCGGTACTTCATGGTGCCCACCCATCCTCTTCCATTGTGCAGTACAAGTTACTAAATCTACTCAGTACTTTGTAGCTCAGTGACAATCAGGTACCAGCTTCGTACTACGGAGTACAGCGGGGTCAAGATCGAGATTGAACTCTTAGCGTGTGCCTCTTCTACGTCATAGACTTGCAGCGACTACGCTAACGCAAGGGCAAGAAATCAGAAATTAGCAAGATACTTTGCTCTCTCCGTAAACACCAAGCCCTGAAAGGTGCTTTGTTTTCCAGGAATCATGCCAAATCACTTTATTGCGAGTGCAGCCGCATGGTCACTCGTGTTGACTGCATTTGTATCTGCCGTTCAACGCCCATTCCAAGGCCTCGACCATTCACAAGGGTATCAATTCGATCCGCTCCTCCATCTACCAGGAATATCGCCCTACTTCGATGCTGTGGGATTCGGGCTTGAACATGTTGCGCCAGAAGGCTGTACCGTAACCGCCGCCTCCTATTTAATACGACACGCCGCGATATACGCCAATGACGCCGAGTATGAGGAATACATCCATCCTTTTCTCTTCAAGCTAGAGAAGCATCGAGGAGCCTTCTCGGGTCCCCTCGAATTCTTGAACGAATGGCATTCTCCGATTGATGAAGACCGCCTCGAGGATGTGACTCCTTCTGGAAAAGAGGACGCTAAGCAAGTTGGACATCATCTGGTGAAGCGTTATCAGCACCTGGCATCATCAGTGAAGCGTGTCATAGCAGACACCAAATCCAGGACATATGATACCGCCAAGGCCTTCCTCCACGCATTTCCTGCCGACGGAGATATCGAAATCGCCCGTTTTGACAAGAATGACGTGAATGACGGCACTCGTGCCCTTCTTCCTCACAAGGCTTGCTCTAAATTCTCAAAGGCTCCTGGAACAAAGCAGCAGCACGACTTCTTAAATGTCTACAGCAAGCAAGTCTCTCGTCGTCTGAGCCCTTACACTCCCAATGATTACGAACTGGATCCCAAGGATGTGTTTGCACTTCAATCACTCTGTGGGTACGAATCCGCCATCAGGGGCAGGCGGTCATCTATATGCGCCGTATTCTCTGATGCAGAATGGCTCTCCTACGAATATGCGTGGGACATGAAATACACGTACATGGTTGGCCCGTTGAATCCTCTCTCTAATTATCTCGGGTTCCCTTGGCTGAATTCACAATCTCAGCTATTAGAGGCCATTGGTAATAGCTCCGAGACGAATAGCGATGAGGAAACAGGGTGGCCCGCTAAGCAGCGTTTGTTCTTTTATTTCACACACCGCGAAGTGCCGCCATTCGTTGCCACAGCACTGGGAATCTTCAATTCGTCTTCGCAAGAAGGATACGACGAGTTCCCGACTTCCCATGTCAATCATGTACGGGCATGGAAGATGTCTGATCTCATTCCATTCTTGGGACACGTTGGCATGGAAAAGATGACATGCGAGAGACCGGGCGTTGATGGTGGCAAAATCGAGGAGGACTTTGTGAGGTTTATTGCTAATACTGCGCCACGGCCATTGCCACTGTGTCAGAATGGACCCGGTGCTAGCTGCCCATTCGAGACTTTTAAAACTATCATCAGTGCTGGGATGGAAAAGTATGGGGATTTCGATGGCGTCTGTGAAAATGAGAGAGATGATTTGTGAGAAGGAGAGGAAAAGGGATCAATGTTAACTACAGTCAAATAATTGCACGAGCGGTGGTCTTTAGCAAGTCTTGGGGTAATCGTTTCGTTATGAGATCGCCGCAGCTTGTTTATGATGAGTTTCCGGACAAGGTTCCTGATCCCCGACTCTGTTACCAGCAAGGAGGAGGGCAAGATGGAAGAGATCACTGGCGTGATGATGGCCGATGCCGAGATCGTCCTCTTCATAGCTCAAACGACGTATCTGAATCCTGGGCGTCCATGTCCATCAGCTGATTCCATATTTACCTTTCCACCTTCCTCTCCCGCCTCAGCGGTCTGTCTCTCAACCCTTGCAAGCTTCTTATTTTCCCACTTGTGGAGGTAGCGCAGCAAGAGTGCTAGCAGAGCGACCACCACGCAGATTGATGCGTTAGCACTCCCTCCGGGCCTGTACTGGGGACCATCGCTACTGGGGTACATGTAAGATCCGTATATCGTTGCCGTATTGCCAATCATGTTACAAATAGCAATGGCGGCTGACCGTTTGACAAGTGGCCGAGGAAAGGAATTTGCTACCCAAGAGACAATGATTTGGTCTGAAGAGGACGTAAGTGAATGTCGACTAGGAAGGAACAAATACAATGGGGGGCATGAGGTTATGTGACCTAGTGCATCCACTTACAGGAAGACACAGCGCCCATGGGCATAAGAAACATGGCGAAGAAGCGTGCTCCAATGACTGTAGTGCCAGCTGCAATGGCGTTGCCAATGGCTGCAACAAGTATGAGACAGATGATGTGTAGCGATCTGTCGTTTGTCCTAGCTGAGCTCAACGTAACGCATATTGAGAGAAGGAAGGTTGCGAACTGTTGTCGTTTGGTTGGTTGTCAGAAATCCCATGATTACAGCGGCCTATCGTTTGATGTTGATGAAGGAACCACTTACCCAGGCTGGAGCTGTGAGCCACAGCGTAACGATTCTGCCATATCCAAGCGTTCCCACAATAGTTGGGAAGAAGTACTGAAACGTCTGGGAGAGTAGGCTCACGTGCTGCAATAGTATGAAGGCGTACAAGCGGTAGTCACGGACTGCCATCTTGACACCATCCCAGACAGTGATTTCCCCGTATGTGTCGACCTCATTGATATCCTGGGCCAGTCTCCACGCAGCGTAAGCGCTCTCTTCTTGTGTCAACCATTTCGTCGTGTGAGGATAGTTGGGCAGAATAAAGGCGGCTAAGATGGAGAAGGCTATCGCGATTACGCCCTCCTGAAGAGTTTTGTTTGTTGGTTCAAACATTTCATATTGCAACAGGCTGGCGTAGGATTGGAGGTGAGAAAACTTACGATAATAAATAGCCATCTCCACCCAGCGATATCTTGGGCCCCTTCAAGGCTTCCCAGAATTGCCGCGCCTAGCAACCCGCCAAACATGTTTGCCAATGCATTCCCTGCGTAGAGCCAGGCAATGCGGCGGGTAAGCTCTGCGCGCGTGTACCACGAACTCATGAGAAACACAGCCCCCGGAAAGAACGGAGCTTCCACGAAGCCAAGAAAGAACCGAATGACGACAAGATGCGTGAAGGAGTCTGCAGCAGCATTGCAGGTTGAGACAACCCCCCACATGCAACATGAGGCGCTGAGATAAAGCGACGGCCGCATGCGTGTCAACAACAGGTTGGACGGGAGTTGCATCAGGAGATATCCGACGAAAAAGATGGAGGTGGCCAAGTTGAAGTCGGTGCCTGACATTTTGAGGTCTTTTTCTAGAGAGCCCTGGCGTGCCTGAGCGAGATTGGAGCGATCGAGGAAGTTGAGGAGGTACATGATGACAAGCGTGGGCATAAGGCGTAGGTCGACTTTCCTGAGTAATTTCTTTTCAAAGTCACTTCGCCATTCCGGGCTCTGGCTATTGAAGCGTGAGGTCCAGACACTGAGGTCAGAGTTGTGATCAGGTTGAGAGGTTACAGCAGTGCCGCCCATGCTCTTGGCCTCCTCCAATTCGATGGACGGTTTCCCAGTCTCCATGATATGCTGTATGGCGCGTGTAAAGAAGCGTGCTGAACGAGGAAATGACGATTTGGACTGACGTTGACAAGAAATTTGGGAAGACGTTTCGGAGGGCCTATTGAAACCACGAAATTAGATCGGAGACGAGGGGGTTGACCATTTATTCCTGCGAGGTGTCTGAGATCGTCTGCCGAGGGTAACATCTTCCGGGTCACATTCACCCGAGTTGATCAATCATAGGGTCACATATAGAGGAGAAAGTAGTAACGAACCAACCATCACCTTGAACGTAGCTGCCGGGGGTTGTTAGAAGCGGTAGGATCAGCACACACAATGCGACATCACCCCACACGTAGCAGGCTTCCCCGCAATCATTATGGAGTGGTATTTTGCATTATGATAGGCTATATCAGTCGGGTTGATTCAAGAGACTATGAACGCAAGTTGAGATACCCGAAAATCATCCAATGATGCATGTCATTATTGAAGAAGTAGATGCCGTCCCACAGAAGGTGATCTATTTGTGGCAAGATAGCAATTTAACATGATCTAGTTCAGTTCATGATTCAGCTTGATTGCCTTCGACTTTCCTGTGTCCAAGATAACCGCCGGATCCTCCTTCGTTCCCTTGCGACTAACCTGATTTCCGTTCTTAGTCGTGATGGAAGTGCTAAGTTAAAGTCAGTAGAGGAAATGAGATGGATTCACGGGAGATTTACTCTTCACCCTTGACGTCCAATACTTTGCCCTCGGGTTGGCCACTACCCCATTTCCAGCTGACTGTTTCACCCTTCTCAGGACCCTTTGTTGCCTTTGAACTGGTCTTATCTCCAGATGTGGCCTTGGTCTCGTTGCGTTCCTGGCTGCTCTTGCTTTGCTCTTGCTTCTTGGGCTCATTTTTCCTTGCAGCTTTGCGGTTGTCGTCATTCTGGTCATCTACCTCTTCACCTTCGTCCTCACCTTCGTCATTCTCCTCGGCAGAGCTCTCATGTTCCTCGACCAGCTCTACATCCTCATCCCCATCACTGTCACTGTCTCCGACATTGTGCTCTTCTTCCTCTCCTGTAGTCACACCTTTACCCTGCCATGTTTCTCTTTTCTTGGTTGACCCTTGTTGACCCCTGGACGCCTTTCGTTTATCACCAGCCTGCGCCCCATCCTCTGCAGCGTCATCATCTTTATCGTCTCCTTTCTCTGCCTCGTCGCGAGCCTTCAAGACGTCATGGCCCCAATTCTTCAAAGATGCGTACGACTTCGTCTTTTTGACCTCCTCGGTAGACTTTTCGTTTGTCCCCGCTGCTTCTTGCGCAAGATGGCGCTTGCTAAAGAAGATCAGTTTGAATTCTTTAGTGTAACAGGATGAATCAAAAGAAGCCATGGCTCTGTGACGTACCAATATCCGACAACCTTGCGCATGTGCGCAATTTGATCCTCATCATACTTTGTTGGATCTTTGTTGGGATTGGCCTCCAGGATCTCGACAATCTTTCGACCACTGTCATGTCCGACAGTCTCGCCGTTCTCTTCTTCTTTTGGCCAGCCGGCGCTGTTGGAATCATCGGATTTGAGCCATTTCTCCAGCTCAGACGATGCCATATTGACGTAAGTGTTGAACTCTTCGATGACTTGGTCTTGACCCTTCATGATGACGGCGGATTCGGGAGGTTGGTCAGTATGGCATGAGTAGTATCAAGATGATGCTTGGAGCGAAGTGACTCAATTAAAAATTTGCAATTGGATTCATTTGACACCCCCGTCGATGTCTCGTTGACGTCAATGTCGTCATAGCTCACGGAAGCTTCACGGCGTCATAGATCTCAGATTAGGCTCGTCCCGGGCATCTCACCCAAAACTACGCCATCGACATTGCGTTATTCGTTTCCAAGCCACCCACCCCATAAACCAGCCCGTACCACTTTTTATGTCTTGGAAATGCCTGCCCCGCTGTTTCCAAACTGCGGTGTGAAGTCATCACACATGCTACGCAAATTGCACGACTGTATCACTAGAGGTACTCTGATTTGTCAATGAGATTGTGCAAAGTGCCACTACGGGAGAGCAGTGATAGCCATCCAGTAATCTGTAACTGGCCGGTCAATGGTATCTCATTGAACGCCCAGATACTAAAACCTCGTGCATGTGTGATGAGCCTTCAGCTGTATGCCTCCCCTTGTCTTACAGTAAAAGCGCTGTCAACTCACGCAAGAGCCAGTGCCTCCATGAAAGCAAAAGCAACCAAAAATGGGGTGTTCGTGTCATTTTCGTGGTTAAAATGAAAAGGAATGAAGGTGTTCCGATTATTGCTGGAGCCAAAAACCCCATCGTGAGCAATATCTCTATACTGAGCCTTTTTGACGATGAGGAGGGCCCTAGTAGGCCACATGATCTCGAGCAAACAAGGCGAGAAGACTAAGACCACCACCTAGGTCAATATATCTGTGCATTTCTAATTGTGCGGAACTGTCTGGAGCCAGTGATGCGACTGCCGTGGAAGCCTGGGACGGAAAACTCAGCTCAGAGAACCAGGCCCTCTATCGTTGATACTCCCCGCTCATACATCCCACCTCCGCGCGGCCCGGATATTATAGTCCCGCTGGACTCGAGAAGCCCAGATAGTTTGTAGTAGATATGATGAGCGTGAGGAAACTCGAGGCTCTTCTGTGATTTTGTACGAGTCGCAACAGTTGGGGCAAATGCAGTTTGCGTGCCGCGAAGTCAATGCCTCTACCGTCGCCACCTCTCGTCGCTTCTCTACCTAACTAAGGCCAACAGTTGCTTAACGGGGGTTGAGCGTCTTTCATGAATGCCTTCTTTACTTGCAGTCTCCTCCCAAAGAGAGATAGATGGCTCCAGTCGTTCCTGCAAGCAATGCTATTGCTTTAATCTTCATATCGGGCTCCATGGCCTAGCCAAACGAGATTTCCAATCTGACCGGAGCATTTCCTGGGCCTGAGTTCAATTGTATGGATCTCGCAGGCCCTGTTTCTACCTGCCCTCCCTGAGTATGCAAGCATTCGGCGGAGAGGCATTGGTCAGATCTAATGTGGGCAAAAGGCGGCCAAATTGGCTAACACCTACGTCGTGACGGGGTTTGGGAGAACCGCTCCAAGCGTCGGCTGAGATAGCTCGGATGCCTCCGAAATTGGCCAGTCAGCGGGATGAAATAAATAGATCGCTGACCGGGATTGAAATGTTGATGCCTGTAGGTGCCATCGACGAGCTCATCATCGAGGGTTCTATTATTGCACGGGGATGTTTCAACGGACCTGACCCCATCTCCTACGTGGGGCGAAAACTTTCCACTAGCCACTCCATCAAAGCCTGTCTACAAGACGGGACATCTTTTTCAGTTATCCGACAGACGGGTCGATCAGGTATCTTGGCCGCGGGGACCCTCAAGTTAAAATTGGCGACCAACGTGCCGAGCTGGAGGAGATTGAGCGGCATATGAAGAAGTGCTTTGCTCGAGTTCATTGAGTACGGGTGGACGTTATTCCTGGGAATGACAGCTCCCCTTGCGGTGTCAATAGTTTGGTTGCCTTCATTGGAGGCTAGAATGGAGACAAATCGTTAGCCCGATCTCTCCAGGGGAGCGGTGGCCATTTATACGGGCTCCTTTTGCCATGCTACCCATACCACCCGGCAAGGCTTGGGCGAGACCATCCCGGACTACATGGTCAGCGTCTCTTCTTATGGCCAATGCCTTACCACTGTGGTAATACCCTGGCTGAAATCCGGTAAGACAGACACAAGACGCCTGGAAGAGGACGCAAGGTGCTTTCCCCCGGATCGGATAGTGGGATAGGGCGCTGCAGCCAAATGAGACAGCGGTGCTAATGTCATACACTGAGAAGCAGTTACAGCGCGTCTGGACCGACATCTCGGCGTATGTCAGACTGAACCAGGTCGTCCACATATTTCCTCCCACCGACTTCTAGCGCAAGCAGCGGACCCCGAGTCTCGAGGCGTAGGGGCTTTAGAGGATCATAGGCCCTGTTGGTGCTGACCGGCTGATCCGAACGCTACAGACGGTCTCTGACCACCCCAGCATCCTCTGCATCATGGCGGAATCTACAAGTGATTCTGGCTCATCTTACAGTCCAGTTTACTTAGATCCGAGCCGACATTGCGGACCGAGACACCTTATGTCAGTCTATATGTCCGCAAGACAGCGAGGAGCCTCTCCCTGGGAGCATTTTATACCTGTACGTCACTCCGTTCACCTAGCGCTGCTAAACACACACTGATTCTCCAGACCTTTCGCGCCCAATATGTCAAGGAGGGCCTCGCAGTAGCTTTAGGCGACATTGTGGATATTTTCCACGAGAGAGACACCCTTTCTGGCATGACCAACTTCACTGTACATGCAGCATCTTCTAGAGTAGGAGACCGATACCGAACAGAAGGTTTGGTGAGAGTATCCCCCAGTGCCTTGATGACCGCCAACAGGGGTCTATCATCTGCTGATCCAGACCTTGATATCGTTAGAGTCATGTTCACCATCCCGGATCTCAAAACAGGGCGAGCATTAGCTCTAACTCGACTCGCCCAGACAGCGAGTTTAATTTAGCGGGAACAGCCACCTCTCGTACCCTGTCAGCAGGTGTGTGAAACTCAGCACAAAAACTGATGGTCCAAGGACCAGGACGCGTTACATCGGTTACAACTCCCGGGCGCTCCCGTACCCAGAGAGGTGGTTGAGATCTTGGATCCCGGTGGCTCCCGCCCAGCGTATCTCCCTGTAACGGCTCTTCGACAAGAAGCTTTTCCCGCCTGTTTTCAATGTTGCATTGCATTTGTGATCTCGTCGATCGTGGGTACGTACGATTCTCATTTAGGAAAGTAGCTCGTCGGGGTAACCCAGCGCTTAGCAATCTGAGCGGGAACAATCGTGATGGCTGTGATACATCGATTTGCTTTTTCACGACCACGCAAGCACACGGAGGCCTCCGGCGTCCCGTGTAGCCCTCGGTCTTGTGCTCACATCAAGTGTAGTAAACCCTTGTCAGTCCATCGAGTCAGGATGGTGCTAGCCAGAGTCTTTTCCAACTCGCCACGCAGCACAGAGCGTGAAAGACGCCAAGCCACGCGTCGACAGAAGGAGTATACTTCACCAAACCACCCACTGAGAAAGTACCGGTCAGCCAGCCACTGTCTTGTTGGTGGCAGCCAGGATGTTCTTCATTGCGCTTGGGGATAAACCCGAAGCCACAACCGGCAGCTCGTGATTGATGCCAACAGTATCCCTGCCGCGTGACTTATCTGTGCCCAATCCGACTGGTTGGGTTGACAAGGGTGAAATCATCTGCCCTCACCGGCAATAATTGGGCATCGTGGATCGCTCGGACCCTTCATAGCGACCGGAGGATCATCCGGCCACCCGTCCAACTGTCCAACGAAGGCCTCGGACCGACACAGGGTGTCTTGTGCCGCATGCTCGTATCCCAGTTATTTACAGTAATTTCAGCCCGGCCGGGTGCTATGGGCTCGTCTTGTGGGAAGTGTTGGGTGAGAGGTTGCCGCTAGCTGAGCTGGATGTCTTGGACCAACACGCTGGTTGATGCCCAGCTGGACTCTGAAGATACGAATGCATCCCTGCCGTTCTACAATTGGGCGGACGAAAGCTCCGGGGTTGGCGGGAACCAGGGTTATCTCCCATCTAACTTACAACAGCACTAGTCAGTGGCCGGAGAATCCTCTAGACCAAGCCACGTCGACGATCATGGCCTGACATTCTACATTGTACGACGTACACTGCGCGAGTGGCGCGTCAGCTGCGCTTTGTTCATCGCCTTTCTCGGTCCCGACTCGTTCCCCACGACATCACATGGTCTAGACTGAGAAACAACGGAGGAGCTCCGAAGCAAAGTATTGGACCGCCAGGTTCTGTAAGCGCCACATGAAACGCTCCTACAGATTCGTCCCAGCTTGTTTTCATTTATTGGCTTAGAAGTCTCTTGTTTCCTCTTTTCTCTTTCTCCAGTGCTAATAGATCGGACGCTAGGGTCGTCTGACAGCCGCGTAGGCTTGGACTTGAAGATTCGTTTCAGTATTGTACCACCCGATCTCGTCTGCGGCGATTGTAAATTTCACCATGGTCCTCTCCCAAAGGACCAGAAAATTTGCATTCCATACATCCAGACTTTCACGTACTGAGGCATTCCGCGTCGGATCGTCCGGCTTCAGTATCTTAAGCCTCCGTGCCTGATTTTAATAAAATGAACAAGTTTCAAGGACTATGTAAGGCCGACGCTTTCTTGCTTTCGAGAGCAGGTCCCTCGCCATTACACACGCACAGACCGTGAGTTTAAGTTTACAGTGCCTGCTGAGTGAGACGCACAAATTCCAAACATCGAAGGATTTCCACCCTGGCTCAACATCAGCCTGGCCACTCTCGGACACGTCGGTGGCTTGTTGTACAACTACATGCGCTTGAGATCGTGACCAGATTTTACTCTCTACGTGTATATAATAATTCTACACGGGCTGTTTTATTTGGTGTAGTTGGATATTCCGCAGTAACGTCGTCTGAGCGGTATGGGAACACTTGTAAATGTAGGAGACATTTCCGCGGGCAAAGACACAATGTCGTGTGTCAAGACGAGTCCAATCTCCTATCTGCTACCAGATATTCAGAGAGTCTCTTTCGCTTCTGAGTTTCCACCCTCTCCATTCGAAGAACTAGTCAAGCTTCCACAGGGCTTCCCCGAATTTGTCGACAAGCCACTGGCATGGAAGGGACATCAGTTCGCAGACGAAACTGAGTACATCTACACTCTCAATACATTCGAAATCGGTGAACTAGAATGCGCTCTTGGTAGTTTCAAAGGTACGTGTGTCTTCGTGTCGCTTTGTTTGAGTTGGTACGTGGCATTGTTTCTCACACATACGCAGGGTTGGGCCTGGATGGAGATCTTGTATCCCCAACAAACTTCCAGCTCCCCACTCTAGGTCCGCAGCTGAGAATCCTTCGCCATGACATCTACAATGGTAAGGGCTTCGGTGTCATCCGTGGCCTTTGTCCACAGAGATACTCAGTCGAGGATCTGACCATCCTCTATCTCGGCCTTCAGTCGTATATCGCCAATCAACGAGGCCGACAAGATGAGAAGGGCAATATGCTAGGTACTCACTCTTTGCAAACGCCTTGGGAATATTAATTTAATGAGCTTACTAGTCCACATTATCGCTGATGACTCCACCAAACTGTCAGCTAGTCACCACCGTCACTCCAAGGAACGAATTGTAAGTCAACCCACCCAGGTTTCTGTGTTAAGCAACACATTTCTAAGTCCAGACGTAGACTTTCCATAACGAGGAGTCAGGGGACATCATCAGCTGGTTGACACGGAGCACTGCGATTTCGGGAGGAAATTGCGTTATATCATCAGCCTATACTGTGTACAACGTTCTGGCCGCCAGCCGTCCTGATATCATACATACCCTGGCTCGAGATGATTGGCCTTTTGCTATGTAAGTGACATCAGTGAATCAAACATTCGGGTGAAGAGATCGGGCACCTTCTGACCACACCAATGCAGGCCTCGTTTCCAGAGACGACCGTTACTCTTTTATCACGAAGGAAGACTGATATTCAACTTCGGCCGAGTCCCGCTCGTCGGAAACGATGCCAATCCTCGACCAGAGCACCTACCAAAACTCAATTGGAGCCAAACCGAGAGCCTCGAGGCCATCGATGCTATCGCAGAATCCACACGGCTAGAAATTGCGACCAAGCCGGGTGACATACACTTCGTCAATAACCTCGTCATTATGCACCGACGAGACGGTTTTGTCGATGGCGAAATGCCAGAAGCAAAACGGCATCTGGTGCGTATGAGGCTTCGAGACGAGCAATTCGGTTGGCAACTCCCACACAGCCTCGAACAGCAATGGTCTGTTGCATTCAGCAACGCGAAACCGACAGTGTGGCATCTTGAACCGATGCCTACTGGTTTCTTTCCTCTCAGAACGCAATGCAATTGAAGTTATACGGGTTGTTCCTAATTATAAACCACACTCGTATTCCTATCGTCAGGCTCTCTCTCAGCCGTCAAAGCCTTGCTATTTTAGTCCCAATACAAGACCTTCACTTCCCATTCGCTCACAATCCTTCTGCGTCCTGGATGCTTGTCGCAACAATGTCTAGAAATGGATCAGAGCCGCTCCACTCACTCTGGACCACGTCAACACTACACCATGGCTAATCCTTGCATCTGAACTGCGACAAGCATCCGCATTACCGCCCATCTGCCGCTCGTGCATACGCGCCGGGCCAACGATGTGCTCGATCCTGTCATACGTCATCAATTTTAAGAGCCCAATTTGTGATTGTTCTAGGATCAAAACTAGCCTAGTGCGTTTGGCTGGGGGAGGATTGATCGTCCATACCCTGTAAGCGCGATCCTTGGCTTCTCGCACCCTTGCACAGCCAATTTACTATAGGCAAATGACCTTCGTACTGAGTACAATGTCAGTTCGAAACAGCCAGGGCCTGCTTCGCAATCCATGTGTGATGGCACAGTCATTCACCAAGGGGGCAGAACCGGCCACAGCACTTGGGGAGGCAAGATAGCATTGTAACACGGACATTCATTCTTCTTCCTGTCATTACCTACCCTTCCTTCTACGTCTTTCCTCAAGAATGATGCCGTCTCACATACTCAAGGATCCTGACTCGAGTTAAGGAATAACCATGTTGAAAAAAGTATCCTGCATATTCAGATGTGGGTGGACCTCTGCCGTAGCCGCGCTGCCATCTATGGTTGGAAATGGCATCGCTTGAATCCCGAAATCCGACAATTGTGCCGTAGGAACGAGGTCCAGCCTTATTTCATGGGGCTGGGGAATAGTCAGGATACCCAACTGGCCATGCGCATGGTGATCGGTGCGGACTTCCCCCTCAGCTTGCCAACCCTACTTGGTGATTAGCGCAAGTCTTGGCTTGCCATGAGCTCGAGTATTGCAAAACAAGCGTACGTTCAAACCTCCTGCTACGGCGCTATACAATTCCAGGCCAGGGTAGCATTGTGTGACACTAGAGGAGACAAATCAGCCGTCTTATGTTGAAACAAATGATAAATACTTTAGTGGCACTCACGCTGGCTGGAAAGGCACTTCAGAAGAGCTTCCTGTGTGGCTATTAAGCAGTACGGGATAATCTTCCATGGTCTGCCGAGGTTCGACAATTGTGACGCGGGTCCCGCTGTTGGCGTTGGTGCTTGGGCTTCGTTCACCCTCACTGTGCGACAGTCCGCAGTCAGGAGTCGGATAAATGCAATCGTTCCCTCTTTGACGGCATCTCATGCTGCCAATATGATAAATGTCAGTAATATTCGTCCAGGATAGGCAGGATATAATCGAGGTTCACGAAGGGATACAATGCATGTATTTACCTCCAAGGCGAACCGGAGCGTAAATGAGGCTTGAGGCGAACACATACCAGGCAGGCTTTTGTTCATCGCATCGGATATGCTTCTGTTTGCACCACTGGCAGCCTGTCTTGCTCCGTCTAGCGAACTTTCTCTTGCGGGCTTGGGGCGAATTCATCTTGATGCGCAAAGTGCCCTTGATTATTCGTCCTTTGACAAATTCTTCCAGGCGCGGCTAAGAGTTGCTCGACTTGTAGACCTCACGAAAGCTCAGTTGAATTCGCGATTTATAGGACAAACACAGAGTGGAGAGAGGCTGCTTTAAGTGCTCCAGGGCGGCATTCAGCATCAGAAAGGTATCCGTACCCCCCTGGTAGGTACCCCCTGGTTCCCAACTGCACTGACGGCCTGACCGCGTCCCCCCAACCAACCCAATATTCAACCCACTTCAGCGTTGTCTTTCACGGGGTAGATGCTCCGAGGTACGAATATACGTGGGATGAAGGGTCCCCCCCCTGCCTGTGAGAAGCCCATGCGGGCCAAGGCGATCATCAAAAACGGCGCGTAGATCGCCAAAAGCTAGTTGCAAAACTCCGAAGAGCTCGCATAAAATACTTTACAAGCCCTTTGTCTGAAACAGAGTTAAAAATGTGTGGAAAACTTCATCATTAGACAGAGGCGGTGCTTCTTCGGACTCTGGACCGGTCAATTTTGCAGTGAACAACGGACAGGATACGTGGAAGCCTTATCTGTGACGTGACAAGACCCAGCCGCCGTATTCAATTTTGGGCAGGAGATCAGTATCGAGCACCAGAGACCCTTCGTCCAGAGTCTTACTACGCCTGACTCAGTACTCGACTCGTGCTGTCTTCAAGACACCATTTCCCCATCCACTCAGAATGCTGCCTGTTGTTTGCTATGAGGGGGTAGCGCCGAGACGGTTGCATGTCTTGATACCACCACAAAGTCTCTCCCCCAGTGTCTGTGAGGATTTGATTGGCGTCTCAAGTCACAAATAAGGCAGCTCAAATTGGAAAGGAGGGGGGCCTTGGTGGAGATGACCGTTTCTGGTGGCGCTGGCTAGCGACATTTGAGGCCTGGCTTGATGAGAATGTGCTCTCGCAGCCCACTCACCTTGGCCACTCTAGTGCGTCGTTATCACAGCTACAGCAGAATTCCGCGTCAGTGCTCTGAGCATCAATTTTATCGGGCATGGGCCGACTGTGTAAGAACCAACTCGTACACGCGGCAGCAATGGGCGTCATTCTGCTTCAACACCCTGTGAGCACTCAATCCACATCCACAGGAAGCCTCACCGGTGTTAAGGACTTCTACCGCCGGCGTACATCGGAAAATGAGGGTTGTGGGGATGCTGCCTGGCTTCAAACCTTACTTTGTGTCCTCGTATTCCCTCATGCGACACAAAATTCGCTCATTCTGCAAGTCATCTCACAGCCGCCTGGTCTGGCTGGGTGCCAACTTGACTTCCACCATCATTGGACGAGCAATATTTGGTGTAGTCTTGCTATATACTATTGGAGCAACGGACCCCCCAAAAAAGAATGACGCGTGAAGGGAGTCCGAGTCTGCAGATTGGGAGGCTTGGCAGTCAGGGCGTGTGTCGCAAAATCTTCACCAAATGCCGACATTCACTACAGATGCTGCTTGCTGTGCCAGCTTGGGAAGTCGGTAGGCATCCAGCTATGTTGGATCCTCCTTAGATCACTCAGTCCCTAGTCTTTCGGGCCAAAATGATAATCGAGGAGACCAAAGTAGTTCCTCATGGTAGAAAAGCAACTCTTACCAACATGTAACCGTTAGAGGGTCTCAGTTACAACCGGAACAGTGAAAGTTCTAATTTCGCGTGACCATCAAGCTCCACCAAGGTAGAAATAAATTTTGAATGCCGGAGACGGTATTTCATTGCTGGAGAAGATCACAATATATATTAATGAATCATTCTAGTAAACACTCGCTGGGTGATACCAGGACACCTGTACTCCAAGCATGCATTATTTCGGAATCAAGCCAATGGGATTTCTTCAAAGAAAGCCGGCTCAGAAAATTACTAGTGTAGCAAGAAAGACACAACACCGACATCCTGATGCACCATGTAAAATAACTATATTGAAGCAAATCATAGAAAGCAAGCAGGAGAGGTGACCAAATCACGAGCCATAGCTGCTCAGATTGCGGGGGCTTTAGTCGGTGCAGTAAGACTGCTGGACAATGACATATCGTATAAATTTATCCTACATTTCAGCTAGAGTAGCTTTTGCGAATGTCATGCAGAGCGGAACATTGCAGACTACCCGGGTGAGCCACATGAACTGTGCCGCTCGGTGAAGAGCATGCTTGTCGTCGTCTGGGGTTGCAAGAAGCAAAATGGTTCGAGATCATGATCGGTCTAGAACATTCGGAAACTTTACAAGCATCTGGTCTCAATACCTCACACCGCAGCTGATTTTTTGTCCTTCCCGTTGAGGCCAATTTAGTCCAACGTATCCCCTTGCTTAGCGGCTTTCTCTCCGAACTTCAATGATCACACCACCCTGGGGATACGTCCAGAGTTGATTGGTGCGGCAAGGCAAAGCGGCGTAGAATTTCAGCTCTACTGCATTTTAGACATGTATCTATTGATATTCCTGCCGCCACCTAACTTTAAGGCTTACGCTGGGTTCCTAGCTGACTCAAACACCCACCCCAGTTACGCCACTCGCAAGCCCATTTCGGGAACATTGTTACTAGCGGAGCAAAGATTAAGTCACCTATCCCCTGTAAGTCGCTAAAGAACGTGATTCGGAGATTTACAACCGTAGACCTGCTTCGCGGGCCGTGTTCAGTAGCCCAAGATATTAATTGTACGATACGTACTAATATTATAATTGGGGATCTTGGTCTCGGATCAGGTCACGCCAACAGTGTGCAAGAACGGTGAAGATACGTTTCCGGCTACCAGTTCGCACATAAAACCAGTGGGGATTCCCTCCGGTCTCCCTTGGTTTGTATCGGGAGACACAAGTCGACTCGGCACTGCATCTCCAGAGCTCCATAATCTCCGACTTAGGCTTGTGCTCAGCTCCTGTGCTTGCGCCGCTTGGGTGTAAGTGCGAACTCGCTCGTGGCTTACCCTGTTCAAGCAGTCACGAGGCTTGAGACAACTTGCGTAACATGTCCCACTTAGGCTGGCTATAGTTTCGGGCGTAACGAAGTCATGACGCTGCTTTCAGTCTTCGAGGTGCTCAAGAAGGTATTACATCCATGTCACAACGAGCCAAAGTTTGCCGAGTTAATTGCGCTTATCATTTCTTATTTCTGCATCACCGATTGTTCAGATGTTATTAGAGTGTCTGGTTAGAATACAATACAATCGGGACTATAACAGTTGAAAACTCATTTTTCTCATGCAACGGCCTTCATTTCCGCGATTATGTTGATGATCACCATTACCTCTTCTGAATGGCCTGGCCACAGTAACAAAAAACATGATGTGTGTGTCATTGTGGCATTTTATAGAGACCTAATGCCATGCAATAGGGTAACCGAACAATACAAAAGCTTTCAACTGTAAATTATCGCTATTCAAGGTGTGACGGACCAGGCAAATCCTTGAATACTGGCTGGCGGTCAAACGAAAACTGTGCCCTGTTAGTGACAGTTTACTCTCAAACACTGGGATTTTAACTTGCCCTCGTCCCATTGCCCATGTCCATGACCAGCGCTTCCTGCGAAAACACCACGAAGGATTCATAAAGATCAATAATCTCTGGCCGTCCGGTTGCATCTTCGAAGTGTTTCTGGGCCTTCCTGAACGCTGGAACGGATGACGCATCTTTGAGAAAGACCTTGTAAACCAGCGCATACTGCGGCATTTTAGTCCCCCCAAAATAAGAATTCAAATCAAACTTGTCCGAAACAGCGCCAACGTTACAAATCATACCCCAAGCATGGTCCTGGCAGTGAGTCTCCAAAGCTGCGGCCAAAAGCGGAGTAACAGTTTTCCCCAACTCGGTTCCGTTTCTCGTGTCATCTACCGTGGAAATGAAATACATGGCGACAGTGGCATTGCCTGCGTCTGTAGCATTGTTCCCATTCTTGATCCTCTGCTGTGCAGCTGCGGTCTGAATTAGCGCAGGCTTTTCATATGCCATCAGCACAACGCTAGTTTCAAAGTCTGCAAACAACGGTCCGTCCGGCCTGATTGTTGTCTTGGGAAACTCGCTAGAAAAGCAGCTGTCCACGTGGTTCCAGTCTCTGAAGAAGAGCTCTGTAGTGTCTTCTCTGCCGCACCAGTGCTGATTTGCGTTCAAAGGTCCGTCTGGGCGCAAACCAAACGCGGAGTCAAATATTTGAGTCTGGATGTATTTGCTGTTTTTGAATTTAGCAGAAGTCGTCATCTACCACACGACAATATCGTCCCTGCCGAGACCCGGGTTTACATACTATGGTTTGTGGTCCTCTTCCTCAGTTTCATCTGATATGCGCCCATGGATACGGAATCGGTGGTCGAAATATTCCTTGCGTGTCATATTTGGCTTACGCCGGCCGGTGGCGATCTGTTTGATGATGGACATTGTGGAAGATATCTGAGTTGTGAAATAGGATTCCGCGGTAATTATTATAGCTGAAAGTATTGTGAGCTAGAAAATAGGATTCGCGTCTGGAGTGTGGCTATATACCTGCTAAAAAACATCTTGAGGCTGCCGTGACCCCGTGTGTAACCCCTCATGCTGTCAGCCTGTCGGCCCCCCACTTCGGAAATGCCGAAAGAGTTTGGAAGATCGCTCGCGAACGTGGAGCCGACATCCCGGAGACTTGCTGCTATGAAGACCAGTGAGGAGTGATACTCCGGCCTTCGGGTTGAGGGGTATGAAGATGTCAAAGATCTTCTGCTCTTGCTAGATATTGGGGCAGATGGATTGGGTTTGTCGGTTTAAAGTAGATCACCCGTATCTACTTGGTTGGCGCTCATCCCGTCATCATCAAGATGTCCGAAAGAATGGAAAGAATGCGGACTGAAAGAGGTACGGGGAACGTGGAGGACGGGGGATGTGGAGGGCGGGGAATGTGGAGGGTTAGGAATATGGGAGTGGCTAAGGGATGTGGAGGTGTTGCGAATTGTGAAAAGCTGGAGTTGGCCGTCTTAATTAAAGCCGCGCATGGAGTATATAGTTCCTATATATGCATGATCGCTTCTATAAGAGCTACATCTGTATTACGTCTGATCTGAAACAAGCCAAAAACTGGTTGCTGCGGCTGGCAATATAAGAGTCCAGCAACACTGACGATGCTCGAGTGGGGTTGCGATCATGTCTCGGCATGATATATAGATCTATATCCCATGGGTGACTTCACGACCAGTAGCGACGCTTTTCCTTTCATCGCCAAAGAGGTACGATCGTTGCCCAAAAAGAAAACACCAGACCGGGATGACGTAGTGTATTTAGGGTAGTATCGGGTCTATATCCAGCCCCAGAATTAGTAATCCTCGATGTCTTCGTTAGGGCGTGCATTACTATTTCTACCTGTACTTCCCTCTCTCTACCCTTTTATAATGCGAGACAATCTTTTAGCCTACAACCAAAATAATCGATATTCTCTAAACAAATATTGGATACACACAGAATGACGCTCAAAACGATTCGGACGCCCACTCTAGAGATAGGGTACTACGAGCATGGCCCTACGTCCGGCTGGCCTGTTGTTCTTTCTCATGGTTTTCCCTACGATATCCATTCCTTCGACGAAGTAGCCCCGATACTCGCTTCCAATGGTGCACGAGTCATAATCCCTTATCTACGAGGATTTGGCCCAACTCGTTTCCTCTCGCCAACCGCCATGAGGACTGGCCAACAGGCAGCTCTTGGATCAGACGTCATTGAGCTGTTGGATGCACTCGGTATCAAGAAAGCCATCCTGGGGGGATTTGACTGGGGTGGTGTTGCCTCATGCGTGGCCGCAGCGCTCTGGCCAGATCGCGTCCATGGACTTGTTTCGTACGCCGGATATGACATAGTTGACCGCGTCGGCGGGAGCAAGGCGAGTGAGCCGAGTCTTGAATATGTCCAGTGGTACCAGCATTTGTTCCAGCATGAACGCGGAAGAGCATGCCTGGAGCAACACAGGCAGGATCTTTGTCTTATGCTCTGGCGACAGTGGTCACCTACCTTCTCCTTCAGCAATTCGTTCTTTGAGCGTACGGCAACTTCATTCGATAATCCCGATTTCGTCGATATCGTAATTCATGCATATCGATTTTGTTTTGGCTCTGAGGAAGGGGACCCTGTCTTCCAGCTACTCGAAGACAAATTGGCTTCCAAACCGCTGATAACAGTGCCTTCGATCACTTTGGACGGCCTGCAGGACCCGCTGAAGCCAGGTGGCACTGCAGCACACTCTAAGATGTTCTCCGGCCGGCACGAGAGGAGAGAGGCTGATGTTGGCCACGCATTTCCTATGGAAGCACCACAAGCTTTCGCCGATGCTATTCTGTCGATTCACGAATGGAACACGCGCTTATGATTCGCGGGATGCATGATGAGAGAGAATGCTATTTTTTGCGCAAACCTAAGTCTTCTGTATTTAGAGGGGTAAGGAATGGCAATATTGCTGTTTAATGAATGTCTGCTCACTGATTATCAATAAACCAAGCGCAGACGCGTAACTTGGAGACTAGTTGGCACGGATCTGGACTGTGAATTAATTGTACCTTGAATTTGACGCCTAATTTCTATCTCCCTCTTTCTCTACCAACGCCATAAGTCTCAAGCTCATATTCATAACCTCTATATTACATCTAAACCAAAGGTCCCTGGCCGTCACGGAATATCTCATCCCACCAAAGCTCATTTGGCGCGCCACAGATTGCATCAAACTCAACTTCCTCCATACGCTCGAAGACAGAGCTCTTCATCCATCGCGGCTTTTTCCCCAACGTCTCAGCATCTAGCGGTCGGTAGGTGATGGGACCGTTCTCAGTCTGTACCGTGGCCAACACAGCCGGCTCACCTGGCATCAAGCGACGTTGAAGGAGCTGCCGCAGGTGCTTGAAAAACCATGGCATGTGCCACCAGTCCCAGCGCCGTGCCTTTTGCCCCTCGGCTATGCCATTGTGGTGCAGTATGACGGGCACAGATTCTGTGAAGAAGTCGGCGTATAGTGGCATCTCTCCCCAGTCCGGTTTATCAACGAGGCCTTCCAGTGGGTTTCGCGCGGTCCGGATATCGTCCGGCACACCTTGTAGTCGCACAGGCTGTATGCCCAGATCTTGGGAATATTCGTCGATGGCGGTTTGGTTGTTCAATGTAAGAATCCTTCCATCATCCTTCCCATTCTGCGTTTGCACAGTAATGACTTGATAGTAATCCAGCCCAATGTGGTATTCGAAGTCCCGTTCAACCAGAGCCAGGGCCGCACTCATAGGTGCAGGATTTTCTCTTCGCCACTGTCGCCAGACTTCTTGCTCGCCAAACACTTGACCGGTAATGCCCTGCTCGCTCATTATATGCATGCCCTTATCAATCTTTTCCATCATTGTGCCTGTACCACGGCGGAACAAACGTCTCATGTCGCCTGCCTCCCCCATGTAAACACCTCCATTGATGTACCGAGGCCGTAGGTCATGGCTAATTGTCTGGTTTTTATCAGTCTCTGGGCCATAGAGGTCTTCCCTGATCGGGCTATCAGGAAGGTAAGGGCACTGTAGATTGTTGCCATCAATCCAAGGCCTAGGCCAGCAGTTTTTCTCACTCCCAGCCACAACGGTCTGATACATGGGCACAGGTCCTGGTCCCTGCCACTGCTCACGCAGTCTGGCATTTGCGTTTTCGTTGATATTGTGATACCGCTGTAATAGAACCTCTGGGGGTAGCTGGAACCACACATCAAAGGCGTCAACGATAAGCACAATATCATCATCCTCCAACTTCTCACTGGGATGTGCATCAGCACGCAGGACCGAGTCAAGATACCCCAGTACAGCAGGGACCTTGATGATGTTTTGGCCACCATCCCATTTTGTTAGGGTGCGGTGATCCATCCCCCATCCGACCAAGATGGGGGCCGGATAGCCAAGAGCCATAGCGGTGAACATGACCTTGCAGAGGTCCACGCTTGGTGATGTGGCGGGCACGATGACGACGAAACGTCGGTCGTTGCGCAGCGGCCGCGGAGGGTCCTCTGGCATGGGCCAGCCGCTGACATCCCACTGCTTAGGTGGTGGAATAGCTGGCTTCGACTCGCCTTCCGGGATAGGAGTGCTTTCCGGAATGACAGGGCTTTCGTCGACTGGAGGGTTTTCTGAAGCATCAGGTCTCTCCGAAAGAGGTGAGCTTCCAGGAGCATCAGAGCCATCATGAGCAAGAGAGCCAGTGGGAATGACAGAAGGTGGAGTGAGCTGATACCGGGTTAGAGACGAGCCTGGATTCGCGCATGATGACTACTAACCCGTGCAAAGGTAAACCAGAGGCCGATGGAAATAGAAGCAGCCACGAGGACTGCAAGGAGTTTGAGAATTTTCTGAAGGCCAGGGAAATTTACTCCATTTTGAAGCCCGACCTTGCCCGAGGCTGGGTTACCCGTGTCCCAGGACATCTCAGTCGCGATGCGCTTGGGGACGTCGCTATCCGGGCGCTTTTCCAGTTTGCGTCGTAGGTAAGAGAGAATTTTGGTTGAAATGATGCTTAATTGAGAGATCGGAGTGAACAGCCGTAGGTTAGAGAAGGGTCGGACAATGATCTAGGTCGTAAGGTTGGGTGACGGACTCCGTAGCCTCCAGCCAACACACGCTAGAACTCCTGGGGAATGTAGCCCGGGGACCTAATTTCAAAGTGGAGGTTATGTGGTTCAGGTGCAGCTTGCGAGCCATGTGCCCCTGGATGGTATCACCATCTTATTGGACAACTTGGTGCTGTAGCTTTATTTTAGTGATATCTGTCAAGGAAAAGGTGGCAAGCTAAGAAGAAAAGGGAGAGCATTCCAGGAATAGTGATGGACTATTGAAAGCCACATTGATAGCTCGCCCCACTTGAACCCCGGCAGAAGTAACTGTACATGGAATGACTTCAATAGCTGATAGTATCCATGGGGGGACAATGTAGATCTGTGTAGCTGGAAGTTGCAGGGGCTCCCATCCTAGACCAAAAATGGCTCTTCGTCCAATTTTGTTCTCCCTTGTGCTGAAGTGGCAGGATGCCAGGATGAAAGTCAAGATAGATTGCTGCAGTACAGTGTGTTTTTGGCCCAAGGACAGATTACGGCAACAGTTTTATGCCGACCCGAATCGCTCGAACCCCTAAGCACATATGCGACCATGATGGCGGGCGAATTCAAGGTTTCTCGGAATTCCTGGCAGAGATCACTCCGAAGCGATTCAATGTATGGTACACATTTTGTCGTTAGGCTCCATAGCATGAACTTTGAGACTCACAGACGTCGCCCACATAATTTGAAACTGGGCCATCAAGCGCTTCAAATCTATCAACGCCCTAATCCCTAGATATCGGTGGTGGCCTACAGGGACGCCAATATTCGTTAAATATTTCGGCTCTTTGCTCGAATTCATTAGAGCGAACCCATTGGACAAGGCCTCAGCTTTTAGCCCCAAAATTGTGGCGTCTGTCAAGAACCACCAACCTAGGGGCATTGAGACCCTGCGAAAGCTAGTCCAGGCTATTTGTCTTCGACGAACAAAGGGTCTTATCGCCGACGAGCTAAAACTGCCAGCGTATCATGAGCAGATTTGCGAGGTAGCGTTCACTGACGAAGAGCGTCGACTGTGCGATGTTTTCAAGAAAAGCTACGCTGCTGTCCTTGACGATGAGAAGGCAACTGTCACGATGAGCGATGCAAGCCATCCTTTCTGCGGTGTATCCGTTTCACAAAATACCAGACAGGACTGGCATTCGACTCTAGATTGCAGACACGCTAATATTCACCATGCCATGCAACATAGGCCAGAAGAGAAAAGAGCTGGCAGATCCCGCGTCTTGTCTGTGAGAAGGATACCGACAGAAACCCATCACGCGTGAGTCTGGGCAGATCGACAATACCATATCAAGCGTCATCCAAATGTGAACTGGCGGGTTTCTTCGTCACCGAACTCACTGAGTGTCTCGGATCTTCCCGCGTTGAGAAAATGAGCTAGACGTCGGAATGAGCCCAGTTCCGAAGCAGGATAATGCCATCACTCGACCCGAGCTAGACACTGGAAAAGATCTGTTCGGTAGACCGGTTATTCGGAAATGTCTCGGCTGGCGGTTCAGGGGCTCAAGGGTTAATCATGCTACATAGCCACAAAAGTTACAGTAATTACCGCCTTAGCAGGAGACTTAGCTACAGATTTACTTGTATCAATCGTTGAATTGCGAGGCTTGGGCTGCAAGGGTCTCAGTCTCGGCGCGACTTGGCATTCTTACTAATGGCCAACATGACGCGCAATCAGGGTCGGATCAAGCCTCAAAGTGCGTAACCAGTCAAGGTCCTAGTCATTTGTCAGCCTCAGCAGCATCTTCAGATGACTTTTGTAAGCTGGCTTCGGAATGACATCTGATTGGCCAAACACTCCGGAACGTCCAAGGAGCGTTGGACCTTTCGGCATAGAGGTGGGATGGCAAATCAACCCTATCAATGAAATGAGGTCGGAACAGGAAGAAGTATCTTACTACGTTTATGCTAACCGGGCATCTCGAGCTTCAGCCGTGCCTTCGCCATGAGATGGGTGATATACGTTACCAAAAATGTGAACGTGCAACATCGGGAGTGTCAGTTAGTCAACTGGAATGGAAAGCTTTGATGAGGTCAATCACGGAATACCCATACAATCAAAATCTCAATCTCAGTATGAACGAATGAATATTTACGATTCACAAAACTTCTACAAACAATGCTAGGAACTAAATAACCTCGAGCTCAACAGACCACAGCCACACATCATCCACACCTCCTGATGAACTCTTGTCAATCTCCTGTCCATGTAGAAGGGTAAATCAGCTGCCGTCAGCCGTCAAAGTAACCCCCAAAGCCTGGCAGACCGGCGGCGACAGCTTTTCCCCTTCCAAATGAGAAGCAATCCAGACCAAAATACGAAGAGACAAAGGGCACCCATGATGATGAACGTATCCCTTAGGCCGTTGTTGTTGATCCAAGGCTCCGTAGCGAAGATCATGGCACACGCAATGATGTTGCGCACCGTAATCATGGCAGTGGATGCCTCTCCAGCCTTGTGCGAGTAGCATTCGGTGACATAACCCAGTGATACTTCTCCCGCAATTGGGATTCCTGCTCCAATGAGCCCCATTCCGACGACTGGCACAATCCATGGCAGCCCGGAAGAAGCTCCGACTCCGTAGAGAACAAGCCCAGCGCCCATAATGGGTCCCGCCACCAACGCGGAGTAGATGCGTGATTCCGGTTCCATGACGCCATTGTTTTGGCGGGCCTGCCAGATCATGAAACGATCCGTTCCAGCTCCTCCTACGTAAAAGAGGACCATGCTGCCGACGAGGGGCGACAGACTCGTGAGACCGACAGCAGTGTAACTGAAGTGGTAACCATATAGAGGGCTCTGGAAGACAGTGTTGGAGGTGAAGGCCATAATAGCGAGCCACGAAATGCCGAATCCGTAGATGCAGGCTGACCAGAGGATGATGGGCTCGACGAGAAGCTTAATTGGCTGGATGATAGTGATGCCAAGTGATTGAGGGAGCTTGAGATTGGATATCAGTCCCAGTTTATCACGGTAGCTCTTAGCCTGGAGTGGTGGCCCAGAACCCCGGCGCGTGTTATCATCTCGGTTGTACCCAGTTTCCTCTAAAAGGAAGAATGCCAGAATCGAGACGAGCGCCATTGCGATGGCAAAGATCCAGTATACCCATCGCCAGCCAACTCCATCGACGATGAAGCCCGTGGCAAGAGGCCCAAGGAAGGATCTATCGCAGAAGACATTAGCAAGGAGCCAACAAGCAATAGTGACCAAGCGAAGAATATGAGCTGATAGCTCGCAACCCGCATCGGGAAAAACATTGTAGAGAATAAAGCCCGCAGTGTCACTCACCCAAGAGTAGCCGCAAGGACATACATCGACAAGGCAAAGCCTCGCTGATGGACAAAGAACTGATCATTTACAGTCACGGCGGGAAGCTGCTCAAATGGCGCGGCAACGAAGCCCATCAATATTCGAGAGCCGACAAAGACGTCGCTTCTCTGCGCAGTAGCGGCAACGATTTGAGCGACGCCGGTCAAGAGACAAGAGAGTATATAGACCGGTCGGCGACCATAGCGAAGTGCCTGGTCCTGTCAGAAGTTGTCTTTCCAAGACGCGCGGTGATTCAGCTTTGACTAGCAGAAGAACTTACCATGGGATTCCAGATAATATTGCCCATTCCGATAAATAGTATAGAGACGGCGCTTCCAACATTCAAGTATGATGCCGTGGTGTGAAACTCAGCGATAAGTGCACCATAGGTGACAGCAGTAGACAATGACACCACGGCAACCATAAAGGAATAGAGGTTTACCACGAAGAAGGAGCGGAACTTGCGCAGAGTACTCCAGTTGAGGGGATCATCAGGGTCGCTGGATGGTTCAGGTGACAAGATAATGTCGAGAGACTGCCTGTCTCTGCTCTGGCCAAGCAAGAGTCTGGTTCCGGGTACCATGTCGATGACTTCTGACGAAGTTCCTACCTCAACGTCGGTAGGTGATTGCTTATCTGGCAGATTCGCCATCTTCACCAGGGCTTCCGAGTTAGAGGTCATAGTTGACGCGGTGGGAGTTGGCTTTTACTATGTACTGGAGGCGAAAGATTGTTTTCCGGGCTCGCAAATGCTAACTGGGATGAAGGGAGCTGGCTCTTATATGACACCTAGATCAGTTACCCTATTATACGTAGATACAGCTACCACCAGTGCGTGATGACGATCGGTATGACCCTTTCCGAGTTTCCGAAATTCCCTTCTCTCACGTCTAAGTGCCATGGTTATAGAGAGGAATGACAAGAGAGCGACGACAAGAGAGCTCCGGTCTAAGACTCGGTTCCGGGCGCCATCTTCGGAGGATCCCGAAAAGCTGGCACTCTCATTCGTCCCTAGACTCGGAACCCCGCGTTTAATGATGGGACAATTTGCCGAGCACTACGGTTTCCAATATAACTGGCTTGTTCTCCTTAAGGTTCGCGCGCGCGCGAACAGGGTTAAGTTACAAACTAGCTACCCCAGTCTAGAATAGGAATCGAAACTACAAATGTGCTGAATCAGCTTCAGCAGGGGTTTGTCAGCTCGGAAACCATCTGAGGCCCTCGGAATCAAGTATCAACTGCTTGGACGTTGGCCGATAAAAGATCCAACAGTGCATTTGCAGTCGCCTTCCCAAGTCGTTACATTTTCCCCGTAACGCAACTCCAGTCCCAGACTCTATTATATTCAAAGGCCAATCCAAAATCCTTACTTTTTTTTCCACGTCACTCTGTATCAAAACATCCAATGTCTGCTCCATTCAACTGGCAGGATATAGTGGCAGCCAAGCGGGAGCATCGCGCCTCGCTCATCCCGCAGCATTGGCAGATCAAGGTTCACGACCAAGTGGCAGAATACAATCCTCTCAAAACGTTACTAGAGAGCGGCGTGTTGACACCGGAGGAACTCGACTTGACCAACACAAGCAAACATGATGCTGTTGGAACTCTCAGCCTGATCGCTGCTGGAAGCGTAAGCGCCGAGAACCTCGTCACTTCGTTCTGCAAGCGAGCTGCTGCGGCGGACAGTTTGACCAATTTCATCACCGAGGTCAACTTTGAGAGAGCCATTCTGCGTGCAAAGGAGCTTGATAAGCACCTGAAAGAGACTGGCAACGTCGTCGGACCGTTGCATGGTCTACCCATCACCGTCAAAGACCATATGGATGTCGAGGGACACGATTCATCTGCCGGCATTGCGGCCTTCTGTTTCGACCCTGCAAAGTCCAACTCGTACCTTGTACAGATCCTCATTGATTCTGGCGCTGTCGTCGTTGCCAAAACCAACGTCCCCCAAACCTGTCTCGCCGCAGACACCATCAACGTAGTGTTTGGGAGAACTCTGAATGCACACAAGAGCGGCTTCGGGGCCGGTGGCTCGTCTGGCGGTGAAGGTACTGCTCTCGCCATGGGTGCATCTCTCTTCGGACTGGGCTCCGACGGCGCTGGGTCTGCTAGAATGCCCGCGATGGCGAATGGCGTCGTCGGTTACCGACCCAGCGGCTATCGTCTCCCCGCCGATGGCAGATCCATTCTGGACCCTGGCATCATAGGCATCACACAGTTGGGCCCCGTGGCAACATTTGGCTTTATGGGTCACTCAGTTAGAGATATTCGACTGATAACGAAGCTGGTCAGTGATTTCAAGCCATGGGAGAAGGACCCCTTTTTGTATCCGTCTCCCTGGTTGAGCATCACGGCGCCAGCAAGGCCTCGTATTGGAGTTTGGGCCCTGGATATAACTAACAATTTTTGTCATCTTTTTCCTCCTGTGAGGCGAGGCTTTCTAGCAGCTCAGGAGCGTCTGCGGCTGGCTGGATATGAGTTGGTCGAGTTTACACCGCCAGACATGTCCGAGGTCTGGAATCTCTGCAAGGCATTTATCCATGTCCAGGGAATCTCTACATTGACCAAGGAAATTTCAAAGGAGCCGACCATGGACATTGTGGAAAAGACGGGTATTCTGGGGTCCCGATGGTCCAAGGGATTGAAGATTGAGGACGTTCACGAGCTAAACCAGAAGCTTGCGCTCCTCAACATCCAGATGAAGCAAGCATGGAACGCGAGTGGTAGTCCGCTCGATGCTCTCCTTTGGGTGACAAGCCCCAACCCGGCTCTTCCCATTGACGAGTGGACAGATACTACCTTTACAACTGTTTTCAACGCGGTTGACTGGCCGGCCATCTCCCTGCCTTTAGGCATGAAGTGCGACAAAGAGGTTGATGTCCCGTACAAAGACTTCCAACCCTTTAGCACTGAAGATGCTCGACTCCAGGCTCTGTATGAACCTCATAGGTTCCATGGACTTCCACTGTCGGTACAGCTGGCAGGCCAAAAGTTTGAAGATGAGAAGCTTCTTACTATTGCGGAATGTATCCATCCCATTATGGGAAATATTCAGTAGCTACACTAGTTCGCCCATCGGGCTGATTTCTATTCTATCATTCGTGGCTCTGTTAGATGCATTGCTGAATGGAGATAACAAGTATATGCTGATTGCTATCAAATTCTTCTCTATAATCTTATCTCTCTTACCTATCTCAAAGGTCTATTTCTTACCAGGCTCAAATTATACGCACTGTCAGCACCTGCTACTAGACGACACTAACTCGTGGTTAAGTATGCATGTAGCTACAACTATCGGAACTCTAACCATCAGTCTGGTTTTTTATGCTTTATTTGCTCTAAGAATATTCACTCAAGTATTTAAACCTTACTATTTATTGAGTGCTATAAATTCTGAATCTATTTAGGTGCCCAAATTAGATACTAAATAAGAAAATAATAATACTATATATATATGCAATGAAAAGTGCCCATAACTAATTAAAATAATACATAAGCTCGGAATCTAAAGAGATTAAGTCGCTCATCGGGAAACTCATCACCTGCCTATCATCCATACCTTCAGCTCCGTGTAACTTCTTAAACAACTTCTCCAGCATATCTACCGCCTTCCTTGCTTCACTCGAACGATCCACCTGCGTCACCCATATCTCACGCGCTTTCGAGAGAGCCAGCTCAATTTCGATGCAACGTTCGTCATCCTCGCCCTGGATGCCAACGGGTAGGGAACTTGCCTTGCGGTACAGGTAAGTACAGAGGACAGTAGTGGCCATCAGAAACTCGTGCGCGACGACAGACGATAAAATCCACCTCACCGGAACCAGGCTGGCATCTGGTTGCGTTTCCGCGTAAAGAATGCTGTGGTACTCAAGCAACTTCATTGCGGCCTCGAGACACGCATCGACGGACTTAGCACATGTAGAGCTTTCCCATTCACTGAGCTCGGTTGTTGGGTTGCTGGTCATGGCACCTTCGAACGCCTGGACATGTTGCCGATATAGCGGTAATCTTCCCTTTTGCAATAGAATCGCGAGACTTAGACGATGAGCTATGTCGTGCGCGGTGTTGGAGAGGCAATCGGACAGATTATCGAATTTGAGGCCAGCAGAGAAACTATCATATGTTTGTTGCAATAACCCCCCTAAATGGTTGCTTTTTGTGTAGAAGGAGCCGTCTTTGTCGGCAATTGAGAGGTTTGTATCCCAAACTGCGGCGATGATTGAGACGAGCTTGTGCCTGCTTTGTAAAAAGAGCATAGGGGCTACCTCAGTTTCAGGCCGTGACGGTGGGAGTGATTCAACATCCTCATCGAAGTCATCGTCGTAGAGATTTCGAGGAGACTCCGTATCCCACTGGCCGTCTTTTATCATTCGTGGCATCCCCATCTGAATGGAAGAAATGGTATCGATTACGTACAAGAAGCACCAGACACGTCTTCGTATCTCGCATTGGAAGGCCGTGATGCCGGGAAACCGGGATGGTTCGCGATGGTAGCCCATTCGAAGAGCCAGACGAATGATTATTCCCGACAGCATCCATTTGCCCACTTCGGCATCAGGTTGCCTGACAAACTCGATGGCTAAATAGTGCATGAGCGCTTCAATGACGTCGGGGCCGCCTCGACTGTAATCGCCAAGCACAAGACACTGGACAGTCTGTTGAAGGAATTTTGGCTGCGGCGATTGGCACTGCATGGCATCATGCTCAGGAGCGGCAGCTGTTTGTGCACCTGAGCTAGACAGCGTCCTCAGGCATAAGATGCTGTAGAGAATGGCAAGCCATGGGAGGGAGACGGCAGATGGGTTTGCCCAGAACGTTTCATACTAGAGTAATTTCTGTCAGCTACAACACGTCAAAGACTGGATCCAAAGCCATGCTAGGTAGCTTGTAACCGAAAGCAAAACAATCCAAGGCATGGAAACGAGGCGTAATATTTGAGTAACCAACTGATTGATTGACATACTCTTCTAAGGAATGACTGTTTATGCACACGTACTTGACGGTATTTGTGAGAAAGGTGCACATTAGCGGGATGCGAATTCCGGGTACTCACCAGGTAGGTGCATGTTGAAGTATCGAAAAACCAGGATATCTACCAAATTTCGCTCCGGCATTGACGCCAGGATTTGCTGTTTTGATATCGACTCGTGACAACCGGCAAAGAGCAAGGGTCCCTTGGAAGGCTGTTGTATTGTAGGCATATTGTTATGTTCGTTGAGACAGCTCCTCAGCTCAGCGATGCCATCCAATATGGCCGACCAGTGGGAACCGTGGACGTGGATGGGGCCATTCGAGTCGAATAACATGCTGCCAGAGTCTGATAGGGCGCTCTGAGGCTGGGATGGAGGGTCCGAGATGCCGTATCGAAGTTGGAAGCCTTGTTCTCGAACAGGTTCTGTTCGGGATTGACGGATCTCATACGTTGAGCCTGGCTCTTGCTGGTCCTCTGGTTGCACGAGACTTGTCAAGAGATTTTCGAGTTTGTTTAATCTCTGTACAAGGCTGGACGAGGCCGACGTAGGAGGCCTGGGCGGGTGAACCGGCGTGTTTGGTGAATAGGCGCAGGTGGATGAGTGGCCACGGGTCTGGCAATTCCCACAAGGCCTTTGGCGGTCACACTTCTGTCTATCAAGCAAATCAGTCAGCTTCTTTTGCAAACAGCCAAAGAACAAGGCCGAGGTACTTCATTTTCTTGCAGAAGTTGCAGGAGAGCTGAACCTTGTCTCTCCGTCGACTACTGGGGATCCCTCGCGGCCCCGGCTTCGGGCTCAGTTCCTTCATCGGAGCTGTCCGTGACAGGAGTGTGAGTGATGAAGCGAAGCAAATGAATGGCGACCGTCATATGTAGCTTCCAAGTTTTAATTGCATTTTGCCAGGTTCTGTCCATGGACTAAGTGTTAGTCGGATGGATCCTCTCGGGTCTCTTTAATCCCCGGCCGCCGACCCTCCGATCCTCCGATGCCGATGCCCCACTTCTCCCTGATCTGGAGCCGGAGGCCGTGACTGGATAATATCGGATCATGCCCGGTTTTTGGAGACCACTACCGTAATAAAGACGCGGAATATCGGACGAATATAGCCCGGTAGTGCCGAATTTCGGGACATGTTTGAAGTCCGGGAGTTGTTTGATCTAGGTACTTTTGGCCCAGGCTACTTAAACGAAGTCCCTCGCCACTCACCAACCTGGCCGATACCCGCCACTCTTCACCCTTCCTCTTCCCTTCATTCTACAGTTGCAGACATGGCCGACTCCGCCAGTACAGACAACACAGCAAGGGACTCGGAAGTCCTCGACCACAGAGAACTTCAACAACTGGCTCGCATTGCAACCGATTTGCAAGCAAGGCGGATTTCCACTCAGCCCTGTGACCATGGCGAACTCGACCCTCGTCTTGACCCGACCAGCCCAGACTTTGACCACTACCGATGGGCCGAGACGATGCTCGAATCGATGACTGAAGCTGGCATCGCGCCTCAGACACAAACCGCTTGCTTCGCCAACCTCAGCGTCAGTGGCTCGGGCTCTTCTCTCCAGATCCAGCAGACGGTCTTGTCTGGTATCATGACTCCTTTTCAGAAAAAGCCTTCAACATGGTCCGTGGATGCCGACCAATCGCTAGACGACGGATTCTCAACAGCTTCGATGGAATACTACAGAACGGAGAATTGCTGCTGGTCCTCGGCCGGCCCGGAAGCGGCTGCTCGACGTTTCTGAAGACTCTTTCGGGACACCTCGACGGTGTACGGATGGAGCCCGAGAGCCTTATCCGTTACAACGGGGTCAGCTTTGAGGACATGGTCAAGCACTATCGTGGCGATGTTGCGTACAACCAAGAGGTGGGTGAGCATTTCCCTCACTTGACCGTGGGGGAGACTCTTTCGTTCGCCGCTTCAGCTCGTGTTCCCCAGCAACGACCCAATGGCGTGTCCAGAAACGACTACGTCGATGTTGTCGTCAAGGTTGTCATGGCTGTCTTTGGGCTGACCCATACATACAACACCAAAGTCGGTGACAACTTCATCAGGGGCGTGAGTGGTGGCGAGCGGAAGCGGGTTAGCATTGCCGAGATGTTTCTCTCCCGTGCACGCATCGGGGCCTGGGACAACAGTGCCCGTGGACTTGATGCCGCATCTGCTCTCCAGTTTACAGAGGCACTACGACGCTCAGCGGACCTGGGGAAGGCATGCCATGCCGTGGCAGCCTATCAGTCTTCTCAGTCAATGTACGACCTTTTCGACAAGGTCATTGTCCTCTACGAAGGCCGCGAAATCTTCTTTGGGTCGTGTGCCCGGGCTGTCGAGTTCTTCCTGGAGATGGGATGGGAGAAGGATCCCCAGCAAGTCGTGCCGGATTTCTTGACAGCCATCACCAATCCAGGAGAACGACGAGCCCGCCTGGACATGAGGGAGAAGGTGCCCCGATCGCCAAAGGAGTTTGAGCAGTACTGGAGGGAGATTCGTGACTACCAGCAGCTCAAGACGCAGATTGAGACCTTCCAGCAAGAGCATCCTCTTGACCAACATCAAGCAAAGGACATTCGAGACAGCCATGTAAAGCAGCAGGCCAGGCATACCAGGTCCGCCAGTCCCTACCTTCTCTCCATTCCCATGCAGATTCGGCTTTGCCTTCGAAGGGCTTATCAGCGTATGCGGAATGACCTTCCCACTGTGCTCTCCACGGTCATTGTCCAGATTGTGCTGTCCCTCATCATAGGCTCAATATTCTACAACTCGCCCAACAGCAGCAGTGCTTTCTTCCAAAAGGGTGCCGTCATCTTCTTTGCTGTCCTCATGAACGCGTTGATCACAATGAACGAAATCATGCAGCTCTACAGCCAGCGGAGGATCGTCGAGAAACAGGAGAGGTATGCCTTTGTCCATCCTTTCGCGGAGGCCCTGGCAAGCTCTGTGAGCGACTTGCCAGTCAAGATCCTCAGATGCTCAATCTTCAGTGTCATTCTTTACTTTATGACGAACCTGCGTCGAGAAGCATCGGCATTCTTCGTCTTCTATCTCTTTCTCCTGACTGCTGTTTTAACAATGTCTGGAATCTTCCGCAGCCTGGCCGCTTGCACCAAGACCATTGGCCAAGCTATGAGTTTGGCGGGAATCATGGTCCTCTGCATCGTTGTATATACCGGCTTTACACTCCCGCAGGCATACATGCGGTCGTGGTTTGCGTGGATACGATGGGTGAATCCCATTTTCTACGCCTTCGAGGCTCTGATCAGCAACGAATTTCACGGACGAGACTTCCCGTGTGATGCATTGATCCCTTCATACGGAGTCGGCAACTCAGTCATATGTTCGGCCGTCGGTTCGCTGCCAGGCGAGCTTCACGTCTTCGGCGACAACTTCATCAAGGCAAACTACGATTACCATTATTCCCATCTTTGGCGAAACTACGGGATCCTGGTGTCTTTCTTGGTGCTGTTCCATTTCATCTACTTCTTTGCGTCAGAGCACGTCAAGACCCATGGATCAAAGGCCGAAGCCTTGGTCTTTCTACCTGGCCATGCTCGGCAGTATCTAAAGGAGAACGACATCGAGGCTCTGCCGAGGACTCGGACTGTCGAGTTTTCAGCTGGCAACACGATAATGAATCTGCCCAAGCAGAGGGATATTCTCATGTGGAGAAACTTGATCTACGATATTCCTGTATCAGAAGGCACAAGACGCCTGCTGGATGACGTGAACGGATGGGTTCGTCCCGGTACTCTGACGGCACTGATGGGTGTCTCAGGGGCAGGCAAAATTACACTGCTTGACGTCTTGGCCCAGCGAGTCTCAATTGGTGTGGTCACGGGCGACATCTCAGTCAACGGCCAATCTCTAGCTGCTAGCGTCCCTAGAAGAACTGGATACGTACAGCAACAGGATCTACACCTGGAAACAACTACAGTACGTGAGGCGCTTCGTTTCAGTGCCATATTACGCCAGCCGCAGTCTGTGCCAGATCAGGAGAAATACGAATACGTGGAGAAAGTCATCGAGATGCTTGGAATGGAAGATTTCGCCGATGCAGTAGTGGGTAACCCTGGAGAGGGTCTCAATGTTGAGCAGAGGAAGCTACTCGGCATTGGCGTAGAGCTTGTTGCAAAGCCTACGTTGCTCATCTTCCTCGATGAACCGACCAGTGGACTCGATTCCCAGAGCTCATGGACGATTTGCTCGTTTCTCCGGAAGCTGGCAGATAATGGCCAAGCAATCCTGACAACGATTCATCAGCCCAGTGCGCTCCTATTCCAGATATTCGATCGGCTTCTCTTCCTGGCCCAAGGCGGCAAGACTGTCTATTTTGGGGACATTGGGTCTCATTCGCATATTCTTTTGGACTATTTTTCGAGAAATGGAGCTCGGAAACTAAAAGCTCTGGAGAGTCCTCCCGAGTACATCCTCGACATAGTCTCTAGATCAGGTGCCCCTAATGTCAACTGGGTTGACCAATGGAACAACAGTCAAGAGAAGAGAGAGGTTCTCGAGGAGCTGGAAAGGCTCAACAAAGTCACCGTTTCCTCTGCAAACAAGTCTAGTGAAGCAGACTTTGACAGAGAGTTTGCTCTTCCCATCCACCGACAATTTCGACATGTGGCTGTCCGGGCTTTCCAGCAGTACTTCCGGCAGCCAGAATACATCTACTCCAAATTCGTTCTCGGTATTATCTCTGGCTTATTCATCGGGTTTTCCTTCTGGAAGGCCGACAGTTCTCAGCAGGGATTCCAAAACGCTCTCTTTAGCATTTTCCTTCTTTGCACTATTTTCTCGACCCTGGTTAACCAGGTCATGCCAAAGTTTGTAAGGCAGCGCTCTCTCTTCGAGGTCCAAGAGCGACCATCCCGGGTTTACTCGTGGAAGGTCTTTATCCTGTCTCAGATCCTGGTCGAATTCCCATGGCAGGTTCTCTTAGGAATCTGCGCCTGGGCATCCTTCTATTATACCGTCTTCGGCACCAGCACAATCTCCCAAAGCCAAGGGCTCGTTCTGCTCTTCATTGTGCAGTTCTACATCTACGCTGCCAGTATGGCTCAAATGGCTGTTGCAACGGTCTCTGACCCAGCAATAGCAGCCATGTTTGCCATTCTAATGTTCGGTCTGTCCTTTAACTTCAACGGCGTGATGCAGCCCCCAGATGCATTGCCCGGGTTTTGGATCTTCATGTGGCGCGTGTCTCCCTTTACCTACTATATCGGTGGTATCGGAAGTACTGCTCTTCGCGGACGAGAAGTAAAATATTCCAATGAAGAACTGAGTGTCATCGACCCTCCGCTTGGACAGACATGCGGCCAGTACTTTTCCAAGTATCTTGAAGCGGCGGCTGGCCGACTCTACAACTCAGAAGCTACGACAGGGTGCGAATACTGTTCTATATCATCGGCAGACCAATATCTCGCTGCCCGGAAGATCTTTTGGGACGAGCGCTGGCGCAATTATGGTATCTTCTGGTGTTACTTCATTTTTAACACCTTTGCAACCGTCGCTTTGTACTACTTGTTTAGAGTACGAACTTGGGGGTCCAAGAAGGGGAGGCTGTAAGTTGGCTCAAACAGGTTATAACGTGTCTCGCCCTATAGGCTGTACTGTTGAGAAACATCATCCTTGTATAATTTACTTCTTATAGAAGTTTCTCTTTCTTTTTTATTATCGATTAGATATTAGCTTTCTAAGCTGTATTTTAAAGAGCCATTTTTAGATTCCTAAGTTATATTTAGCTTCTTAAGCTATATAAATTCTTATATTAATAGAAACAGTTCTTCTTTAATATAAAACTACTTTTAAAGATTATAAATTAACAAAATTTTGTATTATATAATCTGAGTAATTAAAAAATACCTCTTTTAATATATTACTCACACTCATTCGCCCGTCGGGCTGTTTGTATTTACTCCATCATTCATGACTCTGTAGGATGCATTGTTGAATTGAGATAATAAGTCTGTGTTGATTGTCGTAATTTGTTTGGGGGATTCAGAATCCGCCTAGTTTATCTAGAGAATTAAATCTGTATTGGCACTTCTGGAGCCTTCAGTCCTTTATATTAAACTAAATTATATCCGACTTTAAAGTCCCATCCGGTTCAATTTCACATATTACTGCATTTTCTATAGAGTGTCACCTCGATATGAAGTCGTCAAATTATACATTCAACACAGGGACTTTTGCAACCTTTATACTCTTCTCAAAATTTTAAATATTGCTCGAGCCTCTGGTTTTGTCTTGCATATCTCCCATTCAGTCATCACTTTCAGCATGAAGCCTCTACCATCCCTTATTAAGCCTTCTTCATTTATTCTTCTCTGCAACCACCAGGTATTGGGTCATAATAATCCCACTATCCAAACACTTACACCCTGTAAGGTTTAGCTTAGCAGGGCTTCTGTCAAACTCCTCAATCATCCTGATACCATCCCCCAGTATAACAGGCATGACGGCCGCTTCGATAGAATTAAGCAAGCCAGCCTCCAGGCATTGTGTCGCCAGCGTGCCGCCTCCCATAAGCCAAATATCCTTTCCATTGCCAGACTTTAAGTCTCGGATGAAGTCGACAATGTTCTCTGATATAACGGTAATATTGGGGAAATCCTCTGGTCGCATAGTTCGGCTTGCCACAATAACAGCGTTTTTAGGTCGTTTGAACAGAGGATTCTCACTCGGGGCCCCAAGAGCGACCATAACCTCGTACGTCTTGCGACCCATGACGAAGAAGTCAAACTCCCTATATAGAGCTTCAAAGTCAATGCTAGAGTCCTCGACAATCCAATCGGTCGAGCCATTTGAAGAGGCAATGTACCCGTCCAGGGTTGTCGCGACGTTGTAGCGAAGTTGTGGCATGGTGACTGAGGTGATGGTCAACTTGTGAGGTTTTTTTATTTCAGGCAGAAGCATGAACAAGACAACTAGGTGCGGGGTTGACAAGGCAGCAGCCAGTGCCAAGCCGTTCTAAAATGTTGCTCGTTCAAATATCTGGCCGATCTTACTTGACTCCCAGGTTCAAATATCACGCACTCAAGATGTTCGGTACTTTTATTATCTTGAGTACTAAGAAAAATATTATAAATCTCAATAGCTACTCTAAACAAATGGTCTCAAGTGACTCAACTGAAGCTACAGCCTCAAGACCCTCTCCATCCATGGCACCATCAATATAGCATTCTCCAACAAGAGCATACGTCCCGGAACCCGTTGATCGTATAACAAACGGCACCTCACCGCCGAGTAGGACACAAATAGAGTCTCCTGGTTGCGAAGTAGGCGGCAACAGTCCAAAACGGCCATTTTTGGTGACGCAGAATTTCGTCGTCGTCGTAAGGCGCCCGATACTCTCGTATGTTGTTGCTAACTCGCTCGGTAGGATTTCCGAGTCTTTTGTCATCTCGCCATCATGGTTTGCTGCACGGTCGATTGCCCATGCCATGTAGCGTGGAAACGTGCCTATCATCTTTGGAGACAGACGATTGCGCATGGCATCCATGCCACACATCATTGTGCGGGAGAATCTCACTGTCGCGTCGACATCGCGAGCGGCAAGCTCATGAACGTCATAGTTACTGCCAAATGCGACACGATAGCAGCCCTCAAGCCACCGGGCGAAGCGCATCTTCCTCCGCTTCGGGAACGGATCCGACACTGTCTTCGATGAGAACCGCAACTCGGGCATGTCAGCCAGCATCATTTGGAACAGTGACGCGGACATGGCGCCGACGGTATCGATGACCACACCCTTGCAGCTTAGAAGGCGTTGATCTTCTGAGACGCTCAGTATCGGCTTGGCGTATCCGCCCGCAGAGAAGGCTTGCGGTCGAACTGTATAGCTGATGAAAACATCTGATTTCACCAGTCGCAGGTCCGGAACCCAAGAAGGAAGCCCTTCGATTCGTTGGGAGTCCGGGCCAGAGAATAAGGACCTGTCAGGAGCCAGACTCAGCAGTTTCAGGCTTTGGCCTTGCACTAGCGTTGCTATCGCGAATTGTCGAAAAACATCGCTGACCGAAGCTTGATAATCGGGCTGAACTGTCGGCCCAACAGCACCCAGACTCAGGAGCGAGTATACGTAATCCCTTGGGTCGGTACATTGGAAGAACATTGTGGCAATGACTCCGTCTAGGAGCGTGCCGCTGAGCCTGTAGACTTGGATCATGTTGATGGCTGCGATGCAGTGCACCGAGACGTAGATTCCATCCACAAGAAGTTTGCGTTTTCTTCGTTGAACGTCGTTCTTGTCGTCACTTGCAACCCTCTCCTGACTCTCTTGTTGCCCTGAATTGCCACCCTCCAGGCCCCTCTTATTCAGTTGCGATAGTGCAAATTCGTCAGCTCCGAGCCCTTCCATGTTAAACGCAAGCTTTGCCAGCTCAAGCCACGGAACTTCGACTTGGTCACCGACATATACTACGGCGTGTCTGGCAAGCGAGACTTCCTGCACCACCCACTTCCTGCAGAACCACGGGCGAGCCAGCAGCGCCACCAGCGGCATCCAGTCATGGTCCAGGACATTTGGCTTGCCCTCTTGTTGCAGCCGGTGCGAGTCACGGCGCAGAGCTTCCGACTTGGCCGCTCTATCATCCGCGTTCTCAGGGTCAAAGTCGGGAAGCAGCTCGAGGGCCTGTCGGATGGAGTCAGCCACGGTGGGCGAAACATACCCGTACATAGGATCGTCGGTGATGCCGAGCCAGATCAACACGCGCGTCGCCTGAGAGTAGATCTGCGGCATCAGCATCACCTGCTTGTTCTTCTCGACCGGGTCGGCCTAATTGATGCAGACGGCGTCAGCCCAGAGGACGCGAGGCTGATGCGCATGGCGGAAACGCACCAGCCCGGTGAAGAGACTGTTGGTGATGGAGAGGGTGGCGCCGTTGCATGTCAACTGATGCTGGTCCTGGGCATCACCCCAGCAGTATGAGATGGATTCGAAGTCCGGGGCTGCGTCGAGGGCAGTCGTTATGAGAGATATCTGCACGGCATCGGATTCACTCCCAGGATGGACATGCATGAGGCGGATTGTCCGTGGGGCCGTGATGGGCGTGTGTTTATAGGTGGTGTTGAGAGCCATTTTCCTAGAACTAGTCTGAACAATGATCTGAAATGAAGAGACAAGCAGTATCAAGAATGAGCGAAAATCTCCCGGTTGGGTTTGTTCTCCCGTCGATCCTTGTATGGATGCATTGAGCGTTTATGCGTGTGGGGTCAGGCTGAAGCACGAAGGCTGACTGCAACATCACCAGGACTGCATCTAATCAGTGCCGTCCCACAATAGATTACGCAAGATTTTTGTCAAGAGCAGACGCTTTTCTCAATAGCTGATAGCTGACAGCATTACAAGCGCTTTCTTCACTGTAAACTGTCTAAACCCACAAGTCCAACATGTCAATCCGCCAAAATTCCTGCGATAACTGCTTAAGATTGCAGGACCTTGGAAGTGTTAGAGCCCGTGTCGACTGGCGGTCAGGACCGGCAGTACCTGTAGATCCACTTAAAACCTTTGGCCAATCACGACCGGGTCGCAGAACGACGGATCACGATCCTGGAGCGCTCGCTCTGTCTTGCGATCCATCGTGGTATATCAACTCGAGGACCTGGCTGTTGTTAGGATACCAGCTCCTGAGCTATTAATACAACTTAATTACCTATCTCACTGTACCTGCTAACCATTACCAGACGTGACCCTGTATAACGACCTCCGTACTGCTAAAATTACAAGACAGTAACCGCCAACCGCTTACAGCCTGCGTCCTGATCCCTACGACAACCCGAACCCCACAATCCGCGCCTACCCTGTACCGCCTGCACAGAATAGACACAACCGTCACGGTATCTATCTGCTTCACAATTAATTGCACTTGCAATTAAGCACCCCATGTAGAGACCCTAGATATAGAGGGTCGAAGTCCCCTCTCCCATATTCCGAATCTAAGGCATGGATTAAATCTAGGAGTCAATGCTGCAAATGACACAACCACCTTGTAGAGCTGGGGCCGCGATCGGTCCCGGGATCAACAAGCCTGAACCATGCTCTAAAATCCACATTGTTGCTGTCTCTACTTTGAATCTTCGTCCTCTGCGAACAAAGGTACGTTCATAATGTTTCCTATAGCCACCCGTTGGGCACTTTGTTGCCTCCAAAGTCCCTCTCTTGCGGCTCAGGGCCGCCTGACCGTTCATGCTCCTCATCTCCAACCCGAATGCGAACCCCGCCAGACGTCCTTTTAGGCTAAGCTGCTGGAATCTGTTGAGATTCGGTCTCGTGGTACTCTGTACCATTGTGGCTGAAACCCGCCCATTTCACAGGAGGGAGTGGATTCATTTCAATTAGCTCCGTACCCTACATTGGGTTGCATGGTGGGATTTAACGCGTCGGCCCTCCGCTCGCTCAGTGCGGGGAACGACCTTACGCCGAGTGTACCAAATCCAAGTCACCCAACCCGGCATTTAGAAAGAAATCGAGGTTAAAATATTAGACATGAAAAAATGAAATGAATTTAGAAAATTCAATGAAAGCAAGTATTGATAATCGTGCAGATCCTACAACGCAGTACGTAATAAAATGTATGGGTGTACATAAAATTCCCTCGAAATGAACTCATGGCAAAATTATTCTCCGATCCGACCGCCGGCCTCTATATCACCTGCCATCGTACGACTGGAATGCCTCAACACTTCTCACCGACATCTCCAATCCGCCAGACACCATTCCCGAAAAACTGACCATTCCTCCCCAAAAATGGCCAATTCCAGCCTGCTTCTGGCAGTCGCTGTCGTCATTGTCGTCCTGACTCTCGGGATCCCTCGCTTCTTGGCAGAATATTTCCCATGGCAGAGCCTGTACAAACAGCGCCATGGCAGGCCTACCGTCATCACCGAGTCGTATAAAGGCAGGACTGTCCTCATCACCGGCGCAAACGGCGCATTCGGCTCGAGGGCTGCCAAAATCGTTGCCCATCGCGATGTCGAGACGCTTGTTCTCGTCGACGTCAAGGATTGTGGGGAAGTCAAGCAGCAGATCGAGACCGAGCTCAGTGAAAAGAACAAGAGCAAGCCGAACATTCTCGTTTGGCAAGCCGACTTGATGACCTTTGCAGGCTGCCAGGAACTGGGCAAGAAGGCACGCGAGCTGAAGAACCTTGACCATGTCTTGATGACTGCCGGAATTCTGTCCTTCCACCGCCGCGAGTCACCTGAGGGCTGGGAAACCTGTGAGTCTCCCTCAGAACAATTTCGCTGCTTGGAAGATTCTAACTATAATTTTCTTCAGCGATCCAAGTCAACTTCCTCTCCGGCGCCCTCATCTCTCTCCTCCTTCTTCCACTGCTCAAATCATCCCCCACCAACCCGTCTCCTCCTGTTCTAACCTTTGTCACCACATTCGGCATCTACCCCTCCTCATTCACCATGGGTATGCCCAAGAATGGCTCGTATCTCAAACGCCTCAGCAACAACAAGGACGGCATGGAGCAAGCCCACCAATATGGTCGCTCGAAGGCCCTCCTTCTCTACTTCGCCCGTGAGCTCGCTGCCCGAGTTTCCGCCACGACTGCTGCGGACAAGGGCCTGCGCAAAGTGACCATCAACAGCGCCGATCCTGGTTCAGCATGGACACCGCTCACGAATCCCAACCAGGCGAAACTGATTCCGAGGTTGATCATGAACTTTGGAGCGAGAGATCCCCAAATCTGTGCTACTGCGCTGATCAATGGTGTTTCGGCTTCCGAGGAAGGGCATGGCAAGATTATGCAGGATTTTGATACTGCGCCGTAAGTTCCAATTCTCTAGAAAATGACCGGGGGATTCTGAGTCTGCATACTAACAACTGAGTGGCAGGTATCCGCCTTTCATGGAGCGAAAGAGCGGCCGCATCGCGCAGCAGCGTGTTTGGGACGAGACGAGAAGCGAGCTTCAGGGGAAAGTCCCAGAGGTTGAGGCTGTGTATGAGATGTTGGACAGAAAGTCGGACATGTAGGCCAAGAGGGTGCCTAGCTCGGATTATGACATCGTGTTCACAGGTCTCAACCCAAGGTTAATGTCACGAATATTGACGGAATCCAGGCAGTTAGTGATTGAGATGCAGTCTAGGCCCCGGGTCATTCACCTTCAATTATTGCTCCTCTGTCACCGCCACAGCCTGGATGTGAATCATGACCCGTCGGCCATTGCGAACGAAGCATCGTGCAGTGATTGTAGACGTAGATTCATTGATGACAGAGGCAACACTGGAAGCAGCGGCAACGTTTCTCACCACTGAAACACACGTCAGGCAGCCCAAGGAGAATCTCGCAGATCTCGGCACGCTGGGGCCGAGGCTAGCGATGTCCAGATGAACCTAACCCACGACATTCCCCAGGAGGCGCACCTTTACGGTGTTTTCAGGGTCGCATTCTGGCGATGGCGTCCAGTTGTTCGCTTGTTAGATTAAGTGGCCCTCGGGCGCTAGTTCAGACGAGTTTCAGAAGTGCTTGAGAGATGACCCCAGTTCGTGCCTTGCCCTGTTTCAGCCTTGGAACATCCTAACGCCCTAGCCACTTTTTCTTACCAGTGATGAGGATATCAGAAATGCCCAATCCGGCAAGTGGTTAACTTGTCAAAGTGCAGCGCTCACTTAGCGCCTCTGAAAGGAGTTGCCCTGGCGCCTGATTCTGTAACGTCCCAGCAGTCTGGAGGGCACTTTGGCGAGCTTCAGATAGTTAGCACAATCACAGCTGGAGAAAGAATCAAGCCCCCTTCATTACCAGCGTGAAGCATATCTGTGACCGCCCGAGTACTCTTTTCGGATATGTGCGGCAAACCGGGCCCATGACCAGGAGGTGCAATGAACGGGTCGATGCCCGGTCTTCGATTGAGACTCCATCAATCGAGGTCTCAAAAGGGCAAATGTGTTGACCAACCAGCCAGAGCTCATTAATATAAAACCACGACACCTCCTCAGTTTCTTGCCAAGGAATATCTCACACTGCCATTCCATTCTTTCCATTCTCTCCATTCTTTACATTCCCATTCCCTGAGCTGAGCTTAGGTCACTGCTTTCATTTCATCATTCATTCCTTCGACCAATTTATTCAAAATGTTCCGTAATCTCGCCTTGACGCTTCTCCTGTCGCTTTTGCTGGCTGAGAACAACGTCCTCGCCAACTTCAACCGTGTACCCGAGCAGGACTCGAGTATCGCTGCCAGGCAATTTCGACAGGGCCGACAGGGTCGGCCAGGCCAACAAGGGCAGCAAGGGCAGCAGGGCCAGCAGGGTCAGCAAGGCCAGCAAGGCCAACAAGGCCAACAAAACTCGCAAAGTTGCCTGAAAAGTAACTTGATCCAGTCTGCCAGCGACAAGACCGGACAGGAGCCAGGAACCGCTGGCATCAAACCAGGCCAAGCACTCTCAGCAACGTAAGTCATCCTCGCTACAGCTTTTCAAGTCTCCTGGAAATGGTTCTGACCTGAGTTCGCTACAGGGACCCAGACAACTTTATCAACTTTTGCGACGGCCAGCAAATCACCAATGGCGTGCAAGTCACCACCGGTTCATGCAATGGCGTACCCATGGGCAAGATACCTGCAAGCACCAACATGATCTCGGCCATGATCCTGAATCCCCAGGCAGGCAAGACTGTTACCGCCGGTACCACATTCAACATTTCGGTGCAGACCACACATCTGAACGCAGGCAACTTTGTTAATCCCACGACCAACTACTACACTGCACCACAAGATCTTGACGCCAATGGAGACATTATCGGTCACTGCCACGTTACCGTCCAGGACATTGGCTCGCTCGACTCGACAACGCCACCGGATCCTACCCGGTTCGCCTTCTTCAAGGGCATCGACGACGCTGGCAATGGCCAAGGGTTGCTCCAGGCTGTCGTCTCGGGGGGACTTCCGGTAGGCGTGTACCGCGTATGCACTATTATCGCCGCGCAGAACCACCAGCCTGTGGCAATGCCTGTTGCTCAGCGAGGCGCCCAGGACGACTGTACCAAGTTTGAAGTTGTGGCGGCTCAGGGAAACCAGCAGAACGGGAACCAAGGGAACCAGGGTCAGCAGAACCAGGGCCAGCAAAACGGCAACCAGGCAAACCAGGGCAACCAGGGTAACCAAGCGAGCCAAGGCCAGCAGAACGGTAACCAGGCAAACCAGGGCCAACAGAACCAGGGTCAGCAGAATGGGAATCAGGCGAACCAGGGTCAGCAGAATGGCAACCAGGCAAACCAGGGTCAACAGAATGGCAACCAGGCAAACCAGGCTCCGCAAAACGGTACCCAGGCAGGCCAAGGCCAGCAGAACCAGAACCAGAGAGGCCAGTTCGGGAAGGGCAGGAAGGGCAAAGGGCCGGGTAGGGCTTTCAGAAGGCCAGCCCAGCGAGGAAAACGGACTCTGTTTCAATGATTGTATGAGATAATGACAAGGCGTTATCCCGAGCTGCAGGATGGCAAGGGAGATCCTCAGTAATGGATACGCACCAAAGTTTCATTCTTTCAATCGTGTATAGTACTGCATCCTTCATTTTGTAGTTAGTCTAGTCAATTTCCTATCACCTACTTGCCTTCGTCCATTATGATACCATAAACACTCTGTAAATTTAGGCGCATTAGCGCTGAGGATAGGGGAGTGCCGTGCATATTCGTTCCCGTTCCTATTACCGCTCATAGTTGCCAGCTCTGCCAGAGAGTGGATATGTTGGAACGCTAATGCGACTGAATTTAGGGATCTTTTACGGTAGAAGCCTTAAATAAAGTGCTGGACTGTGTGTTCTCCTTGTCTTGGATGCCCAGGTGCCATTGAAGCTTGCCAAGCTCCCTAGCTCGTAGCCACCTTGTAGAGCCTCTTCACATTGGTGGGCTTCTCGCAAGGGACCATGAGATCCCAAAAGGGAAATTCTGATTAGACGTGAGGGATGAAACAACATGGGAGCATGGCGCTCTTAAGGAGGCAGGGGGCGCTCATTATATTGGCTGCGACCCCTGTATTACCATCATCCAGGGACCAAATCACGGGGGGTTTGTTTTAGCATCTTGTCTGCTTCGCTTCATCTATCCGAAGGTGGGTTTCTTCATTGTGTGACACCTCGCGTAACCCTGTTAAGCTACGAGTTCGGATGGACGGAGTCGCTAGCTCAACCACGGCAGTTTCAGGTAAGATGAAGGAGTCGGTTCCTCGGCACCTCACTGCAACGCGCCATTTGCCCCCATTTCCTAAATAGGTAATTCTGATTATCACAGCTTCGAGATCATGTTTCGGCGAGCCAGCGTCAATGTTGCTGAAGGTGATGGTTGAGTCTTCATGATGGTATATAACATCTTCATGATCGACTCCAATGGAAGAAAAATCCGCAATACAATCGCTGAGCAGTTCTCAATTCACCTTATATTCTTTCCATTCTCTCATTTTTTTTTTAACTTCGCAGCCGGACTGCACTCGACTGGAACGAGCTTTCTCCTCTTTACCATTCTCTACTCAATCACTTTCTGCAATCCTACGCAATGGCTCCATCTACTCGTCTTTTTTCTTTGCTCACAGCATTCCTATGGCTGGCAAATGAGGCTGGCAGCATGCCAACCTGCAAACCTGGCAACGAGGGCGCTGCTGCGGTGGGGAAGGCAATTTACTTCCTCACTAACGATAAAGCCAACGCAGTTGTTGCGGTTCCTATTGGGAATGACGGCACTCTCTCAAAGGGAGCAGCAACCATGACAGGTGGTGCAGGCTCCGTGGGTGTTGACGCTCAAGGCCAGCCAGCGACGCCCGATGCGCTGATAAGCCAGTCCTCACTCACCGTTGCAGGCCATGTAAGTCGATAAAGCCCTCTCAGACTTCAATCAACCTTTCCTGACTTTGATTTGTAGCACATCTTCGCTGTCAACGCCGGCTCCAACACCCTCAGCATGCTGAGTATCTCGCGTTCCGACCCAACCAAGCTCTCAGTTGTCGGCGAGCCAGTCCAAATCCCCGGCGAGTTCCCCAACACTGTCGCTGCTTCAACCAAGAACAACCTCGTGTGTGTAGGCACGACTGGTGCCAAGGCCGGAGTTTCCTGCAGCAGCTTCTCCAAGAAGGGCTTGGGTGCCATGGACGACCTGCGGCCGTTTGACCTCGGACAGACGACACCACCGGTTGGGCCTACTAACACGGTTTCGCAAACCCTTTTCTCCGAAGACGAGTCCCTCTTGTTCACCATGGTCAAGGGCGACCCAGCCCAAAACAAGACGGGTTTCTTGTCTGCTCTCGCTGTCCAGCAGTCTACGGATGCAAACGGAGCCGCAGTTATGACTCTTGCTCGAGATGACACTCGTAGCTCACCCAATGGTACGGCTGTGTTGTTCGGCTCTCAGGTGATCCCGGGCACATCAAATGTGTTTGCTACGGATGCATCTTTTGGAGCCGCCATCTTGAGCGTCGACCCTGCCAGTTGCGAAGCAACAACTGTGGCCACTGGAAAGGTCGACGGCCAGAAAGCCACCTGTTGGGTAGCCATTTCTCCAGCAACCAAGACGGCGTTCGTGACTGATGTTGGTCGCAACCGGCTCGTGGAGATGAGCACCGACGATGCTAGCATTGTGGGAACGTTGGACCTGTCTTGCAATGGCGACCCGGGCCTCATCGACTTGGCCGCTGCTGGCAACTTCATTTACGCTCTGTCGCCCGGGAACGGAACCACGCAAGCAGCGGTTACCGTGGTCGACGTGTCGGGCGGCTCAGGATCGGCGAAGATGGTTCAACACTTTGAGCTGGCAGGATTGGCGGGAAAGACTGCGCAGGGAATGAAGGTCCTCGCATAATGGAAAAGCCACCTGAAGTGGAGTGGTCTCAAATGTAAGCCGATGGCTAGAGCTGTGATTTTGTGTGGATAGATAGAGTCATATACGGATGCGCCTTGCCCCTAGATAGGTCGGTCAGTGAGTGCAAGTGTTAAATTGTAGTAAATATGGCAAAACAAATGCATACCTGACGAACGGAACCCTCATACTTTATAGAACATGATTGAGTGGTGCTACAGGTGTGAGATACAAGTTTGCCAAGGTCCACAATGAGAACTTCCGAAGTCGGTGTGTTGAGATGAGTATAGTCCGTCTTCTACAAAGAATATTCATCTTATTAACCACCCGGTTCCTAAACTGGATAGACTACATCCTCGTGTCCTTAACCTGTTTACTATGATCCGATAAATTATCCATCTCAACAACGTCAAATTGCGCATACTCAGTGCGCTGCTGACGGTTCAACCTTCTCTGCGACGCATCGTAGTCGGAATATTTGGACGGTCGTGAATGGCCTGACGAGCCCATCAATCTCGGTGCAAATCGCTTCAGGAATTTTCGGAAGGTGGGCATAGAGCCGCAGATGATGAAGAGGTTGACTTCGACAAACCTGCAACGGTCAGTATCTTGTTTCCATCTTCTATGCATAGAGCAAACAGGTCAGAGGAGAGAGTGGTGCCTTACGACCAAACGTTGGCTGGCGCGGCCGTCCAGGGGATGTCGGAAGCTCCCAAGAGCGACGGCAGGTAAATCATCCGAATAATCGAGGTCGCGACGGTTCTACACGCATCTCGTCAGCCATGAAAATGTCTTGTTCCTCTAAGGTTGCCTGATGAGAAGCGAGGCAAACCTACACTGAGCCAATGCCAAACATCACACCAGCTCCGACCTTCTGTACCAGTGGCATCTTCAAACGAACAATGGTCGGGATGGGTATGATGAAGAGAATAACGTCAGACACGATGTTGGCAACCGCGATGGCAATATACATAACCGCCGCGTTGACGCATTTACCCGTGGCAAAGGCGTACGGGTCCCAGGAGGCGCGAATGGGCTTGCATCCGAATAGAAGCAGCATGGCAATGGTGGTGGTGTAGCTGGCCACCATGATGATTGTCGCCCAGATGGTTATCCTAAACCACTTCTGGGGCGATATTTGGAGATAGAAGGTCAAGAGAGATGTCTTGCTGAGGCCATTGCATGTGATGAATATGGGAGCGACGATGTAGGAGCTCTATTGTGTCAAGACGTTAGTAGGCTGTTACGCGGAGCCAAGTTTCGCGACTCTCCAGCGTATGGTGGAACGTACGAGCATGTGCTTCTCGAAGACTTCGATGGGCATCTCCCATGCATGGTGGCACAACCCTCCAATCGATACAGACCCTTGACGGAACATTGTCAGTTTGAGAGTCGTCCAACAAGCCTCAACGAGACGAGATTTTCTTACAGATCTGCACCGACTGCATCACAACCGACGCGACCTTTCGAGAAGCAAGACGTCAGTAGGCAGCGATCGGATGCATCGGGCATTGAAGCGAATGGCTGGAATTCTCACCCAAGCAAGACAAATCAAGACTGCGAGGAACGATGTGAGTTAGCTTGGAATGTCTCACTGGCTGAGGGCGTGCCATACCATCGTCAATCTTCAGACTCCCGGTGATAAAGTGCTTCGTGTAGATTCTCTGAACAAGGCAAATTAAAGCCAAGGGTCCTAGGATGCCGAATATGAGGTAGTGATCGAGCGCCCTCTGTTGCTGGGGATTGTCAAAATCCACCACGTAGCCATCTGGCGGCGGGAGAAACGTCGTCACGCCGTCTGTTACCGGGTAGGAAGTCATGGCTTGAGGCGCGGAAGCTCCGACCGGCAAAAGCAGCTCAATCCCTTAAGTAAATTGAGGCGTGCTCGGCCATCTGGCTGTATTTGTATGCTGTATCTCGCAAGTCTAGTATAGGAGACCGTTACCTCGGCCAGTGCGGGAGACCTCTCCTTGTCTCTGACAGGAAGTTGGGAACAAGCAAATTATGGGAGAAACACAGAGCAGGCCAACAGAGGTTGGAGGGAGAATGGCTTGTCCCTAATGCTTGCTAGTCAATGCCTCCATGTAACGTCCAGGGCTTCGGATCACATTAATGGGATGAGCCATTGATGGGGCGCAGCATAGCGGCCATGGGCTTTATTCAGGAGACTCTATTTCCCTGCCTTGGACACAACCAACAAGCTTTTACTCCGCAGTCTGTAGTCCCAGGATGTGATGGAGCCCCTGCATGTTGTAAGCGTACGGGGGAGATCCGGCACATGGATCTGTCCGGCTCCTTGTAAAAGCCAAGATCGGCTACTGGATGTCACCACACGCATTGGCGGGTAAATTATACTTAGCAGTACCGAAGCAACTTAAAATCCCCAGTCAACAACCAAGGATTACAACCAACAACCAACAACCAACAGTCGGCAACCAACACCATGCAGAAAACAACCAATTATCGGCTCCCTCAAACTCGGCCCGGATGCAGACCATGACCAATTTGGGCTGTACCGAAAATCCTTGCAGCCGGGGAAGAAACTGGCCCGGGTTTACGAGTACAGTCATCTCTGCGCACCGGGGTCGAGTACACACCCATGTTCAATAATTACATGCAGGCCCTTGTTACCTGCAGCTAAATACCTGCAGCCAATGCTACCAATATGCCGTCGATATGTCAGGCTCCGCTCCACGCATCGCACAAAAGCCTGCGGGAATTTCCTGTACTCAGGACCTCTCTTGCTTCTTCCACCTACCTGTCTTCCTCCACTCTACCTCTCACACACTGAATCTAACCAGACGCAATGGTTCGTTTCACACCCACCGTCGCCGTTCTCACGGCTCTGGTTGGAGCGACGCTTGCTTCGTGCTACTCCAACACAGGCCTCCTCCAGATGGTCACCTACGTCAAGCGCCGTCCTGACCTCACTCGCGACGAGTTCTGGCAGTACTGGGAGACTCAGCACGCGCCCAAGGTGGTGCCATTGGCTACCCACTTCAACATCACGCGCTACCAACAGGTATGAAGAGCCCATGGAATCAATTGACCTTCCTCGGCGGGCTTTACCAAGTATTCCGCTGACATGCTCAATTTCCCATAATCCAGGTCCAGGTTGGAGGCAAGATCCCCCCCACTGCAGCTGGAGCCTCTGAGCCCGACTCCAGCGAGCTCGTCGACTTCGACGGCATTGCCATGTTCTTGTACGCATCGTCCGATGTCCTGACCGCAATGCTCTCACACCCTTACTACCTCGAGGTTGTCGAGCCTGATGAGCACGTCTTTATCGACAAGGAGGCTTTCGGCGGCGGTATGGTTGCAACATATATCGGCAAGAACATTGAGGCTGTGGATCGGGCCAAGGATGTCTGGGTTGGCGACAAGGCCACGAGGAAGAAGTACCAGAAGCTATTCAAATCTTACCTGTGAGCAAGAGATGCTCTGGTATACAGTAATACATAATGCTGCGCCTAGACAGAATGTCCCTGATTTTGCTCTTATTATAAAACGCAGTTCGGCTATTTAGCTCACTTATTGCTGGAAGGAGAGCCGTGCCATCTTTGCTTCGTGATATCGATGTTAGCAGATGATGCTGTGCTGGATATCATCTGTCGCCCGTAGCAACCGACTAAACTTCGGCTACCACTTCTTGCATATGAGGAGTACCTAAGCTTATGAAGCAAAGAAACTGGGGGTTTGGTTCTTCTGCTCCGTGGCCCACTTCTTTCATCGCCACCCTGTTCCGGCCTCCTCGTGGGCGAGATGATCTCCCAGTCGTCAGTCTGACGTTCCAACTCTGACCAAATCTCTGCAAATAACAACGATCCCATTCATACAGTAATCCGGAATATCCGGCATGAAATTTGCAGCCCCGCCAGTAAAGGTGGCGTGCTTGGCTTGGTAGGTCCCCTGGCACGAGAACCATCCAGCTTTACTAATCAACGAGGGGAAGCCGCGCATCAAGAACCCGTTGCGATGGAGGCCAAACATGCCATAATGTGAGTTCTAGACCCGAGATGCAAGAAAACTACTGTAGAAACTCACGGTTCATCCTCGTTTCCTAGTGCCTGGTTCGAAACCGAGAGTGCCTCTACGCCCCTAGCAAAAGAGGTGGCTCACGGAGGACAAGAGCACACCCATGGAAGGCCGACAGCCTTCCTGTAGCACAACGTTCCAAACGAACATCACAACATCTTTCAAGCGACTGTTCGTATTTCTCAAGACTTGTCATTCTCACAATCTTCTGACGAGGCTCTATAGTCACCGCCCTCGAGCAAATTGGTCATCTCATTTCCCCTGGCGCAGGGCTGAAACGTCCCGAATATGTTGAAGAGCGTGCCGAGGCAGATACAGGGCGCCACCCTGGGGCTCCGATAAATCCGATTGCACATTTCCCTCTAAGGGTTTATGGAAGTGACAAGGCCGTGTAAGTGTCTTTACCCGTGGACTGGGCCTAAGAGTGAATCCTGACAAATGAAGATTGAATGCATACTACACGTATATTCACCAATATTTCCCAATACTCCCCCCACCAAATTCACCACTAGAGCCCGATCACCCTATGCACTGGCCTTCCACAGAAGCCTTCAAAACCCTTCCATACACTACTTCTCCACTCAGTCTGGCAATCTCTGCAGTACTAGCCCTCATTCCCTTGCGACAGGAAGAACATTACGATACAGTGGTATCTACAGCTGCACGAACGTCTTTGGCACAGAGGTTTGCCCACGCGGCGCTTGAGCATATCGAGGCTGACTCTGAATTTCTCGACTTCACCACAGCGCAGTCTCCCGGGTGGCTGGACGAGGAGCTACCTATATCTCGCACTCCCTTTCACTCACAAGCCCCCGCAGAGCTTGAGAGTGTCCTAGCTCTTCTTATTCTGGGCAACTACGAACATGCTCAACGCGGAAACCTGCTTAAAATGACTTGTCGTGCGAGCCAAGCGTTAGTTACGGCGAAGAACTTGTCTCTCCATCACCTGGGGCCAGAAACCGACAAGTTCTCAGAAGCAAGGAGAAGAGCGTGGTGGATGACGGTGAGTAATTTTTGGTAAGAATATGAGCAATAAGCTGAATAGATAGTACTATTACGCACATTTGTGTTCCGTCGTTCGCCAGAGCGTAAGTGCTTAGTGGAACTAATTGAGATGGCTCAAGCTGACTCGATGTCGGACCCGACACATAGGCATCGATCAACGTTGGTGATGATAGCGAGTTCACAACTCCATATCCTCAGCTAGAATCCGATCCAGAGGTCAGCCAGCCATGCATCTGTGAAAATTCCTTGGTCTGACATGATAGGCATGGTCCATTTTTATCGAATCGCTGCGTATCTCTGTAGCCAGTGTTCGATTCGCAGCTAGCCACAAAACCTCTCTTGAGTCACAGGCGGGAGCTGACAGCATTTACGAACAAATGGATAAGCTTGACAGATGGGTGGTGCTGGCTGCTGCGAGAGCGGAATCAGACCTGCCCGTGTCATCAACTGCGCAGCTGGATCCCGCAAGTGAGCTCGTGACGGCTCAAGTCATGCGACGCATTTGTCGAATCAGATTTTCCAGGTGTGTATCAATCCCCTTTGAAAGCCAAATCTGGCCAAGAAGCAGTAAAATCCCAAGACTTCGCTCTAACACCAAAATTGACAGTGCGAGAATCCGGATCCATCGGTATCACGCATTCTCAGACATTCCGCTGTTTGCAAAGAATCATTGTGATCTTACGCCTTCCGATATCTTGAACGTTTCCAGCAGTGGCCTGGTGTCCATGAGCGACACTCCATCCGCCCTGTTAGCGGCACCGACTTTCACTCCCGATCAATCAGCTGCAATATGTGTTGAATCTGCTTTGACAATTTCTCGACAACTCCAGAACTTACCGGCTCCCAATGCTGATTACGCTGGCGATGTACTTTCTTGCACTATGCCTACAACTTCATGCTGCGCAATGCAGGCTAGTTACGCCTTGTTGATGCAGTTTTGTAGACTCCGCGTTATGTCTCAAATCCCCGCCGTGCCTACAAGCAGCAAAACCTCTCCAGAACGCCTGATTGAGGAACTTCGTCATGGATTAGATGGAATTATTGCTGCAATGGAAGGTTTCGCAGGGGTGTTCCAAGCAATCAGTGGCATGACAGGTCAGTAGGAGGAATCTGCTACTCCAAGCACATCTCTCTAATCTTCCCCTCGTTTGTGATTCAAGCTGACATATCTCGTCTTCCTAGATGAAGTTGATGCTGCCTACCAAGTTGCATTTCAGGTCACCTTCCCTGAATTTGGAGATTAAATCGAGGTCATGAACCTGGAAAGTCTTGCTACTGAGTTCGAGATATCGTTTGAGCTTTTTTAACTGCAAGCGCAAGGTATACTGACTACCAGGGGTTCAGGGACACTTATTAGGTATATATGGCTTAATTAATGTTGATGGGAGAAAACAATTTGCTGGTTGCTACCGTGGGAATCTTGACGCTTGGCTCGTCTCTTTTGAGCCAGCTCCCTCTACTAGCACTAATTCTATAGAAGACTTTCCAGAGGTCACGTATCGATTATTGCATGATGTAGAGTGATCGAATACTATATGATAGACAAATACTGGATAGCGTATGGTAGGTTCAATCCTACTGGTAATAGTTTAAACAGGATTAAAATTTCACTCTCGCAATCCTGACGTGATAAAGCGAGACGTCTTATTTTTGTACATGTCACAGACTTCCTGTCTAAAGAATAGTGATGAAAATCTTGCTTCAATGACACCATGCCCTGTACTTTTTCAAAAGGAGCTAAATCTGTTGGCGAAACGTTCCAAGTTAAAACAGGCCCAATTCCTCAGCTTCTCTCCAAACCTCTTCGATGAGGGCGGTGTCAAGGTAGTCTCGGACCATGATCACTTTGCCATCTTCATTCCACTTAATCACCAAAGCATAACGGTTGTAATACTCCTTGCCTGTTGCGCATTAATCCCGGCTCGTGGACCTCAAGTATCTCAGAAGGAAGCCGAAGGGACAAAGATCTCACCGGATTTTCGAGTACCACGAGCTTCCAATTCCATTGATGTCCACTCATAATTCTCACCTCCAAAGAAAACATGCACCATATTGAGTTGGGGTGGGTCTCTGAGGGCTTTGATCAACTTTCCAATTGTGTTGCCCCAAAGCTCGGTAAGGCTGGTGTAACGTCCGGTTCCAGGGCCGCTGCCCATAATAGTCCATTCGACATCCTCTGACACGCGGGACCAAAAAGGGCCACCATTTGCAAGCGGTTGATCAGCAAAGATACTTTCGAGCTCCTCTTTTGTGAGATAGGGCATGGTGACGGTTGTGTGATGAAAGAAAGATGATTCTAGTGATCGAGAAGGCTCGTGATAAAGGATTGGCTTGTTTTCGCGATTGATTGAAGGTGGCAGTGTATCATTTATGTTGCGACAAATATGGCCCGTAAAGCCTTGTCGAAGCTCAAAGACCGAACATGGTATCAAATCTTTGACAAGGGTTCACATTCAGTCGAGACAGGCTGCGAGCCTGTCGACACCACGGAGAAGGGATCTCGACCTGACAACGGAGTAACTAATATGGGTATAAGTTGCAATAGCGCGGCGGGCCCTGAGCTATTCGATACAACATGAAGCCTATTCAAGCTAAATACATAAACTTCGAGAACTAGCGCATCGCTTCGTAAAGGCGGATCTCCACAGAATAGACACCATCACCGTGTTACTGGCGGCCGACCCATGCGAAGCCGGTTCCAGTTAGCCCGATACTTGGACCTTTTTTCAATGGAGCCTCCATGGTCAGGGAGGGGCAGATTCCGCTGTAGTTTCAAGGGGCGGAGCTATGGGGCTGAGCGATTTCACCGCCTCTATAAAGTGATATGCTAGTTCTCGAAGTCCACAGGTTTAACTTGAATAGGCTTCATATTGCATCAAATAGCTCAGTACCTACCCCCAACTCTGCTGAGTTGTGGGTAAGGAGTCTAAAATTCTCCCTCGTCAAAAGATCCAGTCTGACCCAAACGAGCTGACTAAATTTCTCACTCCAGCGGCAATATGGGCAGTGGGACTCTTGCCGAGAAATTGCAAAACGACGTACGATATCTAATGTGGTGAGAAGAAAGCGTGGTTCTGAAAGTAGCTAACGTGAGGATCGAAGCTGGGATATCTAATTCGGGTTACATTTATCGCTTCGTATGAGCGATTGGCAGTCTATAGAACAACACATCAATATGCGCGTGTCGGCCTTAGGACCTGTCAGTCTTAAGTATAAGTAATCTTGTTCGTCCCTCTAAGCTCGTAAAGAAACCACATCACCTCCCTCTCTATCACCGCACTCTCTGTCTCATATAAAGACCTCCAGGATTTGCGATCATCTACCCTCGACTTGACAACATTCTCCCAGGCTTGTTCTATCCCTTCAGGTATGAGAAACCCCGATCTCTATAAACCCACACGCTGACGAATGTTGCGCAGAATGCATGTTACCAGTCTTCTTTCAGTGGCTGCTTTGGCCCTTGGCATCTCGGCCGAGGGCATTAACTGCCACGGCAGCAGCAACTGCGCCAATGTCGGATTCAAATTGACCGATCTCCTCGGGTACGCGCAGGGCCTTAACAACGATCGATGGTACCAAAACGGACAACACATTGCTTGCTGGAAAAGCTTGAGTGGATCGGGATTCTGTGCATTCCTCCAGAACACTGGTGGCCTCCCTGGCAGAGAGATCAAGAGATTGCTTCAGGAGCTGGTTAACCATGGATGCGCCAAATGCGGCAGCGTTCCCGCCTTTTATCCTAGTGATAACGATATCAGTCATCACGGAATGCTTACCGTTAACTTCGTCTCCAAGACGAATTGCAATGGTATCTGTTAAAGGAGGATGTGGTGTCTGGCTTGTCTGTTCTCGGACAGTCTAAGAGGGTGTTTTTGTCTTTGTACTTCTATTGTCTCTTGGAGTAGGGTACTTCAAGCTTGAGCAAACAAAGACAATCGAAGTCTAGCTACTAAATGGACGTTTTTCACACCTGTTATCCTTGATTCTCTCTTAAAGACCATTTAACTCTCTCGGTGGGAAATATCAGAGGCAGAGAGATACTCACTGTTGAGCTTTGGGTGTCGGTTTAGACTGCATTCCGTTGAAGATGTCTGGAAGAGCACGAACAATTAAATTGATTGCATTTCAATCCTAACGATGCACAATGCTTTTTTGCTCAATATTGTGAGATAGATCAAAGCCACAAGTAGTTAAAAATAATAGAGACAGATACGGAGTGCTACACCCAGTACCATAAAAGACAGTAGCTTGGCAGTAGGGTTGTTGCACACTGATATTTGCCTTAAGCTTCAGTTCAACCCTTCTATCTTCAATCTTGCTGTTTGCAGTAAGGCTATTCGGGATTCCGGCAGATAGAAAAGAATGAGCTTGAAACCCAAACATGGCCCTTGGCAACCGTGGCATACATAACGAAAATGCAGTATATTCAAGTATTAGGTTCCCTTGTCGAGGTATGTATACTAGTATGCTGGTGTTTTATATCTCGGCATCCATGGGTCAGGTCGCCCTTCAAATCCAACATGAAATGAAGGAGGTAGGGACGGTGCATCTTGAAATATAACCAAGTCTTAATACTAGTGTCATATAATAAAGGAATAAATAACCATCGTGGCTGGGGCCTCTCCGCATAGCTAAGCAATTTTAACCCATCCTTCTCTCCGCACAATATATGGAAGGGTCTCTTGAGTGTTCATAAGCTGTTTATGAATCGACTCCAGCCACACGACCTCCTCCGGAACATGCTGAGCCGTCATTTGGATACATCGAAAGCACCGCATCGCGGCTTCCAAAGGCGCAATCAAAATCTCGGGTTGCAGAGTGTTGAACAACGAACCAAGGCCATGACATATTTCTGTAGCTAGCTCACCGGCAGTCTGCATTTGAAACGTGTAAGTTTCCTTGTCAAGTGGTGGGTTCTCGTGGGGCAATGGCTGAGATATAACCCCGCGTAGGGTTTCGATCCTGTGGCAGATGGCGAGTTGCGCAAACCAATAATACAGAAATGCAACACCGGTTCGACTATCTTTAAACGAATAAGAAATCGGCTGATGTGTTCGAGACGGTGGGCCTTCTTGTTCTATGAACTCTTGGTGCCACTGGGCGAGACGTTCTTCTAACGAGGAGAGACTGCGTATCAATGATTCGGCGGACGTTCGTCGCTTTGGTGTCGCCTGTCGATGCACGATCCTGTGTATCTGCGTCAGGAGTGGCGTGAGTAATATCATCAAATCAATGAGCCGGTCAACGTAGTCTTTCTCATGGAACGTCCAAGGCAGACAGCTCCATTCTGGAGCCGAAAGGAAAGTTTCCCGCCTCTCAATTATAGCATTGCCAACCTGGTTTCATGACTTAGCACTTATTTCCAAAAGTCTGATGAATGAAACTGACTTCCAGTGGCCGAAAGGCATTGACGAAAAACTGGTAGTTTGGAAATTGGCTGAAGGAGGCTGGGCCCAACAGTTGAACCACACTCGTTATCGACTCCAAAGTTCTTGGTGGTATGCCATACTGCAAACAGATGAGCAACAGCATTAACCTTGGCTAGAGGATTATGTCAAACCTCAAAGTAAAGCGTTTCACAACCGTTGGCCGTGGGAGCTTGGTGTCTGGCGTATTGCAGTCGGGCAAAGCATTGCACATCCAAGCGCAAGCCGACATTGCTCGATAACAGGGATGGGCTCAAACCGTGTGGGGTGTAATGCTCTGGAACTGCAGCTAGCCCTGCGTTTCGTGACGACGATCTAGTATGCATCAAGCTTACAGGAAGATTTCCATCCTGATGACTAGGTGGAGATGGAGTTTGGTGGGACTCGGAACTTGCGATACCCGACGGTGTCAGTTGTCCGTGAGCTTCGAGCCTCCCTCTCTTCCCACAATGGAGAACTTTCCCCTGTTCTTCTGGCGTCCCTGTGATGAAAACTCGGGCCCTATCATAGCCTTCACAATGTCTTCCGCGGGCAATGCATTTCTTGCAAAAGGGCCTTTCGTTGCTGCACTGTTTCGTTATTAGCCCCTAGACGTAATCTTGCATCACGTTGACGACAATGACTGACCCTGAGTCTCCGCTTCCGGCACGTCTCGCAACCTTTGAACTTCCCAGGTACCCCGACCATTGCATTTAGTGGTTCAGGCGCATGCCCTCCTGTGATGATCCAGAATCGGCAGGGGAAGAGGAGCTATCCCTTTTAAGCAGGATTATTCGCTTTTTTCCAAGCCGGTGTCGGAGGACTGGCCGCCCTATTTGTAAGCCAGTTAGAGGCTGTGTCGGGTGAGAATGAGGTGTGAAAATCGTTGATTTCGCCTCCAAGTCCCCAACAGGGGCCGGCCGCTCCGAGCTAACAAGTAGGGACGTATTGACCGCATTGGCGTGATACAAGGCATCCAAAGTCCCGTTCTGCGTACTGATCAGTCACTGCGGGGACATGTTTTGCATGAACACATTCGACAGCGCCAAGAATGGCAAGGTTGTCTCAAGACCCTCATGGCGTTCAAAGCAAATATATAAAGACGTTCTAGGTGCAGCCTTTACTTTGCGATTATCAAATTTTGCACAATAACCGTAGTCTTGTGGTACAGAGAAGAAGGAGTAGGCTCTAGTCCGTTACTCCAAAAGGTCTCCCTGTGCCTCGGCTATAAGTTACACAGGATATTAGGGTCTTTAAGGTACTGACTCACGCATCCACTATGACTTGTATTTCTCGTACTTGTAGGGTTCACAGTTCTAACCGACGTTTCTCCCCATGTCAGAATGATTAACGCTAATACTATGTTGCTGGGCCTGGTTAGCTCTCTCGCAGCGGTATCCACCATAGACTTTGACCGTAGAAACGTCTGGTGGCAAAACTGTGGCTGTGTGGACGGTAGCAGATCCGCGTTGTCAAAGTTGAGCTGACGTTGTAAAGAAACTGTTACGTGACTAAGGTGAGTATATCGATCTATCAGAGGCTTCGTGATACAAGGGTCAAAATCCAACTGCAAATTAAAGAGTGTGTTGCAATATTGCATCTGATGTACAGGAACATGACGTAGGTGATCTGAACCCAAAAAAAAACGGAACACGACACTTCATGATTTAATCAGCATTATTGCCGTATAAAATCCCCTTTGCTGACTGGTCGAGGTGTACTTCGGCGTCGCAGTGGCGGTGGAGTTCGGGATTTGACCGGTGACTGGGAGTGTTTCCCATTGGTCATACACAGTTCAAATCCCGACGGCCCTTGGCCTCAGTTGTTGAAGGGTCTGCGGATCCGCGCCTTTCGTGAATGGCAAAATGATGCTTGGGCTGACCAGGCCGACGGCATATCCGACCTTGCACTTCACCATTGGTAATCTCAAAATCCTGTCACTTGGAACACGACAGTTTAAAAGATGAGTGTCTCCAATCTCGAAGCAGACTGTCTCCATCTCGGATAGTTATCACTGTCAGCATTACTCCCGTCTTAATTCCCATTGGAAGAGGCGGCATTCTTGATCCCCACTCACACGTTTGGTCCTCCGACCTTTCTAATGGACAGTGCCGGGAGAAGTCCTGTTGCTGGAGGCACAGTCTCCTCCATTTCTACCGACGGAACGGACTTTCAGGGCCCGTCCGGTCCCGGGCCTGCTGCTTCATTCATGTCTTCCACCGCTTCTACAGCCTCGCCAGAAGATGTCTCTTCCCCCCCAGCAGTTGGGGTTCTGCATGCCGAACCTGCTGTTCAAGAGGAACAAAAATCACTGGGGCAAGAAAAGAGCGCGTGGATTGTTGTTCGGACTTTTACTCCAGCGTAAGTCTTCATTTCTCAGCGAATCCGGAAACGCAACTGGGGCGCGCTTTAGATCTGGATGGTTGGTTCCCAGATGTATCTGAGCACTCTCTCGGTTCGGCTCCAGTTCCAAAATTAGACATACTAAAGCAATCGCAGGTGGTTCACTGTCAACATGGGTACCGGCATTGTTTCGATCCTCCTTCACAATATCCCCTACAATGGGACCTGGCTGTATTGGATTTCCGTGATTATTTTTGCATTAAATGTGCTCGTTTTCACGATATTCTCTTTCATCTCGGTTTTACGATACTTCACCTACCCTGGACTCTGGACTGCAATGGTTCGCCACCCTGTGGTCCCCCTTTTCTTAGGGGCATTCCCTATGGGCCTTGCCACCATTATCGAAATGATTGTTCTGGTCTGTGTACCAGCATGGGGCCACTGGGCGATCACTCTGGTCAGTAGGGGCGGAAAACTCAATAGCGTTCTTTTCGCTGACTTTTCACAGGCATGGACATTGTGGTGGATAGATTCTGTCATGGCTATTGCAATATGCTACTTGGTACCTTTCGCGATGTTCGTTTCCCTTCAATACGCTCTTGCTAAGCTTTAGCTCTGAGCCCTCCTCAACTAACTCTCTCATCAGGATTCATCTTCATGACACGAAACTTCAAGCAGCTAATGCAGCTTGGCTTTTACCAATCGCTTCCGTTATCGTTGCGTCTGGTGTAGGCGGAGTTGTGAGCTCAGTCCTCGTCAATGAACAGCATGCTCTTTGGACTCTCGTGGTCTCCTATATTCTCTGGGGCACGTCAATCCCGCTCTCCATGTCGTACCTGGTTATCTACCTGCACCGTCTCTTGATGCACAACTTGCCGCCTCGAGAAGTCATCGTTTCAGCATTCATCCCCGTTGGAACGCTAGGCCAAGGAGCATTCGCGATCATGCAGTTTGGAAAGGTCGCGTTGATGATATTCACAAAGACGAACACATTGGGAGGAGCAGACACCCATTCCGGGGATATTCTCTATGTGTTTGGCTGGATAGCTGGTCTCATTATGTGGGCGTATGGGCTTGTATGGCTATTCTTTGCTCTGGCAGGTATTACCCGTGGCAAAGTGCCTTTCAATCTTGGCTGGTGGGGATGTACATTCCCTCTTGGCGTCTGGGCCAGCGCTACGCTATCTTTTGGAGAAGAAATGCCGTCAACATTCTTCAAAGTTTTAGGGACCGTAAGTCGTCACGCTCTCTTTCACTCCTTTTTGTGATGAGAAATTTTGTGAAATAATGCTAATGTGTGAGATTTTAGGTCTTTTCAGTCATCGTGACTTTGCTTTGGATGATGGTCTCCATATACACGATTCGGAATATTGCCAACGGTCAGATTTTTGTTGCTCCGGATTTCAATTTCTGGCAGGAGTTGAAAAATCGACCACCAAAAGAAAATGAAAGCAGTGGGGATAATGTATAATCAGTCTGATATATTGCTTGTGCTGTGCTGATCATCTTTTGATACATGGAAAGCGAGATAGAGATAATATGTAGAAACATGGAAAAGGAGAACGAATGCATACTCCGACGGGGCTGTATATACATGATTGGGTGGGAATTATCCCTTACGACACAAATAGAAGTTTATTATGAGGTATATAATGTCGTCGGCAGCTTTATCAGCAACTGTCCTGTGCAAGGTGCCCCTCCCTGGGTACCGCTGCTAGTGAGTTGTTAAACTAGGGTAGCTTGGCTGGCTGCTTGACATCCCGGGCCCTCGACTTTAGCTGCGGCCTTGAGGCGCTCTGAAGCCTCTCTGACTGACCTCTGCATTCTTGGCGGCCGAGATGACCTTTTGCAGTGTCGTGCTTCTTATCCTCTCGGACCTTCGTCACCTTCAACATCCCCAATCTCGATAGCTTTATGTTGTTACAACCGACCCCATAGCTGAGCACTGCCCAAAGAACCTCTCTCCTTCTTGCTCTCCTTACAGACCGCCCATTTGACATTTATAAGCGTTACAGGCGCCTGCCACTTGTAACGTATTAGCAATGATACCGCCGACTCCACCCTTACCGCGCGGTAATGACGATCCTTGATCCCAGGAGGGGGTTAGACTCGGATCCGTCGGAAGCGAACCCTACTTAGCTAACCAAAATGCTAACTTGAAATGGAAACAAGGTGCGCCCAGGCGAGTCAATGATGCTTGACAATGTGTATTCCACATGCATCAGCACTGATCCCAAAAGGACACCCGCGCGCGAAGTGTGGCATCGCGCGATCCTCGACCACAGATCCCATCCCTGTCTCTACCGATACAGTTGGAAGTATGCAACACCACAAATCCAGTCTAGTCTGTTTGCATGAAAACTAGGCTGTTTGAGATTATCAGGTCCCTTTTACACAGCCATAGGGATGGGGAGCACTGGAGTTGACCATCAATAAATATGAGCTACTGCTCTCTTTACATGAGAACATTCATTCCAAACCTTCTCTTTCAAATTCAAAAGAAACTGTACCATCCATTGTCTCTCCCCTTCACCAATCTTCACCAGTACCATGTCGCCCTCAACTGTCACCGCTGCCCAATGGCTCGAAGCCGCCAAGCACCGCCGTACGGTTTATGGCCTTAAAGACACGTCCCCCGTGCCAGACAGCCGTATCCAGGAGATCATCACCCAAGTTCTCTCCTTCACTCCTTCTTCATACAACACACAGCCCGGTCGCATCACCCTCGTCCTCGGCGAAAAGCACAAGCAGCTTTGGGATGTAGTCATTGAGCACGCTGAGCCTGTGCTCAAGGCTGCTGGCCCTGGTGTCTGGGAGGCCATGGGCCCTCGCTTCCAAGGTTTCAAGAATGGCTACGGCTCGGTATGTGCCTCTTTATTCTTAACTGCATGATCGGAGGCTAATCAGATACGGTGCAACAGGTCCTGTTCTGGGACAGCGGAGCGGCCATCAAGGAAGCCCAAGGTACCCATCAGGCAGCTGCTCATATGTTCAACCAGTTTGCCGATCATGCCAGCGGCATGGCGCAGATCCTCGTTTGGACGGCTCTTGAGCTGGAGGGCTTCGGCGCCAACCTGCAGCACATGGGGGCCATCCCGCCTGTCGAGGCTGCCCTGAAGAAGTTCCTTCAAGTGCCGGACGACTACTCCCTCAAAGCCAACATGAACTTCGGCGAGGAGGCTCAGCCACACCCTGAGGTTCCCGAAAAGTTGCCCTTCAGTGAGACTTTGGTCGTCGTCAAATAGATTGGATGATCGCCCAACACATAGAATGGCGGATGAGCTTTACAACTAGAATATCACCCATGGAAATTATGTGTTTTTAGGACCACCTGATAGAAATAGGCTTGACATTCTCGAAGTGTTGCGTGTGCCATCGTCCTTCAGCTAATTGATACGTTATAGACGGGGTGCGAGTCTTACTAGTAGGCAAATCTCAGATGTAAGAGGCGAAAGATTTGAGGTGACAGAGAAATGCCCGCTTGTAGACGTTGCGTAAAACAGAAGATGCGGTGTAGCTATGCAGAATGAAGCCTATCCATGTATTAGTGTAGAGCAGGTAGTGCGGGGAGAGATCCATGGGTCCATGGGTCCATGGGTGAGCTAGTTATCACCAGCAGTTTGCTCCATAATATCTCCACCTCCACTTTTAGCTTGAGAATATCCTCCGAATTTTGTTTCCAAATCTGGTTGGACCTTCTTTGGCGTCGTTTCGAGGAAGATTACCAATGCAATACAGGTGGAGTCTCAAACTAGGGCTTATCCACTTACCAGATATCAGTATTTCGACACCTAGGTATATCCTAATAGAGTTATTCAAGTTCTTTGTCATTTAGCACTTTGGTCTCTGGTTAGCGGCAAATCCAGGTCAAAGGCACATTTCCCGAGCTTTATCAAACTGTTTAGAGCGGCCGGGAAATTAATGCTAAGCACTAACGCGAGTGATGGAAAGAACCGCCGTTATACGAAGCGGTGATTTATTCTCCTTCGTACTGCACCCCACTCTCCAAGTCGACGCGTTGATATGTTGGAGGCCATGTAAAATATCATACAGCTTCTCTGCTCTCATCTTGTCTCTCCTCAAGCCGACTTCGTTCCGGTTCCTAGGCTAGAACCTACCTTTTGTCTCGCGTCCTGTGTTTGTTCGTTGACAATCGCTTTTGTAAAGCTCCTTTATTTTCTCATTACCTTCATCCATTACTGAACATGCTGCTCTTCAAGGGGCTAGCGGCAGCAGCACTGCTTCTTTCTGGAGTCCAAGCCGGCGTCCCGAATCTACGTCCTCGGTTCGCGAACCGAGACGTCGACGCGAACAAGAACACAACTCCCGAGCCAACAACTACCACGACTCGTTTTCCCCTTCCTTTCGAGAGCAGCACTACCACTAGAGTTGCTACTACTACTACCAATTCTGATCCCGCCTCCGGGATAGTCATTGTTCCCATGATGTACACCTTCGAGATCAACAGTGGCCAGCTCCAGAAGTGTGCTGCAGCGGGGCCCTCTGTTGGCTGCGCTTTCGAGTTCGCAAATCCCCATCACTATAAACCAGGGTCCTGCTAATACTCCTTCAAGGTCATGCTTTGTGCCTCGACTTACCGACCAAAATGGCAACGTCATCGCTGGTGCGGCTACGAAAGATGATAAAGATTGGGTGTGCGCAGCCTTCCTGGGTCGCCCCGGCCATGCTATTTACGGCCTGAAGTACACCGAGGTCTCCTGCAAGAGACCGTTGCCTATCGGTGGAGGCGTGAACTTCTGCACTGACGGTGATGGTGGAATGACCGCTCATTTCCCTAGCTTTGTGCTTGATGGAAAGTAAGATAATCTGCTATTGGTCCCATTCCTATACTTGAATGTGTATACTGACCAGTTAATTTCCAGGCCAGGCTGGTGTGTCCTCCAAGGAGGCACAGAGGGTTACTCATCTTGCACGCTCAGCTTTTAAAGGATCAAGAGGATAAATTCAGCCTAATAAACCTTGGTATATTGTGAAGGTATATCTCAAACCGACTATAGACATTTTTCGAAGTAGCTCTGGGAAATTCTGTTTCCTGGTTCACAGTTGGGGGTTGAAATTTAATTGCGTCTTCCGTATCCCACCAGTTTATTTCGTACAACTCGCCGAGTTGCCCCGTTTTTCATATAAATTACAGTTTGGCATAATACAATTCACCGGTAAAACCCCAGAGACCCCACATCACGATTCTTCGTTGTCCACAAATGAGTCCCAACTAGGTTCCAGGCCTTGAAAGGGTCAATAGAACGAAAGAGCAGACCGTAAGAAGTAGACTCAGGGCAGACTAATCTACCTTCTGTCTGCTCCCTCAAGGTGAGCAAGTTGCCGGCATAAGGTCAAAAAAACACAGTTTTATCCACAATTCAAGCATTTGTTACCCAATGCTACCACAATAACCAAATATCAAGCTTTTCAACTTGAAAAAGTTAAAACCTGTATGAATATATAAGCTGTAGTCGGCTCAAGAAGCTGAGCCCTGATTCTTTCTCTCCTTCACACATCATCTTCTCATTCATCTCACATATCGAAGTCATCATGCCTGCTTCATCCACAAGAACTATCGTCGGTCCGGCCGACGCCACGAGTCCGACTCAGGGCAGACAACGGCGCGATCAGTAGGAACAAATGGAATCAGTATGGTAAGGGAGGCGGCAGCAAATCACCACGTCCCTTGGAATTAAGGCCAGTTTAAGTCTACCAAAGGTTCATTAGTATGCATACCCGGGCCCCAGTCAAGGGTAGAAGATGATTAGCACAGAATCGGAGGGGGATTAGCTTCAGCTGAAAATTGAGAACCATCATACAGGGTTTTGAGTCATCCCAGAAACACCGGCTCAAACAAGGGACAAGACCCTTGACGTGGAAACAATACTCCACCTATGATCTCTCTGCTGTTGAGGAGACCTAGCCGCGCGAGCATGGCCGGCACTTGCCCGAGGTGTATGAGTGTGGTCATTTGTAGGGACTGAAATCCTACACCATTCCCTGCTAGTTGCAGCACCCTAGTTTAGGTCTCATGCAGGTTAGCAGGAAAGGATCAATTCGCCGATGAAGCACTCGCACGTGAGGCCCTTAGCAAATAACAAGCCTGTCTAATGGCACAGGCTAATTTAATATCAATGATGAGTACACGGGCTCCCCCTTATTGAAGGGACGCGCTTCTCCCACACCGCCAGATAGCGACGCCACTCGTTGGTGGCAAGTCTCGACTCAATCGCCGGCCGAGTCTCAGGAAACAGGGAGGACAGCATGGCAGAAACTATAGCGACGCAGTTGATACTAGAGCGATGGAAAGCTTTTGGATAATACGGAGGTGAGCTATGAATAGGGGACTGAAGATTGTTGGGATGACCAGCAAAGCGAGAAAATACAAGCCCCAGAGGAGTTTGTCGAGCTCCTTTTTTGGCCAAGCGTAAACCGGTTTGTTGTCATAATCTCTGCTTACGGAGTGTCTACAATCCCTGTTAATGCCCAATAAGGGAAACGGCTTCCATACGTAAGCGAGAACTAAATCCAAGTGGTTGGCAGAGCATATAAACAGAGAGAAGTCTTGCTTCAGGGTTTCAAGCTGTTTTTCATCTCTTTCAAATCTTGTTGATACAGTAAGCCCCAGCTCAAATCATTGCCATGTCGAAGCCTTGGGTCGACGGTCCGTTTACACTTATTAGCAGCTCCAGATCTGGAGACTCGGTTTGTCATGGAGTTATCTTAGACTTGTCGCTTTGCTAAGATGTGCAGCTCAAAAAACCCGCAACTGGAGCCAGGAAGCTGGCTGCAGAAATGACACTGGTTCACAATGCCCTCATTCGCGGCATCAACGCCGTGTATCTTCAATGCAACAACGTTGCAAGTCAGGGCACTATCCAAGACAGGCAAGACTTTGCCAATTTTGCCTATGCATGGGGTAAAATGGTCCATGAGCATCACGACTTAGAAGAGACAGACATCTTCCCCGCAATTAACGAGCTGACAGAAGCACCTGACTTGATGAACGCCAATGTTGGTGAGCACAAACAGTTCGATGAGGGCTTGAAAACCTACTTCGACTTTCTCGAGAAAGTCAAGAAAGAAGAAGAGACGTTGGATGGCATGAAACTTCGAAGCATTATTGATGGGTTCATGCCGGCGCTGAGGACTCACTTGGAGAATGAGATCGACACACTTCTTGCCCTAGAGAAGTATGAAAACAAAGTTGATTGGGGAGATTGGTTCCAAAAGAAAATGAGCGAAATGACAAGTAAGGCTATGAAGGACGCACGATATCGGGTAGGCATATTTTTCCTAGCACTGCAACATTCTAAACACGGACTAATGCAGTGGATCTTAGAATGAAATTTTTCCACTGGCGATTATTTTCCATGACAAGACGTTTGAGGGAGGCGTTTGGAAAAACTTCCCACCGGTCCCTCGGCTGTTCTTACTGGTACTACAGTGGCTGTGTATGAATACACACAAAAGTTGGTGGAGGTTTGCGGGCTGCGATTTCCAGTCCAAGCCGCAACAGCTGCCTTTTGCCTAGGATAATATCGGCAAAATATTTACGCTTGATCTAGTAATTCTAGTATAGTACCTATATTCATGTTTATTTGGTTACTGATAATACACTGGAATACGGACTGATTCTCTCATTATTGTGACGATTAAGTCTCCAAATTCAACCAGCCTGGCCGTGCTGGGCTTGTATTAGTTGAGTATTAAAATTACGGCAATACTCCCACGAGGGGAAGCGACCAGACACACCAGTACTGCTCCTGAAGCGATGAGAGCATAGCGGATGCCGGGCGAGAGAGGTCTTTCCATACACATACCCCAGGTAACCGACGAAGATGAAGGGATGTGACGGTTTTGGCTTGAGACGAACTTTTGAATGCTCCGTATACTCGGCTTAATTACTCCATTGGGTATCAATAATCGGTCAAATACGAGACGCTTACAGGAGTGACGTTTGTGGATCCGTGCGTACCCGTTAGAATCCTTGCCACGCCCACTTCGTTGTGGACACGCCCCTCGCTACCAGGAGGTCCAGGGCACGCGTTTAGGCTAATCAGAAGGAAGATTTCTCAGGCTTGAATATCCTCCTCCGCTTCTTTCCCTCCTTGTTCATCTTTCAAAGCATTAATCTCATAGCAGAAGGGCTACCGGTGTAAGCTCCTTTACAGACTGCAGGGGTCTGGGGACCCTTCTTGCGCTTTCATCGAGTAAGCATGAGTTGATTCCCTCACCCTTATGGAGTAAACTCTCGCTCCTCTTGTGCTACTTATGGATCAGAGGCGGACAATTGTATCAAGCTCGTGCCACCATTGGCTTCTGACATGAGACAATTGGACTGACCTCGCAATTGCTTTGGTAATGTAGGCGATTAGCAAGCAAAGAAAATTGTAATATACACAGGTCGGACAAAAAACCAAGTCAAGGCGGATAGCCTAGATTTTCAGAATTGTGACGGACGGTCGATGACGATCCCAAGAATCCACTCATGGGACGGGTATTGAGGCCCTTTCAGCTGTGGCTCCTATTCTCACATTGCAACGAGCCCATCATGCCATCGACATGGAATAAGAACAGCGACTCCGTTACTATTATGGTGCTTTCTATTTTGTTTTCTTCTCTCTTTCTCTCTAGAGAATCTCAACCTCAAACGATCGTTTGTCAAACGGCAGCGAGAACCACTCCCAAGTCTTCTTCGCGATGTTGTCCGGGTTGCGGTTGTGTTCCTCGGGTGAAACAAAACCACCAACGATGATTACGCCGATGTGCACTCCATGCGGACCGAACTTCTTTTGGAGCGACTTGACCAGGTTCCACTGGGCTCCTTTGGTGAGCGAGAGTGCGAACAGATCCGGCTCAGGCTCCTTTGGCAGCAGGGAGCTTGTGACAATAAAGCCTGGTCGCGATGTTGGGTCCGATTTAGCCAGCTCTACGAGCCTGGGGATCTCTCGACCAGCAAGCTGATACAGCGATGTAACGGTAATCTGGTTGTTATCAGCTAAGTCTGAGGTCTATGTTCAATACGTCCACGACATCCCGTACCTTGAAGTCATACTCAATCTCCTCTACTGGGTGCTCGAAAAAATTGGAGAAGAGAACGCGAGCCGCGTTGTAGAAGATGACCTCTGGCTGGCCAAGATCGGCGTCGATCCTGTCCATTGCGCTGACCAGGGCATCGCCGTCCGAGACGTCCACCACATATGTCTTGACCGTAACGGGATGTCTGACCGCCGCTTCCACCGCAGCTTTCTCGAGTTGCAGCTGCTCGTCCCGTCTGGCCAAGAGAGCAATCTTGTTGTACCGGTTCGAAGCAAACAAACTGGTGACGCTTCGTCCAATGCCAGGGCCGGCGCCGATGACGACGATGGTTCTATTTGCAGTCATGGTGATACTTGGTGTGACAATTTTCGGGATAGAGACTGAGCGGGATGTAGAATCAGGACGGACCCTAACAACACAACGGGGTATTTATCTGCAGCAAAACCCAAGCACTTTGTCATCACAACGATTCGAATAGAACGGACATTTGCGCCAGCATTACAAAGGGGGATTAATAATACTCTAGCTGGGTATTGACCTAAGCAAAGGAAAACTTAGGCCTGGGGCTAAGCCAGTGCGAGGTAAGCGGCTAGAATCTGCCGGTGGCGATGGACGCTGACATGTAGAACGGAAAAGCTTCACTGCCGTAATAGCCGTTGAAATCCGATGTCCCGATATATGTGACCACGCTCAAAGATAGCGAGCTCCCAAAGCTACTCGGAACTCGGCTTACAGAGCATCGCTCAAGTGACTCAGTGGCACAGAGTCTTTAATTCCTTGTGAACTACCGGTTGGAGTTCGACCCGCTCAGCTCCACCAGAGGGTGATGACTTATCGTGGCGTTGGGGAGGAGGAAATACCACATCACGTCACTACATTTCACCGCCTGCATTAACATGTCAACGCGTCTATCGCCGAATGCTGATTAATATCTCTCCGGAGAGTGGATTTGTTCCGAATACATTAGACGTAATAGGATCAAGTATGATATAATATTTTAGTGTAACCATAGTAAATTCAGCACTTGTTTACGAGATAAATTGTAGCTTCCAGGGCTGACACGCCACAGCCTCATCCGGGGTATCAAACATTGTAGGCTACGTTCTCCGTAGCAAAATGTATGCGACATGATGTGCGGTCGATTTCAATCGCCCCCCACTCCTTGAGAATTGCAGGTGACGACGCTATAGCCGGTAGACAGTGATCATGGAGCACATCGGGAGGCTACGCGAAGGGAGATTTGAAGAAGGGAAGCTTGTTGAACGCGTGTTCCCAACCACTCAGAGTCCTGTTATCATCAGTGTGCCAATATTCCGTGCCTCCAACGGTACCTTGGCCGCTCAAGTCTCCAATACCGAAGATCTAGGTGAGTGGGCTAGTTGGTGATATTGTGAGACCCGACGGGTTAATGTTTCCAAAGGCATTGTCCCCGGGGGCTGGATGTTGGGTTTCCCGGCCGAAAGGTTGCGCTTCTTGCGGCAGGTAGCGTTTCTGGCGGACGCAAAGTTGCGGCGGCACTTACATTAGGCCAGTTGAGATGGTCAAACTGAAGAGTCCTGGACTAATGACTGCAGGCGCTGGCAGTGTCGTGATGGGTACTTGGGTATGTACCCAGCCATGGCCTGGAAACTTTGCGACTGATGGACGCAGTTCATTCTCGTTGCAGAATGCACAGCTCCGGAATTCCAGAAGAAAGCTATCGCACAGGCTATAGATGAGGTGTCACCACTTCCAAGGTGGTACAGCGAGACTTTAGTATAGGTACCCAGAGCTAACGGATGAAAGATCGACCGTGTATGACGACCTCCAAAACTTGAAACGTTGGCCAGAGGCTTATGACAGCAGGGCTATCATTGGCAAATTGTAAAAGGACCATGCTTTCGAGGTAGCAATTGAGAGAATATTAAGAGACTTTCCAAAGCTCAAGCCTCGGGCGATATGAAGGTGGGATTTCTGAAAGGTCCCACGTCATAGAGAAAAGAGAATCTGCGGCCGGTTTTCCATATTATACTAGCTATGCTGTCCTTACTTGAACCCCATACACCTCAGCTGCCCTTACAAGAGCTCCTACCGCATGGTTTGCACGGCAGGTTCAAAGGTTTTGGAGACTTTCAAGGCTGAGGCCCAACATGCCCCAGCCCAACTCTGATATGTATCTCTTGGATAAAACTCATAAGTCCTTTATTTCTTCCAATCCAATGAGCAGCCTTGGGACCTAACTCTATCTATTATGTGATGCCTCAGCTAAGGGGTTGTTAGATGCTGACAGCTCTCGTACAGGGAGTTCAGAGCTCCTGATAGCCGATTTCATATGACCTATTCCTATGAGATCTGCCCTTTCGATATCAGAGGTTGCTATTAGCTCGTAAATACATTGGGGTGGAGCAAAATAGTTGCTACTTATACGGAACATGAGGCAACTCTCTTATACTGCGCCACTGACTTCGCTCGAGTGCAGAACGGTCGGTCATATGCTTCTCTCAAAGAGACAGAATGCTAGCATCTGGACCTTCTATCTCCGCCATTTTTCCTTGAGTTGCCTCAAGACAGCCTTCTCACTCCCATCTCATGAGATGACGTTGTATTTTTTTTTCTCTTATGTGCTCTTTGCCCCGCTTGTTTACACACGTTGCAAACCACAACGAAGAAGTGGATTCGTGAGCCAGCTTCGACTCACCATTTTTCGCCGATACGATATTCTTGATGCACTATTTGCGGAATCTCACCAATTTCAAATATCCCAACCTCGCCGCGTTTGGTCAAAAAAGTGCATGATGTGCAAATTCCCCAGAGAGAAGGATGAGCCTGACCTGAACAGTGAATCTTGTTACTATAGAGCTCTCCCCAGATAAGCACTGTAAGAACACAGAAGCAGCACACCTGCGTCGCTGTCATCAAGGGTCTGCTCATCAACGGAGCTGTGAACTACTCTAGCCCAAAGGTCCTTGCTTCGGCAACGAACAAGGCCACGGACCAGCCGACATTGACGGTGCGGTTGTAATAGAACTTGTTTATTATCTATTATATTTTAATATTATTATTTATTACTCGGAGTTACTAAACACACACACTGTCTCTCTATACTACTTTAAACTCAACCGTTTTCTTGATAACATTTCCCCTGGTATCCATGTCCTCAAGATCAATCTCAGAAGTCCCCGTCTGTGAGGAATTGCCTGGGATAATCTGCTCCTGCGACCCATTCTTATCCATCATCGTCTTCCCTCCATGCACCTCAATTACGTGCTGGGATCTCCCCATAGAGTAGTTTTCCCTTCTCGCTGACGAGAATTGTTTCGTTCGACTACCCGTACCACCATTGCCATAGGATGATGAACCGTTTGGTGAATTGGTGAAGCGGAGTTTCGAAGCGAGTAAGTCAATACTAAAGACATATTAGCAACAATCACGAAGGATGCAGGGGTGACGTTGATGGGACTCACAACAAAAGAACTGGGTAGAGACAAAAGATGGTGTACAAAAAGCGGTCCAGCTGGCTGGCGATGTTAGATGCCTTCTGGCCGGGAGTTTGGAACGAATGTGTGATGGCCCGCAAGATGCCCTGCACTGCCAGGATGGCAACCCGAACTTCAGTGCTCCGTGTGAGATAGCGGAAGAGGCCGAGCTTCATTGCAGCTTGGAAAGAAGTGTCTCTTGCGGATGTAAAGACGGCGATGAGGAAATAGGCGCTGATGCACTCAAGAATCGCCATCAAACTGAAGTAGCTAATATGGAGATAGTTGATGACGACTTGCAGGGCGAAGTCGTCGTCGAGTATCGATCGGACGCGATATACGGCGATGACACCCCGCGTGACAACGACACCGAGGAGAAGGACCCAGAATAAGCCGGCGAAGACGCGCCAGCGAATACCTCGAAGAACGCGCTGCAGTATCATATAACTGTAGAAGAGCAAACCGGCTTCTTGGATCTGTGGTACCGGCAACCAAGATTAGCAAAGCAAGGTTCCACGAGTTAGAAGACCGACATACCAGCCAGAATATATCCCCAAACACCGATGCCACTGCTCGATTCGCCTCAGGGTTGTCCTGGTAGTAGATGTAGAAGCAGAGGCCACATGCGATGGAGCCTCCCGCAGACGAGATGATGGGGACGAGAGCGAGGAGGCTAAAGCTCGTAATTCCGCACACGACGCAGCCGAAAAGAACATTGCCCATGCAGATCATGCTGAGAATGGACCAGCTGACCTCGAAGAAGACCGACGGCTCAGTAGTCGACGACATTTTCGGCCGAGTTTTGAGAATATCCGAGGGTAGTGCCGGGTCTCTGTTCGAGCGAGCATGCAGGTAAGACGATCTACGGAGGGCAAAGGGTACAATCCCGTGAGGATCGGCAGAGTTGTGGGCTTTATGGAGCAGCCATCCGCATGCAACTGGGTTTCCCCATGTAAATCAAGGGGTTCTCCTGGGCAGTCCTGGGCTGTCACGGCTCTGAGCCGAACCATTGTTAGATGGGGAGCAAGGGTGCGATTCAGGTTCCCAGGTTCAATTGGCTGCTAGAGAGAAGCTGAAAATTCAAAGTTCCGCTATCTTGCGCTATCCCCTCAGTGGCGTTGCAGGATATTGGAGCGAGTCCGGGGAATGCCCCAGACATGACTCGTGGCGCGTGTAACGGTTGCGGTCCCTTTCCGTTCCGACGGCTAAGAAAGCATCGAGGGCATAAGATTCAGGCCCTGAAGCTTTGGGCTTGATACTTCAATTAAACGACTTCCCCTAGGAGCGCCCGTTCCGGACTTCAACTCCTCTTTCAGCGGCAATCGAAGAGTTTTGGATGCCTCACTGGCGACATCTCTATAACTTAACCCCGCATCTACTGGCCCTCGGCTAGGGTGTCAAGTCGCTTCCAACCCATTACGCCACAGTCGTGGTAGTAGATTGCGCGTTGCGGACTAGAAGGTCTAGATCAAGCCACATTGTCGGTGTCCCTGTTTTGCATGATATTCCGCACGTGGATGATCGCGTTTTTCCCACGAGGTCAGGATCGTGTCAGAAGGATAACACGCGGCGCATGAGCTACTGGGGTCAGGACGCCTGGTTGAGCAAGAGGCGTCACAGATCTTGTACCAATTATCAACGGTGGACTTGGCACAGATTACGTCGGGTAATATTCTAGGGGTACAGTAGCTGAAATAACAAGTGTGTTCCTAGCTAAGGAGCGTACGGTAGTCTGGTCTAATGTACAAAAGTACACGTAACCAGTGGCTCCTCCTTGGGTTACTTTAGGGAAGGGTTTAAAGTCACTAAGCGGTACTAGAATGACTGGGTGATTTCTGGATTGCTGGTGATTTCAAGTGTGCAGTGATCTGGGGTTTCCTCGAATCTCGAAGATCGATGGTTCCATCGCCTCGTAGCATCGCCTCGTAGTAGCGCGTGCATACATGCAACCCTCATGCAAGCGATGTCATCGCGGTAGATTGCAATGGCGTCAATCTCTTGCCGGTCTCATCGATGACCTTCAATTTTCGTGGGGAAATGCGCGAATAACTTCAATTCTCGCCACCCAGGATACGAGGTCAAGGATCGGGCCACCCGATTCCCCTCAGGGAATGGAAGCTATGTTGTCAGGAAGAATTGAGATAGGTTCCATCCCACTGCACACAATACCTCATTCATTTGGGCTCATTGAAATCTCTTCAGCACTTACGCTTATATTGGCCCCCGGCTCAACAACACCTCCGACGTCCTCATACACGACTGTTGAGAAGCTTGCGCTTCCGTGCATCATCTGTGTGATCCTTCTTCATACGTCCACAGCGCATTCTTGGGACCATCCCCTGTTTGTAGTCGCGGTTTGAGTCAGCTACCGCGTGCAATAGCGTTTCCATGACATGATTCTGGCATGGGTTCTTCCGTGAGGCTTGGAGGGGGCTTGCTGAGCATGCACCCAGAGACATACCATGTTTCAGTCAATCATCGATTGTTCAGCGGTATGCTTGCCCATATTCGCGCGACGAGGAAGCCACCTACGGAACACTCCGTTGCCAGAAGGATGGAGCCCGCCAGCTGTGCAAGCATTTGCTCTAGCTCCCAATGTCGCAAGTGATGATTTCGTATATCGGAAAGGACAGTACATGGGAGGAACGACGTAGATGCTACGTATACCTACAGTATGTCGGGGCTATTGCCTTGAATTTCACCTGTTTTTCTCAAGTACACATGCAACTTTCGCTCAGTTGTGCAACACACCGACCTGAGGGCCGTCTTTCAGCCCACGGGGCTTCCCTTCAGTTCGAAGTGGTCAAGGGCCATCAATCTGCTCTTTGTACCAGGCCCGCACCTCTTTATCACCTGGCAGCTAATGGAAGACCTCCAATTTTTTCAGCTCTGTATCTCCACATACCCCGATGGACATACGATGGCCGCTGACATCGCCGAGTGTCTTCTCCGCTTAAGCTGCGCGAGCGATTCCACCGATGTTTCATTTCCCGGCACATACGTGCAAATTGTCAACGTTACCTGAAATAAACAGAAATCAACTCAGACATTTGGGCACTAAAGAATCTTCTTACCGCAATGTGGCGTGGCTATGCGGCGTGGTCCCTGACGCACTCTACTAACCAATTGACAGCATCGTATTCATTATAACCAGTGAACAATCATCGCAACAGATAACCGGCCAACTCTTTTAAACATTACTAGGATCCTAGGATCTTCCGATACCAATATTGACTGGGTATAACGGAGTGGAACTATACCGGTGTCGGCGAACGCCACGAGACAACAATATGCTGGCTGGGTCAAGGCTTCATGCACGTTTGCTGCAAGAGAGCAGAAATGGCATATGAATCACAAATTTGCGACGGAGGACATGTATCATACTAAAGGTATAAAGTCGAGCCATCGATTCCCTCGGATTCTGCTTTTGAAAGTCATCAAAGCGCTCAAGTCCTTCACAACCACTTTTGAGTTCAGTTATACACCGACTACAATCAACTTTTGACGCAATCTTCACTTCACCATTTCTGGTCCAAGCAACAACCATACTGACTTTGTCTCCGCAATTGAGGTAAGCCTTATGGCCATCTCGCGAGGAAAAGTCATCTAACAGTAACAAGGCATCTACACAGATGACAGCAACAGGCCCCAGCATACCCTGGGTGAACTGTGGCAAATCTGCAAACATGAATGAGGGGTTGGATGGAAAGCGAGTAAAGGTGTACGAGATCCTGGTATCCATTTTGACCAAAACTCAGGTATGTCTAGCTCCGCCTTCGCCACGCCTCAAATGCAGAGGAGATGGTCAACCACATTGGAGAGACTACCTTGATGGCCCTCTTGCAGACCGCGATCAGGACCTTTCTAAGGGCGCTGGCAGTCTCTACAGTTATTTCCAGTGATCCCATCATACGAGAGCAAATGAGTCAGTATTGTGCCATCATATTCAATGTACTCGAGGGCTAACTTGGTAAAATAGTTTCGTTAGCTCTGTCTACGTATGGCGACGTAGCCAGGAGCAAAACACCCCCCCGGCTGGGTGGGTTAGCAAGACCGACGATATTGACAAGGGTCGTGGTGGCGACTTCGTCTACCTTATATGGAAGGTCGCGAGTATAACGGTCTAAAGCCTTAGGCTAATCTGTGTCAAGCTGGGTTAATATTGGGGCGGATATAGAGATTGGCAGCTCTAGAAATTATCCAGTTGCACAATCGGAAACCCTTTAGTGTTCTTTTCGGTTTTCATTCTTACGCTCATACGGGGTTTCTCCCGAAAATAGCATTTTAAGCATGCTTGCACACAGCTTCTAGAGCCGTGAGCACGAACACTCACATGGTAGGTAGTTGAAGATGTTTGGAAATATTTAGAATTCAGAGTCGTCCCATCAGTAATAGGTTATAACCCTGATTTTCAGAATGTTTCTATCCCCAATTACTAAACCTGTTTGTGAATCCCGCCGTTTATTGTATTCTGTATAGGTCTATTCACACCTTCATGGCCAGATCGCAGCAGCACCGGATATTCAGTTATCCCCACGAACGGAAACCCTCTCTTCCTTTGTCTTTTATCGGGTGGGATTCCATACTCAGGTTGTAAAAACTGCACTTTTGTAAACCAGGCTGTGAGAAAATGTGTTACTGGTTCATATTACGCACAGCCTCAATGTGGCGCGTGTGGCTGGCACCGGACGAGACAGCCGGGTCGGCCGACGTTTTCTCCGGCGCAGATTATGAGATGATCCGCCTCGAGTCACTAGTAATTGCAAGTACGCGGTGATCCCGCCCAATTTTTGCAAACTAGGATATTGGATGTTCCCTAGTTGTAAGGTGGCTCTATAGCTAGGGCCAAGAAACAAGGAAGAAAGAGAGGGAAACAGTAATTTTTCTGTTCCTCTAATAATGTACGAACGTGGCCATTATCCAGATCCTGGTTACCCCACCAAATAAAAAAGCGACGCCCCAAGCACTAACACATGAGAGTTCTTCACATGACGATCTTCTGCATCAGGGACTTTACTACTCTCTTTAGAAATTAAAAACAACCAGCCTTAGGCTTCTGTATCGACCAACTGCTATAGATAGTAATCTACGTGCTCGGCGTAACGGCCTGATCCGTGATATGACCTGAATCCCAAGTATCCCACTTACCCTATACTAACCCCCACAGAATGAAAGCAATCCTCACACCTAACAGAGCTACCCCAACAGGCGGCCACACATTGGGGGCCTGGAGACCGGAGGGAGATGAGGGGGAGAGAGAAGTGAGATCCCAAGCCGGAACCGCAGTGGGAACCGCAATAGCAGCCACTGAGACAGCACGAGGGCCAGGTCAAAGTTGCGGACTTTTCGGTCAAATAGCGGACATGCGGCTTTTGAGCAATTTGGAAGCCGCCGAGCTCGCAGGTTGTCACGCTGTATTGACAGTTGTACCGCTTATCGTTCATTGTGTTCCCCGACTTAGACCGTAAACTGGGTCGCGATGGGGAAGATGCGAAATGCGGGCCGAAAATGGTGGGGTCGCGCGTATCACACTGTCCAAGACGAGATGCACTATCCCAGATCCCCTGTGGCAATTATCACGAATTTTACTAATTTTTAAGCTTAAAATCCTGATAAGCTTAACTCCCTTGCATTTATTAGTGGGATATCTTTTTTCTCAAAACGTCACGGTTTGAATAATCAGTGGAACGGCCCGTCGAGCAGCTACGAGAACGGCGAGAAGGCGTGGTACGTGTCGTATATATACGCCAAGACTTCCGGCCAAGACGTGTGCGAAAAAGAGGCTTCTGGATGGCGGAAAAACAGGCTGCTTTTCCGATCTGGCTGGTGAATGAGACGTACAATGGCAAGAAAACTCCAATAACATTCCGGCCAAGCCTCGGCCGGCGGTTGCTTAATTAAACCCACTAATTAGACTCCAACCCCGAGTCTGGGGAGGATTGGGGTGCGGGAGACGGAATATAATGTTCCATCAATCACATCGGCTTCCTGTTCCCCCACAGCTCAGTTGCACAGTGCCTCGTCTTACATGGCACTGCCGGGGGACCATGTCGAGATGTCGAGGCTTGTCGCTAGTCTCCCCGAGCCGAGCTGCGAGACGCGTCTCCCGAATTCCGAGACGTTGGTGGAGCGTTGGACAAGTCGGCATTTCGACTTGGATTATCTCGAAAGAGACGTGGTCCCACATGAGAACGGCTCTTGGTTCTTACATGGGGATATCAACTAGACTCCAACCCCCAACCCCCACAGTTCACATTCCCCCAGATAACCCCCAGATCAGCCTAAAGGTGGAGGCTGGAGCCCCGAGATCCCAGCGTGTTTTCCCCGGGCCCGCCTATTAGGTCGAGGAGCTACTACGAGCTCGTCAAGTTCCGGCTGCTTGCCGTGGACCAAACCGGCCGCATTAGAACATGGCTGTGACCCCCTCTAAACCAGACGCTGCATGATACTGGCTCCATGGCCGGCTTAATCGACAACAACACGATCGTCATGTACCCGTACAGTGTCTGCCGCGAGCCCTGGGCCATCCCTGCCAAAAAGTTTTCCGCTTCGCACCGCCTCGCTCAGTGCCAATGGAAAATCAGCAGACCTGGGGTACGACTGGGGAGACTGGGGATGTTTGGACCACCCTCACTCTGGGGTTGATGCCCCAGATCGAACGGTCGAATGGTGCGTCGGCTCCTTGTTCGTTCGCAGGGCTTCCCCTCATCTGACGCGGTGAGGCATCCGAGAGTGCAACCGTCCTTATCAAGGTCGCATGGTCGCACCCATCTCGGTCCTGGCCTCCTCTCTCTCCCTCACCTCATCTCTACGCCATCTTGGAACAGTGGCCTGCGCCCTCGAAGAGACACCCAGATCTCAGAGTCCACGCTGAAACCCCCTGTACCACGCGTCGTTTCACCGAGCTCAACGGCTCCAAGTCGCCCATCATGCTCGAGAAGATCCTCCAGGCCGTCATTCGCAATGAGGCCATGAAGCAGGACCCTACCGAGGTCTACGGCTGGCGCGTCTTCGCCCTCGTCTTCTCCGCCTGCTTCGGCGGCATGCTCTTCGGCTGGGAGACGGGCGCCATTGGCGGTATCCTCTCCATGGCGCCCGCGCAGGAGAGATTTGGCTACGCCGACCTCTCGGACGGCCAGAAGACCACCCAGAGCCAGAACATCGTCTCGACCCTCCAGGCCGGTTGCTTCGTCGCCTGCTTCCTCACCTACTACTTCGCCGACAAGTTCGGCCGCCGCCTGTCGCTCATTGGCACTGGCGCTCTTGCGCTGATCGGCGTCGTCTTCCAGGCGGCCTCTGCTGCCCATGGAAACCTCGCCGTCATGTACGTCGGTCGGTTCTTGGCTGGTCTCGGTGTTGGTGCCGCTTCCACCTTGACTCCCCTCTACGTGTCTGAGTGCGCTCCGCGTGCTATTCGTGGTGGTTTGACTGGTTGGTCTTATTCCTATCCGTGGTTCAATTCACGGATTGCTGACAGCGCGTCCAGCTTTCTACCAGCTCTTCATCGTGTTCGGCATTATGATTGCGTTCTGGTGTGTAATACCCTGCCACGCATTGTCTCAGTTGAGAGACCTTTAACTAATATTCGACTTTAGGATCAACTACGGCTGCTCGTTGCACATCACCGGCTCAGCTGTGTACATCATTCCTCTCACCCTTCAGGGTCTCCCCGCCGTGTAAGCGACCTTGAATGTCGAGCAAAGCGACTTGTACTAATAACGACTTAGGTTCCTGATCCTGGGCATGTTTGTTTCTCCCGAGAGGTACAGTTCAACCACGATGCTATACGACACACGTTCCCGCTGACAAGATAATTAGCCCTCGATGGTGCGCTAGACAGGATGATTGGGAGAAGGCCACGGCCATCTTGGTCCGACTTCGAGGGTAGGTGGCCCATAATACGAACCGACGCGATATATATACTGACTTAGTCTCAGACTTCCCGCTGAGTCAGAGTACGTCTCGACTGAGGTCCAGGAGATGGCCGACCAACTGGATGCCGAGCGTCGTCTTGTCGGTGACGCCACCAACATCGTTCTCCTCAAGGAGATGTTCCTCGTTCCCAGCAACCGCAAGCGAGCCCTCATCTCCATCTTCCTCATGATCTGCCAGCAGATGACCGGCGTCAACTCTATTGTAATATACAGCCGCTGTACAGATGACGCACTCAGATATGCTAACACCTGGCCTTATAGAACTACTATGCTCCTCAGATCTTCCAGAGTCTCGGTCTGACTGGCACTGACTCCTCGCTGTTCGCCACTGGTGTCTACGGTGTCGTCAAACTGGCCGCCATTGCCGTCTTCCTTGTCTTCATGGCCGATTCTCTTGGCCGACGTCGCAGTCTGTTGTGGACCAGTATCGCACAGGGTCTTGTCATGTACATCATTGGCATCTACGGCCGAGTCCAGCCCCCGGTTAAGGGTGAAGGTGTACGTTGCAACCATGCTGATGTGCTTTTTGATGAGTGAGCGGGCGCTAATTTGATGTGCTTTGATAGGTCTCGGCTTTTGGATATGTCGCCATCACTTGCATCTACCTCTGGGCCGCGTAAGTTACATCCCGGCACATTTTCACGCGTTGGAAGAAGTAACTAACACTTTATCACAGCCTCTTCCAGTTCGGCTGGGGCCCCTGCTGCTGGATTCTCATCAGTGAGATTCCCACCGCACGTCTTCGCGCCATGAACGTTGCCATTGGCGCTGCCACCCAGTGGCTCTTCAACTTTATCATTGCACGAAGTATGTTAGACAGTTTGATAATGCTCGAAACATGATTGCTGACCTCTCTCCAGCTGTTCTCACTATGTCGTCGACCATGGGCAACGCTGGCTACGTAAGTTCACAATATTCACTGACTTCTAGCCGACATCTAGGCCCCGTATTGACCAAATCATAGGGCATGTTCTTTATGTTTGCGACTTTTGACCTCCTCATGTTCATCTTCGTGTGGTTCTTCGTCCCAGAGACCAAGGGTATCAGCCTGGAGAAGATGGACGACCTCTTTGGCATGACCGAAGAGGTCAAGAGGATCGACGATGAGCCGGAGACTGGACGGGCCACGAGCATCCACGAGGATCGCGCTGCTGACAAGAACTAATGATTCGCTTGACAGCGTTGCTAGATCGATGAGACAAGGTTGAATCATTCTTTGGTTGCGAGATGTGACATATATAAGGAGGCCATCCGATGCTTGGGTTTTAGTTATCCGAGTGGGGGATGGAGAGTATTTTGTACAGAAGTTGGTGCAGAGCAAATTGAGTTGTGATGACTCTCCACTGTTTCATGCCTATAGTCCGAATGAAGAGTATTTGCTGCATCGAAGTCATCGGCGAGAGAGCCAGCCTTGTTCTCGTACCAGTAAAGAACTCTTCCATTCACGAAGACTGTATTGAATCATTGTATGCAATGCAAGGGTCAAGCAAATCGTGACATAGGAATTCTCTGAAGGAATAGTGACTATACTATTGAATCAAGCGAGATTGTGCCCGAGTACTTGGCACCCATCAAACTTTAGATACTCAAATCCGTATTCTCAAACTCAGCTAACGCTCGGCTTAATGGCTTCTTGAATCTCCAACAGCCATTAATCAGACTTGTACACAGCAGCATATCTCACACGCATCGAGCCATCGTAACCGCTGACGGTGTTGTCAGTCGGAAAATCAGCATACGATCCGCCAACAGCGACCTGGAGAATGATAAAGTACGGCTGCCAGGCCAGTTGCTTCCACTGCTCCAGAGTGCCAACCATTTCCCCGGTGACGCGATAGAACTCCTTTCCGTCCAGGTACCAAATCAACTTGTCCGTCATCCAGTTCCCGCCGCGTCGGTCGACCTTGAAAGCCCAAGTGTGATACTGGCCGCCTTGGTAGTTGACGCTGCCGTTGAATCCGCCATTGTGGTTCCCCGTCGCGTCGCGGAAGTGCAGCGTGCCCTGGTTTCGATTGCTCATTTTGTTGGTCACCTCGAGAATGTCCCACTCGCCGCAGTCAGGCCAACCGGTGCCGTTGCGGTTGGACAGACCCTTTGTCCAGAACGAGGGCCAGAGACCTTTGTACTTCTCGGGGCTGCCGGTGAAATCGGGGACCCAGATCTCGGCCTGGAAAATCATGGCTTTGTTCGAATCGCAGCTCCACGAGCCGTCGGACTCAAGACGGGCCGAGGTCCAGGAGCTGCCGGATTTCTTGGGAAGAATGTACAGCTGCCCATCTCCCGAAAGATGAGCATTGCCAGAGTCTGTAGTGTACCTCTGAATCTCGCCGTTGCTGTTGCCGACACCCGTTCTGTAGTCCCATTTGGACGGGTCTACAGCTTGGCCTTGGCTTCCATTGAAGTCGTCAGACCACACAAGGCGGTAGCCATCTACTTGAGGGGGACTCATGGTTGCTAGTTGGGCGAATATAGTTGTTGGGTTTGGGAGGATGTTTTTGCTTCGAGAGACACGGTTCAAATTGTGATGTTGGCTTTGAAGTTGAAGAGCAGACAAGTGATTGCCAATGTCATGTTCATATTTATATTCAGATATTGTCTCTCGCCCTACAGACATCTTTCGACAAGTGGAATCATCTGATAATCAAAGTGAATCGTTGATTCCATCATAGGCTAGCTTGCTTTGGCAGGCTGAGTCACCGCGATTGCTGACCGCATTGCATGCTATATTTCTGCTGTTCATTGGCCATCGCCGAGTTTCAGTAAGCGGCAACCAGAAGAGATGATATGGAAACGTCAAGTAGAAGGCCCGAATGTACTCTTTTTGAATTGCGTCGCCGCCATAATCGGCTACACGGCACTTTGATTTCTGACAAGAGTGGTGGATATGCTGGCATCATCTCGTAACTGGGGTCACGTTGTGTCAGATTCATGCATAAAGTCAATCTAGGGAATTGAGGCCCTGCCGTATCACGACCATACACTCATAAACAAGTGTCCGGCTGTCATCAAATACGAGGTTGGCGCAGAGACTAACCCTTATGGATTGACTATCATGGCACCGGAACAAGGCCAGCCTCGTATTGTCCTAAATCAAGGCTTTGGCGATATCTTGAATGTCTGACGACCCACCTGTAGGCGACTACGGCGGTCTGGTGAAGAATGGTTGCCGATGTGACTATGACTGTGGAGATATAAGCATACCGGGCCGAATAGGCATTTTCAGAGAGAACACTTGGAATCATTTTATTGAGTGTGTGACTGTGCGCTTCTTTAATCCTCCCTTTCATTGCCACCGTGGCAAAAACCTTTGTATTCATGGGTTCACACTGCCAACCCAGAAATACGAATGCGCTACCTGCAGTAAGCCGACATATTTAGAGTACCTAGTCAGACGAGGGGCAATAATAAGTCGCGACCCTAAGAACAAAACGTGGGGTTCAGTTATTTTTCCGTCCAGCTTCCCTAGTATACTCTCCAGAAGTTATTGTATATCTAGTCTAATCTATATAGAAGCTGTAATCTTGTTTACAAAGAGTGTATACGAGCCCTGCTCGATATTGTTCAAGCTACCAGTGAAAGCGGGTCAAGATCTGCTTGTATGCCGGATACACTGCAGCAGAAGTTGGGGCCTTGTTGAGGGCGGTGGAAGAATGGCTTCACAGACGAATGCCGACAGAGACGCAAAAGCCAGCTGTGGATCTAGAAACCAATCAAACACTGGATGGAAAAGAAAATAACTGGGGGAAGTAGACAAAGCAAAATTATAGGGCTTGACGGCTTTAAACCTGGTGATAATATCAAGAATAAGGCCCGCGGGTCAGCTTTCAGGGTCTTGCATCTGTTCACTACCTCTTCTTGAAACCCCGAAGCGCAGTCAGCTCATCGCACCTCCGCTCGACGACCCGTTCAGATCCTTGTCCAGGTTTAAAAGATATCAAATTAACTGCGGGGATGCCAAGTGACCTGTCTACTAAAATGTAGACTCACATAAACACCCCTTTGAGTGCGCAGCGCAAGGCTGCAGCCATTGAAATCTTCCAAAGCTTGCTTTGATGCATGAAGGACCTTGATGACGTGCATCTAGAGGAGTGGCAAACGTTAAACAAGGAGAGGTAAAATCTTGCACCTGTAGTATAAGTTTCCTCTAAGGACCTGAAAATCTAAGCAAAGGCACCACCTCCAAAACATTTCTCACAACCCACAAACCCTCGGTTTATGACTACCTACTCTTGAAGCCATGGAAAGCTCCAATCACCCATCTAGTTCCTCGGCCGGGAGTACTTTGGCCCATAGTTCCCCCATGTCTGATACCGACGCCCACATCAGCACTCTCCTCACCTCCGTCTCCTCTGCCCTTGCAGAACGCGCAGAAAAGCATGTTTTTGCTATTGGTGGAAAGGTCGACGGCTCTGCCAGTTCAGATCAGGACGCCGATGTCTCCGTGGTTGTCCGGTGGGACTCGGGCGAGCTGGGTCAGGGTTGGAATGTTCGGCTCCCTGTCGGTGATGATGCTGTCTCAAAGAGTACCTTTGCGCAGCTTTTGGCAGATTGTCAGCCAGCCGCGTTTGGAGTTGGCAGTGAAGGTGTCCTAAACGAGACGTACCGCAGCGCGAGCGCACTGGATGCCAGCAAGTTCAGTACCGATTTTCATCCGTATGAAAATGGTATACTGGATACAATTATTCAGGGTCTTGCTCACGGTGCTCACCCATCCGATCGCCACAACCGCGGCATCAGAGCCGAGTTGCACAAACTCAACGTAAGCCATCCCCTATCCCGCAACGATTCCTCATGGCTCTCTCTTACAAGACGGATAGATCTATTCCGGACCGTCAGGAAGGTTGGAGTCCCATATCAGCACACCACGTTCCACTGAGCAAATGGGCTCACTCGTGGTTTGTCTTCCCCAAGCACACCAAGGTAAGTCTAGAGACCAGGGAATCCCCCCCATGCCATATCTAACACTATTAGGTGGCCAACTGGCAGTACGACACTCTGGACGAGAAGTTGTCTTCGATTGGGCAGACGCAAAAAAGCCATCGATCCAGTGGGCTGCCTTCTTCTCCGACTGCGAGCATGAAATCCTCGAAGTAACGGAAGGTCACCAACTGATACTGACATACAACCTATTCTGGATATCCTATGGGCCGGCTTTGATGTCAAATCATCTTGGTGTATTAGAGCAGGAATCCTTTCACTTCTTTGCCAGCCTCAAATCACTTCTCGATTGCCCTACCTTTCTCCCTGAAGGTAATCCAATACGACCGAGTCAACTTATTATGCTATTTTACTAACGTAATACCTAGGTGGTGTAGTTGGGTTCACGTGCACCCATGCGTATCCGCATATATCCAGATCCTCCATTCCAAAACTTCATCACACACTTAAAGGTCTCGACATGATGGTGTACCAATCCCTTCTCTGCCTCACTGGCAACGCCCGGGTAGCCGCCGTTCTGGATGACGAGCAATACCAAGCAAATATGCGAGAGTGCAGGGAACTATCCCCAGACCGTGTAAGCCAAGAGACCGAATCTGAAGACGCCGCGAAATTCCACGAGCGCGATGCACTGCTCACGGCACATCCGTGTCCAACGATTCTTTGGGATGTACCATTTGGTGACCAAGGCGTTGATCCCGCTGAAATCACCCATGGGTGCAGGTGGGATGATGACACGGCGTTTCCAAGATACCGAGTCACCTGGCTCAATCATGCCCCAAACTCACAAACGTACATAGAGCTTGCTGTGGCATATAATACGGTAAGTGGAGTTTCCCACTTTTGAAGATCGAAACTGACATCGGTTGCAGCATATGGATGTCGCTTCGTTTTACTCCTCAGCTGCTATCGTTGCGGACGTTTCAAGATAAGGTCACTGATTCTGTTTAGCTGCACACAGTGCTGAATGAGTGAGGATGAGTGAGGGTGAGTGTTTGGGATGGGGTTATGTCACCTTCTGAATTTCTGAAATGTCATCCTACCATGCTCTTAGCTGGTGTCCTAGTTTCCTTGGGACACCAGGTTTTGTTCTCGGCTAATAATAATACTCCTGGTGCAATATTTTTCTATTTCCAGATGTAGTCCCAGTCAAGCGAACGTCTACACAACTCCTCGAACAAGAAATGTCGCGTAGTGTAGTTATTTTCCGTCCAGCTTCCCTAGTACTCCAGGAGTTATTGTATGTCTAGTTTAATCTATGCAGAAGCTGCAGTATTGTTTATAAAGAGTGTATACGAGCCCTGCTCGACATTGTCCAAGCTGCCGGTGAAAGCAGTAACGTAGCTGTCAGCGTTGAGAACCCAGGTACTAGTAGAGTCAATGGTAACGGCAAGGCCAGCTGCTGTGGTGCCGTCAGGGTTCATGGCACCGGTGAGAGCCGAGCTGTCGGCAATGTTGACATTCAAGGTAGAGATGGAGTCGGCGTAGATGTCGCCCGTGACGGTCTGCCCAGAGAGCTTCAGCGTCGCATTTCCGCCGTTGGAACCGACACTCCCCCAGCCGTTAGACGCGTCGTTGCCAGAGACGTTGAACAGATAGTTGCTATCGCCGTCCAAGGTCAGTTCAGCGCCGCTGAGAGTGACAATAGCGTCGGTATTGGTAACGTAGAACATGCAGCCGCTCAGCGATACCATGGAGCCACCCGTCATGGTGAACTCGGAAGTCCCGTCCTCGGCATCGCCAGACATGCTCTGGTACAGCATCACGTTGTGCAGTTGCTGAGTGCCCGACACGCCCATGTTTCCTGAAACAGTGCAGTTGGTGATGGTCAGCTCGTTGAGACCCTCGATGACGAGCGCCTCAGACCCAGCGGCAGTGAGAATGGCATTTTTCACGGTAATGTTGGCTGTAGAGTACACAGCCGGCGCGCCTTGGGCCCCTGAAGTGCGGTATTCGCCTCCATCGACAACCATGAAGCCGCCGCCACGGTCACTGCGGATGGCGGCCTTGTTATTCGAGTCGATGATCAGGTTAGAGGCGTACATGGTACCACCGCCGGCCGCTTCAATGCCCCCCGAGTTGCCGCCTGTGACGTTGATTCTCGTACCGGAGATATAGATGGTCGACTCGCCGTAGGCAAAGACGCCGTCGGATCCCTGGCCAGTGTCTTCAACTGAGCCGCCGGTGATGTTCAAGACGGCTTGATCTATAGCCAGAATGCCCGCATTCAAACCGTAGAAGCTGCTGTCGTCATCCGAGGATGTATCGCCCGATTTGGTCACCGTGACGCCAACCAGAGAAGCCGAGACGGTGCCGTTGGCGATGAAGACGCTGGTGTCGTTGCTCTCGCACGAGTACGAGCCGCCATCGACGACTTGGCCGTCAGTGAGCACGTAGAGGCCGGTACCGCTATTGACAGTGCTGCTGCCGCCTCCTCCAGGGGGCGAACCGCTGGGGGCACCGCCGGGAGCGCTCCCAGTTGGCACTCCGCTACCGCCCTGCGCGGAATTTCCAGTGGGTGTACCGCTAGCGTCCAGCGCTGCAGAGATGGTGCGAGTACCACAGGCGCCTGATACAGTGGTCGACTGGCAGTCACCTAGGGCCCAGAATAGGGCGGTGGTAGCGGCCACTGCCACTCCAGCTTTAGCGATTGCGTGCATTTTTCTATCTTATATAGACGGGTGGAATAGTTCAAGTGATGATGGGTTATTGTAATCGAGGATGAAATGATGAATGTCTGAAAGAGCTTGCAATGGGAAGTCCAAACGAGATCTTTATACACTTATTGAACACAAAAAAGGAAGCCCAACGCCGCCACACATAGAGTAACGCGATGGCCGCGTATTCCATTGTCGTGGAATGGCCTGTTGACATATGCTATTGCCCCACGACAGGGACCGCTTAGTGTCAGATAGACCGCATTGAACCTTTTAACCGCCGTCGTACTGGTCTCTTCTTGTGAACCATGGTACAACACCAAAACTTGCATGACTCTTGGGAACTTTTTTAAAATTGATAAATGTATTTTGAAGGCTTCAATAAGGAAGTACATGGCCAGAGGCGACGTCATAATGGCTTCTGATGAGGAATGCACAGCGTGTTGTGGGTTGACTTACATACCCAGAGTTTTAGATGGTCCTAGCTGAGTATATCGGCAGTTGAACAGACAAGATCACCGCGCGTTACAACTGGTTTCAGTCCTTATATGCCATTCATTGGATCATCAAAGTAATACTTGAAAAGAAGTTGTCCTGATTTCATTCAAGCATGTGAGACTACACGCTACCAAGCACCAGTCATTTAGCCAAGTCATGAATGATCAGATTGCGACATTCTACTAGCAACAATATAGTAATGCGCGGATATGTGTCCTATCGAACAACCTCGTACTCGCTTCTCCAAGACCGAACATCATCCTCGCTTCCCTTAGAACTGACCAAACAGGTACCTCATGCCCGCCCAAATTTCCCTTCCGGACGGCAAAATGTTACTGGCCGGTACGGTGAAGCCACCGCCGCTGCTGCTGGCAGGTCGCAGCTCGAAGGCCCATGCAAGCTCGGCCTTGGCAACATCAAAGACCCAGTCATTGCTTCCTCCGGCAGTCTGGTAGATGGTCGTGCAAGTCGGGCCGTACTGGAAGCGCAGTCCATTCACGCCCTGGATAGCGCTCGCAACGCCACCAGCAAGGCTCATCTGTGTGTTGATGTTGCTTGCCGACGCCGAACAGCTGTATCCATAAGGCAGGAGGATGAGCTGGCTGTACGAGTGCCAGTCAACGTAAAACTTGATGCCAGTGCTCTGGGCGATGGATCTGGTATGGGCGACCAGGGCAGCGTTCTCGGGCGTGTCGCCAGCAGCAAGGCCGCGGTAGGTCTCATCGCAGGCGTTGGTAGATGAGCCTCCAGGGACATTCCATTGATAGGGCCAGTTACGGTTGACATCGGTGCCGACGCAAGATTGACCGGTTCGTCGCTGACGGTTCTTGCGCCACAGGCGATCGTTGGTGGTTGTATAAACGAAGCCTGCAAGGAGTTGCATCAGTCAATGCGCCATATGTATGGGATTCAATCTTGCCTACCATCGGGGTTCACGATTGGGAGGACATAAATGTCGTAGTTGTCAAGCGTTTTGCGAATGACAGCATCGTTGGCTTGGTAGCCTTGGATGATCTGGTATGTCATGTATTCGACAGTCTTAATCAAGTCAGCACACTGTACAATGTTCAACTCCTCGCTATGGGGCCAGTTTATTCTTACCGGAGCTGTGATCCACTCTCGAGCATGCACAGTGCCATGCCAGATGATCGCAGGCTTCTGGCTCTTTCCACTCGAGCCCCAGAGGTGAATACCTCGGATGGCTCGGCCCTCGACCGAGTTTCCTGCGGTAAAGAGCTCGGCATTTCCGGTGAATGCCGATGCAAGATCAGCGAGAAACTGAGTGTGCTGATCAAAGGTGTGGTATGAGTTGAAGTAGGAGATATCGGGAAGAGCGGTAACTGATCCCTGACGTTTCACCATCGCTGCCAAGATGGTTAGTCAACCCGACAAGCATTAGATCAGTAAAGTTTGACTTGCGCGTATAATCTTCAAACTCTCCCTCGGCGGCAAACTCGGTACCGAGATCCTCGCTGACGAGAGTGCTGTTGAGATCGAGAGCTTCAAATGCAGCAAGGCTTTCGGGAGCGATGGCCACTTCGTAAGTCAAGTGATTGCTCTCGCAGCTCAAAGACACAAAGTTGAGGTCTGCCAGGAGACCACCCACGGCATCGTAGTCATCGCCCGCCTCGATGCTGAATGCCTTGTACCCATCGTACGAGACCTTGGCGGCCGTGAGGGGTAACAAGAGTCCGAGCGTAGTGATGAGCTTCATCATTATCACGGAGTGGCAGAACCAAGGAGCTCGTGATGAATGTTAAAAGCAACAATGCCTAAATAACAACACTATGTCGTCCTGAATTTCTCGAGCGGAACTCCTATGTTAAATAGTTCTACCCCACGAGAGATACCCGAACGTCCTTCTTACCGCTACGCACATCATCTCCCCATTGTCCTGCTCACGAGCCATAGTATAGCTTCCTAGTATAATACCACCTGCCCGACTAGTGAGGTGACGCCGGATGCTAAAGAAACAAAAAACCCAATCCTCAATGCAGTGCAAAAGAACAAGCTCTTTCCAGAAGGTAGCTGTTTCAACACGAACCCGAGATGATATGCTTTAACAATTCACCTACCATTTCGAGCTAGGGTGGAAGAAGCGTGCATCGGCTCTAATTCGATATCCGGTTAGGCCACGGCTTGGCGGATCGGCTCTTGATTTCTGCCAGCCGATAATCTTCTCCTTTAAGGTTCCGTCCCGCCGTGGTGGTGTTGCATTCGGCTTCCAGTTCATCCTGGTCCAGCTAAGGCGCTCGGATAAGCATCCGATCAAAGCAGCCAGGACCGTAAGTGCAGTATGGTTAGAATAAGCATGTATATTGTAGCGTGAGCCTATCTCTCAGAGGACGGCCAAATACTTGATGGGGATAATTAGCCCGCCGCCAGTCGCTTGGTGCGTATGAGGAAAGTCGCTAATTCTTCTTCCTTGTCAATGATGCGCTGGAAAGCACCTCAGTGATAGTCCGTCGTATTGGGGCACTTTTTCTCTTCAGGACAAAACCAGGTGCGTTATTTTTTCAATCATCCTTGGATGAGCACTTTTGTGAGGTAGACGTGGTATGAATTTGGAATTCGTTGGGCTCCAATTGTCGTACATTTGTATTCTATTTTCCATAATGTTTTCCAGGACTTAGCCTGCAACGTGACCGCAGTGTGCGTTTGTGATCGAACATATGGTGCCTTTGTCGGATTTTAGAGTCAGGAGAGCCTTGCGAAGGAGAAATGGATAATGCATTTCGCACATAAACAGTGGTAGTGAGGAAGAGTCCAATAGACCTAGCATGAGCTACGCATACCCGCAACTTATATGGTGACACGTGCTATTATTAATAAATACACAGGCTCTTAGAAGGGAGCTTGGACGGTTGAAAATCAGAATTGGTTCATTGTTTAGTTTCAATGTGAAATTGTCTCGAAGATGAGAACATGTGTAAGCATGACCACCCCCCTTCGAAAGGATGAGGCCTTATTCAGGACCAGCAATGAATAATATAATCCAGAGGCTCTTGTATCATTCTCATCACCAGGAATCATCGAATTCTCCGTATTCTTCGCTTTCCTCTATTTCGTTAAGCCTCACCCGTATCATGTCCACACCTCGTCGAACAGCAAGAAGTCGAAGGACTGCGCGAAGATCCCCCTCGACAATCTCTGTCTCCGCCGGCAGGAAGTCACCGCTTCCTCGATCCCACTCCACCCACATCCGGGTGATACTCCTCTCTTCCCCCTTTCAGAAGATTTTGGGACACAAGCTCAGGTAGAAAGAACCCGCGAGTTGTTCAAAAGATTCGGCATTTTTGTCTGCCAGAACCACTTCGTTGAATCTTTTGGCAAACTCTAAGTATATGATCACAGGGACAAGGCCGTCGTTAGAAGACATGATGACGTTAGGGATGGTCAGAAGGAGGAGCTTGGAGCACGTCAAACAAAGGATGGGTTGGTTGACACCGCTTTACTGATGATGGATGATCTTGTCTTTTGGTCTAGAAAGGAAGAAAGCTAGCTATTTATACCCAAGCGTCTGAGGGAGCCAGATGCCGTTGATCCGATGACGCCATCATTAGCCAATGATCTAGGTTATCGAGGGTGAACTAGGCTCAAAGTCTCTATTTGGGTTCAAAGAGACCACGGTACGGATCCGGCCCTATACAAAGCTGACCTTTCCTATCAGGTTGTATGGCAAAGAAATTGGTGAAGAGTAAAGCTTAAATTACGGTTTTGGGATATTCGTTTTGGGAAACGAGAATATCCGTCTTGAACTCTTTGTATCATCTATTCAGAGTCCAATGCCTAGTTTTCCTTCTGCATCTCCAGGTCAAGTCGATAAGTATTTATGCAGATGTTTTACTAATTGCGGGGCAAAAAGCAAGATCGGCCTAATACTAAACCCCACGTCTTACAAGTTATCACTCGCTATGGTAAGAGTGGCCAGTCTTATTGTGGACCATGCTCCTGAAGCGGAATTGTACATTGCCAAGATTGCTGACAAGGACCCGTCCCCTCTTGAATTGGCCGCAGAGGTATTTCACTCTTCAAGACTTATGAACTAATGACTAATCTCTACCGCAGGCCATAATGGTTGCCGTGGACGATCTCAATGTCGTTTGTGTATCCAACAAACCAGATAGATGGCTATGGAGAGCTTGAAGTCGCTATCTTGTGCCCACATTCGAAGAACGTCCTAGTATTTGCCGCTGCCTCTAACAGCGGTGTGAACCTGGATCGCGCATATCCCGCCCGTGATACGCATGTTATTTGCGTCCACGAGACCGACTCGGACGGCAATCGTTCGAGATTTAGTCCAACAGCTCTTGCTCGTAACTAAACATCGCTACAGTTGGCGAGGCAGTGCAGTCGGCGTGGCCGGTAAGTCTCTGTGACATGTGGACGAACCCGGAGTGTGTCCAGTACAAATCTGGGACTTCTTATGCGACGCCCATTGTAGTGGGGATTGCTGTATTCTTGCTACAGTACGCACGACTACATCTGGCAAGCCAGGCACATATGCTGAAGCGCCAGTCGAGGATGAAGGAGGTGTTTTGGAAGATTGCTCAGAAGACTCAGCAGTCGACGAGTCGGGATGGCTACGATCACATTGCGTTGAGTAGGTTCTCGGATAACCTCTTTGGCAAGGATAAGAAGTTTATCGATGCGACGATTAGCGACCTATTGAATGGCTAGGGCCTGAAATTGGATTGCTCCAGCTTATAGAATTTGCATGATAGCGATGAATACATGGTTGGATGTGAAGATATATCGGTACCTATGGCATTCACCGGAGAATATAGTACCATTTCCTGACGATAACAGACACTTTTCATAGTCTTGTGACTCTCGACTGGTACAGACTCGTGGAGGCCAAGCGGGGTTGACGCAGTGTATTATCGCGCAACTAGGCTGCCAGCAGCTTGGATGTTCTTTACTAATCTTCCTCATCAACTCAATCTGCCGTCAAGTCTAGTTGAGATGGCAAACAACGTCTACTATTTATACTATGCTCCAACGTGGGACTGGCCTCCGGAAGACCCGATCAAACTAGGCAACGTCCTCATGTCGGTAAAGAAGCCAGAGCAGCCGCTTCACACAGCGCCGCTACCGACTGTTGACGAGATCTTCTCGTCGGACAAATATGAGGTGGAATACACCAAAGAAAAGCTCAGAAAGGGCGGGGTTTCTATCTTGGCCACCTTTCTGAGCATCCTCGGCGTCGGCGTCGGTGTTTGGCATCGATGTTGGCGCCAATTGGAAACACAGGTACGTGTGTATATTAACTAACTAAAGCCGTGCAACGATTCCCAACACGGCCGTCTGCCGCAACAGTTGTTAACTCTCGATAGTAACGAAGAGATTTACTCCTTCAAGCGAGTTGAGACTACTCATTTTGTCCCGAAACACGACTACATACAAAAATGCATCGAAGCGCCGGCAGTACGAGCCCACTTGGAACGAGGCCGCTATCGCAAACCCGTATATATCGTCACTGGACTCAATACCGTCTACGGCTCCAAGGCCAAGTCGCACACTTCCCAACCACACGGCGGCAACGCCTCAGTCGCATTCGAGGGCACGGGGTGGAGTGGCGGCGCGGTGCCTCCGGGTGTTGAAGGGCGGCATGAGACGACACGGGGCACATCATGGCAGGACAGCAGCGATTTTGCGTTTGCCTTTCGGGCACGCAAGTTCCATGTGAGTCGGAAGACGCAGGCGGTAAAGAAGAGTGACCACTACACCAGGGGCGCGCTGCTAGAGGTAACGATCAGATACAGAAGGTGGCGGAAAGCCTTCCAGAGCTTATTGTTACGTCTCAGGAAGAGTCCACAGCCGACGACGAATGCTATGACGAGAATGGGTTAATGGAGGGGAATAGAGTTGTACGTTTCGCTGTACCTAAACCTGAGGACTCCGAAGAGGAGTTGTAACTGATTACTTTCAGGGCGGAACTGGTAGCAATTAGCACCAAGTAGTCAATAACGTTGAAATGTCATCTCACTTGACTCTAAGCTCATCTTTTAGACACCAAGATCGAAATATAACCTACTGATACAACGAAAAAATATTACCATTGTCTGTATCAATCCCAGTTTCCAGCGTCCAGCAGACCGGCCCGACATTTTCGGGTATATCGTGGAAGGTATAGGGTAGGCAGGACCCCTGAGACACTCGGTCTTGTGCCTGTATTAGACCGTCGGTCTCGCATATTCCTCCGGTCAAGCCCGAGTCGGCTATCGATGCGAGATGTAAGAGGACATGCTTTGTAAAAACATATCAATTTTAGTACCACTGCACCTATGAATGAAACCATACAAGGGTTACGGATGAAGCGGAGTGCGGGCATAAGTGGATTCCCATGCGAGCAATTGTGGAACCGAAGTGAGTAAAAGTGGATGACCGCACCGATAAGCAAGACTTGGTGTACAACATGCGGGGAAATATGGATTCAAGGCTTCATCATTCACTCAATCAATGCTTTCAAAGCAGGTCAAGGTTCTTGGATGTCCCCACAGGTGTCTGCCGGGAGTGAGTACGTGTTAACTCCATGTAAATCCAGATAACTCCAGATAACTCCGTTTACTTGACAATATTTCATCCCATAAATATGTGACTTCTCGCTCTTTAGGGAGGCAGTTATCATCAGCATCCTCCATCCTTGACGATCCCATACAAACTACCAAGTCCCTTTTCCAAATATTTCCTTCCATTTAAAAAACCTGTACTGCAACCGCGAACATGGGCATCGACTTCACCGTATTCAAAGGCTCCGCGACTGGAGACATCGTCGAGAGCAAGGGCCACCGCGACCCAGCGCCCAGGGAGGTCATCGTCAAGATCTCCCACTGCGGCGTCTGCGGTACCGATGAGCACTACCGCCACGCCGACATGGGGCTCGGGCATGAAGGTGTTGGTATCATCACCGAGGTCGGGTCTGCCGTTCACGATATTTCCGACCTCCGAGTTGGTGACCGTGTGGGAATGGGCTGGTTCCACAAGTTCTGTGGTTACTGCAAGGCATGCTTGACGGGTAAGTCCCAAATTCTGTTTGGTGCAGGGCATGCATGATAAGACTTCTTTTGCTCACCTTCCACCTAGGTCGTCAGGACCACTGCTCCAACAGCACAAGTTTTGGCACCGCAGATCATGATCAAGGATGTTTCGGCACTGGCGTTGCCTGGGACGTGTCCACCCTCGCCAAGATCCCGAAGGAGATTGCTTCTGAAGATGCTGGGCCTCTCATGTGCGGAGGCATTACTGTGTGGAATCCCCTCTACAATTACGGCCTGAGAGCTGGTGATCGTGTCGGAGTCGTCGGCGTTGGTGGGCTTGGCCACATGGCCATCCAATTTGCCCACAAAATGGGAATGGAGGTAGTTGTCTTCTCGAGTACGGATTCGAAGAAGCAGCAGGCTCTTGACTTTGGCGCAGCTGAGTTTGTGACTACCAGCGGAAAGGAGAAGCTCGACGACATCGCCAAGTTGGACGCCCTTCTAATTACCACCAGTGCCAACCCAGACCTGTCTCTGTGAGTAACCTTGTTTCCAGAAGCGTTCGTCTTTCTCCTTCTTACTCTTCTCTTTCCCAGGTTCCTGCCTGTCATGACCCCGGGCGCAAAAGTCTTCCCTTTGACCGTTAGCCCCGAGTCGCTGCAGCTTTCGCCGTTGTCATTGATCATCAGCCGTGTTGTTATCGTTGGATCGGGTGTGGGACCAGCGGCAAGCATTCAAGACATGCTGGCTTTTGCGGCTAAAAGTGGTGTCAGGCCTCAGATTGAGAAGTTCCCTATGACCCAAGCCGGCATCGTCGAAGCGATGCAGAGGCTGAGAGATGGAAAGATGAGATATCGTGGGGTGCTTGTTGCACCATGAATCTGAGTGAAGGTCGGAGTACAAGACCAAAAATATGTACAGCCTTAATGGTTTTATAGAAATGAAGGAGTCAAGTTGAACCAGATTAGCCGCACACAGATCGGATTTGCCATTGAACCTCGACAGTCTAGCTTCTTACATGCCCGACTAACTAAACAATTAATTCATATTGATCCAACGCAGCGATGTGATTTTCTGTGTCCTTGTCCAAAAAAAGCAACTCTTCAAAATTTCCAGTTTTGCTCTCCGGAGGCGCAAGCCAAAGAAGTTTTGTTTCGCCGTAGGATATCGTTTCGTCCATATCCGAGTATTGGTTGTAAGCATCTCGGGACTCCCATGAACCCAGCTTCGTGGACACAGGGAGAGCTTTCAGGGCGTCATATTGGTTGCATATGCGATACCTCAAGTACGAGTACATGGTGTACAACTTGAACGCTATGAAGACCGTTCGACGGATGCTTTCAGCCAGGATCCAATTCTCCCAGGTTCGTTCTGCGTTGGCGAGCTCGACATTTGCTCGCTGGAGGAGTCTGAGCCCATACGATCTGATGATGAACTCTTGGCGTTCCGCAGTGTTACGCTGCTCAATGCTGCCGAAGAAGAACCTGATCAGCTGATATAATAACACCGCCTGTAGCCAGACCAGATCTTCCAACAGTGTACTCGTCACGACCGGCGTCGAAGGCGTGATCAGTTCGGACAGCTCGGCGTCTAGAGCTTGGAAGAGCATTTTGCGATTGCGGTCGTTTATAGAGACACACCCGGCGCAGATCGTCCAAGCTGCCCGCAGAGGCCGGGGGAATGAATCGGTGAAGAGGGCCTTGTGGATAAACGTGTTTTCTGCGCCTTGGGCAAATTCTCGCGGATAGTTTCGCATATGGTCCAGAATGCTATCCCAAATCTGTAGCCCGCCAACTGGTGGCAGATCACCGAGGTTTCCAGGTGTCTTGTACACAATGGAAAGCTGCTCCCAGTATAGCTGCAAAGCTGAGTGACGGCTGAGCTCAAAGAATGTACCAGGCACGCTCCTTATTTGACCGAGATCTCCGGAGGACACTCCACTGCCAGACGAGGATGCTTCCGCCGTATTCCGCATGAGAGCAGTGCGGGCTACATTAGCCTGTTCTTCCGTCCTCACTGGCAGCTGCGGGGGATATGCGTAGTGACATCGCTTATTATTCCGCTCGCACCTGTCACAAACAGGGTACGTTAGATCGCATTTGCGTCGCGATCTGAAGCAAGGATCGCACGATTTTCGACGGATTGACATGTTGGAACTGTCGGTGTGGATAAGTTAGCTCACTGGAAGAAAGCGTCCCATTATGTCGTCAGAACTGCTCTTGGAGATAGCGCAGTAAAAAAGGCCTCTTGGCTGACAAACCCACGGGCCTGGAGACACGTGACTAGAATCGAAGCCTGCTTGGTTACCTCAGTGCCTCAGGCCACACTGTGAAGGCCGCGGCTATGCGCGCTTACTAAAGCACGCTAACCCGATCAGGTAATGCCTTCACAGAGGGCCTGAGCGCTTTTGGCCAAATTTTGTGTGGCGTTGTCGTTCGTCGCTTCCTAATCTTTTCCGGTCGTTCAATCCTCCTCAACAGAAACCCAATGTACTTGCAGTCAATTGGTGCCGCCATCAACAATTCATATCATCTGGACATGACATTCGAAGATTCGTCGACTGCGACCACAGCTGAAGGTGGCAAGTCTAGCTCTTCGCTGCCACACGTCGACAACAGTCGCAGACGCTCACCCCGCTCGGAGAGCGAGAAGCTAGACATGGTATGCAATTTCATGCGGAAAGAGCTCCGTTGGGGTGTGACCGACTTTGTCAAGGCGCTAGCTTCTGCTGAAGGTCCTAACAGTACTCGTCGAAGGACTGCCTTCGTAACAGCGGTCTACAAGGACCCCGAAGTCCTAAAATCCTACTTTGGCGACGCGGATCAACTCGGGGGTGATGGCAGATTGTCTGTCATTGAGACATTGGATCTGGGCAACAATGAGTTGCGGAAAGAGGTGGAAAGACTAGGTACAATGGCGCCATTTAACAAATTCGATCCCACTCCCAAGGACGAAGAATTCGACGCACTCAACATGGACCAAACGCTAAATACAATGCAAAGCGAAGCGCCTCTGTTGCTACAGCTTATAAGAGATATCATGGCGCCCGAATCTCGACGGAAATATCAGCGCCAAAAAGAACCAGTTGCTCGAATTGTCGCCATCATATCAATCCTCTGTTTCTCTCAGCGGCAACACACCTGCACGGGGTTTCAGAAGGCGTTGGGTCTCTACCTGCATTCTAAAGGCGTGAAGCGTCAGCAACTAGAGCTCCTTGCTCGACTTGGACTCGTCGTCAGCTACGATACTGTCGTCCGAGCCATCAAAGAACAGTCAACTCAAGCAGTGATACAAGTGGAAAGAATGGGACAGAGTGACGATGTCGTAACGGCGTATGATAATTTCGAGACAATGGAAGGCGTCAAGGAACAGAGGGTTGATCACCAAGGCACCTTCCATTCGGTGACAACGGGCCAGGTCATTCACGGCATTGAAATGCCGCCCGGTGGGCTGCGACAAGACATGCTTGATCCCCGGGCGGAAATGTGCGCCAGCGATGTCTTCCTAGCCCCTGGTAATCGAGATGACAATATTCATCGTCAGGTACGTCATGGTCCACCATACCATGTCCATGGCCTATACTGATTGGCAACGGCCCACAGTAGATATCACGATACTTTGCCTACGAGGCCATAAACAAAATCTTCTCGACCGCCGTCCCGGACGCTGTAAAGAGGCAGCGTCCAACAATGCCTGTTGTCGATATTCTCGAACCCGTCAAGACTGTCCATTGCTCGCTCGGTCCCATCCCACATGACGAGAGCAGTAATGCTGGTAATATTCTGATTCTGGAGAATATCTTCCAACATCAATACCACCTACCCGACTCCGCCTTCGAGAAGCGTTTATTTCTCATCTACGGCGACCAGAAGACTACACAGCGGATTCGCTCGATCAAGCAACGCAGAGAAGAAGCTGAGCGACCCTACGACAGGCTGCAATGGGCGCTGCCAGTGCCGGCGCTCTTCCATCTCCGCATGAACTACCTGTACATGATATCCAGATTGCATTTCGGAGGCCCAGGCAGCGATCAATCAACGTTGCATGATGCCATGAACTTCTGGACCAGGAAGAAGATCAGCAAATCCAAATCTGACTTCTACGCCCTGGAGCAGCTGATCATTCATAGCTTCCAGGCTAGAGTGTGCGCCTTGCTAATGAACAAGCTTGCTCAGTTTGGACAGGGGGGGAACCTCGAGTTCGAAGACATCACTAGAATGCTAGCTGCTCACGATGCAGGAACCTTCTCGCGACTTCTCGATCAGATTGTTGACTCGTACGGCAAATATGCCCGCTCGACTGATGATGAGGAGCTTCGGAACCACGTCCTGTTCTTGCAGCACACGCAGACCTACCTGCTTCTAAAGTACTCGATCAAGCATGCTGATCTCGGTCTCTTGCGTCGAACCATCGACCGCTGTTGCCTGTACTTCCATGGCTCAGGACAGTCCCGGTATGCCTATGAGATGTTGTACCTCCACCGTCTCACGTCAACGCGTGCTGCCACTCCGCAATTGCAGCGCGCGATACTTGCAAATGGGCTTGTCAATCGCCGAGGCAAGGAGGATAGCTGGTATGAGACAGACAGGCTTGTGGAATTCCACAATGGCACACTCAAGAACCTTCTCAACGCCAAACGTGGATCGTCCCTCACGATGGATTATCTCTTCAAGCACTGTTCTCTAAATACTGACTTCTTTGCTGCTCTTGCCAAACGGATAGAGTCCTTTTACTGTATTGTTCGCAATAGCGAGCATCCAGAGAAATCGGCAGAACTTGACATCAGGGTGATGGCTCAACGCTTGTCGCACAGCGGGTCAATTGCACTGCACAAGGGACGGACAGTCAAGCATAAAGCTACGGATGTTCTGGCAGCAGGGGCACAGCGCATCGCCGGCAAAGCGATAATCAAGTTCAACAGAACGGCATGCAGCGCCAACTACGATTACTTGGAGGGTGATGAACAAGAACTAGGCGACGGAGAGGAAGAAGAAGACGCTGAAATCGATGAGGAACTAGGCCATTTTTTTGCACTAGATCATGCCGACGAGGAGTAAAAGGAAATGACGTCTCACAATTTTACCTGCTAAGTTTGAGCTTTTGGAGTGTTGCCCAAAGGCACGCGTTCTGTGTGACGTCGAGGACCTCCTTTCCGTACGAAGCCAAATCACTCCATTCCCCGTTCACTGCGTGTGCTAATGAAGCGATAGAAGTAACCGTTGCAGCCGTCCTTGATATCATGGTTACAGCTTTATCCGGAAGGAGAAGCTCGGCTAGCGCATCTGTCATAAGCGTTGAAGACAATACGTCTGCGGCCTTTGCCTCTCGCCACTCGACCAATGCCAATTTCACCGCTTCCGTGACGTGCTTTTGGGATTGAACAACCCTAACAAGCTGTCCTGCCTTGCTGGTAGGTAACCTGACCTCGTAACCTGTACATTTGGCGCAGCAAGAAGCTGTCTCTGCCGGACGAGTCCATGATGAGCAGTTCTCTCCGAAGAACTCAAGGATGCCTCTCCGGATACAAGTTGAACGATTGATTACCTCCCATATGCCTCGTGGTAAAGCGGATCGCTTCTCGTGCTCCGAGGTGCGCTTCTTGATGGACCGAAGTGATAAGTGTTCTGTCCTTTCCCCAAAACACCAGGGCGGAACTAACCACACGAAGTCACCCAAGATTGCCGTACCTCGTGCGGCTCGGCCTGCTCGCTGCAATAGAGCACCCATGCTCGCTGGGACGCCCCACTGAACGACGAGCCGGACATCTGGATTGTCAATACCCATTCCCATGGCGTCTGTGGCAACGATGACACGATGGATTGAGCTATCCGAGACGCTCTCTGAGTCCGTCTTTTCGAACTCCGTAGCTATACGCCTCTTATCGGAGTCTGAAAGCTGTGAATGATATGCCTGGACGGCGTCAATGGCAGCCATCCCTGAGCAACCTGCTCTAACCAGGAGCATTCTCAGCACCCTGACCGCCTTCATGATCTGCGTTATCGAGTCGACATAGACTATGGTCTTCAGAATTGCCTTGCAACAGGCACGGCTGTCGGATCCTGCTTCCATCCGTTGATGTCGAGTGCTGGCTAATACTGCCTGAGCAGCACTCACCCCACCTCCACGCTTGAAAGCCTCTCTTGCCCTATTCTCCCTTCTCTTCATGACAGCCTCCTCGGTTGCTCCCTGTACCGGTTTAACAAGGAACTCTAGATCGCGGAAGCTGTTTGCCGGATGCTGAATTGGTTGAATTGCGAATGTTATGTCGGGTCTGTCAATGGAGGTCCGTTGAATGTGAACCCAAGGATCGAACCCACTGAGATCTCGAACCTCAGCCAACGTAACTGGATCGAGTGTCGCAGAGCAACCAAACCAAGGCACGCGTCTACTAACCGTGTGACGCAACAACGCCAATTGACTATATCGATTCCTCCAATGCAGACCCCACTCGCTGACCACGTGTAATTCGTCGATGGCCACCAACACGAGGTGGTCTTGGAAGGCCTGATCATATAGGACCTCCGTCTTAAATCGCTCTGACAGTGCAATTTCTGGACTCAGAAGCACTGGGTCCTTCTGTTCAGCCATGATATTTGGTTGGTAATTGTCGGCCTAGACCTCTTACCGTGCGTGTATTTGCCGATTCGGATCTCGTTGAGCAACGCGGCTTTGTTCGACTGGGCGTTTAATACGCAAGGCCGGCAGCAGGGTATTCGAGAAATAGACTTGGCCTATTGTCAAGATTAGCCATTTCCTTGTTTCCCATAATTTTCTCTGTGCCTCGCCACCGACTGACCTGGTCCTCTTCAAGCAGGTTTAAGGGCATAATCATGAGGCAAATGCCGCCCCGCAAGGCCGGAACCGCCTGGAATACAGCGCTCTTGCCCCATCCTGTAGGTGCAATTAGGATTAGATCCTGCTGGTCTACAGCGAGTCTCCGTATTGCTTCTACCTGGCCGTCACGGGGAGGGAAGTTAAGGAGGTTTGCCAATGTCGAGGTTAATGACTCAGGATCGGGGCAACGTAAAGGGGTATGTAGCATCACTGTCAGTAGCAGAGACTTATACGCAGAACCAACTGCAATTTCCAAGGACAGTTGAGGGTATCTTTGGCGTAATCGGTGTTGGTGACGAATGGTACCGCGTTGCGCGAATTAGGAAGCGACGAACGACAACGCCACACAAAATTTGGCCAAAAGCGCTCAGGCCCTCTGTGAAGGCATTACCTGATCGGGTTAGCGTGCTTTAGTAAGCGCGCATAGCCGCGGCCTTCACAGTGTGGCCTGAGGCACTGAGGTAAACTGTACATAGTAGCTTCGCGTCACCCATAGCTTCTTGCCTCTTCACGGCACAACAACGATTCTAAGTCGACCCCAAGTTCCGTCCCGTGATACCCACTATAGGGGCTCCGCTCCAACGTACTAGACGGCGGCAGACCGCCCTTTGCTCTGTTAGAATTCAAGGCTCTTTCATACTATGATTGGTATGCGCTTATAGGGAAAGCCGCGCAGCTCGTGACAGTGGGGTTCTCTCAAGTTGTCTGTGTAGCCGCAATAAAACAGGCGGTACAAGTCACAGTAGTATGGGACTTAGCTGAAAATTGGAATACTACAAGTATTATACGTAAATATCCTAGGATTCAAATTTAAAGTCAAATATATTCAAATTAACGGTGTTGGCTTGTGTAGAGGTAAAATAGGCGATTTCTGCAGTGCTTAGTGGTGCAAGCCCTCCCTTAAGTTGTCGGTGTGACGAACTGGCCAGCAACAAAGGCACGCACACCACGAGCCACAGGTTGCTGGGACTTAATTGAAATTGGAGTCATATTGAAAATAAAAGTATCTCAATATTTAATTTTAATTTGAAGCCATTTGGGCTTGAATTGGTGGTGTTGGCTAACACCAAAGTTAGAAAAGGCAGTTACGCATGCGACGCAGTTACGGGTATTGTCACCCCCTCTCCGGTGAGGAGAGGGGCAGCCTAGCTAGCGAAGTCTGCTTAGTCAAGCCCCCGGGTAATTGATATTCAGTCAAGGCAGTTAAACGCGATGGGTTGGGGCAACGTGTAGGGAAGTCCGACAGCGGAGGCGCGAAACTTAATGTAGTAATTGGGACCGCCCCGTCCAGTCTAAAATTGGACGGGTACCGTCCCCCTATTGATCGCCCGCCAAGCTGGGGAAGGTGCACGGGCCAAGTTTTCTTGTATTTGTACCCAATACCAGTTCCGAGAAGGAGCGCGCACGAACCAGGAAAAGTGGTATTGGGTTCCAATACCAGTGGTTATTGGCCCAATAGGGTTATGGACTCTACCCCCCTGTCGTTAATCGCGCGTTTTCAGTTTGGATGGGTTTGCAAATCCCGCTACTAGAGGTGATTTGAGAACTTGCCTGAGGGGTCGACGCACGGACTGAAACCGCGTAATTTATTAAAATACGAGCAACCCTTGGTACAGTAGGATCGCGTTGGAGACAATGGTCGAAATGAAGACGGTGAGCTTGTTGATTGGTTTTTAGCGAACTGACTACCCCTCATTACCATCTGTGATACTGACACTCTAAAGGCCTTGGTCAGAGTCACGGCTGTAAGAAGCGCAAAGATTTCGACAAAGGCCTTCCCCTTGAAAGGCTCCATCGTTCTCGCTGTGCTGGAATAGGGCGCCCATGAAGAGAAACGGGGCGGCGCGTCGCAACTTGGGCATTCAAAATTGTATTCATCGTCTTGGCAAGCATAGTAGCGTGACTGGTAACACTCGAAAGCGAGATCGGTGATCTACTCGTGGTCAGCCCCCGACTCGCAAGTGGCGTTTCACATGTTGAACCTTGGTTGGCTTTCACATGTCGACTTGAAAGCAGCTGTGCTACCTTCCCCACACCGACTCCAACGGTCGATGTCAGTCAATAACTCACATCACGTCTGCATTTATGGCTGGACTAACACTGAACAATGGACCAAACTATAAACCAACTCGGGCCATTCCGTTCGTGCCCGCCTTGCGATGTGACCTCCTCACCCCGTTGATCCGATGCGCCCGTCAGAGCGGTTTAATAATGCTAGGGAACGGTCGGAGAAAGCGATCGAATCATTATACCTCGCGGGAAGTTCCGTCACTACCCCATTCCAATCCCACAGAAGCAGAGGTAATTTATTGGGGCTCGGGGTCCCATGAAATGGCCCTTCCTCTAAGGCGGGCGAGACTTTGTCAATCATCATTTATACGTGCATATTACGTGTGTCTCACTTTGGAGACGTGGCTCTCGAACATCATTAATTGTGAAGTCCTTAGTCTCTCATATACGCTCTGGTAGATCAAAGCAACACAGCAGCAAAAAACACAGTAATTGTACACAATTGAGCTACCCAATACCTCTCACTACAATGACCTTTTCAATAATAAGCCTTCTAGCTGCAGTAGCCTTCTGTCTGCTTGTCTTCCTGCCTCAATCAACTTTATCTAAGGTGACACCTTAGCCTTTGAACTAGAGATAAAATGGCCCTCTCCCTCGCCTGCCAGCCGCCCAAATCTAACATACACAAAACCAACACCCAAGACCGACAAAATGGCCCCACCATTCCGCCGTTGCATCCCCCAGACCACCAACCTCAACTCAAACATCATCAAAAGCTTAAGTGAATTAAAGGCTAAAAATAAACATATAAGGCTGGCTGAAGCCAGGCATGGTCAAACCCACCCCATTTCAAATGGATGCAGAGTCAAATTGTCATTCATGTCGACACCTTACTTAAGACCTCAAGAATCTCCATCCATTACAATGACTTCGAAACGCATCATCTTGTGTTTTGATGGCACTTTTACCGATACTGGGGATACCTCCGAGAGACTGAAACCAGGAAGCTACGTATCCCGAATCTGTCGCTGGATCCTTCCTCCAATCCTGTGGCAATTGCTCTGGGTTCTTCGCTTCTTCGCCGTATTCAAATGGATCGAGCAGCATATATTACTGCCAAGGCCCAAGGCTCCAGGCTCGACAAATGTGTCAATCTTGGCCAGATCAATTAAGACAGCTGGAACGAGAGTAAGCGACAATGGCTCAATAGAGTCAATTCATCAATTAACCCTCTATGTTGGGGGCATCGGAGCCCTCGGGAACCCCCAGAGCAGAGTTGAGGAGGCGGTCACCGGAAACACAATGACGTACAAAGTGCGGACTGGCTATCGATTTCTGGTTGAGAATTACTGTCCCGGCGACGAAGTATTTCTCTTCGGCTTCTCTCGCGGAGCATTCGCAGCTCGTGCAATTGCGGACTTTATCAGTTGCAGGGGGATAACCAGGAAACATACTATGGATAATTTCGACTTGTCTTGGCAGCGGTTCGTTGAAGAACGGAAGATGAGAGTCAATGTACAATGTCGGGAAGAGACAGGTGGCACTCACCGAAATCCCCCGATCCGATGTATCGGTGTATGGGATACCGTGGGCTCCCTCGGAGCTCCTCCCCTGTTCTTCCACCATCGTGACGATATCTCTACGGCTCGTTCTGCCCATAGAAGAAGTGGGCATTTTGACGTCAGCCTGAGGCCGAATGCTGAATATGCTTTTCAGGCACTTGCACTAGACGAACGCAGATTCGACTTTTATCCAGCCCCTTGGGCCTTTCAAGCAGAGAACGAAGTAAGATTTGCACAGACTTGGTTCCCAGGCGTGCATGCGGACATCGGTGGTGGTAGCTCTGGTGATCTGAGCGACTTTGCATTTGTCTGGATGGTCAGCAAGATACAAGAGGACAATCTCTTGGACCTGGATGAAGAATTTCTCCAAGCTGCTGTTTTACAGTCCTTGAAAGAGGGGATATCGCCTTGGTATCGCACCATTGGTCCTAGAGATTACCTTGATCGGCTCTCAACATGGCTACGGAATTTGCCGGCATGGATTACGGATTGTTTCCGCGTCGCACACAGAAATCCACACATGCTTGCGACAAACATCGATCAAACGGATACTAAAAGGGCTGAGGAGAATAAGGAGATCCTCGCGAAGGAACAGAAATTCCATTGGACCGTCGGAGAAAGGATGAGGAAACAACAGCCGTCTTATTGGGAAACTTGCCCCGCCCTGAAGAAGAGATATCCTTACGTCAACAATGACCCAACTGAAGCCGATATTTTTGAACGTATGGAAGTTCCTGTGGGTAAAGATCTAGAGTTGTTCAGGTATTTTACCACGCGCAACAGTTAATGCAGAGAGTTCATATAATATAGGGGGATTTGCCAAGGAGCTTGTAGAACCCATTACAAAATCTGTACCACGATTTGGGATTCCACTAGTTCAGAGTTGCAGGTGTCTCATTAGAAGCGGCCATGGCCCTCAAGCGTGCGCAGAATCCCGAATCTTGACCGTCCTGTTGTCCGAACCCGACGCGAGCCGCCCGCCGTCCGTCGGCGGAGAACGCGACCGAGCTGACCCAGCATGTCTGAGTTCTGCGTTTGCATGGGTGGCGAACTTCACATGCCAAACGCCACCTATATAGAGTTCAGGTCGCAATTCTTGGAGCAACTTCTAAATGAACAGATGATCACAACCGCCAGACATACCCAGATGGACCAACAATCTCACTTCCGTCGAATGGTGAATGCCATTGGACAATGCTGATTCTGAGTCCTTCTGGTTTTTTCCCTGTACCCCCTCAAGAAAATCCGGACATAGACCGGAAGATAGATGTGGGCCAGACAAGTCAGCAAACCGCTGAGTTATCCTGCATCGTACATGCTCTCAGAGAAGTTGAGGAGCGATGGAGACAATTCAATGAGCACGGTTCTGTGAGGCCCATCCAGGGCGGTCCGTCGAGAGTCTACAGGTGCATTACTCTACGAAACTCAAGAGTCGTGATCAATGCCCCGAGTATCGTACCAGGTAGCCAGAGGCGTTACTAGCACCTGTGCGGAGGGATCTTTGCTACTAGTACATATCAAGCTACTTCTCGACAACTAGATGATTTTTCCAACATTAAGCTTGAATATATTGGACCCTAGCCGTACGCCTCACCATAACATTATTAATGCCCTGCAAGCTGAATACGAAATCTTAGCCAATAGTATATATGAAGGTGCTTCTCTGTCAGACGGAACAGAGATATCACATCGCCGACTTCGGCAGTCAACAGCATACGATTTTCGTATGTTTTATACGGACTGTTATTTTCCCGGACGGACTAATAGGCCCAACAGCTGATCCTGCTATCAGTGGGCTAATTACGATCCCTGCCCTAAGACATCTATTGTATTCCAATTCCTCTATAAAATACGGCCCTTCAGGCCGTCAGTGAAAAATCAAGCTCTTCCATCGTCACCAAGCTGTCTCAACCAATCCATTCTTCCTTCGATATTCTCAACAGTTAGATGGCTTTTTCAACCTTATCCAAGCCGCTGCATATCGGATCCCAGCCGCACGTCTCACCTACATACCCCTCTCAAGACGGCAGTAGCGGAGACTGCTGCTGCGTTGGATTTTCCTATACCCGGCATATGCGTACGGCCGATGTCTAACCAACGCATACATAGATAAGTCGACGGAGTTTGCCGATCAGTCCAGGGATACGAATAGTTACATTATTTCGTATTGCAAGCTACAATGACGAATTTTCGAATCACCTTTTCCGTCTTTCAATCAGGTCAAAGGATGCGTTCCGAATGTAGATACTTCCCGAAGTCTAATGCTGTCACAAGACGTCTTTCAGCCTACCGAGCCACACTCAAGGTTAAGCTCTCATACCTTCATTGGCATAGCTGCCATAGCATGTGATAGATCTCCGGCATTTGGGAATCCCTGTTCAAAAGAGTTTGAGAAATCGGTAAATTCCGAATACTTTCTTCGGCTGTTCTGATGATAGACTAGCGAGGTTTATCCGATCACGCAGAAAGGTGTCACGTGCGATAGAACGTTCCAGAACCGGCAAGTGACATGCTGTTCGCTCCTACTCGTCGGAACCACTTCTAAAACACCATAAGCTCACAAAGCAGTCTATTGTAGGATCTGCAGTATGCTGAGAAGTGACTAACTCACCTTGGTCGGCCTACAGTACCATATACTCAGAGACATCTCTCCGCCGTCTAAAATAACCGAGGAAGGGCAAGGGTCCTCAAGTGGCACCTGTTCCCTAGTGTTGTTAACCCCTTTTGACAGGCGCATCAGATCAACGGAGAGAGGAGGTCACATCGCAAAGCGGACACGAACGGATTAGCCCGAGTTGGTTTATCCCCTCAATTGTGCGAAGCCTCCCAAGCGGTCACTCGCAAGGATCTAACCCAATAAGGACTATCTCTCCAGCCTATACCTGTATCAGCACTGATCTTTAATGACACCTTAAGTCGACTGCGAATAAGATTAATAGATAAGACCTTATCGCGGCGATAAAATCAAGTTCCTGCTAGCGCCGTAACACTGGGGCAAGTTACATTAGGGAGGCTTCGCACAATTGAGGGGATAGTTTGGTCCATTGATTTTCTGTGGAAGGTCCGAACGTGTTTCAGTGTTAGTCCAGCCATAAACGCAGGTGTGAGGTGAGTTATTTTTGTCACATTGACTGACATCGATCGTCGCTCTGGCTAGTGGGCATGAGTCAGTGCTGGGAAGGCCATCCGAGTAGCACAGCTGCTTTCAAGTCAACATGTGAAAGCCAACCAAGGTTCAACATGTGAAACGCCACTTGCGAGTCGGGGGGTGACGACGAGTGGATCACCGATCTCGCTTTTCGAGTGCTACCAGTCACGGTACTATGCTTGCCAAGATGATGAATACAATTTTGAATGCCCAAGTTACCAAGGGTTGCTCGTATTTTACTAAAATACCCACTTTTCGTCCGTGCGTGGATCCTTGTCTCCTGTACGGAGGGCCCTTTCAAAAGTCTTATCCAAGCGCTAGTTTGAAAAAGGAAATCCGACAACTGTGGCTTGGTTAAGTACATCAAGTACTTTCTATAGTGCCTTATCCGCTAAAGGCTGCTAATTTTACAGCAGCCTATCCTCACTGTATTACATTCTAATCCCCCTAGCACCCCTAAAACTATAGTGGATGTAGCAGCTAACTCATTGTGGCTGGATTCTACACCTTGTATCTTAGGTAACTAACAAGGATTGAGAGATGTGGCGCATTTAGCGCTTGGAAAAGACTTTTGAAAGGGCCCTCCGTACGGTACTCCGTATTTTTATTAAATTCCATCCTTTTTATCCGTGCACGCTGGTTGGGGTTTAAGTCCTTTGACCCCTGATGGGACTTTCTTCTAGTACAGTGCTACGAGCGATAGTAAGAGACAATGCTTTGGGAACAGAGGACATCTGAAAGCCATTCATAAACATGGAGGCCTCAAGAAGTACACGGCTTCAAGTACATAGGCTCTTCTTTGCATGCACATGTTGTATCTTGACCATAAATGGTAAGGTTTGCCATAGCTCAGCAGAGCGTCACTCTGAGCGGTGACATGGCTTACGCTAGATGATGGTGGCATAGTTAACGTGAGGTGGGCTCACATGCCTTTTCTCGGCTTCTATATCAGCCATCGCAATAAGTCTCCTTATTTTACAGTTTACTTATCGCGTCAATATCTGTAATAACAGTCTAGAGGATGTGGGTTCAATTAGACTACCTGTAAACTGCGAGCTTGAGCAGCTAAGCGGAAGAGTACAGGCTGTATTGTGAATGCTGTTGAACGAAGACAAAGTTTCAGGCTCTCCCTCAGCGTTCTAGGCTATTACACCGCGATTCAGATAGCACGCACAGCCCCTGTCCTGCTGGTTACTGTGCGGGTGAGCGGGGAGATTAGGAAGGTTGTGAATATGTAGTTGCATTGCTCTACGTCATTGTAATAATGTGCCATCATTCACATGTCTTTGCTCGGCCAATTCAGGTTGAATCATTCCTGTGACAAGTGTGACCAGCCGCCCAAATCGCATTTATCTTTTCGCAAGGTTTTGGCAAGCTTTCCGTATCATCGGAAGTATCCGTCAGAATGCGCAATTGACGTGGGTAACCGTCAAGCAAATACAGGCATCAAAATGACATCGACGTCACATGCTTCGACAAAATGAAGGCTGAGGCTATGCGCGGCTGCGAGTTCGATTCCAGGTTCGAGGGATCAGCCGGGCTGCTAACAAGGCTGCCTAAGCACGCATTGGGTAAATGCGGAGTATGCCTTGGGGGTTGGAACAGCTGCAGAAGCCCGGTAGGCTTGGGGACAAGCCACAGAGGAGAGGAGCATCGTGTTACGGCTTGGTCCTCCGTAATAGCGTGTAAGGCTTAGAAGGCAGCTGGAGCACCTCGTTGATAGCGAACATAGGCGATCAATGCCCAATCTTTGCTCTATAGCGTAACGGTTAGAGGTGCCCGTAATAAAGCCTCATTATGTCTTATGTAAAACTACTAGACGTATAAAGTATATAGGAATATAAGTGCCGTTTTGTGGCTGTTTAGAGCGTGTTCTAGACTCTAGGTTTCTATACCTTAAACTAAGCTAAAGTAATTATCATAATTTACTGGCTTATTTAGTAGCCCTTAGGAATGTAAGTGCCTTTTTATAGCTGAGATAAGTCATCATTAGGTTTTATAGGAGGGTATGAGCTATGTCTGATGTAATCGATAACTAGTGTCGGAAAGTTCCATTTTACGTATAATAGCTAAGGAAGTTAGGCTACGTAGGTATATCTTGGGGAAAAGCATTTATATTTCTAGAGTATCTCCTTCCCCTAATCCACTACCATCAGTCTGCTTCTTATGTGCGATTGCCCTTTCTTCTTAAGATCATCTGTCGTAACTAGACTGAAATCATCAAGGTACGCAACCTAGCAGGGACGTTGATTCCTTGGATTTAATAGCTAATCATAGAAGTCCCATCCCTTTAAGATATGGATCATAATGCCGCACGTCCCGGCTTGCGACTACTCAGTTTGGACGGCGGTGGTATCAGAGGCATCTCCAGTCTAATAATCCTAGATGCTATCATGCATAAAATTAATGAGAGGCGCGATCCAAAGATCCTCCCATGCCAGTATTTTCAACTCGCCGGTGGAACCAGCACAGGCGGACTGATTGCACTCCTGCTGTTCTGGCTGGAAATGGATACCAGGAACGCAATCATGGTATACCAGGAGATGGCTAAGAACATCTTTAGCCCCAGGCTCCCCAAGCTTTTGGGGGGTTATAATCTGCACGACTTAGGCTACTTTGGATACTGCATTGGCAATCCCTACTTGTGGTTTAAGGCCCTTCTACTTCCTTCTCGCTTTTCGGACTCTTACCTAAGGGAGGCCATTGACGTTGTTATGATGGGTGGAGGACAAAATCTCCGCAAACCTGGACCCGGACCCCCACGAATGTGGGCACATCCTGCCTCTTTGACGATAGATAGCTAACTATCCTCAGGTTTATGTGTGCCACTAGCATCACTCATGAACGCGCCGAGCTATTTCGCTCCTACGAACCCCCACAGGGCGTGGAGGACAGATTTCAGGGTATCACAGTAAGAGATGCCGCTCTCGCTACGTCCGCCGCTCCAACGTACCTACCTAAAGTGAAGATTGGGAACGAAGAATTCTGGGATGGAGGCCTCCTCAACAATAACCCCATCAACCAAGTATGGGATGCACGATATGACGCCGCTCCCAACACTGCAGGTGAACCCGATATTTACTGCGTTGTTAGCATTGGGACAGGCCGCGTTAAGGGGCCAGTACAACAGCCCGGTGGGGGATTTATCAACACCGTCAGCACAGCTATCTCGTACACGACGAACACGGAAGCTAAGCACCAGGACTTCAAGCGCATGATTGACAGGCGCAGGCGAGGGGGGGTAGATATTCATTACTTCAGGTTCGATGTGGAATTGGAGAAGGAGATAAATCTTGACGATTGGCAGAGTATGTCAACACTGGAGAAGATCACGCGGAATCAATTGGGGCCTGGTTGGGATTTAGGAAGGAGTCTTCAGCGCTTGTGAGTTGATGCGGATGGACTGGGTCAAAATAAGATGTGGGCGTTCTTGTACTTTATTAGTAGGCTCTATTTCACTAAGTGACCACTTCAACAACTACCACTTCACAAAATGGGAGAAGTGACACGGAACAAATATCAACTGTCAATACTCATAGCTCCGACACTCAAGCCGATGTGCCCATCTCTCGACCTCAAGCAGGAGCCCGGTGGCGCAACCAAGTCATTCACTCATGCTTCGAGTGTCGCGGGAGAAAGTTGAAATGTGACAGATCAGTCCGTAAACCTTGGTAACTAGAATGTTGACGTTTCTTTCTAACGAACGTCAAAGAAAAACTGCGAACACTGTCGGACGTCCGGCTATCGGTGCATCTACGTCACTTCTACGGATGCTGACGCTCAGCTTTCCCAAAAGCTGGCACAAATCAAGGACGCCAAATATGCCATCGATGACACCCTTTTGAGCAATGTTCACTACCGGCGTTACCAGCCAAAGAAGAAAGCTCAACGTCGAAAACGTTCCCGGACGCCTAGAGAAGCATCCAGTGATGATGACCCTCACTCAGATAGTGACAACGATCATGGATATCTTGAACCTACGCCCTTAGCAGTCCAAGATGCTGCATACGCTAATCACGCGGATGATGATCATGAAATTGACAGTCTTGGAGTCAAGATTGGTCGAATACGATTGAGCGAGAGAATCGGAGGCCTATATCGCCCGTGGATTGCGGATGAGATACGTGGCGAGCATTCATTGTAGGTGGCCGAGAGGAGCATTAGCATACGGTTAGCAGTATTATAATTTATGCATTTGTTGGACTTTTACTATCTTGGTTACGTGTTTTGTGGTTTTGCAGCTAATGACCGAAAACTTATGGTAGCAAAACACCCGATCGCCAGAACCAATGGCATTCACCCCTTACGCGCCTTCGCCCAGTCAAGCGAGTACCACCCAGCCTTGCTCCCCGCCCTTTTCGTCGCAGCCTTGCGACCCCATGGGTTTACCCGGCAGCGTTTACCTTTCATTCATGCACATTGCGGATAGTCATGTTTTCTTCTGCTCATCGCGATGAGTTACTGGCCATTTGGCTCTTTGGAGAGCTTGCAAAAGCATGTGCGTGACTCTTCGAGTCACCACATCTGTTCTGACTGCTCTACCGACGACGATTTTCCGGCAAGTGCCGACGCTTTCAGATGCCATCACCATATATTTCGTTCCCACCTCCCATCGTAGTGTCGCTAATACATCGTCGCAAGACTTCGGCTCCTACAAGACACCCTTTAGCCTAGACGGTATACCCGCGTCGAGCAACTTCGTCGACAGGCCGTCCGACACCGCCGATCTGGAGAAATACCTCCTCCCCCGCCGATCGCATTCCTGGCGATCATGGGGCAATACTGGCCACGACGCGGCTTTTGCGCCTTTCCCAGCTATACGAGTCCAGACGGTTGGCCAAGGTTGATCTCAGTCTCAGCAGGACTATTTTTGGGAAATGGTATGGCGGCGAACTCGGTGAGTCTTGGCGGCCTCGCACACCAACTGCAACGTCATGTAATCTTACTACTGTATGTACAGTATGTGTGTACTGTACATACTGTGAAACATCGAAAACTGTCGTCTTGGTCCTAAAGGTTCTGGTCCTAAAATAGCGTCCTTAAGATAAAGTGACAGTAAGTTAGCGACCCTACTTTTCGCGACACCCACTTTTCGCGAGCCCACATGACCTCAATCTCAACAACGCGTCTCTTAGCTACACGCGTTTCTACCTTCCAACATTCTTGTTCGCGCGTTTTAATGTATTTAGGCCATTCAGCATGCCCAAATATACCCAAGATGACATCCAATTGGCCCTTGAAGATGTTGCTAATGGTGTTCCGGTTTTAAAAGCAGCCAATCGCAATGGCATACCCGAGTCAACACTACGGTATCGTCTTAAGGGCTCAGAGCCGCACAAGCTTGCCCACGAACACCAGCAAAGACTGTCATCCTATCAGGAGGAGCAGCTTTCCAATTGGTTAGCCCTTCAAGACCGATTGGGCATGGGGTTGACGCATGCCCAGATCCGGAAGTTGGTTATGGCTATTTTAGTCGCAGCTGGCGATAACACCCCTCTTGGTAAACGCTGGATGGCTGGCTTCCTACGCCGTAACACGCGAATCAAGACACTCAGAGCAAAGCCAATCGACTCAAAAAGGCTCAATGGGGCAAATCCGTATGCAATTCGGTCCCTTTTCGACCTATTAAGTCAGCCCGGCATCCGGGAGATTGCGCTTTGGAATATGGACGAAACTGGGATCTTCCAAGGAGTCGGGGCCAATGGGCTTGTAGTTGGCCAATCACAGCGGAAGTAAACGATTAAGAAACACCCGGGATCTCGTCATTGGACCACTATTATTGAAGGGGTTTCCGCAACCGGAAAGTGCCTTGATCCATTACTTATCTTCAAAGGTAAAGAGACCCAACAGCAGTGGTTTCCAGCAGAGATGGACTTTCTGACCAATTGGGCATTTACAGCTTCCTTAAAGGGCTGGACTTCTGATGAGATTGGCCTTGAATGGCTAAAGGAGATCTTTATTCCATCCACAAAGCCAGAAAAATCCAATGAGAAGCGGCTTCTAGACCGTGACGCCCGAAGCTCCAGTGGTCGGGGTGATCTCAGAGTGGAGTTCTTATCGATAAGCTATCACATTTTGAGTGGCTGCATGAGATCGGGTAAACCGTGGACCAATCATTCCTGGAGGGTGAGCGTGCTTTGGCACGCCAACCGTTTCAAGGGAACCATCCATGATTCAATAACTGTTTTAAGGGCCGATGGAAAATTGAGGAAGAAGAGCTGGCCCTTGTCGCTTAGTCACTTGTTAACTTCGTCCACTTCTTGCTCAAGCTCACATCCACTTCCGTCTGCCCTGCTCCACATTATGTTATTGGACGGCCTTATCCTTTATAATGAAATTTATTCCGCCCGGGAGGACTAACCTCATAGGGCCAGGTGCGCTAGGCTATTCACAATTCTAAGTTTATTGTTGGATACGCAATTTGCTATATGCAATAGCAAAAGTGATTGATCAAGTGATGTGTATTGAGAAGGTTGTTTTTCTTCTTCTTAAGGGTTCAGGGCAGGCTTTTTATGCCTTTTCTGAGCTATGTGGAATCAACTAGAAGATGCTTGCTAAGCCAGTGGCAATAGGTGGCAACTTTTATCTTTGATGGCGATATTTATGCCGCCACCCGAGGTCACAATCCAACAGCTTATTTTGCCGGGGGGTCATCGGTTAAGTGGGAGGTTTTGTCAGGGGGTCATCGCCGTATTAGGAAACTTATGGGCCTTTACAGTAAGCTGAGTCTTTAATTGGCTGGATCTTAGAGTATTTTTTTCTGAACTCGAAGGTGTCCACTGTCCGCCCGTCAAGTGAGTAATCATCCATATCTGCTCCCGGAACTGCTCGACGGCTCGGCCGTACCTGCGCAACGCTCTGCCTCGGTACGGGCACTGCTCGTCCAACGAATCTGGCACCCACTCGTCTTGCCTTCCGGCGGATGCGGATAACTGCTCGCCCACCCAACCCTCTCCCGGCTGTACCCACCACTGGTTGGCTTCGTGGCGTAAAAATGAATATTCCAACGTACTCTCGCCGTGCTGATCCTCGATCCGCGACCACGGGATCCGCGGTATCACCTCTGGCCGGAACCCCGGCTCTGCCTCTCCGTCCCCGGCCGCGGCGGTGTCTGTCATGGTCAACACGGCCAACGTACGCCGCGCCTCCTGCAATACGTTATGCAACATATCGGATAACGTGCCCATCCCCAATCGCACGCGTTTGTGAATAATCTGGTCGCCTCGCCAATCGATCGTCTCCTCGCCCGGGGTCGTAAATCGGATCTTCAACCCGTACGAACGTGTATCGATGATACAATTCATCGGCGTCGGCTCTGCTTCCTTGTCATCGGATATCCGCGTCATGAACCGCCGCATCTTGCCTCGGATAATGCGGAACAACCCGTCGGCCTTCTCCTTTGCCCTCCGTTTACCTACAACCTGCTGCAACTGGGCGATCTGATCCTGCCGCTCCAATGTGGACTGGTATAACACTAAATACCGGGCCACCTTGATGACGGCTGAATATACTTGGGTGTAATTCACAACCGGTATCCATCCGCCGTCCGGGTTCAACCCCCATGACGGCCAACGCACTAATGACGATACTCTCGTAATGCTGCCCGCTCTTCAATGGATGGTCGAATAATTGGATGACGGCGTCTAAACAACTCCGTTCCAACCGACACTCTGTATATCGGCCAATGGTGTCGGTCCCGGCCACAACCTGCTCAACTCCTTGGCAAAACTGGGCCCACGACCTGTCTTGTTGTATTGTCGTGCGGTACGGCGGCCGTTTCCTCCCGCGCCGGCTTCCGGGCTTGCGGCTCTCTTCGCTTGTGCTGCCACGGGCATCTTCGTCGTCACTTTCGTCCGTACTGTACTCTGTGCTGTTGTCGCTGTCGCTGTCCCCATGCGTTCCATCCAATATCTGCAATCGCTCCCAAATACACATCATCGTACGTCAATGCCCCTTGTACCGGATCCATGCGTCTGGCTCCATAATCCCTTCAAACGGCTTGTTGGGCGTGATGTGAATCTCTTTCCGCTCCATCTCGAACAACTCGGCTGTGCCGGGACTGCAACGGCTGGTGGCCACATACGCATTGTCCAATACGCATTCGAAAATCTCCCACATCGTCTGCAATACCGGCTCGTTCTCGCCAATCGGCTGCAACACTTCCTTCCGCAACCACATCTTGTCGATATTGGCCAAATGCCGGGGCCATCCGCATCGTTTCAACCATCGCTGCGCCTCCCACTTGTCGCTGATATCTTGGACCCGGGCATTGGCCTCGCTTTCGAACGCTTCTTTATCTTCTTGCTGAATGCGCTTAATAAACTCGGCTTTGCGGTTGACGTCGTTCTGGCTGTCCCCTCTGCTGCTTGATGGGATGCTCCGACCGACCTCGAACCAACTGCTGGCGACCCGATTCCGGAAAAACCGCTGACACTGCACTCCTGTTCTCCATGGCACCGCCGGGTCGGCTGCTGCGGACTCCTTGGTGCGCCGACTGCGTGTCCGATGGTTTATCCATCTATGATGAACCCGATAATGCTGTTTGATGCGTCGCAACTGACGGGCCACATACGGACACTCATCACATCCTAATCCGTCCGGCTTGGGTGGCGGCAACCATGGTATCGGGGCTGTGGTTGGGGGCGGTACTGACCATTGCTTTAACTCTTCTTGGTTACTGATGATCCCGGGGATGGCCTTGATGATGTTGTGGATGTATTTGGCCTTGTTATCTGCTGCATGCTGTGCTTTCATATGACGGACTACCTCGTTGGATACGACGGCTATTTGGTATGGTTTATATATAACAAATGGGTACTCGGGTACGTAAATAAACGGCTCTATATTGCTGGGGCCGTGGTGATAATAATTATAATAAATACTGGGCTGTAATTATATTATTATTCTATTTTACTGTCTGATATATTGCTTTTACTGGGTTGCTGGGTTACTGTTTTTAACTATGGATTATAGGCGGAATATATGTATCCTCTTCGAAGAGTTTATTTATAATTTTCTGATAGTTCATTTATGATTTTCTGATAGATACTATATTCTATTCGTATATAATCTCTTCTGTATGTTGTTAATTGTGAAATTAGCTTTATGGGGATTTTCATAGTGAAATATCTACAAGTTCACCCCTTTAGGTCTTCTACAAGTTCACCCTCTAGTCATTAATAGCGCGGTTTGAATTTATATGGAGTTTTCAACGAGGTCTACTGTCTTCTTATCTATTATTCAACTCTTTCTAGACGGCGATTCAACTTCCTCAAGATAGGGTCATAAGACTTCTTCCATTGCGGATATCTTCGCTTAAATTCTTCAATGCGCTCATGGACTCGAGTTTCCATATTGCGCACCACTTGTGCTTGCTTTTTCCGCATAACAACAAGGCCCTCTTCATCTGAAGTAGCCTCAGCTTCATCGCTTCCTGATATTGAACTCAAGTCGCTGTCTGGTTGGATTGTAGTGCGGTTCTGACGTCTTTTGCGTCGGTTTTGCTGACGATGTTGGAGATGTTCATATGACTCTAACCCCTTTTTCAAAAACCAGATACAGTCGTTAACCTCATCGCATTCCTCGAATGTTTTAGCAACTTCCATTTGTCTTATCTGGCACCATTTCTTTGGGAAAAAAGGACTCTCGGGAGAGGTATCTAATTCCAGTGTAGGTATGATAGAAGGGCTTTGAGGCAGCCCAGCTGATACTTGCTCCCGAAGAGCAACCAACTGGGCATAGAGCTCATTTTCAGGCATTCGAATCAATTCCTGTTCGGGTTGTATGACATAGGGCATATAGCTCCTAGAAAACCGAGAACCAGCTAGTTGCCAGCCGTCAATAGGATGATTTGCGATGTTGGATGCTGGCAGTGGATGGGCAAGTGTTCCAGTCTGTCGGGACTTGGCGTAGTGTCTGATGAGTCCTTGATGCAAACTGGGCCACCATGTGAACTGTTTTTCCTCCTTCTCCTTACGCATAAATCCCCGGCTATGTGGATATGGGAGAATCCAATGGCTTCCAAGGAATGACCTTTTCAGCTCTTGCCGCCACCTCCGTGCGCCAGATTTACCTCGTGCGGTCCTGATGGCATGGAAGCTCTGCTGGAATAGCATACGGTATGGCTTCTCATTCCACCCCTGCCGTTCAAAATGGTCATCCTTCGATTTCCAAAGCCAAGCAAATAACACATGAACATCCTTCACTGCCAACCTGTTTCCTTGCGCAAGCTGAAGTGGCTGGTAATCTTTGAGCATGGCATTGTTGACACTATCATAGCAGAGGGGAATGTCTCCTGCTAATGCGGCCTCCGTGTATTCTGGCTTCAGAGCTGACTTGACGTGAAAGAAGACGTCCTTTCGAAAGGCACACAGGCAGAGCTCTCGAAGGTAATTCTCCAAGAGGTCGAGGCACATAGGAATGGAACTGAACTCGAGCATCCATTGGTAAGCCTTATCCACTCGAATGAAGTCGATCCGTACATCTCGGACTTGGTGGTATCGAGCGCGGTAAACAGTCTGCATGGATGGGTTGTTGAACATCATATAGGCCGCGTGGGGTTGGCGGAAGGTGAGCGTATTCCAGTCAATCTTGTCAAGAAACCAAGCATAGCCGTACACCTCCATTGTGCGTTTGAACCCGAGACCTTCGTATCGGCGAAGTCCGTTTGGCTGACTTGGATCGGGTCGCTGTCGTATATCTTGCCAGCAACCGCCGACTTTCTGTATCAATCCACCCGAGTAAGAGAATTGGAGACAGCGAAGAAACATAAGCATGATTCTTGTGTGCTCCCAAGTCACAAAATGCGGGTCCTGAAAGCTGTATACCATCTCGAACCCGACACAGAACTTGTTGATATTCCACCGCAGCCATCGAAGCAAAGTATCGGTCGTGAAACTATAGTATGGGGAATTATCGTTGGTGGGTACGACAAAGCGCATGTTGTGGAGCTCTCGGGAGCGCATTCGGCTATCAATCGCGTAGAATAGCTCCTTGGAAACACGGTGCTCTTCTCTGATGCCAAAGGACTTCTGCATAGATCCCAACAACGCATAGTGGCATCGGAGCTTTGTGTATAGATATGCCTTGATCAATGCAGCTGGCTGATGGCTGAGACCACCTCCAACAAGTTCCCATGTCTTTCTTAACTTCTTGTCGAGGGCAAGCGTCTCAATGGCTGTGTTTGTGAATGGATACACATTCCCTGCCGCGAAAACTTCCTTGACACTGGGATAGAATTGAGAGTAGAGAAGGCCAGCAAGACGGCGTGAAGAACGCTTTCCAGTCTCAATAGTCAAGCTTCCGGTATCTTGAAGCATACTGAAGGGATAAAAGGCTTGTTTCTGGCTCGCTTCATCAGCCGACCCGTGCTGGGCCTGGAAGGCATATGACTCCAAGCAGCATCGCCTGTATATCAGCGATTCGGCTCGTTTGTCTCTTAGATCATCCATAGCCTCAGCCGCCAGTTGGCTCCAAGGTACAACTTGCGATGCCTGTCGAGGGCAAGTTTCTTTTCCGATATCAAGATAGAAGTCTGGCGTAATGTGGTTCTCGTCAATGGCTTTGACCCAATACTCCTTGAAGCGTGATACCATTTTCTCCCAGGTGACGTCTTTTGTGAGGACCTTCAGGTTCTTTGCTTGAAGGAGGATAGTCACATCCTGGAACTGTTGGAACCCTGGTTCTTGAACAGTGGCGAGGATATTGGCCCAAACTTCGGCTAGTGCCTCTGGTGGTAGAAAGTACACTAATTGTTGTTCCCGTGCTACTGGATGTACACGCTGAGCAAGTGTTTCCACTCCACGAGCGGTAGAGTTATAGCGACTGTGGTCATAGCTCGACGGATAATGCTGGACATGGGCGCTGCTGTAGCATTTGTATATTGCCGGGAAGAGAATGCCGTCCGTCCATAGCTGAAAGTCTTCGTCTCGGAGCCGGCTGCACTTCTGCTCCTCTCGATACAGGTTGGGAAATAGAAAGTACAGAGATACATCCTCGAATCCAACGACACGGCCGAAGGTATAATGAGGAATCTGGTGGACAGGTCGGTGTACTTGATGTTGTATTCCAGTTGCATCGAAGTAAGTAACCGGCCTTGAACGGAGGTGAAGATCAGACTGAAGATCAGACACAGTCATCTGGGTAGGAGACCATCGAATGCCCTGCTTGGCAACCGCGAGGCAACTTGGGAAGGCTATGATGCTATCCACATCAAAGGAAACCCCGGCATCATCTGTAACCCCATCGTCTTCTCTTAAGCAAAGACGAGGAGGTATCTCGTCTCTGGAGCCGATACCACAGAACATCTCTCTTCGGGTTGCAGCATCGAGCTTTCCAGCTAGGTCATCTTTTTGGTGTGCTATAGTTGCAGAGCCAAGGATGTCAGGACCCAGCTCAGGTGCAAATTCCAGATACATTGCGAGACTGATGTGTTCATTCGGGTCTTCCGATCGTTCACACTCTGCTTCTTGGTGGCAGTTATTGCAGCATCCTCGAAATTTGGTGAGTTGTTCTGTCAACTCCTGTGCGAGGCATCTGACTGGATCTTGCTCGTCATTCCGCACCTGGGGCGAGGTTTCCGACGTCTCCTCGAAGGGAATGTTCAGATCAAGGCTCTCATCATTCGGAATAGGTACCGAATCCGCTGCGTCTGCAAAATCCATTGCATCTGCAGTAATGCCAACATCTGACGCAGCTTGCTCTTCTATCTCTTCCAGTGGCAGAGGACTAGCTGGGGGAAGGAATTCCGAGATATCCATACAGTCAAGTCCTGGTGCGCCAGTGGGATTGCCCAGAGAATGAACATCGGTTAACGCATTCGCCCACGCAGCGCCTGCCCCTGACTCTTGGTGATTCCCTCTGCTCAACTGAATAGGAAGCGGAGGCAAAGCAGAGAGAAACGGGTTGAGGAAGCTGGCATGCACTGTATCGCGTCGTACAGAGGCCGCCCCCTGCCGCTTCGCTCGTTTCCGCGCTGCATCCGCATTGGTCTTTTCCTCAGGTGTGGGATACATACGAGGTCGGCCACGCTTAGGTTTCGTTGGGCCAGTGCTAGACTGGGGATTGTCCATGATGTGACAAAGATAGTCAGGAAAGATAATTGGATGAGCTGTGGTCGAATACCTCTCCGATTTCCTCAACTCAAACTTCGGCGAGGTTACCGAAGTCATCGAGGTCCGCCGCCCCTCTTGGATATGAAACCCGGCGCGACCCCTTAATAAAAGTCCCATTATGTAATACGCGTTTGAACAGGGACGCAAAATCCAATTGTACACATACAGGGGCGTCCTACCATAGAGCGATATCTGATGAGCTTCAAAAGCAATATGAATCCTGAAAAAGGTCTAGGGCATTTTGAACTTGGTACTATTCCTAAAGTAGCTTAGTCTGTCCGCGAAAATCGAATGCGGTCTGTTTTGTCCGCTAAATTCTGATTGGCTGCAAGACACAGAGTCGACGACGAGGTCAACAACTTACAAGATAAATACAGAAGCCACAACGAATAAAAATCCATTGATCTATTGGTAGAATGCATCAAAACACTCTATTATATTCTTAGAGTCTATGCCGAGTAATTTTACTCTACATTCAGCTGCTAGTTTGAGTCGGTTAAGGTATAGTGGTTGGCGTATTGGATTCAGGCGTAGAAGCTCGGACCACCTGACCCCTGTCTACACCAAGTTTTTACGTCTGACCTCCTTCCAATAAAGCCTAGGGATCCCCGGACAGCTGCTGCATCCAGAAGCTGGCCGATACCTGCAGCAGCTCCTCCTGCAGCAACCTATCGGGCCAGTGGTCGCTCCGCACATGGTCCCACAGCTGCTCCAGGCTGGCCCGCTGCGCCTCCGTAAAGCGGAAGCCGTGCTGGTCCAGCAGCGCGGCCTCGTCCAGGCTCAGCACGTTCAGGCAGTAGCAGAGGAAGCGTTTCCAGTAGGTCAGGTTCCGCTCCATACTCGTCCTCTCCTGGAGCGGCCCGAACGGCCGGCTGTGGGCGTCGTGGGGGTGCGGGCTGGCCAGGAGCAGGCGTGTCATCAGCGGCATGCTCTTCAGGCCGTCCACGCAGCGTTGGAAGAACAGGTGGTCGAGGTTCGCCGTCAGCCTCTGGAGCACGTCGTCCTCAGGCCCGGGCATGCGGCTGCAGAGGTGGATCCGGTGGAGGTCTCGGCCGTTGAAGTGGGCGGTCCACCCGGACCGACGGAGCCAGGTCGTCGTCTCGTGCCTCAGGATGCCCTCCGCGAGCACCCTCTGCAGCTCCTCCTGTCGGCTCTGCTCATACTCCCACTGCTCCTTGATCTCGGTAATCAGCTTGGAATTCTGCCGCTGTCTGCTGCCGCCGCCGCCGCTGTGTGCCTCCTCTGTATCTATATCTGGATCCACCTCCTCGCCATCTTCGTCTCCAGCATTGGCCTGGGGCCCAGTGGTGACGCAGAAGTAGTGGATAGCGCTGCCGGGTACGGTGAAGAAGGTCTGCAGCTTTACCTCGGACCAGTGGGTTGGATCGGCCCGGCTCACCTGCCACTGATGCTCTTTCTTACAGTGGACCTTCAGCATCTTCCGGCTTGTAGACATAAACCGGCACTGCTGGAAGTCTTGGCATGCAAGGCCCTTGTGAATGGTGAGGCCGTCAATAGCTGCAGTTGGATTGGCGGGTCCATACCGGAAATTGGCATCAGAAGGGCGGTCCAGCTCCAGTGTATTGTATTCAGCAATAATCGTATTCCGGACTCGGCAGCTAAGGTCGGCATGTTGTCTGGATAGGTGGCTCGAGAGGGCTGATATAGCAAAGCCGTGGATCTTGCAGATAATTACCTTGTGCTCGGGGGAATAGATAAGCCAATCTGCTGTTGCCATTGCGAAGGAGGAGAGTCTCTCTTTTCCCTCTCTCTTTCTCTTCCTCTCTCTTCCTCTTTCTCTTCCTCTTTCTCTTTCTCTCTCCCTCTCTCTTTCTACTCTCTCTATCTCCTGTCTCCTTTCTTTTCCTCAGTAGGGGAGGGGGAGGAGGAGGACGAGTAGGAGGGTTACCTTCTGACCAATCAGAACGGGCGGCCTTAGGGTCGGGGCGAGGGAAAAGTGGGGACAGAGGAGGCAGGGGTTGGGCAGGATAAGAATATGCGTAACCCTGCGTAACCCTGGGCGAAGATGACGGGCTCGAACGTGAGGGTTAAGTTGGGTTAGGGAATGGCGCGCGCGCAACAGCGTCAAAGGCAGTGCAGCCGGCGGCCGGAGGAGCGGCCACGCGCGCACAAAGGGACGGCGGTCTTTTTCTGGCGATGCTACCGCGAGAAAGGCGGGAAATGGAGGAAGAAGGGGGCAGCGGTATTTGGCAACAGGTATTTGGCCCCCCCTGTTTCGGCCCCCACGGCTCCGTGCGTGGGCAGAATCCGCTGACCGCCCGGTATCTGGGGTCGGATACCGCAAACCTAGTGGTTTGGCATTACCTGATCGGGTTAGCGTGCTTTAGTAAGCGCGCATAGCCGCGGCCTTCACAGTGTGGCCTGAGGCACTGAGGTAAGGGTAATGGCTCCCAGAGAATCACGTGCGCTTAGCGCTTGCGTCTATTCGGCTAGTGCGTGGGCCTAAGTGCCTGAGGTAAGAATGCATGTTGAGTGTGGATGACTAAGCGATTCGAGGGAGCGATAATGCTTCAAACGGGCCGTACGGTGGGTGTGCCCCTACCCAAAAACACCACAAATTGGGTTTTGGAACTGTGCCCCCTATGGACTTCCGCACACCCGTGCGCTATACGACTCACTAAAAAGAAAAGAATCGGACGTGATAGCCCAGCTTCGGACTGGGATGATACGACTGAACAGTTATCTTCACAGGATAGGGGCAGCGGAATCGGACATATGCGATTGTGGACAAGCAGCAGAGACGATTGAGCACTTCCTCTTCCGATGCAAAAAGTGGACAATGCAACGGGAAGCCATGTTTAAATGCTCACGAACAAAGATTGGGAATTTGTCGTTCTTCTTGGGAGGAAAAACTGCGTCGGACGACGAAAAGTGGAAGCCAAACATGCAGGCCGTGCGTGCGGCAATCAAATTTGCTATCGCGACAAACAGGCTCGATGCGGGCCAGCAGCCATCGGCAAACTAACCTCTAGCGTGCGATTATACTAACAAAATGCAGCCTCAATTTGGCAGACCGTGCTTCAGCTGCTGAGAATAGGATGCTGAACACTTGCAGAATTTGGCCTTCAAGCAGGTGATACGTGAAATCACGTGAGGATCATCAGTCACGTGAGCAATGCCTCAAAAGGGCCTGCAGGGCCCTTCTGACTTTGCTTCATCATCATTCTTCTTCATACAACAATACAGTCCATCACCTGCTATTGCAGCTTTCCGGCCCTTCGTGCCCCCTAGGGCCTCTGGCCTAGGGCCATCGCCTCTTTTCGTATCAGCAGGCCTGTCATGGAACAAGTAGCGACGAGGTTGAGCAGCAAGCGATGAGACGACGATCCGTGGGGCTTGGGGTGTCAGGTATCAAATGTACTGAAATGTGAACTAGATTGTGTCAAGGCCCTATAGGGACTTCCCTCCGGGCGAAATAAAATCCATCCATCCGTACCACCCGTGTGGGCGACTTCCGGAAGGCGTTGGGCAGTACTCGAAGCGCATCGACAAGGCGCTGCCGGGAAAGCACACCCGTGCGCTATACGACTCACTAAAAAGAAAAGAATCGGACGTGATAGCCCAGCTTCGGACCGGGATGATGCGACTGAACAGTTATCTTCACAGGATAGGGGCAGCGGAATCGGACATATGCGATTGTGGACAAGCAGCAGAGACGATTGAGCACTTCCTCTTCCGGTGCAAAAAGTGGACAATGCAACGGGAAGCCATGTTTAAATGCTCGCGAACAAAGATTGGGAATTTGTCATTCTTCTTAGGAGGGAAAGCTGCATCAGACGACGAAAAGTGGAAGCCAGACATGCAGGCCGTGCTTGCGACAATCAAATTTGCTATCGCGACAAACAGGCTCGATGCGGGCCAGCGGCCATCGGCAAACTAACCTCTAGCGTGCGACTATACTAACAAAAAGCAGCCTCGATTTTGGCAGACCGTGCTTCAGCTGCCGAGGATAGGACGCTGAACACTTGCAGAATTTGGCCTTCAAGCAGGCCTGTCATGGAACAAGCAGCGACGAGGTTGAGCAGCAAGCGATGAGACGACGATCCGTGGGGCTTGGGGTGTCAGGTACCAAATGTTCTGAAATGTGAACTAGATTGTGTCAAGGCCCTATAGGGACTTCCCTCCGGGCGAAATAAAATCCATCCATCCATCCGTACCACCCCGTGATCTAGAGTCAGTTGTGAAGTTGGCCGGCCGCTCCAGGTCGAGCTCCCCCTCAATGCAGGTCGTGACTCGACGACCCGCGGCGGCCAAGTCACGAAGCTCTGTGCGGTACGATGCAGGCGAGGCTGGTCATGACCGTGTCGCGACGCGTCGGCGCCATGCTGTTCTCGTACTCCACTGGCTGGGATGGAGAATGGAGAACTCTATTGACAGTTTTGTTCGCCCAAACACGTCGGCGATGGAGAAGCACGAACTCGAGTACTCGACTCTACTGCCTTAGAGAATTTGTCCATAAGCAGGTCCCTTGACGAGACGAGACACAACAGTAACGCATGATTGGTGAAGAGCGTGTGATGCCGCCTTGCCGTACCAGCATGTGAACGATATGATTGGGCGAGAGGTGCCCATTCAATTGCGAGTAAGCGCCTGTGGCTGATGGGGTCAGATGACCGACTTACTTCTGCCTAATGTTGCCCAACCGCTTTTTGTTTGAGCGATGGTCGCAGTGTCGTGGCTTCTTTCATCATCGTTGTACTTTTTGCGGTACTGTACGCTCTGTCAATTGAACTTCGGCGCAGATCCTAAAATCCCACTGAACCCCCGCGATTAGAGGGGACAAGTTGCGCTGTCAGGTTGGTTGTTGTGCTTGGCGACAGCGATCTGCAGGCGGATCCAACTCGTCCAGGTGGAGGCAAGTGATCTTTCTAAGAAACCTCAGCGACCAAACACTAATCCTTCTTCGTAGCTCAACTTGCCACTGGATTATCCTGCGAGCGAACATGTCTCAACCTAACGACTACACAATCGGCTGGATATGCGCCATAAGAACGGAGTACGTTGCTGCACGAGCATTTCTTGACGAGGAACATAAAGGGCCGGGAGCTGTGTCGCCCAATGACAACAATGCTTATACACTGGGCAAAATAGGGGAGCACAATGTCGTCATTGCTGTCTTACCTGACGGTCAGTACGGCATATCCTCTGCTGCAAGTGTCGCAAGAGACATGATGCACAGCTTTCCTAATATTAGAGTTGGTCTGATGGTCGGCATTGGGGGCGGCGCGCCAAGCAAAAAGCATGACATCCGTCTGGGCGACATTGTGGTCAGCGCTCCTCGAGAGGGGAAAGGGGGCGTGCTCCAGTACGACTTTGGCAAAACCATTCAAGATCAGAGCTTCAGACCAACAGGGTTTCTAAATCAACCTCCAGCTGTCCTGCTTACAGCGGTGACTGTAATTAGCGGCCAGTACGAGAGCGATGGCCACAGTCTTGAAGAGGAGATAAACAACATTCTCCGAAAGAAGCCAAGACTGCGGAAGAAGTACAGCCGGCCAGACCCAAGCAGTGACAGGCTGTATCAGTCCGAAGTCGTGCATCCCGCAGATAGCGACTCAAGCTGCGTGGCAGCCTGTGGTAGTGATCTATCGAAGCTGATACTGCGATCCGAACGGACTCAAGACGAGGATAATCCGACAATCCACTACGGCGTTATTGCCTCGGGAAACCAGCTGATGAAGGATGCTTCGGTCAGGGATAAGCTTGCCGCGGAAGAAAACATTCTATGCTTTGAAATGGAAGCGGCGGGGTTGATGAACCACTTTCCTTGCCTGGCTATCCGCGGTATATGCGACTACTCGGATTCCCACAAAAACAAGGAGTGGCAGGGCTATGCTGCAATGGTGGCTGCTGCATATGCGAAAGATATCCTCTGTCGAATCGCTCCAAGTAGAGTTGAAACTGAGAAGAAGATCGGCGATATTCTATCCGGTAATCCAAAGGTTTAGAATCATACCATTAACACATGTTAATCCTATGTACAGGCCTTCATGAAGTTGCAGAGGAGCACCGAGACATTGCAAAGCAGACCCGGGACAGTGCAAAGGAGCAGCTCCAAGTCCAGAGAGATCTAGCCAAGGAGAGACTGTCCAAAGAAGAACAAGAAAAAGAAGAGAGAAAGCAAATGTGTCACCAGCTGTTCCGCCTCACAACCAGCAGCAGGGACGCCACATACGAGTGGTATAAAGACCGAGTGGAAGAAAGGGTTGAGGACACGTGCCTGTGGTTCCTCAAGCACGAGCACTTCCAGATGTGGTTGAACCGAGAATCTGGCCCCCTGCTGGTCTCAGCAGATCCTGGCTGTGGAAAGTCGGTGCTGGCCAAGTACCTGATCGACCATGGCCTGCCACGATCGACAACCATCTGCTACTTCTTCTTTAAAGACCAAGACCAGAACACCGTCCGGCAAGCGCTTTGCGCACTGCTTCACCAGCTCTTCTGTCAGAAGCCGTCTCTGATCGAACATGCCATGACACAATTCCGCAAGGATGGGCAAGGTTTGATCAACTCTACAGAATCGCTCTGGAAGGTTCTACGAAACGCTATAAAAGATCCCAAGGCAGGACCTGTAATTATGGTCCTTGATGCCCTGGACGAATGTGCCGAATCAGAGTTTGCAGACTTGATGCGGAATGTGGAGAGCCAATTCCGCAGCGACCACTTGGGCCATGGCAAGTTGAAGTATCTTCTAACATGCCGCCCGTATGACCAGATCGTGTCCAAGTTCCGCGGTCTATTGGACGCTTTTCCAAATATCCGTATACCAGGAGAGGAAGAGTCGGAAACCATCAGCCAGGAGGTGAATCACGTCATTACGCGCCGGATCAATCAGCTGTCGAGGAAGAAGCGCCTCTCACCCCAAATCAAGAGCCACCTGGAGAAAAGACTACGGGAGACTACCCACCGCACTTATCTTTGGGTATACCTTGTGTTCGACTCCTTGGAGAAAGAAGACTTTAAAAGGACAGTAAAGGGGGTCGAGTCCGCCATTGCAACGCTTCCGAGGAGCATTACTGAGGCATATGAGCAAATTTTGAACAAGTCTAAGCAACGTCCCACGGTTCGGAAGGCTTTAAGTATCATCTTGGCCGCGAATCGGCCGCTAACACTCTCGGAAATGAACGTTGCCATGAATATAGACGACAGATCAGAGTCCATTCACGGCCTCGACCTGGAGGATGAAGAGGATTTTAAGACGCGTCTAAGGTCTTGGTGTGGATTATTCATCTCAATCTATCATGGCAAGATTTATTTCCTTCATCAAACTGCGCGCGAGTTTCTCCTCGCGGATTTGGCATCGCCGACAACCGTTCCGCCAGAGCTACACTGGCATCACTCCATCACTTCTAAATACGCACACGCTGTTCTTGCAGAGGTGTGCGTGCTCTATCTAGACTTCTTTAACTCTGATGTTAGCCATCCGACACATGCGAATCGGAAAGCCGGCCACTCTGTTGATTGTCACGCCTTATTAGATTACTCGGCCGAAAATTGGGGCGCTCACTTCAGCAAGGCTGGTATCGTGGATGACGCCGCCATTTTACCTTTCGCCCTGAGAATTTGTGATCCGGATTCGAAGAGCTATTCGGCATGGTTTAGAATCTATTGGGAGACTACGCGTATGAAGGCCACCGAGTATTTTACGGATCTTATGATAGCGTCGTATTTTGGCCATGGTGCCGTTGTCAAGGCGCTGCTCGAGAATGGCGCCGAGATCGAGGCGGAGGACAGCGAGTATGGTCGGACGCCGCTGTCGTGGGCGGCACCATACGGATCCGAGAAAGTTGTGAATCTGCTGCTCGCCAAGGGTGTAGACCCAGACGCAAAAGACAAAGGTGGTCGAACGCCGCTATCATGGGCAGCAACCCGCGGGAACGAGGCGGCCGTGAAGCTGTTGCTCGCCAAGGATACCGTTGACCCGTGTTTGAAGGATGACGATCAGACGCCGATGTCGTGGACCGGGGACGATTCTGTTGTGATGCTGATTCTCTCGAAGGACTGTGTCTACCCAGACTCGAAGGACCACCACGGTCGGACGCCGCTGTGGTGGGCAGCAAGAAACGGACATGAGAACGTCGTGAGACTGCTGCTCGCAAAAGACTGTGTTGTTCCGTACTCGAAGGATGTCGACGGTCGGACGCCGCTATCAATGGCCGCCAGCAATGGGCATAAGACAGTCGTCGAACTGATCCTCGCAAAGGACGGCGTCGACCCAGACTCAGAGGATAATAACGGCCGGACGCCGCTGTGGTGGGCAATAGTAAACGGCCATGAGGCGGTTGTGCAGCTGCTACTTGCAAAGGACGGTGCTGAGAAAGATAGCAATATCTGGGCGGTGTTATTGTGGGGCGCAGGGATCCAGCGCGAAGTAACGCCACTGCGGGACGGCGGTGGCCCGGCATTACAGGACGACTACGGGAGGACGCTATTGTTGTGGGCTGCAGAGAGAGGGTATAAGGCCGTCGTGGAGCTGCTACTCGCTAAAGACGACGTCGAGCCAGACTCGAAGGATAACAATGGACTGACGCCACTGTCGTGGGCTGCTGTGAACGGGCACGAGGCTGTCGTCAAGCTGCTGCTCGAGGCTGGCGCCGACGTCGAGGCGAAGGCCAGCTCTGGTCGCACGCTGTTATGGGTGGCCGCAAAGAGGGGGTCCAAGGGCGTCGTCAAGCTGCTGCTCGAGGCTGGCGCCGACGTCGAGGCGAAGGACACCGACTATGGTCACACGCCGCTATGGGTGGCCGCGGAGTGGGGACACGAGGCTGTCGTCAAGCTGCTGCTCGAGGCTGGCGCCGACGTCGAGGCGAAGGCCAACTCTGGTCACACGCCGCTATGGGTGGCCGCGGAGAGGGGACACGAGGCTGTCGTCAGAATGCTGCTCGAGGCTGGCGCCGACGTCGAGGCGAAGGCCAGCTCTGGTCGCACGCTGTTATGGGTGGCCGCAAAGAGGGGGTCCAAGGGCGTCGTCAAGCTGCTGCTCGAGGCTGGCGCCGACGTCGAGGCGAAGGACACCGACTATGGTCACACGCCGCTATGGGTGGCCGCGGAGTGGGGACACGAGGCTGTCGTCAAGCTGCTGCTCGAGGCTGGCGCCGACGTCGAGGCGAAGGCCAGCTCTGGTCGCACGCTGTTATGGGTGGCCGCAAAGAGGGGGTCCAAGGGCGTCGTCAAGCTGCTGCTCGAGGCTGGCGCCGACGTTGAGGCGAAGGACACCGACTATGGTCACACGCCGCTATGGGTGGCCGCGGAGAGGGGACACGAGGCTGTCGTCAAGCTGCTGCTCGAAAAGGGCGCCGACGTCAAGGCGAATGATGACGGTTGGACGCCGCTTTTGTGGGTTGCTGTGCACGGGCACGAGGCCATCGTCAGGATGCTGCTCGAGGCTGGCGCCGACGTCGAGGCGAAGGACACCGACTATGGTCACACGCCGCTTTTGCTGGCCGCCGCGAGGGGATACGAGGCTGTCGTCAAGCTGCTGCTCGAGGCCGGCGCCGACGTCAAGGCGAATGATGACGGTTGGACGCCGCTTTTGTGGGCTGCTGTGCACGGGCACGAGGCTGTCGTCAAGCTGCTGCTCGAGGCTGGCGCCGACGTCGAGGCGAAGGCCAACTCTGGTCACACGCCGCCATGGCTCGCCAACTCTGGTCGCATGCCGCTATGGATGGCCGCCGACAGCGGGCACGAGGCTGTCGTCAGGCTGCTGCTCGAGGCTGGCGCCGACGTTAAGTTAAAGGACACCGACTATGGTGGGACGCCGCTATGGCTGGCCGCAAAGAGGGGGTCCAAGGGCGTCGTCAAGCTGCTGCTCGAGGCCGGCGCCGACGTCGAGGCGAAGGCCAGGTCTGGTCGCACGCCGCTATGGGTGGCCGCCGACAGCGGGCACGAGGCCGTCGTCAAGATGCTGCTCGAAAAGGGCGCCGACGTCGAGGCGAAGGCCAGCTCTGGTCGCACGCCGTTATGGGTGGCCGCAAAGAGGGGGTCCAAGGGCGTCGTCAAGCTGCTGCTCGAGGCCGGCGCTGACGTCGAGGCGAAAGATATCGGATATGGTCGGACGCCGCTTTTGTGGGCTGCTGTGAACGGGCACGAGGCCGTCGTCAGGATGCTGCTCGCAGCGCTGATTTCAATTCAAGTAAGTCAAGTTCGGGGCTCTAACTTGATTACTTGAAATAAAATCGTCCATGAACTTACTTAACTTGAATTTAATTGATATACTTGAATTGAAAGCGCTGACCTGAGGCCAGGATGAAGCAATTGGTACTCTCACGCCTCCTCTCCATCCCAACCCATCAGGTCCCCACCAAAGCTGACGACCTCGCCCACAGTGATCGCTTGATGGCCTAGCCAATTCCGTAGGCACTGTATTTCCTCTATTATCTCGGGACTTAAGCTGTGCCTTTGCGAGCTTACTGTCAACTTCAGTGTGTCCATCAACCAAGTAAAGCAAAATTTGGACCCTCTACTTGACTTGGTTGACGGGACCCCCTTGCTTTACTTGGTTTACTCGGTAGAGAGGCTTGCTTTGCTTGGTTGGTTGATGTTACTCGACTATTTTCCATTCCTTATGTGGCTCCGGTGGTAGATCTATGCTAACATACCGCATCGAAGCAGGTGCTTTTGGCATTCAATCGCTGCTACAGTGTCCGAATTAAGCCGATTTCGTTCATCTGTGATGACCTTCTTTGTCTGTGAGAAAACGCGTTCACACTCGGCGCTCATTGCTGGGCAACTGAACAAGTCAAAGGCCATCTTGGACAGGATGGGGTAGTCAGATGTATGGCGAACCCACCACTCCAGAGGATCCTCAACATCCAGATCAGCCTTATTAGTCCTGGCCATAAACTCATCCAGCTCAGATGTCAGTTTTGTCCGCTTCCCTCGTGTGGCTGACGCCGCAATGGCAGCAAGCCTCTGACGACGCTTACGAGCTTGCTGGAGTGGATCAAGCCTCGCCCTGTTATCAGCAACAGCCTCCTCCTCCTCCTCCTCCTCCTCCTCCTCCTCCTGCTGCTGCTGCTGCTGCTGCTGTCGTGCTCCTTCTCTTAGGTCCACTTCCGCAGCTGCTTCCTCGTATTGTGCATAAGCCTCCCGCACCACTCTCTTCGCCCCGCTGATCCATTGCTTGTTGTGACTCCATTCAAGCTCGAAGTAGGTAAATTTGTTTGCCGGATGCAGGGCAACTGCACATTGGTATGCAGGCGTGGCATCTGTGAGGCCAAAATATTCTTCAAGCTTGATGCGAGCAGCATCAATAGCATGGGAATAGTATGTTGACACCACGTCAGGGTGATCATCTGCAAACTTCCCAGCCTCCTGGAGCTTCTTGAAAAGGACATCAAGCGACTCGATCGTCTCGTGGAGAGAGCCATGCGATCCTTCTAGGCCAGCTTTGTTTGCCCGGCCTTCCATGCGCTTTGTTAGGTCTTTGAAGGGCTTTGAGATATTGAGGAAGTGGCCCAGATCGGTCCAATCTTGTGGAGTAAGGATATCCTGTGAGATATCATATTCTCCGTTGGTATCGTTGTAGTTGAGGAAGAATAGATCAATGGCGTGGCGGAGTTTCAGAGCTCTTTCAATCATGGAATATACAGAGTTCCAGCGGATCCCGCCATCGACCAGGACTCTAGTGTAGAGGTTCTCGATGCTGCCTTCGTCGTACGCCTGCAGAACGTACTGTTTCAGTCTCTCTCGTCGCTGGTCGCTTCTGTTGATCCACGTACAGAAGTTGTGGAGCTTGCCGATAAAGCTTTGCTTCCTCCATATCTCAAACCGCTCGTCATCAGATGCGCCACGGAGCCGTTGCTCCAGCTTGCTAACGCCCTGCCCAAAGAGGAGAGCTTTGACGATGAGATTCAGCATATGGCCGACGCACCGAAGGCGACTCTGACGGTTGATTGCAGGGTACTGCTTTGCTAGCTCCTGAATGCATGTGTCATTATTGCTAGCGTTGTCCATCATAAAGAAGCCAATGACTGGGGAGATATCGTAGAAATCGATGACTGTTGACAGCACCTTGGCAATATTCTCGCCGGAGTGAGGGCCTTTCAGAGGGGGAAGGTCCAGAAGAGCTGTCTGTAGCTTATGTCCTTCATCCAAGAAGTGAGCAACAACAGCTAGATAGTTTGTCCCTTCTTCAGACGTCCACGCATCCGTCGAGACGTGAATCTTGCTTGTGGTGAGATGGAGCTTTTCTCTCAGCCAAACACGTCTCCCAGCATCACCAAACCATTTCTCTTTGACCCAGCTACTAAGAGCTGACGGGCTCTTGGGCAGAATCTTGTCGCTGTCTTCCAGATAGTTGGTAAAAATCTCATAGGTGCGTTGATGGGTTGCTTGACGGAAGGTGAGATCAAGATCAATCACCCAGTCGGTAAAATCGTCTTTAAATTGCAGGTCGTTGAACACCAAGCGCCGGCCTCCGAGGTATGATGTGAGATTTGTTGCGCCCTTGGCTATGCTGAAGGGGTTGCATTCTGCTGCCTTGTAGCCAAATTCTTCCAGCCTGTGCTGATGTTTCAGATGGTATATAATGCTGGTCGTGCTCTCACTGGCAAAGAGCGCAGTATTGTGATGGCCACTAACGTGGCAGTATTTGCAGAGCCAGTACTTATTGTCTCCGTCCGTTGTAAGCTGTGCGCCGTGTCTGTAGATTGCTGAGGGTTGGGATTTGGAGTTGATGGTGCGCTTATGAGGCTGACGATATCGGATGGATGGCACTGGCTTCCCATCGTAACGGATTTTGTCCCACTCGACAGGGAAATGGCATTGAGAAGCTTTTGGCACCTCTCTTTCGTGGGAAACGGTTGCGGGAGAAGCGCCATGAAGTGGCACACTGGTTGGAGTTGAGACCGAGCTAGGGGTACTGGACTGAGCAGAATCGATCGGTTCAGAGGGAGTCCTAGGGGGTGTGGCCTTTCCGAACCTTCCCCGAGGCTGAAACATTGGATATGAAGGCATTATTGACTTGGGATTTGGACTGTGCAGCAAATGACATGGGACAAATTGATCGGGCTGCAGCCTCCTGTCGTGACCTCAACAAAAAAAGGGGGATTCGCAACGACCTTGCCTAAAACGGAAATGCAGTCGAGTAACCTCAAGTAAACCCGAGTAAGCGAAGGGGTCTTGCTTTGCTTGGTTGAAGACCGTCTTTACTTTACTTGGTTGTTACGTAATCAACCAATCCCAACCAACCTTACCTTACCTTGGTTGTTGGACACACTGCTCAAAAGAGCTCGAAGTCAATGTGAGGCTGCAACTGGCGGGCCTCCTTTGGAACCTGAAATTTGCTCTATGTCAGGATTGGCTGAGTTTGGTGCAATGATGCCCGGCGGCGACTAATAATGACGCTAGAATGGTTGGTTCCGACATGCAGAAGATGAGGCGCCGTTTCCTTCATCCAGATAGCCCATGACTTGGATTGCCAATGCGCGATGCCAGCTTGTGGTGGGTTCATCTGGTCTTCGGTCGGAGACGGATGACCATCGTACCCAGAAAAACAGGCAGAATGCATCGACACAACGCAGTTTTGTCCGGCTCTCTTTGTCCTTGCACCGATATTGGGCGGGTACAACGTTGATAGGCCACATATCTCAACCATGCACTAAAGTTCGGATAGCTTCAACATTCTTGGAGTGATTCTGCTTTCTCGTCGCTCTTTCATTATTATTTGGGCATAATCAACTGACGGAAAAGAGGCCAATAAGTGTATTGAGCCCATCTGCGAAGCACTTGAAGTCCGAGAATGATTTGATAAATGCCCATGACGTTGCTTGTAGTCCCGATAGTGAGCTTCGTCCACAGTATGGTCTGGGATGCCTCGCGCGTCGTCACAACCAGATACCAATCGTGACCCTGGATAATTAAGCCAGGGAGAAACTCTGGAAGACGTGCTTTCTGAGGCTGTACATCCGACACAGTTTCATCCTGGGTATCAGTTCTGGAGAGTTCTGTCAGAAGGTCCCAATGTGCGACGTGCCACACCCCGATCTGCAATGCGGCGCTATCCCAGCCCTCCCCAGTCTTCTTAGTCTCGATGCCTAGAGCCATGGGTCTCTGTCGTAGTGGGTAATAGTCTGTGTGGTTGATAACATTTCCTGCGAGATGTACCCTCGCAGTTTGGATCAAAGATTGGGTTGCGGCTAATTGTGATGTGTCTGATGTCGGCTCCCGCGCTGGCTCGAGATATATGCAGAAATCCACTTTTTTCGAGGGAGAATAAGGCGGTAGATAATTTGGAAGAATGCTTGCAGTCGAGCTATGGAGATGAGGTTAGAACAGGCACAGAGGTTCAACGCCGACGCCAACTGAGAGTGGAAAGCAACAGGTGAATCAGGCTTGATCTAATACACGTACCAAGGCATGTAGTTGACGAAGTGGGAAAACGATGGAGCGCCTGGCTGGTGTAGGGCAAGCTGAAGTAGCTGGGAGTGCACAAGCATATTCCAACTCGATTCAGCATGGAAGTTCTCTTGGCATTCAATGGCCGCATCCAACACATTGAGAATTGATGTTGAATCGGGAACATGGCCAAGATCTCCGCGACTGGGCGAGAAACAAGCATCATCTTCAGCAATTTCTACGATTGCTGGGTGTGTATGTTTCCCAAGTTCGATTCGGGAGGCGGAGTCAATAATGTGACGGCCCCGGGAGATTTGCCGCATCGTCTTCAAAAGTCCGGCGAGGCTGGTCGGCGGATCGCGAAGACTGGCCAGTTCCCGTACCACGATACCCTCGTTCCCAAGTTCGAGGGCGTTCAAATGCTTCTGGGGCGACAAGCGACCTGCCAATCCAGAGTGCTCTGATGCTTGCGATCGCGACGCGAGCGAATAGCTCGAGTCGGACCTCGGATATTGTATGCGCTTTCGCCTCGGTCGAGGCGTCTCGTCGTCCTCCATCTGACGTTTGGTTGGGCTTTCCTCCCGAGAGGAGGACATGCTTTCATTGGATCGTGCAGGTGTCGGGGGCTGATAACGGTGATGGCGGAAATTGCGCTTGCGCTTGAGACTGGCCGATAGAACGGTCGTTGGAACGGTCGTCGAGTCGGTAGACCAGGTGCAGGAGGTTGTGCCTAGCCATTCAATAACGGAGGCCTCGTCCATAGCGATCCTAGGGTGTGTCACGATGGTAATGAGCGTCGCTATGGGAGACGCGACTCGAGTTTTATGAAGTGCAAGGGAAACCAAAGTATGTAGCTAGGTACGATAATGGTGTGGAGGGGACAGCGCTAGTTCGGCAACATTGGCGGGGTAACAGCTGTGTGACAAGTGTGGGTATGGCAGGGGTTCAGTTCAACATAAACTGATTCTGATTGGCTCGTGGAGAATTGGCAGGGATCTCGTCCGTCCCACGGCCTGACAGGGATAGACTTACACTTACCCTGTACATTCATATTGTTGACTTGAATGAAGCATAAAACCCCCGTTGAAGACAGTAAAATATTTAACTTACTTTTCACCAAATCAAATAGATTTTTCTCCATCGCTGCATCTACTTTTTATTCCGTGCATCGTTGTGGCTGACTTTTGGTTTATTTCTTTGTGTTATTGTACCCTTTCGCGAGACACGTCTCAACCCGCAACCCGAAGCCCAACTTTGATCTCTGATCTGACCCTAGGTTTTAAAGTGGCAGCGGAAGCTAACTCTTTTGTTCTTCTGTCAGGATTTACAACTTGAGATAAGTTGTGAGGGATTTTTAGGATCACGAAGAGGGACTACCCGTTGGCATTGTGGGGCAAGCAAGCATGCCAACCTCGTCCCGAGGTTGGGCGGAAAAACCCTTGTCAGCCGGTTTAATATTGTCACACTTTTTGGTGTAAAATGCCGTTTTTTGGCCCTTTATTCTGCCTCTAATCCATATATATAAAATCTTTAGAAAATGGATTTAAATTAAGTAAGCTGAGGGCTTTAAATTGGAGATCTCTTTTTCTATTTTACTTCAATTTTCAAGAAAAAAGAAAAAAAAGTGAAATATTTTCTAAGATTTAAATAGAAAAAGAAATCGAGGTTCGTTTCAAAGCCCTTAGTCTGGCCAGTCTAGATATATTTTTTAAAGAATTTATATATATAAATTGGGGGCAGAATAGAGGGCCAAAAAACGGCGTTTTACACCAAAAAGGGTGACAACTATTAAACCGGCTGACAAGGGTTTTTCCGCCCAACCTCGGGACGAGGTTGGCATGCTTGCTTGCCCCACAATGCCAACGGGTATGCACCAGCTCCCGATCCAACCCAAACCTCTTAGAGGACTGGTCAGCTGGACAAGCTCGGTTAGGCAAACCCAGGCGCAGCAGATTTCAAGCACAAACGGAGGACGAATGTACGTATGTTAAGGCGCCACTCCCCTCTGCAGATTGGCCACCTGCTTGACCGGCTGCAGCCACAACAGCCCCATCATCAGGGCGGAGACTAGTAAGGCAGATTTAAGTGCACGCTAATCCGTAGACAGAGGCCTAATGGCGGGCAGCTGACCATGTACCAGCGGAGAGACAGCGCCATGAGGCGTTTAGTAACAGTCCGCGAACTGAAGACCGAGCATATCTACCCCGACATCGATCCTCACTTCATCTACAGAAAACTACGTCGTAGCCGCCTTAACAAAGATCTATTTTCCCCCTCAGACCCCTCTATCAAGCTACATAGCTCAATAGCAGCAATACCGCATCTTTTTTAGGGACAATCTTGCCTGGCTAGCCTCGGCCCAACTGCAGATAAATCCATCAATTCTCTACAACTTTCCTAATCCACTGTAGATACCTCGCTTTGGTGAGTATTTGGTGTTTGTAAACACGGAAACACCAGTTGGACTGTGTGATCTACTGCCCTACACCTCTCATCAACCAAGCGAGCAGGCAATGGCCATGTTACAAGCCCCCCCCGATAAAGACATCTTCACGACCCCCGAAAATGGGTCGTTTTTTAGACGGCGGAAGTATAACCGACTGAGCCCTGAAGACCACGAGATCCGGCTCCTACGTATGCACCCAGTCAGACTGACACTGGGCGAGCTGGCAGCTGTATTTCCCAAATGGCTCGAGCGCGACACCGATGCCGCAGACCTCAGCCTAGACAAAACCAGCAGAGATTCTTCCACTTTCATCTGCTGCCAACTGGTTGAGGCGAACAAGCTTGAGCTCCAAGAACGAAAATATGCCGCCTTATCCTACTGCGCGGGGAAGCCTACGGAAACGAGACGGATCATGATAGACGGCTACTGGTTCAACGCGTTTGCTAACCTGGAGCATGCCCTCGAGGGATTCAGGGAACACTATGACAGAAGCTCAAGCAGCGGCAATCTGATCTGGGCAGACCAGGTTTGTATCAACCAACTCGATTTCCAGGAGAAATCCCACCAAGTCAGCTTCATGCGGAAGATATACGAAAACGCCGAGAAAACGTACGTTGTGCTTTCCACTCCACGGGCTCCCATTCCTGACGCCGAAGCTGGTGTTTTGGCACTGCGGCTTGCTCTCAACCATTTAGAAGCCAGGCTGCAGGAGGAATCACCCTGCTATTCCGTGACAGGCTTCCGAACTGGCTATTCAGAAATATTTCTGGATTGGGTTTACGAACATCCCAACCATCCTGTTTGTGGTGCCTTGGCTCAACTCCTCAACTTTGTCGATCGTGTTTGCGACGCGAAATGGTGGACTCGAGCGTGGGTGAGCTTTTACTCAACCCCTCATGGTCTTAAGAAGGGCTTCTTCATCAGGCTAATACGCAAATTGGTTAACTAGGTTTTCCAAGAATTCCTTGTCTCAGATAATATTCACTTCGTATGCGGGTCCCAGTGTCTAGAACTTAACGACCTAGCGCCGTTTCTCAGGTTCCGAAACTGGAATACAACGAACGAAGAATCCGTCGCACGCTTCGAGCTTAGGTCTAAGTCGCCACACAGCGAAAGAATCGCCCATAGCGTTGAGTTGCTTAAGAAGTCGGCAATGCACTGCCGCCAGTCTGAAACGTCGTATAAACTTCCAATGTTGTTTGATGAACGACGAAAAAACCGCTATATTCTTCATTTCCCATCGACTCCTGAGTTTCTCCACCTGCTCGCAACGGCCTCGAGCTTCGGGTTTCAGGCTACCGATCCCCGGGACATGCTCTACGCCTTCACCGGCTTATCAAGCATCACGTCCGGAGTAACCGTCGACTACAGCCCCACAAACACCATCTGGGACGTCTGCGCCGCCATCGCCGAGAAATTTATAGAACACGGAGACCTCAGCCTCCTTCGGCTCGCCACCACAACCAGGGGGGTAAATGCTTTCTTCGACGAAAATCTGCCCTCGTGGGCACCAGACTGGAAACTGCCAGCATCTTGGATCCCTTGTCAGCACTCGCCGTGGAAGATTCCCTCAGCGGAGCGCCACCGCTTTGCTGGTAAGGCTCTTTGCGTCCAAGGAGTCCACCTCGCCACCCTCGGTGACGAGACCCACAACGGGATATTCCAAGCGATGGGCCACTACTTTGATACTACGAGCTTAGTGCAGAGCGGGGACGAGCTCTGGGCCATTCATGAGGGGACGGGCATCCACACCTTGAGGAAGCGAGAGGGAGGGGGGTATGTCCTTGTTGGACTCGCTATTCTGTTGCCGGGCAGAGTGTCGCGCTGCTATGGTGGATGTACGGTGATAGAGGTGGGACCATTGGGCTTATCAGAGTACACGGTCGTCATGGACGCCATTGAAGCGAGTTTGGCAGGCGTGCAGAGCATTGTGTTGGAATGAGGATAGATAAAATACTACGTCACCCTATGCACATTGGAGCCGCGATGGGGTGCATGGGGTAGCCTCAGCCGAAGGCTGTGTGTCCGCGGGCCGGGAAGCTATTACTACTACTGCATGTCAGACTATTGGCTCCACAGGGATCATTGTTGGCACCAGTCAATTGATGAGAATTATCTAAGGAGCAAGAACTCAATGACTGGTTTCAGTGAGTCGCGTTGCTCTTTACACTGTGCTAAAGTGCTAAAGTGATATATATCACCGTGAATATGTATCACACTTTTTTTCAGCTAAATGTGATATCACGATAGCTAAAATGCTATCGCCCGTGAATATCAATAGGATATCCACGGCGGCTTTATCTGATAATCTTATCTACGTTGGTTAGATCTAATTAAATTTTGTTACACCCCCCTTTTCTCGTCTCATCCTTAATACTACATAGGATTTCGTAGTGTATCTGGATTGACAGAATCCCTCTCCTAATTTATAGACAAGTTGCTGACTTCAATCTTTGCTAAGCTGGTCATGCGCACGCCCTTCTGTAGGGTAGAGAACGAGTGACTTGCGAGAATCTTAAGGTTGAATGTTTCGGTAACTGACTGCGTGGAGGGTATATTCAGAAGACTGTTTATGATGGTATCGATATAATTACTGATACGGGTTCTGATAGCGGTGGTGGTAAGGACTTAGATGTTAATTTTGATTGATTTGCGGGTGTCTGGCAGTATAGGCAGATTCATTTGTAATACCTCTCACAGGTGCTAAAGTACTATAGTGATATCAGTCGTGCTAAAGTGCTATAGTGATATCAATCGTGCTAAAGTGCTAGGGTGATATTCTAGCACAGTTTGTGCAAATATGTGAATATGAATATGAATATCACTTTAGCGCGTGATATCACAATACGCAAGTCTGTCCCGCTGCCCATCTCATCCTGTATCACTACATCTCCTACTGTCAGCAACGCCGCCACCCCACCACATCCACCTCCTCTTTTTCTCCTCGGCCACCATACTCGCCGTGGTGGAGCCGGCATAGTTGAAAATATTCTGTCAACCAGTGCAGCGCATCCAGTTGTCAACAGAGTCGATAACGTGGGCATAAGCACCCCTGTAATTCACTTTCACCTGAAAGAGGACACTCAATATGGATGCCCTGACCTATTTTCATTACATTATAAGCTACCCTTGATACAGTAGTCTCGTCATAGCCGTGTTCCTCCTTTCTCCTGAAATCAATCCCCTTTCGCTGTCCTCAGTTTATGAGCTGGGTCCACCATGCTATAATACTTTTCACATAGCTGCCTTCTCTCATATCTCTGACTTGGAGTAATGACTCCTTGAACTTGTATTCCCACTCCCAATACGTCCGTAATGTCGTCCACAAGATCTGCAATTCGGAGGTAGTACCCATTCCAACAATTTCGTATGATATGATCGATGGGGTCTTGCGGGTCGGTGGTGGGAAAGTTGCCATCGAGCAAGCGGTCTACTTGGTCAAATCCTTCCAGCTCAGAGTACAGCTCAGAGCCGCGTGTCATATACCAAAACACTGAACCTAGAGCGAACTGCTCCGTGACTGGACCAGCAATCCCATAGACACCACCGATTATCTCTCTGTGTTGTCGGACATAGGGTTCATAGCCAACGTCAAGCATATCACCGACCCTAGGCGAATGGTCAAAGTCGATAAGTTTGACCTGGTCATTGACGTCGAATAGGATATTTTGTGGGTTGATATCACCATGAGCATAACCCAGGGCCTCCAAACACGCGGCTGCGCATGACAGTTGTAACATCCATTGCAGAATTGGCCGAGGCTTGCTGATGCTCATTCGGTCGTAAAGCGTTCCGTTCGCAATCAATTCGAGAAAACTGACATCAACGCCGCGGAACAAGCATTGGATAACCTGTTGGCATTCTGATTGATCGAGCAATTCGAATATCTTTTGCTCGTGACATAAGCGCTCATCTCCTGACTGGAGGGACACCTTTGCCGCTATATCGGGGGAGATCCAGAGCACGACAGAGTGGCCGCCAATACCGAAGACAGATGAACCAGGACAAGTCACGAGCAGTTGTTTTATGATTGGGTTGAGTTTGCCGTGGGGGAACGAAGACTGGTCAAGGTATTGGGCCAGTTGTTCAAATGTCCAGTCCAGACCAGCCATTGTGTACAATGAAGTAAAAAGTTGACAGAGTAGTGAGTGAGCGTGATGAATATTGAGAAATGTAAAAACGGGGTAGGAGGTGATGCAGGAGATTTTAACTATCCACGAACTTCGCCCCACCGCTTTTTATTGCCGTCAAGCCTTCTTCCATTGGCCAGCCACTCTAGTCCATGTTTGATTGGCAACGCAATCATCGCATGGGTCCCTCTTTCTTGTGCTTGCAAGATGATTGGTCTGGTACACCCCGCTTGTCACACAGGGATTCTGCCCGCACGGCCTGGGTCGAACAGGCCCATCAGGTCCTGGATGACCACACAGCATTTTGACGGGGGCAATGTCGTTCCAGCACATTTCTAATTCAATCGATTTAGTCATCAGGTCACACTAAGAAATGAAGCATCATACCGAGAAGATAGTGGGATTCTTCAAGATTGAACAGGCAATACTGAGCGGAGGACTGGGATGGCGACTTCGAAGGTGTAATACCGAACAAAACAAGCTGATACCGGGCCCTCTTATAGGAAAATGTCGATCAATCCGGGACGTTGAAGCGACGCAGAGTGAAGACCCCATACCCTACTCGACATGTCGAGCGGGGTCTGGAGGTGGGGTTGGATAGGCAGCAGTCCGTATCCCTAGATTCTACATGCGGATTTGTTAGCCCTCTGCGTGCAGAAGAGTCAACAATCGGGAATGTCCGCTGGCGCTGGCACAATGCATGAGACGTGGCCAATAGCCTTGGTTCCGATTGGCGTAGAGGTACGTAAAGAAACATCAGCGCGAGCAGTGTGTCACGGGGCCCCACACAATACCGACTCCTGAATGTGAGGGGAGTCACAAGAACGGACAGGTAGTTAAGAAACGCACGAACATGGACCACAACGTGTAGTAACCCCTCTCTTGTCAAGGGCAAGGATCACAACATGTGGTAACGTAACCCCTCTCGAGTGCGAAGCTGATCACGAGATACGCCACGACTGACGACAGGGATCACAACTTGTGGTACATGTTTACCGATGACAGGTCATCCCTCTCTATCTCAAGTCAACACCGGTATCTGGCCAATTGAATTTCCGATACATCTTCATGGCTCTCTATCACATGCATGAAGCGAATTCATGCAAGCCCACATACAAAGCCGGCCCTCAGGCCGCTAAGAGCCGTCAGTCAATAGTCACAAAGAATCAGCCATGCTACCAACCGGGTGAACGGAGACGATCCAACGGCCACGTCGAGTTTTGTCGGACACGTGACCGCGGCGATAAGGTCCATGGGGGCCAAATAGGCTATCTCAATTGAAGAAGGATGCCGCGTTATTTTTGCTGTAATGATGCTCTGTTGTTGTTCTTCGGTCTGGGCCTTGTCCCTTGAGGCGTTTCTCTGTACTAGTGGGGCTGCAAGTCGCCCTCCCCGCCACTCGTACCTCCTGGGCGGGGGTCCGTTGACTACCACACGCCAAGTTTCCAATCAATGCCTGTATATCCCAGTTCTCAACAAAGTCGAAAGCGGAGTAGCGTAAAACGCCATACTTGGTGCGTCACACCCTCCTGGCTGACCAAGTTCCCAATCAAAGCCTGTATATCCCGATTCGCCAAAAAGAAATCGAAAACGGAGTAGCGCATGGCGTTGAAGCTGTGTTAGTTTCCAAGGGTACTGGGAGTTCGGTCCACCCCGTACAGTCTGCGCAGCACAGTCTTGCTGAGTTAGCTCTGCTCAATCTACTCAAGCTTGGAGACAGCCAAACTCGAAGGTAGGGGGAATTCCTCTCCAACGAGGATACCGACATCTAATTTGGTATGGCGACGACAACTGTGGCAAGCCTTTATAACTGATTCCCTTGTCATGACCCTTTGGGAGGTGAAGGGCGTGTTCAACCCGGTCACCAAGGGACTAGTCGTAATCACATTTTGGAGACGGCAGAAAACCATCGCGCAAGCTGTGACGGTAGCGGATTGCTTCTTTAGGCTAGAATCTAGCTTTGCCCTGCGCCCTGGCATCTGTGCAAATCTCCACCTCTGGGGCCACGATTTCGGGCCATCCAAATAGAAGGCAACCGTCAAGTCTCGAAGATGAAGAGGAGCATCGGGATCCAGCTATCGTGTATTCGCACAGAGCCGCAATGACCCTCTTCATGACTAGCTTCCGCTCATAGTGGCCGTCGGGGCCCGGCTTCGAGTCAAGCTCCTGCCTCAGCGCCGCCTTTTCCCGCTTAGAGCCTAGCTCACAGATGGCTTCGCTCAGGCAAATGTCTTTACACGGAAACCATGGGTACGTACACATGCAGCAGGAGTCTGGGCCACGTGAGAACCTAGGGATATCTAGGCTGTCTAGCCAGCGGAGGATCGACTTCGCTTTGTCGCAGCCATGTCAGCGATCGCATTCCTTCTGTGTGTGACCCGGCTGCTGCTTCCCGTTCATGACAAAGCAAAACTCGCATCCAACCGATCCCTACCATGCCAAGGTTTGATATGCTTCATCGAGCCGATTCTGGAGCCTGGCATTGCTGAACTCGGTGCCGTCTGCACGTTGTTCGATCGTGTCGATGATCAGTCGCTGATGGTCGGTCGCGATTGTGCTCAAGCGTGTGTTGATGGAGCTAAAGAGTAGTCCTTGTCGCTGTCGCTGTCGCTGTCGTCGTTAAATGGGCATGTATCCGCAACAGACTCGAGGGTAGACAAGTTGTCTCGGTTATGGTCAAGATTTCTCCTTTTTAATGATGGCAGTGGCGAGGATAATGATTGCGAGGTACCTTGTGCATCTACCTGGGGTCGTCGTCCTTGCGCGTCGCGCTTGCGGGATACACGTCGACGTGTACTATTGCGATTGTGTTGACCAGAAATTTCCACTATATTGTTAACGATACTTGGATGGATTGACTGATGGAAGCTGATATGTAAAGTTGACCAGAGGCAAAGAGATGTATAATTATACCAACGGCTGATAGGTCAGGTTGGGTGCCTGTATGATTGGAATGGATATTCGGGGAGAAGCTAAGTGTATGAAAAATCTGTCCTTCATTCAAGACAACACGAGCACTGTGTGCGATTTAAATCCTGGCTTCCACTCCTTTCTTTTCTTTTCCCCGCCCCTGAATCTACCCCAGTAGGCTGGAGGACGTTACGGATGGCTTCGGGATTGGATAGGCTGGTAGGGTAGTAATCACAGGGCAAGGAACATGATTGCAATACCTCAACCTCCCCGGCCGCCTCAATCAGAATTAGTAGCACCCAGGGGCGAGGATTCTTGAGCTTGGATCCTAATTCGCGTCGAATGAATATAGTAAAGAGGGGGTAACTAGCCCTGCTCAGAGACCTTATTTGATGTTTGGAGGCTTTTGACAAGCTCGTTCTACACAGGGAAAACTTGGACGTCCGAAATGCCCGCCCAAACTGAATTGGGAGGTCATTTGAGCTCTTTTTTTTTTTTTTTTTTAAAAAAAAAAAAAAAAAAAAAAAAAAAAAAGGAGAGACCGACGTACTTCCGCCGTCTTTGTGTCCGATGTTTCAAATTTTATCAACGGGCACTTTCACTAAAGCGGCCGCCAATGTTGCGTTGCCGAAAGTGCCAGAGGACACAGTGTGAGCAGCCCAGCATGAAGGTAAACGGTGACGATTCAGCTGGCTTGGGAAGCTGGATGTTAGGTTACAGGCGCTAATACATGGAGAGGAGGGAGCAAAGGAAACGGTCCACGCCTCCGGGCATGGATGAAGCAACATGTCCGCATAATTCGTAGACACAACGCTTGTGAGAGCTATGTACCATCCGCCGCAGCAGTACTTCTGCCCATAATCTACATTGGAACCAACCCTGCAACACGAAGGTACCTGGTAGAGAATTGCTTTTGTGTAGCTAGGGAGAAACGCGCGCGACATTGCGACGGGCGGATACACGAACGCGTCGATGGAAGCTAGACGGTGGTGTTGGCGGCAGCCGCGTTCTGGGTGTGCCTCCTGGTGGTAGTAGGTGTGCCTCCTGGTGGTAGTGGTCCACACGCAATTTCAAAGTACGTTGGCAAGTCTGAAGCACCATTCGACCTGGCGGCATCAATTTGCTCCCGCGCCCCCCTGTAGTCCATCACCACAGCTGGTAATGCGCACCGAGCGCTTGACTACCGCATTTGATTGGGGCCGTATCTAGAGAGTTCCGCCCGCTGGAGCAGGCAACAACAGCATTCCTCCAAGAAGCCCAATTTTTTCGACAACTCTCTCATGCGACATGCCATTCATCCAACAACCCCCCATTCCTTTCTGTCTGCTTGCGCGACAACCTGCTTTGCGCGATCTTCTGAGCAGCTACCACCAAAGTTGTTTGTTGTTTGTTTGTTTGATTCATTTCCGTCCTGGGCAAGGTACATAAGCCCACTAGACCTCCTCATAGAGTAAAAGGACCTGCTAGGCTAGCTCAACATGATTTCCACCCACCGCGTCCACCATCCTCAGCCATCTAGCAATTCAGCGGCTCAAGGCCTGCGATAGTTCGAGCCCGGCCCCCGTCAGTGGGGGCTAGGGTCGGCGGCATCCCTACAGATACCGTAACCTCAGAACTCTGCTGGTGTTCATTTTCCCGCCCCACTTTCCCGGGGTAAAGTTCCTACACATCTTTGTTCAGCCGAAGGCTGGTTCTACATTAATGCTAAGTTTTCTCCACTCTCCATAATGAGGGTTTGGTGCAAACTTGCAAATAAGTTCTGATTGGTCCAAATTTTTGTATTGACGGCCGCAAAACAACGCGCAACTGGCTGACGGCTCTAAAAGAGTGGGGCCTATTTCTACAAAGGAAAGCTCGTGTGAGCGTATCTTTTATGGCGGGCGCTCTAGCCCTAGTGTTCGTATGCTTAGTGAGCATTGCTTTCTTATGTGGGCCACACGTGAGTGATGTGGATCCACCTCGCAACGCGCTCGCCTTTTGTTTGGAATTGTTTGTTTACTCCACTTCCACGCAGTCAATTCGTCTCCTCAATTAGACGGCTCTCGTTATTGGCTCGTTGATTGAGTAATGGATTTCGATCCTAGCATTGAAGAGCTCTCTAATGATTTGCTCTTCGTCGTTTGTGCCCGTTGTGGCGAGGAGAAACCGGAGAGTCACTTCACAGCAAAAAGACAGTCTGCTGGGCCAACTAAGCAATGCATAGACTGCCGTAAGCAGCGCGTTGCCCATGTACGCTCTGCCTTCTTCGTCAAAACTCTTACCCCTCATTAAGTAAAGCATTCCAGATCCAAACTCACGCTCCAGACGCTGCGGAACATCGCTGTTCATCCATCCTCACCCGAGAGAACCGCCGCGAAGAGAACCGATGGAGATGCTGGCCTGTCGCCTACTAACGAGAGATCCGGAACCCAGCCTACATCGCCAGAGAAGTTACGACGACTTCATGCAGATAGGACGTTATTCGGAGAGTCAACTAGCCAGCCGCAGGTAGCGCTGGGGACGCCAATTCCATCAGCCCAAGAAAGCGTGCGGTTCTTCCGCACTCTCGCTCCCTCACCTCCCGTGCAGCCAATGACCCATCCAATCGCCTCACATTCTGATCCATCTACTGTCCGAAGCAGCCCAACTGATGTGGGCTACTACTACCTGGCTTCTAGATTCCACAAGGGTGGGAAGAACTCACAAGATGATCCCCCCAAGGCCGGGGCGAGGGCCAAGCAGGCCGCGATCCAGCGCGACCATCGCTCCCGACGCCGTGCAGGGGAGACTGTGTCACTGACCCCCTCCATATCTCAACTCGGCGTCTTTGAAGCCCCTGACGAACCTGGAGAAGGTACTCCCGTGGTGTGGCTCGGTAGTTTGTTCAGGCTGACGACGGAATGTAGCGGGGAGTCCGGATCGACAACAGCAGGATAGGTTTCTGGAGGGGGGTGGGATACCCGAGGAAGGAGATGACCGGGGCCAGTTCTCTGAATCGGATATTGACGCCGAGGACTATTTCAACTTGCTCCTTTCGCCTGTTCGACCACGGAGGTACCTCGAGCGATTAGGGGTGGAGTGTGATTCCGACCAGGGGGGCGAAGACGAGAACGACGAGAAGGATGATTTGGTGGATCAAAGCCCTCTTCGCCGTCACTTACCGCAGCCTTCCGCACGGCCAAGACGTGGTCGCCGTGGTCCTCTCCCTGGTACGGGAGGGCGGCCGAGAAAGTATCCAAGGGAGACTAGACCGTCGAAGCCGCCACGACGGCATCAGAGTCCAGTGATGATTCCACCGGAAGAACCGGCGATATTTCACGCACAAGATCCGGCATGGAATGGGGACCTGGAGGCTTGTGCCGTAACTGGTCGCGATAAGGCAATCCTCCGCGAGTTCTGGACCAAGCTGGACAATGACCAAATGCAGTTTTGCGGTCGATGCCGAGAGCGTTGGTTCCAGATGAAGATCGATGCCGATGGCATTTGTGAGCGTTGCTATCGAAAGGATGAGAAACGGCGCCCCGACGAGCCGTATTTCTTCTCCGCCGACAACAAGCTCGATTTTGGCCCTGTGCCGGACCAACTCCCTCAGCTTACGCCTATCGAGGAATCTTTGATTGCCCGTGTTCACGTCCATGTGAACATTATGCTTGTGCGAGGGCAGCAATACAAGTATCGGGGTCATGTGGTCCACTTTCTCCGCGAGGTGGGCTTGGTGTACCACCAGCTCCCGCTTTTGCCGCAGGAGTTGAACACGGTGCTACTCCGTCCAGCGAACACATCGTCCCACGCGATGCTCAGCCGGCAGTTTACCCGCCAGTTCCGTGTGCGCCGCCAGCCGGTTGCCATGTGGCTTACGTACCTCCGCCGCCACCATCCTGGCTATCGATGCATCGTCATCGACGAAGATCGGCTGCGCCAATTGCCTCAGGACAGCAATGTCCTGGATGCTATCCCCCAGAGTCAGGTGGAGGCAGCCGATGTTGGGCCCGAGGAAGATCAGGAGGCAGAGCCCGACCTGGAGGACGAGGCTGCCGTGCCGGATCTCTTGGCCAAGGACACGGAGCTCAATGCTTTGCGATCTCTTCTCGCCGGAGAGTCAGAAGCTGATCCAGGGTTCTCCACAAGCCCGCAGGCGCAGGCGCAACACGAGCTGCAGCTCCCGAATATACGGCACACACCTATTAATGAGTTCAATCGCTCTCATGCCCTACTCTCCTTGGCGTTTCCCTGCCTCTTTCCTGATGGCAGAGCCGACTTTGTGGAGCCTCGATTACGCTCCATTGATTACAAGGATTACATCGAGCACGCGATGCGCTGGCATGACGGGCGTTTTGCACGCCATCCGACCTTCCGCTTCGTCGCATTCAATACTCTCATGCGGTCACAAGCGCGTACACGGTCCAAATTCTTCGTGAAGCAACATGATGGGATGCATCAGCCCCTCACGCGAGAGCAACTTGTCCAGGCGCTCGAACACAGCGAGGAGCCCGAGGCGCAGGCGCTGATCAACTCGATTACAAAGCATGCGGTGTCTATTCGCGGCACGCGTCCTTTCTGGAACAAAAAGAGACAGGACCTCGAGGCTTATGCCTATAATCTTGGGTGTCCTGGCGCTTTCATCACGTTGAGCCCGGCCGATTTACACTGGCGGAGCCTCTATCAGCACATGCCTCAGTATGAAGACTGGCTAGCTGCCACCGAGTCAGAGAGGATGGCTCTATCGCGCCGCCTATTGCGGGAGAACCCTCATATTGCTGCTTTCCACTTCTACCGCCGATACTGCCTCTTCCGGAATATCGTGCTAAGCAAGAAGTTCAACATCACAGACTACTGGGATCGGTACGAGTGGCAGGGTCGTGGGAGTCCACATAATCATGGCCTGTACTGGATGGATGGTTGCCCCAAAGCCGACATGGAGGACGAAGCCGCTCGTGACATTTTTGCGCGCACATGGGGGTTCCACGTCACGGCGATGAATCCCGAGCCGAGCAGGGCCATGCCGCAGGGTGAAGGGAATCCCCTGAGCGTGCATCCCCTGAGCATAGAGATGACATTCCTGCGGCTCTCGCAAATTGTGAACCGTTGCCAGCGCCACAAGTGCAATACCACGTACTGCTTGCGCGTGAGGAAGAGAACCGGCGACCTAGCGAGGGATATGGAAGGCGCTGCGGCCGATATCGAGGCAGCCAACGCGGCCAATCCAGAGAGGGAGTGTCGCTTTGACTTCCCTCGCGCGTTGCGGGAGCTCGCCGCCGTCATGAGGAAGGAAGGCAAATCGTACTACGTCTTCGAGGCGGCCCGGAACGACAGCCTCATGAACCACTTCAATTCTGCGATTATCCTAGGGTGGCTGGCCAATATCGACATCTCTCCTTGCACCAGCTTACAGGCGGTTATTACGTACGCTGCGAAGTATTGCAGCAAATCGGAGAAAAAGACGGAGCCTTACTGCAAGCTTGCAGATCAGGTCTTGCCGCATACGGCACACCTTCAGCCTCTATTATCCTTCTCCTCTCGCCTTATGAACAAGCTGATTGCCGAGAGAGATTACTCAGCGCAGGAGATTTCCCACCTTCTGCTGAACATCCCTCTGCAGGAAGGCACACGTATGGTAGTCACCGTGGACTGCCGTCCGTTAGAGCAGCACGGCCGTTCGTATCGCGTCGATGAAGATGTCAGCGAGACCATCGGCAACTACAGGAAATATCTGGAGAGACATGGCCAACTCGAGGATGTAACTTACCTCGAGTACCTGCAGTCGTACAATCTCAAGACGGGGAGGAGGCTCGCAGCTCACGCGAAGAAGAGGGTCCTCTCTTACTTCCCTCGATATAAGTCCATGGCGGCGTCTCCCCAATTTAACGACTTCTGCCGTGTGAAGTTGATGATGGTGCATCCACATCACTCTCCACAAGAGTTGCTCGTTATGGAAGGGCAACGGTTCGATTCCTTCGCGGCTGCGTACAAGTGCTGCAGAGAGCACCATGATACCCATCCGGACGATCATTATGGGGAGCCAGACACAATGGAATTGAGGGCAGAGGACGATGAATTTGAGCCGGAGCTCCATGAGGAACTCATCACGGAGGAGGACTGGCATGAGCTCGCCCGTATGCTCCCTGACCGGCCGCTGGAGGAAGAGGATATCGACATCCTCGGCCGCCGAGATATCGACGTCCAGTACGATTGGACTCATCACGTGGGACGGTATACGGACGAGGGCATTCTCCACGGCGACTACTGGAAGCAACGCAAAGCGGAACACCCCACGCGCCTGGATGTAGACGATCAGCCCTGGGAAGCTCGCGATACCCTCAACCCCGAGCAGCGCCTGGTGTACGATACGGTGATGGGCCACTTCCTTACGCAGGATCCCTCCCAGTTGCTACTCCATGTCGATGGGGGAGGCGGCACGGGCAAGTCATACCTCATCAACCTGCTCTCCGCACACCTCCAAGCCGCGGCTAGCGGGAGAGGGACCCCTGTTTGGCGTGCGGCGCCGACGGGTGTTGCGGGAAACCAGATATCCGGCACGACTTTGCACTCCCTGTTGCACCTCCCCATCAATAAGGACTTCAAGCCCCTGTCTCCCACGGATAAGGCCGAGCTCCAGAAGAAGCTGAAGGATATCAGGTACCTGATCATCGATGAGAAGAGCATGCTAGGACTACGTCAGCTATCATGGATCGACGATCGTCTCCGCGAAGCGTTCCCGGGTAGGAATGAGGAGTTCTTTGGCGGCCTGAATATGCTTTTGGTGGGCGACTTCTTCCAGCTTCCCCCTGTGCTACAGAAGCCGCTGTATTACGATAAAGAGGTGCAGGGAGTAGAGATCAAGGGCAGGAACGCATATAGGCGATTCGATAAATCGGTCTTCTTGAAAGTTGTCCAGCGGCAGCGTGGCGACGATCAGGAGGCATTCCGCCTAGCTCTCGGGGAATTGCGGCTGCTTCAACTATCTGTGGAGTCCTGGAAGCTCCTTTCCAGCCGCGTACAGGCAAAACTAGACGATCAAGAGGTCGCAAGGTTTGTCAACGCCTTACGAGTATACGCCACTAAAGATAGGGTGAACGAATATAACCACTATCACCTCGACCGCCTCAGTCGGCCAGTCATCCAGGTCATGGCTAAGAACGTCGGCCTCGGCGCGGCTGCTGCGCCTGATGACAAGGCGGGCAACCTTGCGAAGCAGATCCCCATATGCATTGGCTCCCGTCTGATGCTGACGTCCAACCTTTGGCAGCCTGTTGGCCTCTGCAACGGCGCTCGCGGCACAGTTTACGATATCGGCTGGGCACCTGGGGCCGACCCCATCCAAGACCCTCCCTGTGTTATCATGATGGAGTTTGACAAATACAGCGGACCGGTATTCCTGACCACCGCTGATGGCAGGAAGATTGTGCCGATTCTCCCAGTGGAGAGGGACTTCCTCATCGGAGCCACTCTCTGCGCTCGCACGCAGTTTCCCCTGATCGTATGCTACGCAATTACCGTGCACAAGTCACAAAGCATCACCGAAGACATGATAGTTACCGATCTGTCCTGCCGGGACTTTCAGACTGGTTTAAGCTACGTGGCTGTCTCTCGCGTGAAAACGCTCGAGGGTCTGATGTTGGATGCACCATTTGATCGTAATCACCTGGTCTACGGGTCTCCCCCGGATGGCATGAAGATGAAGATGAGGGATCAGGAGCTTAGGAAACGACAGGTACTCACACGGAATCCGTACATGTCACATAATACCAAGAATGGCCATGGCAATGGATCAGTACGTAGATAATGCAGTAGTAGTAATAGCTTCCCGGTCCGCGGACACACAGCCTTCGGCTGAGGCTACCCCATGCACCCCATCGCCGCTCCAATGTGCATGGGGTGACGTAGTATTTTATTGTATTAACGCCATTATTATGCTATATATCCACAAATATTAATATCTAGCATCCCGTGCCCGATAGTATTTGTTCCAAGGTGCTTCAGGACTAAGCCCCCTGATGTACATGTATGCAATCTAGCCCATCCTAGAAATATCAAATGCTCACCCATCTCATTCCGTCTCATCATACTCATTATGTCATGCGCAGCCCTTCCTAAAAGGCTAGAAGTTATGCGGCCGTCAAACCAGCAGTTCAAGAGCAATTTCATCTACCCAGTCGCCTCCGTACGAGTCCTGCGAAGCATCAGGAATAGCGGGCTCCTGGGAAGGAGGTGATGAATAGTTGCCTTCTTCGTCATGGAGTGAGGGGTATGGTGGTGGAGATGACTTTGGTTGGTTGATGTTTGGTAGGGATTTGCCTGGTTCGGGTGGTTGTGCTGCGGCTTCTTCTGTGACGGCCTTGATGCGCGGGCGATAACGTCGCTGTATCTCCTCCAGGGCTGCTGTGCGGCGGCTGCGATGCAGGGCAAGGGCCATGCGTGCATGGTCGCCCGTGGGTGTGAAGAAGCGCCTTGGGGATGAAGGCGGTGACTCTGGTCCTGGGTCATGGGGTGTTGAAGGCATAAGCTCTGCGGCTTCTTCTTCCTTCTCCTCGCTGCTTTTCTCTTCATCAATCTCGGGAGCAGGTGGCGCTGATAGAAAGAGGTCGTCTTCGAGTCCGTACGCTTGTTGAGAGGACGAGGGGAAGTCGTCCAAGTTAAAGGGGATAGCTTGTGTGCTCATCCGTGGGGCATGGCGGGGAGACGCGGGAGGATGTGTTACGGTGTGATGCTGTTGTCGAGGAGACGGCTTTAGTGATTTGTGGCATTTGTGGCGGACGGCTGCTTCGAGATCTTGGGACATTTCCCATGCCAGGTCTTCCGCTTCTTCTAAGATATTGTCCGGCCTTGCTATCTTTGGCGCAGGCTCCAGACATTCGTCCTCCTCTTCTTGGATAGTTTCCAGTCTCGGTATCTTTGACGGGGGTTCTGGTTCTTTCTCCATTTCATCCACCTTCACATCATCCATCGAATTCCCAATTTCATATGCATTCGCCATGTTCTCCCTCTTCGTCATCTCCTTTTTCTTTTCCCTCGCTGCCGTCGCCTTCGCCCCAACCCTTTCCTGGTCAAACTCATTCCTGATGCGCCTCTTTTTAGGTCGCTCCTGTCCCAGCATCTCGATGTGCGGAAGCCGTGGGGCCTGGTTGGAGGCTTTGTAGACCTTTGGACCTATTCGGGGGTTATGGGGTGTACGGGTGGACGAGCCGCGAAGGTGGGTTAGCGCCCGCGAATTAGGGAGTAATAGTCCAAGCTCGCTGGATTGTCGTGGGTGCAGAGGAGGCAGTTCATCGGATTCGTGAGCCGAAGGGGTGATGGTGATGGTTTTGGAGGATTTGGGGAGAGGGGCGCGATGGTGGGGGAACGAGTTGACGCGAGGTGGTCACGTGGTCACGTGCCTCCTATGGGCGTTGAGCTGAGCTTTTTTTTTAGTTCGCTCGCAAGGTCATCAATGGACTCTGCAGTAGGCGCAGATGCTCGTGCACAGCTCTTCCCCGTTAGCTCGAAGTTGCCGCTGACCGAGCTGGTGATAAAAGGTTTGGGGCAACTTGTAGAGGTAGCTGAGCATTTTTCGTCGTGTGGGCCACATAAGACAGGAGCAGGAGAGAGAGCCTTGAGGAACGAAGTTTAGGACCGGAGAATTGTCGAGCTCGAAGCTTATCATAGGCCGGTTTTATCTCAAGCTGATGTGAAAGGTTTTGGTGAAGGAAGTCAGTCTTGACTGGAATGCGCCCCGTTCCACCTTCTAGGCCAATCATATCTAATACATTCTACCCCTCAATTTGTGGGGCATAATGGGGCCTCTTTATGGATGGATGGATTTTATTTCGCCCGGGGGGACACACCCCAGAGGGCCTTTGCGCTAAGCTATTTTCGTTTCGTACGGGGCTTTATGAGTCGCTTTGGAGATTAAACGCTTTGGAGATTAAGTGCAGTGAGCTCGCGGGTAACCCTTAATCCGTGACCGAGATCGATCACTTAGTCATCACTGTGACAACGTTTGTGATTGCTCTGCAGATGGCGACTCCACGAAAAGTAAACAAAGACGTCCAACAATTATGGCCTGCAAATACGATCCGATCGACGAGCCACGCCTCTTCTCTGGTGATCGGGACTATTCTGAGGTTCCATCTGTTCGATTTTTTCATCCTGGCTACGCGGACGCTGGCGGCATTCCCGATTTCGATATCCTCATCTCCTTGGAGGCGTTTGACGACGGGGGCACCGGCATCCACTACGACACGGCACACACGGCATGCGCTATCCTCGCTAATAACCGGTGGGATGGCTACTTTTCTCATGATAGGCATGGAAGGCTAAAGACCCAACCGCCTGATGGGATTCTTCGCAAAGAACAGTACTACTTTTGTCTCCCGTCCTCTGACCCGTCAACCGATCGATACCCCGTTATCCCCCGATTCAGGGACTGGCGATTCCCTCATGGCGATCTGCCACCCATATGGAAGAAACTCAAAGATCAGTTGAGGGCGAAGGGGCCGGGTGACAAGAGTAAAGGCGCCAATTGCTTGCTCAGTAATTGTGGTGATGCGGTAGAATCCGCCCATCTCGTACCTTCTGCACAGTCTCATTGGTGGACGATAAACTTGATGAAACAGTAAGAAAACTTCCCGAAGGGCGGATCCGTCAAACCGTTCCCTGTTAATGTTGCTCAATCAGGTATGCGAAGACACCCCTTTTCTCGACGAATGACATGGACGTCCCGGCAAACGGGCTCCCTCTGCGCTGCGACATACATAGGATGTTCGATGAGCGGCACTTTACTTTTGTACCAAAGACCGTTGTTCGTCGATATCAAGAAAGAGTGGCGTCGCCATCGCCAGGCGACGCAGGCCATCGCGACCAGGATCTTTCCTCACAGGGAGATTCCAAGCTGCGCCAGGATAACGACGGACGATCTCGGGCCGATTCGCGATTACCAATACGATTGAATATTGGTAACGAGAGCCATAACGCCGAAACTGAACTGAAAGCGGACCCGGTACACGTCGTTGGACACGTTTTCAACTCTACTCCATCTGGCGATCTCCCCCGGCTGTGGCACAACCGGCCGTTGTGTTCGCCACCATCGCCAGCCTCGGTTGAATACTTATTTGCTCGATTCGCCTACACCGTCTTCTCGCCTTCGGTGTTCAAGTACTTTCTGGATTCGAGCAAGGCCCGACGGCTTCTCGTGTGGGATCAAGAGAAACTCAAACACGAAATTGAGGATGCTGATCCGGAAAGGTGTCGCTCTATCTGGAACGCCTCAAGGTCGAGAAGTGAGAGCCCGAAGAAGAGAGCAAGACCCACTGGAAATGGACAGCATGATGAGGATTGGGATTTCGCGCCTGGACCCTTCGAGACAGCGTCAGATGTGGATAGTGCCTACCATGACGACTCGCAGCGCTTGGGTGAAGATGCTTCCGAAACTTCTACTTTGGATGAGCCGGAGCGCGGTCGAAGAAGGAAACGCGAGTCTGAGGAGTACTCAGGGATGCATGATTTATATGGGGTGAAACGGAGTAGATTAGATCTGTTAGCATGATCGATGACTTTATGATAGAGATTGAGTGGCTAGAAGATACTTGACGAATGAATGACGATTGAGCGATATCAGGCCAGCTTGACAAGTGAATTACGCCGGCGCTGCACCGCGCAGTGATTTCAGCACATCCAGCTGCTCATCCATACGTCGAACTGGGGTGAGACGATGAACATGAGGTCGAGATTGAATAGAACAACACGGTTCACTTCCTCCTCTTGCGGTTGCATTCAATGCACCTCATAGGACGTCCGATAAGATTGACACCCAATGGCTTTCTACAGCACTCTCTAGCTAGCTTGATAATATTATCACGAATGGTTGACTACAGTATCATCACCTCTAATGATAGTCAGAACGCGGGCGATCGCATACATTGCAGCAACGACTGGCGAGTCGTCATGAACTAGCAATACCACCAATCAATTGACCCCCTTCATCAACCTGAACTTCAAATGTAACCCATCGCTGTTAGCATTAGAACCAGACGGTTAATAGCTCTGAAAACGAAACTTGTACCTAGCTGGCGTCTTGTAAAGTCGAGAAAAAATTAATATATTTTGGGCCATATGATATTTCCTATCTTGATGTACGTCACCGTGACTAGAACATCTTCTTTACCTGAGTTTCTCCCAATGTGTTGAGTCTATTATAACTTGCGTTTTTTCTTTTATCTCAATGCATCGAGCAAGGACTGAAGGAGGGATATCAGTATACCTTTTGAAGGCCCAAGGTCAGTTTTACCTCAAACTTGAAAGAGATTTGTTGTCTCCTGCAGGGCCTATAACGCCTCAAAAAATTGATCATTACACGTTATTGTGATAGATGGCATAAGCTATTTAATCAGTTCGATTGCTAAAATGGAAGAAAATTACTAGATGATGATCCTACCGGGAGATAGTCAAATTAAACCCGGCCTACACGCCTCTTGTTTCTACTCAAAGACAAAAGCTAGAGACGGCCTTAGTTTGGGAATTATTGGTCTCACATTTGTAGTATCCCTCGAGTGCCTTTTAGCCAGCCAGCTTCCAAAGCTCTCAAGCCATCTCTACGACGCAGAGCGGGAGAACCGGGACCCTGATGGGTTGATCTACATTATCTCCTCTCCGGAGAAAGAGAAAACTGCGTCGATCCATTGCCGTTTTTGGTTTTAATGGAAACCCTCATCGAAGACCCCATTGACAGCTTGTTTGACCGGCTGCAGCCACAACAGCCCCGCCGTAAGGGCCGAGTCTTACAAGCAGGGCGGATATGAGCACACGTCAGATAGGTGCGTAATTGCAGGCAGCTGATCAAGCCGTGGCGGGGACACATGAGTTTCAGACCTTCGGTGGCGCTTGAGCAACAGACAAATGTCGAAGTGAGCAACCCTAAAGCCAAGAAAGCGTTTATTCAGCTGGGCGGGTCACTTACCGGTGTGAGAGGGGGCAAGACGTAATAGTCTTGAAGGAAGATGCACAAGAAATTGTGGTGAGGCAGTGAAGGGAGAAACTGTCGACTCAGCAGCAAGTGCCACCGGATTGGGAATAATCGCCGTGGTATCACGAAAGGTTGCAGCAGTGAGTAGCTGAAAGTGTGTCGCTTGCCCCGCACACCCTGTCAGCATCAAGTCGTAGTAGGGCAGACCGGTCCGCTCCGCGCAGATCGCTTAGAACTGACTAGATGATCTGCGTTATCTATTCGCCCTCAAAGGAAAAACCATGCTGCTGCATTGCCGGTGTTGGTTGTGACCGAGCTTGCTGTCTTGTCTCACACAATACCAAGACCCATGGGTTGCTTGTCTACCGCAGCAGCCAAGGCGGATGAAACCAACAAGATGCGGTATTTTCTCACCCAACGTGGCCGGAAATGCATTGACCCATTGCTGCCTGATACTCAAACCTGCAGCAACACCAAAAGAGTCATGCACTTTGCCGTCCGAACCAAGGCAACGTGCAGTTCGGACGGCAGGTTGCAGGGGGACGTAGTCAACCTTGGTACGTTCGAAGGAGGCCCGAGCGGTGGTCAGAGATCAAACGACCCTCTTTGTGTTGTGCAAAGTTCGCCGCAGAGGTCGACTACTCCCCTACCGCAAAGCTGCAGGTCCGAGGAGGCGCGCAAACTGTAAATCTCCTTCTCAAAGGCGGAAACGAGAGATAACCATCCTTGTAGGAAAGTACTTGTAACCAATTTATTCGTCCGGAACTGCTAAGGTACTCATCACACCTTTCCCGAATTTTAGCCAATACTGCTAGCCGCCTTAATTAGGAATCAACCGGTTGATTTTGCACACTTCCCGGCCAATCTGTCACCAGCCTCTCGATTAAAATCTTTGGGCGAAATTTTCACCCTAGACTCGACCTCACGATGGCATCACACGACTATAATTTGAGAGCTCGACCCCTCTAGGAGCCGAACTTCCTTTGTTTCCTCCACAAGCAACATTTTCCTCATCGTGTCGCTGACCTTGACGAATGTGGTCCCTTCTAGGTTTGGAGACGTGGCATGCACGATGGTGTTACACAGGCAGCCACCTCAAGGGAAGATGTCTCACGATGATACCAGAATTGTCAGAACAGCGTTACAGATCTGTTGCAGGTTAAGCAGGTCTATTATCTTGGCCTGGCCTCTTCAGATATAGAGACGAGGAGGCAGATCGAACAAAAAGGAGGAGGCAACACAACACATCTACAGTCCTTCCAATAGGGTCTAGGGCAACCCACTTCGACACCGACGACTCGCTTTCAGACGCGAGTTCAACCAACGTTTGGGCCCTTGAAGTTGCCTCAATTGCCTCATTTGCCTCATTTGCCTCATCAGACCAGACGAATCCCACGTTACATCCAGTGGGAGTTCTGACGCATACGTTGCCGGTACCATCGACAACGACGAGGACGAGAAGCCTCGCGCCCGCAAGAGACATCGCTACGCTGAAGAGGAAAGATCCACCTGAGCCCACCCTACACCGACCTACCCTACACTTGTCCCACGCCTTCGCTCGTCCAGCCATCCAACTCCCCTGTAAAAATTTTCCCCTCGCAGCTGCTGTTAGCACTGCGTTAGGGCAGGTATTATTTAGAAAATAGGGTATCTTGCAACTTCAGCAATCATCCTCGATGGCAACCCAAAAATGACTGCTTTGTAGAATTTCAACGGTGATCTACTAAGACTATTTCCCAATTTCCGTGAGGACTATTTTCATGCTTGCGAGAGGTTGAAGAGCAAGCCTCGCGGCCACCAGGTGGGGCTGGTGCCGTTTAGGAGGTACTTGCGCAGCTATGGGGTAACTTTCGCGTGTTTCGCGTCTTTTTACCGTGGTGAATGCATGCAGTCCACCCGGAGACGGTCGCGTGACTTGCTGGCAGTGACGAGAGCGAAACCTTGGGTGAAGGCATAATCTTGGAACCAACGAAGAGCTTCCTCTGGGCTGTTCACTTCATCACCGGTGACAGGAGCACGCAGATGCTCTTGTGGAAGGGCCTCTATGGCCTTGTCGAAGGCAGAGCGGACGTCATTGGGAAGGGTGTTGCGGTCCTGGACCTCCATTGGGCTTGCTTTTGCTTCGGCCGTGAAATGCAAGACCCAGACACATCCCCAGAACTACTATACCTTGTATCCCTTACTGTAACGGGCCAGGCCCTGCTGGACAAGGCAGTGCCTTGTCCTCTTGCTGGTCTGAGCACTGTTGCTCCAGTGACGACTTAGTCTATTTTGTCGCAGGATTTTCTGTCCCTTTCTCTTTCTTGCTTTCTTCTTTCCTCAGCTCGAATGTAAAACGCATGAGGACTATATAGCTGTAATTCACACTATTAGAACCTTTCACACTTACTGCCCACCATCGACCTTCTTTCCAAACAACGACTGGCTACCCCAGTTGCCTTGTCCGACCGCCTGGCCACTCGCTCGCCCACTTGCCTGCTCACCCGATGTCTCTGCCCGCTTCTCCGTCTGCAGCAACCCGCTCTTACACGAATCCACCTCCACATGCCGGAGCACCGATGCAAATGCCATGTTCAACAATGGTTTGGCATGTTCCGCCACCGACATCCGGTTGGCCTCGGCAATATCGATTGGCCCGTACTGGTCTTTGGTCTTCAGAGGACGACCATCTCCAATAGCCCCAAATGTCTTCCCTGTCCCTCGATGACGTGCCTCATCCACAACGTCTTCCATGGTCTTGCCCAAGAAATCAGCACCGGCGTGCCAGTCCCGGTTAATCTTCTCATTTCGCGCTGCAATCACTTCGTCTGTCAGGCGGTCAGTCCCTAGCTTCCATGGTCCTGCCATTCTGGCCGAAAGAGGAGTCCAGTTTGTGTAAAAGGGCTCGGATGGCCATGTCCAGGTGGGTAGAAACATCCCCTTGTGATGTTGATGCTCCTGGTTCCACGAAGCCATCATGGCATGCTGGTCATTGGTGCCCGCAAACACATCGTCGGTGGACGAAATCATCTTCTTCAGGACTGCCATTGGGAGAGCCTCGGGGCTCGAGGATCCAGCGGCTCTGTACACCGACGAAGCGGAATCCGAAACAAACTCCAAATCATCGATGCCAGTCTGCACCAAGGTGTGCTGGGTCAAGGCAGACATGTTTTCATCGTCGTCGTCATCATCATTGCCGCCATTTTGCGACGCGACGTTTGGTTGCAGAACCTTAAATGTTGATTCAAATGTCGATGGGCGATACTGGCGTTGGCCGGGAGGCCCAGCAGTCAAAGGCCGGGGCACACCAGGCCCGGACGCCAGAGTCATCGATGTGGTAGTCGACGTGGATGTGGATGTGGGGGTAGATGTTGGGTGAGCAGAGTTGCCATGGTTAGCCATCTCGCTCAACGTCTCCATCAAGCTTGTTCAAGTCACGGACACGATTCTGACGAGGTTCTTGTTGCGACGCGCCTGGCAGGGGACTTACAGCACCATTTCCTATTCTTAGTCCAGAGACGACGTCTCTTAACCCTTGCTTAGCGCATTAATCCCTGTCATTTGACTGTCCCGACTGTCCCGAGCCATTCCGAGATTTCCGGATAAATTCTTATTGCGGTCCGGTCACGTGTTATCTTAAGCGGGGGTTTGGAGGGGCGCATCGACAGGGATAGTCTAGCTCAAGGTCGATCCCTATGAAGCGATCAACCAATTCTTCAAACAACTACCCAGTAGCCATGCTCGCTCCATGTCAGGATCTCGGCAATCCCTCGCCATGTCGCGGCCCAGCCAGACCTTCTTTCAGCGCCCCTCGTCCGGCACTAACCTCGCCGACCTTGGCCTTTCGTCACTTAAGCGATCGACGTTCCAGCAGCCCAAGGGTGACTTCACCCCTGGGCCTGCTACCCGCACCCCTCGCCCATCTATGGATGTTGGCGGCGACCAACGCAGCAGCGTATACCGACCGCGCCAGTCCACAGCCGCCCCAACGACGCACCAGAGCTTCTTCCAAGCTACTCCCCAAGCTGCCGGAGTCCCGCGAGACCCTCGCCCCCTCAAGGATCGAGCTTTCCAGGCCCGTATTGGACAGGAATTGCTGGAGTACCTGGTTCGGAACAATTTTGAGGTGGAGATGAAGCATGTGCTGTCCCAGAATGTCATGAAGTCACCGACTCAGAAGGACTTCAACTACATGTTCCAGTGGATCTACCATCGCATCGACCCAAACCATAAGTTTCAGAAGAACATTGATCAAGAGGTGCCGCCCATTCTGAAACAAATGCGCTACCCATTTGATAGGAGTATCACCAAGAACCAGATTGCTGCTGTCGGAGGCCAGAACTGGAGCACATTCTTGGGTCTCCTCCATTGGATGATGCAATTGGCCCAAATGCTCGACGGTTACGCGGCCTGCAGATATGACGAGGCGTGCATGGAGAATGGTGTTGACGTCAGCGTCGACCGCATCATCTTTGACTTTTTGAGCAACGCATACAAAGACTGGCTTGCCATGGATGAGGACATGGGAGACGAGGACGCTGAGCGTGTCTTGGCTCCCCACGTCGAGGAAATGGCCAGAGCATTCGAGCGGTCTAACTCGAAGTATACGGCAGAACTTGAGATGCTTGAGGCGGAGAATGCGCGGCTAGTGAAAGAGATTGAAGATCTAGAAAAGGCGATGCCTGATCCCTCCCTTCTGGACAACAACTTCAAGATCATGGAGGAGGACAAGGTCAAGTTCAAGGATTACAACGCCGTGGCCACGCAGCGAGCCAAGAAGTACGAGAACCGCGCTCAAGTGCTGCAAGAAGAGCTGGAAAAACTCATGGAGGAGCTGAAAGAGGCCGATGAGGAACGACGCAGCCTGCAGAAGGCAGTCGACGCTCAAGGAATTAGCATGCAGGATATTGACCGCATGACCGCTGAGCGCGAGCGCCTCCAGAAGGGTATTGAATCCGCAGGCCAGCGATTGGAGGAGGTAAAGAAGAAGGTATTAGAGAAAGAGGCCGAGGCAAGCCGAAAACTGGACGAGTTGGAGCGCATGGTGGATCAGTATAACACCGTGGCATACCAGACTGCGCTTATCCCCTCCACGGCCGCCAACGCCAAGGGCAGGGATTTTGAGCTCCAAGTCATGGTCAACGACAACTCGCACGTTACTTCAACCAACCTCAAGGGCTCTTCCGGAGCGTCGTCATCAGCCGACCGGTTGCTAGTCGACGCGACGACCGACTACCAACCCGGACATGTCCTCAACCTTGACCTTCGAGGCTCAGTCCGAACCAGCCTCCTGGCACTGCGCAAGGAGATCTCGGAGCGGCGCGGTGCAGCCATGGAGCTTATGATGAAGGACCACGATTTGCTCGATGGCATCAAAGAGGCGATCGAGGACAAACGCAGTGAGGTTGAGGCGCTGAACCATCGAGTCCGAGCTGCTGAGCAGGAGTATGAGGCGACCAAGGAGGTGACAACGGCGCAGAAGTTGGCATCAGACGCACAGATCGAGAAGCTGGAGAAAGATCTGTCACGAATGCGGGCAGGACTGTCAGAGTCTGTACAGATTCTAGAACAAAAGGAGATCAACACAACGATCCAGTACGAGCAACTGGTTCTACGAGCCAATGCCCTTCGCGAGGAACTGCATACCGAGATTGATCGGATGCTCAACGACGTCATCAAGTTCAAGATTCACATTCAAAAGAACCTGGACGACTATGAAGGGTTCGTGGCAGACGAGCTGGAGAAAGAGCTAGGAAGCGAAGAGATGGGCGAGGACACGCGGCCGGTCGAAGTCTGAACCTGATGTGAGCCCCTGAACGACTTGATGAACATTTGTTCACGGAGGCTCTTTTTTGGGGGCGTTTTTAGGCGGGGTGTTCCCTGGCTGAATGGAAACGGACAACTTATGCTATACTGTGTCTGTGGCTTGCTTATTTCTTCCCGGAGCGTTGGCTTGTTTGACGATGAGATATCATGATGTTCTTGGGCATACAACGCCTTCAACAAGTCGTTGGGTTTAGTTGACCACTTCTCGATGCTGGATATCTGCAAGGACGCTGCATTTGCTTCGACACGTTCGGAGATGCTGGTTAATGAGGAGACCTACTTCCTCGAAGACCTACCATGGATTCTTCGAAACTTGACGACAAAGGAGTTTGTCCGCTCGGAAGCCATTGCCCTGAAGCCGGAATTCATCCATGGTCCCAACATTGACGTTTTGGCTTTGGCGAAATCGTCATGTCACGCATCTGCTGGTCAACATCCTCATCTGTAAGTATGAGTGGCACGACCAATATCTCGAAGGGAGTATGGGCAGGGCACTGCTTCGACATCACAACACTCGCGAGACACGACGACGAGACCAAATGGGTAGGGTGGAGCGATGTGAGCAACGAAGTTACAAGTGAGATTGCCGGCCTCTGGGAGAGCGAATACGGCACCGATTGGCGTGAGACCGTCTGCAACCTCTGGTGTGAAAGGTACGGGCACTGAGTGTCGACCCGAGGCTGCACTTTTCTGGACACCGCCTGACCTCTAGCTTGACCAGCATCCGAGGATTTATTGAACCCACGACAAACTCCGGCTATCTAACGCATCCCGGGCCCGGAATTCACGTTTTTACCTCTAGACACGGAACAGTTTTGTTGGCAGCTACTCCGACTGTCACATATGCACGACAGAGTAAGTCGACAACGATGTCGACGGCAGTACCTTCCCACTTCTCGTCGGTGCCGGTAGAAGTCCTTGATAAGGTAGTCTTGACGCTTTCGATCGTGAGCATGTATGGCATTGCGCACGTATATTCCAATGTGAATGGCAGACGCTGCTGCTGCCGCGACAGAATCTGCAGTGTTCTCAGTCTGATCCGAAACGGTCGCAAGACGAGCCAAGGTGGCGTTGCCCACTCGTTTGCAACGCGCACTCTCGCTATCTCCTTGCTCATTGTGTCCATTGCGTAGTTTCTCCCGGCGACCGTGGCGGCGTTCCAGAGATGACGGCGGCAAGCATATTGATGGTTTAAGACGAATGAAGCGTACCATTTACTTGCGCGCACCTCCCAGCAGACATCATGTCAAAATGCCATTCACAACAGCTGGGCTATTCTGCGAGTTGCACGGGCTTTTTGAGCAAGATTGTGATTGAGGACTTCTCAACGAATGGTACCTAGATGGATACCTTGCCAAAGCAGGAGAGCAGTGCAATTCGGCGCCATGAGAATCCGGTACTGGCCATTCCTCTCACGCACCAGCATTTTTAGGTTCATTCCGTCTCGAGACGGATACGACGGCCTACTCATATTTCGCCAGGTCCCAAACTTCGTCCAGCCTTCTTGATCAAATGTCGCGACAGCTCGTCTCGAATTTGTGTCTTCGACATTCCCTGAAAGCGCGGTTTGTATTCAACTTCGTCGTGATCAATGGCCACATTTGAGGGGCCGTCTATTGACGAATCGGGTCCTTTATGTCCCCTCCGGCGACAGAGGCGACCAGCTCCATCAAAGAAGCCAAACACGACTGGCCGGGTAGTTAGATCACTCCAGTTCCGTACCCAACCTAAGGCAACATATTTTTTTCTAATCTCGAAGGGGATAATCGGTTCGTCGTGGTGGCGGGGGTGGCGGGGGCGGCGGGGGCGGCGGGGGCTGCGACTGTCCGACACACGTAGAGGTTTTGCTCGGCGGGTATGGTAGTCGGTTCGGTCGGCGGCCGTAGTCGTGGGACAAGCAGACGCAGGAGACCCATCCCGACGGGCTATTGTGCCTAGATAGACCACATCATTGTCGGATGGCGACATATTATATTATGAGAAGCGGAACGCAGCCTTGTCTGAAGCCGAAGGGAGATGGGGGGAAATTGCTGAGGATCAGTTTATGCGGGGTCACCCGCTCAGCTAATGGCAGTCCGGCCTATCAATTATGCACTCTGTACCAGAATCATGCGTCGCGCTCATCCGCAATCCCTGAAATCCGAATTTGAACTAGCCGGGTGATACTGTTCGACGCCAGACGAACCAACAGAATTTTTTTCGGGTTTCTTCCCCGGATATCTGATCCCTAGATACTGGGGTGGCGCATGGCGGCTTGTTTCTTTCTAGAGACAGCCTTCAAGATGTTGAAACTCGAGTCCTGAAGGCGTGCCCGTGCCCTGGGAGTGGTATCGATCAAATAGGATTAGCTCAACTATCAAATCATGGTTTAGACCCGACCACGAAAAATCTGATTGGCCCACCGGCTACAAAAGTGACGACGAGATTGACAACTTGCAAGCATAACACCGCAGTACAGAATTAATGATGTATTCATGATGTTTTGAGATTCAATAAAGTAGATGCGAGGGATGGTGAATAGTTTTGTCACTCTTTTGTTCCAAGCCTAGCTACGTTTTAGTGGAAGTATGGTGCTGTAGTGAACGGATTTCGTATAAGAGTTTTGCTAGCCGGGCAGTGTCCCACTTTTTCTGTGTGTTAAGCCACACAACCTTGGCGCTGCTGAACGGTGTGATACATCAAACTGACATCCAAATTCCAAGATCCAGCCTTCACTTAGCAGTCATCTCAGCTGCAATTTCTATCTGGGCCGCAAGCTCTTCAATCCTTTCCCTGTCCTTGATGGAGACTACCTCATCTATCTCATCCGACACGTCCGCAAAGAACGAATCTCCGATCAAACATTTCTCCATGGTAAAGCTGTGGAATTGAGGCATATCCCTGACGGTGCTCAATACAGAAGTCCAGCTCCCAGCCTCGTTCATCTTCACTTCCCGCAGTGTTATCTCCTCAAGCGTCGACTGATGCCGTAAAAGCATTTTTGTCAATTCGGCAGCGGTGGCTTCGAACCGGGCTAGCTCCATTACCCTCAATTGTGGTATTTTCAACAGTTCCGAAAAGATTGGAAATACTGTGTGATTGTCGAAGTCGTCATCAAATGCTAACGTGAAGTGCGACAGCTGAGGGAAGAGGTCAAAAAATCCCATGGCTCTCTTCTCCCAGCCATAAGCACGGTTGTTCTTATAGAATGGAGAAATAAGCAGTCGTAGGGAAGTCAGGCTGGTGAGCGTCCAACCAGTCGGCGAGACGTAAATTGGCCAGTCAAGTAGTTGGAGGCTGATGGGGTTAACGCTTTTTGGCTCATCCACATGACCTAGGTAGAAGTCAAGTTTCTCAACAGGCAGTTCGCTTTTGGCCACTGCGCTAAGCATGATTTGCAGTATACGCTGCACAAACTGTTCATCCTCAACATAGTCAGGATGAAAACCCCTTGCCAGCTCGCTGCCAACCTCTCTTTTCAGCCGACTGGCCCCCCAAGGGATCCGGGCATCGGTGAGAATGAGCGTCTTGCAGTTGGGCAGACCCGTCATTGCTTGCGCAAGGTAAATGATGTCGTGCCCAAGGAGGAGTGTTTTCTGGTCGTCGAGCCGTTCACGATACACGCGGTCGTAAAAATCCTGTGTCGTCTTCCCCCAGCTCAAGGTCCTCATCGCTTTCGTCTTCAAACTCGTCTTCGAACTCGTCTCCATACGGATATCCACGCCCCCAACCTGCCTCTAGAAAAGCAAAAAAATCACTACTTTGCTCGTCATCCATCTCCATAAGATGCTCAGTGCAAAATCCTAGCGCACGTACAGCAGGCCCAAAGGTTTCATGCTGCGAAATGGAAATAAGAGTCTGCAGGCTTTGTTCTTCAAGCATCACATAACGAGTCTGAAAAGAGTGTCGTATGAAGGCGTCAAGGGACATTGCGTTCAACCTCCGACAGGACAGCCGCAATGAGAAAAAATCGTCGATGGGAAGAAGCTCAGCTACCGAGTGGATCACGTCCTCAGGAAGTTCCAAAAGTCTGGCCATGGCGTACGGATGGCTCAAGATGACAATGATCAATGTCGATGGAGCGTAGGTCCGAATTGGCGATGATCCCGTCTACCCTGGCCTGTGGCAGACAACGTTGCGAGCTTTCCATGAGAGAAAATTTTTGTCAAAGTGCCTGTCATTGGGGGATGGCAACTGATGACGAGGGGATGTGTATGCGAGATCCGGAATGACTGGTCCAATGGACGCGAAAAACGAATGAAAATGGACGAGACAGAAGTTATGTTGACATTTCTTGCGCCATGTTGGGCGTCGTGTTCCCAGCCCCTGACCAGGGCAACCCAACATTAACTCTTCGTAGTCCCGACCAATCCCTGATTCTTGCTTTGCTTAATTGAGCTTACTGCTGACTGGTATGACCAGCTCCCTGTTTAATTAACCCCTAAATTCCGGTATCGTTCCTCCTTGCGGTGGGCGATCTTGCCGCCATTCGCTTAATCCACTGTCTTCTCTCTTACTCGAAGACACACCATGGATTGGACGGATGCGGGTTTAGCCAGACAAGGCTTGTGACTCATAGCGGATTTTGACTGGCAACGGTCATGAACGTGACTGTCACCGGAAAGAAGCCAATTGAATGCAAGACCAGGCGGGCCAGCAAAAGCAATGCGCTGGACCATGCTGCTTTTGTCAGATACAGTCTCATCGCAATTTCTTCAAGTTGAGGACATTGCTAGGGCGTCGCATCAACACCAAAACTCTAATGGCATCGACTCGCCAACCCGTAGTCAGGTGCCGATGTACGCACACAACCATGAAGGTGTACTTGCTACGAGCATTGTCATGCATGCTGGGCTGGGATGAGCACAATGGAATAGAAGCTACTTTGTGTGCATGACAGTAACGTGCAAATGCCGAACATGGATCACGCGTCGAACGGTGACAGAAAAACTACGAAGCGCGTAGCCGTCCTGGTCGGCCGCGGACGCCACGGCGCGCTGGCCAAGACCACCCCCTCGATGAGTACGATCGACATTATCCCCGTCTGTGTTACCGATGAACTCTATGTGCAATCAATGCACGATGTATCGCCGGGGTCTAGAGCAGCTTGCAGGGCATTTTCATCCAGCGCTGTGCATTTATATGCCCCTAAGAGGATGAGTACAGCAGCGTCGTGATTCACACTGGGCTGTACGCCCAGTGCCAATTCCATGCGCATACTACATGCTCCCGCACAGTGTCGCACAGTATATCAGCCCCGTTGTATTCCCAGGCAACCCGTGGATCCTTCTTCGGCTTCGAGCAGCCGCATGGGGCTTCCACTCAGGTATGACAAGCAGAGTTATGAGTGGTGTCCGGACTACAAGCAGATGTCCAGGCGCTGCATCCCTTCAACGGGGTCAAGAGAATGGACGAGGGAAGAGATGATGTCGTGTCTAGGTTGGAGCAAGGCAGAGGATGAACGTGTTGAAGCCCAGGTCGCCAAAGAACGAGACGGTAAGGAGCAGCAGGCCTTGCACTCAACCACTGACTCAGTACGGAGGGCCCTTTCAAAAGTCTTTTCCAAGCGCTAGTTTGAAAAAGGAAATCCGACGACTGTGGCTTGGTTAAGTACATCGAGTACTTTCTATAGTGCCTTATCCGCTAAAGGCTGCTAATTTTACAGCAGCCTATCCTCACTGTATTACATTCTAATTCCCCTAGCACCCCTAAAACTATAGTGGATGTAGCAGCTAACTCATTGTGGCTGGATTCTACACCTTGTACCTTAGGTAACTAACAAGGATTGAGAGATGTGGCGCATTTAGCGCTTGGAAAAGACTTTTGAAAGGGCCCTCCGTAGAAAAGTGTATTATAGTCAAAGTGTACCGGGTTCTTTTTTTTTGGCAATGACTATGCGGGCCGAACCACTGTGGTACGGGGGCCGCGTTACGGGGGCCGTGTGGCTAACTCGTCCGTCAGCCACACCATTAGGACGTCTGGTTATGACCAAAGGGAATCAAGCTTCTCATTACAAATTTATTGTACCATTGTGCTCTATGAAAACCAACGACGTTGCAGAACTAGAACCGATTAAATGATCCTCAGTTGCACAAGCAGCCCTATGACGAAATGCCCGCCTCTTTCAGTATTATAGACGATGCTCTGCATTGCCTCCTAAACGCTTCTATAAACTAGTTACACTCGCACATTGATACAATCTTCGCAGTTTGCCTTGCTACCCAAACTTAACGCGGCCGCCGGCATCGAAGTGGCAGTCCGTTTACGGGAGCTTCGGCGTTTGTATTTCGACGGAGGCTCCAGCTCCTCGTCGTCATTGATCTCCTACTCGCCGTGGGCCAAAGCTCTGGCAATGCTTGGCCAACTCGAGAGCTAGTGGGGTATCGGACTTTGCTTGCTCTCGGGCAAACTTCAACGCAGACTTAAAGCGAACCATGCTTCTCGCGTAGCCGCTGGCGTCCTCTGACTTCAACTGCTCGCGCAGGCGCTCTCTTTCAAGCTTGTCAGGGTCTGGAATTGCTAAGACGAATAATCGCCGCTCGCCGCGGCCGCGGAAACAGTCGTCTAGGAATATTTGCGTCTGCCGCAGTTTCCACCACGGTTCGTCAATACCGCGGTTGCCATGTGGTCTGGGAAGGCTACTAAAGTAGTTCTCTGGCCATGTCGCAAAAAGGTTATATAAGGCACCATCGTCGCCTTCGCCGTAGTGAAGCTCAGGATCGAATGGGTCATGGGATGCGCGTTTCTGGCGATTGCGTGGAGGGGGAAGGGAAGTGCTGTTGCCACTACTCTCAGTGCCGTGTACATAGATTGGGGTTTCCTGTAATCTCATGGTAAATGACGCTGTGAGTTTCTGGCGGATGTCTCCTCTGTACCGACGAGTGTGAAAGTGAATTTACATTAGGACACGGACAGCTACAACGATAGGAACATGGTCGTGAAATGTTTTTCTGGTTGATGGCTGGAGAGTAAAGACTGGAACGCAAACCAGCCATCAACTGGAAGGGGCAGTGTGTATGCCAAAGGAATGGGTCAATTGCCAGATTTGGTGGGCTCAGCCACACGGCCCCGTAACCCGGCGCCCGTAGCAAAGTGGTTCAGCCCGCATAGTCATTGCCTTATTTTATTTATTTATTTAAAAAAAAAATTCGGAGGGTTGAGGGGCGCTTATTCTGACTCTACTGCAGGAGGTTAATAGATCCGATATCTAGACCGATGTCCTTAAGAAAGTCCAGCTGGTCGAATCCCAACTATCCGACGATCCAGTCGCCCAAACCCACGATCCTGTTGGCGTCGTATTAGATAACGCTACCCGTTGGCTTTCCCAGCTAGCCATGATCGACCGGGCCCTCGTTTTGCAGCCGGTTTACCACCCTTTCATCCAACGAGCGTTGAGTGAATTGAACAAAGCGAATCTCACGAAAAGTGGCTCTGTTAGGAAGGGGGCCAGGATGCCGTTCTTTTTTAAGGGAGCATTTTTATACTAACAAGACTGGGACGGCGCCCAAGGTGAATGACGGTGGTGTCGTAGGCTTGTAGGCTCGTCGGTTCTGACGGCGCCCTTTTGATCCTACCTCAGCACGCCCTCTGTGCCCCAATAGGTTCACCGGCCTCACGGCTGCCCCGGCTTCTGATTGGCCTACTTTCGGAGAAATGTTCGCGTCGGCAGCACGTGCTCCACCCGCAGCCACATCTGTAAGGCTACGCCATAGTCCACTCTACCTCTCGACCAAGCCCTATCGCAACCTCCCAACGCCCGCCTGCAGCCATCAACTTATCCCCTACCATCACTACAAGCCCTATCCAAGGAGTCCTCACCTTCCCTTTCGCCGATATCCACTGGCTCCCAGCGGCGACGCGCCCGACACGATGGGATCAGATGCACACGCTCGCAAAGGTAACTCAATCGACACAAGGGGCTTGAGGGCTCGGACTAAGCTCATAATCCAGACGAGGAGCAGACGATCAAAGGCGCATCCAAGAAAGACTCCAAAAATGGCACTATCAAGCTAAAAAAACCACCGCCAAAGCACAGCAAGCCTGTAAACTGGAGAGACGGCAGCGTCATCGAAGGTATCATCGAATAGCGCGTCTCGGCCTGTGAGACTACCGCTGACCAACCGGTTAGAGGACAAGAAGAAAAATGGTAGTTCGCCGTCAGCATCGGTAGCCTCACCAGGTCCCGTGGTGAACCAGCTCAACGACAACGCCCGCGAAACGTTTGCGACCGGCCGACCACTCGAAGACAGCCTCGATCTACAGCAATGCAAGCACTGCAAGAGCATTCTCAAGACGGCAGCAAAGTCACACATTGCGCAGTGCCTCCGACTGAAGAAGGAGAAGGCGCAGCGGAAGAAGGAAGCTCGTGAGGTCAGGGAAAGGGCCAAGGAGGCAGCGAGGGAAGAGGAGGCATGGAAGGCCGACGAAGAAAACGGCGAGGGCAAAGGCGACGACGATAGCGACGGGGACGATGACATCTCGGCCGACAAGAAACCCACGGGGAGCAAGACTGCGAAGAAGGCTGCGGGGAAGAAGCCCGACGACGACAAGAAGGGCAAGAAAAGGAAGGCCGATGGGGATCCAGACGAGGGGCCCAAGGCCAAGAAGAAGAAGGACGAACCCAAGGCCAAGGTTCCCAAGCCAAAGGGCAAGACATTCACCGGACACATACTGTACGACTGCTTACTGACCATGCGACCGCAGGGCCTGTGGATGTCGAGCGCCAATGCGGAGTGATTTTACCAAACGGACAGCCATGCGCAAGATCCCTGATGTGCAAGAACCACTCTATGGGTGCGAAGCGTGCTGTGGCCGGGCGATCTCTACCATACGACATGCTACGCGCTGCCTACCAGAAGAAGAACCAGGCAAAACAGCAGAGTAAGTACCGGTCCGGGCCAGGCCTGTTTCCCCGGACCGATGTGACTGCCTCCCCCTCAACAGAAGCCGCACTCGATGCAAATGCCCCAACCCAATAGAAGACGAAGACGACGCCAACAACGGGCCTGTCGACTCGGACGAGGAAACGGCTGCCGTGATTGGCGCCCTGGCCGAATGGAACCCGCAACCTCTGATCCCGCAACCACTCTTCACACCGATCAAGCGCCAGTACCAGCTCGCGAGACTCCACGAGCAGCTACAAATGGCAACCGACGGCGGACGGACAAACATCTTCCGAGTCTCTGGTTACGGGGGCACAGAAACTCCCAGAAGGCCATCCCGGACTGCTGGACAGCGAGGATGCGCCCGGAGAGCGAGACTTGGGAGTCGTGGGGTTCGGGGGCCCACGGCGGTCGAGTTTTGGGTTGCCGGGACCTTCACAAAGACAGCCGTCGGTGACGAGCCGGGGGTAGAGGCGTAACATGGCACAATGGAGTATTTTCACCCCTTCTGACAGCGAGAAGTGCCAATGTATATGATACGCAGGAGGCTTCCGGACGACTGAGCCATGTTCCATTATCACGAACCCGGGATGATGTGGTGATCCCGCACTGGCCGGTTTGTCGAACACGTCGTAGATTCTCGAGTCACTCCCAAAAATCCTGCCGACGCTTGGATTTCGGGGTGGATGATCCATTGTAATACAGAGGACAGGTGAGAAGAGTGCCATAGGAACGAACTCAAGGAGAAAATAAAACGGCAACATAGGTATAGACAAGCAGCCGCATCACTACTCCGAGTCATCTTCTTCTTCCCCTTGAAACCCGCAAGTCTTCTCAAACCGGAATGGGATCCTGTGCAACATCTGGCGGACACCATTGGCATCAAGTGTGAACCCACCTGCGATCAATTCGTCTACTAGCATGACGAACGAACGAGGTATGAATTTTCTTGTCCACGTCTTGACGAGGCATTGTCTGACAGCCTGGAAAAGGCGGAGTAACTGTGGGTGGACCTTGAAGATTTCTACGAGTCTGCCAGGGTCCTTCACTGGTCGAGCCGATCTCAAATCCAACTCCACCGCCCGGCCAGCTCCACAGTGGTCGACAGTGGTCCTCCATCCTCGCTTGCGTTGGCGCCGCGGGGAAGTGCACTGTGTACTCCGCCAGCAGCGCAGCCTGGTTCCTGGCTCGTGTCACGCTCCCCTGCATGCGCAAGCCTTGTTATGTAGGCTCCACGTCAACCTCACCATACTGGCTTGCCTACCGACGGCGTAGCAGCGATAGGCTTCCCGATACTGGTGGTGGCTTATGTAATGTGTCTACCTTGACCAGGACGAGGGGGCTTGCGCAAGGATTTCGCCCTTTGGAGCTATCACTAACTCAACCTCTCCCTTCCTCAAGCACAATGCTGTTGGTCTTGATTGGATGATTTTGGTTTGGGAGCATTCGCTCGAGGGCATCTCCTCACCCTCGGGAGACACCCAGTGGTTCCACCCACCTTTACTCCAGTTATCATCTCTGTTCTGCAGGGGAGGAGCGAGAGTTTAGGTCCGTATGACCAATGATGGACCCCATGCCCATCTCGCTCAGCCTTGTGTCATTGGCCAAGGGGTGATCCCATCGGTGGCGGAGGTTGACTTGCGTGTAAGGAGGCACAGGCTTGGATATGGGCAAACTCCGCCTTTCTGTACTGCCCACTCTCATGCAAGCCCTCGCCGTCTTTCCCTGACACTCGGCGAGACTCAGATGGTCTTCCATAGATAGATCTGTTCTTCAACCTCCTTCAATGCCTCTACACCGCTAGTCACGTTGAACGGTTGGCTATAAGTCCCGATCTCTCTCCCAGCTCTTCACTTTGTTACCCTGGCCCGCAGCTTGGGATCCTGTTCAGCCAGCGTTTGTTGGAAAACAGGATCAATTGTTCACAACCTGTTGGATCCGACGACTCGGTAGTGCCAACGTTACCAGCAGGTTGATTTCCACCTGCTCTGGTCTCAGGTCGTGGTGTTGCCGGTGTCTCTAGAGTATTTGAGGTTGCCATTGTCTCATCTCCGTAGTCGCAGGGCAGGCAGTCAAAGGCCGGAGTATGCTTGTTCTTGGAGCGAGATTGGCAGCTGACATGCGAAATGACATCGACTCAGGGGTGCACGCCACTTTATATAGACGCCCTTGAGCCATTGGGAATAATTACCACGCAGCCCTGGTTGCTCCAGGAACGATGATCCCTGGGATTCTACTGGCTTTTGAGCAGCCATCGGATGCAATTGAGCCATGAGTTGCTGCAGGGGACATATCAGGCCCTTGTCCATGTTTTCGGTCATTCCGCACAGCATGAATCCAGCGTCATGAATGGCTCACACCAGCTGGTCAACAGGTCGCTCTGGTATACATGCAGCCCAGGAGGTTGGTGCGGCCCTAAGAACCTTCTGCCACAGCCCTCCGACCTGCCTTGCTCCACTTCATTCCGCGCCTCGCCCTCCACGCTGTTATGTCTTTCGTGGCGTATATTTTGGGTGAGTTCGGTCATCCTTGTGAAGTTCTCTTTATCGCACGATTTCATACATGCCTTCTGTTGAGAGGCAACAGCTAAATGTCCCTCATGGACTGGTAGCTAGGCCAAGTCGAGTCTGTTTTGTCCAATTACTTGACGTGAATTCTTCGTCGAGAAAAGCTTCTAGGTACCACTTCTGCCCGTGCTCTTCGAGGCATGTGTCGCAAAAATGTTTACGTGCCTTCTCCACCTTCCTTTGACAGTCTCAAAAGCAGACGCAGACATGCATACTGGTGGGTGAGGATCGGGGTTTGGCATCGATGTTCTGGTAGCGATGAGCCTCGAAGCATAGCATAAGAGACCGATCAAGTTGAGAGAGATATGGTCCTTCTCATTGAAGGACCCATACCCTAGTAACAAGAGCCGGTCGTACAAGAGGACTTTCAAACGCGTCTTCTCCGATGAGCTTATCTTTATAAGTAAAGAGCGTGATTCTGGCTGACCGTGCAAATGTTGGTAATTAGGGGGCCTAGGTTCAAAGATGGACAGCAGAGAATCACCAAGCAAGGTGACGGGTGGTGGTCAGCACTCAATCAGCACTAGATCAACTGGGCCGGCAGAGGATGACCCGCTGGCACAAAGCGCTTTCCCTGAGGTTGCATTCCCGTACATATTTCGTGCCTTGACTGCGGTAAGGTAATTACGCACCACGGGATAGAAGAAACACTGTGGGCAAGATTACGTGCGGTCTCGCCGGGCTCAGGGGTGCATGAGACGGCGCCCCGTCCACCTAGCCATGGACAAGTAGATTCAAGTCCCAATCAAAACTATTTAGGCCACGCCAGGGCTATGGAAGCCGTCGCCAAGTTGAATCTCCACACACAATCGACAAGAATCAGAAGGCAGATCTATCTCGGACGCAATGAAGCCCTGGCAACTCACAGCGTCCGCTGCCCTGGCCAAGATTCAGAGCGCCGAGTTGACCGTCGAGGCCTACACCAGGTCGCTCCTCGAGCGTATCGAGCAGCGCGATGATGATGTGCGAGCCTGGGTAACGCTTGACAAGGACAGAGTGATCCAGCAGGCGATGGCACTGGATCAGGTGCCTCGAGCCGAGAGAGGCCCTCTCCACGGCTTGCCGATTGCAGTCAAAGATGTCATCTACACGAAAGGTATGACGAGAGGAATGGAAGGATAGATGGCCGAGGATGGTCGAATACTTATCTTTTAATAGATATGCCAACTGCGCACAACTCACCTTTGTACGGTGGGAGCTTCCCCAAAGTCGACGCTGCATCTGTCACGATCCTTCGCCAAGCTGGTGCTCTGATTTTCGGTGAGTCCCAGCTTCGAGGTGTTCTGTTTCCTCTGCAAGCACTTCTCATGCTCACCATCTTCCGCCAGGCAAAACCACCACCACCGAATTCGCAGCCACTGGAGTTGGTCCCGAGACCCGCAACCCGCACGACCTGGCCCGCACGCCCGGCGGCTCCTCGACCGGCTCCGCCGCCGCCGTGGGCGACTTCCAGACCCCGATCGCCCTCGGCACCCAGACTGGCGGCTCCACCATCCGGCCGGGCTCCTTCAACGGCATTTACGCCTTCAAGCCAACGTGCGGTGCCATCTCCCGTGAGGGCCAGAAGCTCTACGCTCCCAGCTTCGACACTCTGGGCTTGTTCGCCCGCTGCGTCGACGACCTCATCCTGTTGACTGGCGTGTTCGCCGTCGAGGACGACAAGGAGAGCCGGTTTCGCGGCGTTGAGGGCGAACGGTTCGCTATTTGCAAGACCATGGCTTGGGAGCACGCCGGGGAGGGCACCATAGCCGCCTTAGAATGCGCCGTTGAGCTACTCCAGGCTAACTGCGCCATCGTTGAGGAGCTCGATCTCGGCCCCGAGTTTGCCAGCCTGCCCGAGTGGTACGACATCATGCTCAGCAGGGAGGGTGGGACAACCTTCCTGCCTGAGCACCGCGTCGGCAAGGAGAAGCTCCACCCTACACTTGTCAGCCATGTCGAGAACTCGGATGGCGTCAGCCACAAGGCCTATCTCAAGGCATTTGACGGGATCGCGGCGCTGCGACCTCGGATGGATGAAATCGCCAGCCGCTATGCCGCAATTCTCACACCGAGCGTACCAGATGAGGCGCCCATCGGTCTCGAGAGCACTGGAAGCTATGTGTTCTGCAAGATATGGACGGTAAGGTCTACCTCCCCGGTCGGGGGGTTCATGCAAGGGTGGGAGATGGCGAGGAACTGACGGGAAGACAGGCGCTCCATACCCCCGTGCTGAACGTCCCAGGATTCAAGGGCGCAAAAGGCCTGCCGATTGGATTGTCCTTGGTTGTGCCGCGGTACCAAGACAGACAACTGCTGAGAGTGGGCAAGGCGGTGGGCCAGATCTTCGAGTCTGAGGGCGGATGGAGACGGCAGGTCCACCGCGCAGATGAAGCTTTAGAGAAGTGATAAGACAACCTTTCTGGTACAGCTGAGGTTACTGAAGTTCTGAGACCCGCATCTGACCGCCGCTGTTGATATCCCTCTATCATGATGAGCTTGGCTCGTGGGTGACTGCCCCGTGCCCAATCTCGTCACACCTGCCCCATCCAGTCTACAGCCCCGGAGGGGAAGAGGAGATCTGTGCTTTGGGTCCAGGTTGTTCAGGGATGGGTGAGTCAATATGTAGGTCAGACTTGAGAGCTACGTTGGCCCACCAGAAATTGGGGCGGAAACGGGGAACAGAGGTCGTCAATCCCGGATGTTTAATTGACTATTGCCCACGTCCAGTGATCTTATTGGATTGGATTGGAGCTGGATCCGAGGGTCGCTCCAATCCACTCCAGAGGTGAAGGCGTGCTGCCTCCTGGATATCCAGAACCGATCCAGATCATATTTTTACCCTTTTGGGACGATTAGTAAGCCGCTGAACAAACCACGAGGATATATGATGTAGAACAAGATGTCACATCCAACAGACCAAAACGTCATACGTTTAATCAAACCGGAAGGAAGGTCTTCCGCTGTTCAGACCCGCTGCCCGGAGGTCCGAACTTCCAGTCAGAGGTTGGTATCAGCTACCTTATGTCTCCCAAAAAGCAAGTTCTTCAACACAACGGCCCTGGCGGCCCTATGTATAAGAAAATCGACCTCTTTTCAGTCGTTAGAAAAAATCAAGAGATTTTATCCCTACGATCCAGATCCATCAGAAATTGCGACACAAGATCCCATGACACTAGCTAAACCCTGAGCCCATTATGCTCACCAGAAGTGTTCTTCTCCAATATATTTGACTCCTCACAACCATCATCTCCACCGCCGTCTTCTTCCCCTTCTGAATCCCGCCTACTGGTCCCAGCCTCATCCCTTGCTTCGTCTTCTATCAAGCCGATACTAGAGTTATCAAATGCCTTCCGCTCTGGGCGTCCATACCAAGCCCGTAGGCACTCGCTGGCTTCGGTTACGTCCATCCGAAGTCGTGAACGACGATCCGTAAGGAGGAGCTTGGCACTGCTAAATAAGCGCTCGCACTCATCCGACATGGGAGGCACGGCCAACAAGTCCAGCGCCATACGAGCTAGGTCTGTCTGCGAGTGATAGCGCTCATTCCAGTACTGAATGGGATCGAATTCTTCGTCATCGTTAAGGCCGATAACGTCAGTGGTGATAAACTCGTTGTAGTGGTCCACCGAGGGTAGTTCATGACTCAATTTAGGGTCGGACTGGCGTAGTTTAAGCCGCTTGTGGTTCCGAACCGAGGTGAACGATTTCTCCTTTAATTCTGGGGCCCTAAAGACGTGAGTACGAACTGGGGCTCCGCCGGCAAACTTTCCTCGATATTCCTCAATCCAGAGCTCTTTGACAGCCCCGACGGCTGCCTGGATCCAGGTACGCTTATCATCGCTGTCATTCCAAACCTGATGGTACCACTGGTTCTTGAGGGTTGGATTCAACGATATAGCGGCGTAGTAAGCGGGCGATTCATCAGCCTTGTTGTAGTACTTCTCGCATTTCTTCCAGGCAACTTCTGCTGCCGCAGCAAGCCAATTATAGTCGTCGACTTCGCTTTGGGTATCCTGCTGATTCGGGCCACGCTTGCGGAGGGCATCGTCAGCAAGTTGTTCAAATTTTTGCCGAGCAAGTTGGATTTCATCAATTAGCCAATCCAACGATTGAAACTGTAGACGCGAGCGACGCGGTTTCCTCCATGTTTTTGCTCGACCTATCTGTTGCGCGTTGGGTGTTAGAGAAGGTGCGCGTCTCGTGGTGGTGTGCGACGGGAGGCTACGTCACAACCACCAATTTAGGCTTAGATCTGGCCATATCGGGTTAGACCATTGGAGCTCCAGGAGCCTGTTGCCAATCAATCCAATCCAATCCAAATTTTGGGCAACATGAAATCCAATCCAGCCATTTTCTGTCCACTCCAGTCCAATCCAAATTGCCTCCAATCCAATAAGATCACTGCCCACGTCTGCTCAGCTTCGTAAACCCCCGTCAACCGAAATCATAGGGCAAGGCATCGATAAGGCCGGCTTTGAAACAAACATCGGACCTTTACTGGGATCTCTCTTGCGCCGCGTCCATGGCCCCAGTCCAGCCCAGGAGCAGTCTCATCGTATTCGGTTGCCGGGTCATAAGGTCACTAACCTCGTCCGCCGTGCGCTTGATGAAATCCAGATGCTCCCTCTGTTGATCCAAAGGGGAGCCATTTTCGTAGGCTAGCTTCGGTTCTTCCGACAAACATCTGTAGTGTTGTCCAAGGATGGCTGCATCAGATGCATTTCTCGGGTTCTCAACCAGAACGGCGTCCTTATCCTTGACGGACTTGAACGAACAGGAAACCACATCCAAGTTGCGAAGGATAGTCGAGCCAGCCCATTTCTAGAGGCTAGAGTTGTTTTCCCTGCTGAAAAAAAAAGCCATTTGCCCAAGACAAAATTCATAATACCTCCATGCAGACAGACCACGATTATAGGGGTGCCTTTCCGCCCAGACTGCTGGTGTTCAGTGTGAGCTTCTTTCGCACCCACCGAGCCAGAGTAGGAACTTTCCGGCTCCGTCCTTGATCTCTTCCGGTCTTGGGGCAACTTTGAGACCTTCTAGCCGGGATTCAAGAGAGTTACGCTCATCGGGTTCGCCGTCCACCCAGACCGCACTGCTCAATTTGCGCACGATCAAACAGAGAGAAACTGGTTCTAGAGAATTACTACGACTCCGTGACCGCAAAGAACATGGGAAGTCTCACTATCGGCTCCTTTCGATATAAACCTCAAAAGTTCGTCTACCTCTGGATGAGATGTTCCCACGGGACGGGTTCTCGTTGTTCCTCAGCCTGGCAAGTACCTATGGGCTGTGTTAGAATATTGGTCGTGTGGGTCGAGGGCCTTAATGGTAGGACTTCAAACTTTAATCTTGATCCTGAAGTTAACGAGGAACTCTCAGTTTCTTCCAACATGATGTCTCTAGACCGATAATGAAAATGCGCTTTGCTGGTCCGCTGTGGCCCCGCCGCTTTATTTGCATCTGTTGAATGCGAAAAACAATCCAGGTAATCTGCACTGAGGTACATGGAGCGATGTACTGCCGGGCGGGATGTCCATGCCGCTAGCCCATTTCGACACTTGCGTGGTGGATTTTGGGGTTTTGCAACAGTCGCCCCTATAGCCTGCCGTAGTAGCTGCCGCGTTCGCGACGATATGGCTGCACCAAGGGAGTAGAGGAGGTCCTCTATTGTAAGTGGAACTAGTCCTGGCCTAAAGATAGTGCGAGAAGGTTTGCAACATCCTATATCATAGCAGTCTACGGATACCACTTGTCCCAGAAACTTGTACGTATAGGACAACGATCAAGGTTTTCTCCCCCAGATAAAATAGACCGGGAGGTAGAGATGAATTGATGGATCCTTGAGGTCATTCTTTACCTTGGCCACAAACACCTGTATTTCTTCTTCGCTCCAGCCGAGTATGCGTCCAAAGACTCCGGGGGTGTAAGAGTCAACGAATTTGAGCTCCTGAACAGACTGATATCTCCCAATCTCCTTAAGTTTTGGATCTTTAGGCCACTCGCCAATAGGTATCTGTTCTCCGTTATTGGTATCTATATTTCAAAGCGACATAGCTTATGTAGGAAAATATGACAGCTACTAACCTTGTGAATTTCTTGTTGGATATCCACAAATCCTGCACCTTTCAATTGTTCTTTCCATTGAGGTGCATTATCCAAAGGTTTGCCAAACTTCGCCGCGCCCTTGCATATAGTCTTTATCCAGAACTGGGCATTTGCGGCCCTTTCAGCTGTGTCATCATCAGACATGAAACGTCCATAACAAGCCTGCAGCTCAATGTATCCACCAGGGACCAAGTGTTGGAACGCTTGCTGGAATAGTTGATCGTCGTTGGCTATACATCCTTCTAATTCGCGGGCATGTATAAAGTCAAATGGTTTACGATATAGCCATTCTGACTCAAAGTCGTCAACTTCAAATGTACAATTGGGCGGCGTCCTGTATGACAACTGTTATTAAAATCCAACATAATAGAAGTGAGAGGAAGGAGCCTCCGGACCATTTAGGTTGTATTGGGCTTAAATCAGTCCCGAGCACTTCTGCGGACGGATGTTCACTAGAATCCAACGTATCAGAGGTCTGTTAGAAGTCAATGTAAAGCAGCAGCCGCAATAGAATCTCACTCTGCAAAGTCCATTGCCCAGATACCAGTCCCGGTACCAAGGTCAAGTACACGCTGGAGATTGTCGCCAATAGGAGCAAGGTATAGCTTTCCCGCAAGTACCAGACTATATATGTGATGTACTAAATCCATTCGGTCTTGCTCTTCGTCGTCATTTGGCTGCAAATAACAGTTAGCTTATTTGTAGCATTTTTTCACAGGTGCTCTTTGGTAAATACCACTAGATAGGAGCCCGCGCGAAATGCATGGTATCGACGCCCGTTCTATAGCGATGTTAGTGCCTAGCAGCACTTCTTCTCCAACACTAACCTCGTATCTAATCAAGCATGCAATTACCAATTAGAAAAGTTTCTGGGCATTGCGGCGAGTTCGTGCATAACCTACCTGTAGTTCACAACGCTCGAGTTCAGAGATGACAGATAGCTAGTAGATCCATCTCTAGAAAAACCGTCAGGTAAGATTGGTCAGGATTGGCTCTAAACACTCACGAAGCATTGTAGGTAGAGTCATTATCGTGCAAAGCATCCTAGAAAAACTGCGTCAGGATCACTGTACATTACTTGTCCAAGTAATTACTTACATCCACCTGCAAAGGGTTCTCAGCTAATAGACCCTGCAATTGCGTCGCTGGAGTCTGCGGGTCCTGACCCCGCTCCTGAGTGGTTTCTTCAGCCATATGTTGTAGGCTGCTCTTGATAGTTAAAAGCAATAAAGTCCGGGACCACTGCGAAACGCCAACTCCCCCTTTTATTCTTTTTCCCCACTCCAATTTCGGCCAGCTGTGATCAGGCCATGCTATTACTGACTAGTATACATGCAGCGGGCCGCCAGTCAGACCATGCTCAAGACCAGATCTGGTGGAGTCTAATCCATGAAAGCAACATTGATGCGGCCTTTAAAGAACGTTGTAGACCAATAGGAATAAGAGCCGCCCCTAGTTACCCCGCCCCATTCCAATTGTCGCGCAGAGAGTTTGGAGACCAAGCGGAACGCCACGAGGGAAGAGTGTGGGCCGCGTCCCATACCTCGAGCACCCCGATTGGCGCCTGATAGAGGGAGGAGATTTTGGGAACGGTCAGGTTGCGGTTGGGTTCGAACTGCTGCTGGAAGAGTGGTGTTGGAGGGAACAATTGGTTGGAAATGGAACACGTATATGCGCATGCACGCGAGTCGGGTGACTAGTGCCCTTCAGAGCCTATCAACCAATCATTAGCCGCTCAGTCATAGCGGGGTAATGTGATGTCCAAATCAAGATCGGCGATTTCCTGATTTGGCTTGATGGTTTGGCTGGATGGTTTGGCTGGATGGTTTGCCACAGCCAATCATATCGAAATATGGGGGTTAGGGTCCCAGGTGAGTTCAGGGGACAAAACCTCTTAGAATTCAAGCCAAAGTGAGATATATTATAGAGCAAGAAAAATCTAGCCAAATGCACATAGTTCCAGATTTTTCGCTATCTCGTAGAGTGCGCTGGAAAGCAAGTTCGTGCGGAAGCTGGCGGTCGTCGTGGTGCCGGCCTGGTAGCCATTTCCAATTCTTTACCTCGATTTTGTTGGCGTGGTTCAGGCTGAGGTAGATCGTGCGGCAACAAGGTGTACGCAACACTTTTGCAGGAAATACAGACAACTTAATTGCTTTTCAAATAAGTGTTTACGATCACAAGCATGACTGATCCTCGTTCAATTTCCGCTTCACTCTGGGCGACACTGGAATTTTCAAGTAGGGTTAGAGCTTTGGCCTTACCTGCGTTCACTTCTCCCCGCGATCTTGTCTCTAGTGACTACCCAAGTAAATGCGATGTTCGGACGGCCAAAGCGTTTTTGGCGCATGTGTTCCGCGAGTGGCTTGCTTCCTGCCGGATGGCCCAATGGGTTGTTGTTGCCGGCGAGCTCGTGAGCTTCCATTGGGCCAAAAAGTTCTCTTTCCACGCGCTACCCAGCCCCCGCGCAGCTTAGCCATAGCCATAAGCATGCAAAGCAGTCAATTTGGCGTCTGATTGCAGGCAGGCGATCAGTTTGTGTCGGGGGCATAGGGCTATCTCAATGGCCCTTTCGACACGCAGGCAGATTCAGAGCTGAACACACGCTAGAGAGCTAAGAAGGACTTGCGTTCAGCTTTGGATGGTCACTTTCAAACGAGACAAGCAAGACGTTATTGCCTAGAAGAACATGCATAAGCAGTGGAGACCGCGCGGGAATTGTGGTTGGAGGAGGACGGAGTCAGCGGGGCATTGTAGCGAGTGCGACCCGAATGGACATCACGCCCAAGGCTCATTGCCTCACTTGTGGGGTGGCGCAGGAGCGCGTCGCTCGCATTGGGACCCGCTTTCCTTTTTGCGCAGCCTGGACGACCAGATCGGCGCGGAGCGGGCCGATCTTAGAGCCCGGCTGGGTGATCTACGTTATCTCCTTTCCCGCGGAAAGAGAAAACTACGTCATTGCATTGTCGGTGTTGGTTGATCGAAATCCTCTCCAGCCTAATACGAAAACCCACATATGGCTTGTCTGACCGGCTGCAGCCAAGACTCATGAAACCAATGGATTGCGGTATTTTCTCGCCCCAGCATCGCGGGAAATGCATTGTGCCACTGCTGCCTGGCACCCAAGCCAGCACCAACAGCAGGAGTGTGATGCACTTTGCTGTCGTACTGTATCTGCACATTACCTTGGCCGTCTGAAAGCGCGCATAGACGTTACATTTGAAGGACGTGTAAGCAATAGTAATGACCAAGAATCCTCTTTGCGTTGTTTAGAACGTGCGCCAAAGCGGATTTTAGGTCCGGGAGTTTGTCGTCGCTTCAGTCAGTCATGTAGCCTAAGTAGCCGGGCTACCTAAATTGTAAGGTGGGGCTCTGACCACAACAACGTGTCCGCGTTTACACTAAAAATTAATTGCCGTCTGCCAAGCGGCGAAAGACATACGCTCAGGGGCCGTCCGAACACCGAGTAATCAACTGCGAATAGTAGCCAGAGGCGCAAGCGCGTCATGCTATTGGTCAGTAGGCTAAACCCAAGTCGCGCCTACCAGCCAATCATCGCGCTCGTCCTGATCCAAACACGTCCGGTTCCAGCAGGGCGCGAGCGCGTCACGCCATTGGTCAGTATGCTAAACCAACTTGGGTTTAGCCCACGCTGGAGTTGAACTCGGATGGTACTGGGGTACTAGGGACCACTCGAAGATATAAGGTCCTAAAGGTCCTTAGATTACAAGAAGTGAACATCAATAATAATAACCATCTTTTATCAAGTGCACTCAGCATCACTGCGCAATCCAACAACATGAATCGGATACCTCCGCAGACGAGCTATCATTAGACTTCAAGCGTCCAGCCAAGCGTTCGCGCTCCCCGGAAAAGCATGCTTCCACCATCGAGTCCACTCCGACCCAGCATGACCCAGATCAGAGATGCAAAGATATTTTACCCGCGCCGAAGCCGAATGCGTTTAGGGATGGGAGAAGGTTCAACCTCACTCCGACAACACAAGACGAGGAGTTATAGAAACGGTATGAACGTGTTGCGATGGGGCATGTACTATGATATGGCACCCTCTACGGCGCACGTATTAGTACGCCCTTGATTGGAGGTTTCGAGCGAGCCAAGCTTCCTCCAAACCAGTCTCTCGGCTCCAACGTTCAAAGTCGGAGGATGAAGCATGGGTAGGAAGGGGAAAGATATCCGCGTCCGGGGGCTTCAGTCTTTGCAGGCGTGCTCGTCTGTTGGCCGAAAGCACACTTATGTCTAGGGCATTCGCTTCAACGATAAATGAATTCGTTATTACTGAGAACTGTTTCCTACGCATAACCCAACGCAGCCTTCCAAGGCTCAGCCTCATCAGTGTGGTGGCTGACCTGCATGGCTGACTTTGACGAGCACCTGTCGTCAATAGGAAGTAGTGTTGAAGTGACCGCAGAACATTCCAATCACCAAAGCACTACAGTTCGGAGCAGGATAGCCCCCTTAGAAATCATTCAAGAGTTTAGAGCCTACCCTTCCACCTCGAAAAGTCAATGACAAAACAGCCAGCTTGGCTGGGGCTTTTCTACAGACCGGAAGGAGATACCACAACGTCTCGTACGTCATCACTGTTGCTTAGAGGATCTCATTGACCCTCTTTTACACGCCTCGGAAATCGAGGTGAAAGGTTTAAGACTAGTGTTGGATTGACCGCTCGTGTGGCGGCACAAACCTCTGATACAAAGATATCCTAGCCTTGGTCAGATGACTAGAAAAACCCCTCTCGAGAAAAGAGGGGGCCGGAGGCATCCTAGATCAATACAATAATCATCGTCTTTGGGCTCCACAATGCATTGATCCCTATCAGTCTGATCGAATTGCCCGTATCGGATCCATCAACTAGCTAAATACTCACTGTCCTAGCCCCAGAACAGTTCCGGAGTAGTGCCTACGCAAGGCCATTAGCTTAGAATTAGGGTGCACTCGGCCGACAGCCTGAACCATCCGTTAGCACTTAGCTGCCGCCAATAGAAGTGTTGAGGTGACCACAGAACCTCCCATTTAGTGCTCAGGGATGGTGGTCAACGGCCAATGCATCACGTGCTCCCGCCCCAGTCTTCCAGAAGAGCAGCCCTGGCAGCTCCCAATGCAGAACCGTACTCTCCACCTCTGATGCCAACATCTGCTCCACGATCGAGCAACATTTTCAGGAGCTCTTCGTTATGTTTCCAAGCTGCAGCTTGAAGAGCTGTGCCGTAAACCCCTCCGCGACCATTTACATCGGCCCCATGATCTAGAAGCGCGAGGGCCGCCTTGCTATGGCCCTCTACAACAGCAGACTGTAAGGCGGTGCCATATAAGCCGCCACTGGCACTAGTTTTGACACCACACGCTAATAAGAGTTGAAGAACCTCTTCGTGGCCATTTTCAGCAGCCATTTGTAGTGCTGTTCTGTTGAACTCCGTCTCTCTAGCTTCGATATCGGCATGTCTGTCTAGTAGAAGCTTGACGACTTCCTTGTGGCCGTTGCCTGCCGCGAAATGCAAAAGAGTCTTCCTCGACTCTCCTGGGGTACGAATGTCTGCGCCATCATCAAGACCTAGCCGAACAACACCCTCGTAGCCGCGGGAAGCAGCTAAGTGAAGGAACGAATTGCCGCGCTCATCTTTCGAGACTAGCAGGCTTTTCTCTCGATCCAATATAAGGCGGACAGTATTTTCATGTGCCATTTGGCACTTCCGATACTTATACTTCGCTTGGGCTTCTTCGTCCATCTCTGTGAACCACAGCCGATCTGCAAAGAAGGATAAAAGCTTCTCACTCGTGAGATATACTGCAGAATGCAATAATGGTAGAGCAAAGCCATCGTTCAAGCTGGCATCCTTGTCGAGAAGGCAACGTACGACCTCCACATTTCTGGTAAAAGCAGCAATTTTGAGCGGGCTTCCTCCAAGAGCTTCCCGGGCGTCAATATCCGCCCCCTTTTCGATTAAGCACTCAGCAATCAGGGCTTGATCCTGCTGAGCGGCAGTATGTAAGGGGGTGAAGCCGTCATTGTCTATTGCGTTGGGGTTGCAGCCGTGATCGAGGAATAATCTGACAAGGTCCAGATGCCCAGAACCGACAGCATGATGTAGTGGTAGCCGCCCTTGTTCATCGGCGGTTTGATAAGATACTCCCGCGTCGATCAGCCACTGAGCAATTTTAACGTCCCCGCTTGGAACCGCAAGGTGCATCGTAGAGAAACGAGAAACCCCACGGGAGGACTTCACATCGGCTCCGTGGTCTAAGAAAAGTCGCACGATTTCCTGGTCCCCTATCATGATGGCCCAGTCTATTGGGCTATCTTCTGCATCGTGGCCATTGGGATTGGCACCACCCTCCAGCAGGAGACGAACTGTTTCGGCCTGCCCGGATGCAGCTGCTTCTGCCAGTACTTTATGAACGTGCTTTGCCATCTCGCGGGTGATCGTGTAATTCTCAAGCAACGGGCGTACGCAGGCTCTGTGCTTATTTTCGATAACCCAATTAAGCGCTTGAACGTTGTCGAAGTTGCCGGCAGTAATGTCAAAGCCGGCACCACGTAGCAACTCCATTGCGCTTTCATAGTCGCTCAAGTTGTGCGATAAGGGGTGGGATGGCAATGTTGGAGCAGAGCATGTGTAGCCGAAGTGGCTGCAGCGGTCGCATATCTCGACTGGCCATTCCCGTTTCTTTGGCTCACACTGTGAGCCAAACGTCAATATTTCCGTATCTCTATCTCATGAAGTATGAGTCGAGCTGCAAAGGGTTGACTGACCTTCTGCCTGTCTAAGCGACAACGTATGCACTTGGGTACGGGTCTAGCGGGCATCGCGCGATCTCTGCCGTTACAGCGGCTTAAGGTATGGGCATTCACGTGATAACTAGTTGCGAGTAGAGGTCAAAGCGCACACCGATGAGGTGCCACCAAAGCAGCGTCAACACGGCCAGCGCGGGCGGGTGGGGGAATATATACCTTGGCTGCCCGCGGCCACGCCTCTTGGAGTCAAGGGTATGATGAAGTGGGCCCCCACCAATAGGACATCCTTCGCTCTTCCCGCATGCAATTCCTACCTGTGGCACTTCACCTTCGCACTTCAACTTCAGACCTCACCTTCGCCCTTCAGCTAGCTTATAAGACTGAGCGCGCACCACCCCTTCCAAGAGTTCATCGACCATACAACCCCGATCAATCATGCTACTTCGATCGCAAGAATCTCTCTCATAGAACAAACTCCTTTTCGCAGCATGGGGAATGAGTCGCCAACAGTATCTTACAGTAAGGAAGTTCCTTGTCCTTCTATCACGAACTCTGCTTGCCCACCCCCAACAGTCGATGTGTTTTTGCAATCGACCTTCCCTTCTCTGCTCTCCCATGGTCCAACCCCTACCCACCTCGTCCGGTTCACCGAGCCAGACACACTCATTTCAGCTCTGCATAAGCTCAAGGTGAAGCTCATGCCTGAGTTCCTGAAGCGCCGGACATTTCAGCGCCTCCTATTGACCGCTTTCGGGAGAGTCGATGTGGGTACCGCCATGTTGGTGGCCGATCAGGTACGTACATGTTAGATCCCCTGTATACGTCACACTACGTAGCTACATCCATGCACCTGAAGTGCCACAGTGTTGGGAGCCTCCAACCTTCCACGCGTTATACTGTACGTAAAGGGCTGTTTTGACTAACAGACAATCGCGCAGAACCCCGGTCTACCCCGGGCTGACCGGCCAACAGGTGGGTACATACACGGATTTACAGAGGCCAGCCTCTTGACTCAGATCTGGTACACGAGTTCATCCTTCGCAGGAAGCCAGAACGCCTTGCAGTTGGATGTCCTTCGCCGACTTGCGGACTTGAAAGTGGCCGCTTCTGGTTCTCAGGGCCGTCATGAGACGGTAGTACTGGTGGTGAGGGTCACGCCGAACGAAGTCAAAATCATACTTTCCTTACTGTTTCTGGCGTTTGTGCTAAGTGTGGTAATTGGTACTTGTACATCAAGCTTAGGGAACGGATTGGCGGTCGCATCTGCGTTGTTTGCTCTTTTCTCATCTATTCATCCATTGTGTGTCTTGATACGAGGGCAGTTGAAATGAATTACAATATTGTTGGCACCTAAGTGTAATTATGAGTGTGAGAGCTGCTTTAGCGTCGCTTTAAAAAAGAAATAGCTCACTCCAATTGATCAGGGCTGAGCGGCGTGGCTGGCTGTTCCACATATAGTAGCGTTTGGCTGAACACGTCAGCGTCAGCGCTCCACGCGAACCAAGTTAGGATCAATCGGTGAGCGATCGATTTGTAATCCCTTCTGCACGGCTAGGTCATTACCCCGCTTCAACTTTAGTGGCTCCGGAGCAGCCTCTGAACAGCCCCGGAAGTAGATGGAGGTCCTCCTGCCCAGAAGCCTTATGGGCCGAGGCTCAAGCTCGACGCCCTGCCACAGACAAAGACGCGTTGCGCGTGTTAAACTCGTCACGCCCACCACCCTTCTTTACCCTACCGCTGTCTTCCTCTGTCCGCTAAAGTACAGCGCAGCTAAGACGACGGTCCTTGCTAGCCTTGAAAGCCTAACTGGTGGCCCACCGTCTCGTTAGCCGAAACAGTAGGACCAACGCTCGCACTCGTCCGTCAGCATCTATTCCCCACAAGCGTAACATCCTATCACGAGATTAAGAGCAGTACATTGGTCTTGGAACTCGTAGATTAACTTGGACAGGGCTTATTGATTAGCAAGCCTGCACTGAACGCCCGATGGCTCTGTGTCTCGACCGCTACGTGGTCAGCTGTCCGCCATTAGGCCCCTGTCTACGGAGTAGCGTGTGCTCAAATCTGCCTTGCTTAAGACTCCACCTCTACTACGGCAGGCTATAGGGGTGACTGTTGCAAAACCCCAAAATCCACCACGCAAGTGTCGAAATGGGCTAGCGGCATGGACATCCCGCCCCGCAGTACATTGCTCCATGTACCTCAGCGTTGCTGCTTCCAGGGTAGGAGGCTGAGCGACCTTCGCTCTGCTCGTCTTGGTACAGCTGCTGTCCGGATTTCATGACCATGGTAAACGAGAACTGTTTGGTGGAGGAAAAAAAAAAAGCGTCTCTCAATCGAATCCGCCTGGAAAATATCAATCACTTTGTCAAGACTGGGCTTGGAGTATTGCGTTGTGCGTATCAGTGTGCTAGCCAGCTGTATGTAGACTGCTGGCCTCTATTAAAACATTGCTGCTGCAGGCGGAGGCGTATGGTGGCACATTAGGCACGGTCCGCCAACGGTCGAAAACCCAAAATCGCAAATTTTCATCGCCTTTAAATATAGGGCTGCAGCCCCTATAGCCCGCTATAAGATACAGGGCTCTAGCCACTATAGCTCACTATAACCTGCAATTTTTCCAGCAGGCTACAGTGGCTCCAGCTCCTAAGCTTTATAGCAAGCTATATCTACACCAGTGAGCCTCCTACTAGATGCAGGGCTGTAGCTACTATAGCCCGCTGTATTAAAGAAGGCTGCAGCCAATGTAGCCCTGTGCAAGAGGCAGGGCTGCGGCTGCTGTAGCCCGTTGCGTGGCCCGTTGCACGAGAGAGGGCTGCGGCTGCTGGAGCTCAGTGCGAAAGTGAGGGCTGCAGCCGCTAGAGCTTGCTATATTATAGTGGGTTATAGTGGGCGAGGTGCAGTCACTATAGCTCGCTATAAAATATAGGGCTATGACCACTATAGCCCGCTATAAAACATGCAGGTTATAGTGGGCTATAGTGGCTGCAGCCCTATATTCAATTTTCTAGAAACTTTGCGGTTTTGGGTTTTCGACCGTTGGCGGACCGTGCCTAATGTGCCGTAGAGGCGGACTCTCAGAGAAGATCAACGCGCGGGCTCGCTGCTAGTCCGCAGTACATTTTCCATGACGACCCAAAGTACTCGGATGACCACGGGGCGGGCCGCCTACAACGGAGTGTGCAAAGAGCGACTACTCGAGAGGATGAAGGCGAGAGGGATACCAGACAGGCTGGTCAGGTGGATGGACGCCTTCTGCTCCGGGCGAATAGCCTCGGTGGTGGTGAACGGGTACACATCTGAGCAGCGGGAGCTACCCCAAGCAGGTCTCCCCCAGGGATCGCCTCTGTCACCGGTCTCGTTCCTCTTCTTCAACGCAGATTTGGTGCAGAGAAGGATTAAGGCGGAAGGCGGCTCAATTGCATTCGTGGACGACTACTCGGCCTGGGTGACCGGCCCGACCGCGGACGCGAACCGGGCAGGTATTCAGTCGATCATTAACGAAGCGCTTGAGTGGGAGAGACGCAGCGGCGCAACGTTTGAAACGGACAAGACGGCAGTCATCAACTTCACGCGAGTCACCGCGCGCAACAGTGACATGCCATTTTTGATCAAAGGGAACGAGGTCAAACCCAAAAGCAGCGCAAAAATTCTGGGAGTGGTTATGGACGCGGGCCTGCGGTACCAGGAGCACATGGCTAGAGCCGCCGCCAAGGGGCTCACCGCCGCCATGTGTCTGAGAAGGTTGAAAATGTTGTCACCGAGGGTGGCGAGACAACTATTCGTAACGACAGTCGCGCCGGCGATGGACTACGCCTCCAATGTTTGGACGCACGCTCGCCGCGCAAGAGAAGCTGCCTGGCTGAACAAAGCGCAGCTGGTAGGGGCGCAGGCAATTACAGGAGCGTTCCGTACTGTAGCAACGGCGGTGGCCGAGGCCGAAGCCAGTATCCTGACGGTAGAGGAACGACACAGACAAGCCGCAACAAGATTCTGCATCAACCTTCGGACCCTTCCGAAGACGCACCCGCTGGCAGCTTTGAAGAACAAGGCAAGCAAGCGATTCATATCACCAATGCAGAAGATTGTCTCGGCGGTGGGAAGCGTCCATACGGATCGAATGGAGGTTGTCCACGAGTATGCGTTGGCGCCATGGACCAGCCGCATCCCAGTGATGGGCGAGGGCGACCTAGCGAAGGCGGTCAAGGCACCAAACGACGTCGAGGGCATCATCATAGCAACGTCTAGCTCGCAGAAGGGCGGCATTGTGGGAATGGGAGGCGTCGTGTGCGACGCAACTCGCAACAGCGCAGGCGAGGTGGTTTCCAGCTATTCCGTCACTATCGGGCCCAGAGATGAGCAGAATCCGTACACAGCGGAACTAGCAGCAATAGCGATGGCGCTGAAGTGCACGCCGGCCAGGCTTCCTTTTCGGGACGTGACGGTCATGACGAGCAACCGCTCGGCCGTGGAAGTGATCAGGAGGCCTCGGCAGCAATCCGGTCAATGCACTATCCGTCAGATATACGACCGCACCAAATGCCTTCGGAAAAGAGGCTGTTCTGTTAGGCTCATGTGGGTGCCGGCTAAGGCTGAAGGTTTTGTATTGGGACCGATGGCCAAGGCAGCAGCGCAGAGAGCTACCAAAGCAGAGTGCATGGTAGAGACACCGTCGTACCAAGCAAGGTCTACAACACTTCGACTGGCGCTCCTCCAACAACGGCAGAGTGGGCGACTTCCGGAAGGGGTTGGACAGTACTCGAAGCGCATCGACAAGGCGCTGCCGGGCAAGCACACCCGTGCACTATACGACTCGCTAAAAAGAAAAGAATCGGACGTGATAGCCCAGCTTCGCACCGGGATGATGCGACTGAACAGTTATCTTCACAGGATAGGGGCAGCGGAATCGGACATATGCGATTGTGGACAAGCAGCAGAAACGATTGAGCACTTCCTCTTCCGATGCAAAAAGTGGAAAATGCAACGGGAAGCCATGTTTAAATGCTCACGAACAAAGATTGGGAATTTGTCGTTCTTCTTGGGAGGAAAAGCTGCGTCGGACGACGAAAAGTGGAAGCCAAACATGCAGGCCGTGCGTGCGGCAATCAAATTTGCTATCGCGACAAACAGGCTCGATGCGGACCAGCGGCATCGGCAAACTAACCTCTAGCGTGCGACTATACTAACAAAAAGCAGCCTCGATTTTGGCAGACCGTTCTTCAGCTGCCGAGGATAGGATGCTGAACACTTGCAGAATTTGGCCTTCAAGCAGGCCTGTCATGGACCAAGCAGCGACGAGGTTGAGTAGCAAGCGATGAGACGACGATCCGTGGGGCTTGGGGTGTCAGGTACCAAAAGTTCTGAAATGTGAACTAGATTGTGTCAAGGCCCTATAGGGACTCCCTCCGGGCGAAATAAAATCCATCCATCCATCCGTAGGTGCACGGACCGTGGGGAGAAAAAAAGGGCCGACAGAACACAAAAAATGACAGAACACAAAAAATGACAGAACACAAAAAATGACAGAACACAAAAAATGACAGAACACAAAAAATGACAGAACACAAGCACAGCCTTTGTACAGTAGTAGGATGGCGGATCCGACATAGCCGGAAATCGTGGTCGGCCCTGACGCGTCTGGGACCCAGCGGCCACGTCGCACGAGAACGCTCAGCACAAGAGCTCGAGAACCTCGAAGTGCAAGAGAAGGCTCCAGAGAAAAGCTCAGGAACGGCGAAACGGGCAGCAACCAATGCCACGCGAACCACCTCGAGGAGCGCGAACGATGATCTCCAGGAAGGCAGAAACAACGCGGATTCAGGTGCAGCAATGCTCCAAAAGGTGTTTGGAGTGTTGCGAATCCTCAGGGATGAATTTGGCAAACAACAGGAAGCGACACGAAGCATGATCAACGACCAGCAAAAGACGATCCGAGAGTTGCAGCAAAAGCTCGACGAATACAAGCAAGAGATGCAGGACACAAAAGCCCAGATGGCGGAAGAGTTAAGGCAGGTCCGAGGACATCTGGACACCCATCCTGAAGTGTCCAGCAATGACCATTTCCGCCCAAACAAGTCCGCAAACATCCTACGCCGGAATTGCCCGGACGCCGCCCACAGCCAGCCCAGCAACGTTCGCACCCTCTCGTCGATGAATACCACACCATCAGCCTACAACGATTCGTTATTCTGCACGATCGATATGTCCAGAGTGAGCAAAGAGGAAGGGGATAAGATCACGGCAGGCACAGTCAGGAGTGCAGTGGAAAGAGAGATGCGCACCTCGGACGACGCCAGTTGGAGGTGCCGCGCCGTGACCATGGACCTGAAAAACTCGAACCGCATCAGGGTCGCCTGTCGGGACGAGGCCGAACACCGGAGAGTTAAACAAGCGGTGGAGAAGGCGAAACTCGCGCCCGGAGCTCGCGTGCTGCGTGATGAGCTTTACCCGATCAAGGTGGACAACGTCAATCGCACAGCGGTTCTGGACGAGAACGGTGAGATCCGAATGGGCACAGCCGACGCCTTCGGGCAGGAGAACGAGACCACGGTAGCTAAGATTTCGTGGTTGAGCAGGAAGGACGTGGTGAAAGGCATACGGGTCGATGGTCGTGTACCTTACCAAGGGCGGCGACGCAAGGAGACTCCTTCCACGCCGGCGGAGAGTCAGGTTACACCGGAGTGTTTGAGCGACGGCGACGGCCGGAGCAATGCTACAACTGTCAGGAGGTTGGTCACAAGGCCTTCCAGTGCAAAAACCGCCAGAGATGTGCCAGGTGCGCTAAGGAGGGACACCGGCACGACACTGCGGCGAGAAGATATTGAAGTGTGTTCCCTGCGGAGGCCCACACGAATCGTTCAGCAAGAACTGCCCTAAGCTCTACCCTGTAGCGAGTAGGACGACCCGGATGCGATAACATTCCCCCGACAATACTAACTCCCGAGTAACCCTCCCACGCACCCTCGTGGCACGACAGCAGGTCTCGCTTCAGCGGCCGAAGATAGGAAACTGAACACTTGGAGAATTGCCTTCAAGCGCACTTGCCACTACTTACTAACCCCACGAGGCCCCGCCGAGGAAAGGACAATGTGACATGGAAAACATTGGCATTTGGATAGATTCAGGGCTTTTGTAACACGAGGAATCATACGAAGGGCATACGGAACATAAGCTAGGGCCCTATGAGGTTTGGTCCTCCCGGGCGTAATAAATTCCATTCCCATTCCCATGACCCGCGACGCCCCACTTCGTCCTGTTGTTGAATCAGGACCAGCTGTCCCAGACTACCCGCTGTTCTATCTACCCTGTGTTGTGCGCCTTCTGTTGAAGAATATTGATCTGCTCTCTGCTCTGCCCCTCCTTCTGTATCGTCTTCCAGAATTATTGTTATCGCTCCTCGTGTTCCGGCTCCGTCGGTGCCACGCACCATGTATCGTGTCTGCAAACCTCCAGTCTCCCCCCAGCGCTCGGCTTCGTCTGTGTTATCTGTCCGTGTTCCCCCTGACTCGCGTGTGCCGTAAACCGTGTCTGTGTATTCTTGTTGCCTCCTGCTGGGTTCCTATGTAGCTGTGTGTTTTCTCGTCTGTCGACCAGCGTCGCCGTCCATGGCATTGGCCCAGGCCAAGCTCCACGCTGCACAATGCTCCATTCGGTTCGATTCGTCGGATTACTAGGCATGAGAGCTTCTGCATGTTGTTGGATTGCGCAGGGATGCTGAGTGCACTTTGATAAAAGGTGGTTCTTGTTGTAATGATTGTAATTATTCTTGGTTGAGTTACCATGATCTCAATGAGAGGCCCTTTGGGCCTTTATATCCCTGAGTGATCCCATCTAGGACTTTGAACCTTAATCGTAGGACTTTCAAACTTTAATCTTGGTCCTGAAGTTAAGGGGGAACTCTCAGTTCTTCCAACACTGCACGAAGGTCCGCAGACATTGTCGGCTGTCGAAGGGGCACCAGTCCTTCTCCACCAATGCGGACAGGGGACCAATCTGTCTGTGATCTGTAGTATTGTGTGGCATCGATCGTAGCATGCCTGGTGTCTAGTGCTTCCTTCGCGCAGAAGATGACGCCATTCTGTCCGATGACTCGTCGTCGTTGGACGTCGCAAACTTTGCCGGGATGACAGGCGAGCCCGATAACCTGTCCGTGGCTGTAGTGTTTGATATTGGTCGTTTGGGCTCGGTCGTGGTACTGGGTGGAGTTGACCTGAAGCTCGCCCGCCGTGGGCAGCGATGCTGTTGTCCATTGACGTGTCGTGTTTTGTGTCGTGCTCTCGAGTGTTTCGCGCTCTGGGCCCGCTCTGTGACCACACTTGGGCCTCTACGGGTGTCAATTCAACGCTGGGGGAAGCATTGCGATCCGTAGAGGCCTTTGTGGCCACAAGCAGGCGTGTTTCGCTCCTTTTGGGGCTGTTGATTCAAAAGTTTCGTTCTCGCTGTTTGTTGAAGTTTTTCCTTCTTCCGTCTCCTGTGTCTGTCGCCGTTATCTGACATCCGGAAGGTGTCACATGACCCCATGCCTCCCCCTCATGACCCCACTTTTCCGATGGGTAGACATTGCCTGACTTCTATGTAGCCACCCCAACCTCGTTATTATTTGCCCTTATAGTTTGGTGATTTGTTTTCCCGGGCTCAATATCTGTGACAGCCCAAATACCAACATGGACGGCCAATCGGTCTCGTCCTACCTCGCATACAAGCAAGACACGAGCGCCTTCTTGTCTTGGCTTGGTTCCGCCTCCAAAGTGTGCGGTTGGAGGCAGCCCAAGAGGAAAAAGGGTGCTACGTCAGAGGTGAAATCGCCGGTTCTTACCCTCACCCTGGCTGACAAGGGCTCTCAAAGACTGAAAGGCAGAGCGCGAAAGGAAGCAAAGGAGGCCGCAGCGGCAGGTGCCGGCCAACCAGGAACCACTCCTGCATTTTCGCGCTCGGTAACAGTGTTGCCGAAGCGGACCTTTACTACAGCCGAGTTAATTCAGCAGATTGAGCTGGTTAGCCAGGCTGATGCAGCACAAAGACCAGAGGTGCTGATGCCAGTCGCTGTCTATAAGGCTCTGCAACGTGCAATCGGGGCCAGAGAGCGCTTTGCAAGATGGTATCGACGGACTGGGGCCAGCAGCGATGATTCCATGGAAAGTCACGACTATTTCACCGGTATCCTGAGCAAGGCCCTCATTCTTCTTCGGGGCGTTGACAATGGTCCCGGCCATGCCGCCGCCCATCCTTCAGACGGCAAAACAAGCGACATCAACTTCATGGCGTGAGTTCTGCTGTTTATCCCTGCATCTCCGTCTCCGTACAATGTGAATCACCCATCTGACCTCTAGCAGGAATATGTTTGCGTCTCTTCAGGTGGAAGACACGTCTGAGGAAACCGACGATCAAGCCTGCTTTAACAGCCAACCTGCCTCGCCTAGCGCCTTAACAGGAACGGATAGCAGTGTCCAGTTCGGCATCGAAGAGGACAAAAAGATGGCTGAGATCGACTTTGCCATCTTCTCCATCTTCGAAGACGTACACCGCCTTCGCGCTGAGACGCAACGGATTTGGGCCCGACTGAAGGATGGCGACATGAGCCTCATTCAAGCCACGCTGTCCCTCGCCGCGGTGATAGAGCTGGTGCGACGGGCCGAGGAAGAAGCAATGCAAGTGGTGGCCTCGCACACCACACCCGAATACTTCGCCGGTGCTTTCAGCAAGGGGTCTTACCAATTTTTCGTGGGAAGGATCTACAATTCCAAGGCGCTCGGCAGAGAAAACGAATATAGCGTGAACGATAAGGAGCACGCAATTGTCATTACGCCTTTCGACGAATTTGTTCTTCTGCCTCTTGGCCACACACTGGTCAAGTTCCAACACTTCTGGTTCAGAGATCATGACCTCACGATGCCCGTCATCCCGCTGCCTCCTCTGAGGATGGATTACAAAAGCGCAGCCAGCCTGCTGGATGATCCTCGATATCGAAACTTTGAGGCTGAGGATCAGCTTCTGGTTCAATTATGCCACGAGATGAGATTCATCGAGGACATCCGAAAAGGAAAGTTCTTACACCCGTACAGCCTGGAAGACAAGGAGGCTATCAAGGACTCAATTTTACCGTTTGACGACTTCTTTCACAGTGCTATTCGTCCGATCTGGGATCAAGGACTAATCAGCATGCCGAGTGCATTCGCAGCCAGGGCCATGGTGGATATGTACGAAATTTGCGGCCCATATCTCAACGGAAGCCAGCTACTATCAAAAGAGGCCAGACCATACACAGAGCGGTTTGGCTTTGCTCAAGACAGCGATGAGGTCGTTGACATGCTTGGTCTCCGGGACCTCATCATACCACGATTAACAGACACCCGACAACTGCTTGCCACGCTCTGGCGGAGATCAACGAATGACCTGACTCACGATTCATTTTGGCTTAAGCACAGGGAAAGGTTCGGCGAAAGGATACAGATTGCACGAAAGAAGATGGCTAGCGGCGGAGGCGAGGGCTTTGAGAAATTTCGACCCAAGGACCACAAGGTTTTGACTTCCAACCCCTTCGATGATCAATGGGCCGCTACTTTCACTGGCATTTGGTATCATGAGTCTCCCAGCTTTTTCAGGGACACCAACCTCTTATGGCGGAACAGCCCTTTTAGAGGTTGTATCTGTAACTGAACAGGCTGGGATCGCTATTGCTAATGAGAGCATGTCTCTCTTTTGTATGGCACATATATACGTAAGTGTCCTAAACCTACCTCCTTGAACATACATTGGTAGTAAATATTGAGAAGGAATAACTGACAATACCTTAGAACGCTGCAAGACAGCTTGGTGGACTGGATATATATTGGCCAGAGCTGGATCGCGTTATGGAACTCCACGCCGCGGCTCTTTTTGCCAACAACGTCCCTACAACACCACAAGTCATATTTGACAGATTCAAGTACCGGATTGGCATGGGAGCACGTTCGAACTTTTCTCGCTCATTCGCGTCCTCGTTCTCCACAGGGGGCAAAACCCCGCAACCGCAGGGCCCATGGATGCTCCGGCCGACCCCGACGTCGACCACGATTCGAGAGTTTTTTGATGCGAATGCCAGCCCACGCTCTCTCCCGAGATTGGTTCACCAGCTAGAGGGCCAAGCCTCGCAGCAGAATCAGTCTGCACCAGAACAGTCCCGCCGGAAGCTTCGAGTATCCGCTACCCCCTCGGCCTTGGCAACTGGGTCTATCGCAGGCACCAGCCAGCGGCAGATGACCTTCCAGCAAACACTCCAGCACTTTGAGAAGTATCTTGACGCTGTTCTTCCCGACATGCGGCTTGATTACATCACATTGACTCGCACCTGTGATGGCCTGCTTGACACTCTGCGTGCCGAGCTGCTTGCCAAGTTCGACGTCTCGTACACGCTCAAGAACGGGCAGACACGCCGCTCTGACGACATGCACAATGCATTTGGTCGGGTGGAGACCGTCCTGTGCATCTTCCAGGAGACCGCGAATGCTGCAGACCTGCACGAAGCGATGAAACGAAAGAAGTATAGGGGCTTGGATACTGAGATTTCGCCCGTGGGCAAACAGCTCGAATACGCCGCCGAGTTTTTGAGGCTACATTTAACATGGGCTAGCCGAAGCGGATAACGTACCGTAGTCACAATATCCCGATTCTTCTAGTGGTACGTTTGCAGAGTAGCTTGCAGGTACGGAAACAGTCGTTTAACATTGTCGCGGTCCGGCTCCCTGATGTGGCTTGGCAGCGTTGAACCGCATGGTACGGAAGGCTATATCTTACACTGGGTCAAAACCCGTTTTCCATCGATTTTAGTCAATACAAGGACCCCACCCTACACCCCCATGTTCCCACCCAACCCCGGTATATAGATTAATTCACATCGAAACCTAACTTACCCCTTAATACCTGAAACGGAACAAATTTGTGTGGGTGGCCCGGCCGAGGGCGAACGGCCACGTAATTCCTCGGCCACTCCCAAGCGGCGTCGTCCGCGCACATTCACCATTCAACGCCATGTACGGAGTACCCCTTGCAAAGTGGGGCCCGAAAAATCAACTCTACTACAGTTGATATTGTTATTGTACAGTAGTAGGGTATGATCAGCAAAGCATTTGGACAATTTGTGAGGGTCCCTGGCGTCTCGCCCACCACGTCAAATTTTGTTTAAAGCCATGTCTCCAGTCATCCAATCGTTTGATGTAGTCAACAAGGTCTCCATTGATTGACGATGAGCCTAGGTTAAAATCCTGGTATCTTAACTACTTGCATCGGTAAGTCGCCTAGAGACCGAAAATCATATCTATGCACAGAGAGTGCATTGGCCTTGAAACAGATTTTCAAACCCGAAAAGTCCATCAAAGCCTACAGAATCCAACATAGGTAGCTCATATATCTCAACATCAGGCATGAACATAGCTAGCTGAAATATCAAACCATCTCTCAAAGGTTCTGTCACCAAGGCTCCATGATGACAAAGTAATCGTAGCGTATTTCTTTTCGATTTCCGAGCCGCCCACATGATTGGCGTATGGCCATTGCAATCTTCAGAGTCTTTACGGATGCCTTCAACTGCAAGAAGTAGCTCAAGCACATTGTCATGGCCTTTACCAGCAGCCCACGAGAGGGCGGTTCGACCGACCTGATCTTGGATGTTTGGATCCACGCCTTTGTGCGCTAGCAATACTTGGACCGATTCATAATGCCCTCGTTGTGCAGCCCAAATCAAGGGTGTTTTGCCGCGAGGGTCTTTGATGGTGTTTGCTCCCTTCTCTAACAGAAGCTTGACTACCTGCCATTGATTATGGGCTGCAGCCGAGATGAGCGGAGTTTCTCCAAGCTTGTTCACGGCCGTGAAGTCGGCTCCCTTCTGTAGCAAAAGCTCAACTACATCCAAGTGGCCCCTTAGCGAAGCTGAGCCGAGTGGGGTCCATCCATTACCGTCGGCGACTGTTAGATCTGCCCCTTTCTCCAGTAGCAGCTTGACGACCTCCAAATGACTATTGTCCGAAGCTGAGTTGAGAGGGGTCCATCCATCATTGCTGGCGACTGTCAGATCTGCCCCTTTCTCCAGTAGCAGCTTGACAAGCTCCAAATGACCATTGTTTGAAGCCGAGTTGAGCGGGGTCCATCCATCATTGTCGCCGACTGTCAGATCTGCCCCTTTGTCCAGTAGCAGCTTGACGATCTCCAAATGACCATTCAGTGAAGCCGAGTTGAGCGGGGTCACTCCATCATTGTCGCCGACTGTCAGATCTGCCCCTTTGTCCAGTAGCAGCTTGACGATCTCCAAATGACCATTCAGTGAAGCCGAGTTGAGCGGGGTCACTCCATCATTGTCGCCGACTGTCAGATCTGCCCCTTTCTCCAGTAGCAGCTTGACCACTTCCAAATGGCCATTGCTCGCAGCCGAGTTGAGCGGGGTCACTCCATCATTGCTGGCGACTGTCAGATCTGCCCCTTTCTCCAGTAGCAGCTTGGCGATCCCCAAATGACCATTCAGTGAAGCCGAGTTGAGCGGGGTCACTCCATCATTGTCGCCGACTGTCAGATCTGCCCCTTTCTCCAGTAGCAGTTTGACGATCTCCAAATGACCATTCAGTGAAGCTGACTTGAGCGGGGTCCATCCATTCTTGTTGGCGACTGTCAGATCTGTCCCTTTCTCCAGTAGCAGCTTGACCACTTCCAAATGGCCATTGTTTGAAGCTGAGTTGAGCGGGGTCACTCCATCATTGTTAGTGACTATCAGATCGGCCTCTTTCTCCAGTAGCAGCTTGACCACTTCCAAGTGGCCGCTCAGTGAAGCTGAGTTGAGCGGGGTCCATCCATCATTGTTGGCGGCTGTCAGATCGGCCTCTTTCTCCAGTAGCAGCTTGACCACTTCCAAATGGCCATTATGTGAAGCTGAGTTGAGCGGGGTCCATCCATTATTGTTGGCAACTGTCAGATCTGCCCCTTTCTCCAGTAGCAGCTTGACCACTTCCAAATGGCCATTGCTCGCAGCCGAGTTGAGCGGGGTCACTCCATCATTGCTGGCGACTGTCAGATCTGCCCCTTTCTCCAGTAGCAGCTTGGCGATCTCCAAATGACCATTGTTTGAAGCTGAGTAAAGCGGGGTCCATCCATTCTTGTTGGCGACTGTCAGATCTGCCCCTTTGTCCAGTAGCAGTCTGACGATCTCCAAATGGCCATTGTTTGAAGCCGAGTTAAGCGGGTTCCATCCATTATTGCTGGCGACTGTCAGATCTGCCCCTTTCTCCAGTAGCAGCTTGGCGACCTCCAAATGACCATTGTTTGAAGCTAAGTTGAGCGGGGTCCATCCATTACCGTCGGCGACTGTCAGATCTGCCCCTTTCTCCAGTAATAGCTTGACGATCTCCCAATGACCATTGTTTGAAGCTAGGTGGAGCGGGGTCACTCCATCATTGGTGGCGACTGTCAGATCTGCCTCTTTCTCCAGTAGCAGTCTGACGATCTCCAAATGGCCATTGTTTGAAGCCGAGTTAAGCGGGGTCCATCCATTATTGCTGGCGACTGTCAGATCTGCCCCTTTGTCCAGTAGCAGCCTGACGATGTCCAAATGGCCATTCAGTGAAGCTGAGTTGAGAGGGGTCCATCCATTATTGCTGGCGACTGTCAGATCTGCCCCTTTGTCCAGTAGCAGCTTGGCGACCTCCAAATGACCATTGTTTGAAGCTAAGTTGAGCGGGGTCACTCCATTATTATCGCCGACTGTCAGATCTGCCCCTTTCTCCAGTAGCAGCCTGACGATGTCCAAATGGCCATTCAGTGAAGCTGAGTTGAGAGGGGTCACTCCATTGGTGGCGACCGTCAGATCTGCCCCTTTGTCCAGTAGCAGCCTGACGATGTCCAAATGGCCATTCAGTGAAGCTGAGTTGAGAGGGGTCCATCCATTATTGCTGGCGACTGTCAGATCTGCCCCTTTGTCCAGTAGCAGCTTGACGACCTCCAAATGACCATTGTTTGAAGCTAAGTTGAGCGGGGTCCATCCATTATTGCTGGCGACTGTCAGATCTGCCCCTTTGTCCAGTAGCAGCCTGACGATGTCCAAATGGCCATTCAGTGAAGCTGAGTTGAGAGGGGTCACTCCATCATTGTCGCCGACTGTCAGATCTGCCCCTTTCTCCAGTAGCAGCTTGACGACCTCCAAATGACCATTCAGTGAAGCTGAGTTGAGAGGGGTCCATCCATTATTGCTGGCGACTGTCAGATCTGCCCCTTTGTCCAGTAGCAGCTTGACGACCTCCAAATGACCATTGTTTGAAGCTAAGTTGAGCGGGGTCCATCCATTATTGCTGGCGACTGTCAGATCTGCCCCTTTGTCCAGTAGCAGCCTGACGATGTCCAAATGGCCATTCAGTGAAGCTGAGTTGAGAGGGGTCACTCCATCATTGTCGCCGACTGTCAGATCTGCCCCTTTCTCCAGTAGCAGCTTGACGACCTCCAAATGACCATTATTTGAAGCCGAGTTGAGCGGGGTCACTCCATCATTGTCGACGACCGTCAGATCTGCCCCTTTCTCCAGTAGCAGCTTGGCGACCTCCAAATGACCATTGTTTGAAGCAACATAAAGCGGACTTCTCCCCTCATTACTCGCCATGTTCGAACTGGCCCCTCTCTCGATCAAGTAAGTTACTCCACGCGCCCACCCTGTTGACGAAGCTGCCAAGAGCGCCGTTCTCCCCGAGACATCCACATCGTCTACGTTTAGCCCCACTTCCCCAATGAGATGCGTTAGTGTCCTCATGAACCCAAGCAAGGCTGCGTAGAATAACCGGTTACCGCTTCGGATTTTGCCTTCATATTGCAACATTTGGTCTTGAAAACAGCTGTCGGCTTGCTTTCTCCACTGTTCCCAACATTTGTTCTCAGTGTGGAAGAAAGCGTTCACATAGTCTATCGCTTGCCCTGCGTTGCTAGCATCTTGTTTGATATGCTTATGCCATGATGTGACAGCATACTCTCGAAACGCTTGAAGCACTGGCCTCTTCCGTTCCGCTAAGCTTTCTTCCCAAACTTGATCGAAATTCAAATAGCGAAGACATGTAATAGCAAGGATATTGCTTTGCACTGCGTCTTGCCTCGTTCGCAAATTTTCGTTCGAAATCAACTGTCCCATCGGAACCAGTTCATGACACAGGATATATTGCTTCACTGAAAAATGCGTCAGGTGGACAGTCAGGGACGGTGGCTCTGAACCTTGTCCTCGTGTTTCAACCAATGGTCCACAGAGCTCGAGGATATCTAATCGAATATACTCTTCATCGATAGCATCTGGTAGTTCTTCTTCAGACAATGTCTCGCATCCTTCATCTGCTAGAAGAAGTGCTTCGGTGATCTCCAAAATGGTCATCGGACGCAAAGCGAACGTAGCCCATCGCAAGATCGCCAGGGTTCGGCTTCTATCCGGTTCTTGAAGGTTGGTAATCCTCATCCAATTCCGATCGTACAGATCGGTCAGCCTGGTAGGTGCTTGGTCAATTGTTCGATGAAGCGAGCCTACGCTTTTCGTACTGCGGAGTTGTCCTTCGAGGACTCGGATGCCAAGAAACATGCTCTCGAATCGGTCCACTATGCGCGACGAGAGCTCATCTCGCTGCAGCTCACTTTTATTCTGTAATTTCTGGTCCACAATACTCCGTGCGAATCGTGTAGCGTCGTTCTTGACATCGTCGGACCGGATTAGGCAATCGAACAGGGTCCAACTCGTACCGGATTCGCTCATGCGGAGGCCTTCTCGTATTTCCGGCTCATCACGGCTTACAATAGCAAGTCGTGATGGTTTGGAGACCGATTGGTTTAGAAATCGGAAGAAATCAATCAGCGACTGTCGATAACTGGCCTTCCAATCGTGTCCAATTCCCGCGCATTCATCAAGGCCATCGACAACGAAGACGCAACCTGGCAAGCTTTGGATCACAGCTTCGAACAGCTCCTTAATATCTCTAGGGGAGGCAGGGCGTCTGTCGCTGGCGTCCCATCGAGTACGTCCTAGCTCAAAGGCGTCTTTGTTCTGAGCGATTAACTGATGCGTCCAGGCTCGGATGATGATAAAAGGGTCTGCGCGACTGTCCGAATCAGACGAAAAGAAGTGATAAGCAATGATAGAGTCACTAGATTGCAGGTGTTCGATGATCTTGGTGCAAAGCATTGTCTTGCCATACCCAGCAGGACCATGGATCCAGAGGACTTTTGTGTCGGCGTGATCGGTGTTTTCCCATTCCTGAAATTCTTGACGTTGGAGAATCCATTCGCAGGTACCCTCCAATCGTTTCTGAAGGAAATTGTCGTACATGTCTGTTGTTGAGGTGGTTCCTAGCCAATGAGGAAGCTCCCTCTTGAACTCGTCTAGGTTCATCAGAATCGCTGTTCTTATGGAGAGGACATAATCGTACCATTTCTACGCTCTTTCTCTGCCATGGATAGATGCTGTACGAGAGAATATAGAGCTTTATTCAGTCTTGGTTCTGTAATCATCTTGTTAGAAGCGGTGGTGTGAAGGTAATCCTTCCGTAACACGCTGATCAACTATACCTAAGCCAGCTTCCGCAGAGATTGTGCCCTGGGCATCAAGAGGCGGTACTAAGTCCCGTAAAGATTGCAACAATTCCGCAACGCTCTGAGTCTGGTAAGAAACCTTGCTCTTGTTCTGCCAGGCCCATGCCAACCTCGCTTTGCGGGGCATCGAGTCGCGATAATTTTCCAACCGCACTAGTCCTTTCGTGCGACCACGGGGGCCTTGTTGTTGAGACTGTAGTCCTCCGGTTGAAGGCATCCCATCCAACGGTTTGCCCTCTACACCGGGGCCGATGTGTAGAGACTCACGGATACACTTGACAATATTGTCAACGACTTGACGCACTTTTGGGTCGTCGAGGTTTGGGTGGTGACGATCGTTCAACTGTTCATCGCCATAGCCCACGCTCTCGCACCACTGTCGCAGTAAGATTGGGGCCGCGTCGCGTTGAATAAGATGAGGTCGTGACTCGAATCCAGCATTCTTGTAAGAATCGTACATGCCCGTGGCTTCCCGGACCGAAGTCAAGGCGCCTGCGAGCCCGACTACTCCAATGCCAAGTCCTGCAACTTCCATGGCCGTGATGTTGCTTGGGTGCACGATGCCGACTCGAACGGTACAGAAAGAGAGATCTGTCACGAGATGTCTTGTACACGCCTATGTCGAGGTAGAGACAAAAGGGTCAAGTGTTGCGAGGATGGGGAGGAGTGAAAAGCGGAGGTTCAACGGGCCAGAGCCTGGTCGGGGAATATTGTAGCTGGGCGGGAAGTATAGCCAATCCGTTTGGACGTGTCTCACGTGTCTCGTGATAAGGCAGACAGCCCTCGGCTGCAGGCGGAACGTGAGATGGTCCCAACTTCATCACAGCCACTCGTACGAGACGTCGAGTGTGAATATGCCGCACAAAAGTCATAAAATGTGGAGCGATGGTGGAAAGAGAAAAGAAAACTGATCATGCACAGCTTCGGTGGGCACAACCGCACGAGTCAGAGCGCTCGGCCGGTTGGATGTGGCGAGGTGCAGGCATATGCAAGATGACATGGCCGGGGTACGGATACTGCCTCCTGCTCTGGCCGCATCGTAGCCAATCGAGCGAGAGACGCAGCACTGTTTGTTGAATCCAGAAGGGGCGCAGTCTCGGGCTGAGTGGAAAGCAAGGCTCATTTGGTATTGCAGCTATTGTCCGAACCAGCACGTTGTCCAATACATCCATGACGAGGCAGCCTACGGAGTTCGGTATTTTTAGCCAGGCGGGCACGCGGTCAGAGGTGCGGGATAGGACGCCAACAGTACCGAATGTCTTTCGACTTCATGTGCTTCGCCCCAGGAATCTCGCGCCCCCGCCGCAATGATACATATGTAGCTAGGTTGAGACAGGTTGACACAGTGCGAGGCTCACTGTACACTTCAAAGCAGAGAGCATCTGCCCATTCGTTACGAGTATGTATGAGCTGCAACACTATTCAAGGCCCGCTAGTGGCGGGTTCTTGATCCCTGGCGCGTTGTGTAGCGGGACGATCAACCAACAAATGTTTCGTCAGCGAATATCAGGCCAATCAATCTTGACGAAGTATCATGCGATGAGAGCATCCACTATCAAAGAGATGATCTGCTGTGCGATGGAGTGGCATCAGAGGCTGTTCTTGACTTGTGAGGCTTGCAGACGGATGCAGGTCTGACCAGCCTGGTGATGAGTGAAAAATCCATTTCTGCCGAAGCGGCTGAGGGCTGGGTGCAGACATGCTTGGACGAAATGCAGCGCCACCGTCGATGGCACACATGCCCACATGAAACAGGATAAAGAGACCACTTTTATGTGTGTGCCAGTAGCTAGGACAAAGGTTCGCATGCTAACGATCGGCAATGCTTGATTTCTGGACGATGCCTCACCTCCCTGGTGGGATGGATCATTTCCACCCAAACCGCTAGCGCGGGCGCCTGAGGTGTGTACAAGTTCTTGCGCACCTCCAGCTATCCCTAACCTGACGCGACTAGACGCGACGAATACGCGGCCTATGCCTGGGCTCAGCACTCGCGCAAGCATGGCGAGCTTGTTAGGCGTGCAGTACCCAAACAGTGACTTCGTGATGTCAGCAACTCTGGTATCGTCCGACCGCAATCCATTTTTGCACAACGTCAGTAGCTGCATGCATCTGCACTACTGCGACTCCGCCTCCGTCAGCTCTCGTAATAGTCGCAAACCACATTGTGATCATCCAATTGTGATAATCAAGAGCGAGCGACAGAGCCTCGCTACTGTATCGTTGCTCTCGTCCATACCAAGTATTTTCCTCAGGATCTGCGGGAGGAATATAGCATCTGTATGCACCGGTTTTCTACAGCTTAGGAATAATCTAAATTGATAGCGAGTACACACTAGTCTATGCCAATAAAAGTTGCATAGGGCAGTCTGAAGCCTTTCAGAGCCAGGGTATAACGCCTGGTACTCAGTATATCTTGGACAAGTATCCTTGAGCGTTATGAAGATTCCATTCAAAGCGTCGCAATACGAGGAAAAGTTCGCAAAAATCCGACTAAAAGTGAGCGACACGGTTATCTAGGGGGCAAGAAACAAAGGTCGAGTTTCTAGTCTTACGTGTATCGTCAGCTTTACGCTTCCCCAGATAAGAGCGGCAATCTGCGGGTTGGAGGAAACAAAGGTTTCGACTACGGCGCTGAAGTCCTTAACTGATTGAAGGATTGGATAAAGTTTAGGGGTAATGCTCTTTCGGGTCTTTTGTAGCTGAGCATCGAGCTGGGCTGTGAAGATAAGGACCGAATCAGCGTCAGGAACAGACTGTATCGCCTGAAGCTTGAGAGACAAACATTTCCTCTAGCGATTAGCAGTCACTCTGCTCTATATAAATATCTTTTTAGACCTCTATTAATGTACATGCTCATTCGCCATGTCGTCTCTCAAAGAACGGTAATGTGCCACACAGGCTCTCGTAGTAGGGTGATCAGATCCGAGAACTTCCACATAACCGTTACAGGCCCTCTCATACAGCTTAGCCGCCTCTGAGAAGCGGGTCTGTCTGTGGAAGAGGTAGGCTAGGTTGTAAACGCTCGTGAGCGTGGAAGGATGCTCTCTGCCGAGCACCTTCTCGCTTGCATCCAGAGCTCGTCGATTCATCTGCTCCGCCTCCTCGTACTTTCCCTGGTCTTGCAGCACTGTCGCAAGATTGTTGATGCTCGTGAGCGTAGAAGGATGCTCTCTGCCGAGCACCCTCTCTTTTGTCTCCAGAGCTCGTCGATTCATCTCCTCTGCCTCCTTATATATCCCCTTCATCCACCGATACGATCCTGCGTTTGTAAGCAGCCTGGCCCACCTTAAAACATCTTCAGTACTATTTGGCTCCTCTTTAAGAATTTTATCAATATGGGGATCCAATCTCTTGCATTCTGGCCAGTTTTTATACTCCCCTGATGGATATTGGTCTGATATGACCTTTAGAAACTCCCGCTTCCACTGTTGTATATTGCTAAATGACGATAGCCACACCTGCGTACAAAATTGCACTAAAGTATGCATTTCGAATATTTCTTTATCAGCCATTACCGCCACTAATAAGTATCCGCGAAGGGTCTCAAGGTCCTCCTCAAGAGCATCTTCCTTGTGGTCGCGTGCATAGGCCTGGAGGGCGGACTCGGGAATTCCCTGTGGATTAAAGAAGCTCATAAAGGAGAGTAAGTTGGCGGCTGACGGCCGTTCGCGACGGATCTGTTCGAAGGTAATCTGCCATGTAGTGACGATCGAGTTCGAGGCGCTCTCGTCCCGACGAAGGTCGCCGCCGTCTCTGTTGAGGAGGTTCGCCTTCTTCTTATGGCTTCTCCAGAACTCGTCCACGTAAGCCGATACCGACATGCGGGGCCTCCTTCGCTTGATGTAAGCGGCAGCCTGGGTTATTGCAAGCGGCATGTAGTTTAGATCATCAATTAGACCTGTCATTGCCACAACATCCTCAGCGCACTCCCTAAGCCTGTTCCGGAGAAGCTGCAGGGCTTGGCTTTTCTCCATTATCGGCACATTGTAGATCGCATCCGGACCGGCCAGCCTCTCCGCTGCATCTGTATTGCGAGATGTGATTATGATCGATCCGCGGCCGGTCTTTGGTAAGAATGATGCCAGTGATTGGTCGCGTGAGCCATGGGCGCCTGGAAAGAACACCTCGACGGAATCGGTATTGTCGAGCACCATCATCCATGGTCCATTCTCTTCGTCGCACAGCCAGGTATGCACCAGCTGGAGCACGTTGCGCTTCGGATCATCTCGTCCTGGAAGTTGTAGTTTATCGGCGATGTTTCGGTACGCCTCCTCGAAACGGGCCCTGGAGCTCGCATGCACCCAGAAAACCCAGGTGTCCGGTGACGCCTGTCGGACCTTGTGCGCGTAATGGATCGCAACCTGTGATTTCCTTGGTCTGTCAGCAAAGTCTTTGGGTCATGGGGCACGCAGCCTACCCGATGCCGCCGAGCCCGACGAGCGCAGCGCGGCTGCCCGGTTGTGCGGTTTGATCTCGCAGCCAGAGCACGATGTCCGTCCGCTCAACGAACTTGGGATCCGGCGGGAAAGGGATGGTCGAGAAGGGTCGGACAGATCGCGGTGGGGCGTGGCCGCCAAAATTGTAGTTGATCGTGCCCCCGCCAGACGCGTGCACGCCGGCAAACACGTGTTCGCCGCTAACTGGCGCTTGGAAGCTGGTATGACTCATGGAAGCAACAGGTTGCATGCCTCTTCATCTCTTGCAAGCACGCTGCCAGTATTTCACCAGATCTTGTTTCAGTCAGGCTGCGTACACGATATGCCTGCGGCTGAGAAGAAGCGTGACGCTGCGTGCGACGAATCACAGCTCAGCTGCAGGAGCGAATCAAAATCGCAGCCGGTCTAGAATGCGGCCTCGTCCAAAACACCAGCAGCACCGGTCGGACGCATATGGCAGTCTCCATTATCACTTTGATGCATGCGATCTGTGCATAAGCTCGCACGGAGTTTGTAACCTAGAGTAACATACAAGATACATGATGCGGTGAGACAACGTAGCAACAAATTCGAACGAACACGATGGGGCAACAACCGTTCTCTCGGCCCATGCTAGCGCAGGCATCTATGACATAAGATTTCAGATCATCCCCCCGCATAGACGAGCCGAACCGAGAGCAAGCGACTGCTGTCCTCGTATCTTAGATCACCTGGCTCTTCCCCGTTAGCTCTGCGGCCCGAAATTGAAGTTGACGGTCCCTCCCGTCGTGTGGGTTCCCGGGATGACGTATTGGCCGGAGATAGGCCCGTGGAAAACCGGCCCATGCGCGGCATTGGCTGCTTGGTCCTGTTGAGGTATGCTGGCCGCGGAACCGTTGCGGCTCCCGGTGTCTTCATTGCCACCAGCCCTGTTCGCAAACATCGGAGACAAACTACACTTACCGTCGCCCGCGGACGCTTTCAGAGCTTTGTCAGTTCGGATATAGCCTTCTAGAATTGCCTTGGACGCCGCGGCCGCCGTCGCCGCTGCAAAATTCTGCCATCCCTTATGCTTGTGGCAGTCCGCATAGTCGCACGCTCCCTTGACCACGATACAGGGAACTTCGTCCCAGACCCCAGCGCCCTCCATCTCAAACGCAATCACGCCTGCTTCCCTCGAGAGCCTGTCTCGGTCGGCAGCCGACTTCATCACGGTATCTCCCGATGCAACCGCCCCCACATGCACTGCCGGCTGCCGAGCCGTATCGCTGTCATGGTGTTCTGACTGCCGTTTTGCCTGGAGCCGTTCCCTCGTGACAAGATGTTCGTCGTCGCATCCGAGATCCGCGCATGACGAGCTGAGGGCCTCGTCGCAAACGGGGTCTACGTGGCTGAAGCAATCGCGGCAACTACATGTCGGCGATACGTGGTGCTTGTGACGGTAGGTCGGCTCGAATAGCCTGTCTTCCGCCGGTCCGGGGTAGTCGTACTTGCCCCGACGCCTTGTCTGGGCGACGTTGGCCTGCAGCTGCCGAAGAAAACGGGCAGTCCGTTGTTCGAGCTGGTCGAGGCCCCGGTCGGTCTCGAATAGAGCGAGCAGATTGCGGACGTCTTTGTTCGGCCGGCCAAGATTGTCCTCGACGGTGTTCTTGCGTACAAACTTGTCAGGATACTGCCGGCCGAAATCGTACTGGACGACGGTCTTGCTGATGACTACATCGCCTAACAAAAACTTCGCCGTCTCGGCCGCAAGGCATAGCTCCGCACACACCGACTAGGAGGGCCAGTTGCAAGCCTCCGTAGCTCGATCGCATGCTTGCGGCCGCGCTGGCCGCGTTAGTCTTGCCCATGTGCGGCAAAAGGGCCAGAACGACATTGTATTTGCCCACACGGCCAGTCGTATAGCTGTTGGGGTCTCCCGTCGCTCGTCCGTATCGATCGCCATTTTCATCCCAGAACTCGTCGAAGATGTAAGACACGGCGTCGTACTCGAGCGGCAGTGCGCAGATGATTGCGACCTCGAAGTCGTCACGGCGAGAAGGCTGCGGAGATGACATGATCAGATGGGAAGAGGACAACCTGAGTGTTTGGAGCCTCGCTTTCGAAGCAGCTCAAAGCTCAGTGCGTGTTGACAGATGCATGGTGTTTGCACGTGGCTAGGAGCCTGTTCAGCTGCGGGGCTTCCAAAGTAGGGCTGTTCCAACAGCGCTTCGAGCGGGCAAGGCTGCACTTTGCACCCCATCCATTCCACAACCACACTTGCGAACGAGTTGCTACTCCCAGAGAGCTATGCCCCAGCGACAGCGGTGACAATGGACGTACCCACTCATTTTCATGACACAGTCAGTGGTCAAAATACCATCGCCGCCCCGCAAGCATCCCATGGCGGATCGAACAACTTCTACTTCTACGGACCCGACGCGCCAGCCGCCGCCCGTAGGCGAAATCCACCCAACCCTCGCAAGCCATTCTCGACAGTGCCCTTTCCACCTGATCCCGACTTTGTCGACCGTCCCGATATCCTGAAATGGATGCATGGGAAATGTGCCAGACCTGCTTCTCGTATCGCGCTCGTCGGCCTTGGCGGCATAGGGTAAGTCTAGAGACAGCGCAACTATATCGCCCCTCGACTCACGATCAAAGAAAATCGCAGCTTGCCATTCAATATGCGCATCAAATCCGACAGCGCGCGCTCAACACATGGGTCTTCTGGGTGCATGCTAGCACTCGAGGGCGATTTGAGGAGGCCTACCGGTCGATCGCGGACAGGCTCGAACTACCCAGGCGGAACGATCCCGATGTTAATATCTTTCGGCTGGTAAGCGAGTGGCTCCGCGTCGAGGAGAACGGGTCGTGGGAGATGATCCTCGATAACGCCGATGACGTCGACGTCTTCTTCTCAACTACACAGGAACGACTTGCCTCGTTCTTACCGCAGAACTGTAATGGATCCATCGTCGTTACATCACGAAACATGGATGTAGCAGAAAGATTGGTAGGCGGTTGGAGTAACATCCTTACGATCCCAGCGATGAAAACCGAGGAAGCATGCCAACTTCTGCAAGAAAAACTCGAGGTTGGCTACGACGCCGGAGCAGCTACCGATTTAGTCCGTGCTCTTGACCATATGCCTCTTGCCATTACGCAGGCCGCCGCTTTCATCAACCGCCGGGCACCGCGAATGTCCATACCCACATACCTAAATGAGTTCCGGGGGAGCAACAAAAAGAAGGCAAGCATCCTCAATAAAGATGCAGGCGACCTCCGTCGGGATGAGAGCGCCTCTAACTCGATCGTCACTACATGGCAGATCACCTTCGAACAGATCCGTCGCGAACGGCCGTCAGCTGCTAACTTACTCTCCTTTATGAGCTTCTTTAATCCACAGGGAATTCCCGAGTCCGCCCTCCAGGCCTACGCACGCGACCACAAGGAAGATGTTCTTGAGGATGACCTTGAGACCCTTCGCGGATACTTATTAGTGGCGGTAATGGCTGATAAAGAAATATTCGAAATGCATGCTTTGGTGCAATTTTGTACGCAGGTGTGGCTATCGTCATTTAGCAATATACAGCGGTGGAAGCGGGAGTTTCTAAAGGTTATATCAGACCAATATCCATCAGGGGAGTATAAAAACTGGCCAGAATGCAAGAGATTGGATCCCCATATTGATAAAATTCTTAAGGAGGAGCCAAATAGTACTGAAGATGTTTTAAGGTGGGCCAGGCTGCTTACCAACGCAGGATGGTATCGGTGGATGAAGGGGATATATGAGGAGGCTGGGGAGATGAATCAACTTGCTCTAGAGACAAGGGAGAGGGTACTTGGCAGAGAGCACCCAGATACGCTTATGAGTGTCCATATTCTTGCAGGGGTGCTGCAATACCAGGGAAAGTACGAGGAGGCGGAGCAGATGAATCGACGAGCTCTCGAGGGGTATGAGAAGGTGCTCGGCAGAGAGCATCCAGACACACTCACGAGCATCAGCAATCTTGCATTGTTGCTGCAATACCAGGGAAAGTACGAGGAGGCGGAGGAGATGAATCGACGAGCTCTGGATGCTTGGGAGAAGGTGCTCGGCAGAGAGCATCCAGACACGCTCACGAGCATCAGCAATCTTGCGTTGGTGCTGCAATACCAGGGGAAGTACGAGGAGGCGGAGCAGATGAATCGACGAGCTCTCGAGGGGTATGAGAAGGTGCTCGGCAGAGAGCATCCAGACACGCTCACGAGCATCAGCAATCTTGTGTTGGTGCTGCAATACCACGGAAAGTACGAGGAGGCGGAGCAGATGAATCGACGAACTCTGCATGCAAGGGAGAAGGTGCTCGGCAGAGAGCATCCGGACACGCTCACGAGCGTCAGCAATCTTGCGTCGGTGCTGCGATACCAGGGAAAGTACAAGGAGGCGGAGCAGATGAATCGACGAGCTCTCGAGGGGTATGAGAAGGTGCTCGGCAGAGAGCATCCTTCTACGCTCACGAGCATCAGCAATCTTGCAGAGGTGCTGCGACACCAGGGGAAGTACGAGGAGGCGGAACAGATGAATCGACGAGCTCTGGATGCAAGCGAGAAGGTGCTCGGCAGAGAGCATCCTTCTACGCTCACGAGCATCAACAATCTTGCGTTCGTGCTGCGATACCAGGGAAAGTACGAGGAGGCGGAGCAGATGAATCGACGAGCTCTGGATGCTCGGGAGAAGGTGCTCGGCAGAGAGCATCCTTCTACATTCGCGAGCATCAACAATCTTGCGTCAGTGCTGCGATACCAGGGAAAGTACGAGGAGGCGGAGCAGATGAATCGACGAGCTCTGGATGCTCGGGAGAAGGTGCTCGGCAGAGAGCATCCTTCCACGCTCACGAGCGTCAACAATCTTGCGTGGGTGCTGGGATACCAGGGAAAGTACGAGGAGGCGGAGCAGATGAATCGACGAGCTCTGGATGCAAGCGAGAAGGCGCTCGGCAGAGAGCATCCAGACACGCTCACGAGCGTTTACAACCTAGCCTACCTCTTCCACGGACAGACCCGCTTCTCAGAGGCGGCTAAGCTGTATGAGAGGGCCTGTGACGGTTATGTGGAAGTTCTCGGATTTGATCACCCTACTACGAGAGCCTGTGTGGCTCATTATCGTTCTTTAAGGGAAGACATGGCGAATAGTGTGCAAAAACAGTAATCTACACTACAGTACAGCATCTGTCAAGAATGAAGTACTTGTATTTTATACTTCTGTGCTGGTATTAAAGCTGGAGTGAAGTGAATCCCCGCCAAACGCAGGTCTTATCCACCTGTCGACTTCCAGCCTACTGCCCTGCCGTTGTAGATAGTAAGATCGCGGACGCAGTTTTGCTGCGATTACTCTCCGGGGAAATCCGAGGACAGGCTGGTGAATGAGGCAGCCCAATAGTAGAGGCTAGAAGTTGGAAGCTGGGCTGTAGTACAGTCGCCGCATCGCGGAGCGTTGAATGCGCACGCGCAAGGCCGGGCCGTGTTTGCGACACCAAACGCGCCCCGTGCCGACCGCGTTCCCACAGGCTCACTCCACCCTGTGCGCGTCACATCAACACTATCCTCGACGCAGTCAGCTCACGGCAGCGGAGACGTCCACTCGAGCGCTGACACGGGATGTACATTGCATGGTACTAGTCACGCTTCTCTGCCCTGACAGTTGCTGCATCTCGCTCCTCAAGTCTGCGATGCGCCGGGTGAGCAGATTGGGTTTCGTTTGGTGGGTGATTGTGCTTCGCGCATTACTTGTCTGGTCGGTAGCCGAGGATCAACATGCGTCCATCTAATGATTGCTTGGCGAGCACCGAGAACTTGCAGCCTGTTTTTCGACTTGAGGTGCGACGTACTCGTTCAATCGAATTGCTCGGCGGTAGTCTGTTCCGATCGCAGGCGTACACGACTTTTACCCGGCCGTTAGGAGTCTTCGAAGACTTTCCCGTCGTGAATGCATATCCTCGAGGCTTCGCCCAAGCATTAATTGCTTTGAATAGAGACTCTCGTGATTCATATTCGCGTTCTGGTGGGAGGACATCATCGACAAATGAGATCTGCGCCATTGTCGTTTGGTTGCTTCGCGACTCAATTGCTGGATATCCTATGTTGTGGAGAGCTATGGACTGCTGCCCGCAAACCACTTCGGGGCAAGGAAGCGAAGGTCAGCCGAACAAGCACTGATACTGCTGCAGGAGCAGATCTATAAGGCATGGAGGGCCGGCAGGGTGCTCAGCCTAATCAGTTTCGACGTCAAAGGCGCTTACAATGGAGTGTTCAAAGAACGACTACTGGAGAGGCTGAAGGCGAGAGGCATACCTGGTGGACTGGTGAGATGGATTGACGCCTTTTGCTCTGAACGAATGGCCACCTTGGTGGTAAATGGGCACACGTCACAGCTACGGGAGTTGCCACAGGCAGGTCTCCCGCAAGGATCACCGCTGTCGTCGGTGTTGTTCTTGTTCTTCAATGCAGATTTAGTGCAGAGAAGAATCAACGCAAAAGGTGGTTCGATGGCATTCGTGGACGACTACTCAGCCTGGGTAGTGGGACCAACAGCGGAGGAGAATCGAGCCGGCATCCAATCAATTATAGACGAAGCACTGGGCTGGGAAAGACGGAGCGGTGCGACGTTCAACGGAGACAAAACGGCCATCATGCATTTCACGCGAAACGCCGCGCGTACCAGCGACAAACCGTTCATGATCAAAGGAAAAGTAGTCAAACCAAAAGCGAGCGCCAAGATCCTGGGAGTGGTCATGGACGCGAAACTGCGGTACAAGGAACACATAGCTAGAGCCGCCGCAAAGGGGCTCTCGGCTGCTATGTGTTTGAGAAGACTGAAAATGCTGTCACCGCGAACGGCGAGACAACTGTTCATAGCAACAGTAGCTCCCACCATGGACTATGCGTCCAGCGTGTGGACGCACTCATGTGGCATTAGAGAAGCTGCTTGGCTGGACAAGGCACAGATGGTCGGAGCACAGGCGATCACGGGAGCTTTCCGGACCGTCGCAACGGCGGTGGCAGAGGCCGAAGCTAGCATCCAATCGGTGCAAGAACGGCATGCGCAAGCGGCAACAAGGTTTTGGATCAACCTCCGGACCCTTCCCAGGACACACCCGTTGGCGACACTGAAAGTGAAAGTGTGTCGCCGATTCGTATCGCCGATGCAGAGGATTGCTCAAGTGCAAGGGGAAACAGCCAATGAACGAATGGAGATCATTCGGGAGTACGCGTTACCACCATGGCGAGACCGTATCCCGGTGTCGTGCGACCCTGACCGGGAGAGAGCGACGGAAGAAGCAAAGAGGGTGGATGGCATAGTCATTGCCACCTGCTCCTCGCAGAGAAGGGGCATGGTAGGCATGGGAGGTGTCGTACGAGACACGGCGATCAATAACGATGACGAGGTAGTGGCCAGCTACTCCATCACTCTCGGATTGACGGAGGAGCTGAACCTATACATCGCCGAGCTGGGAGCTATAGAGATGGTATTGAGATGTATGCCGTCTGGACTCTGCCGGCGGGACATGACTGTCATGACGAGCAGCCGCTCCGCACTAGAAGTCATACGGCGGCCACGACAACAATCCGGCCAACAGATCATACGGCAAATATACGACCATATCAAGCGTCTCGAAGACGAGGGCCACTCTCTCCGGATGTTGTGGGTTCCAGCAGGAGAAGAGGATTTCGCGCTGGGAACAAAAGCCAAAGCAGCAGCGCGGAAGGCCACAGAAGGAGAATGCAGACCAGACGTGCCACCACATCTAGCAAGATCCACAAGGATAAGACTAGCGATAACCAAGCAGCGGCAAACAAGAACACTACCAGAAAGAGTCGGGAAATACTCGAAGCAGATAGACACGGCACTACCAGGCAAGCATACCCGTACTCTATATGACCCGCTGAAGAGGAAGGAAGCAGACGTACTGTCCCAGCTCCGCACCGGAATGGCGAGACTTAACAGCTTTCTGTGCAAGATAGGAGCAATGGAATCGGACACTTGCGAATGCGGGCAAGCATCAGAGACAGTGGAACACTTCCTATTCCGCTGCACAAAATGGACCGCGCAACGAGAAGGCATGCTGCGATGCTCACAGACAAAGATGGGAAACCTATCATACTTCCTGGGAGGAAAGGCGGCGTCTGACGGTGACAAATGGGCGCCAGACATGCGGGCAGTACGGGCGACGATCAACTTTGCCATTGCAACGGGGAGGCTTGACATGGACCAGAAGCCTCAGGCACACTAACTATTCAGATTGAATCCTACTAACATCATACAGTCTCATTTTGGCAGACCGTGCTTCAGCTGCTGAGGATAGGATGCTGAACACTTGGAGAAATTGGCCTTCAAGCAGGCCTGTCACTGCATATACATCAGATTGGACCAGTCAGTAAAGTAAAATTGTGGGGCTTCGGGTGATTATGGAAGAACCGTACGAAACGAAAATAGCTTAGCGCAAAGGCCCTCTGGGGTGTGTCCCCCCGGGCGAAATAAAATCCATCCATCCACACTTCCCACCCGTAAAATGATCCGGCCTCCCAGCCAGCCGGCTACACATCATACTGTTAGGGACTGTAACCTAAATTGGGTGTCGGGGGACATGGCAGGGGTTGCCTTGCACCTTGGCGTCAAAGTGTGTGGGCAGTTCGCATGAGTGGTTCGCCATACTGGGGCGCCCGTGGATTCTCGCGTATCCACGCTCAGGCACTGCGCCCCCCCAGCGCTGTAGCGGGGAGCCCGTGGATGCGTATCCGCGCCCAGCACTGCACCCAGCACTGCACCCAGCACTGCACCCAGCACTGCACCTTTAGAAGAAAGCAGGCATGATCACATTGCCTATAAGAATGAACGTTATAGTCCCCTCCAAGTAGAAAACTCGATTAAGTGTCGTGCCATTGGGCTTGGTTCTCACTGAAGGTCATAACGTTGCTATCTGCGTCACTTGAGCATATCGACCGGTGCCGAAGGAGGCAGACGATCGGGGGAATAGGGTCGACCGTGACGGGGCTGTGGGGAGAACAAACATGATGTACTGCCAATACAGTGTTGGGCGCAGTGCTGGGCGTAGTGCCTGAGCGTGGATACGCGAGAATCCAAGGGCGTCCGTCGTGCTGCTAGTCTATATGTATGATCTGAATGTCGTAGAAGCTTTCATGGGAAACCTGTACGGAGGGCGGGGCATCTTCGATGTGGGCTTGTCGCTCTTGACCTAATTTTGTCCACGGTTAATGACGATAGCTCGGTCTTTCCTGCCACAGCAGGTCTGGGCTATAAAAGCGCGACAAGTGCTATGCAATGTACATCCCGTGTCGTCACTCGTGTGTGAATCTCTGCTGCTGTTAGCTGGCCTCTTCAAAGACGATGTTGACATGATGCACTGAGGGTGTGGAAAATGCGATGGTGTAGGGCGTGTTTCGCGTCACAAACGCACCCTGCTCGCGACACGTTCACACTCATTATCCCGTTTGTGAAAGTTGCAATCCCAATGCTGACCCAGTCACCATTTCGTTCACAGTGAGCCACACGACCTTTGAATGCATATATTCTTGACGCAGACCTGCCCTACCCGATCGCAGGCCCACGCTGCCCGGCCTGGACTTCCTTTGTCCTCTGATGCAGCTCGCTCGTCACGCAGCAGAGCAGCTGGGCGGTCCGCAGATTAGAATGAACCCTGTGTGTGCCGGCGGGGGCGGTGAGGTTGAGCGGCAGGCAAGAAGCAAATCCGAGGGATTCGGGTTATGCAGGAGCGGCTAGCTCAGCCTTATTCGCCTCCAATGGGAGAGCCTTAGGCAGCCAAGACGCAGTAAGTCTCTCTATCACACTCTGACGGCTTTCTTTTCCGAGTTGTTGGTGGTGGCAATGCAGCGTCGGCTGTCGTGGCAGTGCGCGTGCGTTGGTACCAGCAGCACCTTTCGTGACAGCCTGATGCATGCTCAATCTGCCTCGTGCCTCCTCCATCTTCCGTGTCCAAACACGAATCGGCCGCAAAACTCTTCGTGATCCTCGCCCTCCACCAAACGCATTTCCTTTCGTTCATCTGTGGTATATGCCTCTGCCAACGGTTATTGTGCGCATCTACGAACCATCACCTGCCGGATGGCTTCCAGGACGGAGATGGATAGAAAACGACTCCAGCACGATGACCATGCCGAGACAAGCTCCTCTTACCCGACAAAGCGGCAGAGGACTTTGACTAACGACCTGGGCAACACTATCCACGAGCCGCAAAACGGATCGCCTTCGCACGATGATTACACCATCGCCTGGATCTGCGCGCTGCATATAGAGATGGCAGCAGCCCGTGCCATGTTAGACGAGATTCACGAAGACCTGCCTCGATATGCGAACGACAGTAACACCTACATGCTTGGCAGCATCAAGAAACATAATATCGTCATCGCGTGCTTGCCAACAGCACAGTATGGAACGAATAACGCGGTGAACGTATTGACCCATTTGATCCGGACCTTTCCGTCAATTCGCCTGGGTTTGATGGTGGGAATCGGAGGCGGGGTACCGAGCATGGCCGATACACGTCTGGGCGACATCGTAGTGGGAACGAGGGTGATGCAGTGTGATCTAGGGAAGATTATCGGGGATGGACAGATCTGGCGGACAGCAACTCCAAGGATTCTTCAACATCAGGTTGGCACACTTGTGTCCACTTTGCGTTCAACACATGAGCTGGAGCCCAGTCAAGTCCCATCCATCCTGGAGGAGAGGCTCGAGGAATACCCTGAGTACGGTCGACCGAGCTTACCAGATTACCTCTTCCATGCCTCGTATGATCATGTATCTTCAACGCCAAGCTGCGACGGATGCGACGACTCGAAGCTAGTTCCACGAACAAGGCGGGTGTCGGGCGATCCGCTGATCCATTACGGTGCTATCGCCTCAGGGAACCAAGTCATGAGAAGCGGCACTGCCCGGGACGATATTGCTCGAGAACTGGATGTTATATGTTTCGAAATGGAGGCTGCTGGCCTGATGGATATTCTACCTTGCCTTCCAATTCGGGGCATCTGCGACTACTCGGATTCTCAAAAAAGCAAAGAATGGCAGAGGTACGCAGCAGCAACTGCCGCTGCATACGCCAGAGAACTACTGTCGGCACTCCCTGTAGCTAAAACACAGACAAAAGCTACCAACGTGTCTAATGCTCGTAAGTTGGTCCAGTCATCTCGAGTTTCGGCTACCATGGCTAATATCAGGTGTGTAGATCGAGACTCATCGAACGATCACCGGCGGCGCCTATTAGATTCTCTCAAGTTTGATCAAATTGACGCTCGCAAATCAACTATCAAGCTCCCTCACTTCAAAACCTGCAGATGGTTCCTCAACCACCCCGACTATCAAGCATGGCTTGATCCCGGAAAGTTAGAGCTGCATCATGGTTTTTTGTGGATTAGTGGCAAGCCAGGTGCTGGCAAATCGACTATAATGAAGTTCATATACTCGAGCATGATTAAAAAAGACCGTCCCCGGTGTGCTGTCACTGCTTCCTTTTTCTTTAACACTCGGGGCGACTACTTGGAAAAGTCTATCTTGGGCATGTATCGATCATTGTTGCACCAACTGCTCGAGCGGTACCCCGATCTCCAAGCAGTTTTAGACAATCCGGACCTTACTCCCCATAGTCAGGATGGCTGCCCTTCTTTAGGTGTTCTCAAGGACCTTTTTCGCAATGCAGTTTCCTCTCTCGGTCAGCGCTCATTTACTTGTTTTATCGATGCTCTCGATGAGTGTGACGAGCAACAAGTTGTGGATATGGTTCAATACTTTGAGGAGCTGGTAGAGCAGGCCACGGAGGGCACCCTGCTCCGAGTCTGTTTCTCTAGTCGACATTATCCCTACATCATGCTACGACATGGGATCCGGCTGACACTGGAAGATCAGTCAGGTCACGCTGAAGACTTAGAAACCTACATTGGAAGCCGCCTCCGAATCGATGATGGTGCACTTGTCGAAGTGCTGCAATCCCACCTTCTTGAGAAAGCTGCTGGAGTTTTCCTATGGGTTGTCCTCGTTGTGGAAATTCTCAATAAGGAATACCGACGTGGTCGACCGGCTTTATGGACGAGACTAGCAGAAATCCCCAGCAGCTTGAGCGACCTCTTCAAGGACAGCTTGAGGCGCGACAATGACAACATGGAAGACCTGCTGCTTTGCATCCTCTGGATCCTTTACTCAGAGCGGCCTCTACAACCGAAAGAGTTTTACCATGCTCTCTGGTCTGGGCTGTCGCCCAATGAAATGGTCGATTCAGGGATTCCAAGTACTACCGTTGAGAGATATGTCATTAGCTCCTCAAAAGGGCTGGCTGAGATTACAAAATCTAAGCAGCAGCCAACGGTTCAATTCATCCATGAGTCCGTCCGAGACTTCCTTATCAAGGACAAGGGTCTCCATGAGCTTTGGCCGGATCTTGGATTTGACTGGGAGACTCCAAGTCATGAGAGGCTCAAGCAATGCTGCAGCGCCTACATAGATAAGCACCTAGCGCGCATTTCTACGGTTAACTCCGACGAACAAGGGGGAATCTCAAAGCAATTCCCATTTTTAGAGTATGCCAGCTGTCATATGCTCTACCACGCCGACGCCGCGGCGAGTGCGATTCCTCAGGATGAATTTTTAACCAAGTTCTCCACTTCTGACTGGATCACTATCATCAATCGCTTTGAAAGGTACAAGGCTCGCCAATACACCCCCGATGCAAGTCTTCTCTATATTCTCGCAGACAAGGGATTCGCGGAGCTCATCCGCACAAGGCCAAAGAAACACCTGTGCGCTTATATTCCGAGAGAGAGATACAGGTATCCATTGTTTGCTGCTTTGGCCAACGGCCACAAGCATGCAGTTGCTGCACTCCTAGATCTGTCTTCAAGATTCTACAATGGGGTAGACATTGCAGAAGGTCTGACGTGTAGGAAAGACTTCACGGACTATAAAGATCGAACCCCGCTATCTTGGGCTGCTCAGAATGGCCGAACAGGCATCATTGAGCTGCTTCTCCAGAACAGAATGGCCGTCATGGAGGCGGATAGGGGGGGCCGACGGCCACTCTCACGAGCCTCAGAAAATGGTCATGAAGCCACAGCCAGGCTTCTCATCGAGAAGGGAGCAGACGTCAATGCAAGCGATAAGGATGGCAAAACACCACTCTATCGGGCCTCAGTTCAGGGTCACGAAGCCACAGCCAGGCTTCTCATCGAGAAGGGAGCAGACATTAATGCAAGCGATTCCTTTGACCGAACGCCACTCTCCTGGGCCTCAGAGAAGGGTTACGAAGCCACGGCCAGGCTTCTTCTTGAGAAGGGAGCAGACGTTAATGCAAGCGATTCTTTTGGCCAAACGCCACTCTACTGGGCCTCGCGGAATGGTCATGAAGCCACGGCCAGGCTTCTTCTTGAGAAGGGAGCAGACGTTAATGCAGGCGATAACAGTGGCCAAACGCCAGTCTACTGGGCCTCGCGGAATGGTCATGAAGCCACGGCAAGGCTTCTTCTTGAGAAGGGAGCAGACGTTAATGCAAGCGATTCTTTTGGCCAAACGCCACTCTACTGGGCCTCGCGGAATGGTCATGAAGCCACGGCCAGGCTTCTCATCGAGAAGGGAGCAGACATTAATGCAAGCGATTCCTTTGACCGAACGCCACTCTCCTGGGCCTCAGAGAAGGGTTACGAAGCCACGGCCAGGCTTCTTCTTGAGAAGGGAGCAGACGTCAATGCAAGCGATCCGGCCGGCCAAACGCCACTCTACTGGGCCTCGTGGAATGGTCATGAAGCCACGGCCAGGCTTCTTCTTGAGAAGGGAGCAGACATTAATGCAGGCGATCAGGCTGGCCAAACGCCACTCTACTGGGCCTCGCGGAATGGTCATGAAGCCATGGTCAGGCTTCTTCTCGAGAAGGGAGCAGACGTCAATACAAGCGACAACAACGGCCAAACGCCACTCTACTGGGCCTCGCAGAATGGCCATGAAGCCACGGTCAGGCTTCTCATCGAGAAGGGAGCGCAGTTACAGCTCACCTAATTCCGGCTTCCAGTAACATTGAACAAGAGGATACAATCAGGTGTTGCAGGATCAACGGTTGTTATTAGCTACCCCTTTGCATCAGTAATAAAGTTCTACGAAGTCATGGCCAGAGAACTGGGTGCATACATCACTCGCCATACGTACGCTAGTGCTGAGCGGTACGGGCTGCGGCTTATCGCGTCTTGATCGCGTCTGTGTCGCGTCACATTTAGCGTGGTTGGAGTAATGAATGGTCCACAGGCGAAACCAGGTCTATGTGGCTGCTCAGCCAGGAATGCAGGATTCACCGTCCATCAGGCTCGGTCTGCATCTACCGTAGTGCTTGACGCAACGCCATCGCAATCAGCACATCGACTCCCTTGGTCGTAGATTCTCCCATCCAATGCTGATCCAGAAAAATGCCTAGGGCATATGTTCGCTCGTGAATCCACCGTGAATCAATCGCCCCGCCAGCCGATGCGTGACACTAGTGACGCGCAGGGGATCATGCATCCGCCGCTTGTGGGCTTTGCAACGAATTGCCATTTTCCGCCAGTACAGCAATGCACCGGCGTTTACCTCTATTTCGCATTATACGGACGATATGGAAGTGGCCTACAGGTTGTAGGGACATGATTTACGGCCAGTTTAAATTAGATATGTATTCACTGCCAACATCGGACTGCCAAAAGACTCTGACGAGGTCAAGCAGTTGAAATGTATGAACTTGTGCATACTTGGTGAGATCTTCTAAATCAACTTACATACAGCCGCGCAGGCCATTAGGGATAGGTCTTCTGGGCGCTCACCGAGGCACCAGCACATGGGAGATGTCACGGCATCGGATACCTCCGTCAAAGCACTCGACGCACAAGTAAAAACCCCCGCTATCACATACTCTGCAAGAATATCCACAGCCTTTCCGAATGCTCAGTGTACAGGCGTCGCACCAAGCGGATTCATGATCAAACGGAATAGAGGCGGCATTGACAGGAGCAGGGTCGTCGGGGATAGGACTGCCTGCCCTTTCGGCATGCTGCACTAGGAGCTGAAGGACTCGAAGATTGCCAGTACGCCGCGCCCACCAGAAGAGACTCCGACCAAAACCGTCTTGGCCCTCAATGGTGATGCCTCCAGCCGCGAGTAAAAGCTCCACCACTTCGAAGTGGCCGTTCCTCACGGCAGCAAACAACGATGTCGAACGGTACCAGTCCTTGCTGCCCGGGTCAATTCGCCCATCAGCAAGCAGCGCTTGAACCACATTGTTGTACCCACATCTGGAAGCGAAGAACAACGCTGTACGACCATGATTGTCTGCCCTGCTAGTTTCGACGCCCAGAGTTATTAGCAGTAGCCTGACCACCTCGATGTGTCCATTCTGTGATGCTGCATGTAATGGCGTCCACCCGTCCTCATCTGTGACTGTGACGCTAGCACCCTTCTCGATGAGCAGCTTGACCACCTCCATATGTCCATTCTCTGATGCCGAATGCAATGGCGCCCACCCGTCCTCAGCTGTGATTGTGACTCTAGCACCCTTCTCGATGAGCAGCTTGACTGCCTCGATGTGTCCATTTAGTGATGCTAAATGCAATGGCGTCGACCCATTCTTGCTTGTAACTGCGATGCTAGCACCCTTCTCGATAAGCAGCTTGACCACCTCGATGTGTCCATTTAGTGATGCTGAATGCAATGGCGTCCACCCATCCTCATCTGTGATTGTAATGCTAGCACCCTTCTCAATGGGCAGCCTGACCACCTCGATGTGTCCATTTAGTGATGCCAAATGCAATGGCGTCGACCCGGCATTGGTAGCAACTGCGACGCCAGCACCCTTCTCGATAAGCAGCCTGACCACCTCGATGTGTCCATTTAGTGATGCTGAATGCAATGGCGTCCACTCATTATTGTCGGTAGTTGATATGTCGGCATTCGCATCAAGGAGTATTTTCACAACTTCTTTGCTCCCCTTTGCGCATGCAACGTGGAGAGCTGATCTTCCAAGGTCGTTTCTATCATTCACGTCACAACTCTGTTCTTTTACCAAAATGGTCGCTACACCTGTTAACTCGAGCTCCACTGCGTAATACAGCGGACCAGGTGAGGTGGATTCAGTCCCAAGTTTCTGAAGTCCAGCATTCTGCTCATCGTACCATGCCCTCCAACCATTCCAGGCGTGATTGCTTCTATCAAGGAATCGGATGGCAAGCGTCGACATCTCCCCATCGGTGCGCAAGCCTGACTTGATATGGTGATGCCAAGACGCTGCTGCGTAGTTGCGGAATGTCATGTCGAGACAGGGCGGGTGATCTGGGGCCTCTTGCCAAACTCGCTGGATATTGATGTAGTGAAGACAGGCCTTGGCAAGCAAGGTGTTTTGGTATTCATCCTGCAAGCGCTCGTTCTCTCGGATCCAGCCAGGTGTGGGGAGATTACACAGCAGGTACTGCTTGACGGAAAAGTGTGTCAGGTGCACTGTTCGTAGGCCAGCGGAGGTGTCCGAGTGCTGGCTCCTGACCTCCAAGAGAGGCCCACAAAGACGGACTATTCCCTTGTCGATGTAGTCGTCATCCACAGCGTCGGGGAGAGCTTCGATGGGCAAATCTTCGGATTCGTCGATAAGGACAGCTTCGGTGACCTCGCAGACTGTCAGGGGCCGTAGTGCGAATGCCGCCCAGCGCAATAGGGCGTAGATACGTGGCCTCTCCCCCTCTCGGGCCTGGGTGATTCTCTGCCAGCTTCGGTCGTATAATTGGTCCAGGCCAGTCGGAGTTTCTTCAATGGTGTGCTGGAGCTGTTTCTTGTTCATCCCTTTCCTCAAAGATTTCTCCTGCATCTTCAGCCAGAGGAACTGGCCTTCGCATTGATCGGTCATTGCTTCGGAGAGGGCAGATCGGACATCGTCGCTCTTGTTGGGCAGTTGTCTGTCGACGATGTCTCTGGAATAGGCGGCCGTGTCGGATCGTACGTCATCGGGTGCAATCTCGTATTCGGCAAAGCTTTCGGGTGTGTCGTCTGTGAGGGCGGTTCGGATCTCTGGCTCGGCGCGACTGACCACGAGAACACGAGTGTTCGTCCCAACAACCGCCTTCTTAACAGTTTTGATGAATTTGGTGACCGACGTGCTTCTGTCGTCCAAGTAAGTGCATTCGTCTAGACCGTCGACAATGAACATACAGCCGGGAACAACGCGGAGGAGCTGTGTCAAGAGCATGACGGCGTTCGCACGGGTCGCGACGGGATCCGAATCAGCCTCCCATTTCTGGCGGACGTGCTCGAACGCGCCCTCGTGCTGCGACACGATCTGGGAAATCCATGATCGTACGGCCACGACAGGGTCTTCGCGGCTCTCGAGGTCGGATGAGAAGAAGAAATGGGCGACGGGTGTCTTAAGGGTGGACGAGAGGCGTTCGACGACGTGCGCGCACAGAATCGTCTTGCCGAACCCTGCGGGTCCGTTGATCCACAGCAGCTTTGCGCCTGCGGGGAATTCTTGGTCGAGCCAGTTCTGGAATGCGGGCCGGTGGAAGATCCAGTCGCAGGTGCCGACGAGCCTCTTCTGGACGGAGTCATGGTAGCGTTCGTTTGGGGACCCGCCGCCGAGCCAGGAGTGGATTGCGCGTCGCGTCTCGGCTTCGCTCCGTTAGCGTGACACTAGAATGTTGGAGATGACGCCTTACCTCTGTTCGCCTCTTCGATCCGGGCGAGGATCCGCTGCAGCTCAGCGGGCCAAGCATGGTCCGAGGAAGTTCCTGATCTCCATTAGACGATGAGCATCGAGGCAACGTTCAGATACGCACCTAACCCGGACGCGAGCTTGTCGGTGCGCCTGGTGTCCAGCTCGTGTACCGGCCGCGTACCCTGCACTGCATCGGCGGGCACCAAGTTGTGCAATTGTTGCACCAGCTTTTCGAACAGCTCGACCTGATCTGTGCGCTCTGTCTTGCCCCAGAGCGACCAAGCCAGCTTCCGTCACCTCGTGCCGTGAGGCCGGGGTCGGAGCGAGCCCAACGAGACGTCATCACTTGGCGTCATTGCCCGGCTGGTGCGGTGTAGAGACGTGTCACTCGCATCACAGAGAGTATTAATGATCTGTAAAATATCCTGTACCGTCGCAAATATATCGCGGTTTTCGAGAGCAGGGTGATGGTCTTCCGACCGCATCGTTTCTTCGAACCCGACGCGCCGACCCCATTCCTCGAGGCGGACCTCGGTAGCCTTGAACTTGGTGTCTAGTACGTGCGAGTCGGGCCCGAATGATCGGTAGGTCTGCACCTTGTCCACAGCCTCTAGGCAGGAGCTGAAGAGGCCGGCGAGCCCAACGACCCCGACGGTGAGACCAACAGCGTCCATGGCGGTGCGATCGATGGACGTGATGGATGCGATGGGTTTGATGGCTTTGAGCTGAGGTGGAAGGCGGCATCTCGATATAACCCCGCTCAGCACTGCCACTCATCGTGCGCGAGGCTGTTTGCTCTGCATGCAGAGCGTGGGACCACCCACCTTCTCCATTCGCACCTGAACAGCCTCCTATCCGGCCGTCCTTTCCTATTTAATCATGTCTCTCTATGACCTCGCCGCGACCACTTAAGCAATGCTCTGAACGTGTATCATAGAATAGTCGGTCCTATGCAGGAACCCGATACATTAAAAAGCGGTCTGATGGCCAGGTCAGACAAACGCAGGAACATTGTCGAACGGCTTGGCCGCCCCTTTTAAGTAGTGGCAGCTCAAGTGTCGCAATCGAAGCCTGCGACATATCGTGCCGCCACAGCCAAATGAGGCGCCGGAAGACTCTAGGTCTCATAAGCTCACGTAATAGGCCGGGGGCATTAATAACCTGGCCAAGAAGTGTCGTCGAATCGCATGGCTCTCTTCTCAACTTCCAAACAAGTTTATTTCTCTAGTCGCCCTAAATGTCTACAATACAATGCAATACAATGCAATTTATTACGCCCGGCGGCTTAAGCCGAAAGGACTACACCTTCTCAAAAAAAAAAAAAAAAAAAAAAAAAGGATTTGGCGCCGCCTGTTAGTCGGGTGTTAGGTTTGAGTTCTGCCGGCCCAGTCGTTGCAGCGAACATGCACATAAATCTTGCCCCACCCTACCTACGTTCTAACAGGCGGCGTCTCGACTTTTCTCGACACCTCTCTGCCCCTTTGACAAAGGGCAGTCATAACGCGTGTACCAACGGGCTGCTCCGACAAGATTGAGGAACACCCTGGGAAGGCGTTGGATGCTACGTGCGCTGCCGACCAAGCGCCGTGCCCGTGCCGCCGCCGTTGAGCCTGGCGGGCTGGCGGGTTCGTAAGGTCCTCAACCGACCCCACCCTTACGAATGGATATCCGACGGCGACGTAGTCTATGGCTGCGGCCTAACTAGACCCTCCCATCAAGAGTCTGCGAGAGAGCTCCGAAGTCGATGACGGGAAACCTCTAGACGAACTGCAACACCGCGGGATCAGGGACCCGGGCTTGAGAATAGGGATCTGGGAGTTTTTTGCGGGCTAGGGGATTCTGAGTCCTTCAAACGACGGAAGGATGAGGACTTGAATTGTTGTACGCCGCTTGCACCTGTTGGTTTTTTCTCCCGGCCGAGGCCAGGGTTTTCCAACGGGGAGGCTCGAACCTGTGAGGCATGTAGTGTTTAAAGGGATCTGGGGTGTTCTGGTGCAGCTTGGTATGGGATGGATGTGGATTACCGTTGATCTAGTCCCCCCGAAGTGCAAACTGACCCGGACGGTCCAGATGCTGGCATAGCTAGATGGACTCGCACGCCTTATGCCCCTCGGGAGGTGTGGTCCAAGGCGTTAAACATACGAACGAACGAACGAACGAAAGAAAGGGCACTAATTACTAATATATACATACATTGCCAATTTGTGTCCTTGTCTCCTTAAGCCATACTGGGTCTGCTTCTTGCTTGATCTTCCTTGCCTGCTCTGTCTCTCTCTCTGCGGATTCCCGTCGTTTGGTATTATTACTAGCGGACTAGCTTGAAGCCTATTCTTCAAGTGTTCAGTGTCCTATTGTGCACATCAAGATCATGGCTATAAACTTAGAATCGGCTCAAGTCGCAACACTCTGTGCACATGAAGATCATAGCTATAAATGAACCTGGACCCCTTCAACCCACCTCTTGACAAAGTTATTAAAATTAGACAGTGTGCTGTTATGACTGCCATAACTGCCGGGTCCAAGCCCAGATAGTCTGACATAAGGTGGGGAAGGTATGCAGCAAGCGCTACTTCGTCATCCACGGTAGGAATGGGTTTGGGAAGGCGAGATTAAGGCCGTTATTGCTTGTAACGGGCTATGTAAGTACCGTTTTCCGAAATGGGGGGATAGTATGGTCTTGTAGGTATCGAGGTTTTTGTTGGAGCAGCTTGACGATGGCCTCGTGCTGATAAGCGGCGGCCCACGATAGTGGCGTCCGACCATCTTCGTCGTTAGCCTCGACGTCGGCGCCCTTGTCGAGGAGCAGCTTGACGATGGCCTTGCGCCCCCTCTTGGCGGCCCACGACAGCGGCGTCCGACCACGTTCGTCCTTTGCCTCGACGTCGGCGCCCTTCTCGAGCAGTAGTTTGACGATGGCCTTGTACCCGCTACCGGCGGCCCGCCATAGCGGTGTCGTCCCATCTTCGTCCTTCCCCTCGACGTCGGCGCCCTTCTCGAGCAGCAGCTTGACTATGGCCTCGTGCTGATAAGCGGCGGCCCACGATAGCGGCGTCCGACCATACCTGCTGTCCTTGGACTCGACGTCGGTGCCCTTCTCGAGCAGCAGCTTGACGATGGCCTCGTGCCCATAATCGGCGGCGCGCGATAGCGGCGTCCGACCATATCTGCTGTCCTTGGACTCGACGTCAGCGCCCTTCTCGAGCAGCAGCTTGACGATGGCCGTGTAGCTGGTACCGGCGGCGCGCGATAGCGGCGTCGTCCCATCTTCGTCCTTCCCCTCGACGTCGGCGCCCTTCTCGAGCAGCAGCTTGACGATGGCCTCGTGCCCAAAAACGACGGCCTTCCATAGCGGTGTCGTCCTATCTTCGGCCTTCCCCTCGACGTCAGCGCCCTTCTCGAGCAGCAGCTTGACGATGGTCTCATGCCCCTTCTCGGCGGCCCACGATAGCGGCGTCTGACCATACCTGCTATTTTTCGCCTCGACGTCGGCGCCCTTCTCGAGCAGCAGCTTGAAGATGGCCTCGTGCCCATAAGTGGCGGCCCGCCATAGCGGCGTCATCCCATCTTCGTCCTTGGCCTCAACGTCAGCGCCCTTCTCGAGCAGCAGCTTGACGATGGCCTCGTGCCCATTCTCGGCGGCCCACGATAGTGGCGTCCGACCATGCCCGCTGTCTTTCGCCTCGATCTCCGCGCCCTTTTCGAGAAGTAGCTTGACGACGACACGATGGCCATAGTACGACGCTACCATGAGATCCGTAAAATACTCGGGAGTCCTCATATGTGTAGTCTCCCAACAGATTCTAAACCACACCGAGTAGCTCTTCGAATCCGAATCACAAATTCTCAGAACGAAAGGTATAATAGCAGCGTCATCGATGATATCAGCCTCACGGAAGTGAGCGCCCCAAGTTTGGGCCGAGTAATCTAAGAAGGCGTGTCTATCGAAAGAGTGGCCGGCTTCCCCATTCGCATCTGTCGGTAGACTAACGTTGGAGTTGAGGAAGTTCAGATAGAGCACGCAGAGTTCCGCAAGAACGGCGTGTGCGTCTTGGGTAGTGATATAGTGATGCCAGTGCAGCTCTGACGAAACAGTTGTGGGCGATGCCAAATCTGCGAGGAGAAACTCGCGAGCTGTTTGGTGAAGGAAATAAATACTGCCTTGATGGATTGAGACGAACAATCCACACCAAGATCTGAGACGCGTCTTGAAGTCCTCGTCATCCTCCAAGTCGAGGTCGTGGATAGACTGTGATGTGTAGTCTATATTCACGGCAATGTTCATTTCCGAGAGGGTTAATGGCCGACTCTCGGCCAACACGATACTCAAGGCTTTCCGAACCATCGGATCTTGCTTAGACTTATTAAGAATTTGCTCATATGCCTCATTGACACTCCTTGGAAGTATTGCAATGATGGACTCGACCCCCTTTGGTGTCTTTTTAAAGTTTTCCTTCTCCAAGTAGTCGAACACAAGGTATACCCAGAGATAAGTGCGGTGGGTAGTCTCCTGTAGTCTTTTCTCCAGGTGGCTCTTGATTTGACGTGAGAGGCGCTTTTTCATCGACAGCTGATTGATCCGGTGCGTAATGACATGATTCACCTCCTGGCTGATCGTTTCTGACTCTTCCTCTCCAGGTATACGGATATTTGGAAAAGCGTCCAATAGGCCGCGGAACTTGGACACGACCTGTTCATACGGGCGGCAGGTTAGAAGATACTTCAACTTGCCATGGCGCAAATGGTCACTGCGGAATTGGCTCTCCACATTCCGCATCAGGTCCGCAAACTCTGATTCAGCACATTCATCCAGGGCATCAAGGACCATGATTACAGGTCCTGCCTGAGGATCTTTTATAGCGTTTCGCAGAACCTTCCAGAGCGATTCTGTAGAGTTGATCATGCCTTGCCCATCCTTGCGGAATTGTGTCATGGCGTGTTCGATCAGAGACGGCTTCTGAGAGAAGAGCTGGTGTAGCAGTGCGCAAAGTGCTTGCCGGACGGTGTTCTGGTCTTGGTCTTTAAAGAAGAAGTAGCAGATGGTTGTCGATCGTAGCAGGCCGTGGTCGATCAGGTACTTGGCCAGCACCGACTTTCCACAGCCAGGATCCGCCGAGACTAGTAGGGGGCCAGACTCCTGGTCCAACCACATCTGGAAGTGCTCATGCTTGAGGAACCACATGCATGTGTCTTCAACCCTTTCTTCCACTCGGTCTTTATACCACTCGTATGTGGCGTCCCTGCTGCCGGTTGTGAGGCGGAACAGCTGGTGACACTTTTGTTCGTCTTTAGACAGCCTTTTCTTTGCTAGATCTTTCTGGGCTTGGAGATGCTCTTTTGCAATTTGACGGTGCTCTTTTGCAACGTCCCGGTGCTCCTCTGCGACTTTATGGAGATCTGCAAATCGGATTAACAAGTATTAATAGAAATGATTCTAAGACCTTGGCATACCAGATAGAATATCGCCGAACTTCTTTTCAGCTTCAACCCTATTTGGAGCTATTCGGCAGAGAAGATCCTTCGCATATGCAGCAGCCACCATCGCTGCATAGCCCTGCCACTCCTTGTTCTTGTGGGAATCCGAGTAGTCGCAAATACCGCGGATAACTAGGCAAGGAAAGTGGTTCATCAGCCCCGCCGCTTCCATTTCAAAGCATAGAATGTCTTCTTCTGCGGCAAGCTTATCCCTGACCGAAGCATCCTTCATCAGCTGGTTTCCCGAGGCAATAACGCCGTAATGGATTGCCGGATTATCCTCGACTTGAGTCCGTTCGGATCGCAGTATCAGCTTGGATAACTCAGTACCACAGGCTGCCGCGCAGCTTGAGTCGTCATCTACAGGATGCACGAATCCAGACTGATACAGCCTGTCACTACTTGGGTCTGGCCGGCTGTACTTCTTCTGCAGTCTTTGGTTCTTTTGGGCAATGTCGTTTATCTTCTCTTCGAGACCATGGCCTTTCCTCTCGTACTGTGCCTTGAGTCCATTCACTGCCGCCCGTAGGACTGCAGGTGGTTGGTTCAAGACGCCTGTTCGTTGGAAGCTCCGATTTTGAATAGTTTTGCCAAAGTCGTACTGGAGCACGCCACTCTTCCCATCTCGAGGAGCGCTGACCACGATGTCGCCCAGACGGATATCATGCTTTCGACTTGGCGCACCACCGCCAATGCCGACCATCAGACCAATTCTGACATTAGGAAAGCTGTGCATCATATCGCTCGCGACACTGGCAGCGCGGGATGTGCCATACTCCCCATCGGGCAAGACAGCGATGACGGCATTGTGTTTCCCTATTTTGCCCAGTGTATAATCATTGTTGTCATTGGGCGACACATGTTCTGGTCCTTCGTGTTCCTCGTCGAGAAAAGCTTGTGCGGCAACGTATTCCGTACTGACGGCGCATATCCAACCGACTGTGTAGTCGTTCGGTTGAGACATGTCCGCTCGCAGGATGATCCAGATGCAAGGTGAGCTGCGAAGGACGATTAGTGTTTGTCGCCGAGGTTTCTCAGAAAGATTACTTGCCTCCACCTGGACCAGTTGGATCCGCCTGCAGACCGCTGCGATTCCCAAGCACAACAACCAACCTGACAGCGCAACTTGTCCCCACCAATCGCGGGGGTTCAGTGGGATTTTAGGATCTGCGCCAAAGTTCAATTGACAGAGTGTACAGTACCCGAAAAAGTACAACGATTACGAAAGAAGCCACGACACCGCGACCATCGCTCAGACAAAAGCGGTTGGGCAGCATTGGGCAAAAGCAAGTTGGTAAGAAATCCCGTGTGGTAAGAAATCCGTGATCGGTTATCTGCTGACCTCTCGCCCCATAATATCGTTCTCATGCTGGTACGGCAGGGCGGCATCACACGGTCTTCACCAATCATGCGTTATTGTTGTGTCCAGCCCGCCGTCCACAGCAACGCCTTGCCTCTTCAAGTAAGGAACCTTCTTATGGGCAAATTCTCCAAGGCAGCAGAGTTGAGTACTCGAGTTCGTGCTTCCCCGTCGCCGACGTGTTCGGGCTAACAAAACTGTCAATAGAGTTCTCTGTTCTCCGTCCCAGCCAGTCGAGTACGAGAGCAGCATGGCGCCGACGCGTCGCGACACGGTCACGGCCAGCCCCTACCATTCTCGCCTGCATCGTCCTTCGTCCCGCACAGAGCTTCGTGACTTGGCCGCCGCAGGTCGTCGAGTCACGACCTGCATTGAGGAGGAGCTCGACCTGGAGGGGCTAGCCAGCAATCACAGCTGACTCTTGGTGGCGGCCTAATCCATACCGCTGCGTCTGCTCCACTACCAGCTTGTGCCCGGTCGGGAGATCTTCGTCACGGAGCGTATGGGCCTGGATCTCGTCTGGCCAACGGGCAGATTTTCCTCAAGCCCTTCTTACGCTTTCTACCCTAGCCTCGTTTTGGACCCGATATTGCTCGCGGTGGCGAGGGGCAGCACGGCTGGCGGCAGTGGATGCACGGATACAAGTGCTGGGGAGGAGTTCGGAGGTGTTTGCGTGGCAATCGATATTGGATAAGATAGCGGTGACACCAGAAGGTCAGACAAGCGTAGGAACAAGGGCTGTGACAGAAAGACCAAGAAATTGTGGTGACGGCACAGCTGACCGGCTGTTCTGAGGATGAGAGCTGCGACCGGGCTGATGTAATGCAACGAGCCGTTAGTTGAGCAGCGTCGCTATTTGGCGATAACACAGCTGTGACTCGTCATCACAGTTCCCATCATTATCGTCACCAGTCGGAGTCGCGGAGTCAAGTAGGCGTTGAGGCGTCATTGCTCAACAACTGAAGTTTGGTTTCAAAGTGGTGATTTTCAGAGGTAACAATCCTGGTGATCGTCGGCTGTAGCCCTTGTGGCTGATGCTGTGGCTGCTGTTGTGACTGCTGTTGTGACTGCAGCTCCCAAGTCAGAGCACACCACCAAGACCAGCATGGATACCTGGCTCACCCAGACACAGCGGGGCAGGCGAGCCCATGCCGGCGAAGCTCACCCGGCTCCGCCGGGTCGCGATTGGCCGGGGTGCTGGAGCACAATGCGCGTCTTCGTCATTGCTACTCAGAAAATTGTCTCCCAATTTCCCAATTCACGCTCCGACTTCACACAGAGCTACGTTCCGCTTTTCATCGCACAAATGTTGGCATCCGACGACCCCGATGACTCCGATGACTCAGTGGTCTATCTAGGCAGCAAACGTCGTGGGTCTCCTGCACCTGCTCGTCTTACGACTGCGACCGCTGCCCAAATCGATGCTCCTCCCGAAACGAATACAAATCTAGACAACAGCGGCAGCCGCCACCACCAGCAACCGAGAACGAGAGCGAGACCTGGTGGCAAAATGATCTATCCACGCGCAATTTGGCATGGGCCTACTGCTGCGACCGCCGATCGAACGAAGGATCCCAATCGCCGAGCAAATACAACCTCACGACGACATGTGTCGGACAGAAACGGCCACGGCCACGGCCACCGAGGACCGAGAACGAAACCGGGGCCAAGATTATCCTCCGAAGCGACTGTTCCCTTCGAGATCAGAAACAAATATTTTAAGTTAGGTTAGGTAAAGAATTGGAACAAGTCCAACCCCCCGCCAGGCGTTTATGGGATCTTTGATAGAGCGGGCCGCCTCCACCTCTTTAGGGGGCATGAAGGACCCGAGTCTTCAATGGAGCGTCCTACATCTGTGCCCATTGATCACGGCAATGTTGAGTACGACTCGCCCTTCAAGGACATGTTGCATGCAGAAGTTCGAAAAAAGGCGATACAACGTTTGATCAGGCGGTATGGACCACATTTGGGACCCGGCGAAATATGAGAAGGTTGTTATGTTGAGACGGAATGAGCCTGAGATGCCGATACGTTAGAATAATGGATAGTACTGGATTCTCATGGCGAATCGCACTACTCTCTTACCCCGGCAAGGTCAAGAGAAATTGATGGCAAAACGGATCGCCTAAGCCGATATTATACAGGAGGTGATCAGCCAACAACAACCAGATGCACCCCCAGCACCCTTGGCCATCAACGTTTTCGGGTGTCTCATGTATGACATTGGACACTCCTCCAGGATAGACATGGCCATAATCGTGACCCTCAATATGCAAGGGTTCTTCAATGCAACCGTTCGGGAATGCATTATGATGTGTATATTACAGCAAAGCTGACCAGTCAATCTGGCCGAGTTCGTGAGCTCCTACAGGGAGTGAGGCACCCTCAAATCTAGCATTTGGTGGGGCAACGGTACACGGTGCGCTTGACAAGGATCTACTCAATGGCAATCCGAACACACATTCTTACGTTGCCGATGGACCTTTCTAGAGGTGCGAGCGGCGATTCAATTCGCCATGGACACAAGGAGACGTGATGCTACCCAGACTTGACAACGAACTAATTCTCCACACGTAGCGACCAACCCTGGTGATAATAACACCAAACAGCCTCAAGTTGGCAGGCCATGCTTCAAGAGGCCAATAAGTGTGAGAGTAATGTGGGGCTTTTATTTTATTTTAGTGGGGAGATCAGAAGTACATTGTTCGAACTGTAAATAGCTTACCGTCGTGGTTCTATGAGGTTTTGCCTCCCGGACGGAATAGATTTCGTTCATTCATTGGCTCCTACCCCAACGATCATAACCTCGTCGCGACCCGCAAACCTCCATCATGACCCCGAGCATGGCCGAGCCATCGCGAATTGCACCGGAACCTTGATTGCGCGCCTTGAGCACAACGCGACGCGACCCTCCAGACCACGCGATACGGCCGAGAGTTCGAACTGCCCCGCCTCCAAACAGAGCCCAACGCGAAAGCCTCGGAGTCCATGCGGTCCCCAACGCGCCGCTCATGACGACTCCGGTGACGACTCGCCAGCCGCTACGGATTATTAACACGAGCAACCAGGCGGAGCAACGGACGAGCAAGCGCGCCGCCGATGGGTTGCACGATGAGCACACGATGCAGGGAATGTTAGGCGCCGGCGGCCAAACAACAGCCATCGCCGATTACGAACGGGATGATGATTTCCAGTTTGTGAGGAAGTCGAAGAGGGTGAAGACGCGAAAGCGCGAGGAGCCGGCACCAGAACCTCCAAAGAAGTCGGGGTCGGGAAGGGCCGCAAAGGAACGCGTTGCCCAGGATCTAGCACCTGTAGACCAGGGCACGAAGGAGACAACGGCGACGGTAGCGACTACGGAACCTGTGATAACCAAGGCCACGAGGAAATCTTCAAGGCAGAAACCGAGCGTCAACGTGTCGAACGAGAAACCGCCACTCAAGGTCCCCAAGAGAGGAACACGAAGGAGCGCACGAATATCGGGGGAAGAGACAACGCCGCAGACAAATGGCACGTCAATAAAGCGCGGGCGCAATGCAGGAGAAGCGCCGAAACGCCCCGTGCCAAATTGGGATGAATCACCGCCGCCGCGTGTAGTGCTCTCCAAGATTGCGCTCCCGATGAGCGACACGCCGGTGATCAATCGGAACAAGGAGATGCGCATGAGGAATGGTGGGAGTCGACGAAGCAGTTTGGGAATGAGGGGGAGACGGGCGAGTTCTCTCATCGACGGCGGACAATCGGCAATTCCACATCGCAAGGTCAATCCGGCTGATTTCTTCAAGCACATCGAAGCTTCGTTGTTGGAGCCGCGAAGAATGAAGCAGCTTCTGACCTGGTGTAGCGAGCGCTCTCTGTCAGAAATGCCCCCTCATGGGGCGCCTAATGCTCATGCGATTCTCGGCGCTCGTGCAATTCAAGATCAGTTGCTCAAAGATTTTGCAGCTCGATCAGACTTCTCGGATTGGTTTAGCAGAGATGACAGTGTACCCAAGGGCCTGTGATCCCGAAACCAAATCCGAGAAATATTGAGCTCGACGAGAAGCTAGCACAGTTGGAGATCAACATCAAGAGGTTACGAGATGAAAAGAAGGCTTGGCAAGCAATACGTAAACCACCACCTAGACCACCACTTGAACAACCGCCTCTATTTGATGAGAGCGAAACAGGTCGGATTGTATTGCCGGACTTCGATCTGCTAGATCCAGAAGAAGGGCAGATCAGAGGTTATTTGGCGGACGAGACGACCTCCTTTGAGGCTACTCGATCACAAACAGAATCACGGCTACACAAAATCCAGTCTTCGCTCGAATTCCAGGTCGATCAGCTCGCCAACAACATCCATACGCTCGAACAACGGGTTCTCGTCGCGGGAAAGGAGGCGGGCAAGGTCCTCAGCATCAACGCCCTCCAGCTCCGCCAGCGGGAGGAGTGTGAAAAGGCGAAGGCGGGAACTAAGGAAATGCCCGTCATAGAGGTGCTCAGGAGTCTGGGCAGCATTCTTCCGGAAGGCAGAGGGCGAAGAGAGAATCAAGAACTCAAAGCCAATGAAGCAACGAAAAGTGAATCGAATGGTTATGCACTACGAAATTGACAAGACGAGTTCCTTTTTTTTTCTCTCATTTCACCTTCCCTTCTTGATACCTCCTTCCCTAAGCTTGGGAACCTGGCTAGGCAGTTCATCAGCGGTTTTCTCGATGTTGTCGGATTGCGCACAGATGATGCGTGCACTTGATAGAAACGCCTAAATCTGTCAAGACATTCGTGAGCATCGAGCTAATAGTTCTCGTGGCGAAGTTGTCGCATATCACCACCATCGTGCGACCGGATGTGAAACGCGACCCATACCTTGGGGTCGTGTATCCGGTTTCACATCCAGCTTGTCGCGTCAAGGACTCCAATCCTAACGACATGAGCTTAAATAGCTGTACCCGAACACATGGCTGTTCAATTTCCTTTGTTCTTCAGATAATTCTCATCAATTGACTGGTGCCATCAATGATCCCTGTGGAGCCAATTGTCTGACAGAAGTGTCGGCAGATTGTGCGACAACCAGAGCGGGAGAGGCGGAACGTTGTCAATAGTGGACTCCTGTAACACCGCTTGGCGTGCGTCCATAGCTTGAGGGTTCGCTATCCACGCCAACGTAGAGAGTAGTTGCCAGTTCATTATCAGCAAGAGGTGCAGTATTTCCGAGGCCGCCAGCTGCGTAAACCTGATCCCTGCGCGTCACACGTGCCACGCGTCCGAGGACAACCAAGCTGTGTACCTCGGTATTTATCATAAATTGAAAATTTTAGAGAGCATTTTGTGAGAGCACTCGGTAGGCATAACGGTGGAAGCAGGTCTAGTGTCACACTGAGCGTGCTTAAGCGGTAAAAATGAGATGATGAGCAGCAGTGTGTTCATTGATTGTTGTGTAAGGCGAGGGGTACTCTGGCCTGCAGATCTTAAAGCGTACAGCTAGATTACTACTATAGTTGTCTCCTGAGGCCGTAAAGATCATGCCAACCTTGCGACATCTAGCCTGGCGGAGGGCGTTTCTGTCTGAGCAGCCGCGAGTGGAGATATCCAACTGGAATTTGACGCTATCGGAGGGCCAAATGCAACGCGACCAAAACGCGAGCCGTACGGTGTGTGCTTGGGTATAACTCAGCACCAGCTCGTCCGTATAACATAGCGAGTCACGTACTGTACGATCCCGGTTCTCTGGCAGTGACTTCGCCTTCTCGGCAGCCCTGCTATCAGCTACCCTGCTATCAGCTACCCTGCTATCGGCTAACCGTAATGTACTGTATCTTCCGCCGGGGCTGAAGCACCTTTCTGTACCAGCCACGCACGTTACCGTTGCTTAACGCTTTATCTGCTAGCACTACTTTATGAATCCAACGTACATTATTCTTGCCAGCGGGCATTAGCTTTCATATGAATTGTCTTACATGCTAGGTGGGCAGACCTTGAATTGAAACCATGGAGCGGACGGGTACACTTGTACCAGGTGCTTTCCATACTTTCGCTACCATGATCATCAGTTCCTCTCCCAAAAGGGTGCTTGCAGCAGAAAATTCCGTGTCCAGGATGACCTACTTGCGTGCCCAACTCCCCTCTGACTATGCCGGTAGCTTTGGAGCCTCTTTTCAACTGAGTTGATACCTGAAAGTCGCTCAATCCCAGCAATGGGTGTTAGGGTCGAGCCGGGATCGATCATGGTACTGCATAAGTACCTGCCACAATGTATTAACCCAAGCCGAGCTATGATATAAAAACGGAAGTAGGCAAGTGGGGGAAACAATAAATGGCACATGGCAGGGAGATAACATAATACTAGCACAGTCTTGGTGGAGTATGCAGGGCTAGGTAATTGCTTTTCTTCCCACCGCGCGGTGGGAAATGTTGTGGACCTTGGCGGGAGCAGGGGGTAGGATCGCCGGGGAGGACAGATGCGGCAGCAAGCGGGTCGTAAACAAATGGCACACTTTATGGTCGACCGTCGGCATAAAGTGTGCATTTTTTTTCTCCATCCGCTTGTGCGGTAGCGGCCAGCCGTTGAGTATGTTAGAGCTGAGCCCCTATTGTGGGACCACTCCCACCAATCATATCTAGGCACCTCGCAACAATTCTCAGACCGTTATGCAGCCATTCTGGGAGACCCATAGCACGGTGGCAGGACGCGAGCACAAGGGGCCGCGTTTGCAGCAACTGGCGCGTGCTGACCGCGTCACTCGAGAATGTGGGTCTCCACTGCATCCGTTGTGTCCGACAAACAAGTGACCCGCGACATCGGAAGACTACTTCAGCGACGCCGTGAAATAGACATTGCATAATGTCCCGTTCTTATTCACTGACGGTAGTTGTGACAGGGTGATTTGGGTATTGGAGTACAGATTACCTGGGAAGAAGTTCCGACCCACTCGTGGTACAAATTGTGACGCAGTAACAGAACAATCGCCTCTACCGGTAAGAAATGGCGAACCTCTGCCCCGAGCGTCCAACTGGTTCCTCCATGACGGCCTTTCTGGATTGGCACCTGTGTCCGAGAGTTCTTGCGAGGAGGCTTTTCTCACGTCTTATCTATGTTATAAGTCGCCGGTCCGGCTGTAGAGAGTTCATCTCAAATTGTAAGGTTTGGCACCAGGGGAAAATAATAGTACTCGATACCAGGCGACCAGGAACAGAACCAGTCCAACTTGTGCCCTTCGAACCCGCACCCTCACTGCACAACTCTGAATGTTGTGAATGTTGAGGCACAGTACAAGGAACGGGCACACACACACCAGTCTATTCCGCCCGAGAACAAGGGGAGGTGTGCCCACTAGTGCGAACCGAATACGGCCACTCAAATCTGCCTAATTGAGGGAAAGCTCTTATGTGATCAACAGACTCGACTGATCTCAAAGACGAGAGACTCGATGACCTGAGCACTGCCAAGAACAACCCTTTCGTTCCCGAGACGCCTGCCGCTCAGCAGCCTCAGAATGCTTGAGTCTGATCCAAAGACTGCTTCTACGAGTCAGGAGATACTAACACCCAAGCAACAGTCATAAAGCATCTCCTAAATGCAGCCCTCGCCGAAAATCCAAACGATGTGCTTATCTGGGACCAAGTTTACAACACCGTGGCCAAGTCGCTGTGTGACCAGTTGAGAGGGATGTTCGCAGGCCTTGCATGACTTATTCAAATAAATCTAGGCCGCTAGAGTGTTCTGTCGAAGTGTCGATGGTATCGCCGGGGAAACTGCCAGGAACTGGACGTTTCACTGGGGTCCTGGGACCGAGTGCCTGGCCACGCTTTTCGGTCACCGGACCAATTGGCCGTATTCGCGGTGTCCGAGGAAACCGAGTCTTCTCAACGCGGAGTTCGCCCGCGGCTGCAAACCGATTCGTGTTCCTTCGGAAATCTCTCCGTTGCGCTGGTCTCGTCGACGCGCGGGCAGCTGCAGCTGGAGCTTTGCTGTCGGCTTTTGCGGGGCTGATGAGAGGTGGAATCTGGTTTTGTGGTGTGGTGAGTCCTTGCCCATTGTAGCACTTGACAAGCATTTGTGCTGCAGAAGCGCGCTCTTCTGGTTTGACCCTTGCCATTTCCCGAATGACGTCCACCTTCGGGGTTGCTGCTGCTGACAAAATCACCTCTTGGGCTTCACCATGGTTGGTCAGCCCTTTCGATACCTCACGGAACCCTTCCACATCTAGCGTCCACAACATCGTGACGTAGAGTGACCAGACATCTACTTTGTGTGTCTGCTTCCCTCCTCGAAACATCTCCGGAGCCATGTAAAGTGGGCTGCCCGCAAAAGTCGCCGCAAAAACAGCCCGGTGACTAAAGCCAAAGTCCCCGAGCTGGAAGTGATATTGGCCTTGATGAGATACGTAGAGAATATTCTCCGGTTTCACATCTCGATGTATAATGCCCCCTATTGCAAGACAATCGATCGCTTGGAGCATATGATGTAAGACGGTGTGGGCAAGGTCGGTAATGGGGACGGAGCACTTGTTGCCGATTAACGACTGTAGGGTTCCTTCTTTTAGACCCATGAAGATTTCCACCTCGGGCCGGTCCCAACCCTGCGACGAGATGTAGTCAACAATATGGTCCTAGCATTGAGATCAATACCCACTATGTATCAGAGCTGTGGAGCGGCCTCACTTACATGGCTGATTCTGGAAAGGATTTCTACCTCGCGCTTCAATTTCATCCACTCTTGTTGTGCTGGCCCGGCGGGCCGCTCCATTATCTTGACAGCCATGAGCTTGCCTGTGTCCAGGTTGACGGCTTTATATACTATTCCAAACTGTCCAGATCCGAGGCTATCTCCTATCGTCGCGTATCTCGTCTTCGGCATTTGGAGTCCCGGCGTGTGGATTCGGGTCTCCCTTCGAGACGGCAGAACTGTGTCTATTTCATCAATGGTACGCGCGAGGCGGGGATTCTCTGCGAGGGGTCCACTCTCTCGGTCCTTCACCCTCTCCATTGTGTCATCAGGACGGCAATGCCATTTCAGTTCGAACTGCACCAGATTCCGCCCGACACCGCCCATGCTAATGATAGTGTTGACCTTCTCCTGCACGACGACTTTACGAAGGCGTCCATACTCGAATGGTGTAGCGTTGTCGCCAAAGACCTGACTCGTCTGAGCGTGCGATCTGTCGTAGAACATGATGACTTTAGTGTCTATCTCGATCTCGAACGAGCATTGGATCTTCGCGATGCTGGAGCCTTCCACTATCACATCGCCGTTCCGTCCCAGTGTAGCCAAAGTAACGTTACCTCCTGACATTGGGCGGATATGGCCAACGTCGAGAGCAAGGGTACCGTCCTTCAGCCACGACACGAGGTGCTGGTTGCTCTGGTGGGCGAGCACTGCGTTAGCTCGCTCGTTTAAAGGGACCAAGGAGAATAATGCTAGGGGATGAGGCTCAGGACGAGGCATTGTTGGGCGATGAAATCTGGCGAATTGCTAGAGCAAGGGAAAGATAAATAGAGGTCAGACGGAGCACGGAGGTCGAGCAAGGAAGATGTGCGTTGGGATAAGTGAGTGTGGCCGTTCGACCGTTCGCAGACCGAGCTGTCGCTTTTATTGACTACGCACAGCAACTGGGACGACAGCGATGCCCAGCCTAATGCACCTCCTGTTGGCCGAGCTGCATCTCTTCTAGCAACGTATCCCCGCGCGCTACCAAGAGTATGTGATTGGTTACTGGATGGTTGCCGGTCGCAAGAACGAGGAACGCGTAGCCAATGGATTCTGGTGGGTGGCATGCTCATGGCCAATCACTGAGGCCTGCTGGCGCCAACCGCCAGCCCGCGCATGACACAGCATAGCCTCGGTCACAGCTCAGGGCGCCAAAAAGATATTTCTGTCCTGTTATTTTCCTCACATCCTCCTCCCAAATGCTTTTCGCTTCGCCCATCTGTTCGCCGCCACCCTGCTTCCACGATTGAAGACGAAAACTCCTCCATGGCTGATATTATTCGAGGAGATGAGCTGTTGAGAGCTGACAGGGCCCTAGCAGCATTTGTCGAAAATCCGCAGCGACTTGATCATGCGAGAGGGCGGTTCAGCGAATCTCCGCCATCGTACAGATCTCACTTGTCACACAACTCAACCCGATCTCAGAGTCCTAACCCGCCTAGCGAGGAACAGAAACGCCGCGGGGAACGAAAATGGCAGCTGATACGAGAGCATCGGGCATCGTTTCCTTCCAACCAATTCGACGCCGAAAAGAGTGAAGAGATAGATCGGCTCTACGAAGCGAATCGAAATCGATCACGCCGTCAGCCGGCCGGTACGAACATCTACAAGCTCGCGGAGGAGAACGTCAAGACGCGCTGGGTGGAGCAGGGCATCTGGAACGAGAGGTGGAAACAATTGACGCTGTGGAGGTGGAAGCACGAAGAACCGTTCGAGCCTGAGTCCGAATCGGTCTCCGATTCGGCGGCCGAAGGCGAAGCTCCTCTTTTCTGCCTCCCCTCCAAGAGAGCAGAGGCGAAACCGAGACGACCGAAGAGTGCCGAGGAGCTGCGATGGATTGCGGGGCGACGGCCTGTACGAGAGCGCGAGCGTGAAGCGTCACGCCCATTTCATCGGTTCGTCTATCAGGTGTCGAAAGAACGCGAACGGATTCAAGACGAAATGAACCCTCCTGCCCCCCCTGCTCCGGACTTCTCTGATCTCAACTTGGCGTGCTACGGCCCAATCCATCATCAGGCTGCCCTTCATGCCTGGGCAGGCGGCAGACGGACCCAGAACGAGCCAACCGTTGAAAGAGCCACTACACAGACCCCTCTTGACATTAATTCGACGGCCTATGAGAGAGTGAAGAACACCTGGATGGAGAGGGGAATTTGGAATAAGAAATGGGGTGTACTGCCTGGGATGTCCTGGAAGCATGAACAGCCTCTCGAGGAGATGCTTCGCGAAGAGTTGGGCGATGATGCTGCCTCTGTTCAAGCGAGCGCGCTCGGGGACGATAGGTATGGAACCGGAGAAGTGCCTCCCCGGTCGATATTCGGGGCTCCCCTCTCTGCCGAGTCAAATGGCCAAGCGTCCGGTATCCGGAACGCGTCTCAGCAAGAACCACCTGCGGACACTCTTTCGGGTGCGCTCCAGAGCGACGGCTATGGAACCGGGGAAACACCTCCGAGAAGGAATCTCTTCATGTCTTCGTCGCCTGCCGAATCAAGTCACGGCCCAGTGTCTGGTAGCCTAAACGCGTCTCCGCAAGAACCACCTCTGGCCGTTGATCCCGCAGAATTACTGAATGGCGATGTCAGTCACTCTTCCACTGCTTCAAATTCACGACGCCGCCATGCAACGAGTCGGGAGGCTCCTCGATCTGGCCCGCAGCAGAGACGGCGATTCGAGGGTGGACAGGCTCCACTTGGTCCAGTTCATTGGACGAAGGTGTCCAAGGCTCGTGGAAAGAACGGACCTGGGCCCCGGCGTCTACCGAATGCCTCTGAATTACCATCTGAGGCTCAACAATCTTTACCCGGACTAGACGTCCCTGCTCCCCCCCCAAAGGTTGCTCCTGTACCACCACGAAGGAGCAAACGCTTGCAGGTGGCCGAGCGCAAAACGGCTGCAGACCCCTCCGGCATCGCGGCTACCGATCCACACGTCGGTGGCTCTCAATTAAGACCCAGGCGGATTAGTGCTCGTCCAAAGCCTGCACGTTTAGCAAAACCTCAGAGAGTATCCAAAAGGCGTCCAAGTACAACTCGGCGTCGGGCGAGATAGGACGGCTAGGGTGGCTCTTTTGAATGGCCGGCTGACCTGGCGAATTCCCTGGAAACCTGTTGGGGCCGGAGTAACGATTAGATTTGGGTGGAGTGAAGCAATGATGCCTGCTTGAAACCCAATGGATTACTGCAATGTGGATGATAGTGGCACGACGAACCCTTGAACGATTTTGCGGTACTGCAAGAGTAACAATCGAGTCCCCCGCCATGAAACCTCGGTTCAAGGTCTTCTGCGACGACATGCAACCTGCGAACATGCTCATTAACCCAAATACTCTCCGCATCACTGCTGTGCTCGACTTCGAGTTTACAAATAGCATGCCGGCGCAGTTCATGTATGACCCGCCCTGGTGGCTGTTGTTACGGGGGCCGGACATGTGGCTTGCACGTTACGGCATGGATGACTTTCTCACACGGTATGTGCCTAGGATGGAACAGTTCCTGCGAGCGCTGGAGCGAGTGGGAGCAAAGTCGGCGTCTGCCGGAGGCGGAAGGCCAGCAGAGGAGCTGCGTCTTTCTGCCCGGATCCGGGATTCGTGGAAGACTGGACGTTTCTGGTTCAATTACGCGGCAAGGACGTGCTTGGATATCGACGACATCTACTGGAACGCTTTGCATGATCAGGCAGATGGTGATGATGTCGACTTGCTTGATACGGCGACGCGGGCAGAGATAAAGCTGTTGGTACGTATGAAGATGAAGCAACGGAAGGCATACGTAGACGAATGTGCTATTCGGTTTCCCAAGGAAGAATCCGAATAAGCAAAGAAATCCCAGCTGATCAACATATATATGTACTTCTCGAAGCACGAGGGGTCCGGAATGAACATGGGAAGAGGAAGACATGTCTCTTAAGTGTGACCACGTAACATGATAGAAATGAATGAAGATAGTAATGATTCCAGCACTATTATTCGTCCATACTGTGTGTAGATAGGACTCTGAACAATTGGAGAATAGCCTTCAAGCTAGCTTGCCAATAATACAAATCCCACGAGACCCTGCGGAGAGATGGAAAACGAAGAGGCAAAAGCAGAATGCGGACGCTGTATGGGCTTTTACGAGATCATGACAAAGCTTTGGAAGCGGATATGTACAATAGCAACTAGTGCCCTATTGGTTGAAGCCACCGGGCGAAATAAATTGGGTGTGTGTGTGTCCGACGTTGCCTACGTCTCAGTTAGTTATGTCGAACAACTTCCAGAACTGTTTCGGCATACCCCAGTCAGGAAACGTGGCCCAAAACTTCTTCCGCAAGGCCAATTGGACAACCCAGTGCCCGTCGTACCGCCCTGTGCGACGTAGTCATCATGGCGACCCCATGCTCTGGATTCTGCGAGTACTGGCACCCGAATTCTTGGAAAAACATACCACAGATTCCGAACAAGAGGAGGGCCCAGAACAAGGCCCAAAGGCAGAGGAAATGTGACACTAGGAATGGCCCAAAACAGGGATCGCGGGACGGCGCGACAGGTTGTGAGGGAGTCCGGGCAGCAGCGCACACGGGCTAACATGCCCGGTGCTAGCAGCTTGATCGTTTGGAGCTGCGCCAGCCATGCTAGCCTTGTGAGCGGGGTACCTGAGGTTAACTAGGAGCATTTGCGGAATTGATGCCTTAGGCATTAGGGCAGTCGTTCAGGCGGGGGCCCTCTCGTCAACCCTTTTCTTCAGTCTCCACTACTCTTCTAGCACACCTACCAACCAACTGGGTCAACTTGTGCTGAGTAGGTAGGATGTCCAGCGTCGTGGCACTTGTGCTCCTCTGACCCAGCATACCGACCTCCACAATCTTTCCCTTGATCTTCTCTCATCACTGCAAACACTTCGAGCTTCCCGTTTGCTCCGATCTAGCGGGAGTGGGAAAGAATCTCTGGCGATCTCACGAGATCTCCACTAGCCACAGACTGAAATTGACCTAAGCTGAAGTCTAGACACCTTTTTTTTTGGCCTTCGCAACCTAGGTGAGTGAGATCATGACTTGACGCAATGAGGCTGATCGTTCTAATCCCTGCTCGATTTCAGATATTGCTGCAACGCGCATTGCCCAACTCCCGTCCTCTATTTCTCCGCCGAGTCGTCGCGAGATCCACTAGAAGTCTAATGGCTGAAGGTTGGGGGAAGAAGGCTGCAAAGCGAGTCTTCATTTCCATATCAAGAAAAAGTCATTACTGGCCTAGAGCATGGGAGTCCAGCGAGGAGATGATCGAGGTGGCAGTTGATCACATCAAGAAGAATGACCCGGCTGCATTGAGTGCGGATGGGGCGTTGGAACCGATGTTTCTTGTCAAGGAGAGATGGCCGTCGCAAGTCTGGATTGTCTTTGACGTTTTCAATGATGCCTACGACCCCGCCAACGCCCATCTTCCAGGTCGCAATGACCTGCCGGTAATTACGGTCTCCCTCGGCGAGAGAGATGTCGTAATATCGGCAAGCAACGTCATGGAGGATAGGGTCAATAAGGCAGTCCAAGACGTTCACGATTTGCATGGCATTGGCAGCCGGCCACCCTTCAGCATCGATCACGCAAACGGCAACATACCGACGTACCCAAACCCACGAACACAAACTGTCAGAACATGAAGGACATCGTGGGCGTAATTGGTTACTCTCACTGAACGGATTGATCTATAGCTAATACAACCTCCTTCATCGTTACCCCCGATGACTCTACCAGGGCATCTTCAATGCTTTGACTTGCCCTCAAGGTGTTGGATAACTGCAAGGCCCACACGTGCCATATTGAATCGTTACGGTCGAACCAGGTGCATATATGGCATGATATACGTCGCAGGGACCGGTGCACTTATCCTGCACGACGCTGTTGCATGTCGAACACAGCGTCCGCACCCAGGCGCACATATCGTGTGTTAAATCTTGGGTGTCTTAGTGTTTTGATTCGGATCAAGCGCACTATACTTACTAACAGTTGGCACAGAGCCACACTAGTTTGATGTCGTAGGGATGTTTGCTTCTCCCACTGTTGATCCGATATTTGCAGGTGAGGAGATCCGCCCTCTAGCTCGTGGAAGACAGTTTATGTATTTATACTTTGCACTAGACAGGCAGGCAATTTCCCCACTTAGGAATGACCTAGGAGTAAGAAGACATCTACGGAGTAGGATGCGACTCTCTAGGAAAGACTTCACGGATGCACTCGAAGCGCGGGTGATGCGATTAGCCGATTCTGCAGCGATGATAAGTATTCTCGCGGTGTTGGAGAACAGCTAGTGGCAAGTGGCATGAATGCGTACGAGCGCTTACCTTGGCTGCCTGGGCAGGAATGGCTTCAAGCGGGGCGAAGACATCCACAGTTCAGCTTCCGGCTTCCCATTTGCCGATTTAATTAGCAATACAGGAGCTGAAGTGGACTTTTGCTATATCGGGTTAAACTGTAGTTTCCATATCCAATTACATCTGACCTCTCTAACCTCGCAAGGGGAAAAGATCTACGGCATCTCACGCAGCGACCCCACCCGTCAATGTCTTCCACTTTTGCACGCCAATCCACAGCCAAGTCAGCGAGACGGTACCCTGGACAGGTATTTCCCTCAGCTGACGCTCGCCCGCATTGCCCCACTCTTCGAACGGTCCCCCTTCGAAGGCACCCCCTTCGAAGGCCCCCCTCTTCGAACGCTCCCCTCTTCGAACGCTCCCCTCTTCGAACGCTCCCTCTTCGAATGCTCTACCGCTCCAACATTTCGCACGCTTCGCACGCTCCGCCCTTCGCTCGCCCCTTCGCTCGCCCCTTCGCATGCTCTCCTTTTCGCCCCTGCGGATACACCCCTCCTCTGCGCGCTCCCTATCTGCCTCTGTCGCCCCATGGCTGTCGAGGACACCGCTTCTTTCCTCACTCGGGTTACGCTGTGTCTTCAGGACCCGAAAAAAGCAGACAAAGCGCCGTCCAAGCTTAAAGCAACAATACTCGTGTGCTCCCAGAATCCCGGAAGCAACTCGTGCCGACTCCTACGAAGCTCCTTATGGGCCTGGTTTCTAGTGGTGACAGCAATCGAGCACCAACCGGACATCACGACTTTGTTCGACCGACTCAGTCACTCGGACATTGAGATTTCAGCCGACAGACTCGATAACCTCACTTTGTTCGACCGACTCAGTCACTCGGACATTGAGATTTCAGCCGACAGACTCGATAATCTCACTGTGCACGAATCTCTGTATCAGTTGTTCGAGCACACGTTCTATAAATCCCAACGAGCCAGAGACCGGCAAAGTGAGTATGTCACCTGGTTGACGGACCTTCAGCTAACTCGTCAGATTCCCTCGCTGCAGCCGGCTTTGAATCTTCGATCCCCAGCCATATCAGGTTATCCAAGCGACCCCGCCTCGACGAGCTCGAACAACCCGAGCAACGCAGTTCCCGCGAGTCTCCCGAGTCCGATAGCCCGCAAATGAGACTCGTCTCTCAATGCCCAAATGCCGCTCTTGACGCGGCCTCGAGCTCCTGTGAAGAAACCATGCAACACCGATTGGACGCCCCGCCTGCAGTGGCACCGAGCGAGACGTATGGAATAACACAATCGACAAATGGCAACCGTCAACGTCCTCGGTGGCCGAAGGCTTCGGTTCTCCCCCTGGTCTTTCCACAAAGGATGTGTGATGGAGTCGAAAAGGATGATATCTTTGCTCGCATCGCTGTGTCCTACACACAAAATCCTGCTCAATGTTCCTTGGATATCGATGTGACGAGAGATATGGTGTCGATTCTAGCTAACGAGTTATTTAGCAAGCGTACCAGGTACGACGGGGAGAATGCCAGGTGGGTTTTGGAGTTGGCGGATGGCACAGACGTCTCGGTCTGGGGCGAGTTAAAGTTAGAACGTGCTCAAGAGTCCGCTATAGAGCCTCTCCTAGGGACCTTGGTCTCTACGACTCTCCAAAACAACCCACTACGTCGTCGAGAGTTGGCAAGGGGTGAGTCACTGACACGGTTGTTGACTTTGAGTCTTCATAGCGATGCTCATTCGCCCAATCGGCTCAGGGTGATATTGGACGCAGAAATGTTGTCCAAGTTGGAAAATCAGCTCTGGGTGGATTTCTCTACTCGATCACCTTGACGGTTCCTCCATAAAGATACAGTAGGTAACCAGTCTTAAGTTTCGTTTGACCTTCTTTGTCGATGACAGTCCAACTATCGCCGCCCTTCATCTTCCATTGCGCTGTGGTGCAGTCGTCCCAAAGCACCGTCTGGTTCTGCCCCTCGATTGGACCACTCTGTTGTACTAGCGTGGCCTGGGCAAATAGTGACCGGTCAAGGGGTTGGACGTCCTGGATCGTTGTCAGATGAGAATTCCCTAGCAAGAGATGGAGGGAGTACCATTGAATCGAGTGGTTTGACTGTCGTGTTCTGGGGCTAGGAGTGCGCGTTATCCGAGGAGCCTTCCTTGATATCGCGTAAAGATGAGCAATACATCTGGCAGCAAAGAAGATATAGGAGAAGACAGCCTGGTGCAATATCACGGCAGAGTTGGTCCTTTGGCCTCAAGGTGTCGACTTCGAGGATTCCTGCCCAATGTGTCGTCCAATATGGTGATTTGAAACCCAAGTGGATCCACGTGATGTTAAGCAGCATGTCCGATACAACCCTGCCATCGACCCACTTCTTTGTGATCGCGATGCGAAGAGGTAGGTCCGATGTACCCACTTCTATCGTCATGGCGATGCGAGAGGCATAGGTCCATTTCTATTGTGATTGTGATGCGAGGAGGCGCAGGTCCGATGTACCCACTGTGATGCGAGGAGGCGCAGGTTCGATGTACCCACTTCTGTTGTGATTGTGATGCGAGGAGGCGCAGGTTCGATATACCCCACTTCTATCGTCATGGCGATGCGAGGAGGCGCAGGTTCGATATACCCCACTTCTTTCGTCATGGCGATGCGATGACGGCCATCACGATGTAGTGTGTTCGCGATACGACTCCGGCAAGATCAACATGACCCTCAGACAGGCCAACCTAGGTCGCCATGTGGGCTAGATTCTCTGCGGATGAACCTGGAAAGAGAGAGAATTCATTGACTAGGTTCATTGACTAGGATCAGGACCCAATACCACGGCAATAGTGCCGGAATTAAGGACAGCTCCAAACTCTCCAAACTTCGTGACGCACGTCTTGCAAGCAGAAGACACTATAATCAATAAAGGCCAGCTTCCAGTAGAGGTAATGAATCTCTCGATGTGCAGCAGCCAGCTTATTCTTATCTTGTCACCCACTTTCTTAATTTGTTCTATTTGCATGGACCTCCGATATGCTAAGTTGCCATTGCCTTCTGTAGTAGCTGTATGTTAGTCTTAGGGATGATGGATGATGGAGGGTGGCCGCTTCACACCGAACCTATGATCGCCCCCAGTAGCCGGAGACCCGTGGAGACCGTGGACGTGCATGCGGAGACACCTCGCTTCGAGATACAACTCGTGAGCCTCATTCAATCTGGCTGCATGACTGGCTCATTCAAGCCAAGAGTGGCTTGCGGATATCTGTATCTCTCTCATATCGCGCCCCTGTCTTTGGCCACGTATGAGGCCAGGAAAGTCGACGGCTGAAGGGGTTGCATGCAAGTTGCCTCTTATGAGGCGGGAGGCGGTAGCGTGCGGTGAACCGATTTATGTAAGCCTGAGAGTTGATGTCCAGCCAACAATGCTTTAGGTCTGTACTATGCTCAAGCATAGGAAGAGCAATTACTCCAGTCATGAGACAGCTATCTTTACTACTCAGAAGAAACTCCATGTGGCCGCGTTAACTGATGTTGTCTCCTTGTTGGTTCTCGGTTCATCGACAACACTAGACTGAGTGGTTCCACCGTGAACGTGCATGGTTTGACCGTAGGGGAGGTCTCGATGGAACCGGTCAGCCTCACTTAATCTGGCCGCATGTCTGGCCTGTTTATGCAAAGTCAAGATCGACACAATAGTACCAACAGCATCATTAGTTCTAGTGGCTTGCAGGATGGTCTATCCACCCGGAGTTCATCATGGGTCAGCATGGCAACCATGCCGGAGTATCCAACAGGATGTGATTGCGGTGCATCCGGCGTCGTCCATGATGGGCTTCGGGCTGAGGCTGACACGGAACCACATCAGACATCTTCAGGACGATAATCAGGCTCAGACCCATATATAACTCTAAAGACTCGCCTAAATACTTGCAAGGAGAAAAGACAGGAGGAACTAAACTCAGAACTTAATACAGCCGTGTAAGATTGTACGATGACGCGCGTGCCTCACTCTATGAGAGACAAACTACTGTTGGTTTGCATAGGCAAAGGAGAAACCACATCTTGCGGGAGGGCGGATATGAACGAGCCAAATTTACTTAGCTTATTTCCTTGCGCCATTGAATCCTTGTCAGGTGCTGTATGAAGGAGGCGGAGATGATGGTGGTGCTGAGCTGGTGGAGGTACTGGCCATGCCACAACAGGGAGACTAATGCGGCCGCTACTCCGGCCAGCCTGGTGTTCGGACCGTAAATCTTGCGATTACATGCCGCTGCATAACCTTGGCTAACTTCTCGGCCTTGTTCGATACCTGCTAGGATGAACATTGCAGACCCATTTCAGACCGGTGTCGCGATCAGCCATGCGGCCGCAGGCTGGCCCCTTGAGTTCCCTTTAAGAAGTCACACCAGCCGCCAACTAAACGCCACCAGCTAACAAGCCCCAATGGAAGGTCTTTTGAGTGGTTACGGCATGCAATTCCTTGGGACCCTAGATGAAGGAGGGCGCCCGCCGACCTATCATTGATAACAATGGTTGGAGACACGCGTAAACCATGTTCGTGTTGGTCGTGGGGGAGTCTCACCTCTAGAAGGAACAGGTAAGCCTCACTCCATCCGGCTACATGACTGGCTGGTCTAGGGGAGGCACAGAGCACGACGAACTGCGAGGGGAGGGATCCAGTGCATGCCCCCGAGCCCCCGCGTCAGTCGATCAAGCCTCACCAGAAGTGCCAACTCATGCAGGAGTTATTTGCCTAGGGAGCTTACCTGCATGTTCAGGCATAGCACTAACTTCAATGGCGTTGCAGGGCCATGCTATGAGACGGCAAGCGATTCAATGGTGAGCACGTACTTGCTCGATGTTTTCCCCCATAGGAGACGTCGTTTCTGTCAACAAGCATAAGAATGTGCACGTTCGTCCTCGCTACATCTAGACTCAGCCAGCATCACTTCGCATTGCCTCACAACTCATTGCCTTGCTTCAACCTGCTACGTTAAAACAGACACACGAAGCCTTGAAGTATCCAGTTCGAAAAGAGCAAGCTCCCTCACTGGGGAACAACTCAGACTCTTCTCATCTGTTGTCCCTACAAAATCCGACAACACCTCAATAGTCTAATCGTCAGTTACCTAGAGACCCTGGTCAATTCATTGAGGCTGACGCTTAAGCTTAGACTCCTCCATGTCGAGCATCTCTTGATACGATTATACACAACCGAGCTTTCCCTAAAATATGCCGGACGATCCCAAGGGCAGTAATGATGGCAAAGGAAAAGGGCAAGGCGCACCAGGTCCTTCGGGTGGAGGTTCGTCCTCGACCCAACCGGTCAATCCAGGTCGGTATGGGCACTCCCAAGCACACGAGTCCAGACTCTGACCACCTCCAGATTCCGATAACTCTGGCAACCAACTGGAAGATCTCAAACCCACACATATCGTAGTCAAGTTCTAATGAAAGTGGTATTGACATATGAAGTCGCTAGTTAGATGGCAGCGCTACAGGTAGTATGATTGAGATATAATCAATCGGATCTCGGGTCGAGAGGCAGGTTTCTGAATTCAACACCCACAATAACCTGAAGTTCCATGTGACCGATACCATCCCAAAAGTGTCATCGCCCAAACACACCTCGCATTGTTTCGGTATGCCCAAGCATGCCTCGCACTGTTTCGGCATGCCCAAAGAAATATTGCACTCTATCATTGTGGTGGGTATAACAATCTGAATCTTGCCAACTGGAGTCGGGATACAACCAGAGTTGTGATGGACTGCTCGGCAGGCCGAAATCGTCCAAGACCCTGGCTCAAACACGTTCGACTCAACCTTCTCTGTCAGTATACTTTTGACATTATGCGGTAAAGAGACTCACTAAAAAGCTGATTATCATCTGGACCACAGGGGTATGCTTGGGAGACCATTGATACCCGTATAAATCGGCCTTACTGTCAGTTCCAGATGCTACCGGGTCATACCCACGTTGGCATCCTCCAGCGATCAAGGCCATGATTTGTAACTTGTGTGAAGTAGTGAATTCCCTGTATGGATCCATATCACCAAGAGGGTTAGGAACAGGGAAGCACTCGGGGATGAGAGATTCCCCTAGCACTTTGTCTTCTTCGGTTTCCCCCGGCTCTTGGGGAAATTGAGCCTCGACTTGCTCAAGCTGGATGAACGACGACTCGATTTGCAAGTCCGAAAATATATCCAGATTAAGCATCTCGCAGATCTTCGTATGCCTACACTCGGCATTGATCAGCAACCGGCTGTTGACCTGTGTCCGGAAGGGCAACTGACTGAACTTTAGATTCTAAAATCATCTCGATGGCATAGGGCAAGCAAAAGACTCGAACATTGCCCCGCCAGGCCGCCGCTACTTCGTGGTGAAGGAGTTTGGCCGCCCTATCGGCTATAGCCTCTCGGGTTTCGACGTTTATGTTGTTGCGGATACACGCAGTGAGCATGTAATTGTTTTCTACACAATCAGATCCAGATCAAACTTTCTGCTGGGTTGACTTACCAGCATATGCGTCATAAAGCCTCAGACCGATTGGCCCTAGATAGCTCACCATCCTATTGAGCACGAGAACACACTTTTCCCACCGCACTCTCTTCGCTTCCTCGGACGCATCAAGATGCTGAACAAGCTCCGTCTCTCGCTGAACTATCCGAAGACACGAAGCTATGATGCGCAGTGTCCATTGCAGGGGCCCAATCGAGGATGGTGTCCAATTGTTCGGAGGTTCAGGCATCCCGAGGCCATCAGCAAAGGTGAACATATCTTCGAAGCTTTTGAGTGACACATCTCCCACCTTAATCCCGCCTTTGACAACTTGGAGTGGTGCTGCTGCGATCAACTCCCGCCGATCTAATGATTTCAATCCTTTCACGCCCTTTTTGCGTAAAGTCGTGGCCACGTTTTCCACGTTTTCCACGTTTTTCACGTCTATCGTGCCTTTGGGTTTCTTTTTTGGCTTGACGGTGAACTTGGGATCCGGCCCGTGCCGTCTCTTTCTGGGAGCTCCTTGGTCATATTTCTCTGGTTGGAATGGCTTTTGCTCTGCAAGATCCACCGCTTTTGGAGCCGCCAAAGTTGTCCGGCAGTACATAATGCCAATGGACTTGTGCAACCGAATAGGGGAGTGTGACGTGAGGCCGTAGGCCAAAGCTAAAGCCACAGCATGGCACACATTAAGCCACACGTACTCTGTAGTAGCCCGAAGCTGATTGGGCCCCTATGGAACAATCTTCGAGATGTGTCCACGGGGTGTTGCCACTGGGCGATGGTCGCAGCAAGGATTGTGAGCGCGTGCTTTGGGCGCTGCGAAATGATCACGAATTTTCGTAGTGAGAGTATGGGGGATACCAGGAGTAGGAGTACGAGCGATAGCGGAAAGCGTAGGGGAGGCCGTGTGAAATCGCCGCAATGAGGATGATCGATGGAGGGAAAGTACGTGCAGGGTTCGCGGCGAGCGCGTGCTGAAATCACGCGGAATATGCTTCCCAAGTAGTTTCCCCTGACCCACTACTTGTCCCTTCCCTCCTTCCCACCCCCCTGTTGGGCGTGCTGTGTGGGTGTGTGGGGGTTCCCAGTGAGCTAGCGTGGCCCCACTACGCGTGTCTGATGCCGCCCATAATGATGTACAACAAGGAGAGCTCGTACGGCTTGGGTCCTTCGCTGATGGTCCCAGAGCCAACTTATAAAGACGGGCAAGAGTAATGTAAAAATACATTTGTTTCCAGGTCATTTTCATTGCTTTTTTGGCCAATTGCCGCCTCCTCTCCACGCAAATCCAACGTACTCTGTCTACGCAGTTGCATCGCTGCCTTTGTTCTGTCATTTCTGCCCTGTCAAGCTTGCACTACATACATCACCTACCTTCCACTCAGCTGCTGAGATGGTTTCTGCCGAAGCAATTCTGGCTACGTGCGTCTTCCTCGTAGACGTCCCATTGATGCTCGTTCAATTCTGGGTTTTCTACCACCACAGCCACTCACGCGAACCGTTGTACATATGGCTTGGTTGTCTTTTCGTAGCCATAGGGACGGAGGCCACGCCTCTCGGTTTGCTATGGTATGAACTTGAATCAGGCGGAGAAGTGGGACTCCCAGTCGGGGTGCTAGCAGAACTCGTCATCTTGGTGGCCTTGTGGTGGAGGATCTTGACCGAGGTGAGATCAAGTCACCATCACTCTTGCAACGAAGCTAACATAGCTGACCCAGGGACTATATTATCATTTCCATTTCTGTGCGCAAAAGGCACTTGATCAATGGATTGTGAGGTTCAGTTGCATTATCAGCTTGATATGCGTCTCTGTCAGCTTGATATTGGTCATGGCCAGCCAGTTGTCTAATGCCCGATATTGCCTCGCTATCGGATGCACCATTAATCGGCTGTCAGTCATATCAGTGTACAATAGCTTTGCATGCCAGACCATGAAGAAAGAACTCCCTTACCACAGGAGCATTCATTCGGTTATTTTTATTCTGTCCTGTTTCTTCGGATCCCCTCTCTTCGACTTGGTTCATCAGACGTTCGTGAGTACAGTTCTTGGACTTCATGCCACTACAAGGCTAATAATGTAGATCCTCTGCATCATTTCTTTGATTGTTAATGGTGCGTACACCTTTTTAAGATATCAGCGTCTTGAGACATCAGCTGGCGATGCTGCCTCTGCATCAGGCACTGGGGCGTACCCAGGAAGCCAGGATGAGTTGGTGGGCCCGCAGTCCGTAGGCAGTGAGATGCCTAGGTCAGTGAGACCAGCGAGGTCAATGGTGAGTCTGGAGCTTGAGAGGTTGGATCGTATAGTGTGAAGCAGGCGATTGGGACACCGGAATCACAGCACGAACTGACGTGGGAAATTTTCACACACTCATCTGCGCTGGATGAGCAGATTTGATCAGTTCTTTCTCCCATATTTATAGAATCAATATAACCCGAACTTGTCACAATCTTCTTCCTTCTCTATGTTCCCGTTCTCACCGACGGTCGAGAACTTATTTGCGACTGTGCGAAAAGGCTGCATCAATGTTAGAACGTGAAACGCTAAGAAAGGGTGTCCATTTCACTGGTTCAAAGCTAGTTGTTAGTGAGGCCATCAAATGAAAAGGTGTCTGGCCGGGACACATTTTTTTCAACTATCTCCCCAACCATAACTACGAGGGACTTCTCAAAGGGACATCAGTTCGAAAGGGAAGCCAAGACAGCGTAGGCCCAGCCAAGCCTACAAATATCCGCAAATTCGAACACTCCCAAGAGCTCCGTCTTGGAGATTTAGACATAAGGAAGAACACTAACAGCCTTTTTGCTCCTGAAACAGGCCTCGCATCACTTGCAAGGAGCAACACGAGGAATGATTATGCAGCTTGAGGCGCAGATGCAAAGACTCGAGAGCGCAAGTCACAGTACATGATGCCCAAGCACGAAAATATATCCGCTGAGTAACGACCATGGCGTATAAACTTTCTAGACAAGCACCCATCAGCATATCGGACCGTTACGCTATCATTCGTTGAAATATATCATTATTGGTGGTGCGACCTTGGGGACCCCAGATGTCGCCCGGCAAGTTTACGACCCAGGCTTCACTTATTACAATGGCCCTGCATGGACGAGCTGTTCGGCACTGCCTGAGCCAATGTCTTACCTAGACTAACCTCCACGAGGCCATTGATGTAGCACGGACGAGTCCAAGTATTGCAACGCTTTGTATCCTAAGGTTGGAAGTCGTGGAGGAAAGGGATTATTGGACGCAGTGGATGGTGAAGCAGTTGGCACCTGTTCACCAGAACTGAATGCTCACTGCTTCCCGTCTGCGTTACGGGTTTAATGAATAAAAGTACCGCTAATTTGCTTGTTCGACATGTTCAAAACTTTTGTCATTATTTCTTTTACCTTGTATCAGGCGCTGGTATTAACTGTTGTTGGATGTGCTAGTTACGAAAGATAATTTGGAACCGTTTAGCGTTTGACGCGTATACAATTAAACCCATATATATTATAGGCGTACGAATTTGTTATCTCGGGCAATGCAAGCAAGAAATGGTCGTGGGAGTTGTAGCTTCAGAACAGTCTTTGAAATCCTCCGCAAGGTGGGTGTGAACCTGCATTGACGCTGTTGCCTTGGCCCAGGGGATGTCCGGATACCCCTTTTGCCTTGGTCGCCTCCTCCCATCGAGATCAGAACCAACATACCCAGCTTACGAGTCAACAGCTCTAGCCTACATGTTTCAGGGGTACAGTCAATGCCCATTTAAGGGCAGCCTGGTACCCGTTTACACACTAGTAGGGAATTCCTTTTACATGCATTTCCTCCGCGAAACCTTCATAGCAATTGTTGGATTGTGACCTCGGGTGGCGGCATAAATATCGCCATCAAAGATGAAAGTTGCCACCTATTGCCACTGGCTTAGCAAGCAGCTTCTAGTTGATTCCACATAGCTCAGAAAAGGCATAAAAAGCTTGCCCTGAACCCTTAAGAAGAGAGGGAACAACCTTCTCCATTTACATCATTTGATTAATCACTTCTGCTATTGCATATAGCAAATTGCGTATCCAACAGCAATCATGAAGGTTCAAGGCATGTTAACAAATGAAGACCCCAACCCTAAGGTCGACATTAGATTGTAGAGCAATAGTATCCTCCTTGTCGATCGGCCTGCCTGCTTTTTTTCATGCCTGTCAAGTCTCAAATCAAGCTCGTCTATGGCCCCCATCTCAACATAACGCTTCAACCAACTCAACACTATTGCAGCAAAGTCATTCCAACCTTCCACAATATGTTCCGTATCAAATCAATTCTTTCGAAGCACTACCGTCTGCGCCTCAGATATGTCAGGAAGTTCCCAGGAAGCGTGTGTCGATTGCTTGCAGAGAATGTCGAAGACGAAAAGTAGGTACCATGACCCACAGGTTCTTTATGTTTCATTCGGCTAACCTGCCTAGGTTCGATGCAGTGGTCACCGGGGCACATTGAAAGCCAATTGCAATCGCTGTGTGACCCAACCCAGGAAGCAAAAGCTGGTTACCCTGTAGGGTAGGAAGAGGGATTGGGAGGGTTAAGATAACAGCTGGGGATAAGGGATTTGAACCACTGAAGCACTCAATCAAATGCTTCCCAACGGCAGAAGGGCAAAATAATGTAAAGAAAGCGATAATAGCTGCTGCGACAGCTTTATCATAGGCAAGAAGGGCATTGCCCCGACATCTGGAATAACGTCTATTGAAAAAGCGTCCGAACCAAGCGAACCTTAGCAAACATGCATGAACCCCCCCTCGTATCCTACCTCTTACTCAACGTTGCACTTTCGTGTCAGAGCTTTAAGAGTAGTGTAGCTTCCAAAATCTCATCTATAACCGCATGTTCCGAACCTGAGTAGCTTTCTGTCAAACGATATTCCGCCCAGCCGAGGAGGCGTCCAACCCACATAGGCACCGTTCTTGCGTACATAACTAGGACCTTCGTCCCCTTAACTTAGACAGTGGCTGAGGCCAGTTTTTAACTCTATACAACCACCAAATGAAGCAGTACCTTTCCATTTACAATTTAACACTCCCCCGTCATTCACTAACTGTGTCACACGTTGTATCGATAACAAGTACCGCAAGATGGCGTTCAGTGCTCAGTGCATCGGAGTTGGTTCGTCAGGCGCTCCGAGAGTATATCTCTTCGGTAGAGAGAAGGACGCGGAGCAAGCAGCAGGTACGATAGCATACTTATTATGTAGTTGCCCATACCCACGTGCCGCGGATGAATGTCGACGTGCCGTGTAACCCCGCAACAGAGCCAGCCTTTGGTTCAACGTGGCAGTATAGCTTCTCCTCCATCCGCCGCATCGGTTCTCAGTGGATTCCATAATGTTCAAATATTGCCTTGATTTCGTTCAAGCTCAGGCCCATCCTCTCACAAAGCCTCAACAGGACGAGTGCCTTTGGCGGACCAAGGAACCCTGCCCCGATACCAAAGTCTATATTGTGCGCGCTGACAGATCCCCATGTTACACGACTACACACCACTACAGGAATGTCATTCCCATTGAGTGTCTTCCTCATCTCCTCAACCTGGACCGAGGGCCAATAGCCGGCGCCTAACCCTACCAGAACAAGTCCTTGAATGTCGGGTGGGATGAAAACGGCGGTGGCTGGATCTTGGTGTCCATATGCCATCAACACGCGCGGCCATTCGGCATCTGGCGAGATCTTCGTTATGTCGAAGTGTTGATGACCTAGAGGTCTCGAGGCCGGGAAATAGAAGATAGGCAGGACGTTTACAAACGTGCCTAGATTTCCTGCATCCCCGGCTTCGAATAAATCGAGCTGGTTGGAGTTGATCTTTGTTGCATGGCGAGGGCTCAAGATCCGGTCGGAGAACACAACTATGACTCCACGATCCCTGGCGCTTTTGTCCCCAGCCGCGACAACGGCAGTGAGTAGGTTCATCCTTCCGTCGTAGATGGCAGCTGTGTGTGGACGCGAAGAACCTGTGATGATCACGGGTTTCTCACTCATCACTGTCAAGTCGAGGAAACATGCCCGCTCTTCCAATGTATCCGTCCCGGTGATCACTACCACGCCTTGCGTGGTGGGCCTTTTGAGCTCAATCTGAACTGCTATGCTTAACCCATAATCTTGTTCTGATTTTGCGTTAATGCTGTCTTGCTTGGCGTATTGTACGAGCCGTACATTGGCGACGCCGAATATCCCGGGAATTTCAACGATGATATTCGTGACGTTTAACACACCGGCGTTATATCCGGTGGTTTTGGACGCAGGCCCATCGCCGGCGAATGTCCCCCCAGTTGCAAAGATGGTGATGTTAGGTAAGATTGGGTCGAAGGACAAGAACTCATCTACACTGTGAGGTTGCTGATCGATGTCGGCTATATTCCAGTACGGCCATAGCACGAAGTTCCAGAGCCATTGGCGTTTCATAGTTTTGGGGGTGATCAGATCGGGGCACACGGAGCCACTGCTGCTGTTCGAGTAGTGTTAATGTGCCGGGCGCTCTCAACTCTCACAACAACATATGATTCACTCGCCGTTCGCACTGGTTAGGAGACCAATGTACGGAAGATCTGTGGCAGGAGCAGGACAAATTGTCAAACGAAACGATATCCCTTACGCGGTACATATCACTGGACGGACATTGGGCTATTTAACATGGTTGTCCGCTGGTGATAGTTGCGGCCCTCAACGAGGGTGCCCCCGGGGTGTCCCTTGGTTGGCGCGGCCTGGGAACTAACGAGAAAGCGCATTCCTGTTGGGGGATTGCGATGTAACTATCCCGTGCCTACATGCGGAGCCTGGCGCATGCGAGAGATTAGTGAATTGCACGCCTCGCGGAAGCTGTACGTACCCTATTCGCTGCTTAGTTGGCCAGAATAGGTGCCCTGGTTGTTGGGTCAAGGTTTATTGATGACTTGACTCATGGAAGCAAGATGTTTGAGAATGTCTCGATGGGTGAGATCTCATTTGAGAAAAGATCCACCGGTAAAAACAGTAACAATGATCAGCAGAGCGCTCCTCATGATATTTATTGGGATATGTTCAATTCTTGCCGAACAAGACACGCTCGTTAGCTGTCACCTTTCCTTCACGCGACAACACTTCATTCAACTTCTTCACATCCAACTATCAAGCTAGGTCTACGCATTGTGATACATTCTCTCTAAACTGCTCAGTTACTTTGTCATTCTTTTCTCGACGTTCTGCAACATTTTAATAATCGTCAGTCGCCCTCCGGTTCTGCCCTTTCTAGCGAACTCTTTCACTGGGAACGAAAAGCCAAGTGTCCTTTCGCGGATCTCTGCTTCAAGTCGACCCTGCTGATGATGAGTATCTTGATGAAGGATACTGACTGGCGACTTACAAATACCTGTTCCATCAAACATTGAAACAAAAAAAGATCGTGCTTTCAACTGTGTACAGAATTGAGCAATACTGTAGAACTTCTCGTTGAGGAGACGGGAATTCAATCCAAGGATACGATGCTGCGTCTAAGGGCGATTCCACCCTACCCACTGCCCAAAGGTACAACCTCAGCAGGCCTGATGTTCCGCCGGAATCCCTTGCAGGCAGAAGTCGATCAAATCATCCACGTTCCCAATAGTTGGATAGAAATGGAGAATGAATGCTCGAATGATATGTCGCGTTGCTATCTGGCAAACACGTCTGTCCAGTTCTGGATCCTCCTCCGAGAACGACATTGGGCGGTCTCGCAAGTCCTGAGCAGACCCTGACGTGCTGGTCGGCACATTGTTGACACAAGACAATGGCTTAGCAGAAGCCGAGCTTTGTGATGAAAACTGTAGCCGTGGGGTTAGCAAAGGACCCAGCTTAGAGAGAGGCATAGAAGACTTCTGCGAATCATGCCTCCCTGCAGAGGTGATATTGTAGGTAAGAGAGAACACCACACCTTCTGCGAGAGCATAATTAAAACGATCATGCGCAACGGACTACTGGTACTCCTTTTTTATGCAAGTGATCATGGAGTCCCGGTCGAGCTTTGACCAGGGGTAGGTGGTCTGTGGGTGCCAGTGCACCCGTGGACAGATTCGTAAAATGTGTCAACAGGGGTATATGACCCGATTTGTAAAGTGTGTCAACAGGGTGTATTACTGAAAAGTGTGTCAGCAGGGGTATGTGACCCGATTTGTAAAGTGCGTCAACAGGGATACGTGGTCTGTGAGTGGATTGCGAGAGCGCCCGTTGGTGGGGTCTTGATTGGCCCCAGGCGGCTCCATGAATGTGCATAGGAAGGAGTGGGCTTGTGTGCAAGAATGGCACACTGGTTGACGCACGACAAGAAGTTATTTGGGGTTCATTGTCTTTTTCTTGGCCCAAGTCAGAAGTACAAAAATCCTGACGGCTTCATTGTGCGCGGCATCATTACCAGGGCAGTCTGCAAGTTCTTACGGCTGTCTCGCGGCATTACGGGCTTATGGCTGCAAGTGTGCGAGAAAAAGGAAGGACGGCAGGAGACGCAACATGGCTTGTTGGGATCGATGCAACCAAAGGGCTTTTGGTGAAGTGAGGTGAAGTGAGGAGGTGCGGAATAAGCTGCTCTCTGGCACGAGCTTGCCTCAGTGGCCGCCTGCGAGAGAAGAGATAACTAGGTACGATGGGCAAGGAACAACAGTGGCTTGCACCGACTCGGAAGCAGCCCTCTCAGCATGCCACTGCTTCACTGCAGCTCATCCCTTCGCGTCCCAACCCACCGTACATCGGTGGGGTAACGTGCTGGGTATCGTTCTTCGGACTTGACCCTCACCGCTCTGTTGGCTGTTCAACAAGGTTATCTACTCTCGCACGGACAACCAAGTCGGGATGGAGAGATGAAGGTTGGGGGCAATGGCGAGATTACTCTTGAGGTGCGCTTGTGGGTGTGATGTGGGACGCAAGCTTAGGGCAGGAGCGGGATCTTTTGGACCCCAAAGTCCTTCATCAAGCCCCGCGCTGAAAACGCTTCTCTTTGTTTTCACTTGGTCCACCCCGCACAGTGGCTGACCGGCACACGGGCCCCTAACTAACCCCTGTTTCATAGTCTACGAGGGTGCTGATGCTCACTGATGAGACCCCAAGTGTATTCGAAGTAGCATGACAAAGGATAACTTGAATTGGTACGTAGATGTACGAGTCCGCGGTGCCAGGGTTTTGCGAGACCACACACTCCCCCTAGGGTCGACATAATTGCGGCAACGCCGTACTTCACGACTCCTTACCCCTCTGTACGGAGTACCCCGACACCCCCTCCCCTGGGGCACACTACCCGTCTACCATCGTGGCCTTGTACTCCATTTTACTGCAGCTCGTTGTCCCGTGACTTCCTCGCATGCGAGCAAGCACAGTTACAACGGGCTGACAGCGCTGGGCTTCCGAGGCTAGACAAGGTGAGCTGAGTCTTAACATGGGGTACGGCCAACACTGGTGCAGGGGAGCCCACGGAATTATTGCCCTACGAGCACACGCCGAAGGAGTGAAGGAGTACTGGCCAGAGAGGCCGAGGGGGCGTTCTCTCCCCGGGGGGGGGGAGGGAGGAGACCACCTTTGCCACTGGCATTATGTGGCTAGCTAGAATTGACACCCCCTGAGCAGTGACGAGTTCAGTGGTGTTAGCCGCTGAGTGGCACCCCCACACGTTCGCTAGTCCTTGCCGAACACGGCACGCTGATCGCTGACCCGTCGTCGCCATCATAAAGGAAACCGTCCCTGGCTATCACTGGCTGCCAAGGTCCGCAATCAGGCCTCCATTCCATTTTCTTACGGCACAACCTCTACCATCATGTGTAACTATATCTACGTAAGTGTAATGGTGAGCACTGCCCTCGCAGGCTAACAGAAACACAGAAGGAGCTGGGATGTCAGCATCACTACCACCTCGTGGAGTCATGGTGCCCCAAGTACATCGAGACAGAACGTAGATGTCCGCCCACCATTGTGAGCAAACAATATTGGTAAATTTTCTGGTATCTATCGATGATCATCCCAATTAACTGTGGCTTAGGGGGGATGATATCTGCGGTATGCCGTAGCTAAATCATAGTGTATGACAGTGGAGAAGTACTAATGAGCGCCTTGTAGCGGCGTGCCGTGAGGAACAACAACCCGGCAAAAACCCGTGGGCGAAAGCAACCCAACGACCACCGATGGGAGAAGCGTATTGCGAGGCCGAAAGATGAATAAGTTACACACCACCACTTTCGGCACAATGAAGAATGAGAGAAGGAACCTGTACGGTATCAATTTAGAGAGCAAGCGGCGCCAATAGGCGGGAACTGACGGGGATGATAGGTCACCACCAGGGATTGCAGGGCCATCTCGGTAGTGCCACCTCTCTGATCGGGAGATTCAGTCGGCAACTTACCAAGCTCCTGACCTCCAATTTGCTTCGGTCAGTTTGGAGTGATGACTGAGAAATTTTGGTCACCGTTCAGGGGCAACAGGATATATGTGGGCGCAAGAGGAGTATGTCTTTGTGTTAGTTAATAAAGTGCAACTGATATGCGTTTCTTCATCCTCAAATTCTGGTCCTCAGCAGGCCGATCATTGTTGACCGTCACCAGCTGGCTGTTGTCTCAAGTGGCCGACCTTGGTGCGTAGGACGCCGGAGACGAACGGCAAAGCTGACCAATCTTGCACAGGTCTCAATCTCGACGACATCGACATCCACGCCGACCGTATAAAGTTGTGGGACGACTTTAACCATGCCTGGCTGGGTGTGTGCCAGAGACAGATCGAGATGATGACTTCCTCACAACAGCTGTCAAAATCGCAAAGCCTCATGTCGAAGGAGATGATCGAGAAAATGGGAAATGAACTGATACGCTTATGCGACGGGATGGAACGTCATGAACTCGTTGACTACCAATATGGAGTAGTTATGGGAAGAACAGATTACTGCCGGTATGCATCTCATCCCGGGCCAAGTACCTTGTTCCGGAACAGCTAACAGAACGGACACAGCTCTCGAAGACTGTCTCGATCTCTATGAAACCTCCGAAGACGCTAGTGGAGAGAATGGCTCTTGACGAGGAGTTTGGCCGGCTGGGCTTTTACAGCTAATTAAGGGGCACAAACCGCGTACGCCTCGGGAAGTTCACTCGCCAAGTCATCTTCTCTTTCGAGAGAAACCATGGTGTAATTGTAGAAGCGCGGATACAAGTCGGTAAGATCCGTCGCTCCAACCTCACCAAGGCTCATCTCCGCCACGTCTGCTCGCTTTGTCCACTGTCACGGTACTGGCGCTCGCCTTATGGACCTGCGTCTTGTGAAACAAGTGACCACAGCTTGTCATTCTGACCCCTTTTTATACTCGGTGACTAGTCTAGCTGGTGACTTTGATCATGGGATGTTCTCCAAGGCCCGAGTCTTTTTCATCATCTGCAATGCAGATGAGGAAACCCGGCGGGCTGGGTTCCGGGCGACCTCTGAATCGCCACCATCATTGAAATGAAATATAAGAGAACAATATCGGAGACTCCGAGGAGCTTGGCTTCACATTCATTTCCCCGCTCTCTAAACGAACACATTGGTTAGGGGATCAACAAGGACCGGAACGAATGGGTAGTCATCAACTCGACTTGCTCGTTCACAAGAATCGGGAGCTCGAGATTCATAAAATGGGCAGGGGCATTTGAACGGACATCGGAACGCAGCGCAGATCTTGGCGGTACATCGCTTTCGTGTTATCACCGCGTGTTGTTGGGTTCCAGACTGGTCGGTGGGCTGGGTGGCACAATCGACAAGCCAACAGGGAGTGTAATTGATCAACGGGCGCAGCGCAATTGTCATTAACCAGTAAATCTCGATCCGTCCTGATCGTGCAGGTGGAGCTCGGGCAAGTACCCTTGTGTCCACCATGGTCTGAGACCATCCTGAGCCCACTGAAACTAGTCTTGGATCCAGACCTAGCTTAATGAGATAGCGTCGTCGCGTCAGGTGTGATCACAACCCTGGTTGGCTGTTGTGCCCAGTTTTGTGGCTCCCGCAATAATGTCAAGTTCGGCTCATTGTGGTTCCCTGCTCTCCTTTTTTGCGCTTGGAGATGCAGGTCCGTGGCCCACACACCAGCATACTTCTTGAATTACTTGCATGGCCCGTCACGTGAACACTACCTCGGGGCTGTTCCTGCTTATAAGTTCTACACGTCCGCCCCTTGAAAGCAGCGCAACGTGAACACTCCGCCACCTACACACTTCTCAAGACAACATGACTTTACCAACAGCACAAACATCCAGTAGACCACCCCGCCGGTAATCTCTCCCTCCACAAATGTCAAGATATAGCTAACGCCTAGTAGAGAGTCGTTCACCCAATCATTGTGGCGCCGAGGCTGCTCTCCCTTCGACGCAACGAGAATGAATTGCCCTGACTTTCAACCCTCGTCCGCAGAGCCCGAACAACTGCAAGATCATCCCGACCAGGATGGGCTGCGCCCGGGGCACCCGCGTGACGCAGCGGTCCCCACGTCATCGTCTCACGAAGAAAAGCAGCGGCAGCGGGACTATGCGGCCTTCGCAAAACTCGTGAGTACGCTTCACAATGGGCGCTCTGCCGTATCGGTACCGAAAAGAGAGAGTTTGGAGGCGGGAAATGGCGTCCTGGCGGAAAGTCCGTCGGTCCTCCGGGTCATCAGAGACTTCGTGGCAAAGGAGCATGGAATCGTCCCTGAACAGTCTAGCCGAGGCTGCCGTTCGAAGACACTCCATATGCCAACTAGGATAAGACCAAAACGTATCATAGGCCTCGAGCGGATGCTGAGAAGGCTTGGGCGTTCGCGCGGAATGAGAAGACGTGATCCAAGACATACCCTGGGGACTAGACAAGGCGTTTTTTGAGCTCAAAAGAAGTACCTAGGGAGCCTGTAGCCTTAAGAACTCGAAATTGTTGTTCCTTATCCTGCATTGCTGCTCTTGCCCCTACGCTCACGATCCCAGGGATTCCCTCACGTGCTACCACATCGGAAAGCCGGATAGCAGCCGTGCATGAAGTCGAGAAGGGCCTTCTCGCTTACGGAGCGCGGGCCGCAGTGCTTACAAGCCGAGCCTCGTTGGATTGGCAGGTGTGGATGAGGACTTGAGCCATCCGGTCGTAATGGGAGGCTGTCTGGATCTGACAAGCTTAATAGAGAAATACGAGTCTTTAGACCGCGCCGAGCAGATTTGACCACATCATGCTTGTCGCCTAGGTGTCGTGATACGCGTTTAGAGGTAATAGCAAAGCCACATTATTTACAGATGATAGCAGGCTCAGGCTAATTATAGAATAATCCAAGGCTCTCAAGCTTTCGAACATGGCTTGGAGGCAATAAGGTAGTAGTTTCAGTGCAGGTCGTCAGATCAGTCATATTTTCATGAGGAGTTCAGTATGTATGTGTTCTATTGAGCTCTATAGGGATGGCACAGGCCTTCGTGCCAGAAACGCGCCGCATTTCGCATTCTTGCTAATCACGCTTAGATTGGAAATGTGGCGCACTTCTATTGTGTATTCCTAAAGCTAAAAAAAAAACCCCAGGTTATAAACTAAGCTAGAAAATGCTGCTTGAGACACCGGTGCTGCTGGCAGCTGGACAGCATCCCGACCGAGACGCTACAATGGCTCGCGAGCATATCCACACCCACGCCGTCCGGCATGCGGTTTGGGCAGAAGGGCAAGGAGGCGTCAATGAGCAAGTACCGCTCCGTTGGGCAGCGGCATGTGGGCTTTTGCTTGCGTGCATGCTGGATCGGCCGCGACGCAGCATTCGGGCGGTGGGCCGTCCGCTTCACCGATGCGCAGTGGGGTTTACTGCAGGATGTGGTATACGAGCTGGACGACGAGAGGGCGGCCGGCAGGGGTCGGGCGAGGGGAAATCGGCGCCAGGGCGACAGCGACGGCGACGGTAAGGGCGACGGCGACGACGAAAAAGGGGAGGACGAGGATGATGAGGGCGGTATCGCTGCCACTGCCACGGCTGGCTCCCCCAACCCCGCGCTCGTTTTGAGAGTGTAGTAGGGTGGCAAGTTTCTAGACCATAACGTCATAACAGATAAGATCAATACACTCTGTTCAATTTCGATCTTATCTGCTAGGGATCTAACACTGGAGTGGATTGTCTAACAGAGGCTGGCTATTCCCGCTCGACGGACATAACTCTTTCGCCTGCAAAGTAGCGAGGCTATCTTACAGGCAATTTCCGAACATTCCATCATTGCATATATTTAAGAATTATTAACTTGATGAAGCCTCTGATTGTGGATAGTCCGGCAAGCTTAGTGAACAGATATGAGCCTTGAGGCCGCGATGAGCATATTTGACTACATTATGCTTAACCTCTGAGTGTTGTAGTGTGAGTTTGGTGTTGATAGAGAAGGCGCATCGTCTGCAGATGATGGCAGGCTTGGATTGATAATAAAATAAGCCAAGTTTCTCAAGCTTCTTAAGCTGGCTTCAGGGTAATGAGGGAAGAGATGTAAAGGGTGTGATTGGTGCATAAGTGGAAATGCGGCGCGCTTCTATCGTGTATTCCTGAGTAGATAGCAAAGGCGGACGCAACTTCCCTTTATTGCCATGACCCACAATTGTGATCACTAGGTAGGCTGTTTGAAGGGATGACTTGAATGAGATTAGACAAAGCCTCGCCCGCGTCCGGCCATGACTTTCTCTTCAGACCGTTTCATTTGGGCAATGAGATAGGGGCAAGAGCAGCCAAGTATTGACGCATTCCTAGATAGCGCAAGATCACCATCCAGGATTTTTCTCAGCGCAGCGGAGGCAACTCATTCTAGTCGAAGCTCGTGCTATACAAAGTGGATAAGCTAATGAGGACTTTAAGCCGCCATGTAGTACAGCTTTCAGCAGTGTGACTGGCCGAGACATACGACACGCAGCTCTGCCTCAGTCGTTCCTGCACCTACGTGTGCCTCGTCAACCTACAATTGCCTTGAGGAGCACGGGATACGACGTCGAATCCGCAGTCTAGTTTCATTGCTCTGTGGTAATCTTTCTATTCTCTCGTCTTCATGCGGTAATGAAGCCAGCCCAGCTTTGCCTCGATCTAGCAGACAAACCTCATTACTCGACAACTCGACTTATGTAGGGCAACCAGTTCAAAGAGTGCAGCCCACCGAGTAAACTTGGCTCTGGGCCATCTTTATAAAATTCGGACCGCGCCCTTCCGCTAGTGACAACCCCCTTGCTAACAAACTACGAACTCAGTAGGCGATGCTCTAGCAATTCACGCCAACAACCAATTCCTATCCTGCCTTCAACAATCGTAATGTCTCTTCCCCGTCAACATCAACAGCAACAGCAACACATCAGCTTACCCTCCAGCTATATTCAGACACCACTAACAACCATTCCAACGCCTACTCGCCCTCTTCCATTGACCTGGCACAGTCGGATCATTCGAATCCTCAGATCGCCATCAGCAACGCTTCCCACGACGGTTTCCTACTTCCGGCAACAGCCAAGGCTCCTCCTACCACCTCGCAAAGTTGTCGAGTCCGTACCAAGGATACCGGAGCTGTGGTGGCATAAAGCATATCATGCCAGAGATGGCATATCTCATCACCATCTCTGGTCCGAGTGGGAGGCCGAGCTTGGACAAAGCCTCCATTCCCGCACCCGACTTCACTACTGGCTCAACGCGGTCGCACCCTGCGTTAGTGGCGAGCTCTATCGCAGGTGGCAAGGCGAAGCTGAAATCCAACATAGGCTGATGGCTGGAGGTCAACACGGGCTGCAGCTTCCAGCTTTGGAACTCTACACCGCACTACAAGAGTTGACGCCACTGGGCCATGAGTCGATTCGATCGGCCATTGCCTTATGGGGGAGGACTACGAAGTACGTAGAGACGCGTGCGTCATTTCGGCTGGTGGATCATCGTATTAAAGCGCACTTCCCTCAGGGAAGATAACCTTGCTTTTTAACAACCTGTTGAATGATGACCCTGTATGACGAAACCTCGGATAGATTGATATCCTGACCTTAGTCAGAAAGGGGGGTATAATAACCCCTCTTCCGGCCGATCCGGATGACCGGCAGGAGGAATCATCAACATCATTATCACTGTATTGATCCCTATCTATTTGATCGAATTGACCGTAACGGATCTATCACAACCAACACACAACAGCTTGTGGGCCGCCACTTCAAGAGGAATGGATGTGCCCCACATATCCAAATACGGTTAGGGATGGCAAAGGACCTGAGAAGTGGGAACGATTTTGCAACAGGGGACCCTACGGGGCGAGGGGGGGGAATCAGGTGTTTCTAACTTCGTAGTGGTGGGGGTGTGAACATGTGCTGTACGTACACCATTCCACTTCTGCCCGTGACGTGCCGGCCGTCCGTACTAGTATTAGTAGCGCGTTGGACCCCTTGCAGCGGATCACCCATCCGATTTCAGGGGGGCAAGGCCCAGGACCACACACTCGGGGAAAAGAGACAACAGAGTCGAAAGGCCACTCTTGTTCCATGCCCTTTTATTGGGTACGTAGGTAGGCAGCTTCAAAAGCAATATTGTACTACGTACACCGGCGCTGGAACACACCTACATCAAGTCGCCACCCTCCCGCCATTCACCACCCGTGAGGTCTCATCAACAACGATTTCAATATTATAAGAAATCCAACCTCAAGACTCGACTTGCCCTCATGGTTTGGCTTCTCATTACCCCTATTTCAATTGCCACTCCAAAGTTCCAAGCCCGCTAGTATACCCATTGTGGCATCCTCTCCCATATGTCCCACTGCGGTCACTTCTAGCCTTCGATTGCTTGACTCCAGTTACGATCCTTTTTGGAAAAATCTTTCAGCATTCTGACTCAATTGAAGGCTTGTCACTTGCGCAAGCATATTTCACTATCAAATCTTTTCTGTTGCAACCGATTCGGGTATACTCCCGCCTGTCTTACCTCCACCACTCCTACTACTTATAGGCAACTTCCAAGTTCCACACAGCACAATGCCCTACTGTTCGAATACACACGTTCTCACTGTGGATGCAAACGTCATCTGCAAGGTCGACACAGGCAATCCCGTCAACCTCTATAGCATGTGGACTGGTGAGTGCCTTCACTCTTGGCAGCTTTTTGCCACCTGCCTTTGATGCTGACCAATTCGATTAGTCTTTTCTCGGTGCGCAGATTCTGTTGAACAAGGCCGAAGATTAGAGAACCTCAGCTGGCGACTCTGGCAATGCGAGACCTTCGTCGTCGACAACGATCGCAAGGCCGCCTCCACCAACAATTTCCCCAAAACTCTTCCCCAGAACATCTCTTCCGAGTTCCGGATACCCGATCTTCCTCAACTGTCTGGCCGTGTCGACTCTCTAGCCGACGAGGAAGCCGTTGACTTCACTTCCGTCTCAGCTCCTCTTGAGATCTGCCGTCTTAGGATACGCTGCCAGGATTCGTGCACCAGCAGCCGAAGCAAGCGGGAACGACACATCAGCTCCGACGACTTCGAAAAGATGATTGTCTCCATTGTGAAAGACAAGGATCCTTTGTCAGCACCGCCACCAATCTCCCCCATCGTCGCTCCTCTCAAGGAGTCGCTCCCTTCGCTGTCCGCCTTTGAGCGCCCCGGTTCTACTACCACCGAGACTCAGTCGCCTAGGAAGTCGATTAGCGATGGCTCAGACGCATCACTGGAGCCCGCTCCCATGACACCTTCGCGCGCCATAGTTGTCCGCGGGTTTTCGCCATCCTCAATTCCCGTTCCTCGAACCATCCCCAGCTCAGTCAAGTGTACCGCATCCGACATGAATACCGAGCCCACCTCCTTTCCTGCTCCCAAGCCTGTCCAGTCTAAGAAGCAGCCTACCAAGTTCACTCTTGGCGGAGCCTCCTTTTCATCCACTGAACAGGACCAAAGCCTCGATAACCGCAAACCAATCATCCCCATCGTCAAAAAGCCTATGTTTACGATTGGCGGCTCCTCTGAGGAGGATGGTTCCCTCAAGAGCGCCCTTGCTGGCTCCCGACCTAGCTCACTTCTTTCTCCGAAGAAGAAGCAGGCCTCGTTTAGCACCAATGTCATGACCCGCACCATCGAGGATGAGGCTGCAGTGGACTCTGACACCGATTATATTGACGAGAGTGCCATTGACGACGATGACGACTCGTCTGACTGGGAAGACTCCATCGAGGACAGCGACAAATCCAGCATGGATGACAAGTTTTTCCAGCGAGTCGACTCCAAGGCTAACTTGACCTCCCGACGGTCGCTCATTACTCTCATGCTGGCACAAAACGACCGAGCACGGACCCTGGGCAATCATACGTCCCAATCCACCTCGGCCATTCCTCGGTGGCGCATGGCCCCCAATGGCCCTTCGCTGAGTGCCTCGTCTAACGACTCTGACGAGGCGCCACTTATGATGAAGGGCATGCGCCCTCCCACCCTCAAACCCATTCACGAGATTTCTCGATCCAGCGCTCAACCCATCGTTTCCCATGCCAGCCATGCCCAAGGACAGGCTGCCCTGTCACCGCGCACAACGCGCCGCAACTTGCTGGCAACCGAGTTGACCAAGTCTCTCCATCGTCATCTCCTCTGGGAACGACAACAGAAGTCGTCGACCGCCAACGCGGTCTTGAAGCGACGCCACACCTCGCATGATGTAACCAATCTCAAGCAGTATCCTGTGAGATCCTGCATGAAGACGAGTGAGGATGTCAACGCGAGCAGCTGGAACCAGTACTTCTCCAAAGAAGCTAGCAACGGATATCACTCCAAGGGGTGGTGAAGAGCGACAGGATAATACCCCAGATAACAAGCTCATATATCGACAGCTTATACATATCACCACACAGGGCTCGTTTCGCACGGTCTCTGGGTTGGATTCAATACCGCGTACCACTTACAGCACATGACAACAAGGTGACGTGTATAGCGAGTAGTATGAGTTGCTTTGATTGACTCCAAAGGTTCTCAATGTAGGACAAGTCTCAGTACCTGATGTCTGGTTTAGCTTGATGGGTCAAGACCCATCTTCTCGCCCATGGGCGCACAGCGGGCTCTTTGGATCACTTCAACAAATTTTAGGATAGGCGGCAGAGAAGAACAAATTGCATTGGAACAAAGGTGAGTGGGTACCGACAAGAGTCGCCTCACCATCTGATGTAGCAAACTTCTTCTGGAACAATGGGCAAGCAAGGGCAATCGTGGAAAGATGGCTAGAGGGATTGACGAGCACCGAGAACGATAGAAGTTATCGCTACTCGTACATCTTTATTAGGTAGCACACAAGCACATGAGTCCCCAAGCAAAGGAACCAAAGCAGACAGAGGGACTTCGCGTGCACAATTGCTCACAATTAGGTCCTAAGAAATCGACCTCGCTGTTTGATGTGCGCCCCAGGGGTGCAATTTTGAGCCGTCTGTAGAGCAATAGTCACGCGGCAAGCCATCAAATCCCACAGAAGCCAGGTTCCAGTTTATCGGGACGCCAGGGTTGACAAACGTCGTTGCTAACGGGTTAGGCTGTTGCTGCGTGAATGCGTACATGGTTGACGTGTTTGGTGCAGTGGATCCCGGTAGCCACGGTTGGTTATATAGGCTGGTCCCAGGCTGTCCAGGATAGTCTGTTGGGGGGGCTAAAGATTGACGGTCGTCGGCTGGAGTCTTGAGAAGTAGCAACCCCGATGTCCAAGGCGACATTCCCAGCCGTGGGGTGAAATGAGGCTTGTCCACCAACAGGCATACTGCTCCCTTCAACAAATCCATGTTGCTCTGATGTTATCTCCTGGATCATAGAAGGTGTGTACTGGATTCCTTGCACCGGCAAGTCACTTAGAAAGGGCGTGCCATATAGGGCTGTGCTAGAGCCGTGATCTGGCGCCGGGGGCATTAAACTCTGAACAGTTGGCAGTTTTGTCGCTGAAATGTCGTCATCCTCGTCTTTTGTGATGGATCCGTCGTCATATTCAGAGTACGCCTCCGGAATCTTATCTTCTGCCATGACATACACCTCAGTGTTTGCATCTTCGTATTTGTTAGCGCTTGGTTGCCATTATGATTTGAAAAAAACCGTCAGAGGCGGCCTACCGATTTCTCCATTTTTGAACCTCTCCTCATGCTTAGCCACCCTAAAGATCTCGTTCAGGTACGGTCGCTTTTTGCCATTGGCTGGGTTTTTCTTGTCGGCAAAGAACGCTGACAATGGTTCGGTGGTGATCTCCTCAAGCTTCTTTACGTTGAGGTTCAGCTTCTGAATGTCGGGGTGTTGTTTATGGTTTGGCTCCACAATCATGCGCAAGATATGGCACAACAAATGAACGCGTTCTACAAGACTGTTAGATCACCGCGGTAGTCCAAATCGCATTTGCGAACTCACCCCTCTTGTAAAGATGATCCGGCTCCTTGTGGCGGACCTTTTGTTCTTTGGTCAGACCCCATGGCTTGGGTCATCACTCTGGCGCCTTCTCGTCGCTCCCAGTATACGGATGGGTAGATTGCTTCTTGGGTTCGACGGCTTTGACCCAGGCCTTGGCGATGAGTTTACATGCTGTCTGCTGACAATTTTTGAACCGTTGTTCATAAAAATTCCACACATCTTGCTAGTTGCCGATATTAATCCCCTTCCTAGTCGTCTTGACGACTAGGGGAACATCCTCATCATCGTGGACTGGGTGACGAGCCCGGCGTCTCTTCCGACCTGGTCGTCCAGAAACATCCAAGTCTTCAAAACTTGACATAGGCCAATGATCAAACGTTCGATTTCTCAGAAAAGGCTGACCCGAGTCTAAACAGTTCAGGACACTCTGGTACTTGTCGGGATCGAAGAACTGTCGCATGACATCGCCGTCAAGTCTCGCACCCCCGGGGCCAGAGATGATCATTGGGCTTTCATCATCCATGATTACTGCAAGAAAGTAATTTCTTGCAGATATACCGCAGTGTCGACATATAGCTTCGTCGATTTTCTGTGTATTTCTTTTCGTTTCAGAGACGAACTTGATGTTATTAGGAAGTAGGCTTACCATAGGTAGTAGCCGACCTTGCACGCCTTGTGTATGGGCGAACCGATTGTCACCAATAATACCCGATCGAGCCATCGTGGACCAGTTCTCGTAGGAGAGATGTAAGACAGAGTCTTACAAGGAATTCAATGAAGAAATGTTCCCAATGGACGGTTTAGAACACGTCGAGAGATGTAGAATGATGCTCACGGGCTAGTGTTATGTAGGCCGTGAATAGATTAGATCTGGACAACAGAAGTGCAGACGCGTGGTTGATAAAGGGATGGGCCAGGGGAACTGAAGTACCCACGTTGTCTCTCTTGTTGGTTGTCTCGTTATGCTGGGAGGTCCACCAAGGTCTCGGAGGCACGCGTACATCAATAGCTGCGTGCAGGGACAAAGCGGAGCAGTTCTTTGATTCGGCAGGTGATGTGAGTCAATGTTTGAGGCATTTTGCCACTGCTCGAAGAAAAAGAAAAGAGGTGAAAAGCAACCCGACAAAAAAGCAATACACCAAGAGGACAATCAAACCGGGACTCCACAGTGACCGCGGCAGTTTTCAGCTGGACATCTCTTGTTGTTCAAAGTACACTCGGCCATTGGATTAACTGTTAATACCACCGCGCCCATGTGGGTGACTCCACCATCCATGTATCACTCGGCCACTAAGCTCGGACTGCCATGAGGTTTGAGCCATCATTGACATCAACGAGTTCACATCTGCGGGAGTAGTTGCTAGCCTCCATCGTAGTCCAAGAGCGTGACGACTACCATCGCCGTTGATACCGCCTAAAGGGGGTCGAATGTTGAACGAAACCCGGAGTGGACTCTACCCGCAAGTCCACTCCACGAGTCCACTCCGGGTTTCGTGTGGCCCAAACTTCATAGACTATCATAGAACTGAATACGGCCCACAAAGACACCCAGTAGTGCCCACCGAAACCTCTCGTGTATCCCCAATTCTTCATGTTTAATCTCGGCATCGACTCAAATGGCGATTCGTTGGCAACCGATCCTCATGTGCTTGAGGATCAGGGCTTTCCCAGGAAGGGGTGTGATGTAATACTCGATTGCGAAGCATTGGTCTCGTATCTATCGAGATCTTGTTGTTGAAATGTCTTGACATCGGGCGGCATCGGTGTCGGCATCGGCGAGGGTAATGGAGGGCCTCTTCATCGTGGGACTTTGTGTCAAATCATCGTTCTTCTGCCTTTGTGGCAAGTTAGCTAGTAATTGACAGAGAGCAACTCGTAGCTTACACTTACCTCCCATTCCATGACCCAGTCAAGAATAGCCGCAGCCCGACAAACACTTCTATAAGCAGTGATGAATCACTCCGTCATTCGTGGGGAAGGAGGCCTGCAAGTAAGCCAATAAGTAGGACAGGAGTAAGGCGAAGGCAGTGATGTTAAAAAAGAGAGCGAGATAGCAGGTCTAGATGTTATATCCACAAACGACCTGAAAACCAAAAATAACGGTGAACGATGAGCAAAATATGATGTCTAGGGGCCAATTTGCCCAGTTTTGTTAGATAAAAAGTTTGATGACAGTGGCGAGTGGAAATGTAAGGGCACTGCAAGTTAAAATCAATTCAAGCTGAGTAGGTGGCTTGGGTGTAGGGGAAAAAGCTAGGACAAGGCCAAGGCCAAGGACGGACAGCACGTATCGTCAAATGTCTCCAGCTGAAATTATCGTAACAATGGGAATGATATTGCTACGTTGAGTTCGAATTCGACAATGGTGGCCCAAACAAAATTGGCGGATCAAGGGTTGGCCCCAAGACACGCTTACGTAGGAAAGCCATCGTATCTACAGCTGGGCATTGGGCGGCATCGGATTTTGCTTACCGGTGGTCGAACCGGTGAGAAACCCCAACAACTAATCTACAAGCACATTGGTGGGAGATCAGCAAGAGCTGCATTCCATTCCTGCAATTTGAAATGTAGGTCTCAATGCGATGTCTTACGCCCTGATGTCCCGCTTGTCCTGTGCATGAATCAGTGGCTGGCCAGTTACCGCGGAGCTGAATGATGGTGTGTGAAGCAACGAGCGGCCGCCAGGGCTAAAGTGCGACTCCGTCACCGTACAAGTGGGGGGCCGAGTAGTTGGGGTGACACGGCTGCCAGGGTGGAAGGCACTGATGATTGAGAGCAGAGACGAGGATTCAGCTCTGTGCGGCACTCACCGCTGCTCTTTGCGCTGGGGCAGTTCTCCCATCAAGCCCCTCCGTCCCGTCCTATTGCTTTCATTTCTTATTTTACTTCAAGGAACTTACTCATATTTTTAGCACCCTGGCATGACAATCGTTCCCTTGACTGCTTTCAACAGCTCCTGCGCCGTATGTTCCTCCAAAGACATTGCCTTCTCCGATCCACAGTCCGCCACTCGAGGGTTGCCAATCACCAGCTCCGGGCCTATGAAGGTCCCCTGTGGAGAGATATCCGAAAAGCTTGACGGTTTTACAGGTTGACCTACATCTTCTCGTCCGCCTATGATATTGACGTAGGTACGCTTTCCTATTACGTCCACAGCTCACTGATGTCTTAGCTTCCATCGCCACATGTCGTGGTACCATTTCGACTAAGAGACAGAGTTCAACACTTGTGTTGCGTTATCAACCAGCACTTTCAGCGAGGCTGTCTTCATGCTTGTGCAGGCTAGTGACGATGGCCTGGCCAACGCTACATAATTGCTCTCAGCCGCACACATACCTTGTCCACCGACAACCCAAGTGCCGTTATCAGGCCCACTCGCACTCCGATCGACCTCACCCAGTCGAATCTCGATGACACTCACTGTCCTCGGCCACCCAAGATCGACCCACCTTCACGGACCAGAACCTTTCTCTGTCTAATCTGTACGTATGCCCGAGATGGCTTGACTCATTATCTTCGGACATTCGCGAGGAGCCGCAAGTGGAATCCATTCCCGCACTCAACGTGATTGCCGACTTCGCATACCGTTTCCATGCCCCAACCCAAACTCAAATCGTTGTCTGGCCTCACGAACATCAGCCAGCAACTCCACGAAGCCAACAGCCGCAATCTAGCGCCAACTCGTCCACCGGCTCTGTAGCCCGCCTGTGGTAGCCTTGGACAGATTCGTAAAAGGTGTCAACAGGGGTCTATGACCCGATTTGTAAAGTGTGCCAACAGGGGGTATGACGATGAAGTGTGTCAACAGGGGTATGTGACCCGATTTGTAAAGTGAGAATCGGTATGTGGTCTGTGAGTGGATTGCGTTAGTGAGGTCTGGATTGGCCCCAGGCGGCTCCATGCATGTGGATAGGAAGGAGTGGGCTTATTCGCACACTCGACGCGATACAAGGGCTTTTGGTGAAGTGGGGAGGTGGGGAATAAGCTGCTCTCTAGCACGAGCTTGCCTCAGTAGGTGCCTGCGAGAGAAGAGATAACTAGGTACGATAGGCAATGGACAACGGTGGCTTGCATCGACTCGAAAGCAGTTGGGTAGCGTGGTGGGTATCGTTCTTCGGACTTGATCCTTGTCACCGCTCTGTTGGCCGTTCGTTTACTCTCGTATGGACAAGCAAATCGAGAGGGAGGGATCGAGACAGGGTGGAAATGCCGGGATGGGTGTGATGTGGAACACAAGCTTGCGTGGACGAAAAATATACAAACTGTGCATGCCACCTACCAATGGCGGGGCTCGTATCTCTTAACGCCACCGGGCGGGTTTTCGCCGCTCAGATAACATGCACTTCATCATCTCTCACGTTGCAGATATTCTTCCTGGAAATCGGCAAGGTAGTCCATTCAAAACTCTAAAATTAGGTTGCTGTTGAACAGGTCGAAACATGTAATTCTGGGATCTTGTTAGGCCGATGGTTTCAGTTGCAAGATACTTGGTTTGCCGTAGACGAACGCAGTGCTGGGTTGTACCGGCTAACATATCTTAGCACCGCGTCGAAATTTTTCCCAAACGCGTGTCACACGTTGGGCGCCGTTGGACGCGTTGGATCGCGTAGTTGCTGAAATGGCACTCTGCAGCAGGCCACAGATTCGGAAAGACGTTGCCTAAGGCACCCGAATCTTGGACGGACTAATAGTCAGACTGTTAGTCTGCGACCCTCGGACTGGACTACAGGTCGGTCTGGTAGAAGTCAGACTGAACCATCAGTCCAGTCCGAGAGACGTAGACTGGACCGTCAGTCTAGTCCAAGAGACGCGGACTGGACCGCCAGTCTAGTCCGAGAGACGCAGACTGGACCAATAGTCCGTGGTCTGGACTGCAGTTTGGACTAATAGTCCACTTTTTGGTCTGGACTATTAGGAGCTCTGCTCCCGAGTCGGTTCCTCTGACGGGCGTCAGATGGGCATCCTGCTTTCTCATTGAACGCCCCTATGTTGGCTCTTTTCCCGACTGCTTGCTGAGATGCAGAACAACTGTTCTTCAGCCTGGTGCCACATGTCGGAGGATAGTATGCTGGCTTGCTCCCTGGGAGCCTCAATAGGGCTGTCGTTGCAACCGACGAGGGGAGCTAGTGTGAGGGGAAGATGAGGCTGAAGGTGCGTCCAGGCTTGAAAATGAGGGGTCGTCCCCTCTCACGGCTTCAACCGCCCAGGAGACAACTTTTAGAATCTCGATGCGTTGCCGTGTTTGTGACTCGGCCGGTTTGGTATCTGCACGAGTTGCCCTACGGAAGAAGAGATGTGGACAAGCATACAGCCACTTTTGTAGAGTCTACGACATGCCGGTGCCTTGTGTTCTGCTTCTCACCCACCCCACCATTTCAAACCAACAACCCAAGACCACCGCAACGAAAACAAAAGAAAGAATAAGAAAGAGAAGAAACAGGAAGCGGGACAAGTGTGCAAAAAGAACACACAAAAGTACCATTCTGAGAGCCTTGCTTTGGTTGAAGCCCAATGCCCTCTGTGAACACCCTGCCTGCTCTTGGTGGACTTATGGACAGTCACTAACCGCTTTCTTGCCACAGCCCGCCACCAAGAAGCTTCTACGTGGCACTCAGGATTGCCTCAGATCCGCTGCAGTGCCTGACCATCCACCCAGGCACTAGGTGGATCAATCTCAGATCTACCTAGTTCATTCACGTATTTAAGCAGGGTACAGGGAGGGCTTTTGAAGGGCCATCTAAGCTCATCCTTTTCTTTTGCTTGCCCCATCATGGCCGAGGTTATCGGAGTTGCCGCTGCCATACTCCAGCTTATCTCAACCTGCAACACCATTTCGAAGCGAATTAGCGAGATCAAGGACGCTCCCAATGTCCTGTTGAAGTACGAAAAGCGCCTCTACGATATCCGCCACCTCATGGAGCACATCAACGTGAATTCCTGTAGTGGACAAGTCCAGGATCTCATTCATGGTCTGTTACAGCTGGTGGAAAGCAGCCCAGTCGATAAACTGGCCCAGCTATCGTCTGCCCGGCGTTTCGTTACACTCTTGCGTAAGAAACAAGAAATAGAGGACCACTTTTCAAGCGTCGATGAGAAGTCAAAACACCTCCTTCTTGCCATCAATGCAGATCACACCTCGTCCCTGTCAAGCATCGACGGAAAACTTGGCGAACTAATGATGCGGGCCGTTGAGTCGCAAAAGGCTGTCGGTGCGCCCGGGGACACAATATCAGATGAAGGAACTGGGGCCAGCATTCAATCGCATCACGGAGCAATCGCGGGGCCAGGAGCCGACCAAGTCAATGGCATTGACGCTGAGGGTAGCATTCCCTGTCAGAATCTACCCAGATTTGTGTTCTCAAACTGCCACAAGATAGGACCAGGCCTTCAGATCAATGGCTTGCGCGTTTCGAACTTCGACGGTACTCAAGACCTCCCGCGGATAAATGCATCTTTCGAATCATGTACCGCTATGTCCGAGGAGGGAGATGGCCCCACAGTACAGGTGAACGGCTTGATCTTTCAGAAAAGTAGAAAGTAACATAAAGAAGAAAGTATTAAGAGAAAATACAGGCAAATGGGTTGACAGAACGGTTTCTCTTCATTTGGGGTGTCTCTTTCCTTATCCCGTGTCGGAGCTACCGTCGAGTGTGTCCTAGGTTTGAAGACGGCAGTCTGTTGTCGACTTTGTTCTGGGGGTTAGCTTGCGAGGCATGAGGGGCAACGCTGGAGGAGCAGAATTTCCGGATGAAAGAGGTGGCGGAGGGGCCAGGTAAATTTACTAGATCGATGTTTCAGTGTATTGATGGTTGTGGAAAGCCCCAGGAGGTTCAGATCGGCCAGGCGTACTGCGATGATTGAGGGAAGGAATGAACAGAGCACGAGGATGTTGAGGGGCATCATGGGTATTTGTACTCGGCTCGCTCGTCGAAAGCGTTCACGGCCCTAGTGAGTGAGGCGAGCGCGAGTGGGGTTCAATCCCGACGTTAATCCCCATCGTCTCCTCAACCGCAGCCAAGCATTACCAAACATGGTGAGCCTGATGATCCCACAGCCCTGGAGTGACACGGTTCTTCCCCCCGCCACCTAATTTCGTCTTGGTCTCTTTGCTTTCTATCCGCTTGCCGTCGAATATGGACTGACAGTAGCTTTCCCAAATGATGCTTCATCGCCAACTTCCTTCTTGATCACAACTTGAGTAGGCCTTCTAAGATTCAGTTGGTCGGTCGCTGTTCCGGTCACCAACTTTTCTATTATCTATGAGAGCTGTGGCTGTTCTCATGCAATGAATGCATGAGAACAGCGAGACGTCAAAGGGTGATATTCCTTCTCACTCCTTGTCTGTGGCTCCCACATTCTCAACCGACTCCGTCCTCGCTCCATCTGACAGCCACTCTTCCAAGCCACTAACAGCTGAAGAGTAGTCGCTATCATCCAAATATTGGTGATCACCTGCCGTTCTCCCCTTGTACACATTCTGCTCCAGATTGACATTCTCCATTTTGCGCTTTGGATATCGGACTTTCAGGATTTGACCACAGCTTCCTTGGTGATCTCTGCTGGGAACCAAATCTTTCTGTCCACCCTTTGGGACCGATACAGAGTTTCGTCAAGTCTTTCGAGATGGTTGGTAGTAAGTATGACAACGACTCCCTCAGAGCCCAATTCGCCACGTATCATCCCCACATGCCTTTCCCCAAGAAATTGAGTACAGGCTCAGTGACACAATGGCCAACAGCGTCATCGATTCTGCGGGACGGTCGAGACTGTTACCATAGCCCCTGTCATAGACTGTGACATGGTTGGAATTGCGACGGCTCATCTCGTTATACGTAGAAGGTGATGATATGAGAATACCTTCCTTCGACATGGCTGATGCGTATGCTGTAGTGTGAATTGGCTGGTTGGGTTGCCCAGACCCCGGCTGTGGAGGTTCTACAGACGCTGTTTTTGCGGAACTCTGTCAGAGTCAGCCAGGCGAAACAGAGACAGGCGTTTTCCTTTCATTCTCATCTATGCAGCTTCTCACCTCATTCCATCCTACATCTAGCTGACGTGACTTGGATTGAAACCACAAAAAGGCTCAACAGATTCGTATCTACGCATGATTGGGTTTCCATTTTTGTGTCTGGGATAAATATAGATACCACAGTGAATCCAATTACCAAGTCACCCCTTAGAAATGTCGGCAAGCGATCATCCGCCTGGAGGATGCAGAGGAGTACTCGGCTAGTTCCGTGATTTTGCCAGCCGTCCAAGCGAGACACAGCGCCCGCGTTTTCATGAGCTGACAGCACACTCGCCGGTGATAACGCCCGGGGTAGCCTCACGAAACTGGAGACGTGTCACTGGCCGACGTGCCCCTAGTAGGCTGGCTCTCCCCGGAGATCTTCCTCCAAAGCTTGCGAGCCTTGCCCATCCAGCAGGACAGGTACGATGCACTCTGGGCGGGGCGGTTGGTCATTACGGGCAACTGCCGCCTCATTCATTGACCAACAACACGGCCACTACGCTTGAGCAAGGATAGTGTCTACAGGGGCTGCCGAACTCGTGCAAGATATCATTTGCAAACCGAGGAGGCGGCCGCGTCAGCAGCACACTGTCAACACAATTCAACCAGGATTGGTGACCGGTGAGTGGAAATTGTTGAAGTCCGAAACCCCCGTAAAGCCACCTGGGATCATGGATGCCTCTGTGCGGCCTCAAGGGGATGTCTAGATTTCAAGGATAACTAGATTTAGTTGGCTGCCCAAGCGATCGCATCATTAGCCTAGCCGCCTCGCGACCCTGCCCAGACACGGCCGTTCAAATGTACTGACGGTACTGAACCATGCCACTTCCCTCTCCTGCTCACCGTCAAACAAGACGAGCCGTGTCGTCCGAAGTCTCCGCCGCAGGCATCATGCTGATGGTACTCGGAAGCGGCAACGCTATGGCACAGGGAGCAACAGTGTACATTATTGACCGGGGCAGTCACATCGACCGCACAGTGCGAATTATCTCCCTGGGCTGCTGTCCGATTCGGCAAAGGGTGGCAATCGGTGAGTGGGTACCCAGAGGTTGGGCTGATGAGGGAGGACAATCCTTGTCCGTCAGAAATATCCCATGTCCTTGTCCCTTGGCTCCCCTCAAAGCCCCACCGAGACAAATGAGGGGCTTCAAGGATGATCAGATTCGAGATGGCAGGACCCACAGTGACCAGAGATCGGTTGCTTGGGTGGTTGCATTACCATTACTAGCGTGTCCGCCTCACAGCGCAGCCCCGTTCTCATGCAGCCTCGTTGGTAGACACGCGTTAGCAGCCCTCGAACAGTACCGCTTCCGGATACGTTTGTTTCGCTCCATTGCGTCAATAGCGCCGTTTGCTTGCAACAGCCGGGTGCTGAGAGGCACGAATAAGTGACCGCTCTTACTGTAGTCCGCTGCGCAGGATGGTCTCTTCCTCTCAAAACTACACAGGGCTTGGGACTATCACGGGGTCAATATTTGTCCCCGGATCGGGTTTCACCGAATGGATCCATGACGGCATACCGTAAGGATATGCTTAGTCCCCACGGAGTCACAAGCGAGTGTTCAGAGCCCAACGCCGGCAGAGGGTACACGTAATTACGCCTTCCTCACATGTTTGTAATGATAAGCGCTTGCTTGTGACCAGCAGGGTTGCGTTTCATGGCCATTTATCCAACTGGCCACCTCTGTGCTGGTCCTCCTCATCGCACTGTAGGACTTTTCGGGACTAGGTACTCCCAATTCTGAACCAGAGAGTCCGCCATCCCCCTCCCCCTCTACGCCTACACGAGTCCTCCTGTTCATACATCAACGCATGACATTGGCTCTTTTTCTGAGCTTGAAGTCTTGAAATCCATCCAAGTATGAGTCTGCCCCTGGCTGCCAACACTCCCGACCAAGGTGAGGGTACTTCGGGGCATGCTGCTCTGTCACGGTCATGAGCCAGCCAGCGTGGCTCCTTATTTGATGTGAGTTCGCCGCATCTGCACCATTCTGGCAGGCCGCATCGCCAACTTCAGCCATGCGGTGGCAATCAGGTTCTGGAGCCCGAATCCGTTATGCGCGAGGAGTTTCAGCAGTCGGAGATAATTACCCCTTGTGAATATTCCTGTGACTGGGCGCTTGTATCGAGGATGTACGTGATCAATGGATGCACCTCAGGAGACAATGCAGACGCATCATAGCCACCCAGCTTGCAGTCATAGATCGCGTAGCTGGCCATAAAAATGCAGGGCTGACACACAGAGCTGCGTATAATTGGTCCTTGTCATTCTGTAAGTTCTTTTTGGCCCATGCGCAGAGCAATCCCACAGTGTTGAAGTCCCAATGAGAATAGTTCGTGAGGAGCTTTAGACAGAGCGCGTCAAGCCAATCCCCCACGACAAATCGCTCCCACTGTATAGTTTCTTGATAGATATCGCCATGTTCCCGTACAGTGAGAGGTAGGATGCTTGTCCTTCATCATCTTCGGAATCGACCTGGGGCATCGAGTCCCCGTTCTGACTACCGCAAGAGTGTCGAGCACAGCGTTTGTCTGAATCATTAGTAAGAGAATAGCACCGTAAGGATTACATGAGCTCGCGTCGCCGAGTTCCTCTATTCTAGGGCAGCCCTCTGACCAATTTTTAACCTGCCACGTCAGCTACTACTCATTTTGTCGTCGCTTGTTATTGTTCGTGGTGTCGGTGGCTATCTAAGAAGGCCGACTAAGGCGACCTGGGTGGTCGACCTCTGAAAAGTGAGGCTGGCAGACTGCATCTGAGCAGTGGCCTAACTCACGAAAACAAGGCAACTCTGGTGCCTTACTCCGGGCTTCACCGACCTTTGAGCCTCATTGAAAACCGTGTATCTGCCGTTGGGTTCTATAAAACAGCTACCACGGACGCGAAAGCTGACGGTCAAGCAACACCCATTTCTCTTTTATTTGACCTGATCTACTACAACACCGAAACCAGTGGCATGGAGCGGCATCCCGGGCCAACGCTCATCTTCACAGATGCTGAGAAAAGAGTCGGGAAGAATGATGCTCTTGTCCAAGCCAGGTCTAGTACAGTGCAGAACATAGTGCTCACCTACGGCTACGACGACCGCCTTCGGCTTGCTGTTCAGGGAGTGACAGGCTTGGACGGCGAAAAGCTTCAGGCCACCTGGAGAGACCCAGATGGAAAGGATTGCAATATCACCACTTCCCCCTTCGATATCGTTAAATCGAAACTCTTACCCGGCACAATGAGAAAGTTTGTTGAAGGCCTCTCACCCTCTTCAGTCAAGAAATTCGTCAACGAGCACTTTTCCGAGTTGAAGCCGATACACCAAATTCTCAATAGCCTCACCGAAGATTACAAACAAGGCATTGTTAAGAAGGCGCTGGATTCTCTTATTGCATATCGACTGGCGACTTCTATGGTTGTTTCGGATGGCACTGATGCCATTTTTGAAAGCGGGCTGGTAGATGCTGAAACCTCCCGGCTGCATGGTCAAACTGTCGTGTCCCCACTGATCAATGCAAACCTTCGACTTATTCAACTACAAGTTTGGCTGCAACTGAGATCCGAACTATTCGAGGAGCTCTCCAAAACTTCCAGCCAGACGAATGAAAAATGGCTAGTGATGCTGATCCTTCTTCTCAACCTTGAGGATGTCGAATTTGACTGCAAATTTCGCGATCTTACAGTTCGGGACGTCGAGAAAGCTAGTGCGGAGCTTGAGCAACGCATCCAGGAGTTTCTGATCGACAGTAACTTCACTTCAGAATCTCTCGACACAGGTGATGCGTCTGGGAAGGCTGTGCGCAGAATACTTGACGACAGTATACCTCATAGTATGTCCCACTCCTGCTTGACCTATCAATCTCTTCGAAGACTAACTGCGGTTATAGAGAAAATGATCATCGAAGTTAGTGAGAAAGATCTCAGCTCTGCGTTTGACAGCAAAGATGTAAACTCAGTGGCAGGCCTGCACACCTTCAAGCTCTTAAGGAAGAGCTTGAACATCGAAACAGGAAAGCTCGCTTGCCATCCTTCTCTGGGAACTATTTCTAAATTGTAGGAGGTTTATTTTCTTTAGCTTTAGATCTATGAATTTATATCAGCAGTAGGATTAGGTTGTCAACCAAGTATGAAGTTTTGACCGTACCTCGATTGTGGCCGCGGCATGTGGCTTGACTTTGAGCACAGCGCAGCCATTTAAACCTTATACCCCTTCGCAGTTTGTGCGGCCCATTCAGGAGCTGGCTACTCGTGTACTCTCAGGACCCTGTCACCGGACTGCCCAAGGAGGCTGCGAAGCGGGTTCTCGGTGGCGAGATAGCCTCTGATCCAAGACGATCGACGCGGTCAACCTAGACACGGTGGTGTGGCCACGGGCGAGCGTGGCAGTTGGCGCACTCCGGTCGGAGCGATAGGACTCTACAGGGTAGAAGCGGTCGCTGTTTGACGCCGCGCCACGGCTGACGGATATGCGGCAGCGGGTGGTGGCGCGCGGAGTGTTGGCGTGTGTGGATCGCGTACGAGTATTGGGAAGGCAAACCAGGTGGATTATTGGTCGGAAGATGATAGTCATGATACGTTAAAGATTAAAGGAAGCACTTCAATTCTATCGGGTAAGCCTGCTGGACTCTTGTAACACCACGCCTACCGAGGATGCCACTTGTTCGCTCTTGGTGGAGGCTCATCACTGGAGTCACGGACGTCGCGTTTCCGTTTGCCGCCGTCCTGCTTCTCTGGGTCCTTCTCCCATGTCTCTATCTCCTGAGGGTCGAAATGCCTGACCACGTCGCGCCCCAACGCCTTGCCGAGTCGTTCTCGTAGGCCGAGGATGGGCCAGATGGGTAGTCGTGCGTAATCGATCCTGATGCCGGAAACCTCTGTGTTGTCGCCGCCCTTTGGTGCCTTGAAAGGATCGCGGAACTTCTCCAAAAACTCCTTCGTCACATTGGTTGTGTACACAATGAATTCAGATGTGCCAATGTCGTGTGTCAAGATTCTCAATGTGACATCCTGGATTCTCGCGCATGGCAGTACGCAATTCGTCGAAGGACACGGCGCGCATGCGGCGCAACATCTCCTTATCCCAGTCCTTCGGCAGGCCGTGGATGACGCTTTGAACAAAGTTCCGCTGTGCAGCGCTGGGCGTCGTCGACTGCTCATCCGCGAACATGACGACAATCTGGCTGATAGTACCTTCCAACAGATGTCGGTCAATCTCCACCTCTCCCTCGGTGACCTTACGGATAGCATCGCGGGAAGCGGTAATAGCCTTGAAGGCGTCAGGAGAGCGGTAAACACGATACGCGAGGATACCCGAGTTAATGTTACGCGAGAAGCAGTAGCCGTAGGCGTAGCCAGCACCACGGACGGCATTCCAAAGGGGACCTTCGGGAGCCTCTAGGTAGCCGATAGCGACAGTAAGGGCGGCAAGGTGCCGGTCGTAGAAGGACTCCAGACCCTTGGCCGTAGAGACAGAGTATGAGCTGTCAAGGGTGGTCATGGGAATGATGACTGCGCCCACGGATCCAGGGTTCCGTCCCTCAGCGTTAAGCAGGCTCGCGGGCTCAGGAATCTCGACCATGTCCTCTTGAGCAGTTAGAGATTTTGAAAGGGTGTCCCAAGTTGTAATGGGGTCGGGAAGGGTAGCCAGGCTGGCGGTGACGAGGAACCGCAGGTTCTGGAAGGTGAAGAGGGACTTCCGGACGGTGTTGAACTAAGAGGCAACCTTCTCAGGCTCCTTCTCCAACAGTTTCTTGAGGCGCTTGAGGTACGCGGCTGGACCAGGACACGCTTGGCGACAACCAGCGTAGACCTCTCCATGTGAAATGCTGTGTCGACTTCGCCGGCCATGCCGCGGCCATCACGCTTGCCCTCGGGGATGTCAGCCAAGGCCTTGGTGACGCCGGCCTTGAGTCGCTGAGGGTCGAAGATGGAGTCGAACATCACGGTGTGAATCCATTCTACAGACGCCGCGTACTTTTCCGGCTCGACTTGAAACTGAATCATGATGCCGTCTGCATCGCCTAAGGATCTAGCAGAGCTAAGGGAGTAACTAACGGTATCCCGCTCGAGCTCCATGACGACCTGCTCAAACCCGACCTGCTCTCCATTACGCATAATGTGGGTGTTGAAGAAATTGTCGCTGAAGATGGGCATCAGGGGCTTGAACTCATCGGGAACTTGAGAAGTGCCGATGTGGATGGTGATGTGTACGAAGTTTGTCGGCACATCCTCGAACTGGATGAATAGGGGCACCTTGCCATTCGGCGCGGCATCGATGGACTTTTGCGCGGGCCCAGCGCCCAGGCCAACAGATCGAGCGTATCCAGCACGAGCAGTGTCGGACTCAATGAAGTGGATGGAGTCCGTACCAAGAACGGACCAGCGGTCGATATAAAAGCGAGTCAGGGATTGGCTCGTCGTTCTTCGTCTTCGCCTCTTCAAGGCGATTTCCAAGCTTAGCAAGGCCCTCGGGTCCAATCTCTTCCTTGAGCTTGGCAATACTAGCCTCTTCATCCTCCTTCATCTTAGAGGCCATCTCCAGAGAGGGCTTGCCGAGGACTGAGATGTGATGAGCATCTGAGATCCACTGGCGGAGGAAGTCCCGCCATTCTTTGTCCGTCCACTTCTCCAAGGTATCGTACTCGTCCAGGTTTTGCAGATCTTTGAGTGTTGAGCCATCACGCTCTCCAAAGAGATAGTCTGTGATAATATTCGTATCGTAGAAAGACTCGGAGGTCTCGGCGTGGTACTTGACCTGGCGTCTCTCTCGTCGGATACACTCTCTCATGTAATCCATGCCAATGGGATTGGAAGCTACCTCCTTCAGCAACTCAAACAGGCGCTTCTCAACGAACTCGAGCTTCTCGGCAGCGACACCCGTAGGCCGCAACCAGATGACGGAGTTGGGGCGAGAATCCCACCAGTAACTAACAGAACTAGCGAGTTCCTCGCGCTCGACGATGACATTCTCGAGGATAGAGACAGATGAACCACAGAGATAGGTGAGAAGGACGTTAAGTGCAGATGTGGCGGTAGTATCAATGCAGTTTGGGCCAAAAAAGCCGACAAGAATTTCGCCGACAGTCTCATCTTCTTCCGGGAACTCTGCAGTAACGATCTTGGACTCATTGAGAGCAGGAGGCTGAGCGGAGTCAATCCATGGTCTGTTACCGTAGAGTCAGTAAAGAGTTCGAGAGTGGGAGCAGGGTGCAGGGCGGGCCTACCTCTGGAAAGGGGTGTCAAGGGAAGGAATGTCATCCTTGATGGAGTCTTCGAATTCGTCGAGGATTTGGAGCAATTTCTCTTGGCCTATCTCTCTAACGATGACCAGGCAAAGGTTTCGGGGCTGGTTCATGTCTCTGTGGAACTGGCGTATGCGTTCGGGAGTCAGGACACGAAGGGCTTCAGTCATGCCGCCAGTTTCGTATCGGAAACCAACATTCTCCGGGTAAAGAAGGCGACGGGCCTTCAGGTCCATGATCTCAGGACTGCGGAACTGAACAGCTTGCATCTCCGAGTAGACAACACCGGCATCGTTACCCTCGCCATCGATGTGACAGACCTCGGTCACGATCCCCTCATCAGTAATCGTTGGCAGGATGATGTGCTCCAAGTAGACAGGGAGGACCTGTGCAAAGCCATCCCATCCGGCAGTCTCGAGAGTGTAGGCGGTATGGTCCGTGGCAGTCCAGGCGTTGGTGCTGGAGTAGGCACGAGATGACAGCTTATCAAGGAGACCCTTGTACTGGTAGTTCTTTGAGCCCATGAAGACTAGATGCTCAAGAGTATGGGGAGCACCCGAATCATCGAAGATCTCAGTGGCTAAGGTGAAGTAACCGTTGACTTTGGGGCCCTTGCGGGCCGCCACGACGACCTGCAAGCCACTGCGTTCGGAGACATATTGGGATATGGTGCAGGGAGCATAGTAGACCTTGAAGCTCTGAATCTTTCGAAACCGCGATTCGAAAGACATCTTGGGTTCCCTAGGTATTCAACTTTCCAGTTTCCACAAACTAGGAGGCAGTTAGCATTATAGCATACAGATATGGGCAATACTAACCTGCTTTAGTTGAGTGGTGACCTCACGTAGGTTGAACACGATACAAGTCTTGCAAGAGAAACAGGTTGAGGTGGGATATTCGGTCGATGATTATGTGTGATAGGGCTCGCTCCTTAGACCTTCCGTCCATTCCGCCTTTTGGGCGGGAGGTGGGCTGCACGGCCGAAGCCAATGAGAACATGAGCGCTGTCCAGTCTCACATTGCCGATAGCTGATGTAGCTGGAACGCCACAAGACGGAAGCACAGCATGGTTATCGGGTATGAGAAAAATTGGCGATAAGCTAGAGTAAAGTGGAGGGCGGGATCGAACCGGGGCTTGAGGGATGCATATCCGAGGACCAAGCGAGGCAACCGGTGGCGGGACGACGCGGTGGAGGTGAAGGCCTACTGCCATTTGTCCATCGCTAGAAGATTACTCTTCGCCATGTGTCTTACGAGAAGAGGAAAGCAGAAGAAAAGACCAATTGGCTCCGGGCTCCCTGCCAAGGATGGTAGGCTGTCGGGGTGTCTGCGACCTCTGTAACGTAGTCTTCCAGGTTATCCCACCACATTGACAGTGCAGACCAAGTTTATCGTCAGGCTCTGCTAATACTCAGGGGTGCAGGTCATTACCTAAGACAAGCAAGGGTTTTGTGCCCGCTTCCGCCCAATTACGTGAAAATCACAGACCGGTTGCCATCTCTGGTCAATTGAGGCGTCAAGAGGCATCATTGAGGCTGCAATAGCACTGTGAAGCCAATACGGCTATCACTGCGTTGGCGGGCGTTTTCAACAAATGATGAGGAATGCCCATTCTGGTATGTCGGGCAGGGGGCAGTGATGGGATGAGTTGTCACACCGCTTGGAGGTGTAATCCTCAACAGAACCCGGAGCCACCTACCAGTTTAACTTGGTCAGGCTGCAGCACGATACGCCCTCCTGGGACACACCTTGCTAGCTTACCCACGTCACCCGAGCAGAGTTTGGGGAAATGAGGCACCTACCATGAAATAATCATGAGACTGCATCCCCTCCTGCCCTCCATAGTCCAGACGCGCTTGTAATGCCACCTGAATATTGGACGCCATTTCACGGTCAGTGAGTATCACTTGTACTCCGGTCACCGAAGCGTGGGGTTATGCCGGGGCTTAGAAGGCGGAACCTTCACGGATGGTGTGGCCAAAGGATGCAGCTGCCATAGCAAATGGTCCGATCCTCGGGAAACCTTACGATCGTTCAGATCAAACAGAAACTAAGCCTTAGGCACGGATTCTGAGACGAGATTCTTTCTGTGAAGCTGCGGTAATAGTATGTTACGCTTCGTATAATCTACCTTACAAAAAATGACGCCACCCAGTTCTTCCAATTTTCCCACCAAGCATGGTTGTCGGCCTGTACGATAGTTGCTATATCAGAGTCACTCAACGTTTGAATAGCATAATCATTGATGTCATTTGATAGATCATCTGTTTCTTTTCCTTCTGCTTTGTTGACAGTCCCATTGAGTACTTTCTTGTTCTTGGGGCTAAGGGCAGTTATGAACTTGTCAAGCTGTTCCTGTGTTGGTTTTTGTGCTAGATATGGTCAGTATAGTTCCATTGATGAAGATTCAGCGAACCTACTGAAATTTCCTAGGACGAATTAGTCGAAGCCTCTGGCGTTTGATTCAACCACTTACTTTGATTGAGCGCATTTGGAAAAATCCGGTATCCAACTTGTGTAGGGATCGTAAGGTGGACCTCTCTACACATGTCATCAAGCTCGGACGAGGTGACCATTCTGGAAAACAAAGTGCAACACGTGGTGGCAATAGCACTCAATGCTGGAGAGAAAGTTTGATGGGAAAGATGTGTAGAGGGAGGGTATGGGTAATATATACTCATCCAGCAGCAACTGTTCAATCAAGGCGGTGATACAGTAAATCAATTCGGTGAGTCATAGCTCGCTAAGGCGGAACAGAGCTAGAGAATTTAACTACCAGGGGGGAGTTGGGCGGCTGGGTATTGGAAACCAGTAAGGTGGCATCCAGGCAGGTAGCTTCGTCATGAAAGGTCGCCACGGGGCCGAAGAGTGGCCAGCGCGGTCATTTCCGTTGTAGGTCCACCGTTCGGTGCCATACTAGCTCGCCGCCGGCGGATTGTGTGATACTGTGTGGATTGCAAACGCATCTTGGGCGCATTCTGGGCGACAGGCGGCCTCGTATCACCAATCGGGAGAGTCCCTTGGAGGCCCAAGCCGGCGGGGCTGTATGATAATTCTGCCAATCTCCTACCAAAGCTTGTTGTTTGAGGCCAGCTATCGTCCCGATCAAAGTGGCTCAAATTGAGACGCAGGGGCAGGCGAACCAAGGGGCTATGAACGCAACCGGCGGCAAACATCTCCGAGAACCATGTGGGAAGACCTGGATGAAAGCATGCGGGCGGCGTATGTGGTGATAGTCATTTGTCTTATTGTATCGACAGGGGTCAAGGCGAATGAGACTGTAGACTCCAAACGGAACACCAACGACAAGGAATATTACTCCAATGATGGAGGGCTCTGGAGGTACCTCAGTTAAGCCAAGATACCTCGCCTCGGGCGGGTCTCTCCAGTCGGCGATATCGAGGTGGTAACTTAGAAAGAGAAGGGTGGCGGAGGATTAGGCTAATGTGTCTCAGGCCATGGGCTGGGTTTGGAAAGCATGTCCTGAAGTGATCCAAACGAAAAGGGTGATACAATCCATACAACCCATCGCTTGTGCCCACGAGTTCGGGTGTCTTCTGTTATGCAACACTTCGCCACGGACAATGAGAAAAGAGGAGTGAAGTTGCGCGCATGGACTAACCCATTAAGGATCCGCCATGATCAGTTGGTGTTTGTCCCTGTGCAGCGACCTTTGCATCGGGGCCCAGCTCGAGGAAGCGCCTCGGAAGGGCCAGCAACACGGGATCGGGGTTGGCAGTCACGGTCGGTGTACTTCATTCTCTGCAACCAATTTAGTGTGATTGTCCTGTGAGCGATGAGACTTCGTCCAAGCACCCTTGCGCTTTCAAGACCCGGAGGTCACACTGTTGTCAGTCGACCACGGTCGGGGTCTGTTACAAGGAAAAAGAGAAGAGAGAAGAGGGCAGAGGGAAGAGGAAAGAGACAACCGGCTCCCTACCAAGCAGGGCAAAGCCGAGCCGTGCCTCATCCTTCCTGTCCTATGGCTTCATCCTAAGGCGCGGACGACGCCGGTGCAAGAGCAGTGATATCAAGAACAAAGCGCCAATCCGCCCCTGTTGGACGCCTTCAAACACCAGAGTGGCCGCTCGTCCGTGGGTACCCTACCTGCGTAGTGTTCGTCAGACAGTTAGCTTAAGGAGTGGCCCACCCCCCTCTGTGCCCCCCCGCCTTGTCGGCACCCGTGGCTTGAACAGGGATTTGCAGGAGAGTAGCAGTGGGGATTCCGATGGGCAAAGCTAGCATCGTATCCGATGCGCCATACCTCGACAGGGTGCGATGACCCTCGTGGTTCAAGGATACCTCACAGATCACCAAGACGTACACCGAGTCAGCGGGAGACTAAGTGCACCCACTGCGATGGTGATCTACACAGTGCAGAGAAAATCACACCATGCAAGGGTGTTCTAAGCATAGCCAGAGCCTGATTTTCTCTGCCTGAGCATCGACCCCAGCCAGACGACCGGGGTGGCGACTCGAAGGCGAGGTTCGTGTACGTCCCGTGTTGCGCCCTGACGGTGTCCTCTTGATTAGAAAGGCCTTGCAACATGTCCCCGGCCGGTCCGCGCCCCCGGCAGCCCCGGGGACCACATTGGACAAAAAGCTTGCACCAACAGACAGGACGGTACCAAGCGGGGGCCAAAAAACTGGCTCACCAAAACACAGATCCTACCCGCACGACACCTTCCAACTATTCATAATTGGAGTACGTATATGTTAAAGACACTGCATTGTGTAGTTAGGTTGAGCGGGAAAACGACCGCTTGGTGGCTGGCTAGCTAGTTGTATTGAATTACTCGGAATGTATTCAAATTTTGCCATGTGTACTGGTAATTATGCCGGCATGTGTTTTGGTGCCCTTTTTTGGCCCCCTCTTGGGTAGGTCAAACAAGGCACTCGACAGTCTCTAGGAGATGTGCATTCGAGCGTCTGGAACCGCTAATCGCTCCACTACATCACATGGGGGCTTGGCCAGTGAGTCACTCCCAACAAGACCTTAGCGGCTCGCTCCCTCGCCCGTTGGCTGGTAAGCCTTGACTCCCCTTGCTCCCCGTACCCGATACTGGGTGCCTCCGATTGTTGCACACACATAACCACTCCCTGTGGTTCCTATGTGTCACCCATTCTTCAGTCCATTTATCCCTCTACCTTTTTTTCTGCATTTCTTTTCCTTCACTTACTCTGCTACAAGGCAGTGTAACTAAATCCATTACCATCACAGATTTGGACCTTGCTCGCTGCAAGTACTCAATCAAGCCTAGCCCACCATCTCGAGAGTGTCGCTAGTGGTGCCGACCACACTCATTCAGAGTATCATGGCTTCCCGAGTTGTTCGCCTGGCTACCCTACGCAAGCTCAAACTGCGTAAGCGTAAACTATACAAACGTAAGCGACTTGTCGTATCTTTGTTCTAACGTGCATGATAAGCATGCCGGTCAAACAAGCTTGCCGGTCAAAAATCCCTCAACCTTTCATCTTCCTACTTAATCAATCAATTCTCAACCATTCAAGATGCCACGATCAAATAATGAGGCAAATATCCTTCTTGCGCTTCAAGCCTATCGAAATGACCCAAAATTAAGTCTCCGACGCGCCGCAAAGATCTATCAAGTCAAGTATAGTACTCTCTTTGACCGAGAGAATGGCGTCACTGCTCGTTGCGATTGGATCCCCAAATCACGTAAACTATCCGATCTAGAGGAACAGATCATTGTTCAGTTCATTCTCGACCTGGATTCGCGAGGATTTCCCCCGCGACTGCGTGGTGTTGAAGAAATGGCCAACCGACTGCTCGCCGACCGCGACGCGTCGCCTGTTGGCAAGCGCTGGGCTTCAAACTTCGTCAGGCGACAACCAGACCTCAAGACGCGTTTTTTTCGTAAATACGACTACCAGAGGGCCAAATGCGAAGATCCAACTATTATTCGCGATTGGTTCAGGCTCGTGGATAACACAATCGCGAAATATGGTATCACCCTCGCTGATATCTACAACTTTGACGAGACCGGCTTTATGATGGGCCTGATCGCAAGCGGCATGGTTGTCACAGGTGCAGAAAGGTGTGGAAACCCGAAATCAGTGCAGCCTGGAAATCGGGAGTGGGTTACAGTCATCCAGGCGATCAATGCGGAAGGCTGGGCGATCCAGCCGTTCATTGTAGTTGCGGGCCAATATCACCTCGCCAACTGGTACCGAGAAAGCAACCTCCCAGGCGATTGGGCTATTGCGACGACTCAAAATGGCTGGACAGACAATAAGACAGGTCTTGAGTGGCTCAAGCACTTTGACCGGCACACAAAGGCCCGATCAACTGGTCGCTATCGTCTTCTGATCCTCGATGGGCATGAAAGTCACCACTCGGTTGACTTTGAGAAATATTGCGAAGCGAACCACATTATTACGCTTTGTATGCCGCCTCATTCGTCTCATCTACTTCAGCCTCTTGATGTCGGGTGCTTTGGGCCGCTTAAAAACGCGTACGGTCGAGAAATTGAGCAGTTGATCAGATGCTCGATTACCCACATTTCAAAGACTGACTTCTTTCCGGCTTTTTACGCCGCCCACCAAGCCGCTATGACGGAAAGTAATATCAAGGGAGGTTTTCGAGGGGCCGGGCTTGTTCCTTTGGACCCGGAAAGTGTCATATCAAAGCTTGATGTGCAGCTACGGACTCCAACACCCGTCGAGGAGGAGGCCAGCCTCCCCGACCCTTGGGTGCCCAAGACGCCAAAGACCGTCCTCGAGGCCACTTCTCAATCCGAATACCTTGAAAGACGAATCAGAAGGCACCAGGGCAGCTCTCCAGCATCTATTGTTGATGCGCTTAAGTCATTTTCTAAGGGAACGAAGGCAATAATGCATCAGATAGCATTATTGAAGTCTGAGAACCAGATCCTTCGACAGACAAATGAGACTCTTAGCAAGCGGCGCAGAGCAAAAAAAAACCGCCTACAGAATGGAGGGAAGATGACTGTAGATAAAGGAAGGGATGTAATTGATCAGAAGGATGTTGATGCGCAGTTAGTGGCCGAATCGTCGAGACATCGTGGTCAAGGAGGGTCGGCGCGACTGAAGGAAAGGCGTTGTGGAACATGCGGCAAGACTGGTCATAATGCAAGAACATGTCAGGTAGTTATTGCGATGTCTGGAGAAGAGTATAGCGATTATTTCTAATTGATTAGATGCTTTGTTGTGTATATATTTTAATTTCTAGATTGAGGGTGATAATTTTTGACCGGCAAGCTTGTTTGACCGGCATGCTTATCATGCACGTTAGTGCTAAGCAACAATTGGACAGGTTGTTGTACTCGCAAAGCCCATCTCAGCCGCCCCTCCAAGAGCAATTGGACAAGTCACTATATTGGCGAAGCCCGTTTCCATCGCCTAACCAGGACCGTCCCCAAGCACCAGCAAGCACTTATCAACCCAATTAAATCTGTCTTAAAGGGTGCAGCGAAAGAATACAGGCAGGCCTTCTTGGCGACTCTCAAGATGGAGCGTAGTGGCAAGGCGTTCCGTGATAAGCTTATTAAGGATGATGTGAAGACATACCGGGAAGGCCAACAGGAGCTAATTAGGACCTTTGTTAATTTCGCACATGGCAACGCTTCGGTTAACAAATCGATCGTTAACAAGGTTCAAGAGGAGGCAAATGAGAGTTTGACTGAACTCAGGTATGACATGGAATTGAAGAGGGACCTAAGCAGGTGATCGATGGCGCTTTCGACGAGATTAGAGAACTACCTATTAATCGCCGGCATACTCTTGCTCCAGTTTCCTATTGTAGGCGGTAGGTGTGTGCGATTGATTGATGGATGTTAATAGCATCCAACAGGATGAAAACTTAGCGGGTAGCCGAGGGAAAATGATCCTCCTGCTGTCTCTGAGAACCAATGTACGCAAGGTTTTGACCTTCTCCATATCGCCCACAGTGAATGGCTTTGCTTCTGCTCGGATCTCTCCCTCTCATATGGCGGGATAGACTAGGGCCGTGGGCATGAGCATTATTACCTCCCTCGTCGCGCGTGGCATGCAAGTTATGGTCGCAGACCTCCAAAGCCCCAAAGTCAACGGCTACTTCACTCTGGATGTAGGCCTGTGTGGATGGGGTGGTGCATCCGAGGGCCCTAGACTTGGTCAATCGACTTGGCGATGTTAGATTCTGCTAATGATTGGCAGGAAGATTCTCGCCCATTACTGCCCTTCTCATTGTATCTCGCCTCCCCAATACATGCCAATCACCTTACACAGTTCCTACAAAGAACAGCCCGGCGGATGTCTGGGGAATAGGAAGCAGTAATCACGTCTTACTCCGAGGAAACTCTTACGACCCAAGTTCGCCAGCTTAAGCACTCGCGTGTTCGTGTAGCTTAACGAACTGCAACAGCTATTAGCTCCTAGAGTTACACAGCTTCAACCACAACCAGTGTGAGGAGTCCTCTCTCCCAAGGTGATTTGCTTTTAGAATTAGTGAGGGGCCTCAGGCTATCGTGCTGGCACTAGGTCACTGGGCCACGACAACGAATCAACCATCAGGTCGGCCGCGGATCGTGAAGTCCGACACGCGGTGGCCTCGTCCATTAGCGCGACGACAGCCAATCTATTGAATCGAAAACGAGAAATAGAGAAGTTCGCCATCTACCTACCCTCGAAACCCCCAGACTATGTCCCTGGAACTGGCCCCCAGCTACAGCGCCCCCGCCTTGTCCCCACGCGAGACTCGAGAGCGTACATCATGGACCGCGTACTGCTGCCCTCGGCAGGGCCAGCCAGGGACCGAAAACCGCTACTGAAACGCATGAAGTACATGGTAGGCTGGCATCATTCTTCTTCGGCGTCCTTGCTAGTCCCAGCAATGGAAGTGCTCCACTATGTATCTCTACAAGCCCTTGAGGAGTGGGAGTACGAGATAGAGCTAGAGCTAGATGAGGAGCGGGTAAAGCGAGAGGAGAAGAATATGAAGACGAAGCAGCCTAAGGCCCGTGGAAGAGCGCTCATCAAGCATTAATCTGGCGTTGAGGCAGTTACAGTACCGTAGAACGAACCCATAAGTACGGGACAGCTGCAGAAGGGAGCTATGAGCATGCTGACGCCGATGAAGATGAGGTTGCGAGATTCAAAACGAATCTTAGATGTTAGTTTCATCTCAGCAGCTAGAACAAATGCAGCTTGTAGCATTAATGAATGTTGATGTTGAAGATGACTTTGATGAGGTGGTGCTTATTACTCGTGAACAGTATTATGGATGGGGATGCCAGCAAGAGATAGCTAGACAGACTTGATAAGTGTAATCCGCTAGGTATAGGTCATCAAAAACACTGATGTGTGCTTCACTTAGCATGCTTGGCTTGAAATAGTGAGTTGGTCCATTGTCCAGGAGACACTAACCATACATCGTTCAACTCTTCAGCGGATACATAGTATCCAAATCCACACCCTGCTCCTAGTGGTCAACTACCTTGACCAAGAGAATTCGGGTAGTCTTAGCAAACCAGGCCCTACGATTTCGCTCATATGCTGGTGGCATCCGTGGAGGTGTTTCCCACTGGCGTATTTCGAACTTTCAAGAAACCGTATCCCATTAATCTCTGAGTTTCTTGAGATAGCTCACCTCTCTCCCCTACAGCAGCTATAATAAATGTATATACACTAACGCACCTTAGTTCAGACATATCGCTCTATACTTTTGTCTCCTCTTACTAGGAATATGATACTGGTTGACAAATGGGGTGAGCATATGGCTCATTATTTATTGACCCTCCACCGTGGTCCTTTTATACCGACACGTCAGTATTTTATTTGGCCACTTCGACTGTCTTCGCATGCAAGCATTAGAAGAGGGAAAGACATTTTTAGTACATACAAGAAGTGAAGACCATTGCAGAGAATCAGAGGAGGCGGAGTGGTGTAGGGTAAACGGTGCGTGTTTACCCTGAGTCGAGCCATTCGTATCGTCAGTAATATACCTTCTTACCGTCGTTAGATTAGCAGAGCCGTAAAGACGGACGGGGTAGATGTAAACACACAAGCCTGACCGCGTCTCTGCATATCCTGAGAAACGAAAAGTGTTCCTCCTCAACGCGACTGTCATTCCGTGTCATTGTCCAAGCTGGGAACCGGTTCTGTACCCAGCAACGCTCTTCTCTTATACGTCGTGACAAGTCTTGTCAAGTGGCTATACCCCGCTAACCATCCACCGGCGGCATCAAGACGGTAGTGTTTGTCGAGATGATGGTCATCATGCCCGAAGTTCATTCTGACGCTGGACGACACATCGAATACATCGAACCGCCATCCAACGTCATCACAGGACTGCACCTCAATTTCGTCACACAACCCTTGTGTCTTCTTGCCTCTGTTCGACCAAGCTTAGCGTCGAACTGTTTCTCCTGCGCCTCGATCCATCTCGCGAATACAAAACTCTGATTTGGTGTATTATCTGCTTCGCTGTGTTTTCAGCAATGGGGAACTTCTGTATGACAGCACACCCTCCTTGTGCAAGGAACACAACTTGCTAATAGGACATAGTAATGGCCTTTTTCCAATGCCAGCCTCTAGCACTGACGTGGAACTCATTCATCAAAGGAGAGTGTATACCGCCCGCGAACTTGAGGTTTGCCGCCCTTTTCAATTCTGGTAGGCGGGCCCTTCATCAAGAAGTTTTCTATCGTGCTGCAACTCATTAGCTCAGTCATCTCTATCGTAACCGATCTTCTCTTTGCCCTCCTCCCCATTCCACCGCTTTAGAATCTGCGGATGAACTGGAGGATTAAAGCTGCCGTCTCAGGCCTTCTTTCTCTTGGTATATTGTAACTCTGTTCTCAATTTTCGAAGGTCAACTCTGAACGTGCAGTACAACGATATCGGCCATTGTAAAAATCATGACTACGGTCGAGATCTGTACTGCTATAGTGGCTGCCTGTATCCCTTGTCTAAAACCCCCTTTTTAGGCCGTGCTGGCCACTTCATCCGTCTATAACGGTTCCATAAATCCACATGTTGAATATAGCCTCAATCCTCCAAGCATTCCCCATAGACCAGACACAGCTTCCAGCGACGTAAAGTTATGTAGCTAGGTCCCTAGCAAGATATATGTTAGCACCGCGTCGAATTCAGCCTAGTTCATCCTTTCACAGGATGATGATAACGATTGGTAGAGTGGAAAACAACATAGATCTCGATACCTGTTCAGGGTGGTCAACGCGACCAACAGCGAGATCCTATATCATGGGTGTAGAGAAGCTCTGGACAGAGGCGCCAGTAACAATACAATACTACTCTAGCAATCTAACCATGTCTTCACTAAATAAATCCATATCCGCATATCTGCGTCCTACAATGCTTTTAGACTCAAAACTAAGGAACGAGAAGGACTTATGAGGCTGAATAGTACATGCTGTTTGACGAAGTGTACGGACAGGACGTCATGGTCTGGCTGGGCTGGCAGACCGTGGTGGAGTACTAAGGTGAACAGAACTCTCTTCAGGCCACCGCCGTTTCCGTGAGAGATCTTCGCGCCCAAACTTCGTCACCATGCGAACTCGTCGGAGGCGATCAACACCTTTTCCGGGGCGGTCCTATCTCTGGCTCGTCCCCTGGCTCATCTTCTGACTGGCTCTCTGTATTAGAACATCCATGCTCTTGTAAGTCCTGAGTCAATAGCTCCCACTTCTGCTCCTTGTTGAATCTTCTGGTCCTCACAAGACATGGCGTTTCGCGGGCAGGTGAGGGACAAGAGGCAGATGGTAAAGTCACCTAGACTTCATTTCGGGCCGTACGGGTTGCGGCGATGCGCGTGGCGGCGACTTGAGGGTTGTTTTGCCTAGAGGTTACTTGCTGTCAATTCGCCCCTCAAAGCAGCGATTGGACGTTAATATAACAATAGGACCAGGAAAAAGAACGAACTCGGATTGCACTTCGGCCCTGCGGCATAAGCTTGGAATCAGCGGACTGCAACCTCTGGGGGAAACATGAAGTATCCGATATAGTGGTACATAAGACACGGAGTGTCGAATCTAGATATGGATTGGCACATTCCCAGGATATGTAATCGAACCTTCTTCTATCCAACAAGAACAACATACTCATACGAGCATCATATGCTACGAGCCAGAAAGTACTCTCGGGTATCCATGACTTTCATAGCGTGTCGGCCCTCGACGTCGGGGGTGGACTCTAGTGATTCTGGGTGCGCAAGCAAGTTGGTCAGATACGTGGATTCGTCCTTGCTTGCGGCATTATGGCTACAAGGGTGTGGGAAAAGGGAAGGATGGCAAGGAGACGTGACATGGTTTGTTCGGATCAATGCAACCGAAGCATTCAGTGATTTTGAGCTCTCGCAGACAAACAAATCGGGATGGAGAGATGAAGACTGGAAGAAATGGCGACTTGGGTGCGATGAGAGGCGCAAGCTTGGGTAGGAGCGGGACCTGCGCGAACGGAAAACGCCTCTTCACTTGGTCCACACTACACACAGTGGTAAACCTGCCTAGTTACAAGGACACGGATGAGTACACATGTATATCCCTCACCCCTCCCCACAGTGTCACTATTTCAGACTCCGTACGAAGTAGCGATTCCTGACTGAGCTGGCTCCGAGTGTAGGCTCGAGCTAGGAGACAGCCAAACCTAAAGAGAGGAGATTACTCTCTGTGATACGACGATTCCGACCATCCAAATGGGATGGGGCCCACTCCAGGTCTACCCTCGTGGCCTTGTACCCTCTGCTCCTGCAGCCCGCTGTCCCGTGACTTCCTCGCATGCGAGCAAGCACAGCCACGGCGAGCTGATTAGTCTAGGCTTTAGAGGATGGACCCAATGGGTTGCGTCTCTACTAGGGTATGGCCAAGACTCGTGTAGGGGAGCCTACCGAGTCATTGCCCTATGAGTGTAGGAAGAAGAAGGGAAGGAGAGCGGGCTAAGGGGCCGATGGAGTATCTTCTGGAAGTACGGAGGAGACCACCTTGATCACCAGCATCATGTAGTAGTTAGTATTGAGATCCCCTGGATAGTGATGAGTTTAGTGGCGTTGCTGCTAAGTGGCACCATCCCACTCCTTCGCTAGTCCTTGCCGAATACGGCACGCTGATTGCTGCTGACCCGTCGTCACCATCGTAAAGGAGATCGTCCCTGGCTGTCACTCACTGCCAAGATTCGCAATCAAGTCTCCATTCATCTTATTGCAAGCTCATTGCATTCATAAAGGCTGTTGGCCTCGGACGAAACAATATGGTATCCTCATTTCCCTGATGATAATGATGACTCAAGACTGACCATTCTCGTAGAACAGTCCACCAACTCCAAAACCTTGGGTCCTTGGATTCGTGTCAAAAGCAGGAAGTATTCCTGAACAGATTATGGAGGAGCTGAAGTTGTTCCCAAGCGTTTTAGTTTGTGACGACCAGGTCAATGACAAAGTGCGAGTCTCTCTAGCTCTAGAAGCTATAGTTGAACTCGAGAGCGACGGTTTCACTATTAAGCCAGTCACAGCGACCGAGACCGTTACGTAAAGGAGCACCGAGGGGAACGAAGATGTAGGTGGCTAGGATGTCTACATGGTCGGCGAAAAGTCAGGGGGGCAACGACAATGTCAAGATAATATCTGTTCTTTGAAGTCGCTGCATAGAACAAGATAATCATCGTCCTATGCGACGGCGGTGATGCCCTTAAGTTTGTCAAGTACATGAGCAGGAGCATTAAGAGTGACTGCGGGAATCTTTTCGGCGTGTTGAGATGGCTAGGGTACAGGGAAATCCCCATCCTCGACGCTGGTCCACTCTCCAGGATCGCGTCGGATAAACTTGATATGCCTTTCTACCCTGAGGCCGAAAGCCTTGGATAGCTCGCCATGATGCTACTCCTATCTAACTGCTTGGTCGAAGCAGGGGCATGCTGCCTCTATCTAACTACTTTTGTTGAAATAGGGAGAAAGCTAACTTGCCAACCAAGCTGGGGCATTAGGTGGGCCAGATTCCTTCAGAAGGGGGGGGGGGGGGGTTGATGTAATGACACTGTGGGGACGGGGTGAACAATACGGACTCCCAGTCAGGGATCTGCTGGTTGAAGTCAAGGCACAGGGGGCTGCGACCAAAACTAAGCGTCGGAATGCTCGGTACAGAGGGTCTGACGGCGTGAAAGAAGGCGTTTATGTCGACGACCCTTGGGAGGGTGTGTGGTCTCGTAAGGAACCTGGCACAGCCGCCTCATACATCTGCGTATGTACTAATTCGGGTCATCATTTGCCATACTGCTTCGAATACACCCCTGTAGACTAAACAGGGATGGGTACAAGCCTGCATACCGGCCGTCAGCTATTTGGTGGGTGGGGTGGACTTGGTGACCAAAGAAGACGCGTTTTCAGCTCGCGTGGGGTCCAAAATATCCCGCTCCCACGCAAGCTTGCGTTCCACATCACACCCATCCCGGCATTTCCACCCAGCCTCGATCCCTCCCTTTCGATTTGCTTATCCATACGAGAGTAAATGAACGGCCAACAGAACGGTAACAAGGATCAAGTCCGAAGAACGATACCCACCACGCTACCCTACCCCACTGCTTTCGAGTCGATGCAAGCCACCGTTGTCCATTGCCTATCGTACCTAGTTATCTCTTCTCTCGCAGGCACCTACTGAGGCAAGCTCGTGCTAGAGAGCAGCTTATTCCCCACCTCCCCACTTCACCAAAAGCCCTTGTATCGCGTCGAGTGTGCGAATAAGCCCACTCCTTCCTATCCACACGCATGGAGCCGCCTGGAGCCAATCAAGGCCTCACAGACCACATACCCGAATCTCACTTTACAAATGAGGTCACATACCCCTATTGACACACTTCATCGTCATCCCCCCTGTTGGCACACTTTACAAATCGGGTCATATATCCCTGTTGACACCTTTTACGAATCTGTCCAAGGGTGGGCTGGTACCCACAGACCACTAGGATGATGTTCCCTGTCGCCTTCTAATGGAGCACGCTTCCGATAAACCAAGAAGCTCTAATTCACCGCTGTTGGGTATCGTGGAGACCTTGAAACTGATAGTCACAACTACCAGCCATGTGTGGGGTAACGGAGGTGGCATGTCTTCCTTCGAATTCTCGATTGGGCCATCTGGGCTAATTCAGTTCCTTGACGGGGTATGTAGAGTTACGCCGACTGGTATTCCACTCTTGCCTTTGAAACCATGGATAGTCAACGCCAGTCAACCAAGTGCTTCCGTCAGTTTCATCTCGCCATGACTGGGAGGTAGCCTGCTGTGTATCATGCTTTCCATCTGTGCATCCTCCATAGTCGTCCTGTGACACAGCGAGTGAATGCCGTATTGTAAAAACTAGCACAGAGACTGTTTGGTTCGACCTCATCCATCGCACTGCGTCCATGAAACCCTCCCACATATCCTAAGGAAGTAGCCTGATTGATAGCATCTGGGTCGCGCACAACTGCAACGATGATTGGCCGTCCTTTATCTGAACCTAGGGAACCAACGTGAAACTTGGTCATGGCTGGTGTTGTTGGAGTCGACAGATAGGACGGCTTTGTGGTGGGAACTGTAGGAGATGTTGCGTATGAAGACAGCTCGATCTCCGGTACATCTATTAGACCTTCTTCTACCCCTCTGCTACCTCCGCCTCCGCGTTTACGGGAAGCAGGTCTGGTCTTGGTAGTGGCGGAGGGACGTTCCTGGACGAAAACGGGTCTTGGTGAAGGCTCTCAATGCGCCTGAGAAAGATATCTTGTGAGAGGCGATGCGCTACCTCGAACTCGTCGTCCACCGTGTCGATGGGGCGGTTGAGACGCGAGGAGGAGTCGTGAACTCAGTTGCTGGTGGCCAAACCGTAGGGAAAACCCCTGCTTCCGAACCTCTACCCCCATGATGTCAAACGGGATAAGCCTGGGACTGGCGCCCGTCGTTGACTACGTCTTCCAGTAGAGCTGGCGTGACTAACGACGCTCACCACGTACTAGGAAGGTGTTAGACGGTTCATTCAGCTACCACCTTGCACCCACGACAGTGTGTCTACTAAATTATAAGCCATGCAACTCTCCACTTTGGGGCTAGTGCTCACAGGGGCTGTTATAGTGAACGATAGGGACCCCATTTAGACGCATTGAGGGACGGAAGCTGTGCCGAATCCCCAAAAGACACCAAACCTACAGTGCTGAGATCACTTGACAGATCTCTCAATCGGCCAACGTATAAAGTTAACTAAAGGGCATTGTATGTGATACCGCCAAACTCAACGACGTAGGCTCACTATGCCACCCGTTTAGTGTTTATTCCCGCTTCTCTTTAACATGAAAAAATCACGAGGTAAGGTCAAAGCCATCTAGGTTATAGGATATCGATTCGGTCTACTAATTTCACCAACAGTCGCGCGGTTTTGTACGTGGACAGCCATTTTATGGATATATCACAACCCCGGGCCTCGTCTACAATCGCAGTGTGTCTGGAACCGACAACAGCTCTCTGCCAGCTATCGGGACGGGGGCGAGTTCAACTGTTTCAACGTTAGCCTTCCTAATATTACCATCTATGCCACTGGCGGCACCATTGCCGGCTCCGCCAGCTCGGCTGACCAGACCACGGGGTACCAGGCCGGCTCACTAGGTGTCCAGGCCCTCATCGATGCCGTGCCTCAGCTATGCAACGTCGCCAACGTGCGCGGCGTTCAGGTTTTTAATATCGACAGCATAAACATGAACTCAAGCATGCTGCTACTGCTGAGCCAGGGGATCCAGGACGACCTCGACAGCCCCTACACCCAGGGCGCCGTCGTGACGCACGGCACCGACACCCTCGAAGAGTCAGCTTTCTTCCTCGATCTCACTATCCAGAGCGACAAGCCCATCGTGGTAACAGGTTCGATGCGCCCAGCCACGGCTATTAGCGCTGATGGTCCCATGAACCTTCTCTCTTCCGTCACCGTGGCCGCCAGCGATAACGCCCGAGGCCGAGGGGTCATGATTGTGCTAAATGACCGTATTGGATCCGCTCGGTTCATGTCCAAATCGAACGCGAACCAGCTAGACGCGTTCCAGTCGGCAGACGGGGGCTTCCTGGGTGGTTTTGTCAACACCCAGCCCATATTTTACGACCCACCGTCTCGGCCGCCAGGCCACCACCACTTTGACGTGCGCCGCGTCCGACGATGGCGTGGCGAGGATGTCAAGCTCCCGCAGGTGGACGTGCTCTACGCGCATCAGGACCTTAATGTCGGCCTATTCCAGGCGGCTATCGACTTGGGGGCAAAGGGCATCGTGCTCGCGGGCTTCGGCGCGGGCTACTGGACCGACTCAGGGTCCGTGGAGATCCGGCGCGCGCTGCAGGATACTGACATCCCTGTCATCGTGAGCCGGCGGACGGGCTGGGGATTCGCGAACAGTAACGGCGTCGAAGGTGGAATCGGTGCAGGCTTGTTAAATCCTCAAAAGGCGCGCATACAACTACAGCTGGCCCTGGGGACGGAACTGGAGACGGAGGCCATTCGAACTATCTTTGAGCATCGTAGAGCCATGTTTGGAACAAGGTCTTAGCCACAAATGCTAGGGTGGAGGGGGCTCTCTTTTCCTGCCATTTTCACCGCTCCCTAGGTTGCCCCAGGCATTCCCGGTCAGTCTCCGTAGCACAAGACTACGACTTGGCCCCGCGTGTGTTTGGCCTAGCATATTGGGTCGAATCCGTGGAGTCACTGGCTTCGTTACCTCGCTCCAGTCTTACACCATTTCGAGTCGTGGATCTGGTCTCGTGGTTGATGACGTGAATCGTGAGGGAGAACTGAGGAGGGAACCTTAAGAAGCTCTGGGAGACTGCAAGACTGGAAGACCGGGAGACCGGGGAGACACCAAAGTTACCGAGCGTGACGCTTGAACTAACATCAAGTACAGTTCCCACCCTCTGATCTTTCGAATCTGTCGCCTGTTGTCCGAGGTGGCTTGCTGCGTGTCGAATGGTCTCTTAGCGCCAAAGACCCTAGTTGAACTCGCGCCAGGAATCTTTAACTCAATGGGAACGGCGCACCATCAACACATTTCCGCACTTGATTGAACATTGATTAATAGGAGTTAGTGGGCCCGAAGTTCCACTCTCATCGGCTCATCGTGAAGGGCCCACAGTGCAGACCCCAGATCGTATTCCCCCTCTGGTCCCGCTCTGTGGTCCTGGGCGCATGCCACAACCCCCAGCAAGCGTTATGCACCCTATCGCATCAACTGAGCGAAGGGCTTGGGTACGTCATGTGTGGCAGTGATAGGCTCTACGTTGGTCGTCGTGCTTATGTCATGTTCTAGTGCCAGGGGATTGGGCAGAAAAGGGGTCAGTGCAATCGTCGCCTTAAAATTCCCTGTCAATTGATTTCGATTGACGGTCGTTAGAGTAGAGGGTGGCTTCCCTGAACTACATAGTACAGACTAAGGCAACGATGACAGCATAAGTACACACGGCTGCCGGTGGCCTCCAGTTTCAATTTACATCCACTTCTTCAATCTTATTCTCTACGTGCCTAACGGCTGCATTTCTTTCCTACGTCTTTCCTGCCAGCCGTACCATCAATCATGGCGACGGCTGCCCTGACGAACCTTCTTGACTTCGTCCCATTTTGGATCAAACGAGTGGAGACCGAGATTGAACAGCACCAGGCCAGGCTAGCCGCTGTTGCTGCCGCTGATGGCGAGAACCTTGAGACCACGCTCTTTCACCACAAAGAGTCGGCCGGCCCTCTCGCGACGCTCGTGAATACGCCCGAGATTGTCGCCCTGTATGACCCCAGCGACAAGGACCAAGCCAAGCTGGTTGCTATTGCTGCCACCGATGGCAAGAAGTACGAGACCGCGTCTCTTCGCAAACGCTCGACCGACTCTCTCGCGACACTCGTGAATACACCCGAGATTGTCGCCCTGGACGATCCCAGCGACAAGGAGGAAGAACAGAACCCCACTTTCCAGCAATGCCCTTCCGCAGGGAAACAGTCTCAGGGGGGCATCGAAAGGGAGTGGCAACAGACCAAAACTAGGCAACGATCGCCGTCAATGATTGCGTTGGCTGAGGGCACTCCCAGGACCTATGGAACAGGGAACCGGACCCAGGTTTACTACGATAGCCTTGGGCAGAGCTACTTCCATGATATCCATCAATTCGCGTCATTTATTGGATGTCTTATACGCAAGGCTAAGACAGCTGTTATAACCGACCACTTCAAGCGACTAGCTAAGATGGATGTATCCGAGGAGGGCAAGAATGGCGAGAACGACCTTGAGGCTTTCCATTCACAACGGCAGATGACCCCATGGAGATCTAGGCTGATGGAATTATCGCGACAACCAAGTTTCGGTCCTGGCCGAGACAATGACCAACTTCTACGCGTGTATTATGGGCTGGGGGATGAAATCGATAAATTGGGAAGAATGTGTGAGGGCGGTGCCTACAGGTTGTTACGAGATGGTGAATGCAGCAGAGAGATCACACACATACTCAACCTGCTTGTCAAACTCCTAAAAATGACCAATGAGGAGATGGAGCTTGTGAAACGCGAGGAGCCTGAATTTGCCAAGGAGGCGGGCGAGCTGAGCAAGGTATGCACGAGCCGGCACATCCTCATGCGAGGAGACTGTGATGATCGCGATGGGGAGCTTTCCAGGCTTGAAGCTGCCGAATCCACAATCGACCCAAGTGCAACCCCCGAGGTCGCAGACATCAACGAAGCTGGCGAGGGAGCCAATGTTAGTTCGAAGAGGCTCAAGCTTCTGTACCAGCGAACCATGCAGAATCGCAGACCGCCTGGTCTCTAGGTCGACGACAACACCATTGAAGGCGCGAGGGGAACTGAGACCAAAGGGGGTGATTTAACTTACTATACGGCAAGAGACATCAAAATATTACTATATTCAGATAGACAAGAAGCTAGAGTATCTGAGTAAAAGTTGATAGATTGAGAACAAAGAGATTGAGCAACGCGATCTGTTGATATTTCGTCGAAATTATGTAGAACTCTAACTTTAGATAATAAAATTGCTTCGCATATATATTCCTACTGTGCGCTCAGCTGTGGGGTGTATGACATTATGCTCTCTGGGCTCTGGATCAGCATCGCCCAGGGGCGGTTACTGAGGTGTTGGCGCTCGCGGCATGCAGCTGAAGTCATCTGTTCATAGTCGTTGGCCAAGAACTTGCGGTTGGAGCTCACTACAAATGTCATTGCCCCTTCAGAAGAGTTAGTAGTGAGAACTAACAAAAGACTACATGATATCTTACCAATATTGCCTACACACGATGGTAGGTAAACACCTCCTTTCAGTCTCGATGTCTTTGGGGCACCACGACTCCACAAGGTGGTAGTGGTGTTAGCAGCTTAGTTCTTTCTAGGTTTATGTCAGCCTATCCTACTAGGTTCACAAAAGCACCCTTACGTATATATAGTTACACATGATCGTATATCTTTCGCAAGAGGGAATGGAGAGATAAACCGTAGAAATTGAGAGGTGGTGGCGATTGTTGCCTCCTTTATGATCGCGATAACAATGATCAACTAGGCGAGGAGCGTGCCGTCTGAAGTAGACTCTAATGGACTGTTGGCGCCACTAAAGCTGCCACACTGGACTCATCACCGTTCCAGGGCCCCAATACCCCGTCGTCCGTTCGCCCCCCAAACCACATGACACCAATAGCGAAGCTGACTTCTCTCCACCCTCGGAGATTCTGTTACGGTACAAATACAGCCTCATGGGAGATCCGTCTAGCCGGATGCCTCGGGTGGATGTTCACCAGGGGAGTCACTCCAGGGCTCCCCTACGCCAAGTCTGACCGTACTGCGTGTTGGGAGTTAACTCGTGTTGCCTGGCCCCTAGCTTCGGAAACCCTGCCATGCCTGTCCGTTTGCGCGCGCATATGAAAAGTATCACAGGATCACATATATTGGACTTAAAATACTCACACAGGAAAAACAAAGGCGCTGGAGCTAACTGGCGTGATTGTAGACCGATAATATACCGCATAGGAAGTAGGGATGTGCACGTATGGGGACGAAGGCGTTGACAGCACATCGCCGAGGGTGTTCAATGTAACGACTCGTGGCAATTGATCCAAGGTATCCGTAAAGTGTTATTATGTAAAGGCGGGAAAAATCGTGTTGGGCATGCCATTAGGTCCCAGAGGCTAGAATGCCACAGCTTCGAGATTGGTCAGGTAGGCTTAACCGTGGGTGATTTCGTAACGCTAAAATCTCAGACAGCTAGAATTAGGGGAGGTTCAACCACTCTCTGGGTCGGCGCAGTGTGGGCAAGGAAACGCTGCAGCAAACTTTTCTTTCCTTCGACAATTTCAAAAATGGATTCACGAACTCCTCCTTGAACGTACGACTCCCTCTCTGCCTCCTTCATGACGTCACTGGTGCCCCCCTGAAGCTCCATTACACCACCACTATGAAGGGAAGTGAAGCTGCAATGCTGGCCTGTTTCTAGTTGGATTCCGCGTTACGCTTTCCTCTATCCTACCCTCACTCTGCCGTCATCGCTCTCGCCAAACAAGCCGATCAATTCTCTCCAGGAGAGACCACTACCACCGAGTTCTCCGCCGATATCGAACCCGCAAACGACACGACCGATTTCACATTAGCCAATTCTGGCGCCACTGCTGGGAGCGGTGCTTCGAATGCCACATGGATTGGGGAGCTGATGGATCGCCATCTTCCGAGGGCTCTTGGGGGTCTACGCGCTCATCCCTGAGCCATTTGGCCGTTCAATGAGTAGCACTGCAGGTACAGAAGGGAAGATACAGAAGGGAAGTACCTGTTGTGGTCTTTCCGGTGGCGCTGATGGCATGAAACTGTCCTGGCTGTTTTGGGGAATCAGATGGGCATATCTCACGCTGACCGTACCCCCGACTCCTGCGGCATTTCGAGCTGACTTCGGACCTGATTTTCCAAGGGAAGCGTCACCGCATTGTCCTAATACAGCGATTCTTGGCGTTTCTGTCCGAATACCGCTTTTGCGGCCTCTCGATGCCCATCACCCTCGGAAAACAGACCAGCCCCCCATCCTTCACCCGACTGCTCCCAATTACCTCTCTAGCCTCCGTTGATACAGCACTCCGATGAACACGACAAACAACGATGTGTAGACACGGGAGCACCCCTCGAGGCTACATCTCGCTACCTTGAAGCGACGTGGAGTTGCCATAATGTTGACTTGTTTTAGCTGGATTCCGCGTGGCGCTGTTAGTCTAATTCTGGACGATTATTCTATCCCATCCTCACCTTATGGCCTCGGACATTCTCTATCCTACGCTCCTCCGGCCATCTTCGCTCTTACGAAACAAGCTAATCCATTCTCACCAGGAGACAATACTACCACCGAGATGTTTGTTATCTACCCGACACCTCACTCGCAAGTGAAACGACCGAACACCAATACCCAACAGCCCCTCAGCGGTTCTGGTGCCACTGAGGAACGGCGGACTGCTTCGAAGCCTACATGGATTGGAGAGCTGATGGAACGCGTCATTGGGCGTCGATGCGTTCACATCCAAGCCTTTTGTCTGCTGCTCCATCTGTATTGCCGCTCTGTTGCTTCTCAGCTGGAGCTTGGCGAGCGGGCACTACAGAAGGGCAGCTTTTGTCATAGTATTTCTCGTGGGCCCCTCGGTGGGAGAGCGTCCAGGCCCTTTTGGCAACCAGACGGACATATCTCACGCTGACCGTACCCCGATTCCTACGGCATTTGGAGCTGACTTCGGACTTGAGCTTCTCACCCAAAGTGCCGCCGTATTGTCTATATACAGCGAGTCTCGTGATTTCTGTCCCAGTGCCGCATTTACAACCTTTCAGCCCGCCGCCCTTGACAAGCAGATTATCTCTGCATTCTTCGCCCAACTTCTGTCAATTACCAACAATACGAAGCCTATGTTGGTTACAATCTCGCGTGGGGTCAGGGCTACATGCGCTGTTCGAGCCGCAAGTGCCGTCTAGGTTCGTGCGATGTGCAACCTTGCTTTCGTTGACATTCTGTATCTTCCCTCGCTACATCTTTGTACCTAGCTAACGCCCTTTGGATTTCCAGGTCATCTCTTGCCCCCAAAGTCTCGAAATAAGCCATTGACGGAGATGAATGCGCCCGTTCCTGCAGCTGGAGAAAGTATGAACCCGTCGATCGATAGCGCCGCCTTCTTATCCCAACCTGCTACAACATCACGCCGACAAGGCAGCGGCCATGTAGCCATAAGATCTATTGGAAGTGTATATGGATATCCCTCTTTGGCCACGAATTACAACTACTTGATTCCTGAGATTCCAGGCGTGCTAGAAAACCAGTCTCCTAGTGTTGCCCCAAGCTGCGCGATACCCATCTGTCCATCAGACAGTCAGAATCCATACGGATTCACTGGGCCTGGATCATTGGTACCGGAAGACCCGGAGGGCCTACCGGGATGGTCTACCCGAGAATATGGAATCCTATGATCTAGACCCCCAACGACATGCTCCCATCGTACCGCTACATCAGGACCAAGGGTTGGACTATCGGAAGGGCCGATGGTGTAGAACAAACGGGAGCTGCCGCAGTTTGATGTCACACTGAATCGCAATGGATGTTCTAAGGAAAGATATGCACAAGAAAGAAACTTGTCCCTTCGCTGCTCTCAAGATCGTCATGTAAATCTAAGCCATGCAGTTGTTTCAAGACGAAGACTATATCTACCTATAATTAGCAGATAGCCTGAGGAATTGTCAAGAGGCCCTCGTAAGAAACTCCATTTGGTGATCGAGCACTCACCTGCATCCTATGTGGCGAAAATGGCCCTGTCTGGATGGGGATAATTCAAGGTAAGCGTGGGGTTAGATCGTATGCTCCATGAAGCCGACACGTGAAGGAGAAGCTGGCTTTCCACCTAGAAAACGAGAGGGATTGATGCATATAGAGAGAACCTCGGTTGGGCATTTGCAGAATGGTTCCAGGTTGGGCTGGGAACTACAACTTAAGTTCTAGTCTCAGAACGGCTGGGATGGGTTGTGTCGTGGGCGCCATCCTGCCACGATGAGAGACTGGCCGCCACCCACTGGTCCTCGGAGACCGTGTGTCCTGTCCAGGCCACCTGCCCGACTGGCATGGGAGATGATCTCAGACCCCCAACGCCCAGCGCACTGTGCGGTACCCCCCTTGTCGGGCGGTTGGTACTGGACGGCCTCGACGCGACGGACGCGTGGAGGCACAGCTTCATTTAGAGGCAGAACAAGGCATGTCCTGGCGAGTGGAATCGTATCCACACACCACAGCGCCAACTTTCCGCCACTATCAAGCCCGATGGATGCCCCAAAATTGTGGATCCACTCGGGGTGGAGTAACTTGGTTCTGGCCAGGTCCAGGGCTGAATTGTGGTGCTCATTGTTGGTCGGTGCACTAATTACCGACGCGATCGTGTCAACCCCTGATCTCGTTTCCCCAAAAGTATCCCCTCGGTTCCCAGGCCCCAGGCCCCCGAAAGCCCCGAGCTAACTTTGGCAAACGCCGCAAGTCCGGGCATGATGGCTCCTTGAAAATTCCATATCTAGGCCACTCCCCCTTTGTAACGACCCGGGCTCTCTTTGCCTCCTCGTGCATCGCATTGGTCTGACGTCCAGGTAGAATCGGTCCCATCAACAAGACACCACATCGTCTCTCCATCTAACTGAAGTCATCTTTCCTTGATAAACCTGACTTTTTGGCCTCCGGTCCTCAGCCTCCTCTTTCTTTTCGCTCCAAGTATTAACGCATCGATACAAGATGGACCAGCTACTTCCTCAAAAAGGTGAGTCGCTCCACGGCATCCTACGTTGGCAATCCCTAACCTGACTGGATTTCCAATAGACACCAGCGAGGTTCTAGCATTGACTCTCGGACAACAAATCGATGCCAAGCCAGTTGATACTCTGTCAGAATACCATAACAAATATACGATGGCATGCAAGGGGAAAACTTCCGAGACCTCCCTTTCCGTGGCTCCAGGTATTTTCAACCTGGTAAATCCGCAACCTGAAACGGTGACTGATCTCTTAGATATAGTCGACGACCCGCGGCTTCTCCTCAACTTTACCGTTATCGACATAGATGCCATGCGACACGCCGACTGGGGAAGGATTGCCTACTCCCTATGAGATAACGATATGCTACGATTCAACTGCCGTGTTTATCACTTACGTCTATCGAACATTGCAAACACCCTGACAATACTTTTTGCTGTCAAGCTCCAGAACTACTTGGCCGATAGCCAATACGTCTGAACATAGGGGAGTCGACAGTAGAATGGAGATGGATGCAGGGGCCTGTACACACGTGAATGGAAATTCATGTCCAGACACAGTGGCTATGATGAAGAGCATACGAGCAACGTCGTCGGAGTGCAAGAGATAGGATGGACATAATATCTGATGCTGGGGACTCATGAAGAACTGCGATCTAGCTTGACATCATGACTCCAATCACACCATCAACAATAGCCAGCGGGCGGGCCTGTCCCACAAAGTTAATCACGATGCAATAATATCACTGCGTCCCGCCAAATCTGATGCGACTCTCCCAGACACGTTTTTGCACTAAGACACATAAACACAGCGGTTACTCCGCCTGCCCTTGGTCCCCGAATGCCTCTGGTAGGCTGCACACGGGCGAGCCATCAAACGATGACGATCTCTCGTCCAGTCTTGTTCAGCGAGGAGAAACCTCCGCGTGACAGGGGCTACGTAAATCGATAGCAGGTAGGTCCCTTCCAGCTCACGCACACGGAAGTAATTCGTTGCCTAGCGTGGAATGGTCTGGTACTCCCATATATACATAATTAGATATTTGCTATGACAGGGTATCTTGTCGTATGAATACCGCTGCAGATTGTGGGCGAAGATTCGTGCCCGGTGCTGCTTTTGCGACTATGAATGCTTGTGGAATCATCGCCAAAGGTCAATATGATTGGTGTAGAATCGGTGGGATCGGTTTGAGGTGTTTCGCTCGTGGGCACCATCAGAGGACTAGTCAGTGAGATGTCTGGAGAGAAGGACTACCGGTAGTCAGTATGCTAGCCAGAGTCTGTGAATGCTGGCATTACTAATGATTGACTTGTGAAGTGGAAGCGTGCATGAATACCTTCGCGACACGTAAAGAGCAGTTGACTTTGGGTTGGGGATGCTGGGAGGGGAAGGGAAAATGGGCTCCAGTGTCGAGGATGAGGCTGAGGGTAGTGCCAGGGGCTGACTTACGTTGCTTGCTCGGTTGTTCCCCGGCACCCATGACCCACCAGTGACCGTTTCACTCCCAAGTCCCCCCAACAGCACTATTCTAGTCCTGAAGCACAGCCGACTTGATGAGCGCCAGTCACAACCGGACCGGTCTTGAGCACCATTTGCTGTTCGACTTCTGTTCGACTTGCTGTTCTCAACCCTCTTTGTCTCCCCTAGAATCAGGGTATTTGGGCCGAGCCCATACTGACTCACGCGTCAAAGAGCTCACACCACGAATACTGTACACCAAGGTCAAGTCTCGAGTCAATTTTACGGTTCGCGACTCGCGAGTCAAAGGCAATATGAGCGTAGACTCGATCCTTGCCCTCTGGAGCTACGAAATAATACAAGACAGCGCCTTTGCGAAGGAACTCCTGACGACTGAATCGATGAACCCGTAGCGTTGATATGGGTTTCAACATCAATTTCTGGATGACCCAAGTGCGCCAGAGAGCGCTCTGCTAGGCCACCCCAGGCAGAGCGGCAAGTTCTGAAGTGTGGTTGTGAAGAGCGAAAAGCCTGGCATCCTCATGGATCAGAGTAGCGTATTAAGCTGGGGCGGTGGCTATCATTAAGACATCGACAAGCAATGTTTACTGCCGCAAATCTACTAGAAATACTATTACGGAAGGCTATAAGGTCTCTCAAATGTCCTGATCAGACGATGCTATATTGCGCTTTGTAGTTGCCTCGCTCAGTCATAATCCGCCGTTTACGAGTCCCCAGAGAAATTTCCGGAGGAAGGCAGGAAATGTCGGAGGTTCAAATACGGAGGAAATTCCCATCAACTTCACTACCCCTCACTTCTCCTATCCTTCTGTACATCCTTCCTAGGCCGTGATTCTTGTGCTATTTCATTATGAAATATCACGGTATGTTTGGTTTCGGACATTCACAAGCTTCGTTTGACAACGGCCTCGTCTTCTAGCCAACTTGTTCGTCTCAAACATGCTCAGAACGTGGATGGTCTGATATTAAAGAAATGTCGCCCCCCCGGGCCAGTCATGCCATCTTAGCAAACCTTGCCTGCGCCAAGGATCCGCATGATTGTGACCAGATGGCAGCCATTGTCGAGTGCAGCAGCTCGGAGGCTACGAGTAGTCCGGGTGACCAGCAAGACTACTTGTCCGAATTGACGTCCCCCAAAGAACCAGCCACTCCTCAAGAATCGCAGGTTCTCCTTCCCTTTATAGACTTGATGTATTACTAAAACTAACTACAGCATCCGTGCTGATCAAAATTGGCCATTCGTCTGTCTTTGGCTCGGTTGTGAAGCTACGCCCTTCAGACGAGTCACTGACCTCGAGCGCCATTACAGGACGTCACACCGTCAACAGTCGGGCCAAGATCGATACAAATGTGACCGTTCTTCGTGCACAAGAGGTTTTGAACGCAAAGACCACTTTCGTACTCATTTGCGAGATCGCCACTACGAGGATATCCCGAAGCGTGGCGTACTAGTCGACGATGACTGGTTTGAGGACCGATATGTTTCAAGCAAGTGGTGGAGATGCCGCAGCTGCCTCAATCGCGTCGTCGTTGAAGTCAGCGGCTTCAAATGTCCCGAATGCAAAGTTGAATGTGAGAAAAAGCGCCGTGAGAAGCGCCAGAAGAAGAACGTAAAGGTTCGCTGAGACCGTCCGACATGATCACCCAACATCGCCGTTATTCCACGTGAGGAAGATTGCCAGCTTGTTGCGGTAGTCTATTTGTTAAGGCTGTTCTGCTGCTGTAATGAAGGAACCCTTCAACAATATGTAGCTGCCGATACTATTATCCTCGCATTTCCTCGCCCTATGTTGTTGGCCTGAACCAAGATCATAGGCCGTGGCCCACCACGGGATGTCCTGCCACGGTAAATGAGTTGATATGTTGGCTCTGTATTTCACATTACACCATTTCAATCACAGATATAGGTTTCGAGAGATGACAAGAACTGAAAGCTGCACAAGGGCAGATGGGCTTCTTTATATTACATTAGGAATAACATTCTAAACCGGCCAGTCCAAGTCATTTAGTGGTACGTGACACTCCTACGTAGCTTCGTTGCATACGAGATAGCTCTTCCGTTCTTCACACTGGACAAGAACGTGATATTCGTCGCAAAGGTCTGATCCTCGGTCTGCCGTACCGACCTTCGGTAATGTCCGTCACGGTACTGGTGCCCGGCTGGGAAACGCAATCAAACAACTCGCCCAATAGCTCTCGTCCGGTTTGCAATTCAGTGATATAGACTCAGAGGTGTATTCGATCGATTGTGATGGCGAGTATAGGGTTCTTCAACACTGTTGAAAACGGTATCTGGACTGGCGGACTGGAATTCGATTTAATCGTATGGATTGCAAGGTTTAGGATAGGCGAGTGCAGCAGTGAACTTATCGTCTCCTCTTTTTAAGGCTCGTCCAACGTGTTCGCCGAGGGAGAAGGAAGGGCTGAAGACTTCGGGGGGAAGAGTCGATCTGTAGAACTGAAGCACGTTAGCTAGGCGCAAAGATGTCGCGAGGTAAGATACAGACTGTTAACTACAGCAAGGTTTCCCATCGCAGAAAACTAGACGGCATCTCTGACCAAGCGGGTGTATTTACGACGCCCGTACGGGATTGTTACCAATACAGGTCTCATGCTATTGGCAATTGGCAGAAGCCAGGGGGACGGGGCGTTGATCTGTTTGTCAAGGGCAACGGGATGGGGGCGGCCAACGCGGGATTCGGACAGAAGCGTCGATACATGCCGTATGAAGACAACGCGGTGACCGTTCGCTCGAGAAATCAAATTCAGAGTCAGCTCGAAATGCCGCAGGAGTTAGGGGTACGGTCAGCGTAAGAGTCCGTCTGGTTGCTCAAATGGCTTCGACTCTCTCCCACCAAGGGAACCACGAGACATACCATCGCAGAAGCTGCTCTTCGGTAGTGCCTACTCGCCGGACTCCAGCTGAGAAGCAGCAGAGTGGCGATACAGATGGAGCAGCTGGTCAATGGTTCGGATGTGAGCGCGCTGACTCCCTACAGCGTCTTCTACCAGCTCTCCAATCCATGCATCATTCGAAGCACGTCGCCACTCCTAGAAATGGCGCCAGAGCCGGCTGAAGTGCCGTTGGGTATTCGTATTCGGTCGTTTCGCTTGCGGGTGAGGTATCGGCGTAGATGGCAGGTTCGGCAGTAGCATTGTCTTCTGGGGGGAATGGATCAACTTGTTTTGCAACAGGGAAGTTGACCGGATGAGTATAGGACAGAAGAATGTCTAACGTGACAGTGAAAGGATAGGATAGAGGAATCGCGCAGGATTAGACTGTCAGTGACACGCGATACCCAGCTAAGAACATATCAGCATCATCACCGGTTGGCGTCTCTTCGCGGTGGCGAGATGTAGCTTCGAGAGGAATTTTCGTGCCTACAGACGCTGCAGGAGCTGCTCCGGTGTTGCATCGAGAGCTTCTGCGACTGGCTGCTGTTCTGCACGTTACATCGTCCTCGTACTGTTGCGGAGGGGACAGGGAGAGAGACGAGTGTCTAAAAAAGAGTTGGTCAATCCGTCTCTGAGACTGTTGAAGGAGAGAGAAATTGCTCTGGCGGCTGCTCTCCCATGCCCTACGTTGACCTAGAGGGTGCTCTACCGTGCCCCAGTCCTTGCTGGTACGAAACCCCCACAGTCAAGCTTGGGGGACCACTCTCGACGCCGCGACCACCTGGCGCTTCCAACACCATTTCTTCTTCATTTACCAAATGCAATAAATCACCGCAAGACCTATACCAACGCCTGAATCTATCGACTCAAGTCGTGGCACCGTTACATGGACCATCCCCGACTATGTACCACCAACGCCTTTCTCCACTCGTGCGCCCCTCCCTCGGTGCGATCCATTACTAGACCACAATCGCAGCCGCAAGCTTCAGCGCCCAGGTTTAGGTCCTGTAAGTATTGATGTATCCTTGCAGTTGTGATCTTGTGATCTACCAAGCAGCTAGATCGGACTGCCCGGGGAGGGTTTCGAAGCTCAGGGTTCAGGTGAAATGAGCTCACTCCCGACATAGCGTTCGATCAGACGTTGGATGCAGAAGTTGGCGTAGTGCTTTCCCGGTGTTTATGAGACTGTTGTTTCGCCATAAGATAATTTCCAAGTGAAGACGAGTCATTCACCAATTGATTGGGGAGGGCGGACGTTGAACCCCCTGGAACAATGATGAGCCCAGTGTTGTGTTTGCTTTGGTGGCACAAGGTGGTATTTTGGCCACCTGGCCGTACCTACAGACATGTCTGTAGTCACCGGGACTTGTCAGCTTCATCATATCGCACCAGTATTCCATCCCATTAGTGTTTCTTGTCCACAATTACTTTGTGTTTAGGGTAGCAGGCTAGCTCTGGTGCGACTCTGCCGCCATGACACAACACAGCAATTGCGCTGTTTTCCCCTGGCCCCAATCCATCTGGGATGCACGGCTATAAAGTTAGCGGTCGCCGATATTACCCCCTCTCCACAGTCGCCCGGCCTGACCGGCGTAACGCAAAATACGATCATAAGCCCTATTTTTCTCCCCTATTTCAGACCGCGGTTCTTAGGTCTGACAGCACCCACCCCCACGTGCTCATCTACAGTGGGTGGCAATAAGTGTTAGCCCACTGTCAGGTATCGAACTAAAGGCTAGGCTCAAGCAGGTAATTATCCATCGCTACTTTAGGGTCACCTTTCGGAAAAGCCAATCCACTAAAAGATTGATGCTAGCGCTATATTACAGTGCTTAGCCACTAATCCGCCCACTAACTGCTCGAAATTACGAATAGTCGTGCGCTGGAATTTAGGGGAGCTGAACTATAGAGGATGTTACTAGGGTTAGGGTTATATAAAAGCGGCATGATAACAGTACCTGACAGGGGGCTAACACTTACTGCCACCCACTGTAGCAAGGCCAACATCTTTGATAGCCCTTCCTCCGATAAGGTGTGGCCACATAAGTGATCGCCGAAGCCCACTCGTCTTCAGCACTCTTTGTCCTCGTCTTCCAATCCTTCTCCCTCCCTCCAGGACCTCCATCCCTTTGGCATCAGCAACTTCACCAGCCAGCCGCGCGGCCATGGCGACCCCTTTCCCCATTGGTAGCGACTCGCCCATCACCTTGTCATCGGAATCGACGCCAACGACCTCCCAAGCGCCCGTCGTTGCCCCCAAGCAGCAACATCGGCGTCGCATCTATCGCCCGGCAAAGGACTCGCTCTACGATCTGTTCCATGAGCACGCCGGTACTTCGTTGTTCGTGCGCCCCATCTCCTGGACCGATCTGCACGCCCAGCTCCTCGGGACGCGATGGGAAAAGTTACCGCCATGCGATAGCCCAAAACCAGCTACGATGCCTAAGCAGTCCCCTTCGAAGGGCCACTTGCTGCCGTCGCATACCATCATGACCCTCAGTAACTCCCTTACTCAGATATTTTCGACCCACGCGAAGCAGCCCATCCTCTGTTCCGACGCTGTCAAGACGGTACTTATGACGTTGTGGCCCCAGCCATTCAGCGAGTCGCACTCTCTACCGAAGTTGCACCTGTACTTTGGTGGTCGCATCTACCGAGATGCGGTGGGCGCGCAGATTATGTGGAACTTCCCGTCTGATGAGTCCAAGTCGTCATTTTGCTCAGTCTCGACACAGCCGGCTGATTCTTGCAACGCGCCCGCACACCCTTCTAACCCATCCCTACAGGGCCCGGCCAACCTACCTATGATGTGCTACGTTGGGAAGAGCCAGCTTGCCAACATCCGAAAGAACTTGTTACGCATTAGGCTTGGCCCGGGGAAGAGTAGGAACGAGCCTGTGTATCGTCTGCAACAATTGAGGGCGAAGTTATTGGTGCCGTCCAACTCGGATCATGACGCGAATTTTGTGGGCATCTTTCTCGCCATGGCACAGAAGCATTTCTACCCGTCTCCACCTCCTTTATCGCAGAGGGAGTCGCCCAGGACTGAGAAACGGAACATTCCGCCAAGCCCCAATTTCCAGGATGTTACACTAAGAATCTTGACACACGAAACATATACGTCTGAATTCATTGTGTACACGGGGTACGTGACGAAGGAGTTTCTAGAGAAGTTTCATAATCCGTTCAAGGCACCGGAGGGCGAGGAGAAAATGGAGCTTTCTGGCATCAAGATCGAATTCACACGAGTACCCATTTCGCCCATACTGGGTCTGCGAGAACGACTCGGAAAAGCGTTAGGACAAGACATGGTTGGGTATTTCAACCATGAGGAGATGGAGACGTGGGTGAAGGACCTAGAGAAGCAAGAGAGCGGCAAGCGGAAACGAGACGGCCTGTTAGCGGCTCTCAATAGCACTTTTGATAAGGAGTCGGCCGAGGAGGCTTCATTAGGTTCGAAGAAGCGGTGCTTAACCGAGGGATCCCTAGTGGGGGTGGTGATATAAGAGTCCAACACTGGCGGTGATGCATAATTTTGTTTGGAGCACTCTCCCATACTATGGGGCTTCTTTTGGGAGAATCATCTTTTTTATTGAGATACATAGGTATGATCCGCCTCTTGACCGCAACGGCGGTATGGTATGAACGTGAGGGGAGTTGAGAATCTACTCGTGGTTTTTAATCTACCATATTCCTGGAGTTTCAAGTGTGTCTTGGTCACTAGAACCCTCCCCTTGCTGACTGTTGTTACTCATAGTCTATCCTTGGTTACGTGGACCAGTAATTAATCCCTTTATCTTCACAACCGAGGACTCTACTTCTTCCTTTTCCCCACCTGTCTAAGTAGAAGCCAATCCTACCCACTAAAACCACCGTATTAATTATGTGGACTTCTACATAGCAATCGTTTAGGTCGGGTCGTTACGCGCAAGATGACGGCGGATCAGGGGCTTGGTGGACCGGTCGAGAGATCGAGGAGGAATCTGTCTACTTCGGCTCCAGCACCTAATGGAGAGGGCGATAGGCCAGAGAAGGAGGTCAAGAGAAAACCAACGAAGGATGACAAGGACGAGACGGTATGGTCGTCACGGGTCTCACCGCGCAGGTGCGACGACCCTTCTCAATTTACCACTGACCCCGCGGTTGCACCCTCACGACATCCTTCCGCCGACGGCTCATCAACAGTGAACCCCACCCCTGAAGTCCGAAAATGTCTCACCCCTTACCGGCCACCCGAGCTTCCGGTTACCATCTTAGGCTTAAGAGAACTGAAAGTCTCCAAAATTATCGATAACCCAAGGCTGTGACACGATATTAACTTCGATCCCGAGCTGCGCTTCGGGCCATATGTGGAGGGTGACAAGGGCCGAAGGAAACACGGGCGAGCGGGTATCTTCTGGACCGCCCTGAATGGGCGGTTGGTGGAGTTTATTGAGGACCGACCTGACTTTTACAGGAAGCACGGCATGGAAGACGACTGGTGCCTTCCCAAACTTAAGACCACCAGGGACATTATTCGGACTCTGGTTCCCCAGCGGGACCGACAATTTCTTGATGGGGGCCTTAACGTCGGGGTCCCGATGCAGCAGTTGCACCGCGGTATTGCTGACTTTGAGAAGTTGCCCTGATGGCTTTCACGAGTACTCAAATCGCATTACGCACCTATGCGTGACGAGTGAGCGGATTCTATATACAACCAACTCGGCAGTGGCAACCGCAACAACGACATGGACGAGCTGGTCAACGGCATGCGCAGTCTGCTGAGTGTACTGGAGGGGATGAAATTGGACGTTGCGAACCACTAGATTCGATTCCTGCGACCTGCTTTGGTCGAGGGGACGACGGCTTTTGAGCAGAAGTTCCTGGTGAAGAAGCTGCAAAACCGCAGGATGAATATCAGCGACGCGAAGCCCTGGTACCGAGAGGCCGCCGGGACGTATTCTAGTAACAGAACCATGAGCTCATCGTCATTTGGAGACATAGGAATATTCTTTTAGAGTCTCACATGATTGATGCTACCCTCAGCAGGTGGCAAACCCCTTCCTGGCACTTTATTCTTCGGCGACGACTGCTTGGAGCGAGTGAGGTCCAATATCCCCGACGCCATCAACCTAGACGTTTGTATGGCGCATGTACCAAGATTTGAAGAGTATAGCTCGGTTCGATGCGAAGCCTATCTTCTCGAACCACGCTACGGAGGCTGGCCCCCTGATGCCATCGATGAGCAATAACGAGTTGAACTTCAACACTCCCCCTTCGCATTCAAGACCCGCCAATCTCGCACTCAGCTCTGCAGGCTCTGCTCCTTCATCTCCTCGATCTTGACTGGTTCTGCCCTCTTACATCATTCCCAACATGAACGAGTCCAAGGCTACGGGCCGTAACCTCCGCAACCCGCTCGTGGCCCTCCTTCAGGAGGCTCCGCATGACCTCCACCACCTCGACTGCTAGCCTGCCATGACACCATCGATGGCGCTCCTGACCTTCCGATTTACTAGAGCACCTTCGAAGATGCTTCCCGCATGTGAGGAGAAGCTTATCGAGAATGTATGCAAGATTACATCTCCTGTCTTCGAGGAAATCGAGGAGGCCTATCGCGCCTGACCCGTTGCGAAACTGGCTACGCGGGTCCGCTACTTCAAATCGCTATCAGGAGTCTGCCTATTTTCCATCGCCACTGAGCTAATACTCACGAGGGCAGTACCCCCTTTGCCGGTACACATCTTGAAAGACTCTGGCGATGAGCTCGACGCGTCAATTTAGACATCAGTGGTATTGTACTTGACAGTACCGCCATGTATCTCTTGACCAGCACAGTGATAGAAAGTGCGCCCAAAAATTGTATGTAGGGAGTGAACAGAGGACCAGAATCTGTCTGTCCGTATTCAGCCTTGTTCGCAGCGAACCCCGGTCAACTTTGCCCTGTAATTCAGTATTTGATGGCTATAATAGCTGAACTACTGAGCCATGTGTCAAATTAGACAACGGTGCTTGATTTGAACGGGCAAGCAAGCGGCGAAGCTGATAGGTCTACCAGATCCCGCTGGCGTTGAAGGGTTGGCTAGGAGGTAGACTATCACTGCCTGGTCTACCCACAAGAGAGGCCTCGTTTATGAGGAGTTGTAATCGCGAGCTGGCGATAACTTGATGAAGATTCACTGAACGGACAACAATCTCCAAACAGGTCTATTCATAACCACTGTCTAGCCATCGAGTTCAAAGGAGTCCTGACGGTGTTACAGGATATGACCTAGCTGATTGGTATCCAATTGGGTAGCCGCAGAGCCACCGAGATTGATTCAGGATTGTATCATAGGGTAGTAAGACTTCCGGGTCGAGTCCTCTCCCTGCGTTTAGCTTGGGACAGCTGTACCTTTGAACAGTCTAACACACTCCTTAGGCCTGAGATGGATAAGGGTGCTTAGGCAACAGTCAATGGCATGAACCAAAGACAGCTTAGCCTTTGTATGTCTATTTATACGTACCCCAAGTCCTACACCTTGCCTTTGACCAAGGGCTTCATTTGTCAACTGGCTCATTGGTTGATTACTGAGCTCACAGTCTACCTCTGGAGCCAGAATTGGACAAAGCCTACTTCACTTCTAACAGGTACAATTCATGGGTGCAGGTTTCGTGTTTTGCATTCCACGGCCTTCGCACGTCATTCATCTACTACTGAGTATATCACCTCGTAAATGTTCCAGCTTAATTGAAACTCCTCGGATCCAGCCTTTGACCGCCATCCCGTTGGGCTCTCGTGGGACCGCCTCTACGCTGCCCACCCCGTGTCCTAGGGGGATGGCTGTACTGAGACGCACTGGCCAGTTCTGAGGCCCTACTCTTGTACGTGTGTTGGTCCAGCTGTGGAGGGTGGAAGGCCCTCCACGGATCGTAATGGGGGGAGTCTCTCGCCCCCTGTCGACGATGCCGCTGATGTCGGCCGCGAGGGAACGCCATACAATGGAGCTGGCATCGACGGCAACGCTCCTGGAGACGCACCGGGATGTACGCCTCCAGGGGTACTGTATATCGGCATGGCGAAATCGGGACGGTCGTCTGTTCTGCGGCGCTGTGCTGGTCGTTCGCCCGAAGATGGTTCGCCTGGATAGCCTCGTGATGGCATGGACACATGAGGTGCCGCTATTAACGGACTCCTCTCCGCATAAGAACTGCTCCTCGCTGAGGCGGGACTCGAAGGCCCAGCTGCTAGATGGCTGATTCCTGACGTTGGCAACACAATGTCCCTTAACCGATTTCGATCGTCTCGGTAAAAGTCTCGCTGGTGAGCTAGTTCCTCGAGTTTTATCTCCAACTGGGCGCCTCTCATCCCGGAGCTCCTGCAGCTGCTTGGTATTCTCTTCCTGCATTATCTTCTTCTTCCTCCGGTGTCTCGTCGATGCCACTGCGTTCCGCTGCCTCTTCTCGTCGGCATTCTTCGACGCTTGCGAATAGTCTACCTGCGCAGGGATTGGAGTGTCGCTTCCTGGGAGCGTCATGAAAGCCTGTTGTCCCTCAGCGCCGACCATGGCTCCCCCCATGCCATGTCTTCGCATCATCTCGGACTAAGGTGGAGCGCCTTCGTTCGTAGGGCCTGTGGCCGAGAAAGATCGGCCTGGTTGCATGCCAGAAGGGAATTGGCTTTGGACACCTTGAGGCGCTCCCAGAGGATGGAGTCCGCGACGCTGTGATCGGTGTTCTTCGGAAACGTCGCTCTCGTAAGGCCGTTTGGCTAGGGACATGCTTGGGAGGGGAGGTGGGCGGGCGTCCAAGTTGTGGGGAGTCATCTGTCCATAACTTAGACTCATGGCTCGGGGAGGTTTTGGGCTGAGCTTCCTTCGGGGATTGTTTATAGCAGGGAAAGGGAACGCGGTCGTGGGCGATTTGCATTCGGAGGATGTGCCGCCCAAAGGTGTTACCGCACCCACCAGTGTGTCCATCAACCAAGTAAAGCAAAATTTGGACCCTCTACTTGACTTGGTTGACGGGACCCTCTTGCTTGACTTGGTTTACTCGGTAAGAGAGGCTTGCTTTGCTTGGTTGGTTGAGGTTACTCGACTATTTTCCATTCCTCATGTGGCTCCGGTGGTAGATCTATGCTAACATACCGCTTCGAAGCAGGTGCTTTTGGCATTCAATCGCTGCTACAGTATCCGAATTAAGCCGATTCCGTTCATCTGTGATGACCTTCTTTGTCTGTGAGAAAACGCGTTCACACTCAGCGCTCATTGCTGGGCAACTGAACAAGTCAAAGGCCATCTTGGACAGGATGGGGTAGTCAGATGTATGGCGAACCCACCACTCCAGAGGATCCTCAACATCCAGATCAGCCTTATTAGTCCTGGCCATAAACTCATCCAGCTCAGATGTCAGTTTTCTCCGCTTCCCTCGTGTGGCTGACGCCGCCATGGCAGCAAGCCTCTGACGACGCTTACGAGCTTGCTGGAGTGGATCAAGCCTCGCCCTGTTTTCAGCAACAGCCTCCTCCTCCTCCTCCTCCTCCTGCTGTAGTGCTCCTTCTATTAGGTCCACTTCTGCAGCTGCTTCCTCGTATTGTGTATAAGCCTCCTGCACCACTCTCTTCGCGCCGTTGATCCATTGCTTGTTGTGACTCCATTCAAGCTCGAAGTAGGTAAATTTGTTTGCCGGATGCAGGGCAACTGCACATCGGTATGCAGGCGTGGCATCTGTGAGACCAAAATATTCTTCAAGCTTGACGCGAGCAGCATCAATAGCTTGGGAGTAGTAGTATGTTGACACCACGTCAGGGTGATAGTCTGCAAACCTCCCGGCCTCCTGGAGCTTCTTGAAAGGACATCAAGCGACTCGATCGTCTCGTGGAGGGAGCCATTTGATCCTTCTAGACCAGCTTTGTTTGCCCGGCCTTCCATGCGCTTTGTTAGATCTTTGGAGGGCTTTAAGATATTGAGGAAGTGGCCCAGATCGGTCCAATCTTGTGGAGTAAGAATATCCTGTGAGATATCATATTCCCCGTTGATATGGTTGTAGTTGAGGAAGAATAGATCAATAGCGTGGCGGAGTTTCAGAGCTCTCTCAATCATGGAATATACAGAGTTCCAGCGGATGCCGCCATCGACCAGGACTCTAGTGTAGAGGTGCTCGATGCTGCCTTCGTCGTACGCCTGCAGAATGTATTGCTTCAGTCGCTCCCGTCGCTGGTCGCTTCTGTTGATCCACATACAGAAGTTGTGGAGCTTGCCGACAAAGCTTTGCTTCCTCCATATCTCAAACCGCTCGTCATCCGATGGCGCGCTTATGAGGCTGACGATATCGGATGGATGGCACTGGCTTCCAATCGTAACGGATTTTGTCCCACTCGATAGGGAAATGGCATTGAGAAGCTTTTGGCACCTCTCTTTCGTGGGAAACGGTTGCGGGAGAAGCGCCATGAAGTGGCACACTGGTTGGGATTGAGACCGAGCTAGGGGTACTGGACTGAGCAGAATCGATCGGCTCAGAGGGAGTCCTAGGGGGTGTAGCCTTTCCAAACCTTCCCCGAGGCTGAAACATTGGATATGAAGGCATTATTGACTTGAGATTGGACTGTGCGAGACTTTTTTGGCAGCAAAAGACATGGGGCAGTGAGACTCACCTTGAAACACGACCCCCGGAGAATGTACATGTCGGTGATAACGGAGCCTTGGGCTCTATGTTCACAATAGGCGAGTGCTTCGTCCGGTTTTATAACTCGTCGTGCGAGACCTTTGTCGATTTGATTGACGAGCCCCAGCGCCTGCGACTGCGGGTTCGACCAAAGCTTGATCCCGCTCATGGAAATGCAGATGATACGCGGCCGGGCCAATCATCAAAGACGCAACTTAACACTTCCAAGAAAGGACGCAAGGAATTGCATCACGGGGTCAAGTTCTGGCCACCGGATCAATCTTCACCGCCCAACCCCGAGCTAGCCCAACTTCACAATATTCTCTATCCCCAGATACCGATGAACGAAGTTGACTGGGCCATGGACGACCGTACTCTAATCTATGCCTCAGGGCACGCGGTTAGAGGCCGGCCCAGGCCGCTAGTCCTCATATCTTTTGATTCCGCGATTCGGTTCCCAGGCTACCCAAAGCTGCAGCTCAGCTGTGCAGATCCAGATGGATCGAATATCCTGCCGCCCAATAGACCCCACCCGGCGGCAGAGCATGCTCACATTATACCAGAGACTCCGGTGGGCTCTGTGAACCTCCATGGCGTGTCTGGCGTGTCTTCGGTCATGGCTACCTCAGATACCGAGTGTCAGAAGGATCCTACGGCGCCAAATGTAACACCAACCCCAACGGCTCAGCCATGGGCCAAGACATATCAGGCTCTTTACATGAGCATGCCCAAGACCGAAACATCGCCGTGTGGTTTTGATCTGTCGTACTGACCGCTGTGTTTCTTTTATGCTGCTAGGACCACTCAAAGCACTCGTGATTTTTCGGCTCATGGCGCGCTTACTGCAAACCGTGAAATCTATGTCCTATCATATGGGGCAAATGAAAACAAACTAAGCAACACCGGAAGGAATAACGAGCTGATTTGACTGCTGGTCTATTCACGAAGTTCTATACCGGCCTAGGACACGGTATTGGATTCGCTCTCTGATCTGTGATCCGACTGGAGGAGTCCAAAATCTGAGGCCAGATCCCTGATAACCTACCCTATACTTTGGGTGGCGAATTGCACGAGTTGGGATATGTCCAACCACTTAATGGTCTAGTGTTCTAGAGATCTATAATTGTTCGATAAGAAGGAGACAGTCAAGATGGCTGGGATTTGGCGTATGCTGGAGCAGATAGCGAGCGTTAAGACTTTTTTCAAATGATATGTGTAGCGATAGATTGACGGCAGTTTCCGCAAAAGAATGGCAGCGAGTCATTCAGTAATATTAGTAACAAACGTTGACTTCAGACTCAAAGCCGAGGAAAGGCAATGCAAAACCAAATTATCATCCTGTTCGCTGTCGTCGTCCGCGGTTGGGTCCATGTTATCTCTAGGAAAGCACCTCACGTACGAGTAAGGGTGCCTGGCGTGTCGTCAGAGCCGATTCAGGCTTTTGTTATTCCCCTCATCCCAAATGTACAGTACACACTTTTTCCTTGGGAGGGGTTTTTGAGTCAATCTCACCCCCTCTGACTAAGGTCAGAATATCGAGATTGAAATAGCCTTGTTTTCTACATAAGAAATAGCGCAGGTGCGCCGTTTTGTACGTAAGAGCGGAGCCCCTATTAAGGGTCTGCTCTGACCAATCATATCCCTACACCTTACAATAATTATGTAAATCCGACCTCAATCTAACAAATAACATTTTGCACGTCCAGATTTGGCACCAGCCATTGCCCATATTTAAGGGGTCTCTGTTCTTCGCCATTCAGATTTTGCAATATCGTCCTCGCTTGAACTCTTAAATGCACTCCCTAGTAATTTTGCCACTTGCATGGATCAGCCTTGCCGCTGCCAACAGCTTGAAATCCAGGTAATCTGTTTTTTATATATGATCAGATCCATAAAGCAACTTAGCTCACACTGAACACTAGTGGATATTCAGTCCCAACGGCCAATGAAACGCCCCGGGGACGATCAGAGTGCACCCCCATCATAAATAGGCGCGAAGTTACTGCTACTATGAAGACTGTGTCTACTATCTCCATCGCGAGTTCGACTGATACTGGGTTGGAGATTATGGGAATTGAGGAGATGTGCGTTTGAACAACAATCAATATGAATCTAGTAAAGCTAACTCTGGATTCTAGGAAAGATGCTCTTTCAGCCGCATTTGAAGCACTCCGGCACCCAGTGACAAGTGTACCAGGTGATGAAAGGCGCGAGCTTCCATCCTCTCTAAGGACCTATCGGCGGTCACTTCAATCTCTGGAGTAGTTAGTTCACCGTCTACAAGCGTGACCATTAGTGGGAGTGAAAGTAGTGCCCCTAGATCAGGAATCTTGGATTCAAAGATGAGCGTGGTGTTAAAAATGGTGGTGATAATAGTTACTGTTTATTGGGTTGCATGATATCCTCCAGGCTCTTGTTTGGGTTTCAAACCTGATATTTTAAACTCAATGGCTAGATGCATGGTTAGAATAGAAACAAATTATCCCCTCAGTATTTACCAAGTTTTGGTGCGCATTTAATATAGTAGCCCCTATAGCTGTATGGAGGTGTGACCTTGGCCAACAATAGCAGAAGCTAAAGGCTTTGAAATTAACTCGACCTGCTCTTCCGCAGACAACTCTTTCACGGTCCAACCTCTTCTTCTCTTTTTGGGACTTCGTGACATATTCTTCCTTCCTGCGAACCGTAAGAGTCCTCCTACAGCTCTCTTGTATGGCACAAGGGTTAATTATTGAGCTGGCTGGCTGGCTTATGAGGGATATACTTTGGTTCGGCTGGTGAAGGAATTCAAGCTATCAGGCCAATCACAGCTTTTTCTAGCCACAAAGGACCCGACGTGAATTATGCTCATGGATTCATGCATGCGGGGCAGTGCTCGCAATAGTCCAATCAGTCCGTCTAAACTCTCCAGACTGTCCATTTAGTCCGCCCGACTGGGTCAGACTAGACCAGCAGTCTAGCCGAGATGCCCAGACTGGACTATTAGTCCGTCTGTCATCTTTAGACCAGACTACAGTACAGACTACAGTCTAGACTAATAGTTTAGACCTCATAAACGACGTCTAGCTCTCCCTTCTACCTCGGGCCCCAAGCTACCCACCACATAACTAATACACTACTACCTGATCATGTCTCTTCCGCCAGCCTACCCACAAAGTTCCTAAACATCAGGCATAGCATCTGTAGCTGCCGGAGCAACGTAGCCACGCTAGAATTCATTAATTAGAAAATGGTATGTACACCTCACAGAATGGAAAACTTACTTCCGACTGGGCTATCAGAGCGCTCCTGTCCCAGGATCGTAGGCATTCCAAAAGATTCAAAGTTTCAATGTTCATAGATCCTCGCTGGTCGGTGACTGTCAGTCTAGCTTTGGAGAAGAGTCGCTCTGTCTCAGCAGACATAGGCGGAATCGATAGAATGTCGATGGCCATCAAGGACAGGTTAGGGAATCTTCTTCGCTGAGCCAGTTCGAGCCACCATTTCAAAGGATCCGATATCATCATCACAGGTTCGCGCCAGTATACTTCGTACTCGTCATCATCCATGTTTAAAATCGTGGCCTTTTGCTCTTTCATCCAGATGTTGTATCCATTCGGCCGTCTTGTAGTGGGTTCTGGTGCACCGCTTTGACGGAGAATAGGACTGGGTGTGGTTGGCTTGTATGTCTTGCTCCACAGCTGCTCTACACGAGCTTTAGCCTTCTCGATCCATTCATTCTTATCTTCCCAAGTCTTCTCCATGTATGCCCACTTGAGCGAGGGATTTAAGACCGTTGCTGCTGAATACACTGGAGAATCCTCTGTCGCTGCATAATAGTCGGCTAGTTTGGCCCAGGCAGTCTCCATCATGGTCGCCAAGTGGGGGACCGCGGTGATCTCCCTGGACGTCTCAATGTGATGAAGAAGATAATCCATAGTTGGCAGAACGTCACATATGGAATTTCGATTGCCTTCGTTGGCCATTGTGGCATCTTGAAACGGCTCGAGAAATTTGCAAGACTCGGTCAAAGTTGCCCAGTCGGAAGGAGTCAGGATATCCTGTTGCAAAGCCGGCTCTTGCGCACAAAAGATGGTGATAGCTTGCCTGACCTTAGACCTCGGGGCCCATTCGACCATTTTGTACCACGAATTCCAACGAGTGTCGTTATCACGCCGTAACCTAAGACCGTCGCTAAGGATCGTGAACGCTTGAAGCCGCTGGGGGCTCCAAGTAATGTAGACGACGATATTATGAAGTTTGCCTATCGCCCCTCGCTTTCTCCATTGCTCAACTTCCTCGTCGGACGGTCCACGGTAGGAATCTGTCGTGGGTGGTCGCTTTCCTATGAGAAATTCCATCACGGCCAGATTAATGATATGGCCGAAACAGCGAAGTTGGTGAGGAAGAGGGTCGTAGAAAACATCGAACTCATGTTCCAAGTCATCGGAGACTTTGTCGATCATGGTGTTCATATTGCTAGCATTATCCATCATGAAGTATCCAACTTTGGACGCTATTCCTATTCTCGTATGAACTCCATGATGGCTTCTGTCATGTTCTCGCCGCTGTGTTGTCCTTCCAGCTCCTTTATCCTCACCACGAGGGACTGCAGACCGTGATCTTCAGTAACGAACTGAACTGTAAAACCGATGACCCCTAAGCAGTTTGGAGATGTCCAATTATCGGGAACAATGTGGACAGAGGAAAGGGCATTTTGTAAGGCTCGCTTTACGAACTCCTTTTTGTTGTCATAGCCCCATTGTAAGTCGGCTTTGACCGTATTAGCAGACCTCGGGAGGAGGTCATCCGCAGCCGGGCGAAGATAGCGGATGAAGTCACGAAAGGCAGGCTGTTCAACATGAGCAAAGGGGAGGCTGCAAGCTACTGTATAGCGGCAGTATAACTCGCGCAAGGTGGCTTGATCCAACACATCTCCCTCTGCTGTCGCCTTGCGCTTCTTAGAGGGGACAAGAGTATCATTGGTCATGAAGGTAGTGATGTCTCCAAGGCGGCTTTGGGTCGTCGCTCGGCGGTTGTCTTGCCTCCCGGAGACCATGATTCTGTGCTCCTTGCGCAAATGATCGATGACTGTGGACGATCCGCCAGAGTAATTGTATCTCTTCTCTCTCTTCTTGTTGAAGCAGTGCTGGCAATGCCACCATTTCCTTCCGTTGGAATCGACCCAGGCTGCAGCCTGCAGGCAATGCCTTGCCCTTTTCTATTCGACAATACTTCCAGATGGGAGATGTCGTCCGGCGGGGAAAGCTATCAGTCGACGACGACGAGGAAGGTGCCATAGAGGAAGTGGCCGCACTAAGCTCGGAATCATCCAGATGGTTGATAGCGCTATCAAGAGTGCTGACAGGATCACTAATAGAAGACATGATTCAGTTAGGCCGCAAGTGGACAAGAGATTTGCGTTCGTAATGGCAGTATTATTGTCGGATTGACCGTCGGATACAGGGCATGATGGCCGCGCGCAAGGTGATGCGCTTGTAAGGGGAATCCCGGCCTAACATCGGATATCCCTGACCAATCAGATCGTGGGGATTCACCCGCGATTCCACGGTCAAATGCCCATCACCGCCAGCAACCCCTTAGATAGTTAGACATGCAGAATACACGATCACCACGAATACCGTGACTTTTGCCTCACCCAGTTGCAACCCGTACGGGTATCCCTGTGATACCAACAATTATAGTTGGAGGGAAATTGCTGGAGCAGAAGACTTGTAGTTGACGATTTTCTCCTTAGACATGTGGGAGTGGCAGAATTGAAGTACGCGAACTCAACACTCCGATTAATCATACCAAATACAGAATGAACGCGTTAATAAAAACATCAATTTTGGGGGACGCGTTCCTTGGTCATTATACTCCGTACACACACACACACACACAATTTATTACGCCCGGTGGCTTACAACCAATAGGGCACTAGTTGCTATTGTACATATCCGTTTTCCCAAGCTATGTCATAATCTCGTAAAAGCCCATGCAGCGTCCAATTTTTGCTAATGTATCTTCGTTTTCAATCTTTCTGCGGGTCCCGTGGGGTTTGTATTATTGGCAAGCGAACTTGAAGGCTATTCTCCAAGTGTCCGTACATCTACAGGGCTTATGGGGTGCCAAGGTGGGGTAGGTGAGGTGGCGTTACCAAATTAGTCAGACTGGACTATCGGTCTGGTCCTAGAGATACAGACTAGACTAATAGTCCGCGGACTATTGGTCTGGACTAATAGTCCGCTTAATGGTCTGGACTATTGCGAGCGCTGGTGGAAAAGACAAGCCTCATTTGACTCTCGAGACGAACAACGGGTTGCATCCAAGAAGAGCTCTCTGGTGTTATGCCCGGTAAACGACCCGGCACCTACCTCGCCGAAGAACCCGACTTGTTCTGAAACAGAAAGTCTCTAATATTTTTTTCAGAATGTTGTTCGCTGACAGACGCTACAGCACTCCTTTTTTTGATTCCATGGTCCAAACTCACCAGAGAAGAAGTCAGTCAACTTGCTAAAAACCCGAAATCAATTAATTTCATTTTGGGAGACCGGATTACTCTACCCTTGGAGGTGCCTAACAGGGAATACGCTTTTGGCCGAAGGCCTGCTTGCGACTTCCCATTTACGCACATTGCTGGTGATGCTTAGGACGATATTCAATTTATTGTTCACAACGATGAATATGGCAAAGCCATGATTGAGAATCGGTCTACGGACGGCACTTGGGTCGACAGGAAGTGCATTAGAGGGAAGAGAAAGAGACTGACTGGGGGCGAAGTAATCTCAACAAGCGTGGCTCATGACGAGCGCTTGATATTCAAGGTAGAGATACACTATCCCAGTAGTGCAGTCTCGTCCTCCCTTGATGTAGAGGCTCCAAAGCTTCAGGAGCGTCTAACGTCAGAGAGCCCTAGTTAGGGAGATCGGCAATTATATCTGGGTAGACACAGACCCTTTATGTGAAGGCGCTAGAGATGGGAACATGACCGATAGATGATTGTAAACATTGGCGCGGCTCAAGGTACCCCTAATATACTGCTTGCTGATTGACTGAAAGTTCCTATGGTGATGGCCTAGAGACCTGCCCTCCCCCGTGGTGGAGGATTGGTCATAGGGAAAGGACCAAGGTTAAATGAAAGGATAGAAACCATGTATTAAAATATGAGCGAACCTAAGTGCATTAGTAGTTGAAAAACATGGCGTAGCTCCCCTAACACCTCTCTCATCTCATGACTGCGAAACCGCGAACAACAGCTAAGAAGAAGTCCCCTGTTTGACACATCTCTAAATAAGGTCATAGTTTGGCCCTACCAAGCGTTTCCGTATACCTCGGGCAATTTTAAAGATAATACTTTCACGAGCTGCTCAAATGTACCCAAACTTGGTTTCACAACCGACCGAGGAGCCAGGCAATGTGCAGCCCTCTTTCCTGCTATATCCGCGACACGCATGTCTTTAGAGCGGCACTGTCGTAGCTCAAACGCCGTTATTGGTGGGCCGTGGGTCGTCACTGCCTTGCTAAGAGAAAGGTAGTTTTCGCGCAAACCGTTTGATATGCGAGTCCTTCTTTACGCGGACTCCGATTGGGTACCATCGGGGTGCTATTCTTGGAAAGGAGGATTATCAGGTATGCGGCATGCCTCCAGGAATTTTTTATATTTTTTGTAAAAGTGGCGAACGATTTCGGTCGAGCTTATTCATAAAAGACAAGTGCTAGCCTTCTAAACGGGTTGACTTCGTCTTTTCCTGCAATCTTGCTTTTCACCCATATTCATCCCATCAACTACCGGCGAGTACCTCTGCGAGACGACTCTAAGAACGCTGCAACTTTACGTCCACGCGCAAGGGAGAAATTTCGCTCGCGGCCTTCAAATCCTTACGCCTCCCTTCCTCACATTCCTTCCTGGACGTACTCGTCGTTCACAGACCGGGGTGGCTTTGAATAGCGGTCACGTTCTTTGATCGCTTCTAGGTTAGCCAGCCCTAGCCAGAGCAACACGCACATCAGAGTTCTTTCCCATATCGACATGGAGACTTCGGAGGTCGATGATCTATCGACGGGGTTAGGTTATTGCATCGATAGAGGGTCATTAATTGTTACACACCTGGCTAGACGATCGGCAACGTATCGGTTGAGGACCATGACAGCCCCTACCATACCGATGTAAACAGGAACACCGGCTGGCAAGCCAGAATCATGAATGGCTATAATAGCACCCAGGAAAACAGCATGCGCGTAGATCGTGGCGTTCGAGTGAATCTTACCCACACCGAACCTCTTGGCCAAGAATATGATCATTCGAGTGTAGAGGAAGGCGTGGAGAAGCTTGACTGATGCCCGGTGTATAGCGGCGCTCTGGTAGACGATGGCAGCCAACCCGACGAAGGGCCGCATCAATGCGGGGGCCTGGTAAGATGGTCGTGTCGATATGTCGCCCCGCAACAAGGTCTTTGAGAGGCGTAGAGTTGTGAATGCCTGGACGAAGCATGCGACGGTGTCGAGGACTTCTGGTACCACATTCCCCTCAACAGCTCTGGTGTAATATCGTACAAGCTCGAACGAACCGGTTAGGATATGTAGCACCAGTGAGAAGGAGCCTTGCTTGCGAAATTTGGCATGGTAGACTGGCAGACTGCGCCGGGTGTGATACGCAAAGATCAAGAGGTATACCGAGCATATCAAAAGATATTGTGTCTTCTTGTCAGACGTCAGCAACTCCCAGTAACCTTCCAATGAGTGCCTGGCACGTTCCAAGACACTGGCGGCCGTCATTATTGTGCAAGCACCTGTTCCCATGAAGACAATGTAGATTGATTGCCAGGTGGAAATAGCGGGCGTAAAACTAATTGAAAGACCAAGACGGGTGGCGACAAGGACGGCGGCGGCGGCGGGGGAGGAAAGAATGGTAGGAACAAAAAGGCAAGAGGAGGAGAGCACTCGGTTATTGGGGTGAACGGATCAGGTGGTCGCAAATTCCAATCCCAGCACAGCAGTTTAAGCTACTCTTTAGACAAGTAGACCGAGGGCCGTTTTTCGTCGTCGTCCGAAACAGGATACACCGCCCGCCGAAGTCCAATTTGCACCGGCCCACACAACAGGATACCTAGTCAAGCCTTCCCCCTCATGGTCAAGTGTCCTAAAATGGCTGGCGATTTCACTATATATATACCTACTCGGACTTGCCCCCAACATTCGGTTCCTCTCCTCAGAGTGTATCCGAGGATGAATGTGAATTCGTCCTGATTTCGAATTGAAGGCCTGTCAAATGATGTCTCACTAGTTCGACTAGCTGATTGAGGAAGCATGATAATCAACAACAAGCGAAGTCTTACCTTGATTCCTTTGTAGTCAAGGGTAGGAGCGTCAGAAGCCTTTGGCTTCTCAGGAGTACACACTCCTCACTCAGTTCCTCCTGGTCACTGAGGCTAGACAACGAGCCCAGCTCGCTCACTGACGAGACGGATAGGTTTTTGTTCTTACCCCTTGGCGCGGTTGGGGAGGAGAGTGAGAGAATGACTTGCTTTGCCTTCGAGAAGTATGCGCCTTGTATTCTTTCGCTTTCGCCAGCCAAGGTTTCGGATCAAGCGATACGAGTTTTGGAAAATCCTTAATTCTACTTAGGAGGGATCTAATTCTGTTAGTCTTTTGACTTACTAGACGCCTTTGCATGTCCCGTATTTTTTTTATTCATTTACTTATTTAATTTTCTTTATTATTTTACTTTGCTTCTCCCCTCTCCTCGTTGGAAGGGAAACCGTTCTCTCAGCCCTCTCCTACGGAGTCGCAGCTTTCATTACCACCATTTGCGAAAGCGAAAGGAGGCGATGTAACCAAGAGGACACTCCTGTCTCTCCCGACGCGGTCAAATGCCATAATTCGGGAGAAATAGACTGGTTGGAAGGCAATCCAGGATCCATGATCTCGTTACGCAGGTCAAGAAGACAAGAAAACTGTAGGATGTTTCACCAAGACCTAGTATCTCTAACGACGGGGCGGCTGACTTCCCTCATTAACTTCCTGCGACCTTAATGGCCCGACCATCCAGATGCAAAACCACAAAAGTAAGTAGACGCACCAAGTTCCCCCAACCCCCCCGAATAGGGAAGGTTCAAATTTATTGTTGTGGCAGTATCTTCTTAAATGAAAAGCCCCAGTTTGTATCAGAGATGCTGTTACAGACTTGCCCGTCTTCCTGTGAGTCTTCCAACACTACTAGGTGGCAAAACTCATCACCAGACCGTCTCCGTTCGATCACCTCGGCGGGAACCTCGAATGCAGGTACATAGCCGGATCTGTGAAGCCGATCGGCCTCGTATTTCAAAACACTCTCAAGGACGGTACCGTTAGGCAGTGACAGGATCATGTACTTGCGTCGTAGAGCTAGCTCTGGAGAGCCGCAAACAGCTCGCCTCCATGTCATGTAGCACGCTCGTCGGATCGACAACGAGCTCCAGGCGACCTGAGCCAGCGATGCCGTCAAGCCAAGTTGGCTTGAGTAAGATTGGGCTCGCTGACATTCAAGCAAGTCAAGCTGAGGGTTCTGTCAAGTCAAGTCAGCCAAGTAAGTCAAGTAGGATCCTCTAGTAACTTGACTTATATGAGACATTAGGTATTTCTGATGTTTTCTGTATTTTGCTATATTTTCTACTGTCGATCCAACATGAGGCCGAAAAAGTGGCCCTTTTACGTCATGATCGTCATTTTTTGGTGTTTTAGTTTCGATTACACGAGCCGGCCCGTCGCCCAGGCGCTGTCCGAGTCAACACATCACAAAATTCTACGGATATCGCGCTTTCAGCCATGGGCTCCTTCGTCCTTACATCCTTCAATAACATCCTACTACTACTACCTCTGCCACGGTCACTTCCGCCCCAATTGATGCTATTCGCACTCTGACGCTTCATCTAGCGTGTCATCAACGAAGGCCGGGACCCCCTCGCCCTTCGGGACGCCTTAGAGCACTCTAGAGAGCACCCCTACGCCGTCCGCCTTCGCCCTCCTTTCGCCGCCAAGCGCAGGCACGCAAGACTGTGACCCAGCAGCTCGACGAGCTATCAATTGAGGCCTACCCGCAACCGACGACATGCAATCGCTCCCGCGCCCAATGTAAAGGGCTGGTCATACATACTAGGAGATCAGGCCACAAGCAGGGAGGGCAGCTACGGACGACTTGGATTAAGGACTACGGGGGTCTTCTTACTCGAATTAAATCCCGATGGCACCACCAAGCCGCACTGTCGAGCCTGTGACAAGATGGGGAGCCCTGTGCCGTTCCAACATCAAGCCTCGACCTCCGCTTTAGCACATCTTAGAGAGTATATATCCTTCCTCCCTCTCGGATCTTACTGACGGTCTCAATAAGCATAGGATCCTTCCAGGTGACCCTACGGCCCCAGTGACCCTCAATGCCGCCGATGACCACGATTCCGTCTTCGACCTTCAAGTGGCCGCCTCGAAGCGCCCCTCGCTCGAGCCCATGACGAAAGCGAGGGCTGCACGTGCCAAAGAACTATGGCCTGTCGTACATCATCGACGCCGACCAGCGTTTCTCAACTTTCTCGAATAAATACATGAAGGAGCTGATCAATCTGTCCGTTTCGAGCCTGGCGGACCAATTGGCCCTTGGGCGGACCTCTTTCCGCGAGGAGCTGTCAAAGCTCTTCGAGAAGAAGAAGAAAAAATAGCTCCAGGCTGACTTACGGGATGTCTGTAATAGTCTACCTCTCCTTCGACCTTTAGACCTCTCCTAACCGGCACGCGAAGACTACTATATTCAGACACTACGTTAACAAGAATCAACAGCAGCGAAATCGCCCTCTTGCTCTTCGACGTCAATCAGGTACCCACAGCGGCGAGAACATAGCCAACATCAGAGTCAGACATCTATCGAATCTATCGAATCGAACGCCAAGCCTTGGCATTCGAATCGAATGCGACCCCCGTAGATTCGAATTGGATCGAACACGACTCTGTAGATTCGGATCGAATCTAATGCATGTCCCATAGACTCGAATCGAATCGAACACGTCTCCTGTAGATTCGATATCTATCGAATGCCAAGACTCGATCGAATTCGATTCGCATTCGATCGAACGTGTGACTAATCCAGGTGTAGGTAGAATGACATCAGAGGAACTGGTGACTTCGGTAGAGGTGTCTCGGAGCATAAGTCAATTGGTTAAAGACGGGTTCTAAGCTGATCTGACTAGATATCGCTCGTCTCCTTCAGCGACGCAAGTGCATCAACCCATAGGTTATCATTGAGGCTAAGCAGCGGCAGTGAAGGCGTGTAGATCCCAGCCCTACTCCATGATCGAATGCACTCAGCTATCGCCACTATCTCCCTCATCTCAGCGGTGCTATCATACGTCCTGCACTACTAAACGTTCTAAATCTAGAGGGACTATTTTTTTTTGGTTTGCATTCCTTCCATTCTACCGAATAATCGGCATGTTTTTAGGATTATCCCGCTGCGCGTGTGGGAGTAAGCTTGGGGGCGGGCCTACCCTATACCGCAGGGTTAGAGGATACCAGGGTCCTCACCTATTCTATTATGGAGGCGCTAGTACCTCCTAACTTCCCCAGTCGCATTTTACACCCAAGTTGACTCGTTCTTCAACCTCTCCCACGCGCGACATAGTCGTCATGGAAATTGGGTAAAGGCCCATTCAATAGATTGGCGCTGAAGTTTTATAAAGCAGCCAATTGGGGGTTGTCATAGAGAATGATGGCTGCCGTTGCAAGATACCTATTTTGCTATAGAAATCTCAGGGCGCTTGGATGCACTCACTCACGCATCTTAGCACCGACACTGCACCCTGTCCATTGAGGGCACAAATCATTCTCAGACGCGTAAGATCGCGCCAGGGCTTCTCAACGCGTGAATGAAATCACGCTAAAACAAGCCCCTGACGGCATTGAGCAGCCCACAGCGCTCGTTCGACCGAATGGATCGATTTTCGATCGAACCCAGGGCGCCGTTCGATTCGCGTCGAATCGAACGGGCTGGTGGTAGATTCGAATCGAATCGAATGGGCCTGTCGTAGATTCGACATCGAATCGAACGCCAAGAAATTCGATTCGACATTCGTAAGACTTGGCGTCGAATGAATCTATCGATTCGACTCACATTCGATAGATGTCCAACTCTGGCCAACATGCTCAAGAGGGTCATCGATGAGTGGGGGATCAATATGGAGCGCGCTATCATTATATCGGATACTGCAGCGAACAACGATACAACACTGGAGGTTCTCTTCAAAGTGCTAGACTACTAATAGATGTGGATGAAGTCAAGGCCCACCGGGTACGCTGTTTTGGCCATATCTTCACCTTCATCGCCAAAGCCTCCCTCTCAGGCATCGGGGTTGATGCCTTCGATGATGAAGTTAAGGTGGGCGATGCTGAAGCTGACTTCTAGTAATGGCGCAAGAATAGCCCTATCGCAAAGCTCCATAACATCGTCAAATACATCCGGGCATCGCCGCAGCGGTCGGAGGCACTGATGGATATTGCAACGCAGCTTGAAGCCGAATTCAACTTTGAAGCCTCTACTACCGACCTTGAAGTCATCAACAACAACGAGACTAGGTGGAATTCAACCTACCTGATGATTGAGTGAGCCATACGGAAGCAGCGTGACATCGTCGGTTTCCTAGCTCAAGAGGCACACGAGGGTAGCAACCTTTCCTGACGATTATCATCTTGAACCTGACCACCGGAAGCTTCTGAGTGAGTTGATACATATCCTCGAGCCCCTATACGGATTGACGATGCAGACACAAGGCAATGGGCAAAGCCGTAAATTCGGCATGCTTTAGCAGGTTCTGACAGATGGAATACATTCTCGATATCAAAGCCTGGAAGTAGCATTATGACCTAATTAAAGCCGAAACTGTGGTTAATTCGCAAGCACAAGGCCACGCAGAACAGGATACTGGCGATGATACTATTCAGAGCCCATCGTCGCCCGCCAACAGGCACGGAGGGCACCCAGTCCGGTCTAGCAACTTACCCACTCAGCTCGAGGGTTACGAAGTTAACATCCCTTGCCCTAGGCGCCGCCTTCAACAGTCTCAACAGTCACAATTAAACGAAGATGCCCTACGCAACCTACCTACCTCTATGCGAGATGAATACACCCACCCCTTCGCCCGTGATGTAAGTAAAAGAGTTGGCATCGCTGCCGCCGAGGGCCGCTATATCGCTGCCTCGATCCAATGCGCCTGGTCTAAGCTCAATATCTACTACCCTAAGCTCGCTGACTCGCCCTTATTTGCGGCCTCTATTATCCTACATCCCGAGTACTCGATGACGTATCTCGAAGGTCTGTGGAATGCAGATTTCCAACTCGAATGAATTCGCGATGCCAAGAGGGACCTCAGACCACTTCGAGCGTTGGTATACCTCTGATCATGCCGACCGTAGCGAGCAACCGAACCACTCTGCCCCACGAGGCCTTAAGCACGAGAGGAGTCATTGGAAGGGTTGGCTAGATGCTCGGAGGCGCCGGATGCTACAGCATCATTAGTAGCCTGATACCTTACTCGAAGAGCTTGACAGGTACTACAAGGCAAAGCTTGAGGCTACGGATGAACCCATTGGGCGGTGGTGTAAGAAGAAGAGCGAATATCCGGCACCGTCACAGCTTACCCTAGATATCTTAGCTATACCAGCGATGGCTGCTGACTGTGAGAGGGTCTTTAGTCTCTCGAAGCTCTCGATAACGTCACAGTGTCAGTCAATGCATCCGGGGACCCTCGAGTCCTTACAATGCCTCAAGATTGAAGCCGGACTCGCGGCATACGGTTTTGCAATCTCCTCGCGCATCCCATTGGGAAAGAATACCGCGAGGATAGCGGCGAGCTCGGATGATGATCAAATAGAGCCAATTCGGGTCAGAAAGCGACTCTTACTGCCACACTTGGTCAATTTGCCAAGTTGAACCAAGTAAGTCAAGTTCAAATAAGTTGGGGGGGCCAACTTGACTTACTTGACAAAGTTGACTTGGCGGCAGCGCTGACCTAGGCTTCCAGATGATATGCCATTCTTCTCGAGCAATTCCTTGTCACAAGGCTCGAGGAAGAGATCGTCTGCACTCTGACTGCAAAGCCGCAGGCCCTCCGAGGAGGCGCGCAACTTGTAATCTCCTCAAAGACGGAAACGAGACATAACTAATCGGCATGCTTGTAGGACAGAATTTGTAACCGATTGAATCCTTCGGGAAGGGCGAAGGGCTAGTAACGCGGGGTTGATCGCCCGAACTCCTCTTCTCGTCTAGAAAGGCAGTGAGAACCCACGACCCGGTAATGATGGCATTTATCTTCTGCATCGCCTTTCGAAACGCTTACGTGCTTACGCAGCGACAAAGAGGGTCTCCCTCCATCACGCGGCGATCAGTCGATGGGAAAGCACGATTCTAATAACTTTTAGTAGCTTGCGAGATTACCGTCCGGGGCTCGATTTTGGACTTGCCCACGCTGGAATCGTAGTCAGTTCGATATTTCTGCGTGCTGATGACTCAGTACCCGCAGATGATTGTAGGGCTATTGCCGGCAATCACGTAGATCGTCACTCTGATAGTCCAAGTCCCTTGGCTGACAGAAGCTGCAGAATGAATTTTCGAGGAAAGGACACGGCATGCATGCTAATCGTAAGCAAAGGGCTATCTAAATCTTGCAGTGCTCGTGCGAACCAGGTTGAGTACCCGCTGGATATTTATGTTAGTATCGAAACAATTGACGGTAAGTAGATACGACTGAGCTTTGAGAAGCCGACAGACTTGCATTGGTTCTAGCATGCCACGCCCGGTGGGACAAAGAAAGATCATTCAGGGACGATTCCTTTGGCATGGCCGATGCAGTTTTTATTGAGCAATCCCTCACCTGGGGATCAGGGAGCCGATCAAAGCCGCGTGGCGAGCTCGCTAGAAATGCAAGGTAACCTCCAAATCAGCTGGCGAGGTTTCTAAGAGTGGGAGTAGGGCGTCAATCGAGGATTATCAGGCCGCTGTTGGTGGACATAGAAATGAGACAGCGAGGTTAGCAAGCCTACGCACTCTCGGGTAAGCCCCTACTTGTTCGGGCGGGACGCGAAAGTGATCAAGATGCCTACAGTGGTCTATAAGAAAGTACGGATATGAGAGAAAAGTTTGTCCGCCTGGGTTTTCCGTCAATTCCAACCCCTGATCATCATCAGCCATCGACCCTAACATTTACAAGACCATCGAAAGCCAAGGCCAGGAACCCGGATCTCAAGACTGTCATTGCCCTCGGTGGTTGGACCTTCAGCGACTCCGGCCATTGGCAAGATATCTCCCCTTCTTTCGCCTCCAAGGAGAACAGGGCCACCTTGGTCAGCAACCTTTTGGGATTTCTTTCCTAGTATGGTTACGACGGTGTCGGTAAGTCTCATATATTATTATGCCATAGTGGATTCGGATCTGATGCTAATTGATTGTTCTTCCCAGATTTCGGCGAGTGTTGCATTTTCGGGCTGCTCATATCCTGCCCCTGGCGGTCTTGTCTCAGGTCTTTTCACTCTAGCCGTGCGCAAAAAGAGTGGCGTCTCCGGAGATCGAATTAAGCCTACGAGTATCTCGTGCAGAAAGATTACTGACATTATCACAGACTGGAATGTCCCAGCGCTGACGACCGCGGCGGCTAAGACGGGTATGGTAAGAACTACGTGGCTCTCAGGAAAGAGCTGCGGGAGGCCATTAAGGCGAGCGGCCGCGACTACGTTGTCACCTTTACTGCGCCCTCTTCATACTGGTATCTTCGCCATTTCGATTTCAAGGGCATCGAGGCCCATGTCGATTGGATTAGCCTCATGTCCTACGACTTGCACGGCGTCTGAGACAGGGACAACCATATCAAAAACTAGGTATTGTCGCATACCAACCTGACCGAAATCGACTACGCCTTAGACCTGGTAACTGTCACTGGAACACTTGACATCTATCTGGCACCTTTGACTGACACACGAACCCCTTGCAGTTCTGGCGCGGTGGCGTTGAGCCTTGCAGCATCCTACTCGGCTTGGGCTTCTATGGCTGATCCTTTGAGCTCGAATCTTCATGGTGGAAGGCCGGCTGTGGCTTCAAGGGCCCTGGCTAACCCGGTCGCTGCTCTAACAAGGCTGAAATTCTCTCATATGCCGGTACACAAGCATGGAACCACTCCAATTGACAAAAGGAACCGTATCTCTTACCACTTTCTGGCCAATAGAGATCATGGAAATACTGGACAAAACCGGCGGAACTCCCTACCGGTATTTTGACGAGGCTGCCGCTGCCCGATACCGTACGTGGTCTACGACGGCCACAGCTGGATCTCATGAGTTCAAGAATGGGCGAAACAGATGCATCGTCTTTGCTAAATTTCTATCTCTAGCTTCGATGATGCTAAGACATTCCAAATGAAAATCGATTATGCGAGCAAAATGGGCCTCCATGGTCCGATGATCTCGGCTATCGATCTCGACACCCGCAATCTCGAAGCTCTGAGGGCTATACCCAAGGGCGAGCATAATGGAGACACCAGAGCTCCTCTCTCGCTGGTCGAGCTCGAAGGGTTCCTCCCCGCTGAAATGCTCGCCCCTGAGGGTGTGGAAACCAACTATGCTCTCATCCACTTTGGCAGCATTGCCAAAGCCAGTGAGATCGATCCCAACCAGGGTCCTCGGCACCGGCGACTCGCACGCGGTTTTGTCGCTCAAGAAGCGCGAGGACGAGCCTGAGCCCCTGGTCTTCCTTGACTGCCTTCCGAACGTGCTTGACCAGCCCAAGCACGAGACCCAGACAACCAGAGTTGTGTGTCTGAACAAGGACGTCGAGGGCCGCTTCTGGGTCATGGAGCGAGGTGTCAAGGGCATCATTGTTGAGATGCCCGATAATGTCAATTGAACACCTCGAACTCCGTTTCCTGGTCAATCTTGCTGACAAATACTTGCACAGTGCGCTCCCAACTCCTTGGCCCGAGCCATCTCCTGAAAGAATCCGAAGGTTGGCCACTCTCCATCGGCCTCCGCCTCTTCTGCTTTTACTAAAGTCTTTGCAAATCAAAGCTTGTCACCTGTCCACCCGCCCAGAGCTGTTATGCCAAAGGCTTTTGACTTCACCTTCGGCATGAACCTGAACCACACACGACGGGATACTGGAAATACCAAGTTCCGCATCGACTACTCCGGCGTCGGAGGCGACTGGAACGCCGCTTTCGACTCTCCGGGCATTCAGTTAGGTAATTCTTTGTGCCGCAGGGCCGTAAAGCGATTCTTCGCCGAGCGCTGGGCTGATTGGCGAAACATGTACAAAAATGCCGAGACGCACAAGAGCGAAGGCGAAAGACAACCTGACGAGGAAGTCGACACTCTCCTCTTCTGGGACACCGTCGAAAATTGTGAATTCGAGGGGGAAGACTACGAATTTGGCTTTGGAGCCTATGTCAAGGGTAAATTCAAAGCCGACTTCATCTGCAGCTTCTCCATGATTGTAAGTCGCAAGCCCCATGACACAGGCGGCCTGTTCGCTCTTGTGCAAACATGGATAAAATCCAATGGGACAACACAGGCTTCAATGGACAACGTGTTCAAAGTTGCGCAAGCCAACGGCTGGCTCACTGTAGATGGAGAGTCTGATCTGACCCTTTCCATCGGAGGCGTTGGCGAGACTGACCTTGACAACCCTGACAAGGGCAACCAAGCCTACACCAAAGTCAAGCCCACCAAACTCAAGGGGCTCACACTGAACCCATCGGGCAACACTTGGATGACTTTCCAGCGGTACGTGAAAGCTGACTACATGCTCGCATCCTTCAACGACACCGATGGGGGTGCCAGCAGCCACAGCGCGCCCTACTTTGACGGTAAGCTCAGGACCCGCGTAATGTCGGACTTCGGAGACTTCGACATAAACTTCCCGCCTAACCCAAAGGATAATCTAGACACCAAGAACCCCGAGCGTGACGACAACAAGGTTTCCATGGACAACGGCAACGTTATTTGTAACTCCAGGGACGACGTTGGCAGGTATGCACTGAGCACTTCCTTCAAATTCGGTCTCATGGTCGACCTAGGCTTCTTCAGAGACCTTCGCCTCTTCCAGGTTCCCATTATCGATGTACGTGCTCTGTTAAGCTATCATGTTTTACAGAATATTGGCTGACTGGAACAGGTGTCGATGCGATACAGAACGTTCACGACGGGAGCTTCTTCCCGTCTCCAGACCCTGCTTCTGCGACGTGCGTGAGCACTGCCGTCACGTAGGCCCCTTCATCCATCCCTTCATCCGAGTGGCTGGTTGAAATATACTAAAAGGTCATTGTGATAACTCGCATCTCGGAAGAGCGCTCGGAATACCGTGAAATGGACGACGAGTAAGTATCTCAGAGTCCCGACTTGCAGGCAGAGATGGTTAATCATTAGCTAACCTCTGCCCAACAGCCAAACCTGTGGATAGGAGGAAAAATGCGTTCGTCCCTGCATTGTCAGTGACAGCGTAAGTATTACAACCTTCTAGTGAAGTCCCACACCTTCTGCCCGCCTGTAAGGAACACTCTGACATTTGGCAACAAGGGAATGGAGATGACAGCTCTTGTGATGGTAACCAGCCTTCCATGGACGAAAACAGAGCCTGGGATTATCGCTCCGACTCCAACGTCATCTCGCCGATGTATTTAAATAACGACGCGGCCAAGGCTATCCAAGACTCTAAGGAATCGGTTTCGTGTCCCAACTGAGTGGTGTGCGGCAAGAACCGCAAGAAGGGCGAAATATGCTGCGGCTGCGCCAACATGAATCTCGACTATGGCTACAGCGACATTCCCAGGTGCGAGAGCTGCCACCTTAAAGTTGACACCAAGGGCCCTTGGCCCTGAGATCTCTCGGCCGGCTCGCTGTCAGCTAGGGGAGAGTCCGCTGATGATCAGGGCGTGTCTAGACTGGACGAGCGCAAAGATGGCAAGGCGACAGTATCACTGAAGAAAATCTATGTCTGCCACAGACAATCTAGTGACAGCAATTGAATGCGCGCACTCTATGGGAAGAATTACGAGTAATTACCCCACACTCCCGGAAATGGTAAAGACCAACGGGAAGGTATCAAAAACAACAGGTGGAGTCCCTGTCGTGATCGAACTGGGAGGTCGGAGCCTTGCAACCGCACGACACGGCGTGGGTGAAGGATGCAAACAGTAACTATCAGAGTGACTTTCTCCCACCAGTTGAGACGATGCTGCAGCAGGCTCACCTAATTACCTGGGAAAAGACACTGACACATGGTCAACTCAACTCCCGCAGGCGAACACGTCTTCGGAGGCCATATTATTGTCCACTTCTTCAATTCGTCCTAACCATCAGCCTCCCAATCCTAACCTTTCACTAGGGGGCGCACTGCGGCCGAATCCCTACCACCGGGCCGGGCCGCGTGCGGGATGGGATGACTCATGAGTTTAGGCAGCCGTGCACAAAATTTGAAAACGGGCCTTTCACATGGACACCATCCACATGTCCCGCAAGCAACAATGTCGCTGTGTCCGCAGGGCTCCAATGTTGCCCAATCGTTGCGATCATTGCGACTCATCTTGACATTTCCGCCTGGCCGCCATCATCGGGTCCTGACATATTTTATACCCAATGCATGGAACTTGCTCTCCAAAGAAAGGGCCATTGTCTACGACGCAGATCGTCCACGGCATGGTGATCAAGGTATCCGTACTTGTCAAAGTTCATTCGTGTCCACACTGGGTTCTTCGACAAAGCGGATTTTTTTTAGCGCGTTGTCTGCGATTGCGTAATAGGTTTCACCGTCAGGATTCAAAACACTGCATTGGCGGGGTAAAAGCAAACGTGTCGATCAAGCCTTCAAACTTCCATTCTTTAGCGCCTCTACAACATGACTCTAGAGGCTTTCCAATGCGATGTCTGCTTAGAACCCATTACGCGAAAGGAGGTGAAAGTACATCTGCAGAAGCATCAGGCAAGCACATGATGTTACTATCTCTACTGTCTCTAATGCTGTCTTAGGCCCAGATGTGGGGCCTAATGAGCCGATTGCCGGACATCGCGCCATCTGCCAGCCCTCAAACCGATGAAGAGCTCGTTAATGGTTCTCAATCATCATATCGCAACCAAAAAAGACGTTCGAACCCCGAAAATCAGCCTTGCAAGACTCGATGCGTTCAGACTACGAGATCTCCGTGGTTCCAATGCTCCAAAATTCAATATTCAAGCGCATTTTCCTCCAACCACAAACATGACCTCAAATAATAAAGAGGCTCAATTGATCCTAGCTGTTGAGGGCTGTCAAATAAGATGAATCACTTAGCGTCCGAGCTGCAGCCAGAATCTACAACGTCAGTCATGCAACCCTCGATTGCCGCGAACTTGGTAAACCATCACGCGCGATAGCATACACAAATCACGAAAATTAACTGAGCTGGAGGAATCGGTAATTGTCCATTACGTCCTCGACCTGGATTCGCGAGCATTTCGTCCCCGGCTTGCGCGGTGTGGAAGATATGGCCAATAAACTCCTCGCCGAACGCGACGCACCGTCCGTCGGCAAGCGCCGGGCTTCCAACTTTGTCAAGTGACAACCAGAGCTAAAGACGCGTTCTTCTAGGAGATATGATTGCAAAGAGTCAAATGCTAAGATGCAGAGGTCATTCGTAGCTGGCTTGCACTCGTGCAGAACACAATGGCCAAATATGGCATCCCAGTGTCGGACATCTACAATTTTGACGAGGCTGGACCTGTCCACTGGCGCAACCGGATATTGGCCAACTATGCCATATGAACGGAACATTGCGCAGCCGTTCCTAATTAGCCTCAGAGGCCATGGTCGGGCCCAACAAATGCCAAACCAACTTGGCTAAATGCTGCAACACGGTCACGAACAAAGGCCCTCTACGCCGGCTGAAGAAATGATTGGATGTAGCATTCTCATCTGATTCCCACACAGCCATCCGTAAGTGGCGTGTAACCCGCGTTCGAGTGACCCAAAGGAAGTTGTACCATACCAGCCTCTGAGATGCTCCGTGCTTCCGGACGGGCTAGGGAAGCTGAAGTACAACACTCAGCTTCCACAGCCTCTCCGCATCAAACTTGTTCGCCGCCCACGAGTACACTTCTTCCTGACCCGGGTCCGCAACATGGCACGGAGCATTTTGGCTTGCTGTCTTCACCACACCAGACGAAAGCCTGCTAAGCAGAGTTTGGGAAAGAAGGTAATCGACCAACGCTGAATTGACTAATTGACAGGGTACTGTACATAGTGCATGCCCAGCTCGGCAGGAACAAAGAAGGGGGTGGAGACTCTAGGAATTTTCTCTGTCAGAGCTAACTTCAGGCTGGTTGATGTTTTTGCATGCGCTGCACAGGCGTTGGGTTTTCATTTCACTTAGACACTTTGTAGCTACTAGGCGTGCTCAGACAACTGAACGACGTTGGTGTTGTCTTGTCGAGTAGTCGGTCCTTTGTCTCCTTGGTCGGTTTTCATGGGCCTGGGAGGCAGCCAGCGCAACTGGAGGAGACAGACATCAGGGCCAGTAGGGTTCGTAAAATGGTTTTGCCAGGAGGCCTCCGGTGAGTGAGCCAGTTCGGGAGCAACTTCGCTTGGGGGGTTCACGGAGGGAGGTGATTCATTGAAGTGATGCAAATCACAGGACGGTCGTGCTTCAAACCAAAGCTGTGGCTCATCGCAGCGATATGATTCATCTAGGGCCCGTAGCTTCGAGACTTTGTAGCGGTCGACGACGTGTTGTCGTTCCATTTCCTTGACCATCACTTCGATCGAGTCAAAGTAGCCTCTTCCGACCATGTAGGGTCTTGAACCGAGTAAAAGCGAGTCGGTTTTGGAGGCAGCGAGCAATCTGTAGAAGACCAGAAAAGACAGGTGAGCATACAGCGCGGTACTGGTGTTGGGCAGGGGAGCTCGGGACCCGGCTTGGACAAAACCGAAAGCGATGGGGATCCATGGGACGGGATTGTGTGCTAAGATCTGAGTCCAAACAGAGGACTGAAGGAGAGTCGACACCAACCTTGCTCATTTTCTGCGCTTACGGATGTGTTAATTGCATCTTCAGGCTGCTTCTTCGCTCCAGCTGGCATGGGCAGTGAGTCTCCACTGGCGCTTTCGGTCGCTCTGACTGAAATTGGGGACGGCAAGTTTCCGCCAATGGTCCAATGAAAAGGTCGGTGTATCCTTCTCCGTAGACCTCCGGGGTTTTCGGGCTTTGAACTGCCGACCTCGATTCTGCATGTACTCTGGTCCTCCTTGCTCCGCCCACAAAAGCCGGGTATATACGTACACGCAATGTGAACGCAATTCCGTATAGTCAACGCCCGCTACGCCGCAGCTTGCTATCCTCGAACCAAGACGCTGCAGCTCCTTCAGCCATTAGCAGTTTTGCAGTGCGCTTCCCACGAAGTCATCCACGAGAACTCTTAGCTCCGCGGGTCATGAAGAATTTTTTTTTTCATCACGACTATTGATTCTTGCTGTATTTGAGTTCAGGTGGGACTCATCAGCCACTCTGAGAAAGGTCGAAATCTTGGTTCTTTCTGGTTAACTCACTGCCTCACAGTTTTACAATCAGCCATCGTAACAACTTAAGACTCGGGATTGCTCGCGATCCATATATTATATTGCACTTTCGTCATCTAATTCCTTTCGATGGTCGAAGATATCGCCCAACAGAAAGACGACCGCCGCCTCTCTGCCCCTACAGCAGTCTCCATTCACGTTCCCTTATTTGACCGTACTCCATTGAATGCTTTCGGCCATGCTGTGGCCCTGGGCGAACGATAATTTCATCCCTGTCGTCTTCTTGGCTGAACTCAGGTGAGAATCGCAAACGTAGTCTTTTATCTCTTAGGGCTGAATCGGGTCAGATGAGTTGGGCGTTGGCAGAGGCGTGATAGTATACTCGTAACCGGCCTCTAAGCAGTGGGCCGAGTAGTCGAAAGAGGTGGGGCTCTGCAAACTTCATCAGCAACATGGATCTCGAGCTATCCTAAGGGGTCGTTTGACTGGCGTAACTCACGCGAGGGTTGGGCTTGTCATAGGGGCTGGGAACGTTGAAATCCATTGGAGGCATGTCGCCATAAGTCATGTAAGGAGTCAGTCCGTCACCGGCCGGGTACGACTCCCACTTGATTGCGTCGCTGAAATGCGTCATTGATGGAAGCGTCATGGGGACGGTGGAAGCCGCCAGGTAGTTGGGGTAGGCGTCAGCGGTGGTCATTATCGGGTAGGGCTGAGCGGAGCCGTAGGGAGTCGGGTAAGTCGACCAAATGAACTTGGAAGGGCTGCCGGAGCAGGCCCGGTCACCGTAGGTGCCAGGGGTCAAGAACGCGTCCGTCGGCTCCATGGGAGGAGTGAACTGGCCGTGAGAGGTGAAAGACTTGGCGGGGGTCGTGGGCTGCGACTTTCGGGACTTGGAGGAGGAGGGAGATCGCTTCGACTTGGTGGTCTTCTGGAGCTGCTTATCGGACTCGACATCATCAGAAGAGCCAGCACGGCGTTCGAGGTCCTCGAGACGTAGCTTGAGCTTCTTGCCTAGGGAGGGTATTCATGTCAGTTTTGCTGAGAAACAGGCTTGGAGGAACTCCGGGGGTCAAGTCCTGTGAAGTTTAGGCTCCCGAGGTTAAGCGGAGCAACATACGGTAGTTGCGCTGAGCAATGCGGTTCTGTACCCGTCGACGCTCGGCAAGGTCAGAAATCTTGGTCCAGTCCTCATCGGGATTGGCAGAGGCGCTGAAGGTGCTGCTGGTACGCGGGTACTGTTTTGGAGGAGTAGGAGGAGCTGCCGTGTAGCCGCAGGCGGGTTGTGTCATGAACATGGACATTGTGAGAGAGGTCAAAGTTGGTTGATAGTGGAGTTGAAGTGCAGAGGCGGTGGTATCTATAAGAACAAGTTAAAAGAGCAAAAGCAACCCGAGGCTATTAAGAGCTGAACTGGTAATGGACTTGGAGATAGATGGGGAGTAGACCGTAGGTGAGGGGGAAGAGGCTGTAGATTAAATATTCCCAACAGTACAGAAGTAGGCAAAGGGAAGACCAGCACTGGAGTGCCAAGGAAACAGCCACCGGGACGCGGGAGACCGAGGGCATATCCAGCGCTTGGCATGGCCTATGGCCCATGTCTCAAGCCTTCTTTCCTCCCCATGCGCAGTCTGCCTTGCACCCCACGCCCGCCTCTCCGTATTCTGGTGGTTGCCTCCGCCACTCCTCTTGCCGGACGCTGGATGCCTGAAGTTGAAAAACCTCGCCAATTTTCCAGCTTCTGCTATCCACCTACCCCTTAACGCCATGCGGGGTCCCTACGCGGAGAAAAGGGGATCATGGAGGCGTATTCGCAAACACATCATGGTGTGTCATCTACACCTGAACCTACTCCGTTGGTTCAGTCCTGTACAGGGCACTCATCTTCGTAACGCATACGAGCATTGTCCCTCGGTGCTTGGTGTATTGGTATCGATAATTTCCCTAGATTCAGCTCTCATTTAGCCAAATTGTCGAACACGAGGCATCTTATGCTCCACATGAGTTCTCCGATTGGGGTGATGCATGCTCCGATGCGGCTATTGATATGTCCGCGTGTTAAAATTACTGCCAAATTCGTTCGCTCTGCGGCAAATGTTGACAAGGAAGTTTACGATCAAGAGGACCAATCGTTTGACCGAAATCCCCAAGAACTAATGATGCCTAATGGGGACCCCTGCATGGCTGCTAAAGCAGGGAGCATGGTGCGATGAGATGAAAAGAACGCCTTGCGAGCTCGAGCAACGAGAACTTGGTGGTATGGCAGGTTGAGGCGTGGAAGCCATCCTCCGTATCCTCGCGAACCCTTGAGGCCAGCTCCCCAAATTTGCGTTGTTTATGCGTAGTGTTCCGCGTATCTTGCTGAATAAAGCCGTGGGAGCTTGGTTTCGACTCGAATGAGTGCTCACTATTGGCTTTGACTTGAACTGAGTAACGAAATGGGTTAATATCACATGCAATGAAAACAAGCGGAATAGTTTGAAAGATGGCAGCTGTATTTTATGACTTAAATTTGACATCTAATATTATCATGAGTGCACGCCATATGAGTCCCTACGCCATTTTTGTCTTATACTGAACGAGCTGTTTCGCCGTGTGTTAAGGGGGAGTGGGGTATCCAACATAGCCTCGGGCTTCCATGTGGTCCTCTTGGGGCGGACTGTTGAGGTCGCTTGCGTACTTGTCGGTGTGCTCGATATGAGGCATGGTAGGATTCATAGCTCGATAGGCGATGGCAGCTTGCTCAGCCACGAACTTGGCAAGCTTCTGTGAACCCGAGAAAAGTTGCGGGTCGAGTATTTGCGGGCCAGAGTGGGCGAAGGGTTGTGAAGGTGGCCCGAGAGGGTCCTGTATCGGTGTGATCCCGTTCTCCGTCGCTGACTTCGGCTCGGCCAAGGATAGCTCGTGCAAGGGCGAGGGAGGTTCGGCCATAATGGAAGGCTTTGTTGAAACAAAATCGCGGTGGTAGAGGGCGATCTCGCGTAGATAGGCCGCCATGTGTTCAACCTTCTGGTCCTCTCCCTCTTCCTCCACCAACAGTTGCGAGAAGGAGTCGGCAGTCGGGTGCCCAATGACCCACTCAAGGGTATCGAGAACATGTAGCTCCATCTGGATAAACATGCTGACGTTGTACAGTCCGCAGCACATGGTAATGAGCTTATGGATTTTACGAACGTGGGACTTCTTATCGCTGTACTTGGCGGAAATGAGGAGGGCGGCGCATCCGACCAGCTGGTAGTGCTGCTTGTACACCAGTCGCTTCGAGCAGTACCGGTCAAGGAGATTGACTGCGAGAAAGAGCGTCTCGGGGAGGAGAGAGAAGGCAGCATGGGCCTCAACGAGGAAGTCGATGAGGTACGGCCTCATGAACCATTGGATGTCGGGCTGTGTGTTAATGAGAGAAGTATTGGGCAGAGTTTCATTCTAGTAACGATCAGTGGAAGTGATGATGGAAATGCCCTTGATGCTCAAACATGCCTCCATACGCCGCCTGTGCTGGGTGATGTCCTCCAGATATTCGTCGCGTATCAGCCATGAGAGCTTCTCGGCAATGATGTCTTGCCGTTGGTGACTAGTCAAGCTGAAGACCTCTTCAGGAGTAAAACCTTGGTGGTGGTTGGTCATATCGGATTCGATGAAGAGGGTATTGTCGTGGTGGCGCGCTATCTCGGATAGAAGGGGGAGGTGTAAAGTAGGTAAAGTATGGACCTGGCCAAAGATGTAGAGGAGGTAAAGAATGGACTTGGCCTAAGGCGATTTAATAAGCGATCAAGGTCCCCTGTTGTGTCTTAGGCCCCCGAAGAAGGCTTTCTCACTCCTCGTGACTACCCGAGCTTGGACTCGAGGCCTCCTCAAGGGATTACTTTACATCTTCCTCACTGGTTTGAGTTTCAAGACATCTTGAGCCAAATAAGGCAGGGTGGATACACACGTGTGGGGCGCGGTGGAAGAGTTAGGTATACTTGATAGCGTCAACGGGAAAGCACGCCTAGTCAAGGGAGGCAGCCGATGGAGTACTTTCAATGCCCGATTTTATTCACAACGTCCGGACTTTCATGGCACGTAAAGATCTTCTGCGAATTAATCACACCCTTGAAGTCATTGTGGCCGGAGGAGGGAAAAAGCTGGATACAAGGTGGGGCAATGAGATGATTAGAGGACAGGGCGGAAGAGAGCCTGGGCCGCACCTCGGTCCTGTGACATTTGCCAAGCGTTCTGGTGTGTGAGGTCTTGTAATTATTGATGCATGGCTTCGTAAAAGCTTGTCAAATCCTAGTCTACAGCATTGATTCTTTGTTTATGATAAGACACTTCCCTCTTTGGACACTTGTCGGTGCCGGAACTGTCCGCCACGGACGGAGCTAAGCGTTGGGTAGGAATCGTTCCCTGACACGAAGCTGTGAGGCATCCAGGCGAAAGAGGGGGCGTTGGTCCTACTCCAGGATCCGGCATTGAAATTAGATCCCACCTCGAGTAACATTAAGGTAGTAACTCCCCATTTGGTGAAGACCGAAAGGCGTAGGCCATCGTATGAGTGAATAGCGTGGATTGTGGCGATACGAATCTCCAAGGGTCTCTCATCTTTCTAAAGTACTAGCTTTATTCTTCTCAGAAGTCGTCGATACTGGTGTTATGAACGCAATCCAGCATCCGCTCGAGCCGTGAGACCAGGTTCTGTCTGGGAACGGCCGGGTCTTGTGACCATACTTCGGGGACCACATTACCCCGTGAGACTGCAGGAATGTGTATGCCTCGCGCTTGGATTTGACACCTTCCGCATGAGTCTAGGGCAAGTCTCAGAAGGGTGTGGTACTCAGGATTATGCCTCGTCTTGGTGCCACCTGGTATCATCCAAAGGCTCAACCAGGATGAAAGATACCTTATAAATAACGTCTGTTGGTACAGTCTCTAAAATCTTAAGACTTTCCTCTCACATCACTCTACTACCACTTTGTGATCTTCAATCAAAATAAATTATCGACAATTTTTCCAGCTTACAACGCCATTGAAAATGGGTACCAAACGGAAATACAAGGGCCAGGACATGCATATCTCGACAAGAGTTGAACAAAAGTTCATGTGAGCATCTTGGATTTACGAAGAAGCTTTCTCAGAAAGCCACAAGTCTCTATTCATGCAGCAGTGAGCACTAACCTCGCACCAGAAAGGGCTTGGTCACCCTCGAATTCCATTTCGTGCCTTCCGTCCAAATCCGGAAAGTGCTAGATGCAAACAACTACGATCTCAGGAAATCGTACCTCGAGCTGAGCGACATGGTCGACTATTGGGACGTTGACAATCCGCCATGGAGGGTGGGGAATACTCCGCCAGCACCAGTAAAAAAAAGAACTGGGCGATCGCCTGATGAATTCGAAGGTCAACGCTGCCACCAGGAGAGAGATGGACGTGAAAGTTCAAGCTCTGAGAGAAGAACGAAGGGGGCGGCTGCGGAACAGAATTGCGGGCCTGGTCACCAAAGGGTCCGGACAGCGGATCCGTCCCGGCACTCAAACCGACGAAAACTCGACCGAGTGCGAATGCTGTTGCGAGAACTTTTCCCGATCGGGTATGATACACTGCAACGCAGAGCACAGCCATGTGAGTTATGCTTGGTGGTATTCTTCATGCTCTTTGACGCGTTAACTGACTCCGTTGAGTGGTTCTGTGTGGATTGTGCTCGTCGCAATGCCGAAGAAATCATTGGGAAAGCACAGTACGATATTCGCTGCATGTCCATGCAACCCTGCGGCGCTGGATTCCCACAAGAAGAACGCCGCAAGTTCCTTGATTCCAACCTCTCGCGAGCGTTAGACCGATATGAGTTCAGAGAAATCCTCGCCAGTTCTGACATTGAGCCTCTAAGTCATTGTCCATTTTGTGATTTCGCCGCCATCTATCCACCTATCGAATCGGCTGAGGAGTTCCATTGCCAGCATCCCGAGTGCGGAATTATCAGCTGCCGGATTTGTCACAACAAGAGCCATAAGCCCCGGAGCTGTATCAGCATCGCCCGGGCCCAGGGAAGACCCACGAGCTTGCAGCGAATCCAGGAGGCAAAATCAAGGGCACTCATCCGAACGTGCAACAAATGTGAGTATACTCCCTCTCTCTGACACATCCATGGCTGACATACCATGGGCCCAGGCGGAACCCCTTTTGTTAAGGAGGGGGGATGTAACAAGATGACTTGCTCTGTCCAGGAGTGCCGTAACGTGCAATGTTATGTCTGTCCGGAGAACTGCGATTACAGCCACTTCTATGATAAGACCAGCGGCTATCAAGTCAGCAAATGCCCGCTATTCGAAAACACTGAGGAACGACACCAAATGGAAGTAGAGTCGGCAGAGAAAGATGTGATAAGGGAGATAATGCAGGAGGATCAGAACGGGGAGCATGGTAACCTGCAAGCTATGTACCGTCGAAACTTTCAAGTCTAGAACAAAAAGACGAACCCCTCCTCGCCTCTGGTCCTCTCCTTTTGGCTCCCGAGAAGCACGCGACGATGGTCGACTGGTTTTCGATTAATGATCGAGCTGTACGGATATGCTTCATCACAGCAGAAGCCTGGGATGGAGATACCAGATCGTTTCGCATTAAGTACACTCCACATGATTTCTTTCCACGATATTTGCTCCAAACTATTGGCTGTGGCCGAACCAATGACGCGTTGGTCTTTGCGGAAGTCGAAGCGCTCAAAGGCAACGTCATTGGTTGTTTGGATAATCCGTTTCCGTCCATAAGTCGGGTCCGGAAAGCCGAGGAGCTCATGCATTGTTTCCTCCCCTCATGGCCAATGTGGCACTCACAGGGATTTGAGGAAGGGCCACGTTGGCTCGTTGAGGAATTTCCAGACTTGGTGCAATTATGGCGGTGGATATCTGCGCCACGGTCTAGAAACTTCGTTTTAGATACAGTACGATAAATCGACGTTACAGGTTACGGTGTGGAAGTGAGGCCGAATCAGCGAAATAACGAAGGCCTTAACTGGCTACTGGGATAGGGTTATCAAAAAGACCCACAACTCTTCGAGAAAGGGTGGAAATTGGCTACAATTCGAAACGAGCAATACAGGCGCTATTTGGACGCTATCCAGCCATATAATTACACTGGATCAATCTCCGGAAGTTTTGAGCGATAACGCCGATCCTATTGGGTAAAAAAAATAAAAATTGGATGAAGCAAGGTCTCGGTGGAACGAAGCGGAGACCTGGGACGAACTTCTTTCACTCAACGCACAATACATGCGCCAAAGCAGAGACTGGAAAGAAGGAAATGTCGAGGTTGCCGCCCCGTTTTCTGACGCCCCAGGGAAGACTGTATGTTGCATCGGATAGGAACGGTGCACTGTGATGTGAATAGAAGCTCTTGATTTCTAGCTATTTGAAGGGCCTAAAGCAGCCCTTATATACATGAAGGAAAAGACGCTCTCGTGACCTAAGTCCGGGATCCGAGCCCTCAGGGGCTCGAGCCTGCGGCCTGTTATGAGGGCACAAAAAGCAAACATGATCCTAGAGTCTGATGATAGTTGTGACACTGTATAGGCTCCGCAGGTGATTATTTTCAAGCCATGCTTGATCTTCACAAATACGGTATTTGTCAACTAACGGTTTGCCCGGGCTCAATGAGTTTGGGGAGACCGTTGGCGAGCGTGCCACGAACTTTTGGCACTTGACGATGGTTCCTTTTATTGAATTCATCGTCAGTGATAAGAAGAGAAGTACAGTCTCTTTTATCAAAAAGTTGTTGGAAGATGAAAGATTCTCGGTGTATGTGCTTGACGGTTCTACTGGGACCCTTGTTTCAGTACGGAGCACGGAAAAACTATCAAAAGTATCTCGCGGGATGTAAGGCAAAAGACTGCCTTGCAACATGCAGCGTGGAGGGTTGGATTTGGAGAGCCGATAACACTTGGAGATATTGCTCTTGAGAACGTCAGGGCAATTCAGAACGACCGCATTTATATATGCCTCGTCGCTTTGAAGATCCACGACGGCATTCTTCGCTCTCCAAATGAGAGAAGGTTTCTGCAGGAGGTGAACAAGGTTGATCTTTCTCATGAGATTCGAAGGTACGCGGAATTGACTAAGATGAAGAGCCTGCGACAGAATCTCTTGGGACGCCTATGGGTGGGGCGCGGCCTTGTCTCTATCAGCAGGGCTCCTGCAACGCAAGCGGTGCTTAAGCCTGCTGGTGGCTTTTCTCTCGCCTTAAGAAAGCGCCTTAATCTAGTATTAAGAAGGTCAGCTGCCGGAGTGCCATAGTGCACTATGATAGCTTGTGAGGATTTCCATGGCAAGAAAATCTAAGTGTGTTACCTAGTCTAGATTTGTTATATCAACACCTCAAAGCTTATAAGAATGGATCTCCATGGCACAGGCCGCTCAAAAAAATCAAGCTTCCTTCAGTCTCGTGCTCCAGGCCTCTTCCTTGGCTGCCCCGTGATCCCGGTGTGAACCTAACTGTCACCCCTGTGCCTCCGCGACGTAACCCTGACTGTCTTGCAACCCTTTAGTCGAACCCTTGCATAGTGGCGATTCCAACCTTACCTGCGGCAACTGGGGGAGGAACTTTTGCTACTACCGTGCTCGTTCTAGTGGTAGCAATATACTAAGCGCACAAGTGCTTTATCTCTGACAAAGCAATCTTGTGATTTGCTTAATAAAAGACCCGCACGCGCGCTGATTTGCTAATACGTCACTCATGGCTGGGGAAAGTCGCTATTAGAATGTATATATAGAGTTCATAGAGGCTCTCAACCTCGACCGAGAGTCTCCTCTCGTTTCTATCTCTTTCATGACACCGCCTCCATACTTACCGTTTCCCTCTACCCTCCTGGCCCGGTCTGACCAGGCATTCGTCAAACATTGCGCTACGGCTGGATTCTTCCACTCCCTTCTATAAAGTGTGTTGAGTAGGGGATTTACGATCTTTGGGGATGTTGGTCATTTGATCAGATCCTTGCCGCAGCTAGGGCTAAGACTACTGCAGCTTCCTTCAACAGGAAAGGCTGTACCGCACAGGGACTAGTGGCCTAACCCATTGGGACCAAAAAGAGCTTTGGATGTGTAGATAGAAGCAGGCAGGAAACCATCCCTCTTGGAAGATCATCACTAGGATAGCTGTCTGGCTATACCCTCAGTCATGATCAGTCTTCAGCTCAATTTACAGTCTTTCTAGCCCATTTCTTCATGTCTTTTTTTTAGTGAACCGTTTGATCAAATGGTATTGGACCCAGCAGCCTTTGGACCTATTCATTTGATCTATCTTTCCCGCCTTTGGTCCCGACCCCTATCTGCCATAGCAGACACATCACTCCTTCAGTCATCACACAAGCTGCTTTTTGGGTGGGTTGTGTGTTTCTAGTGTCTCTTGTCCCCGCCCACCACTCAGTGTCACGCATGTCCACACATTCTCGACGAAATTCCGTTGCAATTATCGGCCTCCGAAGGGGCTTATGTTCTCGCTCTCGTTAACTTACCCGAAGGACAAGATTTAACAGCACTGTCGAAAAAGTACATCAAGCTGATTAGAGACATCCCGGAGCATGAACGATGGATTAGCACGATGATTTCAAGGGGGCATACCGTTCTCCTCATTGGCTCCGACATACCGCGTCTGATGATGAGACTTGAAGATCCTTTCGGCTATTGGGAAAGCTTTGGGGGTAAGGAGTTTAAGGACGAGAAACCTTTGCGGCTTTGGGTAGCCGTGAGGGTGTCTCGTGAAGCTCATCAGAAGAGACAACAACGCCTTGAGGATTCCAGATCTGCTTCATACTCGGTGCTGAAAGCCGGCACTACGACTCACGTCGAGGATCAAAAACCTCCGCAAGATGGACATGATCTTGACGGACAGTAACGTCATTTCGCCACCAGACAGTACGAACATACCTGAGCATAAGCTTAGGTCACCTCGATAGGCACGAAGTAGCGCGCCAAACAGGAGCCACATTCAGATTGTCTGGGCCCAATTTCCTCGGTTCGACGCTGAGGAACACGATATTACACCCCGGGTCCATCTGTATCCTCTGCAAATCAATGCCAGAGGCCTTGGCGATATAATGGGAGGACGGCACCGCTCAGCCATTGGCTACAATCGTTGTAGTCGGGTTGCGCCAGGGGCGCAAGCTGAGTTGTTCGGCTACAGAAAGGACAAAGAGCTACTACAATGCCTTATATATGCTTGAATATTGGGGAGCAATCTACCTCTCAGGAAGTTACCGGTGGTGAGGAGCGGTTACGCGCTGACGATTGGGCATTCATTCTCCACTTTCAGTGCATGGGGGAAGCTACCGGTCCTCAAATTCGTCCCGAGCTACACGGGATTCCTTGGCCTTCTGACTGACGAGTTGAGACTGGGGACGGTTTGATGATTGGTGGGCCTGATAAGAGAGTGGTATCTTGGAGGAGACTGGCTTTTATAGAAACTCTGAATATAAGCACACGGCAAGTGGACATTTTGTTTAGGATGTTCGGAAGCTAACATAAACACCTCATTCTGCTCATACCCAAGCGCTGAGTGGCCACTGAGGTAATAAAATTGCTGTGTAAAGGAGCCCGTCGGCTTGGTGCAACACCTTAGCGGTGACTCTTTCTCATTCACTTTCCGAACTTCATAATTTACAATGCCCTCGCTGATATTACATTCATTTGGCTCGGTCCGGTCATTTCATCAATCACACTAGTCCCCCCCTCGGGTTGCCCAACCCTAACACATCAAAGAGAGTGCGAGACTTTAGCTTAGCCTATCCTTTTCCCTCTCGTTCACGCCAGCAGCAGTCAAAGGAAAACAGTCGTCTTCATATACAGTTGTCAAAAGTCGATACGTTGAAGGCGTGTTTCGGTGCGTCTTCCTGCCTTTCCTTGGCCGAATCATCACCTGCCATGACTTCGGTCGGAACAATGATCACTAGGAGGGAAAAGTAACAGCATTAGGGCCGAAATCGGTCTGATAGGATGAGAAAGCACGGATCTTCCCCGCAACCATGCATGCGCCGCGGCTAACTAGCGATTTCTGATTGAGGCAAGACCGCCCGACCTGAGCGGGCCGTGAAATAGCCAAAGGCTTTGCATACGCCCTGAATTTACAGACTCGGATAACCAGCTGATTGCTGAAGTCGGTTCATTCAACACTCTCTCAATTTTCGGAGACTCATATCTTCTGGAGACGGTGCTCTTGACCGCTGGAAGTTGGTTTGTTTTGGTTTCAACAAACGCCGAAATCGATTTATGCGAACAGGTTCGGGCTCGATTGAACGCAGGGCTTCATTGTTCTCCTCAGTTGTAGACGCTGAAGGGCGGGTGGTAAAAAGCATCGCCAGCCAATGGCATAAAATCGACTTCATCTCAAACTGGAATGTCATTGGACCAATACTTAGAGGCCTTGAAAGGGCCTCTGAAAGTAGGAACCAACTTACAGATAGGCCGAATATAAGCATTACAACGAAACCCAGGCCTATTCACGGCCTTTATAGGATTTCGTCCTCTCTTCAGCGGGTTTCGGCGCGACATGGTGTGGCAAAGAGACACCGACACGCGAACTGGGTAGATGAGCATTCGATATGCTGTGTTTAGGGAAGTTCTTGTAGCGCCCGTACTGTTGTTTGGGCTAGCCACGGCGACTGGGGCTTCTCTACCGTAACGTCGGGAAAAAAACCTTCGGGGAGTCCAGATTGGGCATTGATTAGCGTTGCGTCAAAACTGGAAAGTTGTCTGCATGACGTCCGCGGCCCGTTTCCGTCAGGGTCTTTGCAAACATCACGTCTTGGCGGTATCTCAAGCAAACCTCGGAGGCCAGTACGGTCTGTATTAAGGTTCAGGGCATGCTAATGCAATTGTTTACATGAGCAGTTGCGATGATGAAGCGGCTAGAGGGTTCATCGAGCGGCAATTACTTCTGAATGGCTTATCTAAGGGTTCCTTTAATATTCCTAGGAGTATAATAAATAACAGATCATTTCTTTCTATTTACTATTGCGTAGTATTAAGGCCTATTTCTAGATATGCTAGAGCCGCAGCTATTCGTAATAGTAGCTAAAAATGAAGCTCCTTTCTTTTGATAATTACCTGGCTAATACTTGCCTTGCTTGATCTAATGTTCACAAAGACTAATTTCGGATGGACTCTTCATAGTCGATTTTTTAACGAATAGCCTTTTACTACTGGTAATCGTCCTAGTCTGGACGTCGCCCACTCCTTGGTTTTGACGATAGCCGAGGTATGAGAGGTATATTAAGATAAGGCAGTCCCCCCAACTTTCAAATCGCCATTCCACTTGCAACAGCCATGGCGCCTACCAAAGGAAAAGACAAGAAGGCCAAGCCAGCATCCTCAAAGGAGGCTGTCAAAAAGCCAACATCGAAGCATGAGATGCAACAACAGCTTGAAAGAAAACTGGCTTCACTCGAACGCGCAGCTGCAGTCTATGATAAGGCAAGCCCAGAAAAAAAGCGACAGATCGATGGCATGCGAAATGAGGTTAGTGCGTTGCGTGCTGTCGTCGACTCGATGGACGTAGATGACGATTCACCGACTCCTTCGGGGAAAGTTGAGGGCAAAGTTGAAGAACCCAATACTCAGCCAGCCACAGAAGGGTCAATGGAAAATGGGGGAGCCACTCCAGACAATAAAAGTATGGAAAGAACACATGGAAATGAGAGTGGCCTCTCCTTAAAGCGGTCTTCACCTGACAACGGCTCAACATCTCCTGGAAAGGACGATGATAGCTCGAAGACACCTGGAAATCCTGGCGGCGACGGTAATAACGAGCCCGGGCACGAGAAAGGGGCAGTAAATGAAGGAGGACAGCAACAGAAACCGGAGACAGGACGCGACGCGCCACGGCAGACTGTTGTGCAGTCCATTGAGAACGATGAACCGAATGGATCTTTGTTCCTCGAAGATGATGAAACATCGGAGTTTGAAGATCCGGAGTATGAAGATCCGGAGTATGGCAAGCCGTTGTTGACTATCCCGACTACAAGTGGTATAAGCGAAGAAGGTGTGAAGACAGTGGGGTGGTCCGGTAGGCATCTTCCCAAGTACATTAATATGTACGGAAAAAAATATTCGGCAACCTACCGGGTAGAAAATCGTGCATTCCCCCGTAGCTACGCAGAAGCTCGGCCCGAGAATGAGAACGTGGGGAGCGCGAAAAATAGATTCGGAGATACACTACCAGGTATCGGTAGAGTCCAACATCCGAATGCTGAAACGCCTAGGATCTGGGGAGTTGCCTGGCGGGGCCTGAATTCGGGCGACTTGGAGCACGACTTGGAACTCATCGATCCCGAATACAACGAGTCTTTCACCCATACCGTTACTTACGTTCTGGTGGGATGGATGATCGACGGAGAGGAGGAGAAGAAGTGGGAAACGCGAACTGCTTATCGAAATATAATAGGAAGCAGGTCCAAGGCCGATAGGAATATTTACAAGGCCGCGGTCGAGTCTCAACAGAGGTACATCGAGGCCAAGGAGGGCAGGCGAAGGGCGATCAGTAGGTCTCCCTCCGTCCCCCTTCTAGAAGGAGAGCTCGGTCTGGCAAGGGGCAAGACTCGATCGGCAAGGCGCACGAGCAAATCATCGCGGAGCAAGAGAGGATCGGCGCAAAGGGACAGAGGATCATCGCCAACTCGATTCTTACCGTCGCCAAGATCCACCGTGTCCCCCCAACGACAGACGCAGGGCGCGGGAAATCTCAGTGAAGTCAAAACGAGATTTCTCACAGACTGGCTTGAACTGCGAGACGCCGAAGACTTTTCAGAACTAAGTGCGGCCGACCAGCAACAATGTGTAGAGTCTTGGAGGATCCATAAAAAGTCGGTGGCAGCTGCTGCCTAAGAGAGAAGAAAAAGAAGAAAAGGAAAAAGAGATAGGTTTTCTGGTCTGCTTTCTACTTCGCTTTCACTTACGAAATTGCTCTGGGAGGTATATGCCCCTTTCTTCACTCGAACTCTCATTATGAAGACCGCCACATAAAGGTTCCTCTCATAGGATACTAGACGAAGAAAGCTGAAGGTTGCTGTGGATTTGATGCGTTGGTAGTTTGTACTTGTTTATGTTTCTGCTATCTAGATCACTAAATTGGGATAAGAAATTGATATTTATGTTTTTTAATTTACTTCTATCACGTGCGGGTTGTCGTCATGGGACCAGATGATTGCCTCGCTACCTAACGAGTCTATTTTGCTGATTGTGGATTAACCATTCTAAGTCCAGCGCCTTCCAACGCCGTTCATAGCACGAATGGGTACTGTGCGTCAGGAATGCGCGGTTCGATACACCGGGGTTCCAAAAGTCCTGCAACAGCCCCACTTACACCACCACCCTGACCGGAACACATAGAATAAAGATACCAATTCCACAGGCTACAGACTAGCTACAATAAAAGTAACTACATTTTTGGATTCCTCAGAGGCGTGGCTTTAATATTTTGTATACCAACCCCTAGCCTTGCGGCAGGCCTCGATCCTCCGCGGCATTGACTCTAGCAGGCCCCGAATGAAGTCCTGAGGGATAGCTTCCCACGCCGCTTCCAAGCACGCTTTAAATTTTGCGGTATCAGCTGCGTTTTTCTTCAATTTGGAGACCCAAGGGAACATTCTATAGAGATCTCTCTTTAGTCTGGCCCAAACATGCTCAATGGGGTTCAAATCGGGGCTGTGAGGAGGCCAGTCAATAAGAGAGATTCCGTGCTCAAGCAGGAAGCTCATCGAGACCTTTGATGTATGGATTCCGGCATTATCCTGCTAGAAATGCCGGGTGCCATTATAATCAGGAAGAAGCCCAGAAGTCAGAGCTTCAATATAGCTATTAGATGAGTAGCCACCGCGCTTAGAGGCTGTGTCTCGGGTCATAATAACCAGCTTGCTTCGGCTCTCCTTGCAAATTGCACCCCACACCATTATCGTCACATCTCCCTTGCTATGAGCTGTTTTATTGACGAATTTTGGGTCATAGATCTCATGAGTGAACCTCCAGACCCAGGTGCCCGGATTGGCGCTGCCATTTTGAGCAGAGCACTCATCAGAGAAGATAACCTAGGGTGTGTGAGTAACGCGTACAGTGGCAGACGAGGGTATCTCAAACACTTAGTCATACCTCACCCAATTCTTCTTCTCTTTTCGCCCAGTCGCGCGTAAATTGAAGCCGCTGAGCTGCATCTTCCTTTCGTAAAAAGATCCTCTTATTAGCTTGCCATTTGCGCAAGTTGACCTCATTTAAAGTCCGGCGGACAGTCGTAGCGCTCACCCCAAGACTCAGGTCATCCACCAAGTCTTTCCTTGAGACGCTTTCATCCTGTCGTACAGCGTGAATAATAGCCCTTTTCGCCCGAGGCGTCAGACTTGGGGGACGCCCGGACCGAGGGCTAGGATCGATTGATGCCGTTGTCTCAAGCCGTTGAAGCAGACGGCTGATTGTGGCTGTCGTAACCCCAAAACGCGTCGCGACCACACTCCTTTTCTCTCCAGCTTGTACGGCCGCAATAATAGCCGCACGAAGCTCGGGACTGGTTTGTTGTCTTCCCTGACGATTTCCAGATATTATGGTCCCAAAAGACCGTAAATTGGACGTCATAATAAAAAGTTGTGGATGATTGAAGATGAAGGTGGCAGGAAACGCGGTTCCGATCGTCGACGCGAGTCGCCTGGCGTTGCAGGACTTTTGGAACCCCACTGGCTCCAGGTGAACGGGAACACGGACGTGATTTGGCGGCGTTGTGGCGCTAAGCCGCTGAATCAGCCACCAAAAGGCCGCCGTGGATATCCTATTGATATTACCATACTTCTGTTATTCCGCTTTTCCGACCCTCCTGATAATGGTTGGGAGTACGGGCAAACATGCCATTCTCTGGGTATTGTGTTGGATGATGACCCTGTATGACGAAACCTCGGATAGATTGATATCCTGACCTTAGTCAGAAGGGGGTATGAAAACCCCTCTTCCGGCCGATCCGGATGACCGGCCGAAGTAATCATCAACATAATCATCATCACTGTATTAATCCCTATCTATCTGATCGAATTGACCGTAACGGATCCATCAATAACCCCTATTCCGACCGGTCCGGATGACGAGCACAAGCAATCATCAACATCATCATCACTGATTTGAACACTATCCATTTGATCAATTTTACCGTAACGGATCCATCAGTAACCAATAAAACCCAGTAGAGCAACGCCCCAACTCTTTATGTAAGCCAAGTACGACATAGTACGTTAGTTGGAAACTCAAACCCTGTGTGCAAACTCTACTCTTCCCCTAATGGCTCTGGACTATTGCTGCCACTGTGTTGTTAATAAACTACGTATCCCAGGAGCAAAATGCCTGCACGACTTACTCAGCTCCACGACAAGACTCGCAGGGACAAAGAGGAAACAAAGTTAACATATAAGGAGAGCATACGAGTTTGGGCAAACGGAACGCTGAACGTGTTGGTGAGTATGAGAGGACCAAACACATAATCACGTAGTTCTGAATCAGGGCTCTGTAAATAGCGGCATTAATATCAAATTGAGACTTAAATACTGTTCCCACTGACTTATATACTCTGTGTCTCGACTAGTTTACATCATGCCGGCCTTGTGTGCTTGGAAGCTCCCTAGATAGTGCTCTCCGCCTGAGTAATAAAGTCGTAGTCATCCTTCGGCCTGAATTGCCAAATATGGTTTCTACCGTCAATTTCATAGAAAATGAAGAGATAGCCACCTTTGAAAAACCAAGAGATGACGTCTACATTCTCAGTTCCGTACGTGACTGCACGTAAGCGGCTCCTTGTCTGCCCCTCGTCCCCGGGAGCAGCCTCCTTCTTGCGGCAAAGTCTAGTAAAGTCGGCAAAGGGGGATTGTACGTCGCCATTGACATAATACGTGCTGACGTTCAGGATAATGCCCGAGTGTTTCAACAGAATATCCCGTCCCATTTCATTCTGCCAGTCATGAGTCCTCAACTCCTTGAAGAATTTTTCCCTGAGTGGAGGATGGTCATTTTGGTCTGCATCGCCGTCCTTTGTCTGAGCTGATTCGATAACTAGGACCAGATAGACTTGACTTGCGTTTGAAGTCTGGCTTTGGTCGTGGAGCTTATCAAAGTCGGAGCTCAAAAGATGGAGCCGATAACCCAACTTTGTCATTTCTTTGAGCCATGTCGAGTTGTCTCCTAGAATCATTTTCCAGGCGGCGCCTTCACCAGAAGCCGACGGTGCAATGGTAGATTCTGGCATTTTGAGATGTAGTGTAGGAAGTGAAGTTGGTTGACTGATATCCGGAGCTAGTATGGACGAGGTCGGATTTTTATATCAGCAGATGATGTAGGCCAACAGACTAGTATGTCTTGGTAAAGTTTGGACTGCGCCTACAAAAGGCCATTTCTGGATAAGTAAAGGTAAAAAGGTCATTTTGAGCCGCGCCGAGGCGGGTTATGCCGTCCCAAGCTTTCGAGGACAATGGAGGGTTTGAGATCCACTGTGTGTTAGGTGGGAATGGATACGCCCTAGAATGGCTGTCTCGCGCTCCAATTACATCCATCTATTTCTCGCTAAAATTGGGCTAAGCAAATTTGATCTCAATTCGCACCTCGACCAGAGAAAGTTGATCTCACGACGACAATCTGTTACACCGCCAGGGCCAGCATGTTCCTTTAAACGGCGAAACAACCACACAAGCCATGATGCGGTTTTGTCTACCATTGTTTCCAAATGCCAGGATTTTATGAAAAGCCATCAAAATTGATATGCGGCACACGAGTTACTAGGCTGTCCATCACCATTTATCAAGCTTCTTGGACGTAGATATGAACGCTGAGCTAACGACAAAGAGGAGTGGGTGGGTGAGCTGCATAGTTTTCTCTCACAGTAAATCTTTTAAAAGGTGTTGCAAACACGATCTGGTGATATGCATCGTGACTGGGCTCGGAACAATATCTTCTCAGGTTTACCTCCTTCAGCGTCGTCAACCGACGCCGAAGTATCTCGCCCGTCGTAGTAAATGCCAGTTTGTTGGAACAAAGGCCGGAATTGGACTGCAAGTCTGGCCGGAATACTTTCATTTGTGGACCTTCGGAGCCTATATGAATCCATCTTAGGTAGCTCCATATGAACTTGGAGGGCGTCTATTGAATAGGAAACCTGCTCATAGACCTACCCTTGGTTAATATGAAGGCTCTGCTTCTTCCCTTTTTATTTTCTTATGTCAATGCGCTTAAAGAGGCGTGCATTTTTGAATATGGGCAATGGGAGCCCGAACCGGGCCAATGCTTTGCGTTGGTGTTGAGGGAGCTAGGTGTCAACCGTCAGCAAGTCCAGGACCTCAATCCGGGTATAGACATCGACGATATCTTTCCCTCCATACCCTACAATGTGCCATACAATGTTCCTAGGTACTCCGCCGTGTGGATTAATGGTTGTCCGCCCATGCTGCAGCTTTCGGACGGCGCAGACTACCCCAACAGCCTAGTGTGCGGTAATGAAGAGAGTACGACCAGTCAGCCTCTCTCGTCGACTGCGAAAGCAAATGCAACACCCTCATCGCCTTATGCAAGTGACGACGAGTCGACTATAAAAGAGGCTACTACCACTTCGGTATCAAGGAGGCCGGCACTGCCACTGTCGTCCCTAAGCACTGTACAATCGCAACATGAAGGGGATAAGAAGAACATCCCATCAGACACGTCATCAAGCCAAGAATCGACCACGTCGTCTACTACGCCCCCAACCGGAGAAATAAGCACACACTTAGACTTTCCTTCAAGCAAAAATACCATTCAATCATCCCGTACTGGTTCAAAGGCGTCCTCTAGCGAAGAAACGGATAGCACGTTAAGAACGCTGTCAGCAGTTGGGACCGCGACAGTGTCAGGAGCTCTTTTAAGTACAGACAGTAGCGAACCTTGCGCTACACTACCAACCACGGGAACTACCACGTCGTCAGTCACGCTGCCGGCAGAACATTACTCACGAAAGCTGACTTCTTCAAGCAAGGATACGACACAAGAAACCTCGGCATTATCCAACAACACATCGACCAAAAAAATAGACACGTCTCTCGCTACGTCAACAGCTGAGAAATCAGCAACTGCGTCCCCCGACACGCTGTCAAGCGCGGCAACAAGCACACCGACCGACACACAGAAAACTAAGGCGGTCGAGGATTCGACAAGAACAGCCATTCCGTCGGTCACTGGATTGAGTACATCATCAACAAACAATAATGAAAGGGAATCGTCGGTAGGATCCGCGAAAACTACTTTATCCGGGGAACTAAGTAAGTCTCCGGCCACGGCATCGTCTCACAAGGTTAAAGAGACGACTGAGACCTCTGACGCGCAATCTACTGCTGTGCCGACCGAAAAAAAAAATTCAAAGACGACCACGACGATCGTGTCATCAGCAATCGAGACAGAAACATCGTCAGCCACGACACCAAGTGAGAGCGATGAAGAGACCACTACGGGAACAACCAGCTCCGATGAAACATCAGTCGCCGAGACCTCTTCATCATCTATCATATCATCTTCCCACTATTCGAAGAATCGAAAGACAACGCTACATAGAACAAAGTCAGCTCTTCGTGAGAAGGCGACGGCAACAACAGCGGACCTTAGTCAGACGAACTTACCCGCACCGATATGTGGAGATGAAGATGAACTCCCAGGGTATGGAGATATCGTGGGGTGGAGCGTTCAAACAAGCGCAGAACTATGGTGCAACGATGAGTCGTATCAAAGATCGGTAAGTCCGGAGGATAAGTGCTCTCTTGGTGTAGAATGGCTCGGTGGTATAGGCTACGAGTATTCTATCTGTTGGGCAGAGGGATGTGTAGGCGGGGCACAAGACCGGAAAAAGCCACTTGGAGATGATGGCCCATCATGCAAGGATATTATGTTCCGAAACTGGGAGTCATGTAAGTTTTGACAACAGTCGTGACTTTCCTTGATATTTACATATTCACAGGTACTGGTAATGGAGGAGTTGGTGGAGTAACACAGGCGGGCTGCTTGTTGTTCAAGTTTCGAGGTGGGGTAGGGAAGTCACAGGGGTATAAACAGGGGGAAAGATATAGAGAGGGGGAGAAATCTAAACGGGGGTATAAACGGGTTCCATTCTAGAGAACTGCCACACTGTTGTGCGATGTAGAAGTTGGAATCATTTTCGATCGAGCAGATTACTTACTGAACTTGAGTCTGTCAGCTCACAGTCGTGATCGGATTCCTCAGTCGGTAGTTCACCGGGGTTGAGCACGAACGTTCACAATAATTTGCACGTCAGTGATTGGTTCCACGGGCAGCTATCTTTCAACACCACATCACAGCGTGGCTGATGTTGCTTCAGGTCGTGGTGAAAGGTACCTGAGCCTCAGTTGGCATGCCAGGCACGGCTTGTAGCTGCGTCACGCCGCCATGAGTTGAGCCTACTTTGGTGTTAGCTATGGAATTTCTGGGCATTTGGATTCAACCTTTTGTTATGATTAATATAATGTCCTTTGGAGGTTCAATACAAGATCTAGCCCGCTGAGCCTACTTCTGCCTTGTACCTTCAGAAACTCCAACGTGCGGTGGGAGTGTGGTGTATTGCACATCTGCGAGGCTTGACGTTCTAATCGAAGTTTTGCCATTTCGATGATAAGTGGCAAATGGCGCTGCTTCTGTCCAGATATTGTGGGTCTAGTGTAGCCGCTCGAATCGTATCGATAACACCACTGTGAGACTTGGCTGAGCAACTTCCCCGCCTTTTGACCTTGGGATCAGTTCCATCCCTCCTCTACATACGATCGATATTATAGATCTGAACGACCCCATCCGCCAAATCCGTAACACTGAACGGGAGTCGATTCGCGTTTCCCTGTTATCCATCGATAGACTCTCTTCATTCATTCCTTATTTGCCAAAGTCTACAGGGGACGATATGCGGGTCGTTCACCAGCGGAGCCAAGATATCCTTAACGACTACGAAACAACGAAAAAATCTGGTCTTGTTCGACTGTTGAAATGTTATCAAAGGACTTTGAAGATGGCGTAAGTCAGATGGCTTTTATTCGAACTCAACATCCAGAGGTAGAGCTTCGTGGCCGAGGAGCACCAAATTAATGAACTCAAATCGGAGCTGCGGGCCATATAGGAGTTGACCTCAATTCCTCCCCATCACCAAACGGAAGGGATTCCAACGTCCCTTTCCATCTGCGATCGAAGCCTTCGCTATCTTCCTTACAAACCCATACTGGAACAGCTTCAAAATATCAGAAATTTCGGCCTATCCTCTCTGTGAATGAGGTTATCCGCGCATAAAAATGCCTTCTCAAACGACTAGATTATCCAATCACCGCGTATTGTCGCTACAGGCTCCATAGGGTCTCCGAGATCTTTGAGTCGGTTTCAACGAAGAATATTCCAGCGGATTGCCGGACGCTGTTGGTTATGTACGTTGCCATCTGCTTCGCTTTTACGAAGGAACTCGAACGAGAAGCGGAGAATCATGCAAATTTTAACTCGTGGTGGATTAATCTTCACTACCCGCACTTGCTGAATTTATATGGACGAGCTCTTTTGGTGTGTGGCAGAATGATTGAGGATTCAAACGGTGACATTCAGTTTTCACTTGATTACTTTGCTAAGCAAGTCGCGTTCGATTTTGGGATGAACGAAACAAGTCTTCGCTCACGAAAGCCGTAAGACCATGCTTCTGGCGGTTGTTACTCCGATTAAAACAGTGTCATGTGCACGGTTACTGGGATTTTTGCTCTTTGATGGTGTTGGATCCGTTACGGTCAATTTGATCAAATGGATAGTGTTCAAAGCAGTGATGATGATGTTGATGATTGCTTGTGCCGGTCATCCGACCGGCCCGGAAGAGGGGTTATCAGACCCCCCTTCTGACTAAGGTCAGGATATCAATCTATCAGAGGTTTCGTAATACAGGGTCATCTTCCAACAGATGGCTTAATGTATTCATTCTCCGGGCTCCGGAAAAGCAATGAGAGTGTTCTTAGCTACAAAGAGGCCCGGTGATGAAACTTCTAACACCAAGGTACAGACACTGAGCTGGCAAGTCAACGTATCAGCAAGGCCAGCGCGAATGTATCTCTCTGCCAGATCATCAATGGATGAAAGTGATTAGGTTCATTCAGAAGGAAATAGGGCTGTCACTGAATTATCCGCGCGTGTTCTTGTTTTACGTAGGGTAATATCATTAGAAGGTCGCTTTCAATGTCAAAAGAGGTCAGCCCAGGACACAAGACAATCGTGGCCGCTGGTCGGCACTTTTGCAAAAGGTGAGATGCCATAATCACTTATAAGAGCGAAGATCATAAAGCCAAGGCCGCAGTCAGTCGTTGTACCCCTTACCTTACTTAGTTCTTATTCATATGTACGAGACAACCAGTTCTACTTTTCCATATCGTACTGATTAATAAGAGGCCAGGGATAGCCCAAGCCCCTAGGCATTCATGAGCACTGCGACTTACGCGGCTATCTTTTTGCCTGTGCCATATTGAATATTCTCAACTTTATTGTTAAGAGGAGCTTCAATACCAAGGGGACTGGGGCAGGATGGCTGGTTACTGATGGCAAGGTCCAGGTGGCATTCTTCATCCACACCTAATTTACACACTTGGTCCTGAATATTATATAACACATGGTTCTGCGCAACCCAGCTCGTGGGCTGGGCAATGCAAGATGCGACATAATTCATGCTATTGGCGGCTGAAAGGGGAAGCTTGCCCTCATGGAGCAAATGCTGGCATTCCGAGGCGTGGACAACATCGTAGTTCATGCCGATGCCACCACCCATATGGGGCTCCTCGACGGCAGATTTACCGAAGGCAAGGTAGTTCCAGGCATCGTAGGATATGTCATAGGCTCCCCCGGAAGTGTCGATGCGGAGAAGATGAACCGAGCGGCCCTCGTTGTAGACCCTAACGCAAATGTCGTCACAGCCAACAGAGCCTGGCCAGTACGCGACACGGTTGTTATCGATTTTGCAACCCAAGGACCCCGATGGAGCTGGAGTACTGTTCGTGAGGTGTGATATTTACGATACTGCGAGAATGGCCAGCGACCACGCAACCTGCGAAAGCCAAAATAGTGATAGCGATGGCGGTCAATAATGATCCGAGTCGTTGAAACAGTATGCTTTTTCTAATCGGAACAATAGGTATCGGATTCATGGCAGAGCAACGTACACATGTGGTCCAGATATCGGGAAAGGCTAGTTTTCATTCAGTTTCTTCACTACTTACATACGACGCGGGACGTGTCAAGAACATGTGTTCAAGGGTGCCCACCATGGTTCGTAAAGAGTCTTTCTTATTCGGCCCCGGTTTGAAACAAAAAAGGCCGAAACGGGAGGCTGTTACCCGATCCTGCTAATCTGTCCCATACCTACGGCATGAATGAGACCCATTGTGGAGGACCGTTGAGACATGATACGGTACCATCTTAGCTAGTCGGCAACCCTTGCTTTGACACTAGCCGGGAGTGGAAATAAGGGTTGCTACGACACCGACGCTGTACATAGTTCCCCAATACATGAGAGACAAAGTTGAATCTCGTATTCGAAGCAGTCTGTATACGAATTTTAACTAATATCTGAAAAAAAAAAAACGAATGATTTTCTCCTGATGGGGTCCTCTTAGGGATGATTAGAAACACACGATGGTTTCCAGACGCGGCATTCATTAATGGCTGACACGAACGCCTTCCATAACCACTGCGATAGAATAATTGAAATATCGAATTACGATGTAGACGTAGTCTAAAATATTGCATCCTTTGTGAGCCAAGTTTAGCATACTTCCGCCCCAGTCCCCATTCTGTGCCGCTAAAGCGACACGCATTACTCCTTGTTGGACCTGAGAAAGACACAGATATACCATTGAATACGGTACCAAAAAAAAAGACGAAAGGGCCGGTCGCATCTGTAGGTGGTTTTCCAATCATCGACGTGACCCCTTGGTCAATCATGATGTCTCACGCAATCACCAAATACAAATTCCCATCTTATACCATCCCGCGCCAAAGCTCAGCAATTATAAGCCCAAGGTACTGTGCCATCGGTATCCCGTGTAAGAACAGTACTCGTCTGAGTGTGCGAGCCGCCACAACACATAGGCCAACTTAGAGTTTGGGTTGGATGTCTCGAGCATGATCGCTCGGATGCTTGAACGACTGCATCTTATCGACGAAACTGGCCCATGACTGGTCCGACATGATAGGTGCAGTAGTGTAGGCATCCGCTTCATAGTTTTGCAGCGACTGCAACATGTCGGCCAACACATCATCGTATGCCTCAACTGCGGCGTCCCCGATCGCTTGGAGCACATGGCCGTCGGATGAACAATGTCTGAAGTCCGTACCGACGCACATGTGTTCGTATAGACGGAGGACTTTTGGACAGGCCCCTGATTCTCTTGCTGCCTCGTAAGCCATGCGGTGGCCGATTGCCTCAGCTATAGGGCGACAGCAAGGAAGAATATGCTGATTGAATGCCTGGCCTCTGTGTTCACCATATCCACCAATATCCTTGAGTTTGGACCTGGCAGCTTCCATCATTTGCCGTTCACGGCGAGCCAAAACTGTCGTCGGATCTTGTGGCGCCGGAAGGCGTATTTCCCTCCAAGAAGTTCTGATACCAGTCCTATCAAAACGGTTAGTTTCAGTCACCGACGTAGGTGAAGTTGAAGATACGCACGTATACACAGGACCAAGGTGTCCCCTTCAGCAATGGCATTACCCTGAAACGTCAATGCTAACTCGCTAATCTGGTTGTACGCAAAAAGGCCTTGCCAACCACATCGCTCCGTAAGCTCATTCAAAATGCGTGAAGCTCGAACAACGGTTGATTTGAAAATGGTGGCAAGGGCATGCCGCGTGAGCGGGCCATGGTCGGCATTCATGAATGCCTTTACGGTCCAATGGGCGTATAGTTCAAGGATCTTACCCTGCACCCATCCCTCGATGATTGGACGCTTCTGGGTGCTGAAGCTCATGATTGGTACGCGTGTATGCCCGTCAGGAGCGGTAATTGTTCGTCGTTGGCTGTAAGTACCAGCGATGTGCGTCCCAACCTTGATGGCAGAAACGCCCATGATCGAAAGTGACAACGTCCCTATTGAAACCCGCCAGATCTGGCGGAGAAAATCGGCACGTTCATCTTTCGACTTGGAAATGGAACCGAGGAGGGCATTTCGAGGTAAGCGAACATGCTCGAAAGTTGTGATTGAATGATCTAAGGGCTTAGTTCCGGGCCTCGTAGGCAAGATTCGTGATGTGATCCCCGGTTTCATGTTCTCGGAGCTGCTCAAAGGAACGAGGAAAGGTTTCACCCCGTGACAATTCCCGCCCACCATTAGGCGAGCAAAGACGATTGCCACACGTGGCATTCCACATAGGGCGTAGTCGGAGGCATCGCCTTTGCCGCCGCGGTGTTGGGGGTGTGGAGATCGAAGGAGCCATCTGGCTGTAGTGTCGCCCTGGTCTCCAGATTACGTGCGTCCAAGCCGTGGCCAACCTCTGTGAGCATGAATTGGCCGCAGATGTCGAAATTCAATAACTTCTCAACAAGATCTTGAAGGTCAGGGCGGTCTCTGACGAAAGAACTAAGCGTCCCGATGCAGAGGTTCACATGGATGGTCGCGATGATAAATGCCGCCATGTCACGGGCGGCAATCACTTGATACTGTTAGCATGCTGTCTCGCCTTTCCGGACGGACACTTTCAAACTTACAGTCAAAATGAAAGTTCCAAAACTTTTGGCTCAAGTGTTGGATATCGTCAAGTGACAAGGCTTCGGAGGATTTGATCAGTCAACATGATCCATGTGTATAATCTCATTACTCACCAGCATGGCGGCACATTGATTGTGCTCGTTCATAATGCAGGGCGACAACTTCCTGTGATGCAGGCTCTTCGACATCCTTGTCGACATGCCAGACATCTTGCTTGAGTATCGCTCGCGAATGAGACATGACAAGGCGACGTATAACTGCGTGGCGACAAAGGATACCCGGGGATTGGATCTGGTCTGAACAAAGGTATGGGTTGAATGAACAGTAAAGAGCTAAGTATTAAAAAGAAACTCTGATCAGTATGATGTTCGACGAACAAGTAGATATCATGAATGCGGTTGAAAGATTTTCAATTTTTCAGGCTAATGAAGCTATTTCGACTTGTCGAAACTTGCCCCTGTTCCTGGGGGCGTCCGAAAGCAAACGTTCACTGCCACTACCACGCCTGCTCCCATTTGAAGCCAAAGTTAGCCTTGTACGTATCTTTCTCAGAAACTCTCAAATTAGCTTCAGTGTCTCGTATCATGTAGCGACGGCTTACGTTTAAGGGTCGAGATTGAACTATGGACAGACTGGCGAAACCAAAGTATTGTCCATTTTCTTGGCGCAAGTGAGTTTCAGGACCCCCGACCTTCATAATCTACAAGGCCATCTGGACCGCTCGTTCAGGATTATGACAAATTGACTCGGATATCTTAGCTTATCTGCTTGGCAAGTCTGAAGGTGGAAGAGCATTTATGTCTCATCTTCTGATGCACCGGCTATGTGTCTTGGGTGGGATGTATATCTTCATGTAGGCCCTCTACCTTGGCAGGAGATATTAGCTAGTCACTACATACTCTATTCTTCGCTAGTGGTGCTCCGGGTTGTTGCCAGAAAATTAAGAATCTAACGAGTAGACGTCAGAGTCAAGGCTGCCACGAATGGACTCTCCTTAACCCACAATGGCCCTTTCTGTCACATACTTGTACTTTAGACAACCTGCCACGGCCCAGCCACCCTACGTGCTGCATTGACTATTGATGCTTTTAAAGACTTGTAACACGAAGGGGCGCCCATCATCATCTGGGAACCTTCTTTGCAGTCCGACATCCAGGTGATGATCAGATACTGAAGACCAAGCCTTCCATCGTCACTGACGGCTGCATCAGCGTATGTTTCACCGGCAAATGTCTCGTGAGGACTCAGGCTCTGGTGATCAATGTGATCACTTCCATAGAACCGCAGAGCCAAAAGGTCCCGGTCTTTCTCGCTAATTGAGAATTGCTTCATTCTATCAGCCTTCTGGAAACAGGTGGGAGCTGGAATGCTTGACCACGTCGTTGATTTCTTGGTCTCTGCACTGGTAAAACGTGGGACTGTCAGAGAACTCGCTTTCAGATAAAGACACCAAAGTCAACTGATAGTACGGTATCTAGAAAATATATAAACGTTAGAGTTCTAAGTTGCAATCCTGTCTCGACTGCAAGGAAAGGGGAAGCGCAAACTACCTGTTATGACTCGGTACCATCATTTGATTTGTCGTTTCCAGCGATAAGAGAAGAGGCGATTGCGGTTTAAAATGTGTTCGTAACCGAAATCGAGTTCATAGGTTCCGTCGAAGGTACAATGTCTTTATCATCCAAAGTGAGAAAAGCAGGGCAATCATCCGACCATGAAGCGGGTGGTATGGCAGTCCTGTAAGGAATCTTATGGCGAGCACCAGCGTGGACTAATTTTAGCTCAATCCATGGATTCAGCTCTTGAATTTCGGTAAGCCCGTCAAGACAAGCGCATCGCGAACCTTTGGAAACTCATCTCCCACGCCTACGACCCATAATCCAAATGCTAAGGAGCAAGAAGCATATGCAAGACAAAAACTAGACATCAATAAATAGACCTTCATTGCATTGGCAACTAAAACGAGCCTACTGGAACCAAGGTTGCTAAAAGATAGCCCAACCACTTCTTTCATTCAAATGCTATTTTATATTGGTCCCCAATCCTAGCTAGCTTTTCGTTTAGACTTTGGGATCGTGCTCCACACCAGCATTTCGACTGAGGTTGACTTCCATACTTTACAGCCCTCTATGGTTTAGCTAGCTGTGGTACCCGCCCAGGTTTCTAATTGCCAGCCCCTCCCTCTATTATTAGCGGTGTTGAGTGTGAAGTAAGCCCAACGTCGAACTCAAACGTTATCCTGGGCATGTGCAGCCAGCATTACGCAAGGCCGATTATAGCTGTCGAACCATCGTGACATTATTTCATTTTTCGCCGTCGAGAAGTCCGGAACCACCGTGGGGATAGATCCAAAAATTGCCATTGAGACCCCATGACTAGTGCTGGGTATCGTAGCAACTGTGGATCAGAAAAGAAAGCAGACTGATGTCGGCCGTTGTCCTATACGTAGAGTGTTTTGGGTGCCCACAACAGGATTTATTCCATTTAGGACCAAGCGCAGATACATAACTCACTATAAATCTCATGTTAATGAATGGATTCTGTATGCTTCCTATCCAACTCTGCCTTAGCCACTTCTTTCAGCACTATAAGTCCCACTATGTGCCAAATTCAGACTATCAAAACATCCTGCAGCACTTGCAATAAAACAATGGAGAGAAACTCTTGCAAAACATGGTGCAAAAAAACTCTTAGAAATAGGAGCTCTAGACGCAGGGGCTTCCGTCTCTGTTGGGGGCGTAGTACAAAACTCCCCAACAAAATTATCTACCGAACGTGCGATGATTGCGCAGGTTAGGATGCGGTGAGTTTCTACAACAAAGAAGAGCTGGACCCTGTATTGACCTAGAGTAAAAAAAGGCAATAGTTGAGCTGTATCTAAAGTACGCAAGGGGTGTAAGGAGAAGACAAACTACAAGCAAAAGATAATGCGTCGTCAAGCGCAGGGCGGTTCTTCAACTACTATAGTTGACTATAAGGAAATTAGAAAAACATGGAGAAGCATGTCTAACTTGATAAGAAGTATCAAGTGCTCATATATTGACCACGCAGAGAACACACTTTCGTCTTGGAAATCAATCAATGGGATCAGCATTACATGAAGTCAGTCTGTTTCCCATCTAAGGATTTAGTCTCGTTTTTCTGTCACACTACCCGCGATCAAGTTGAAATTCTCTACAAAGGCACGTTCGGCGCTCTGGTGCACAACGGATAAGCACTCCAAAATGAGAGGTTTAAACTAGGAGAGATTCATAATCGGCATAAATGTGACTGGGCAGAACGAACTTGACAAGCACAGAGGAGTACATTTATTACTGACGTTGAATTGTACAGTAATGCTGGATGCAATTGATAGAGAGAAGTTTTGATTGTATTAATTATAATTGGTCTTAGTGAGGAGGTTGTCACTGTGATGGGGGTCCCTCAAAGCATTCTATCGCTGACTGATCTTTGTCTAGGGCCTTGAACTGTCATCGCAGGACTTTCAAACTTTAATCCCTCACTGAAGTAAAGGGGAAACTCTCAGTTCTTCCAACATATACTATGTACAATTCGGTGCACACATCACATTGAGAGGCTGCGGTGTGAAGGCTAATCACCACTTCTCTGAATCAACGACAAAAATGACTTGCGTCTATCACCGTTGCTATTTGACTAACCAAATCTACTAATGCTCACCCTCTCCCTATACGGCCAGTAGATAGTTCCACATCCATGTTGTGCCATGATTCTGAGTAGGCATGACTGAAGCGAAATATATCCATCTTCAATCGTTGGCGAAGATAACAAATGACTGCCTTTCGTGACGTCAAAGCCGTCTATGTTCTGAGCCTGAAGCCGCGTAGATCATTTGGCTCGCATCCGCCTAGGACGAACGTTGTGCCATCACTAGCACCTGATTCGGCAAGACCACCTGGTCCACTCATTTTTATCCATGCCCAAATGGCCATGATGATGAGTCCCCCGAACAGGACGGAGAACTCCACGCCAACCGACGTGGTAATCCAGGTGGGATACTTGTCGGTGTACCACAAGATGAGGCCGGCTGAGAACTCGATAATGACAAGATTAAGCATAGCCAATGGAGTCCAGGCCAGGATTTTCCCCACGCGGCTTGGCTGCTTGCAGCCTTCGAATGTAAATTGGAGCATCGTAGCAGAGGTAATGGCGGTGATAGAGGTTATCGTGGCGCTAATAAGCAACCTAGCCGCTATCTGCGAGCGTACCCCCATGTCTTCGGCTTGGAGCACGCCGAAGACCATGGCTGCCAGCGACATGACTCCCAAAGAAGCGGCAAAAGTATTGAAGTCGTCGTAATAGTGCAGCAGTCGATGGAAGACAATAGTCGAGCGCAAGCTCGATGGCTTATCGGCTAGCGAGAAGAATATAGTTAGTTCTAGGGTGCAAAAGATCGCACTTTCAACCTACGCTGAGTCATATTTGGTTTGACGCAAGTCAATGGCCACCGGTTGGATTGTAAGATATAGTATCGACCAGAGGAGTACGTGACGCTGAAGAGGATAGTGGTGGTGTCAGAACATTATTGAGGCACGATCGGTGGGTAGGGCGGAACATGTACATGTTATAACTGAGCGCGGGGCATTTGGGCAGCCAATCTCGGGCATTTCACTGATTTTTTTCGTCCCGGAAAGAGTGTCCATTACTTGTCCTTCCGCCACGGCCGTAACTTCTCGCGTGAGTGGTTGATTTCCTATTTTCGGCCCCGTCTAAATTAGTTCTAATCGGAGAACTCGAGGCTGAAACCCTGCCTCGTGTACCGCTTGAATTGAGTGCCCGCGAACTGAGGTGTCTTCAATCCCGATACCGTACATCTATCAAGTTGTCTAAAATGGGCTGCAAAGTTGGCAGTGTGAATTAGATCTAGCATCACTGCGTGTTAGGTCCACATCTTGTAACTCTTGAATCAGATTGATAGCGTTGATATCCACCTCAGCAAAATTGATGGCTGAAATTGCGGTATGTTAAGAGGCTTATTTCGGCCTACTCGACGACCAAATTAGCTCAGGTCGATAACGGGATGCTTTTGTGCGTACGTGCTGTGGGGATTCTAAAACTTGGGACCGGTAGATAGAGGATAGGTAACATCTTAATTTAATATTAGACGTGCAGATATGCAGCATTCGAGCAATATAGGTGTCGCAGTATGGGAATTTTGGATGAAAAGTATAATAATGTCTCTCTGCCGCGAGCTTGCTTAGTTCTCTTGCTACTCACGTCCGAGGCCTTGCTGCTCCGCTGACATTAGTGTGTTGCTGTGTCTTGTAAATTATGGATGCTATCTCGTATACCCTAGACGGCAGTGAGCAAGGGAGTGAAGAACAACATTATGTATTGGAAAATGATCCACATAACCCAAGTCTGTATACGTCAGTTGTACGGGCCTCTACCACTCGCCCCACGCCAGAGGCTTGCACACATTCCTGGTTGATCAGAGCCGGCTATTTAATCGAATGGGTTTGCCCCTCCTGCAAAAACGTAGAACCTGCTCTCTTTTTTGAGTGCCACTACTGTGCACTCAAAAGGTGTAAGGTTTGTGCCGAAGCTCGACACGTTCCTAGCTCCAGCGCCTGAACGTCGGGCCTCGTGCACATCGGGAGAAGCAAAGCTTTGATCGATCGGACTGCTTGCAATCATAACTTCCGAGATCAACCCAACTACTGGGTATCGAGGCGCAATGGCAGCGGCAGTCACAGCAAGGGTGGAGGCGGTGAGGTTTCCGTACGGCATCCTTGGTGGCTTGATCTTGGCGACGCTCCAAAAGCCCGAATGTTGCATAACCGCCATTAATTGCTTGATACGTAGTCTATATTTAGCCTGGCTAGCCCTCAAACCATTCAAAACCATTAACACCGTGGTAACCCCCTCCCCGAATTAATCCCCCAATGAAGAGATGTCCGCATGCTTTGCACGGGAAACACAAAGTCTCGTCTACTTCAAGCTTGCGCAGCTATTTCGGAAATACACTGGAGTCCGCCGTATTTCTATAATCTTGTTGGACTTCCTCCGCTAGAGATGCCATCTGGTTGATAACTTCGAGGCATTTGTACAGCATTGACTCGCTCTGGCTTGCTTTTTCAGTCTGTTGCCTGAATTGTTGAGCAAGATGTTCGTACTCTACACTCAAGGACTCTAGTTCCTTCTGCAAGCATTCTCTTCTGGCTGTCTCCACCTTCAAACTTTCTTCTGTCAAGTAGAGCTGACACGTAGTACGTGCGACCAGCTCCTCGTGCGTCATTGCCCCAGTCTCGGCGGGGACATTAGAAGCTGGCGGATAGGTCGATACGCGATACAGGCCGAGGCTCAGATGTTCGGCATTGATTGCAGCCTTCGCAAAGGTAACTGCATGGAAGCTCTGCCCGACCTCCCGACAGAGTTCTTTATACGCCATCATGCCGTGGTCGCTCAGGTTTTTCGAAAAGAGATGAGCCACCTCGGCCGTATAAACCCAGGTGTAAACATCGCTCTGTTTGGTTACTAGCCGAACTTTCAAGGGTTCGATCGTGATGCCAGTTCTCTCTTCTTTACTGAAGTCAGCAATCAGCATACTTATTCCAATGAAATCCGTCTTACTTATATGGGCGGCGAGTTCCTCCCTGCATTTTTTGACAAGACACCGCCGTTCTTCATTGACCTGGCTTTGGCTCAGAGTATTCGTTTCCCCCCCATTGGATGTTACAACAAAGTTGCCCATAATTGCAGGCTTGAGTCCTTTTGATTGATTGGCTTTATTTTTAGCCCACCGATGCCGGGCATTTCTGGGTGATTTGAAGAAGAAAACAAGATTGAAGGGGAAAACCCTTGTATCTGTGTTGTTTTATATTGTACAGCCGTAAAGATACCAACACGTAGGTCGTATGGTTCACATGTTTGACTTCGAACAGTAGGCGAATATAGGTTTTGCGACCGTCAATGAGAAGGCCAAAAACTGCTTCAAGCCTGCTTCTTTCAGCGAGGCCTAATAAGTTTTTTTTATTTTTCTTTCCATCCTATTTCAGTAAATTACGCCTAACCATCCAGACGAGAGTATAATACCCGTATCCTACATACACGATTCGTCTGCTGGAAACAATGTGGGATCTTCGTACTCTTCCTCCAAGGCCCCGGCTCCAGTGCTTGGCCAGTGCAGCGAGAGCAATCTTTGGATGGTTTGATTCTGCGCATCCTGCACGCCCTGCATGTAGTGGATTGTGTCCCTTAGCTCGCCTAATTCCTGGCTTATCTTGGCCATTTTGTCCAAAAGACTCTGATTGACAGCCTGTGAGTGACTTTCTGTCAATCTTGTACCCTCAACACTGATCCTGTCGATATCGATCGCGATGTCACGGTCGCACGTCGTTGACTGGCTTGTAACATCGGCTAATTCATTCGAACTGTTCCTAGTGAAAACCCCACGTGTGTGGTTCGTCCCTATTGCCTGACCTTGCTGGTGGTACTGTGAATGAAGATAATGCATAGCTATCGATTTTTGAGCTGATGGCCTTCCCATGGCCTGGGGTTGAATGAGTTACAGAGCCGGCGGGTTGGTTAACTGGGGATGCAGGTTTATAAATGTGCTTCTGTGCCCAGCCTTGCAAACCTCAGCATTACTGCGGCGCTATTTATGACGAAGTCCAAATTCGTCTCGAGCCGTTGCGACATGATTTTTTCTGTCACTTGCATTACGAGCCTTAGCTATTGATTTTACTAAGAGCATAGCGATCTGATGCCTCCTATTGGAAGTTCACATGAAAGCCGCACTGGTGGATTGGTGTCAATAGATCTTCAGACGCTTGGAAATCAGTTATAGTAATGTTATAGCTATCTCGTAGTATTCCTCATTCCATCTGCAGCGGAGAGGTGAAGTACGAACCCGGCCGCCATGAGTGGCATGATATAGTAAACCATCCCAGATAAATAACAATCTCTAACGCGAAAGTAAGGATGGTAGCTTCAACAGCAAACCTAGCTTCTCCGCGTCCACAAACGGAGATAACTAGACCGATTGAAAGCCGCCTGCATACCTTCTTTGCGTTTTATGATCATGAAAATACCACAAAACGCTCGTAGAAACGAAGCAGCTGAATCTATTAGCGAAAGAGAGCGTTCGAACAGAGGCAAGGAAATGAACCTTTTGTGGGCATTTTGCATGCATCATCTGAGCTTTGTGCCTTGTCTTTTGGCCTCCCTTCCAGGTAACGTAAACGATTAAGTCCCCGTTGCCTGCATCCTCGCAGCTGTCAATGGTCTGGATTTTATCTTCCCAAGATCCAACAGGGGCCCTCCACTTGAGCGTTTTTGAAATAGGAAGAGAACGACTGTGTCTCCGAGAGGATGCTCTGGGAACATGACCACCGGCATTCTCGTGGCGTTTGGTGCCGACCGCCATTCTCGACTCCTTCATACCGCTCGACTTTTCAGCGAGCCGATCGAAGTAATCTCGAATCATTTCTTCGCCTGAGATTCTACCATAACCCCGAAGAACTTAGAAAAGCGCCATGAGATTCAAGGGATTGTATCACTAACCTGAGATTTTTCAGAGGCTCCCATGTCCAATCTTTTTCATCTTCATAACCTTGCCACTTGACTTGGAACTTTGTGTTTCCCTACGAAAGGACGATATCAAAACTAGAGATCAGCCGCTTGGCTCTTTCTGAAATTATGTCCATTTGTTTCAAGCTCTTCCCACTGACAGGAAAGGGTTCCGAAGAGGACAGCATCACAATGGAGAAGCATTGAACGAAGAGGGGGGGCGTTCTCACATTTTCGTCAACAGCATGCTTCTGAATCGAGTCTACTATGAATCTTAAAGTCGTTAGTACCCGTTTGACATAAGTCCCGTTGCATCAGGTCTTACATATCGCTCCTGGACTTGTGTTTCCTTTTTTGTCTGACCATGTCGTCAGTGATGATGGGCTTTTGTCCAACCGCGACGTCTGTCACGTTCACACGGATATCGTTGCTTATGTGGTTAAATTGGCCTAGCTTTGGATCAGAAAAGGGTAGAAAAGACGGTCGAAAACCTCTAGTTTAACTCCGGTTTAAAACTGCCTCATTAGGTTACTAGCACATGAGCATCAGGGGGTAAAGAAGAGGTCTTTTTGTCGCATGTGGCTGTGAAGTTTGTCGCGCGTGTCCTACCTTTGACGGTGAACTCGATGAGACAAATCGTCGGAACAGCACGAAAAATGACCTATGGCACCTTTTCTGGGCTTCTGGGGAGGCTTTTTGGACAAGTGACATGAGTAATGCAAGTCGCTGATGTCATCGGCCTACTTGTGATAATCGGTCGCAAAAAGACTGCTGTGAAAGAACCGAGAGCGAGACAGGTCGATAGTCAGGCCGCAGTATGGTGTGCGTTCATTCTACTTCCAGTCGCCCAGAATTGGCCTATGGCTTCTATGCAGCATACTACATACGGCTCAAGGCATTTATCAAGCGCAGTGCTATACAGCCATTAATGGCTTCGTCCCCTGCCTTCTATCTCGGTACTTATTTATACAAGGCTGCGCTTGCCACTAGGCCGAACTCCAGTGCCAGAGGTCAATCAAGAAGCCGCCTGGATCTTTGCGAAGCGAAAGTTTCCGTTCTTTTCAAACTATACCATTCAAATGAAAATCACATCTGCTTTATGTGCCCTGTTTCTTGCCATGGAAACCTTTGCTCTGCCAATCAACATGCCCAAGGGGCGCTCGATTTTGGCCTCGCGGCTAGTAAACACGAAGCGAGACGAGGCGCAGGATGGTATAGATGAGCTTAGAATACCGAAGGAGAGTATCAAGTGTCTGGTTGGTGGCTGCAAAGACAATTGAGAGCTTTCCGCCCTCATATATGTATCGAATATTCTCGAGGAACTCGAGGTTCTATGAGATACCTCAACGGCCTATGGATTCCCGACAGTCTATTGTCCTTAGACTGATGCTTGCAGAGCGTACAGCAGTTAAAATGTACCAATTGTAACCAATACTGGCAATTTGAACCACCACTAGGCGTGATACAAACAGTAGAGCGTATCTCGGTCACAGAGCATGTATGCTAAATATATCGACATAGAGCGTAAAGAGTAATACCACAGTTTCATCGGTAGCCTGAATAAAGTGTCTCGGAGGTTCCGACCCCGAAACTCAACAATCACCTCTTCTCGGGATCAGCTGCTACATAACCTGTGGTTTGCCCTTGGGCGTGTGCATTGTCTTAGGTGCTTTACAGGACATGCCCATAGAGACGCCACCGATAATTGCCACTTCTCGATATCTATTCGTAGAAATCGTCCTTCGCCCTTGCCCCTTGTTCATAGCCGAAGGCAAGGAACCAGCACCTTTGCCATCGCCTTGAGTACAGCAAAGTTGATGTCCGGATTTTTCGACACACTAGCCTGTTGACCCCTCGATAAAACCCAGTGTGCCACTATCTGGCACGGGAGGTATTACCAGGGATCCTTCCGTAGACTGGTTCTAGGATAATTTGCTAACTTGAATTTTTCTTGTTCTTGTCCACATAATACCTGCCCAGGCTCCGTCACGCGACACTTCCCCCCCCTTAGACTCTTGTGGGGGGATCTCGCCCAGATTTTGGTGCTCTCATGCGACCACTTCACCGCCGGCCTGTTGCCCGATCATCTGCTGGGTAGAGAAGCACTTGTTGATAGAGTCCTAGGGGTTTTGTCACAGGGCCCTTGTTTCGGTGCCGCCAGTTCCGATCGGGATGTAGGATTTCGGCAAGAGTCCAACGAGACTTTGGCAGACGATCCGGATAGCGATTTCTCCGTGTACGACCGGTTTTTGGCCCAAGCTTCCTCGTATGTTGATGTTCAAGCCTGGCTGTGTTGTCGTGTTTGCGACCCACTCTCGTATCGTTCGGGGGAGCTATTTTGGATCGAATTACTAGCATAGAGTGGCGTAATGGAGGTAATAGCCCGATTTGACACGGGGACCGTAACCCACTACCGAGAATGGTAGCGGACATTGTATCCTTGGATTCGGTTCAAAATTGATTGGTTGACGGTAGATGGAAGGGCTGTGAGAGAAAGAAACGGAATGAGGGGGTCTGCCACATTTTAAGCATTTCTTCGTTTCTACGCTCCGTGGTCTCATGGGCGCTTGAGTTTCATGCACAGCCCCTGATACCCAATGATCGCACGCAACCACACGGCCTCTATCGTCGGTCTTGGAGGTTTCGAAAACAAGCTAGCCCCCAAGTCTCCCAAAAGAGAAACGTGACCCAGATCAGCGACCCGGCGCTTATTCAACCGACAAAGTTCCTCCAAAGGTCGAGATTAGCGCTCGCATATGCATCACAGGTTTCAAATGGCGAAGCGGCCTAACCTCTGACCTTCGGTCTCCCCACTTCAGCGCTTGCCCATCTCTTGGCGGCTATCATCGCAGCGCGAGAACTTGGACAGCCGAAAGAAGACCCCAAGCCCCCAAGTCCCCGGAGAAAGCTGGTAATTGATGGACAGTGTCCTGAATTCGCTCACCCTCTGCAAAGCTGATATTGGACCGTTTTCCCAGTCACGATAGACTTACTTGAAGAACGGCTCTCAGCCAGTCACGTCTCCGATATAGGTTACGTTTCCATCGTCACACCCAAACAATATATTGTCATGAAGACCCGGTCTCAAAAGAGAGCCAAGGGAAAGCCGAGCCTTAAACCCGATAGGGTTCGCCGGAAACACAGCACGAAAAAGGAAAGTTGCAAATGGGAATGTTTAGAAATTGATCGCGTGGAACTCGAAGAGTCGACTAGACGTTTCGTCATTCTTGTAAAGTGGCCTGATGGCGACATATCCGAGCACGACAAGGAAGAGATCTACATCAAATGCCCCAAAAAGGTGCGTATAAAGGCAACGGCCCCAAAGGCTAGACAGAAACCCAATAACCTCTTATGAATAGATGCTGGAGTTCTACGAAAGGCATATACAGTTTGTCGATAGAAAAGATGCCGAAAGGTTAGGCTAAACTGAGTCGAAGATTAGAAACTTACGCTAAGCCAGTGACTACGTAGGGACCATTAACTTATAGAGCTAAGAGATCTGAACACCGAGCTGCGGGCATGAGTGGGCCTAGGGTAGGGTTCCGAAGATTTGGCAAAACCGCAATGCCTCTAAAAAGGAAAAAAACTCTTTGCAATTCTTCACTGCTACACTCAAGTTATCAACTCCCTGGGGATCCAATCACCCCGAAGACGGAGTTGTGGGACCGTGTATAGCAGGCCAGCCGGAAAATATTACCATGCATCTTATTAACAAGGAACCATTGGCGATTCTGTTATCCATACTAGAGAAGGAGTGAACCTACGTATCATGATAAACTGGGGCCATTACCTAAAGCTCCTAAGAAGTGGGCTAGAGACCGATATTAGAACACTTTCATCTTGCAGGAATCTCAACCCCCGGCACCATTTACAACGGCCTTATCTATAACCTAACTAATATTCAGATATTGTTTAGCGGTAAAAGATAAGCTGACTCGTGTCGAGAACATCGGCGGAAACGAGAATCACCTACCCATCGTAACCCATTACTGCCGACCACTACCGCACAATCAGAGTAGAAACATGGGCAAGTAGAAACATGGGCAAAGATTGACGTCTTAAACGGGCGGTTCCTCGGCTAGCTAGCCATTCTAGGAATAAGGATGTACCTAAAATTCGGCCTTTGGCTAATAGCCGGTATATCCTCTGTCCCCCAGGTGTGAAGATGCGTTCTGGAGTCGGAGCATCGTGGTTCACTGCAAGCCACCAGGGCTGTGGATGGCTCAATTCCGGACGTCTATCAATTTCTTATATATCAGCAACTATTCCAGGACTCCTTCATTATGTTAGACTCCAGTCCCTATAATTCATGATACAAGCAAGTCAAACAATTCGGATCTTGTCAACATGTATCCTGATGGTTTTCTGGCGGCATCTTGGCGGATCAAGATGATCGAGCCAATTCGTCGGAGCACTAGGGATCAACGTGAGGAATGGATCCGTACGGCTGGTTACAATCTATTCGAACTCAAAAGTGATCAAGTCTTTATCGACCTTCTCACCGACAGCGGGACCGGAGCGATGAGTGATCGCCAGTGGGCGGCTTTGCTAATGGGAGATGAGACATACGCTGGGTCATCTTCCTTTTCTCTCCTCGAGGGGAAAGTAAAAGCTCTATTTGGATTCGAGTACGTCCTTCCGGTCCACCAGGGCCGCGCCGCCGAAAACGTTTTATTCTCCGTGCTCATCAAGAGGGGCAACGTTGTGCCGGGTAACTCTCATTTCGACACTACACGAGCTCACATCGAATACCGACAGGCGACGGCATTAGACTGCCCCCTCGACAAGGCCTTCTGCATCGACAAGCATCACCCTTTCAAGGGCAATGTCGACTTGCAGGAGCTCAAAGCCATCCTTGACTCCGAGAATAATAACGTACCCATGATTGTGGTGACAGTTACCTGCAACAAGAGCGGTGGTCAGCCGGTATCCCTCGACAACATGCGTCGCGTCAGGGCACTTGCTAGGGAATACTGCATCCCTGTGGTTTTTGACTCGGCACGATTCGCGGAGAATGCTTGGTTCATTCAGAAACGGGAGCCTGGCTATTCCAACAAGACCATTAAGGAAATTGTCTGGGAAATGCATCAGTGCGCGGACGCCATGGTGATGAGTGCCAAGAAGGACTGCAATGCGAATGTTGGAGGCATCCTGGCGATGCGGGACGAACATTGGTTTCGACAAGCTTCGGAAAACGTCATACTTTTCGAAGGATTCACGAAATACGGTGGAATGGCTGGAAGAGATATGGAGGCCTTGGCCATCGGTCTCGATGAATCCACGTGCTCGGACTACTTGGACTTTCGCATCGGCCAGGTTCGGCGGCTGGGAGACAGCTTGACAGCAGCCGGTATCCCTGTCCAGCGACCGGTTGGTGGTCATGCGATCGTTGTCGATGCGACTGCCTTCTTGCCTTTGGTCCCCAAGGACGAATATGCCGCCCAGGTGCTAGCCGTTGAGCTGTACCTTGAGGCCGGCGTGCGAGGCGTAGAAATAGGTACGCTGATGAATGATCGGGACCCGGATACGGGTCGTGATCGTCGCGCGAAGGCTGAATTCATGCGTCTCGCCATTCCAAGGAGGGTATACACGAACGATCAGCTGGACGTCGTGGCCAAAGCGCTCATCAGCATCTACCGCCGCCGATCAACCATAATCAGAGGCTTTCGGATTCTCAATGAGGCCAAAAGGCTGAGGCACTTCACAGTGACTTTGGAGAGAGCAGGGGAAGTAGTCGATGTACCCGTGAGAACGCCCGCAGGTGAGAGCTTGCAGGAGACTACGACTACTTGAGGTGAAAAAGCCATATGCAAAGGGGAGTTGAAGGTTCTGGATAGCTAGTTGGTGCTTCTTTAGCTAGGAGTAAGTCTAAACTGTAATAAATCTAGATTGTGGTAATGAGTCCATAGTCTACATTGGGAACATGGTGGCATACGAGCTTCGTGAGTTTGGGAGGTGCTCGAGATGTCCTCCCCTCTCAGGTGAAGATAGGTGAGCCCACGAAGAGTCAAGCAGTAGGCCGGCAGTGATTATACATGCCACGCTCATGCTTTTCTGTAATTGGTTGACCTCTTGTTTGGCCCCTCTACGCCCAGTAAGCTTCTCGGCTAGGGCAAGTGGTCAGTAGTTAGTCGAATGACGAGAAGAAGAAGACAGCAGCTCCGGCGGCTAGCCTTTCCCTACAGAGAAGAGAGCCGTGTAAGCATGCTTCGTTTGTGGCCTAATGTTCTTGCAAGGCATTTTTTGCCCTTTGTGCAGATGACTCAGGATACACCGCTGATTTTAGACGGCCCCTACTTCAAAGTGGCAGGTTTAGACATGTCCTCCAACGGCGTCCCCCTCCATCTTGGGTGACTGTAAGATCGAAGTCCGTCTTCCACTGTGGGATAAGTCATCTTCCAGTACTGATTGTAGGCGACGGGATGGCGGAAGCCGGTTTCGTTCATGGCTCCTGTCGGTGATGTGTCTAGCCTGATTACAACATCTTCTATTGTCCGCAATCTTTCCATCACCACTCAGAAACTCTCCCATCACGCCACATATTATACTGCAGCGTCGAGCCGTGAAACCCCCACAAGTTTCTTTCACCATGGTAGTTCTTTTGCCAGAAGAGATCATCCGCATGATCACAGAGCAGTGCTCCCTGAAAGGCCAGGCTTCACTAGCACGGTCCTGTGTTCAACTTCATGCCATATGCAATTACATCCTATACCGCAACGACGTTCAGAACCACGGATGTTCTTCTGTGTTTCATGCTATTGCCTGGTGTCACGATCAGGCCCTTGCCTTAAGAACTCTTGCGGCAGCCGAGGCGGGTGGAGCAGACTTCAGGCAGTGCCATGATGCTCGGAATCATCATCCCTTATCCTTCCACCACTCCGACACGACGCTCCATTCCCCTATCCATCTAGCAGCAAGGCGGGGACTGGATGACATTGTCTCCTTTCTCGTCAGCCACGGGATCCCCCCGGACGGACCGGAGGGCGTATGCAGAACGCCACTCGCGGAAGCCATTTTACACAACCAGGAGTCAACCGCGATACTACTGGTGCACCAAGGGGCTTCTGTCGGGCTTCAGCCTCCGGAGTTCGACGCATACCGCGCTGCTGTTCGTCAGGGCCTCACAGAGCTCACAAAGATCATAGTGAAGGCAAAGGACATAAACGTCAACTCTGAAGATGGGTACGGTTGTACAGCCTTGATGTTGGCTGTTTGCCACAGGAGGAAACGGGTAGTTCGCGTCCTCCTCGACCTCGGGGCGGACGCGAAGGCAGCGTTGCGGGATTTTTGCCAGAATCACACCTTCGCTTCTCTTTTGTGGACCTTGGAAGCGGGTTCGTCAGCCTTGCGGAAGTCTCTAGGCCTCAAAGGTCTTCTCGATCTCGTTGTTTCCGTCGCCACGCAACAGGTGTCTCCGATTCAAAAGAGCCAGCAAGTAACTGCGTTGCAAACACTGCTAGACCTTCTACAAAAGGCAAGATCTGGTGCGTCTTCAGGACCTGTGCTTCCAACCGACGAGCTAGATTGCTTCCTGGATGCTCTCTTACAGAGGGTGCTATCAGTGGAGCGTGCAGACGCAGCCATTGCATCAATGCTGCTGCAGCATGGAGCCCGAATTCGCGTGGGCATTTTCTTGCAGCTGTTGGGAATCCTCAACTCGACCGTCTTCGCCAAGGATAATTTACGCTGTCTACGTCGGCATCCGAGACTCCTTCAAAGTTTTGACTTTGTATACTCTTACTGCGCCAATCTCCCGGCTGCAGGAAGGAGTTTCACGGTCGACTACTTCATCGAGAACGTACCGGACCAAGCTGTTCGCCTCGTGTACGAGTTGAAGCGGCTCGACTTGCCACTTACAGCCAGGGGAGCCCAGAGGATGAGTCTCAGAGCAGCTGGAGAAGGGACCCGGGAAGCACAGTCCGGCACTACGGCTTAGTCTCTGTTGACTGTCAGCTCATGCATGACGCGTCGTCCCTTGCCGCGTCTTGGGCGCGTCTGACATCTTTCTCTGGTGGTACTGGCGTGCTGCCGGAGCTTCTGGGCTTACAGGTCACTTAATGGGGCCGGAAGTTAGATGTGGGGCAGGGTCTTCGGTAGAGACGAGCCATGATACGTGTGATCATGCAGATCGCCGAAAGAAGCAGCAGACATGGATACTGCGGAGCTCAAAACAGTATACGATGTGTTTGGCTCGCCCTTATCCCCTTCTTAGCGCATGATTAGTCCCTCTTACCCTCGAAAGCCATGCAATACAGATGGGCCTACGGTGAATTCGACCATCCGACGACTTGCCTACCACTTCTCCGCCGGCGCTTCGAATAAATACAGGCGGATCGCGCACATCCTCTGGCCTAAACGCCGGCAATTTCACCCTTTTCCTTTCGGTACCCCTGAGCATCGTTTCTCTTCCATCCGCACGAACGTCCATTGATCCTCAGCTTCCTTTTCAGAGCTACTCTCACCATCAAGATGAACTCATCTCTTGAGCTTCGTATCTTTGCCTTCGCAACGATCATCCCATTGGTGTTCCAAACAATCTCAGCGAAAATTCTATATAATCGCAACTTCAAGTCTGTGTCCGAATCCAAGGCGATCCACCCGGAGGGCGTGCAGAGGATTAAGGGCGCCATTCGAGGGCAGATTTGGGTCGGCGCTATCGCAACAATGGTAGGAATCATCATTCTGGTGGTCTCTTGGTGTTACCAAATCGAAGAATTGCAGAAGGTTTTCTGGGGCATTATCATCCTTTCTTCGTCTCTATTTCAGGTAGGCTAGGTACCACCTCTCTGGGATGCAGAGCAAGAGCTAACTGCTTAGGTATTTTGCTTGCCGGAAGAAGCCCTCTCAGCCTCCGAAGCCCTGCATGACAGAGGCTCCTATAGCGAGTTTTGGGATCGAAATAAGCCAGTCTTGCAGCTGGCTACAATCCCTCTCATAACCTTTGTGATCAGCATGCCCATTGCCGTTACGTTACGAATCGCACTGCCGGATTATTGGCCGGCTGCGTGGGTGATGTGGATGGCTCTCGGCTGCCTTTTGAGCGTGGCTCGATCTTTTCGTTACCTGAGCATCTTCGACGAGTCGGGCGATCGCTGGAGGGCCTATACGCTTGTCACAGCTGGCTGTATTATTCTTGGCACCTCGAGTTTGGCCCGAGATCAGGCGTCTACTAGAGTCGTCCTCCTAGGAGCGAACCATCTTGTTTTGGTAATCAATAGAATGTGGACGATGTACGGCATGGATAGAATACTGAGAGGTAGGCAGGAGTGCAAGAGTGTACGGTCTGTGTCAACGGTTTTTTCGGATGGAGGCTGCAACAAGGGTGAGGTTTGAGCGTCCTCCGATTGCTCCGGCCGAGTCCAACCACACAGCGTTATCGACGAATGAAGGATGAAGCAGACCTGCAGTACGGAATAATCAAAACTGTCAACAATCATGTTAGGCGTAGCCAAGTTAGTTCGTGTTGCCTTCCTCAAGTCATGGACAGAAGCTCAGATCAAATCCCAGGGGCATCTCATTGGACGGAACCGTTGATGACCATCTTCATCCCTAGCGCGGTTTCATCCTAAGTCACATCATTCTTAAAGAATAAAAAACAAAATAAAAGAGTTTATTATCTTCCTAATAGTGCACTCACTGCTGGTCCCCGGTCGAACATCGACATTCATGCGCCACATTAGTACTAGTCACAACCCAGCCCCATCCTTCTAGTTTTATCTCATTCGTTGGACCTTGCTGAATCTTGATTTCAAGCTTGGAGCAGGATCCAGCTGTCGGTGCATCGGTCGTAGGCGCGCCGAGTGCCTGCTGGACGTTTGACACATAATTAGCTTCATGACTTCCCCCTTGTGCGCTAGCAGACGAGTCTTCAGCTTACCATAATGCTCACAACGATAGTGACTGGCGAGTTCGTAGCCTGGTGTTTCTTGTCATCCGGGTCGCCGCCTTCCGGCCTTGCCGCCAAGACGAGGGGTGTACAGGGAATGACGCCGGTGGGCGTAGTGAGTTCGGAATCTAGCGTCTTCGGTGTTGTCTCCAAGGACAACCTTGGCTGAGTGGCGTAAGAGGCTGAGCCTGATCTTGCAAAGCCCCTGGAAATCGTAGCTTGATCTGGACCAACAGGTCTCTGTCCAGATGCTCGGTCTCGCCGTATTCGATTCTTGTGGCCTCTTCTCGCCGACTGCAAACTATTGTGAGCTCGGAGTTTACCCTGACTCGAGACAGATAGACCGCTTTGCTCTTCAAGTTCATCCTCGTTTAAAAAGGATTGTGTTAGGTCCGGGCCTAACATTGTAACTTCGTGCGTTCAGCAGCTTCGGCGAGGCCTCAGGATCAATGTCGCGTAATGTGATGGAGGTGAGTCGAGGCAAAGAGGGATGGACGCATCAACAGCGTGGAAGGTCTAGGAGGCTCGACCCTTTTTAATGCCGACACAGGCACCGCCTCTCCACACCAGCACCCCTGAATTCGTGCGAGAGGATTGAGAGCGTGAATTTTTGGCTTTGGGACCCTCCGTAACTATCACAGAGCAGCTGACCATTATGCCGCCTCCTCCGGTCATTAGTCTCCCACGCACTCGAGGCGGAGGTACTCGAAGGCCCTCGTTGCGCGCAGGCCATGGTGGGGAGATGCCGACTAAGCTGATGTCACCAAGCCTCGGATTACGTTCCGGAGAGCCGGCGGGATATTTCGGCAAGTGGCCTGGGTTGTATGCACTGCCTTCCCCTTAAACGGCGATTGTGGTTACGGGTAGAAGCAGCACGCAGCTACTCCCAAGAGGCTAGGCTGGAGATGTACTCTTTCCGACTCTCTACGATGCAAGAGGGCAGTGGGTTGGAAGCGGTGTTCAAAACACACTCCGGGTGCAGAAAACTTGCTACTGAGCGCCCTGTCCAGGGAGAGTGAGCGACGAAGACGGATGAGGGAGGAGAATTTCAGGGGCAAAGGTCGAGACAAAGGATTCAGGTGCTCCTGAGGAGACAGGGCAGTAGGACTCCAGGTAGGATGCCTTACGTCAGTACAGGGTCCACTCTGGCTGTGAACAAGCTTTCTACTTCATAGCCAATCACAGTGGCATTGCAGTTGGATGTTGGCCTAGCAAAGTGGACAGTGATTGGGTCCGCAGAGCTACAAGACCTGAGCGCGGAGGGAGCTCTGTCCTAGCTTGTGTACATCTCAAGAGATTTATGAAGGCGTCAATTGTAGATGGTTAGTGAGCAGCGAGTATAGAGTTGCGAAGATTCACGACCGACAGTGAAAAGAAACATGTTCCCGTCACATGAACGCTGGCAGAAGATCACAAACTCAATGGGTTTTCCACCAGCTGCATATTTCCGGTTGATATACCCTACGTTCTGAACTGCTACATCACGATGCAGAGGAGTTGTCAACCTGAATTGGTGATTGAAGAAAAGCCTGGCAAAATGCCAAGGCTTGCATGCGCAGGAATCGTTTCTGCTACCAAATAATCAATTTAGCAGCGCAATAAAGTGCAAGTATACTCGCTCCTGACCGATCTGAGGATGTCAGTTAGACGTGCTCTTTTTACGGACGTGTTTGGTTCCGAGTCTCACAGGTGATATTTGGGCCTGTCCGCTTTGGGCCATAGGTTTAAATTGTAACAAGCGTCATCACCGGCCGATAAGAGCTCCTTAGCATCCAGCGGCATCAATGAGCCGTTTGCAATTTTTACCAGCATCGTCCAACCGAAGATTATATTTCTCTTTAAAGGGTGCTCAAAGGAGCAATACGTACACATACACCGTTTTAGAAGGGACCTATCACCAGCTCTCAGCTCTTACGGAACGCCTCGTGACCGCTTTTCCTTCCACCAACATGGATGCTCACGCTCGGGGCAATGGCTCCCTGAAGTCTGTCAAGGCTACAATGAGGGCTCAGCAGTATGCGCGGATGCCTGCCTTCGTTGCGTATTGGTCACTAACACTCCCTCCAGGTATGACCCGGCTGACCAAAAACTACATCTCAACGAGGTGGAGATCCCGAAGCCCAACGAGAGCGAGATATTGGTTAAGGTCGTCGGTGCATCACTCTGCCACTCCGACTGCCTCACCTTCGATCCGGACTTCACCATGAACAAAGGGGTGGAAGTTCCTACTACCATAGGGCATGAAGCAACCGGCATCATCACGGAGGTCGGAAAGAAGGTGAAACAGTTTGAGGAAGGGGACGCCGTTGGTTTTCTTTCTTCTAGCGGATGTTTTGAATGTGATGCCTGCAACACGTGGTAAGTGTACGAGGCCTTGGCTATAGGAGGAGTTTACCTAATGGTCGAGGGTAGGTCAAGCGTTGGATGTCCACAAGGCTTAAAAGCACAAGGGTTTACTTGCGATGGATACTTCCAGGAGTACGTTGTCGTCGATGCCCGCAGTGCCGTAAAACTCCCATCAAGTCTGGACGTCGCCTCTTCGGCACCCCTTTGTTGTGCAGGTGTCACTGCGTACAACGCAATCAAGGAATGTCAGCTTACCCCCGGAAAATGGCTAGCTGTAATTGGCGCTGGAGGTGTCGGGCAAATGGGCATCCAGTACGCCAAAGCCATGGGGCTTAATGTCATCGCTGTTGACATCAGCGGAGACCAGTTGGATGCCGCGAAAATGGCGGGAGCAGACTATACGTTCAATCCAGAACTATGTCCGACGTATGCAGGCGACATCAAAAGCATTACAGAACATGGCGTGGATGCTGCTGTCAACTTTGCGCCATCCAAGAAAGCCTACGACGATATGCCCGCCATGATTCGATGGAGTGGCATCCTGATGGTAGTTGGGGTTGTCAATGACCCTCTGACGATCGAACCGCTGGACACCATCTTCAAACCACAAACCATAAAGACAGCGTACAACGAGACTGTCAAAACCCTGCAAGAATGTGTCGACTTCAGCGCCGAGCATAACATCAAGCCCTTCGTGGAGTTTATCAAGCTAGAAGAGCTTCCGCAGGCGGTGAATATGATGGAAGCCGGCAAGCTTCGAAAGCGCATCTGCGTTAAATTTTAGCTCAGCGCTCCTTCCACTGAGCGAGACCTGATGTTAAGATGATGTTCTCAACCTGGGTCCGGAATGGCTACGTTGGGAAAGAGATAGCAGAATTCTGCCAGAGACCTAAAATCATAGGTTGCGATGAGACGGCACATCCAACAGCTAGTTCATCATAGGAAAAGTCTTATACTCTCGTGGTTGTCAAATACATACCCCATCTTGGCCAAGTCTCACCACTTTTCTACGTAAATTAATCGAAGTCTCGAAGCCCTACTGCCATTTTGCTCGCCAAGAACTGCATACTCACCATCACGATGCCATTTTGGCTAGACGTCTTTGGACTCACTAGACCCAGATCCCCACTTGTTGATCACCCCCTTGAACCAGTTTCTGAATCAGCCGGAAGCCATCCGCCGTACCACTCGTTCTAGTCGTACTCTGATCTCTTAGACTCACTCAATGATGCATTGACTACTTTCATGATGGTAACCAGAAGAGAAACGGTTGGAGCTCACGTTCCAAAGAGCCCAGACTAGCCTCTCAGGATGTTCAAATGTGTTTAATAACATCTACACATACACCCAATCTTCCAGCACTCTCCAACATGTGTTTATCAGCTCAAGAACCTCCGCAGGATCAAGTTTCTCATCGCCGATTAGACTTGATCGAGAGATTGCTTTATGCATTTGCACCGTGTCAATGTTCTCCATTGAGCAGGCCCCCTCAACTTCGATGATGGCACCGCATATCATCTGATTCTCTACTATCGAATACTGCGGATCATAGCGGTGCTGAAAAGGATCCTGTTCGCCGCCTAACTCCTCGAGCAGGCCGCGCGCCAGGGCGATTATATGGTGAGCCTGATCGTAGTCAAATGACTCGGGCTTCAAGTCTTTTTCGACTTGCAGGAAAGGCGCCAGTAAGGAGGCCTCATCGCAGGCCAACAGTTCAGACGCCTTACTGCTGTCGTAACCTTCCAGTAAGCTTAGACCGAGCATCTGCAGGCATAAACAAAACCTCAGTCTGGTGCTTTGATCGGCTTTCTGGAATAGGTCGATCATCAGCTTTGTATTCCTAATCGATTTGAAGTAGCACCGTACCTGAAGGCTGCGTCCCAGCATCATCCACTCGAACAGTGTTTCGTTCGTACGAGCTTGGTCGGAAGGTATGACCTCTGTACCGGGGCAGTGTCTTCCATGCTGTAGCTCGTTGCCAAGATCCCAAACGCCCGGCGGCGATGGCCTAGACCGTTTCTTGACTCCTTGGCTTGAACAGTGATGAATAAGCGTATTTGGAACAACGCCTCTTGTAGTGGTATGGGCACAAATTCGCGCTCATGGTGCTGATATGTGGTTAGAAATGAAGAAACTTAGACGCTATTTATGTTGAGTTTCGTCTCTAGTGGTTTTGCTCCCTGGACCGAGTTTCTCAGATCTGTTGACCTTGGTTAGCTTCATTGGTCATATAGCCAGGCCAACAGGTTCATACTGGTCCATTGTAGTGTTGCTGGAGGGAAGGGAACATTGTGTGAGAGATCGAAGCCACTGAGACGGATCCAGCAGCCACCCCGGTTCATAAAAACGGGAGGTACATGCTCCCTGTCTCCCAGCAGGGTGATCATGCGGCACTATCGGATGCCGCCACACGGATGGCCCTTGGCCGTACTGAAAAGTGGCAAGGGTCAAAAGCTCCTCTTTCACGCGAAACCACTGGTAGCGCACTGGTGAAAGTACTTGTTATTACTATAAGCTTTTACTCCTCGCTAACCAAACTCATATCAACATACAATGACCATTCTATCTCTGGACTCGTGGGCTGGACGTCCGTCTTTTGATCATTCCCTCCGCCGTTCCCAAGCCGTGGAAGTGATAGGTCAATCCCTGGATTCACGTCCGTCATTTGATCATCTCCTCCGCCGTTCCCAAGCCGTGGGAGCGATAGCATTTGCTCATTCCTATCCAAGGTCTTGAGGCGAGGATCAAACGCTAACCTATTGTAATGCTCCTTTAGCACCCTGTAATTCAGCTCGAATTCAAGTGCAAGGGACTTGACTTGGTCAAAGAAGTCAAGGGTGCGTCGTGCGTAGCGCGACCAAGTGGGAGACTCGATGCGGTGGTCTCGATAGCAAAGAGCCGCCAATGAAATAAGGAAACTGCCCTCCCTAACAAAAATTAGGTTTGCACTATGACTAGACGGAGTCAATACTTACTGACCAATGCTACGGGTTCTGTCTGGTATGGCCGAACCATGAGCAAGATCTAACCACCGCATCATAGCATGAATAGCAAATTGGGGCTCGCCGAAATACCTAAAGGTAAAGAAGGCAGAGGTTTCAGACTGGCCAAGAACGTGACTCCGGACTCTATGTGCTATGTTGTTGCTCTGTTGAGCTGAAGCCGAGAATCGGATTTGTAGCAGCGTTCGCTCTTCGTTCGATGGGCATTGGCAAAGTTGTGTTAGATGCTCAAGATAGCATCGCGCTGTTACCGCAAACGTCGTCCCAAAATTGTCCCGAAGAAACTCGTTCGTTGGCAAAACAATCTTAGGTAGCAGCGGTGAAATGAGGTTGACGCTCTGAGGATCAGGATGTTCACTAGATCGTCGTTAGCTATTGAATTGTTTTCGCAAATCCATAACCTACCAAATAATGTAAAAGAAGCTCAGAGCCACGAGAGAGAGATCCCTATCCCATTGTTTCTCCCATTTATCTAATGATTGGCATACTGATGTATAATGTGGAATGGATCTGAACCCGTGATACTTGAACAAAAGACAAATCAGGGCCAGGGCCCGGATGTTCATGATGGAGCTCAGCGGCTGAAGCTTAACGTCAACTAGTGCGGCAGTAAACCAGTGTGATTTAATGTGCCGCTGATAGTCTGTTCGATTGGATGCTGCGACATCTATAATCAACTCTCCCAAAGCAAGGATAAGGCGAACTACCGAGTAATCTTCCGACGGCATATAGACGCCGCTTGCGTATGTTTCGAGCAGTTGGTCAACATGGCTGAGTGAGATGATGGGGAAGATAGAGAGAATCCATGTCTTGAATGAATCGACGTGCTGGGGAGTAAATTGCCTGGCCATTGTAACCTCGGAGCTTGGACAGAGAAGAAACGTACTCAACCCCGAACTGGGGTGGCATTGGAATATGTATGTGACCTCCCGACACAACGCGACGTCACCCAAAGTGTTGGTCGCCTGGCTCAAGATTACGTTACGCAAGGGAGCCCCTGTAAGGTCGTACGCTGAAGGGACCCCTGACGGTGGCACGGAGATAGTGCGCCACAGCTGATCAGCTTGGCGCTGGGTTGTTTCCATCTTGAACCGGGATTTCATTGTCTAGCTGGCACCATGGGCTAGTGCTTTAAATGCGGCGCCAAGAATTATACCCCGCCATTTGCTCATCTGTCTTCTCCAACTTCGGGTAAACCCACGGCCAAGTATCCGTATCCGTGGGCTGGACCGCCGTCTCATCACCGCCCCCAGTTCCAGGCCACGAGAAAAATGTTCCTGGTGTGGAATGGACACCCGTCACCAACGGGTAAGTCTGTAAGTCAGTAAGTCCCTCTGGGTTCTTGGGCATTCCTCCGGAGTTCGTCAAGGCATTCAGTCCCCCTGGATTCTCTGGTACGAGCAACCCATAGCAATGCTCTAGCGTCCTGACTTGTTTCTTGGATTCATATGACTTGATTTGGACAAAGAAGGCAAACGTCATTTGAGCAAACCATTCCCAATCGATCGTCTGGATCGTCTTAGTCTTGATCTTTTTCCCGGTGCCTCCGGCAATTTTTGGCTCTTCACGGCTAAGGCAAAAATTATCCTTAGTGTCGAGAACACAGACATTCATTTTCGTTTCCAGGCATTCATTGACTTGGATGTCTATTGTCGTTGAAATTGGACGGCTTGCCTTGCTCTATATCTACTCACCCATGTTGTCGCTTTTGGACCTAAAGCCGCGAAACTCCCCAATGGCGAATGCAGAATTTTCATGGCGCGTGGTGCCTCCAACCTTCTAAACCTTTCCAATTCATCTACTGTTCTTTCGACTGATCGACTTCCTGGAGTGACCTGCTTGCTCGCGGAGAGATCTTCATCGAAGCTTGTACCAAATCCTCGCACCGATACATCCCTCGCTGGCAGTCAACGAACGCAACTCTTCTAAGCAATGGACGACCATATCGAATCACATGATAGTAATGACCAGAATCCAGAGGTCAGACTACGGTTCAAATACGTTATAATATCTTCACGTTCACCCACTCTTGTCTGCAGATCTTGGAATCCGAAACAATACTTCACCGATACCTCTCTCGAAAACTTTATGCATGCGGTCCGACTCAGTCATGTTGGCGCATCAGGGCTCCTGCTGAAACTTCAGGCGCCACGATTGTTGTTGGAAGAGACGGTCTTTGACAATGAGGACTTTGCCGAGGTCAAGATGGCGTTCAACCGGGCCATTAGAGAGCTGAAAAAGCGGCTTGCCCCGACCAAGGTTGCGAGGGTTATGATGCTAATAGAGCCCATATACTCGTCCGCTCAGCAGAGGTCCTTGTGGGTATTCGACAGACAGCAGCCGTGCGAAGCACCGAGCTTGACCACAGGACCGCGGAGGCGTAACAGTGTTTAGGCGGTTCAGCCAACCCCCCTAGAGGACCTTTGAGCTTCTTCAGACCCCTTCCCTCTCCAACAAGAATATATCCGGTTTACATCTCCCCTCATCAATGCCGGGGCTTTACGACTTGCCTCTTCACCCCGCAAGAATGGGATATGTAAAGGAGAGAAGGAAATCCACGAGCTTCGTTCTCTCCAAACAGTAATCCGCTTCGTGACGAAGGCGACCCGCTTCTGTCGTTGTGTCATTGGGTGACGAGCAATAGCGGAAAGCTGTTCAGTCGAGACGAACATGCGGTCAATCTGAGCAGAATGAGGAAGCCAAGTGTCCAACGTGGGTACCCACCCGAGCCGCGCCTGCGTATTATCAAACCCTCAGCCCCTTTTCATATTTATTAAAGGTCGCTGCCTTCATCATCCTCAATCAAGATACTTTATTCTCCTCTCATCACCTCGACATCCACCAACTGTATCGCATACTTTTCTTTGTATTTCATGGCGAATCTGGTCTGAAAAAACTCACGGCATGCAACGTCGGTTCGGCCTCAGAAGAGGGCTTTACTCCAGTCGCCTATTCCCAAAGCATTCCTCGCAGCACACCATGGCCGGGCCCCAGGCTTCCACCCAGTGTCTATTTTCATCACTTCAGTCTGGGGAGCGATCATCACCAGCCCAAGTGCATCGATGGGACGTATTGCGGAATTTTCCAGTCCGGCCCAGACTACTGCCAACCGGAGACTGTCGACCCAACTCTCACCCTTCTTTCTACAACATCCAGAGTGTTCGAGGGGACAGAGGGCGTCTCTTCCTCTCGCCTGGACGAGGGGCGGCACTTGGCAGCTGGTACAGCAGATCTGTTGGCGGAATGGTGGGAGTTGGGCCTTCAGGAGTACACCTATGAAGGCTGCCCTCTAGAAGACAGTTCAGGGTCTGTGGTCCATTTTCCTTCGCAGGACGACCTAGAAACTACCATGGCGCCCCCCTACCAAACATCTGCGATCTATTACATACACCCAGAACAACAGTGCCAATCTGGTGGTCCTTGTTTAACCAGGGAAACTGAGCACAATGGGGGTAGCGCTGATGTTATAAGCCAGCAATGGGGGTTACCGGGCCAATTGCCGATTTCACGAATGACGGATTAGAGGGAGATGCACCAGCTATCATGATCCATCAGACCCTTTTCTTCTTTTCTATGGTGAAGACCTGGCAGAATCATTCGAGCGGGGACAGTCCAACGACAGAGTGCCGCCGGTTGGTTCAACTGACATCGAAGTCCCCCGTGCTTCCGATGGCGGGAGATGGCTTACGTCACAGCAAAACAGACGGTGGATAGGACAATAGTTTCTGGAGCTTGTGAGAACTCGGAAGATCGTCTGCAAAGACAGTGCAGCTTCATCAAAGAAGGGAATGCCTACCATGCGACATCGAAACTCGATCAGAACGGTTCGGGGACATCCTTTAGGAATCGCAATAGAATTCAAACCAATAAAAAGAAGCGGAATCGTTTCAATAAAGGTGATGCCTGCTTTAATATTTGGGAGTTGGTTTTCGGAAAGGCCGGAGAAGATAGCAACTAAGGCGAATAGATTGTAGTGGTCTTAGTGATTAGATAATACTTTATACTAGGATATATTACCGGTAAACATAGAAGCTCACATTGGTCAGTAGGCAGCATTCTGTTTCTAAAGATCATTGTAGTCTACATTTAGGGAGGAGAAGAACACTGCAGTGAGGTGAGTTGGCAAGTCGCGGACCGGACGGAGAGGCGGGCGAATAGGATACTATCCTTTCTTAGGACCACACGCCATGACGGTCGATTTAGGTACTTATTGATGAAAGGTCTGCAAGTTTGCACTATCAGTTTCATATGTGTAAGGACGAAATTCTCCCCAAACGGGTATCGTCAATTATGGCAGCTCGTATTGCCCGAATTTATCTTGACGAAGCAGAGAGGGAAAGCGGACGAAAGCGGCGGCGTTCCTATTGGCTGTTGAATAGTATATGAATGGACTTTCGCATCCCCTGGAATCTTACACTTGCAAGTGTCACTTCTGAGTTGCGATTGTACGAACTTCTCCCCGACCGCAGCCGCATCAACCTGACTTTGCAAGACACCGCTTACGGATAAAAGCGCCGTACACTCATTACAGGGAGCCAAGAGACAAATTCCCTAGAGGGGCACTGGACGCGCCGAGCTCGCTAAGCTACAGGAGTCATCCATACCGGGGTTCAACATACATCATGGATGGGGGCGATAGGGTAAGTAGCATTGCTACTGGCTGCCTGCGATACATCTCATATCTTAGCTTGGTCCCCGCTTTTGAATGATTTCTAATGCGATTCTCCAGTTTCCTACACTGCTCGACGAATTTCGACATGGTACCTTCCGGACCCTGACGACAACTATTGTCGCTTAACGGGCGGAAAGAGCTTTGAGGACTTTGAGAAGCTCCCCGAGGACGAACGCCGTAATGTATTCCGCGAGTATTTGGTTGAGAAGACGCCTATTGTCATACAGCAGCCAATTGCCTGGACCAGCCAAGAGAGTATTGACTCGTTCTTGCTCTTGAAGAATGAGGTTAGAGATAATGAGTCTGGAAAGCGCTTGCTCCAAGAGGCTCGGCAAGTGTTCTACGAAGAAAATTCCTTCATAGTCTTCTGGAGCGACTTGGATCGTTTTTTAGACGATCTACTTGGACGGTGGACCGACGCCGTTCCAGTCAAGTCGCTGGTGCGGAGAATCACAGTCAGGGTCGAAAGGCACGAGTGTGGATGTGGAAACCTGGCGGAATATCTGCAACACGCCCGCTACTTTGCCAAGTCTCCTAATTTGGAAAGCATCTCATTCGAGTGGTGGGATTCTTGGAGACATTGGAAAGCGAACGACGTTGAGGAGGAATCGGTTGGCGATGACACAGATAACGACGACGCTTCTGGAGACGAGTCGGACGGAACCCTGAAGGAGTCGTCCTCAATTGGCAGTGTCTGGGAGTTTTGATAAGGGCGAGGCCTAGGACGGCCGTCAATGTTAGATTTTCAGCCAAAAGCTGGGCCATTGGTATGTACCACGCTTCAGCGAAACCAATTTGCCGGTAACGGGCATGAGCAACCTGGGCCCACTTTGCCAGTGTCTATCAATACGTTCACGCCCCTATCCAGCATCGCGAAATGGCCAAATTCGTCCGTGCAGTATCGAAATGAGGCCCCGGAAGTCGGTTTAGCCGAGTAACGAGAGCCCCGCAAATTGTCTATATAATCTTTGCTAGGTTTTTCACACTTACTCTGGAAGCATCCGGGTCATTAACTTTTGTTCATCGTCTTCCATTCGCTGGTTCCACGGTCCGCAACACTTGCGTTGACTCAATTAGTGGACTCTTATAACAACGTACTACAAATGGCGAAAGTTTCAGAAGAGTACGATTTTAGGGTCGTTCAATGCAACGAGCCCCTGCCATCAAAGCGCAAGCGAAAGACACGACGGGGCTCCAGTAGCGTGGGCGCCGAAGTGACTAAGCGACAACCATTTCCCTTCTCCAGTTCAAAAGTCTTTCACCGTTATCGCGTAGTGCCCGGCGCGCAGTGGTCCCGGTTGCAGAGCTACAGATGTTTCCTCTGTTAGAGAAGTGCCCGACTTCCACACCTCGTACAATTAGCTAATTGGTAAGCGCAGTTCGGGGCACTCAATTCAGGATCGGAGATTTCGTCAGGGTGGCAAACCGGTTGACCAGCCAGGACAACCCAACGGATCACGCTGTCAGGGATTTGAAGAGGCCCGAGAGAGACTGGATTGCCTATATACTGGAGATCAGGGCTGCTGACCAGTATCATGTCTTTGCCCGAGTATATTGGATGTATTGGCCCGAAGACATACCAAAACGTCTCATGCAAGACTTGACGCGCATTCGTGGGCCAGAAATATTCCACAGATCACATGAAGTCATTGCCTCTAATCATAGTAAGTCCTGAATTCTGCGGTGCCCCTCGGTCCTGTAACTCAATCATAGCAGTGGACATCATCGACGTGATGAGTGTCAATGGGCTCGAAACAGTGAAACCGATGAGAAGTTCACGACGCGACGCGCGAAGCAGTCAACTGTTTTGGAAAGAATCTTTTGATTGCTTCCAGAAGACGATATCGGGGGACATGGGATCAAAGCAGTGATTTCATTCGACGGTAGGGCAACTGCATTACGCTGGATTCGCATGGCTTAGTGTCAAGACTTGACGATTGAGCATAAATATTATAATATTTAGTAAAGACAGTGAACGGGGCGGTTCGCCTTAAATTAGAACGAAAATATTCCCGGGTTTGCCAACGATAACCGAGTCTGGTAGAGTGACATTATATCGGCCGCGTAACCGGATCAAGCTTGCCGTATGGGGATGCCGAGGGATGCTTCGTTGTGGTCCATCGTTCGGATGATTGTGCCGGATAAGAATGATTCAAGCGAGGCGAAAATGAACAGAAAACAGGAACCTAAGATTCTTACTGTGACGATGGACGTCATGTTATCCTTTTACGAGACTTAGTCGACGAGACTGTTCTTCGAAACCACAACATCGTCATGTCAACTGGCGCCGAATATCACCTCCGCGTCGGTGCTCTTTACCCATGAACCAGATTTTCATAACACATTTGGTTTCGGTGTGCCTTGCATTACAGTGTCATTCGCCGCTCGTCAACTTTCATGACGTGTCGTTGCAAGTAGACATAGAGATCCACGTGTCGGATGACCAAGCCGGAAATCCAGCCACATGAGGCGTAGAGGATGATTTTGGATAGTTCCAAGGCTACGTGAGGAGACAAAGAGGACTTTTCTTGTGGGATGAAGGCCAAAATTGACATTCATCTTTTGCATCCTGGTTCAGTTAAGCCCGCTGGGTGTTGGTTACCTACATTTCGGCTACGCCATATCGAGGCTGGTATCGACTCCAATAGCACGAAGAGCTTCATCCGTCCTTTATCGCACACATTTTCGAAAGCAAAATTCCTAATTGGAGCCCAAAGTCCCCATACGTCGTATTAAGTATTGGTTTATAAATCATCCTCTATCAGATTCAAGTCAGAACTGTTATTCAGTTAAAACACGCGTTACATAGCATCTCATCTTCCGTCCCGCGCAAGTTATTCATTTTCAGCACCTTTCCAACAGTCAGCCTCAACACCTCTAGACCCTCGATCTAGGCAAAATGGATTTCGACAAGCTAGATGCCAACGATCCGAGGGTCACGTCGGACACAGCTTCTATCCGCGGCAAGACATACCACTATTTGCGGGCTGATCCGGAAAAAGAGCCCCTCGCAACGATCTTCCTCATCCACGGATTTCCAGATCTGGGCTTCGGCTGGCGATACCAAGTTCCGCATTTCGCATCACTGGGCTATCAGGTCGTGGCGCCGGACATGCTCGGCTTCGGCGATACTGCTGCACCCGACCAGCCGAGCCAGTATGCCTTGAAAAGCATCGCCGAAGACATCAAAGAGCTAGCAAACGCGATCGTCAAAGACAGGAAAATCATCCTTGGGGGCCATGACTGGGGTGGCGCCGTGGTCTGGCGCACTGCCATGTGGCTTCCTGATCTGGTTCAGGGCATCTTCAGCATTGGCACCCCTTTCATTCCGCCTTCGTCGGTCTTTCTTTCACTAGACGATGCTACACGTAGCAAAAGGCTGATGACTCCGAGGTACCAGCTACAGTTTAGGGGTACAGAGATCGAAGACGAGATAAGGGACGAAAAGAAGGTTCGGCAATTTCTCAATGCCATGTTTGGAGGGGCCAGCGTTGAGGGCGAGGTCGGTTTCAGCATCACAGAGGGTGTTCTCTTCGACAACCTCCCTAAAATAGACCAATCCCGACTCATCTCAGGCCATGAGCTAGACCATTATACTTCGAAATACTTTCGAGAGGGGGAGCCTAGACTGAAGGGGCCCCTCAACTGGTATCGTACACGTGCGCAAAACTACCTTGACGAGCTGCGGCTCTTGCTAAAGCCAATCAAGTTTTCCATGCCAGCGTTCTTTCTCGCTGCTACAAGGGACGAAGCATTGCCGCTGAGCATGTCGGATGGGATGGACCAATACTTTGAGGACTTGACTCGTGGGGAGGTTGAAGCATCCCACTGGGCTTTATGGGAATCGCCTGCCGAGGTCAACGAGCAGGTATCGGCGTGGTTGGAGAAGGTGCTGAGACGAGATGCGCAGCAGACATAGACAGCGGTCAAGCCCTCGGTGAGACATGGGCTCCTCTAGTTCCTCTAGTTCAGGTTTCAACACCATAGAAATCTTCAACATGCTTTTCGATCAGTCCCATCTGTGGATAATATAGCCTATTAGGTCCGACCAGACACCAGTGAACAAACGCACCCCAAACCGCACAGAAATTGTCAGGCGAGCCTCATAGGGCCGAACAACACGCTAATTAAGTTACGTAGAATACAGTTCCGGCAATTGGGTTTGTACCCAGCAAAGCCCCGCCATTCTCTTCTTACGCCCTTTTTGGTTATCTTACTTAGCCTTCCTCCTTGCAGACATGTTTCTCTAAGCGTTCAGAGTTCTTTCTTCAGCATATAAATCAAAGTCCATCATATTGAGGTTACTCCATGTTAAGATCCCTTCATCTTGATGAGTAGTATGTTATTATGCCCTAGCTCGCACTCAATCTCCCTTTCTCAATTGCAACTTGATTGCTGTCCGCATAACCTGCGGTTTAGGTGCCTAATTCTCGCCACCAATGACGCCCTCCCTTCTAAAATGAACGAAAAGATTTCTTAACTTTTTTCGTCTGATCCGTCACATGCCTTCGTGCTGTGTATTCCCCTTCATACATCAAGAGAAGCAACATTCCACCATCTCAGCTACTTGTCCGCCGTCGCAGGTGCCAGGTGCCAGGTGCCAGGTGCCAGGTGCCAGGTGCCACTTTACTTCTCTATCGCCGATATCTTCAAAGTTATCCCGTACTTTGGCTGCAACACTACTCTGCACATTTTTGAAGTTTCCGGGTCGGCGATCCAGTCGTCGCGCCCAAATTCATACATGCTGAGCAAACTGCACAGCACCACCTTCATCTCCGTTTCGGAAAATTTGCGACCAATGCAACCCCTCGACCCTTGCGAAAAAGTCATAAAGGCACTGGGGGTCCACTCGGCCGGCAGATTGTCCCACCGGTCAGGATTAAATTCGCCCGCCGTGTCCCCCAGTACGCGGGAAGACGGTTGATGGCATTGGCCACGACGTAAACCACAGTTCCCGCCGGGATATGATACCCCGCCAGAACGTCGTCTGCTCGGGTCTCGCGGACTGTCAGAGGAATCGGCGGGATGTAACGTAGAGACTCGTGGAAAACGCATGAAAAGTTGAGCCAACTATGATTGGAGATTGACATCTCTGGATACTAAAGCTTATATAAAGTGTTTTGAAGTAGTCAACATTATTATAGAGGAGGCTTCCGTTCGTTTCTTACTTGATAGCGTCCAGGAAGTCCTAAGCCGAGCCGCCCATCTAGGGTTTCTCGGACCTCAGTCTCGTTTAGCACTGGAGATTGTCTCCACTGCTATCGTTATTCAGTGACTGCATGTGTCTCACAGCAATGAAGCCATCTGTCATCGCAGGGCAGATTGTTGTCCCTGCGCCATGGGACCCAAGTGTCGCGGCTGATGCGTTTCCCGCAACATATAGCCGGCGAATCACATCGCCATCTTTCCTCAGCACTCTTGCAAACTCATCGCTTCGGAGACCTCCCCTCGTACCAGCATCGCCGGGAAAGATCTCAATGGCGTAAAAAGGGCTCATTTTGACAGGTCCCATGCAGGGATTTGGCCCCACGCCCGGGTCTCCGATGAACTGCTGGTACCTGTCTTCGCCCCGGCCAAAATCCTCGTCTTTACCCGAAACGCACATCGCGTTCCATCTGTCAAGCGTTGCTTGAAGTGCGCCGTCTTGAATATCTATCTGTTTCTCCAGGTCGCTGATGGTGCTGGAGGTTAAGATCAGACCTCGGTCAACAGCCTCGCTGATACGCATTGTCGGTTTGAGACCACCGATCGTGTATCTGCGACTGTAGGTCCGGTCGAAAATGAGCCAGAAACGTGCCTTTTTAGCGTTTGTTCCCGCTCCTGCTCTTGTATACATGGACCTGACTGCGTCACCGTAGGGCTGAGACTCGGCGAAGAAACGGCGGCCCATGTCATCCACGACGACGGAGAAGGGCTTGGAGATGGCAAACATAGCTTCCGTCACCTGTCCAGTTCTGGGATCATTCATCGTGGGAACACCCCAGACCTCGTCAAGCTGTCTGCTGTCGGCGCCAACGTTCTGGCCAACTTGCAACGCGATGCCTGTGTCGCCATCTGAGCTGAGGCTCCATTCCTTCCTGCTCTGCTTTCCGAAATACAAATCCCGCATGCCCTGGTGATTGGAGAATCCACCCGTGGTCAGCACCACACCCAACGTCGCGTGGATATCCTCAGAGACTGTATCCCCTCCGCGTTGAGCCCTGGCCCCCGCCACGCCGCCGTCGTCAAGTAGCAAGAGATCCTGCAGCTCATACCTGGTCCAGATCTCCACATTGCCGCGATCCATGCATATCTTGAGAAGCTGTGCGACGACCGATCGACCCATCGACATGGGCCTTGACATTCCCTTTGGCACGGGCGAAAGATCTGTACAGTGCGCCGAGGCGTGGGGCCGTGTCAGGATCCGGAAATCCTCAAACCGAGCAACCACAGGCGCTCCATCTGGGGCGGGCAGGTACTTCAAGTACGGGCCTAGGCAAGCCGCATCGAAGACGGCAGGGTCGAGGGTGCGGCCTTGCTCAACAGCGCCATCGGCGTTTGGATGGTAGTCTGGAAACTTGGAAGGCGTGCTCATCCATTGAAACCCTTGATCTCGAAAGAAATTGATCATTTCAGGACCTTGCGTTAAAAACGCGTCGACGCGCCTGCTGCGCAAAGGGGCATCGGCTGCGTGTCGACGAGAAGGCGTCGGTATCGCTTGTGTGACAGCGTTGATGTACCGCGCCCCGAGTGCTTTGCTATCCTCAATGCCATGCTTCCACAGAAGGAAGTTGTTTGGCATCCAGATGGTGCCGCCGGATCGGAAGGTGGTGCCGCCGACATGGTCGGCCTTTTCGACGAGGATGACTCTAAGTTTTCTGTCTTGGACAGCTGCTGCGGCGGCTAGTCCAGCGGCACCACCACCGATGATGAGGATGTCGCATTGCGTAGCTTTTCCTCCCTCATCGATCTGCGTCTGGTGAGGGAGATCTTGGGTCACAGTGAGGCCGTGGGGCTTGGCCGGCAACTGGGCTGTGCGCTCGTGCTGGGAAGACATGGCTCGCTCTGGCAAAGAGAGTGGAAAGTTGTATGGGCGATTTACGTGTCGAATGCTTTAATCAAACGGATGATTATGAGGCTGTCTGTCTTGTATAGAGCTTTCATCGATTGAAATCACATTGGGCTTTTATCATCAGCATCGAAGTGAGTTGATGCTTTGTGTTTCATTATCTGATTTCAGTTGTTACGGCCGAAATTTCCGCCCCAAAGTTGATTGAAGTAGGCATGGTCCTAAATGTGACTCGTCCCAAAACTCGCAACGAGCTTGAAGATACTACATACAGTGAGTCTTACTTATACCGCACAAGTACAGTACAAGGTACAGTTATGCTGCTTTGCTTGGTCACGCCTGTGCATCATTCCATTCGACCGAAACGGGGCGTATAGTCTTGCAATAGCCCAGCAGCTCTTGCAACTAAGGATGATTGATCCTACTGGAACAAGTACGATAACTCTCCTCTAATTTCCCTAGACAGTATATGTGAGCCGTCGGATACGCGGGACATAGATGACTCCGAGATTCTCTGGCCCGGACGAGCAACACATCGGTCGATTCCGTGCATATCACCCTGGAGCCATGGCTAGTCAATCGCGCGTTCGGTTGGAAACCTTTCGACTCACATCTCTTTGGCTACAGACATCCAATTGCCGATGGCAAGTCCGCTTTTCAGCTTCGGCGGCAGCCGCGCCATCGGAAACGGCGTTTCGATGATGGCCACCAATTGGCTTAACGTACATGATGAATCCCTAAGCCCGGTCATTGAGCTCTAATCCTATCTAAGTTTGGGCCTTTGCCGGTTGCGCAAGTGGCCATCAGCCTACCGAGTCATGCTCATCTCAGTTGACGCGGTTACGCTGACACGTGGAGATCGACCCCTGGGATTGCCATGCCTCACCATTCACGGCCACAGCCTGCGAAATTCGTTGACTAGGAGGGTGACATTAGCCAAGTCAAACGTTAGACAAAGTGATTATATGGGTTTTTTTTTTTTTAATTTGCCGCCTCTCTCCGTAATCTACCTGACCACTCACTCCTTCCGACTGGATCAATAATTTCGCAGAATGTTCCTATGTGCTTCCTCTACAACGTCGTAGCCTTCTCTAGTCTTCTTTTGTCCTTTCGTTGACTTCCCTTCATCGAGGAATAGGTGAAAATCTCCATAGCCGCCAACTATTACATTCGTCAGGTCACTAGATTCGAGGCTTCAGGATCACTCTCACTTACTATGCGCTCCCAGTCCGGTATGGGGTGATCGTCGGGCACATGCGCCATCTCAACCCACTTCTGCTGGAATGGATTCCAAAACCTGAGATAACAAGCCACGCCAAACCTATGGTGAAACTTGAGGATAATCTGCTCAAGGTACCGTTCTTTCTTTCTCAAACATGCTTTGGAGGAAGTAAGACCCTGCTCCTCTTAGGATGTAAGCGGAAAATAAAAGCCACGGGTGATGACGTACCCGAGGATCGCAGTTAGGGTGATGATTGGGCGCCCATTTTGCCCCTACCCAAGACTGTCTACTGATGTCCCAAAGACAGACGGCATATGCGACATTGGGTACACTCCCTAACCTCATAACACTTGATAGAAAGTGGTTACGCGCTTTCCTGGCCTGCGTTCGTCGGTGGTCTTCCATCCAGGAGCTCGACAACGACAGTTCACCTAAGGACTCTCTTAAAGTCTCCAAGGCGTTGCTCGTATTATCCCGCCGTCCTCGACCTAAGCGATCGCTAAAACCAGGCTCGACAGGGTTTACCCTGAATCCGGGAGAGGAGGCCTCAGGAGGCTCTGTGTGATCTGGAACAGTCATGATGCGGCGGTGAAATGACTCTGACAAAAACGGCATGTTTGTAACAGATAAAACGCGACCAAATGGGTGGGCTGCCTTCTGTGACGGTACAAGAGCACGAACGAGGTCGAGTGCAGCTTGGGCAAAATGATTGTTTACAAGGAGAGAAAGAGATTCTTAAGGAAAACTCTGACTTAAGCTATTTACACAATATTCATAAAGTGAGACTATTCATAAAGTATGAAAGTCACATGATCGTTCCCTCACACCTTCGTCGGTCGATCCCGATCGGATATAGATGTACGTTTCAAAATGGCCGTTTCTAACCGCCAATCTTGTTCCATACAGATTATCTAACATCACATAGCAGCCAAAAGGGGCATTCTTTTGAAAGCCAATATCGATTTCTTCAAGCGCGGCGCGTACCGTTACATTGACTTTCGGCCGTCCGCAAGAAGTGCCCACATGGTGGGGATGCGCCATCTTTTCATGCTTGTGATGATGGCCAATGGTCACTAACATGGTGCCCGTTTCGACCGTACTACGTAGTACGTAACGCTAATATGTACGCATTCATCAGGATCATGCTGGGGAGGCCGGGACGGGGCCGGTTGGGCATCGCTCTGGTAGCAAGGTGTGAGGTCGGTGATATGGCGACGGGTCGCGGTATGGTATGAAGCCGGTGGCCTGTTCTGACCCGGGTCTGATATAGGATGGGATCACGGCTGTGATATAAAGTAAGTCAAATCCCACCGATGAAGAAGGTTCTATTAGCTGGGCATCATCATCTCGAGAGCAACAATTCGAATACTTCCTGATTCAAAATAGAGAGCGGCATCATTGCCTTTAATACCCACTAAGATGAGCACTGACTACACCTTTGAGGGCTGGATGGGTGAAGACCCTTCAGCTGCAGAGGGAAACATGGTCTGGAAGGAATACGAACCAAAGCCATGGGAAGAGACGGACGTTGACATCAAAATTACGCACTCGGGCATCTGCGGTTCCGACATCCACACCCTGCGAGCCGGATGGGTATGTTGCACGGCTTGGATTCGGAGGCATCATTGGAAGTCGATAGACGGCTGACACTTGGCAGGGCCCAACCGACTTCCCGTGCGTGGTCGGACATGAGATTGTCGGCATCGCGGTCCGGGTCGGATCCGAGGCAGAAGGGGATATCAAGGTTGGAGACCGGGTGGGAGTCGGAGACCGGGTGGGAGTCGGAGCCCAGACGGACTCGTGCCGATCCCGCGACGGCCCCTGCGACGCGTGCGAGCACGACGAGGAGAACTACTGCTCAGACATGCACCTGACATACAACACGACGTACCGCACCGGCGGCAAGGCTTACGGGGGATACGCCGTCTACCACCGCAGCCCGTCGCACTTTGTCATCAAGATCCCCGACGGCCTGAAGCCCGAGCACGCGGCACCGATGCTCTGCGGCGGCGTCACCGTGTACTCCCCGCTCAAGGTCTTCGGCGCCGGGCCCGGGAAGCGGATCGGCGTCGTCGGCGTGGGCGGCTTGGGCCACTTTGCCGTGCTCATCGCCAAGGCCATGGGCGCCGATCGCGTGGTGGGTATCTCTCGACGGGCGTGCAAGTGAGACGAGGCGCTGGCGCTCGGCGCGGACGAGTATATTGCAACCGAGGACGACGAGAACTGGTCCAAGAAGCACGCAAGCTCCCTCGACCTTCTCATCTGCACCGTATCATCACCAAAGGTACGTCTGACTCTCAGCACTCGCTGGAACCCCACGTGATCAACGAGATATGTTGGCTTGTCCCTGCATCGGAGCAGCGCTGTACAATGCCGGGTTTTCCGCCCCTCGCTCGTGTGTCCTGCAGATCCCCTCTTCCCTCTCACTCCACTGCCCCTCGTGTTGGGCTTCCCGAGACCGCCGTGGCTGACCAACGTTCCCCTCTAATTCTGGCTTGCAGATGCCCTTGCAGGAGTACTTTGACCTGCTCGCCCTCAACGGCACACTCGTGCAAGTGGGTATCCCCGAGGAGCCCATCCCCCTCAGCGCATGGGCGTTGGTTCCTCAGCGCCGGCGACTGGTCGGGTCGCTCATCGGCAGCCCAAAGGAGATCGAAGAGCTCTTCCAGCTTGCCGCCGAAAAGCAGATTGAGCCTTGGGTTGAGATGCGGCCCATGACCGACGCCAACCAGGCGATCCTGGACATGGAGGCGGGGAAGCCTCGGTTCCGCTACGTCTTGACCAACGAGTGAGCGACCGGAAGATCGGTACACGGAAAAAGGATTTTGTGTTTGCATGGTCCGGGCTGTTCCTGGTCCTTCAAAGTCCTGGGGAAGTGATCCTGTGGTGTTCAGCCCATTTCTTTCCCGTATCCGCATCCCTCATCACAATTCCCATGTAACAACAGACAAAAGTACAATTTCGATACGCGGTAGAGTTTGAGGGGGCTTGGAAATAGATGACGATTTGAATGACAGCATGGGTCAGCAATGGCGATTATTTCGAGATGGCTACTGGGCAACCGAACAGGGGACTATTATCATATTATGTAGTTTTGAATCCCATTATTCTTGCAGATTGGCATCAACCATCGTGACATGCCATTGCCCAGAATCGCATGGTCAGTTCGTGTCTTGGCTGCTTGAAGGCCTAAATGAGATTGCTCCGAACAGCGGAATCGATAGTTCGCCAACGCTTGTAGATCCCTTGATACCAGGAGGCCACCAAAGAGGCTATTGCCGAGAAGCCCAATAGACGGAGCCAATAGACCCGACTACGCTTGTCGACCGTGTCCCTGGCCCCTGCATTCAGCATGGTCTCGACCCAGCCAGGCCCCATCAAGGCCCATGGACGAACCGGGCATATCTTGCACGCCATTCGTTACTAGCTAAGCAATAGTACGTACCAGTGCGACAGTCCGTTCCCCTGGACCCTTGTCGCTCTTGGCCTCGGAGCTTGGCGAGTTGAGTTCCCGTGCAGGGATGAGCGAGTGAACCGGGAAGCATGGCAAGGATGCCAATGACGGCAAGGAAGGCATGGAAAGCAACCTAGAGAAGAAATCACCACGCCGCTGCGGCTGAGAGGCTGGCTGAGAGGCTGACCGAGTTCCTGGCTAGCCCTTGGCAAGATGGGCCAGGACCAGCCTACCAGTTGTGGCGAGGCCGCGACCGTGAGCTGGTAGCCAGGATGCGAAGTACTCCAGGCGTCCATAGTAGATAGCGAGGCCAACACAGCCCAAAGTACCAAGTCCTGCCTGCCTGGATGGGCTGACGTTTGGAGGATTGGGGCTGCCCCACGGGGCGCAGGGGGTATTCCCTGTATTTTCTCGTTAAGACGCCCGGAAAACTGCCCGCAAAAACTGCCCGGTAGACGAGGATGCTGCCGATAGTGTGCCAGGGATTATTCGACCCCCGAAGCCCGCCAACACTCGCCCAGGCTCCAGCGCACTGACTGCTACGCGGCGGCAACGCGTCCAGTCTGTCATCCGTCCCCCTAGAGGCTGAATTTGTTTCCTCATATCTTAGTAATTTGATCAATGGCGGGCGCACCCGTGCATTTTCCGCCTTCCTGCCTACGCGAGATGCGCCGGTGCTGCAAACCGGCCATCACAAAATGTTTCACTCTCGTAAGCTTGGCCGTTCCCAAGCTCCGGTTCCGTGTCTTGTGCAGCCTTGTTTAGGTCTCATCCAATGTCTCGCCCAACGTCTCACCGAACGGTGAGGTCGAAATGGGGAAATGACACCCAGCACCCGGCACCACTAGCTTGCTGGCAATGAAAAACAATCAACAATAGGGGTTTTTATGTGATGGAAAGCTCAGCACTGCAGAAAATGCTCCGGGACCTGCATGTCGTTGTGGGCCGTGGCTCCCGAACCAAACCACGTTGAGCACAAGTCTCGCCCGCACTGATCCGTTTCATTGTTTCATCTCAGAGCGGGAGAGGCTCACTGAGTCACTGCCCAAAAGGGTCGTATTTTGCGCCGCACGCGCGTAGAACTCTGCAGGGACTGCATGCCGCTGCCGAACCATTTTGCCATGGGAAAGCCGACGGCACGGAATTTTCAATCGTCGGCCCCAAAGGGCTTTTCGGTCTTCAAGAATTCCGCGGTCATATCCCTGTCGGCGTGGGCGACAGGGAACAGGAAGCGAGACCAGGGGGGAGAACGGATAAGATGGGATGAGGGCCATTCTGGTAGCCAATCATAGGCGACCCATGCCCTCAGGTCAGGGGGGATTGCATTGGCACCTCCAGGTACAGAGCTCGTGCCTGTGAGAGCCCGCTGACGGGATCTGGAGCACTGCCGCGGGGATTTGGCTGTCACGGCTGTCATTGTTTGATATTGATGGCGAATGCTTACTACCTGGTCTGATTCGGCAGATGAGTGATATTATCATGGGTGTTGATACTACATCTATCATATTTGTGTTCGTAGGGCTGTCGCTCTCCAATTGGCACTCAAAGCGCTTACATGAATTCGACCAGTGTTGATCAACTCAAGCTACTGCATGTTATGCACGCCATATTATATACATTGCTATGTCAACAATGTGCATAACGCCAGCCGCTGTCTTCTAACCGCTGGTGTTGTGACTTAACTGAATGTGTGTTGCCGGTGGCGCTCCCAACCCGACCGTCGAGACACGCCGTGTGGCCGGCCAAGTGTCACTCACAATCGCCTTCGTAATGGTTCTCGAGATCGTCGTAGGTATCCTACGTGTAACCGGGACAATCAAGGTCAGGCTTTCGTATATGTCACCTGTCACAGAGTACATACACTACTCCATCAGTCTGCAAATTCATGGAGGCGTAAAGAATGTGTCAAACTCGAGCAGGATGACCTTGAGGATGGACGTTTTGCTGGTAGATGCCCCTGTCATGGAACTTCAACCAGTACTGTTACCGGTTTTCTTCGTTTCAAAGCCTGTCTTTCACCCAAGTGTCTCTCATCTAATACCTTTCTCCTAATATCTGTCTTCCTCTCCAACTACCGTAAAAACTCTGTCAACTCGCGCAGCCTAGCTTCTCCATAAAAAGAAGGAGAACCAATACACTAGGCTGTTTGTGACGTTTTCGCGGTTAACAGTGGAAAAATGGAGACGCTAGGCTGCGCGAGTTGACAGAGTTTTTACGGTAGCCCTCTTTTGGCATGAGTAATTGCATGTATTGCCGCTTCCATGAGTCGAATGCGGGGCTATCGGAAGGCCTCACAACAAACTCACTTTACCTAGCCTAAGCAATCTCGCTCGTAGTCGTTGCCATACTCCCTAATCACCCACTCGACAAACTTGACCCACTCCTGCTCCCACTGCGAATAAACACGGTCGTATTCGGCGCCAAAGAGGCAGGCGTGCTCCAGACTCCATAGGATAAGCTGCTTCCAGCCGAACAGGCCCATATCAGCCTTGCCCACCATGACCTGGTAGAAGTCGTGTGATAGAGTCGACCTGGATATCTGTCAGTAGATGTAAAGACAGAAACTCGCCAGCAGTGGCTTACCGAAACAGCGTCCCATTATCAGAGCTAACAGTGCAATGCACGTTATTAGCCAGCAGCTGATACATCGCATGTCCACTGACACGCGGTGTGAGGCCCAAGATCTCGTTCGAGATGGGACACAGCTCGAGGCAGATACCTCACTCCTTCATGTGCTGCATGATGTACGGGTGTTTCGCCAGCGCAAACCCACGCCCGACTCGTTTCGACTTGAGGAGCAGCGCATCGACCAAGTTGCCGTCCGTATCTTTGCCCATGTCCAAGGTCTCGCCGCAGTGGAAGAGGAATGGGATCTCCACGCCTTGATCCGCACACTTCTCCTGGAACGCAAGAAGCTTTGGAGCAAAGTCCTTGATGGGCCGCCCCTTGGACTCTTCACCTACGAGGTCGAAACCTATCCCAGAGTCAGCATTTCAGCCCTTGCATGTGGATATTTACATGCTCACCTGCAATTCACTGTGGCCACTCCTTCTTGAACGCAAGGCATTCGTCAAGAGCTTGCTCAATTTGATCGGGCTCGAATGATCGGGGCGTGCAGTAAATAACTTTGAGGCCGCCAAAGAACTTGCTTTCGCGCGCCATCCTATCCTGGAAATTCTCCACCTCATTGATGATGAGTTTCATAATACCCTCGTTGTTGGTGCGCTCCGTGCCGTTGTCCTTCCATAGCTGGTTGCTCATCATAAATTTGGGTCGGATCTCAGCATAAGTGATGTTGTCATCCATAAAGTTCTCGAGTAATCGCCTTGTGTATGCCTTGTATGCTGTTTCGTAGTTAAACAAGCCCTTCATCATTCTCGTTCGCCCGTTGAACTTTGCCCATGCCCTAGAGGGTATTAATTTTTCGCCCCCTGGAATCCACGCAAAAAGGCAGCAAGGAACGTACCCGGATGCTGTCTGCAGGTAATTATGCGCCTCTTCCTCATGAAACATGAGCTTATCCAATAACCAGTCATCGACAGTAGCCTTGTCATAATACCCGGGAAACCGCTCCATGAAGTCTCGAAACTTCATGGTCTGTCCAGGCTGGTATGCAACGGAGAACAAGTCGCCCGGAGACTCCTTTTCCGGGCTCCTGAGCTGAAATTGGAACTCACACCGATCAAAGTTTCCGCAGCCGTTGTCCGAGATGAGGGGCATATTGCTCATGATGAACATGCGGTCCATGCCCTTTGCGATGTCTAACAGCACTTGAGGCGGCAGGCAAGCATTGAAGTGGATGTGCAAGTGGCCACCCTTGGGCATGCGCCGAGCGACTCGAAATAAAGCCGTTTGTTCAATAAGCTCCCTGTTGGATAGGAAATGGTCGCCGGCAAACCTAGGGTGAGGTTGGCCCCCATAACCCGTCCTAGGATGAGCTTTCCCGTAGACATTGGCCTCATCCTGGGCTTTCAGCCTTTGAATGATGGCATCAGCAAGCCGTTCATCTGGTGTGCCCCTTTGCTGGCAGTTGTAATCAAAGTCCAGCGCCTTCTCGCGCGATAAAAACTCTTTGCGCAGTTCGCCATAGTCTCCCATAGTGCTGGGACTTGCAGTAGTGAGGTTCGCCGTGCTCAAGGGATTCTTAATCTCATCACCGGGCCTTCGAGCCGCAATATCGGCATTGTGAGCTGGAATAAGATTCCGCGCGGCGGCTTTCTCGTCTCGATTTGGCTCTTCCGAGTAGGGCCGTTTGTTCTCCGCCATCGGGTGGTGTTGTGCTAAACGCTGTTTAGTTGGATTATCGCAGGTATCTGCTGGGAGTGGAAAAAAGAAAACATAGAAGTGTGATGAGATGGCAGGTTTGAGCGGAAGTCAAGGCGAGAGTTGCACTGGTACATCTCAATCGCATTCTGGCTTGCAGTATGCCTGGGCGGAGTTCGCCAGCTTCGCCATCCGGAGCGGGTCCTGGCCATTCGACGACCCTCCTTAGTACATCTTTTAGGTTCAGAATATACAAGCCTCTAATAGCAGGCCAAGCAACCAAGCTCCGTGCCCACAACACCGTGGAAGAGTCACAAAAGCCTGGAGGGGGCGGGTTTAAGAGTTATTGAAATGCTTCTTTGATGAACGAGGCGTAAAGTGTCGTGTGAGATGCCTGTGTTGGGTACGATTTGATGCTACAGTGTAAGCAATTGTCAGTCGGAAGCCATCTTACCACCAAGTGAAAAGTGCCAAGCTGCCGGACCAAGCTTCCGGACCAAGCTTCCGGCTTGTCACGGTGTATGTGGTCAGCCTCGGTGGGTGGATGGTGAATATACGGAAATAAATGCTCCGTTACTACGATATCTCTACAGTCTTACGCCTTCGCGTATCCAACCAGGTCCGTGGATTGTCTGTCCGTTTTCGTTAACTATCTTGATCGTCCCCGAGCACACTTCATGGGCCGCCTCCGTGGCCTACGTGACTTGGTGTCTGAATATGCCTATCCTAGACCATGATGCCTTGATTGGGCTCTTTTACGGTGCCTGCGTTCTCAATAGAGTGACGAGGCCTCACCGGAAGCATGTGCTCACACGCTCTCGACATATCACGTCCAAGAGCTACCTGCTGCACTATTACTGGGGGCTACTACGATTACAACAAGTTACAGGGTTGTTTTGCTAGCTAACGTTGCCTGAAACCGACCGATGCCTAAGACCCAGCCACCACCCGACGGCTCCTCACCTGCTGCTAAACCAAGTGTATCTGTCTCCCACCTGGCACCGCCTCTTTCTCTCTTTCCCCTCCCGAGATCTCTGTTCTTTGCAGTTTTTTTTAGTTTTTTTTTCATCTCGGCTATGCCTCGGCAGGCGATTTCAGCTGCGGTCATGTTCTACCAGTACGTCCTGTCCTTACTCCAACCTCAACGTCGCTTCAGCTGACATGTCTCTGCAACTTGTCCCGACTTCGGCTGCGTCCTTCGTAAGCGGGGATTAGTCTGTTAAGGTTGCCTTGGTTACGCAGGCCGAGCCTTGGCTTGATCAGACTCCCACCCGCATCAAGCTAGTGAATCACCCCTCAAGATCCTGCTTCAACACCAGCCATGTCTCATTAGGGCTCTATCCTCACCCAATGCCATCTGAACTCTGATTTCGTGCAGAAACCGTGCTGCACAATGAGGTCGCTCAGAATCTCTCCACAAACGCTATGGAAACTTCAATCGAGTACTGCAAGGGGTTCACTGCATTGACGTCAAGGCCATCGCTGATGACCTGTCAGACAAAGACCGGCATTGTAACAAGTTTCTTACCGGCTTTGTTATAGCCATCAGCAAAGTCGCCTGCGACGCCCCCTTTCGCCTCTTCGTAACCTTGAGACAAAGTTAGTCGTAACCTAGGAAATTATGCGAAATACAGGCTCATCCTATTTCCTCCGCAGCCACATGTAAACCACTGTACCCGTGTATGGTCTTTGAATACCGGCTTTCCATCAGAGTCCCTGAGTTGTACAAGCTTAGATGCCTTTCCTTGGCCAGGAACCTTTTATCTCCTTTTCACCAGCCACATCCATTCCCTTCAAAGCATTACCGGATACCGCTCGAAGCTCCAGATAGTTCAGGTCTACCATCAGCAGTGGTTCTCAGGGAAGCTACTGTACAATCTGATCTAAGAAAGACAGTAGTTGTTGAGCACAGCCAACCGCTAGGCCTTACGGACAAAAATCATAAGGAGGCTTGTAACGGTTCTGCCGTACGGCTGGCTTATTATAGACGCCCTCTCTAACAATACTGCTGGTTCGCGTCCTGTCCGGCCTGCATTGACCCCCCGGCATCCGCGCTAGACCATATCAGCGCCTTGGAAAGGGAAAATAATACATCGTGAAGCAAGAAACGCCATGCACAAGCCAGAACCTACCTTATGACACTCCTTTCCAGATATTTCCCTGCTTTTCGAATCCATGACGCCTCTTTTGCGTAGCAGGGAGGAGAAGGGCCGGATAAGACCGCCATCGAGAACTCTCTCTCACAATCACTAGCGAAAAACTCTGTCACCGCTACATATCAGCAATTACGAAGAATACACGGGCTCCGACAGAGCGTATTGTACAGTACCTAAAGGTTCAGAACGAGATGAGTTTCCTAGGTGGATGCAATGCTAATCCAAGGTTGGGTGATCGGATCACAGAAATACACAAGACAGAAAACGCTACAGCCCTTCCCCAGCCTCATAGCTGTCGATATACCTGGCTCCTAGAGTTGTGGGCACATACATGTTCCTCTTTTACAATATCCTTGCGAATTGAGATTGGTCGTTTTCCACGCAGTGTTAATGATGACTTTGAAGGCCCGTGTACCCTTGAAAGGGCGACTAGGTAGGTGTGGGAAAGGGCGTACCTTAGCGACACAGACCAAGATACTACGGACAGTAACTCGCACTGCCATTGTGTGAGGTTAGTCTCTTGGGGCAGTGGCCTATGTCTGTTGGTACTGAAGAGTACCTCTCTCATTCGGCCAGTATGGCTGATTGCGCGAACTTCGGCTGACATTATAGCCCATTCTTGACATTACCACGACTTACTAGGTAGATCTTTGTATCACAAAGTCTCCACCATAAAGTTTAGGAAGAGGCACTCAGTGCGAAGAGGAAGCTCTACGTACGCATAACTGTGTTCCAAAGTCATCAAGTCCTCGCTGGGAACACCTTGTCCCGCTTGGACGGTGCGGTCGGTAACGTCAAGCTCGCTGAGGCTCAGAATAAAATCATTGATGGCAGCGTGAAGGGGGGCCGACCTCGTCTAGGGCGTCCAAGGTTGTCGTAACGAGCAGATTTGGCGGTAAAAGAGCATCGTAAGTGAAGAGGTACAGCAGAGCATAGACAAAAGATTGCAATCTGACAGGATGGAGTAGTCTTGATCGGCCACAGATGATACCAAGGCAGCCATAGTTGACCACACACATTTCGCTTCCACGAGTTTATATGGTGCAATACGATCAAAATCCACCGTAATAAGCGAAGAATGGCGCTTATTGTGTAGCGTGCACATCCCTACCGAAACCACCATTGGAGGTGGGCGTTGTTGTACCATTGATGGGTGTAGTATGCTAGAACGGAAGTGCGCCTACGTTGCTAATGCCACTCATTGTGCGGCTGAAATAGTGCGTGCGATGTTCTGGTTTGCCTACGAGAGGCCAGTTTCAGCCACCAGCCATTTAGGAGCGCGCGCAGGCTGACAGCGGGGTACACAAACATCCACCGAGTTTCCAAGGGACTTCGTTTGGGTTGGCCCATAAATTCATGACCGGTTACGCCATCGGTTACGCCCGTAGGCCGAGAAGTCGAAGTTCAGGAGATTTGACACGTGCGACAAGTTTTAAAAAGGAGTAAGTTAGGGATTATACGTTGTGGTCATTGGCTCGATAGGGCGGAAAGACACTGCGGGAATTTACATTTGGTCACATGTGAAAACGATAGGAACGTAAATTAAAAAAAAAAAAAAAAAAAAAACTCTTGTCGTGTTTTATTAGACAAGAGAAAAAAAATAAAGGCCTATGAATAAGCAGTAGATGTGTCTATGCAAAATGTGATCATCACCTCGGAGGGCTCTGCCCAGTCAACGTAGGTTTGAATGATCGTGATCATCACCTCGGAGGGCTCTGCCCAGTCAACGTAGGTTTGAATGATCGTGATCATCACCTCGGAGGGCTCTGCCCGGTCAACGTAGGTTTGAATGATCGTGGCCTTGCCTCGGAGGGCTCTGCCCAGTCAACGTAAGCTTGTATTTGATCATAACCTCGGAGGGCTCTGCCCAGTCGACGTAGGTTTGAATGATCGTGGCCTTGCTTCGGAGGGCTCTGCCCAGTCGACGTAAGCTTGTATTTGATCATCACCTCGGAGGGCTCTGCCCAGTCAACGTAGGTTTAAATGATCGTGATCATCACCTCGGAGGGCTCTGCCCAGTCAACGTAGGTTTGAATGATCGTGATCATCACCTCGGAGGGCTCTGCCCGGTCAACGTAGGTTTAAATGATCGTGGCCTTGCTTCGGAGGGCTCTGCCCAGTCGACGTAAGCTTGTATTTGATCATCACCTCGGAGGGCTCTGCCCAGTCAACGTAGGTTTAAATGATCGTGATCATCACCTCGGAGGGCTCTGCCCAGTCAACGTAGGTTTGAATGATCGTGATCATCACCTCGGAGGGCTCTGCCCGGTCAACGTAGGTTTAAATGATCGTGGCCTTGCTTCGGAGGGCTCTGCCCAGTCGACGTAAGCTTGTATTTGATCATCACCTCGGAGGGCTCTGCCCAGTCAACGTAGGTTTAAATGATCGTGATCATCACCTCGGAGGGCTCTGCCCAGTCAACGTAGGTTTGAATGATCGTGATCATCACCTCGGAGGGCTCTGCCCGGTCAACGTAGGTTTAAATGATCGTGGCCTTGCTTCGGAGGGCTCTGCCCAGTCGACGTAAGCTTGTATTTGATCATCACCTCGGAGGGCTCTGCCCAGTCAACGTAGGTTTAAATGATCGTGATCATCACCTCGGAGGGCTCTGCCCAGTCAACGTAGGTTTGAATGATCGTGATCATCACCTCGGAGGGCTCTGCCCGGTCAACGTAGGTTTAAATGATCGTGGCCTTGCTTCGGAGGGCTCTGCCCAGTCGACGTAAGCTTGTATTTGATCATCACCTCGGAGGGCTCTGCCCAGTCAACGTAGGTTTAAATGATCGTGATCATCACCTCGGAGGGCTCTGCCCAGTCAACGTAGGTTTGAATGATCGTGATCATCACCTCGGAGGGCTCTGCCCGGTCAACGTAGGTTTAAATGATCGTGGCCTTGCTTCGGAGGGCTCTGCCCAGTCGACGTAAGCTTGTATTTGATCATCACCTCGGAGGGCTCTGCCCAGTCAACGTAGGTTTAAATGATCGTGATCATCACCTCGGAGGGCTCTGCCCAGTCAACGTAGGTTTGAATGATCGTGATCATCACCTCGGAGGGCTCTGCCCGGTCAACGTAGGTTTAAATGATCGTGGCCTTGCTTCGGAGGGCTCTGCCCAGTCGACGTAAGCTTGTATTTGATCATCACCTCGGAGGGCTCTGCCCAGTCAACGTAGGTTTAAATGATCGTGATCATCACCTCGGAGGGCTCTGCCCAGTCAACGTAGGTTTGAATGATCGTGATCATCACCTCGGAGGGCTCTGCCCGGTCAACGTAGGTTTGAATGATCGTGGCCTTGCTTCGGAGGGCTCTGCCCAGTCGACGTAAGCTTGTATTTGATCATCACCTCGGAGGGCTCTGCCCAGTCGACGTAGGTTTGAATGATCGTGGCCTTTGCAGAAACGCGTTGAGGGAAAGGGGAAAGAAGATCTAAAGCATTACGGGAGGATGGGGGAGATATTTAATTACAGTCATGACGCTAAGGGGAGACGGAGGGAAAAGGGCCAAATCGGCCACCAATTTTCTGGCCTAGCGCGACCTTCTGGCCGAGTGCGCAGAGCGTCCCAAACGCGCCAAACGTGCCAAATGGGCCCAACATTCCCGTCTTAGGAGTGGGAGGAAAAGGACCAGATCGACCGCCAATTTCCTGAACGAGTGGACCCACCATTCGCGTCTTCAATGGGGGTGGCCGGAAGAAGCGCTGGGCATCGGCAAATGACTTCTGCATCGCATTTGTCCGTTCTTGACCAAAATTTTCAGCAGTGGGTGGGTACTCATGGCTGAAATTTACGTTTCTTCCCGAAGCACGTGCATGCCATCCCAACACCCTTGAATCGCTTTTCGACGCTTTCCGATCGATCGAGAGAGCGAGCGAGCGGGCAGGTTGAGGAGCTTGTCACGTGATGAACCGTCCTTCCGTAATAGCGATTCACTTGGTTGCGAATTGAGGGGGTCTATCGCTATTCGCGTTCTTGAGGTATCTTAACCTAACATCTACACAACGCGGTTTGATCCCTTTTTTGACAACGTTTTCGCCATGGCTTCCACGCAGGATCTCGAGCTGCGGCTACAGCAGCTTCAAGAGCAACAGCAGCTTATGTTGCAGCAGCAAGAGCTTCTTCAAGAGCAACAGCAGCTTATGTTGCAGCAGCAAGAGCAGCTTTATTTGCGGCTCCAACAGCAGCTTCCTCAGCAACTTCAGGAGCTCCCTCAGCAGCTCCCTCAGCAGCTCACAAGCCCCCCTCCGAGAACCGCCCCGCGGCGGCGTCCAAAGAGCCGCCCTCGCCGTCCCTCTGGCCGCCCTCCCCCACCTACTGAAGCCCAAGTGGAACAATCAATCAAGTTCGTATATGCCTCTACGAGAAGTTGGCGGATGGCTTACTGGCGGTTATCACAGGAACGAGGTCGGGACTGCTCGGTCGATGCTGTCACAGGTGCCCTACGCCGGGTCGGCTTGACGAGATACATAGCATGCCAGAAGCCTCTGACCACAGAGCCAACGCATCAAAGGAGACTCGCCTTTGCTACGCGCTGCCTCGGCTGAATCCTTAGCGATTGGAAAGTTATTCCTCGGCCTGATGAGACCCGGGCTACCGGGGAAGGCATACACGCACATGGTTCACGCACAGACCCGGCGGAGAGCTCGATCCAACCTGTAGTATTAAACAGCATCAGCGGAAGAAGGGATGGGTGTTCTGGGGCGGCTTTTCTGGGCTCTCAGGCAAGGGCCCTGGGGTCTATTGGGGGAAGGATTGGGGCTTGATAGGAAACTACTAGCTATATTGAACATATCGTCGCTATTACCATGGATAGCATCGTCTTCATCCGGATCAGGATCATATCTTTATGCACGATAAAGCACCTGCCCACGCCGCGGCCGAGCTCGAGGTTCGAGGGTCGCATGGCCGCCTGTTTCGCCGGATATAACCCCTATTGAGACCGTGTGGAATGATATGAAGGGGTATATTGAGAAGCACTTCTCGGAGGATCAAACTTTACGACCGGTTGCGAGCAAGGGGCTATTACTGTAGAGTAAATGACACAGCGTTATCACGCTCTTGTGAATGCTAATAGAATGCATATTCGACTCTAGATGAATACCACGGCCAAACTTGCTGTATAGAGAACGCACCTAACGCAATAGATTCATGACAAACCATGCAAAAGCGAGTTTTGTCTTCGACCACCTGAATCTTTCTATTGTCTAAATATCAGTAGGCCTTCCCGCAATCACGTCCAATACTGGTTGATCGAATGCTTGTTGCTGAAGCGCCAGGAGATGAAGAGGGACGGTCGAGCAATCAAGGTGCTAAGATATCTTGGTCTGCACACGATCAAAGCCATGCCTCCGAAGACAAGGGCCATCCTTCTTTATACCATTAAATCTTCAAAAGTCTACTCTGCTATAATCGTTTCTGGTTACTGAAGCAGTGACAGTTCAAACACAGCCAAGTCCATCTCTAGGTAAACTCATTAGATGTTCCATGTAATGACTGATCAAAAAAATCGAGGAAAAGAAGGAAAAGACAATTCAAGCATCCAAACATCGCCACCAAGACACCTCTTTCCCTTTATCTGTAGCTCCATTTGAACTTGATTCTCATCTCATACTGGGAAGTGGAGAGAGCTCATTCTGAAATCGCGAGGCATCTAGTGACCCTATCATAAATCTACTCGATGAATTAGAGTATCCTACCCTGGATAGGTTACGTCACTTGGAGGTCCTTGTCTTAAGAATGTGCCACCGGCACGACACGAGGCATTGATATCGATTCCTCGACTACATAAAAAAAACGCAAAAAAGGGAAACCCTCTGTTGGCCACACCATCATAATATCTGACTATCGTATGGTCTTTAGCGACGAGGTTCGCTGCCTTTGGTGGACATCTCGACAGGGTCCATTGTTGCATGTTCTCCCGTCACTCCGTGACGCACTTGGTCTTGTTCTCCTTGCAATACAGTCTCGGCCGCCTGAAAAAGGGGCAGCAAGATTTTCTCAACCAAATTATTCCGCAGTTCTCGTACTCTACAACGTTCAGCGTCTCAATATATTCCCTTTGAGATAAAAGATATCACTCAGTCCTCGCGCAATGTCGAAACCCTGCAAGCAACCATGTCAGAAAAAAAAAGGCAAAGCAGAAGTTCAAGGTCGATACGTACTGTTGTACTACTTCCCTCATTCTATCCAATTCAATTGTTAGCAGGAGCGGCAACAGGGGGGGGAGGAAGGAGCCGAAGACTACTACGTACTGCTGAACCAATTCCCTCGTTCTGCCCGGTATAACGGTTAGCATATAGAGGCAGGAAAGCGAGATCACTCGAACTATCTAAGTACTGACGTTTTGTCCATGTCATGAATTCTAAACAAATGAAGTGTCAGCACATGATACGTCAAAGTGGAATTAAGGCCAATCCAGAGGGGAGGAGTGTTTTGGGAGAATCACTGTTTGCTTTGTACCCTGGCAATCTCAAGAATCTGGTTCATGCGCTGCTCCAGCTCCGGATGGTTTTGACACGCATTCTCCTCGCCGTAGTCACCGACAAAATCCTCACCATAGTTGCCTCTACTATTCGTTCAGCTCGTGCATATTAGAGAGGCTCTCTATGCTGGTATAAAACGAACCCTTCATCTTGATAGCCGGGACTTTCGTCTCCTGCTGCCTGGTAAGCTGGAGACTGCGGATCAAGCCGGGCAACTGTCCTTTGCCTCAGATGAGTCGACTTGGGGGGGCCCGCAAACTGTGGGTGGCGAAGACCAAACATTGGATCTACGTAGCCTCCAGGCTATCCGATACTGGGTCGTGGTGTATGGTTGCGCACGAGACACATGGGCCCTCTGGTGATGTCTTCGCGGAGGATATTTCATGATGAGACGCGCGGTCGAATTGGGAATGAAATCGGTGATTAGAGAAAGCGGACGTGAGAAACTGCGGGTGAAATTCCTCGTTTATCAAGGGTGCTCGGCAGCATTCGAAATATATACCCACGGCCTGAAACGCTAACGATGGCAGCGACCAACAGGTGTAACAAGGGGTAACCACCCAGGCCTATGACTGCCATGTTGAAAAGAGGCCAATTGGCGGTCCTGCCGCGGGGCTCGTCTGGAGCGCCCGGAGTGGAGAGGTCCTGAAATTAGAGTGGGTCCAATAGAAGCTAGAGCCACTTTAACTGTGACAAGCGGACTGATCATCACGTCGGGAATCAGCTGCAACGATGGATAATGTTAAATGTGGCTACGAAATGACAAATCGATGTAAATGGCCCGATAGTACTGTATTGAAGTTGATAGGTCACCTCGATACGAGGCCAGTCGGAGGGACTGAATTGGACAGAGGGCAAAGGACACGGAAATCACCTTTTGTTTCCCCACTGAACAAGCTAAGTTGTGGCCCTTCGTCAAAGCGCCGAAAACGGGATCGGTAACCCTACCGGAGCAAAGAGTTCTAGAACATAGTTTATTCTAACTTATCTTAGTGGCCGCCACTGCGGCAAGAACAGCAGCTATGATGTGACGAATCAGCTTGACGCTCTTTTTCGACCCAAAGTTCGGGGTCCTTCGCGGCAAGATGCAGATGGTTCATTCTACCCGACCCAGACCTCCAGGGCCGCTTGCACCCGTGGCTCAGCTTTCCGTCATTGTTCATCCCAGACAGCCTTTTGAGAGGCGCTGAATGGGGGACGGATGAGCGAACTGTGGTCTACCCTCCAGCACACATAGTCCCAGGAGCGTTTAGGCCCATCATCCTCATATCTTTCAATCCCGGCACTTCACTTTCCCGGGTTCGCGAGTTCCGCTGCAGCTAGCTCCAAGCCTCCTCATCACCAGAGCAAACGATTGATCTGTTTCAGGCTCACACTGTCTGCAGTCCCCACGTACATAATGCTTTAGATAAATGAGCCCAAAACAGAACGATGAAAGTCTTGATAGGTCAAAGCGTTCTGGCAACGGAGAGACTTCACTGCGATGACGTTGAAAAGAGATACGTACCATATGATATATGGCGGCATCCGAAAGTTTCCAGTGCGCATGACCGATTAACAAAAGATTTGGACTTTACAACGGTCAATTTTAGTCTAATAGACTTTCGTACACTCTCTATAATGCGTACGTGTCGACGGAATCTCCGCGGATGGCTACGAAGGGCCAAAGTAGACTTTTTTTTGCGGAGAGAGAAAGGTGGAAGCTTATCGGGGCGAACGGGTTGGGTAGTCGCGAATCGCCGTTCCAGCACGGCGGCTTTTCTAGACAAGTAGACCGAGGGCCGGTTTTGTCAGTCGTCTGAAAAGAAGATACACCGTCCGCTGATGTCCAATTTACACCGCCCCAGAAGGACCTAGTCAGGCTTTTCGCCTCATTCAGACTTGCCTATCCTGATATCATATCTGATATGATAAATAATCCTGATATCAGGATAAAACACTGTCCTGATATGATGTCAGCTTATTGAGAGAGCAGCGATGATATCAGGCTAGCAGCTTTAGCAGCTTTAGCGGAGATGATGTTAAAGGGCAATATTTCATTCCATTCTAATCTAAACCATCATCTAAAAACGTTGGCCGGATTTCGCCGACGTCAGTGCCGGTCCCGGAAGTCTACGATGAGTTATGACAGTAGGCCGAAGAGCGAACATTGGACCGCTGGAGGGCATATCCAATTTTACACGTTTGGCATGCTTTACACAAGCTTACGCATTACATGTTCACACGATCGGCTCGTGTTGGTTAGTCTGGCTTGTTTGGCCGGTTAGATGGAAAGACAATACGGGAACTCACGTTTGGTCGCATGTGGAAATGATAGAAAATGTAAAAAAAAACTAAAAAACTCTTGACATCTTTTATTAGCCAAGAGAAAATTTGAGGCCCATAAATGCGCAGAAAAGCTGTCTATGCAGCAACTGACTATCTGGGGAAAAAAACCCAGGCTGGTAATGGATGATCAAGCCATTAAAATGTAGTAGTGCCAGCTGGAAAAAAAACCAGATATGAGATGTTTTAGCCATTCAGGCGAGTTCAGTGACTCTTGTAATGTGATTCTCATGAATAAGCAGTAAAGCTGTCTATGCAGCAACTGAATGGAAAAAAAAACCAAGCTGGTAATGGATGATCAGGCCATTAACGTATAAGAGTGCCAGCTGAAAAAAAAACAGATATGAGATATTTTGGGCCTTTCAGAGGAGTGCTGTGACTCGTAAAATGTGATCATGGCCCTTGAGAGCAGTGCTCAATCGCGGGCTTTGAGAGCATGGCTCTGTGTGATCGTGGCCTTTGAGAGCAGTGCTCAATCGCGGGCTTTGAGAGCATTGCTCTGTGTGATCGTGGCCTTTGAGAGCAGTGCTCAATCGCGGGCTTTGAGAGCATGGCTCTGTGTGATCGTGGCCTTTGAGAGCAGTGCTCAATCGCGGGCTTTGAGAGCGTTGCTCTGAGTGCTGTGACTCTAATGTGATCATGGCCGTGAGCGCGGTGGCTCTGAGTGCTGTGTCTCTAATGTGATCATGGCCTGAGTGCTATGACTCCCATGGCCTTGAGCGCGGTGGCTCTGAGTGCTGTGACTCGAATGTGATCATGGCCTGAGTGCTATGACTCCCATGGCCGTGAGCGCGGTGGCTCTGAGTGCTGTGACTCTAATGCGATCATGGCCTGAGTGCTATGACTCCCATGGCCTGAGTGCTATGACTCCCATGGCCTGAGTGCTATGACTCCCATGGCCTGAGTGCTATGACTCCATCCGAAGCAGCAACATGGTTGCTACCCCGTCGTTCTTCCAGCTCACCTGATTGGCGGCTGCAAGTGGGACCTCGCGTAGATCGCTGGCATGGCTTGCGCCTCACCCGCTCCCGCTTCGTCCACCTAGGCATGCTAGGTCTCAACCTTGTCCACACATCTCGATTACCATTGAATGGGTCAGTGACTTGGGTCGAGCCTCAGTTTTGGGCCATTCGAGGTTCGTGATGTGGGACACGGTCTTCCAACGCGTTACTACTTTTCCCCACAGGGAAAGTTCTGCAGGAACGCGTTGAGGGAAAGGGGAAAGAAAATCCGGAGGCATTACGGAAGGATGGGAGAGATATTTAATTACAGTCATGACGCTAAAGGGAGTGGGAGGGAAAAGGGCCAAATCGGCCACCAATTTTCTGGCCTAGCGCGACCTTCTGGCCGAATGCGCAGAGCGTCCCAAACGCGCCAAAGGTGCCAAATAAGCCAAATAAGCCAAATCAAGCCAAATGAGCCCAACATTCCCCGTCTTAGGAGTGGGAGGAAAAACGGCCAAATCGGCCGCCAATTTTCTGAACGAGCGGACCCACCATTTGCGTCTTCAATAGGGGTGGCCGGAAAAAGCGCTAGGCGTCGGCAGATAGCTTCAGCATCACATTTGTCCGTTTTTTGGCCAAACTTTTCAGCACACGTGGGTAGGCACTCATGGCTGAAATTTCCTTTCCCTCCGAAGCGCCGACGCGCCATTCTATCGCTGTGGATCTGTTTTGGACGTCTTCCCTGCCACAGGAGCGAACGAGCTGGCACATGGAACGAAGCTTATCACGTGATGAAATGTACCTGCAGAAGCGCGAGACCACTTTTCGGTGGGGCTTGGGGACGTGTTGGGCGGGCTACGCGACTGGACAAATCTTGTCCTTGGAAGGAATCCAAGCCTGGCGTGCAGCTTGCCTTCAGGGAGAAAAACATCTGCGACTAGCCGTCGTTGTTTGGAGGGCCTTGCGCGCCCTCTGATGCCTCGGTCTGTCTTGATTCTAAAGGCAGTCGCGACGTCCCGCGAGATGAGCTCTCTCTCCTAAGGCCTTTTGTCTGTGCCTGTTAAGGCCCCGATGGTGCCTCAAAGGCAACAGCATGGTCGGGTAGCCTGAAAAATGCCCCTCCACTAGCAATCCGCTAACAGCTGAGGGGATGAATAAATTTTTCCAGGGGAGAGTAACTTAATGGAGGCTCGACATGGTAGATTGCCAGCCGTAGGGTAGGTAAACCCCGAAATCACCATAACTACGAAGGGAAGATAGAATAGGGATAGGGTTTAATTACCCATCGTTTCTGATATTGATGTGGCGTGCTAAGTACGAATTCAAGTTCTACTGCGTGAGTTTTGTCCGCCACCATGTGTATGCTACCGATAACTCTGCGTTCTAACATTTCTACCCAGTCTTTGCGGCGACATCGAGTTTCCACCTCCGACATCTCATCTAAACTCATGGTTGGGTCGCCGAGCGCGACGCCTCATCCTTCATCCCGGAAGCGATATTCCGGTACCTCGAGTTTGGATAGTGAAGCCAATTGTCGGTGTCGTCGAGCACCTCCAAAGAGCGGAAGCTCGTTTCGAGGAGCGATTTCGACCCGGTCTTGTCGGCGGAAGCCTCCCAGAACATGGCTCCACCCAAGCCCAGTTGCTTCAGATAGGAGACTTTCTGCTGCACAGCTTCCGGCGGATCAAAGGATATGAGCTCGCGTGTAGTGGCATCGTAGCTGTAATACGCATGGGCCACGGGGTCGAAGTCCGGCACAGCCCCATCCTTGGGCAGCGCGCTGTAGTCCCAGACGCCCTTCTCCCAGCTGCCGGAGCCTACATCGACGAATGATTCACCGAGCCCTGCAGTTCCCTGGAACGAACGACCGTAGATGGGCATCCCGAGAACGAGTTTCTCAGCCGGTACACTAGCGTCAAGATAAGCTCTGACGGCGTCATCGGTGTTGAAAGGGGTAGCATCGGGCTCTTCGTCGTTCGCGTAGAGGTTGGCATTATGTCCGGTGTGGGTGCTCCACGATCCGGCGTAGTCGTAGGCCATCAGGTTGATATAGTCAAGAATGCGGCCGAGGTCGGCCAAGTGCAGCTTGCTGTAGTGCTCAAATCCCGCTGGGGCGGCTATGGAAAGCTGGAAGTGATGGCCCGAGGCAAATTCGACTGCATACGAGTCTAGCTCGTCTCGTACAGCCTTCAAGAGGAGGACCATGTTGGTAGCATCATCCTCGTTGGCTGGGTATTCCCAATCGATGTCGACGCCGTCGAAACCCCAGTCCTTCATTAGGGTGACCGCAGACTTCGCAAAGGTGGCTCGTGTGGTGGTGCTACTGGCGACCGCAGCAAAATTCGTGGACCAGGTCCAGCCGCCGATGGAGAGCATGACCTTGAGCTTTCGATTGGCTTTCTTGAGGAGATAGAGCTGTTTAATACATCCGTAGGCATTGTCGTTGCCTTCGACCCAAGCTTGAGCAGAGCAAATGGGGAAACGTAAGCGAAAAGGGAACTTCTTGCTTTGTGATAGACGTGGAAGCTAACAGTGAAGGGAATGAAGGAAATGAATAGCGAGGAATTGGGAAACAGCATCCGAGGGGTGTATTACTTACAATCGCCGTCGTAATGGTTCTCGAGATCGGCGTAGGTATCTTCTGTATAACTTGACAGAAAAGCAATTAGTGATCCGCAATACACACATCGCCGACAAGTACATACACTGTCCCATCCGCTTGCACATTCAAAAAAGCATAGAGAATGTGCGTCAGATGCGAAGCCGGAAGGTCTTGAGGGTGATAATCCCTCTGGTAGATGCCCCTGTGATGGGTAACCTGTTAGTCTCGCTTCCGTGCCTCTCGCTCCTATGTCTTCTCCTAAACGTGACGCCCAAGTCTGCATCACCTACCAGTTGACAAAATAGACCATGTTGATGTATCTAGTGCCACGTTTCAGAGGCTCGAGCTGATGTCGCTGCAAGACATCGGGCTCTGCGAGACCCAATAAGATTTGGAGCGTGATCAACAACGAGATCAGCTTGAAGCGGGTGAGGAACATAACTGCGATCGGAAGATGGGGTGGAGGCTGTTGTGAGATGCTCAGTGGTTAGCAAGCTAAACAGCTGTAGTACTGCAATTATATTTTGGTGTTCAGCGGAGAAGAAACCGCGCAGCTGGGCAGCCTCTAGAAGCTATAGGTTCCGATCGTCTTAGAAATTGGTTAAAGATAAGCCGGCCCATTTAGGACGGTTGCCAACCGCAAAGACACCTGCCCCTCGCGATATACACCCCGGAACGTTGATTTTGGGACGTATATTATTATTCGACGGCCGATTTCTTCTAGCATTTGAGGACTGTTGTATTAAGCCTTTCGAGTTCACCAGCCAGCCAAGCGGCCTTTTTCTCGCATGGAGGTAGCAGCCTATGTTACGCAGAGTGATGCGTAGAAGACCAGCACCAAGGTTATCCGGTACAGTACGGTATCGGCTGCCGACTGACCTGTTGGAATTGCATTATTTCCATTAATACGCTAAACCTTGTCGTTGTGCGGGTATTGACATAGAGCATGATTCCACCCTCATCAGGCATATCGAACCGTGCGATGCATAAGCAGCAAGCTCTGTATGTGCCCGGAGCCAGAGGCTGGATGATGTCCACGATGACCTAACATGAAACAGTGTCGATGTAGGCGGTGTTTCGAGGATGGGCCTCTTGCACGGCATGGTCAAGGCTTCGAGGGTTCATCGGGTTCCCGTTGATGGGGAAATAACGGGAGATGAGATCCCTGGAGTCGTAGGTGCGCCACACGACTCTCCTCACTGCTTTCTGGCGCCAAAGTTGGCAAGAATTTTCCTTGACCCAAGGCGCTACGACGAGGATCACGGTGTAGGTGCGCTGCAAGGTGTTGTCATGAACATTTGGTTGGACGCGCAGCAGACGGAGGAGACACAGTTTGCCTCTGACAATGTTCCAACGACGGCAGAGAGAAAGGAAGAAGGCGAACTCGATATCTAAACTACATCTTGCCGTTCCTTAGACCTCTAAAGCTTAGCCTGCAGGAGATAAATATCGAATGCATTTATCAGCCAGGGCGAAGGGTTCTATTCCATTCGTTCGCCTGGGAACTTTTTCTAGCCTGCCGTACTCCATGCTCTTGTCCTGGCCTCTATTGAAGGTAGGGACTCCGTCGCCATATCGGACCTGAGATGATCCGCCACCTGTTACGAATTAGACGAGGTACTCAGACGGCATGGAGAGAAGCGTACAATGGCATCCAAGCTTGGAACATCCTGGCCTTCCGGAATGTGCATTGCACAGACCCATGTGTGGTGGATGGGATTCCTGTAGACTAGGACACAGGCAGTATGGCCGTCTACTCCGAATTCAACGCTCTTTTTCGTAAGCGTGCGACCCCTCTTTCTGATAACGGCCTTTTGTTTCTCATCGTGCTGGTATAAGCTCTCGGTTATGGCAAGGGACGGCTCTGTTGAGGTCGGAAAAGCAGGTCTCGTAACCTCGGGTTCGGGCTCCAGTTTCACTACCGCCAGACAGCGTCTCTTTTCTCTGGTAATTCCGATGTTGGCGTCCTGCTTTCTTTTAACCTACACAGAATCAGTCACATAATTCCCGAAATCGATCGTAAAATCCCTACCACGCCAGACTTTGCCACGGACGAGTGCGGCGATGGTAAAATCATCGGACGAAGTCTGCCAGCGCGTCTTGTATGGTAACCGTTGGGCTGCAAAACTAACTCCTCGGCTGCTGCATCCGGTTGGTCTGGAGAGGAAAGCTCGTTGAAGTGGCCAGAGAGGCGAGCGATGTGCCCTTGGTCTCCTATTGGAGAAAACAGCTCTGTGGCCAATCTTTGCATCGTTGGAAGGCCAAATATGTTGACCAGATCCCCAATAATCTTTCTCGCGAGTACCTCGGTTCCGTAATCGTAGGCTTCTTGCTTCTGCGCCCTTGTAGCAGCGTGATTAAGCTCTAGTTCCTTGATGTGTCGGCCATCCGAAAGTAATGCCAGCTGAACTAGCGATATATCATCTTGGGAAGGGTCGAGAGCAAACTGTTCCAATCTCCTCCTCGAACGATCGCGAAGAATGGTCAACTCTTCGTGAAACGCAGCATTCGGTTCCTGAATCCCTTTGAGATCTTGATCCCAGTTGGAGATGGAATCCCGCAACCTGACGGCACGACTCGAGCACGCCATGACGTTCAGGGTGATGGGCTTCAAGAAAAGTGGCTGCCTCAAGCTTCGTACTGTAATCAGATTAGGTTGATAAGGTGCTTTTTTCTTTCCCAAGCGCCGGTGAAAATTCACAAGTTGTGGCACAGTATTTCACTTATTTGCACGAGAACGCAGGGGCTACTTGAACGATGTGCTTTGTCAATGAAGCCAAAAATGGATCAACGTTCTGGAGAGTTTTGAGACGATAGGCGCTTGCAGATGCGCTTGGTGGAGCCTCGAGTATAATTTCGTTTACCTAGCACGTATGATTGCGTAGGGTACCAACACGACAAGTTACGAAAATGACAACCGCAGCTCCCTTTTGTTTATACATTTGAGAGTACCTTAAACTGTACACCTATGCGAGGCGAGAGTTTGATGGTATTTCTGTCACATTCTCTCTAGACCGGTCCTCGCACTCCCGACTAATCAAATCTGGTCGACTATTGTCTCTGTTTCGAATGCGTAAAGATCCCTTGGTGCATTGTTAGATAAGACAGTAGCAGGAGCAGTTGGTGCGCTATTGTCCGTAGCCGTCCCCCGCTCATTGATGCCCGCGGAATGGCTGCGATGCATCCAATAAAGACGCCTCGGGCTATGCATAGTGAATGAGTGAGAAAGTTGGCGACGAGCTCCTAAGCATCGGATCGTGCAAGGAGGGCTGGCTGCGTCGTGGTGTAAGAAGCTTTATTTGGGGCGCGTCGCTGCGGCTGTAGAAAGCCCTCACTGCCTGACTTGGTGGATCTCCCCTGAAAAGAAGTCCAACATGGCCAGACTTACCATTTTGCGAGCCGGTGGGAGGCTCATCAGCCAATTCTGCAAGACCCCGCGCGATTTGTGAAATTCCGTGGCGGTCCAAATGTCTTACGTCATTGATGGAACACGGAGGAGGGACGGCGATTATAGTTTGGAGGTGGTGAAAAGTCGAGAAAGCGGCAAAAATCTCCTTCAAATTTACATTTGATGGGAAGAGAAAAGCAACATGTCGTATGCGGGATGCCATATCCACCTCGAGACAGGGCTCCCTCGCTGGCGTCGCGGAAGAGCGTGGAATGCCTTGTATCAGGCAGATTGTACGCTGGAGGCAGACATTGACGGGAAAGTGTTCCGAGAAGCGACAACTGATCATGGCCCACTCAACAGAAGCTTCTCTGCAAGCTAGAGCTACCGACGAGACACTAGAATATTGGACAAGCTCGCAATTTGCAGGATATGCCTTGATGGATATCACCGACATATTTGCACCCAAAAGAGCAAGTTTCCATACTTGACGCCTTATTTCAGGTGGCATGGAAGGGAACTTTGGGAAAGATGATATGCAGGACATGGGCTTTGTCCGGTCTTTGTGACCTCGTTTGTGCTCGTTGTTGTCATTAAGGTTGGCTAGTACATGAAAGATCGCTGGGCACGAGGCACCTCAGGGTATTTCAGTGTCGATGCAGAGTTGATTGATATTGGCCGTCATGAGGAAAGGCCGCGGCCATTTTCGGCGAGTCCTTTGCACTCGAGCCGAAAGAGTACTTAGGTAATCCCGTAGGATAGTAGAAGGGAGGATTAGGGTTTGCTGTGTGCAAAGGTGTCTGCGGATGGAGGCTACCAAAACAGCGAGGTTTGAGCGTCCCCGGACAGTTCGGGCCGGATCGAACTAGAGAGTATCATCAACGGAGGCGTGACAAAACGGATCAGGCGCAGCTCCTTGACGGACTGTACCGTTCACAGCAACCTCATTCCGCATTTCCTCACTTGTCAACACCGTCGATCTCCATGCTACCGCCAAGTCTCAAAACGGTTCTAAGAATTCGGTCCAGCTGGTTCCACACCTCGTCATTACGAGAAGAACAGGAGCGGAAACTCTCTCCCAGGACCAAACAAAAACAACAGGCGAAGAGACGACATCCAGCCGAGCCGTTGATTCACCATCGACAAGAAGACCTGCGCAGGTCCGTCCGGGGTGGTTTACTTCTATGATACCTGGGCCGGATGTATTTACTCTACGAGACTCAGCAGCGGGTGGTCGCGTCAAGAAGCCGGGGGTTCTCGAAGAATCTCTTTCAGTTCTCGAAACTTCTCATAAGATACGACAAGAGAGAGAAATCCATTAAAAGACACCAGGTAATAATGGCAGAGGGAGTGTGGCTGCACGAGGAAGCCGGGGCAGAGATTTGACGTCAGACTTTCTCTATGTAATGATATTCCGTAGCGAAGCATATCAAAGGAGCAGTATCGGTATTCTGAGTTCATACCTAGTAAGCCATGCTCACTTAATGTGGAAGAATCGATGATAACGTCCCATTGTTGATCGCCACACAGCGGCCAATGCACGAGTCGAGAATGACGTGGAGTGTGACTAACGTAGTTTCTAGAGCACGAACCCAAGTTAAGTGAGAAGTAAAGCTTAAGTTGCTTGGTACAGGAGTATCTGAGTGAAGTTTGTAGCCAGGAGCAAGCACCGCCTGTCCATTGGCTTGTAGGAGAACCGTGACATAAGCAATGTAGCTTATGTTAGTACCCATCCCATGTTTGCCAGAAGCCCTTTGCTCTGCATATCTCCTGTCGCCTTTCGAATTACCAGCCTGACTGGGTCGAGGGGCGAATGTGCAGAGGCAAACGTATCAGGCGGAATACGCGGGTAGAGGAGGTTGGTCGTTTGGGATTGCAGCCCTGTTTACGCTTTCTTCCAAAGCCATTTCATATGTGGGAGGAGCTGCATCCTGGTTCGTCTGGCATGATCGGTGAGCGTACCGTGCGACTCCCGTTCCGTTCATAATTCCAACAGGAGGGCCAGGACGGCTCGAATCGTAGTTGAAATTGCCTGTATCACGTTCATCCGCGGTGCTGACAGGTTCGGGTTGGGTCTTCGACTGGAGATGATTCGCGATCTGGTTTTCCACATCTGCCCTCTGCTCTACCGTGACTTTCTCAGTCTTGTGCATTCTGCGCCGACACCCTGTTTTAATGCGTGCCCAGGCTAAGGGAACCCAAGCGAGAGAAAGCCAGGCATTCCGACTTCCTCCATGGCGCGTGGAGTGAGAGGCAAATGCGCATGAGCCAAGCGATATCAAACACAACAACACCAGAGCAATAGGCCAACACAGCGCGAGCATCGAGGCGGCGATAATGGCAAGGCTCCACAGGCGTATGTCTGCCTTGAGACGCGGCCATTTGTGAGTAGCGTTGACGAAAAGTATATGGGCAGTCAATACAGCGGGTAAACCCCAGAAGAAGATCGAAATCGTGGTTACGATAATGATCTCGGCTGGGCCCATGCTGAAAAGCCACTCACGGTTGTTGCTGTTGTTGTAGAGGCCTAGTGAGCATGTGTATGGAAGGGGATCGGGTAGACGTCGTGGTATGGTTTCGCTCGAGCCCAGGTGTCAGTGATACGGGACTTTCGAGAACTGTTACTTATGTACTCCGACCTTTATAGCGTGAAATGCTTCATGTGTGATGTAATATCTATAAAAAAAGGCATCCAGCCATTCACTCAAAGCATACTGTACTTGGACTGGTATGTCTTGTAGGCAAGTGAGCCCAATGAACGATTGCGTTGACAATATCATTGGAGTCCATCCCTTTTCTGCCCTTGAAGATGCAAACGGGGTGGCGAGCAAAGCCGGTATAGGCCGAGGTGACCATTGATGAGTCTACCTTCAGCCGACTAACACGCGATGTTGTTCGATACAGGGTAAGATCTGTTACGTATGGACCGAAGCAAGAAAACCACACGTTCAAAATCATCCCAACCCGGCCCCCAATGACGCGGAAAAGGAGGCATGCAAGTACCTCCTTCTACTTCACAGAACCCGGCCTGAGTACCTCATGCAACAGCCAGGATAACCCTTGGCTTTATCGCAGCGAGCAGCAGGTCCAGGCCGAATTTCTCCCAGAGAGCGACCCTCTGGCTGGGGTGACACGTAGGTCGGACACTAGCTCATGGATCACTAGATGGAGCAGGAGTTGGATCATCGCAGTACCTGTTCCTACAGCTACCCTCGCGGAAAGGTTGGATTCTGTTCATTACAACATGTGTAGTTTCACATGCAGAGCGCTCATCGGCTATGCAGTAAATAAACAGGCGTTCCAGTTGCATGAAGGTCCGGGAAAGGGGCCAGGCAAGTCGAGCGACTTTGCCTCCAACTGCCATCCAATACGCACTGGCAACACCCGGGGTATTAACGTGGATTATTGGGCCCATACGATATGCCTAACCTAATCGAACATATGTCGTAGTATCTAAGTTTAACAACTTCATTTCTTAAGTCGTGAATTTCAAATTTAAGCCTCTGCTAGCTTTCTTACTATCTATTTCCTGCGTTACCTAACTTTCCCTTACAAGTCCTATGATATCTATAATGAAGAATACTTTCGAAGCTTGCTTCTTCCTGCTTATAGCCTTCCTTGACCGTTGAAGGAGATCGTGGCGAGTCCCGAGCACGATCCGGGAGCATTTACGCGTCTATCGTAGCCTGCACTTTATATATCAGACATCCGGCCCGAGCCGTCCCTTCAATTCCGATACTATCTTTACCTAAAGGAGTGTAAGTATTGATGTTAAGACGACGGAGGCAACTTATATGACTTCCAAATCTGGTAAAAGATAGATTGGCATGATGGCCCATCCGGTCCCAGTGGTTGCCTTATTTTTTGTTCATCGCCCACGCAGTCCTGAGCCCATGAAATAGAGTAGTCAAATTTTACCCCCCCAGATGTCGTTTATTCTGCTACTCGGTCCGGCACTCTTAGCTGTCATGCTTCCTTTCCCGGCTGGTCCCTCACGCCAGGTCTTTGCAGTCTTCGCCACACGTGCCTCACAAATCTTCGCGTGTCCTAGCAACTCTTTTGGCTTCAGGCAGACCATGTCTGACAGAGTGGTCTGGCTTGCTAAAGCTGTCGTCACTCTCGTCGTCTTGGCCTTTTCCGATGGGGATGTAATAAAGCCAGTTGATCGTTCCGTCTCTTTCGTTGGTTCGCTATTTAACACGGGAGATGAGTTGCCGGACGTAATCGTTCGTTCTTGTCTCGTATTCGTGGTCGGTGCCGTGGTTGTTTTGATTGCAGACGTCTCAGCCGAAGACTATGTCCTGGTCTTTGCCTGGTTCTTTTTACTTGTTGTCTTCTCCGGAGCCTTGGTGTCCGAGGTTGGCTCCTTGGTACGTTGCTCCGCTGGTGTCGGTGCATTGGAGTTCTTTGTAGTGCTTTCTTCTGATGCGTCTTTGCTAATTATGGATGTCGCCGAGGACGCCGTTCTTGGTCCCTGACTCGGCGATGTTTCTGTCAACGCATGATCGATCGATTCGTTGTCCTTCATGGTCGACGATTGCGATGTTTGGGTGGAAACTTTGCGTTCTTTCTGTCCATCAAGTCCTGAAGATGGTCCCGAATCGCACTTCGTCTCTGATCCTTCTGGCCAGACAGTCTTCAGAGATGTATCTGTTGTTCTGGTTGGTGATGATGGATCTTGAGTTCTACGCGTTATCAAGGTCGATGCAGAAGCACCTTCTGTAGGACTGGTGTTGTCCGCCAACATGGACGAGGCTGTCGATGCCAGTTTGCCAGATGACGAGCCTTTTGATTCATGGGCGGTTTCGGATAACTGAAGTAAAGGGGGGCAGCCATTGGTCCAAACAGCCGAGTGCCTGGGCTTCTTGAGCGGAATCCGATAGAAGATGTTTGGATAGATCTCGTCAATATTTACTCCAGGATTCAGCGCTTCGATTTCCTCCCGTCTACACCGAGCTCATTTAATACCGGCCGGAAGGATTGGCCATCCTCGGGGATCCAATGACCATATTGCAAAGAGCAAGCCTTGGCAAGTGATATATAGATCAATATACGAAGCTTTTTCATGTTTTTGATAGCTCGACACATGGCTCCAGATGGTCTCCGTAGCTTCACGTACTTATGTAAACCCAAAGAGCCATGCGATAAACGGACGCGGAGGCACCAGGGAATAGGTGATGGCTCTTTTTTGCTCCTATCCTGCCTCCATCTAGAGTGTCTCTCTGTAAGGAGGTTCATTGGTTTGAACCTTGCCATATGCAGAATACAGAAGTAGCCGGGGATTGGCCTTAGTAAATCGTGCTCTCTTTCGAACAGGCCTTCCTTTGGTTGCCGGAAGATATACGCGGGCACATACGCTTCTTTCATCAATCGGTATGTTCTGGATCGAGACATGACTTGACATTCGAATCGCCCCTTGTGCACGCTAACTGGCAGGGCAAAGCGCAATCACTTCTCAAGTTCTACATGTACACAAGAATTTGCCATGGAGGCAGAGAAACCGACCGAAGCGACGGAAGTCGTCATATTGCAGGTATACGAGTGGCTCTAAGCTTTAAAATCTGGAAAGACGCAGTTTGAAAATATAAACGTCGAAAGGCAATGGGTAGCTTTCGAAGGCATCTTGAGCGTTTTTTATCCCACGTCTTTCTGCCGAATTCAATGACTATAACAGTGAAGTATGCACGTACATACAGCGGGACATTCTTTGGATTTGGTTGGGGCTGCTGCAAGCCCATTTTGATTAGAGCTCGTCATCATGAGAGTCGAATCCGGTCGAGATCAAAACTAGGCAATAATTCGAGACAATGAGCCGCTATCTGATGTCTTGCCGTACCTACCAAACAGACCTTTCCATCACCCTAGCTCTTCGTTCTGGGATATGCAAACATACAAATAGACTTTAATAGGGCATAAGTTACTCTGCAATTTGGCTGTGTCCCCTTTGGCTCCCTACTTTTTCGATTTAGCTTAGAAACGACCCTGCATTCACCGTTCACACCAGGCTTGCAGCATCATTCCCGCATTCCGCTCAAGGACCAGCCTCTTTCTCAGCTGAAATGTATCCCAAGTATTCCGAATTAGCGGTCTCCAACGGTGTGGTCGCGAAAACGCGGGTCAATAGAGATGTCCGGCTTGTTCGTCGCCACTGGAGGCTAGCCATTGGGGCTTACTTGACCATGGTCCTGGCCGGTACTATGGCGTGCGCTACGTTCGGTGAGTTGGGGCGGAAAAGCTTGGTGCTATTGACACTGACATAGCACTTTGACAGCGAATGTGAAACCTTTCGACCTGGCAAAGAGGTCGTGGGGAGGTTTCGAGGAGCGCCCCACGACCGCCAAGTGTTATCATCAGGAGCGGACCGCTATGATCCTGTCTTTCCTGCTGGGCTCAATCGGAGTAGATCAATTCTACGCCCATCATTGGCCTCTGGCCGTTTTCAAGCTACTCACTCTTGGTGGCGGCGGAATCTGGTGGCTTGTTGATGTTATTCTTTGGATGGTTGGTGGCGTTTATGGAACTCCTGGCTGCCCTGGTGGGAGCAAACATGGCTGGCAGTACTAGATAGCAAACCAGGGACGGCTCGCCAACTTTGGGCTCTTGCGATACGAAAGGGAGAATCGGGATAGGTTTTGAAGCCACCGTCTGTGGAGTAGCCGGCAAATCTAGGGGCTGGACATTTTCTTGAAATAAATTTCATGCTGGATGAGGAGGTTAGAGTTGTGACTATTTGGCCCTGTTGAGAGTGAGGATGTCAATATGCTCGAAAAGGGATGTGAGACACGCCTTAATCTACGGATCGGTTAATGAATAATGGGTAGCCAACGCACTTGGTCGCCCGCGATGGTGGCCTAGATCCCTTACATGTGTGCACTAGAGGGACGAGGTTTTCCCAGCAGCTGAACAGGGCGTGTTTGAAATTTTATCGACATGTCCTATGTCCGTAGCCCGTTTCTCAGAAGACTACCTTCTTCTCCAAGCGACTGCCAATAGTTCTCTTGTTAAAGCGAAGATCACATCAACGCACCAGAGGCATTAGCATCATCAATTCCATACACGCCACCCAGCAGACTATTTGTTTAGAAAACTATCGTAGAGTGCGTTAAAGACGCGATAGTGTTTCATAATAGAAGCGATCGGCCAGTCGAGGTCGCTTCTGCCCCCATCCGGGCTCGTGTTTCATCGTCTCTGCTTTCCACCAACTCGGTTTCCCATCGACAACTCGTGTCCGCCGCTCGTCCCGCGACTCTTGTGGGCTAGTCTGTTGTGCCAAACTTTGAAGGATTTGACACGCTTCAAGGTCGGAATCCTCCATTAACGTATGTTTCCTTTTCTCTGCAACTGAAGTTAGCTGATTGCGATTAGGTGTCTAGTGATCTCCTTTTTCTTACTGCTGAATGGGCCATCATGTGGCGGTAGAGGTAGCGGCGACGACGGCTGAGGTTGAGGCCTCATCTCTGTTCGACTCGGAAAGCTAGGCCGTAGCAGAGTAGCAAAGTAGCAGAGCTGCGCTCGTCTTCTTCTCCGGATCACCTCCTCTGTTAGAAGACACGTTGTACCAGGAGCGTCGAAGGATTGTGATGGGTTTTGCGGTGTGGCCAATATACTGTGGAGAAGCAGCGGCTGGTAGGGTTCGTCTAAGTATCATATCGCTGTTGAGGTTTGGGTTCGCCAGTTATAAGCTGTATTCATCTGACTTGCCAGAATTATCCGCACAGGACAAATATTAGCCACTAGGCATGCGAATTCGCCAAGCAACGACGTAGGCCTCTAGAGGGTGGCTGTCTACTGTGGGTCGTGTATATCTTGGCAAGATCTCATTAACACCGTCTAAAGTTGGCCCCAAGCGTCTCGAAGGACGTCCAAAAAAAAACCCCCATAAAAATGAAGGAAAAAAAATAAAGGCATTAAGCCGAGTCGATCGTGTACCATGGTCTGCGAGTTATCGTCCCTGGCGGGGATAATAGTCCGTCCGTCTGTCTTTTCTTTTTATCCCACTTTATTTAAATTGTTCGTATTGTTTCGAAATATACGTCCAAGTAAGAGAAATCGCAACGAATCATCCTATCACTCCCAGCCCCGAAAGGAATAGCGTCGGCTCACTCCAGTCTAAGCTGTTGCAATGCGCGAGCTGTCCGAGAAAGTTATAACTTGCGATGTTCTGATTGTCGGTGGCGGTGCAGCAGGTCTGACTGGCGCTGCAACAACCGGAGGGCTCAAGACCATCCTGGTTGAAAGGCAGAAAACGTTAGGAGGCAAGGCAACTTTGTCAAGCGGAATGATCTGGATGCCAGGAAATCCGACCGCCGAGTCTTGGCATGTATGGAAGTCTCGTCGACTCACAGATGGAAAAGAGCAGGGAAAAACATATATCGAGAACGCTGTTGCGATGTCCGACCAACACGGCAACGGCGTTTTGTCGACAACAGCCCGGAGGCGCATCGACGCGTTTCTAACCAAAGGGCCCGAGATGATTGATTTTCTCCGTGGCCGGGGGTTCAAGTGGATGAAAGCGCGCTCAAGCTTCCCCGACCATCAACCCGGGCTGGATGGGGCACTGCCAGCCGGCGGCCGTACGCTCGATCCGGCCGTCTTCGACGTAGCATCGCTAGGTTCGCTAGGGGAATACCTATCCCATGAGGATAAGGCGCCTCTGGTTTTGCGATTTGAGGACTTTCGTGTGTTGACACGCCCATTTGCATCCGTCCAAGATTTCCTCAAGGCCGGCCGGATGCGTCTGAGGTCCTCGCTCTACTCTCTCTACTTCAAACGCCCGGCATCAATGGGACGATCGCTCGTTGCGCAGCTGTTATCCATCTGTAAAGGTGCTGGGAGCACTGACATATACACCGAAACAGAGCTTATTGAACTATGGTATGACGATGGCATCGTCATGGGCGGCTCCTTGAAGAGGGGAGAAGAGACTTTTAAAGTACGAGCACTACGCGGCGTGCTTCTGGCCACGGACGACTTCGGCGAGTACCGAGGAATGTCAGATATTGGATTTCCATTAGGCGGCAACGAAGACAACAATCCGAGTGATCCTCAACACGCCGATGGACATGCAGTGGCACTATGCCAGAGTGTGGGGGCAGAGTCGTGCGTGACGCGTGAGGTTGGGGGAATTCCAACGATGAAGGAGCCGCGCACAGGTAGAACGACTCAGGCGATATTTGAGATCTCCAAGCCGTTCTCTATCGTCGTCGATAACCAAGGGAATCGATTCTTCGCGGAGTCCAGACCGCACGGCGATGCGGCCAGGTCCATGTACGCCAGAGCCGAAGGACGCGTAGCCCAGGATGCGAGGGCTTGGCTAGTTCTGGACCAGAACTATCGAAAGAGATATACGCTGGGTGGTACCCATCGATGGACTGACATTACAAAAGCTCTTAGCGAGGGCATCCTCCTAGAAGCGGATACTGTGGGCGCCTTGGCAGACAAGATGGGCATCGCAAGGCAGGCACTCGAATCTACCATCCGACGCTGGAACGAAATGTGCGGCTATGGAAAGGATATCCATCACAAAAGAGGCGACGACGACTACCAGAGGATTATGGGAGACCCAAGAGTTACGCCGAATTCCTGCCTGGGAGCCATTGAGCGCGCTCCGTTCTATGCCGTTCGGATTTCTCCCGGCGATGTTGGAAGAAAGAAGAGACTCTCGACGGACGAACACGGCAGGGTTTTGCAATCTGATGGGAGGGCCATCCCAGGTCTCTATGCTGCGGGGGACACATCCGCTTGTGTTCTGAGAGCCGCATCTCTTGGTGCCGGCGGAACGCTTGCATCAAACATGGTGTTTGCCTATTCTGCCGTCCAGCACATGTTGCAATTGCAGGGTAGCCCGATGAGGAACCGAGGACTCGCAGACGAGAAGACCATTGACGCGAGCGAACTAGAGCGGAGCCAGGATTGATTAAGAGTTTCCAATTAGCGATCATATAATACCTGAATTTGGCATCTCATGCTAAATGGCCATCAAGCGGTGAAATGATGGGATCATCAAGTAGCAATCAATCCCCGTCCCGCTCCCCCCTCCCTTTTTTTTTTTTTTTTTTTTTTTTGGTTCATTTTCTCTGTCCCGCTGGTTTTTGCCTTGCCTGCATGCTTAACAACGCCCCTATGTACATAGATAGAGTGGACGTTAGGTCCCTTTCTCATTCTCGTATCTTGCCTGCGCCCCAAGTGAAATATCTTTCAGAGTAGAAGCAGACAGACCATCAGTGTTTTTAAGGTACTGCAGACTTGGTCCCTGTCTCAGCTTCCGCACATTTGAGATAAAAAGGTGCATCAGACGTCCTAGTCCCAGTATTCATCATCATCGGAGCCGTGTCGGTCTTTCCAACTTTCGATCTGATCTTGCATGAGCTCCTGGAACGAAGCCGTGCCCTGTTCCAACCTTCTCCAGGATTCAAATGGCGGCCCATCCCACCAAGCTGTAATATTGTGCGGTTCGCCAATGTAATCATCGCTTCCACAATTCATTCGCTCCTCCTCCAGCCGCATTTTCCAAATGCTAAAGCGATCCCCAAATTTATCGATCAATTCTTGAACAGCTCCAGCCATTTTCCGAATGGTATCCTGTGTTTCATAATCGGTGCCATCCAGAGCTCCTTTCGCCCAAATCTCCACCTTCAAGCAATCGATGTTGGTGAATTCAAGCGAACGGCGCAGGTATTGGGCTATTTTCGAGCCGTCCATTCGCCGCCGATCAACTCGAATGATGACACTCCGAACGACCTCTTCAACCGGGACGGCATCGTTCCATTGTCCAAGTTGATCAGCTAGAAACTTTCCGATCCAATCTGCTGAAAAGACAAATTCTGTCCTTTGGTAGAAGAAACGCCGAGCTTCTTGAATCAACCGCCTTTCCATTGTGCCATGTCCAATGTGCCGATCGAGTACTTTGAAAGAATGGAAAAACTGGAAATGGGGGACTTCGTATAGATAAAAATCATCCAAAAACGATCCGTCACAGTCTCCGAAGAGCTCCTTCCACCTTTTGAAGCGGACCTCTTCTGGCAAAGCTGCAAAAGCTGCAACAGATGATTGACCGAGCAATTCCAGCATTGCCTTATAGCCTAGAGGACTTGGCTCGAGTTGGCGTGATTGTGACACCATTACTTCCTGGAGGTTCAATACCTTTTTTAACCACGACTTCAAAACTTCATTCAACGGGAGGTTATGATTTCGGATATACCTTGGATAGTTTCACTTACTTCTTGAGCCTTTTCAAGTTGTTCGCATAGTTCCTTCACATTCATCTTATCCGTCCGATCTGGTCGTTTAGATTCATTCTTCATTGTCGCACAGGCAGAAGAGCTTCTCCATGGATTGGCCGCTGAAAGAAAAACCGTCGAGGCTTGCAGTTCTATGGTCGGGGTGTTGAGATAATAATTCAAGAGCCTATCGGACACCCAATTCACAAGTGGGATTCCTAAATGATACGGATCAATGTGGCAGTGGGTGCATTAAGTACACCCAAGAAATCACGAGATAACCTGGATCGGCAGCTCTGTGCATTAGGATGAGCTTGTATTGGCGGGCCTATTATAACTCCTAAAACTGCCCAAGGTTGATTGCCGCTGCTCCGGTTGCGTCTGATCATGCCAACCACAAATCGGCCGAGTATAGTCAAGCATTCAAGATGGTAATGAACTTCATCACGGCTTTTGAACCAATCATAACTCGGAAAAACGGGCCTGCGCCGTTGGCCTGGAAATGACATTCATTTCCAAATTGACCATGTTTAGCTGGAACGTGAAACGCGATCCATTTCCAGACCTGTTGGGTCTGTGCCAACAATGTAGATGTCGATGACCGATGTTCCTCCTCGACGCAAGAGCTGGTTTCTCCTTTTCCCTCCGTTCTCAACAGAGAAGAATGGGTACCGAACCTCCTACTTCCAATGAATTCTTCGGTGAGCTCCAATCCTACGCTCTATCCTTCCCTCAGATCATTACGAAAGCTTCAAAGCTTGGTCTGAATTATACTCTACCAGAACCTGCAATTCTTTGCCGTCATTGTAAAGTTGCATTGAAAGAACATGGCGTTTCACGTCACCTTGGCGAGAAACATGATATTCCGAAGCCACTTCTCTAAGGCATCAATTCTCTTATACGCTCACTACATTTGATTCGCGAAGAGACTGTGAGGGCTCGCACCGAAAAGGCAAAGCTAGGAGCTGGCATAATAGGGCTTACGTGATCCCAAAGATAGACAGGAGCCAGGCAATGGACAGGCGATTGAAGCAGTGTTCTTATGTTCTAGCTATTCTCAAAGTGCACAACCCTGTCCCGAGCTAGCTCAACGATTCGAGGTAGCGCGATCGATGTCAGCAAAGACATCGGAAAGGCACTCTCTAATAGGAGGCAGTTCCATCACTACCCGCTCTAAGCCAGCGGGGAAAGTTGTTTTCGGTCCAGCTTTAAACCGGTGCCCTCGACTGAAGGGTACCTTCGAGATTCTATCTGTTCGATTTGGTGCTCTTGACGCTTGGTTCTTGTTCGTGTCTTTGTTGTGGGTTACGTGTGACAACCTGAACTTTGCCTGCGGCTGATTACTTTGACGATTTTCAGGGCGCCAAATGGACATCATGCTTCGTTGGTTGGGATATGCGACTTGAGTCGAACGAGTCGCTTGTCCGGGCTTCTTTTCAACTTGATTAGCACTGACATTAGATTGGTTCCTGCTGAGTTACCCACCAGAGGTTGTGATATCTGAGTCGACATTCCGGGCAGGCACGACGCTGTCGTTTGAGATGATTGTTGAACTTGCTGCGGCCAAGAGGCTCCTCCTACGGCGGGGGGAGAGGCCCCATACCGGGTGCTCCAGCCATTCCCGCCCTGTTTCTGATCCTGGACTGCCAACCCGGTAGGGCACGCAGGGTCTACTGGTGGCGAGGGTAAATAGGAATTATGCTCAGGGTGTTGACTCGTGTGGGTAGCCGGACGGCAGTCTCTCCAAGGGCAGCTTCCTTTGGGGGCTGGGCCCTTGAGGACGAGAGTCGCTGGGTTGGCCATTCCGTTCCAAGACGCCGGTGTTTGCCATTGGCTGTTATTGGCATTCAGAGGCCGACAGTGCCAGCCTTTTGTTGTGGCGGTCTGATATACCACGCTTCCAGGAGATGGAGCGGGTTGTGAGTTCCTGTGACGAGGCTTGTCCTGCATCTCAGCCATGTTGTACGACCGTCGGTCAGCTAGGCAGTGTCGGGCAAGTGTCTGTGCGGGATTCTTTTGGGCTCAGGTACGTTTGTGCGGGCCGTGACCTGTTCGATATCAGAGCACGTCTGTAGTTTGTGTAGTTTGAAAGAAGCAGATGATTAGAAGTCGATTTAACATTGAGACTAGCCGGGCGGTAGCTGGACATCACGATTCGATTTCACGGATGGTGAATTCGGCCATAGATAACTAAAACTGGCTGGTTTAAGAAGATGCCGTTTTGGGACGAAGGCTGTGGCCATATTACGACACCAGTGCATTGATTCTGTTGTCGAACAGGGTGTAGGCGGTCGAAGGGCCAGGACGGCCATTTATCGACTATCACCTGAGTGCGTTCTGAACTTAGCCGATGGCGTTTTCAGATGTCCGCACTCCCAGCCCACAGTCACGGAATCTTTTTTCTTTCTCGTCGCTATTTCCTGAAAATGATCGGACCACAAACCTAGCTGCCATAGAGTATTGAGGCCGGAACTCTGTAAGCAGGATACATCGGTGGCCGCCTGTCAACACAGCAAATCAATAAAGTACAAGGCAACTCAAACTGGCCGAGGCCATGAGGACACAGATATCTCATCTTCGTTCATGCCATCATCCACGTCCTCTTCTTCACTGGATGACAGCCACAAACAACGAAAGTCTTCATCCTCGCCGAACTCACGACAGGGCTGGTTGTGCGTAAACACAATGGAAATAGGGCTTGCAGAAGTCCCGGACTGATTCTTTGCTTTATTGTTGTCCTCTTTGCTGTCGGAAACTGGTTCTGCCATATCATCTGCCATGTCATTCTCAGCGGGCTGGATGGATTCGCAGGTACGGACAGGTATATAAGCAGCCGACTGTGTAGACGACTTCGGAAGGAAAGACTTTAGTCTCTTCCACTTGGTGATTGATTTCATAGAGCCATTAGATTTGTCGGTCAAGCGTTCACCGTCGCCGATCGTCGTATATCTTCTGCGACCCATCACCATTTACGTTTTACGCTTTAACGGCATCCACATCGGAAGATCGCATTTTAAGAGAGTTTTTACTCTGTATTTGATAGAACTGGCTGTCTGATTATGGATCCTCGATCTGAGCGTCACCGTGGAACCTTCCTCGCATATTGGTCAATTTCAACCCTTTCACCCTTTTCTTGGCCATTGACTGTTCTCCGTAGGTACGAAATGTGCCGTCTCTAGAAGTCCTGGGCGTTGCACTGATAGTTTGAAAGCTTAGGGTAGTAGGTGATGATGAATGCCGGCTAATAGTCATGAATTACTGAAACGGCCTCGAAGAAAAGAAAGGTTCTCAAGCCTCGAACTAACTGAGCACTAGTAACTCCCATAGCGCCACTAGAGGGCTGATGAGAGTTGGCGAAGACGCAGCGACTGGTATCATCCACGACGACAGACGAGACATTGGGGATGAAAGACATGGCTTCACTCACCTGTTCCGCTCTAGGGTTATTCATTGCTAGGATACTGTAGACCTCATCGGCAGCCTGATGTCGACGCCAATCCCCCGATCCGGCGGACCGCCCACGATGAGGATATGGCACCCCCTAGCTTTTCCTCTACCGTCGAAGCTTTGGACAAGAGTGGCTCTCAGAAGAGGAGACCGGCCGAATAATAATATACATCAGGAAGGCGGCTTTCTTATCCACCTGATTGGACAAGTTTTTCATTTTTCATTTGTTTATGCTCTTTTTTATCGTGCCGCATTTTTTATCACCCACATTTTATCCCCTACGTTTTATCCCCACTTCTTCTTTTGGGGTCGCATCCTCCTATCAACTGTCACGGGATAAGGCCATGGTATGGTGTTGCTAGACGACCATCAAGAGTCTCTGGCTTCATTCGTAGCGCAACTTTTTGCTACGGATTAGGAAATACTTTCCCTCGGCCATCATCGATAAAACTCATTCCTTGAATGTTCAAATGATTCAGCCGGACTGGATGACAAGCTGGGCTACAGCCTGGATGTGAGGATCATCGCTGCTCCCAACCCTGCCGTAAGCGAAGGCCGCCACGCCACTGCCGCAATGACAGACTGACCATAAGCCTCCCTTTCCTCTACCTAAAAGCGGCAACCCTTGTCCAACGCTTTTTTTCCACTCTTGAAATTCACCGCACACGGTTGTAGGAATATTTCCGTCCGGTAGTCAGGATCAGGCTCCTAAACTGCAGTCGATGGTATTTGCTTGCTGATTCCTCGGCTAGCCTTAACCTCTGCTGTCGTGACTGCTAGATAGTTGACAATTCTTGGGCGGTAATCGTGGAACAGACAACCCGAGGTTGCAAAACCACGCTGGCTTTCACCTGTTCGTGACAATTAGCTTAGAGTCTGGCAACAGACAACCGAACTTGCAATTTTGAGTAATCCGTTCCATAGATTTCTGGCAAGACGTAATTTACTCACTTCTTTTCTTGTAATTGGGGATCCATGAGACTGAAGACGTGCACAAGGTTGGCAGCTTGGCATAGTATTTGGGCACTTTCATTTGGACTCATAACCCTTAACTCAACTCTCAAATCACTACAAAACCTTACCAAAAGGCTGGCCACAACATCTTCCTCGGCATGCTAGTCATCTCTAGACTTGTAGCAGTTCAGCTCGACTGTGGTCCTTGCCTGAGTCATGCTCGTGGTCAATGCGACTGATGTTCTCTCTTCGTAGACATTCAACGAGCGAGGCGCGTCTTCAGCCAAAGCAGGGAAGGTCCACGACAAGGCAAAGATCCAGAATAATAAATGCATGACTCTAATCATACGGTGTGATGGGTAGAGGCTCCCCGGTCGAAAGGAGGAGAGTCTTTGTTCGCGGGCAAGCACAAATAGTGCGTTCGCTGTCGAGGTACGTGCATGATCTGATCTAGATCGGCCGTTGCAGAAGCATATCGGGGTCCCACCTATTTCTGCGGTTTAAATCACGATGAGCATCATTCCCCACCCTCAGATGCCCATGTGGTGAGCCACGAAGCAAAGAGGTGCCCTGGTCATCAGGGATAGCCTACGTCTATAGGAGTCTTTATTGGTCAGAATAGCTCCTACAACACCTACGATGGTCCTGTTTAGGACGCAAGGACTAGTATCGGCCAGCATCGGCCCCACCTGCCGCTGTCGTGCTCGAATGTGGTCATTTGCGCGCATCTCCACTGCTTCGTCATGCACAACCCGCTTTTGAAGGGCCTAATGATCCCAACTTCCTCATCCCGAAATCATTTCCGTGACGCCGAGTAGGTTGGGCAGTTTCAGTGATTGTATTATGGTATCGCAGATTCTCGATCCCATCACCCAGCTGGCGACCCGTTCTCTTCTCAGCAATTTTTCGTCGTGTGGAGCAAGTCACATTTGAGCGCGATACGTGCTAGTATCGCAGGCCAAAACGGGGCAAGACTGTCATCCGGCCCCACACGGCTGCACCAAAAAACCAGAGCAAACAGAAGGTCTAGACCTTCGTTTCCGGCTTTGGATGACAGGGGTGACCATAGTGAATCGACTTTTCGACCCGTTTTTGAAGGTCCGACCCCGGTGGTGCCCTTCAGGTCGCGATTTTTTTTTTGAGTGATCTGCGTGGAACCAACACCAACACCAACACCAACACCAACACCAACACCAACACCAGTGACCAACCACGTCATACAACACTGAGCAAAAATATCACCATTTTCGTTGACCAACCCATTTAAAATGGCACAACGCGAAGATTTTGAGCTTCTTAAGGCAGTTGAGAACGCGACCAACTATTATAAGCCAGCCCGAAAAGGCCGGCTTGGCGCCGTCCAGTGCGCGCCCGTCGAGTCAGTCAGTATCCGACACTCGTCTTGCCCAGTTGGACGATAGTGGCCGTATCTTGCCTTTCAGTCCAAGCTAGAGGAAGGTGAAGTAATGCCGTGCCGCGTTCGGAGGCTCGAAGTGCGGTTGATGGACGCGGCTACGCAGAGGTACTGGGAGTGAAGCGCTGCTATTTGGACGATAGAATGATGATTTAACAAAATTGAGACGATCGTTGGCAAAACCGGTTCCTGCATGGTTGTCTTGAATCTATTGCGTTACCGTTCAATATCTTGGAATCAGAAAAACTTGCAAACCTCCTCCCTTCACGTTAGCCAGGATATTCTCTTAGTCCTGATTCCGATGTTCAGTAACGAGACCAAGTCTACGCATGTTAATTTTTATCACTGTTACGAGGTATCAATTTCCATCTAGCAACCAAATCACTACCTAGTTTGGTTAGAGCAGCATGAAGAACGCTGCACTGAAAACCGAAGTGACATGTTACGTCTGACGATGGCGCGATGGGCGATCGACGGAGCAACAGCTGCGTGTTGGAATTCAGAATCAAAAAATGGACAGCCCAAGAACTAACCCGACGGAATGAATACGGCTACTCAAAATGTTACCAAGTTCAAGACCTGTCTCTCTCTTGAAATTGGCGCTTGATATTATGGTCCCATGAAATAGATTTTTTAATGATGGATTGGAGTTCGTTTGAGTGAGACTCTATCGCTGGTACTACTTGAACCAGTACCTCTTCAACCAATTTTCTGTAGGAAGAACATTCCAATTGAAGGATTCTGCGATGGCGCCTGAGTTCAGTGAGGGACATGGCATTTTGGCTCTCTGTGATGTCTTGGTGTTCTGGCCATTGCGCTATCCAACGTGTTGATGAAGTGGAATCTTGTCCCTCCTTCGCTATATGTCGGCAGGAGGTCTTGCTCTCGGGTGAGTGTCCGCGCTCTGGGTCGGTGCAGGTTTGCGCAACGAAACTAATTTCTCGCCCCCATGCATTGTTCGCTTGCTTGAGTATGACGTCTCCTTCGTCGATTGCTGAGCGGAGGCCAAGAGTAAGATGCTGCATTTGAGGTATCAGGAGTACCAGAACCTGAAAAACCAGCTTTCTATTTAATGCAATTGACTGCCTCAACTTCCCGTTTTCTCGAGTCAGCCTTACCACAAGAACTCCAAGTACAGAGCCCTCGCGAGCCCTGGCGGATTGCGGGAGAGTGCGGTGGTCCGGGCTTAGGATAGGAAAAGGGCTGGCCTCTTTCTTAGTCCTTTCTTGTGCACATCCACTACTTTCACATAATTGACTTGTTTTTCTACTGGACCACATATTGATTGTGTGATAGCTATTTTCGGCCTGTTGAGTCGCTTCGGCAGACAGCTGATGTCCTTCGACTGCCATTTTGCAGCCACCAATCGAAGAACACAACCTGCTAATAGGGCCTTGAAGTGATAACAAGAGATCCCTCAACACGCTGTTGGCTACAGTTTCATAATAGAGAGCCTCGTGCTGTAGCCTTCCATTCTCTTGATTCAACTCAATCACTCGTTCCTGGACTGAACCTCGTCTTTTTTTGGGTTGCATATGAGAAGACATGGAATCGAAAGCGGTTGTAGTACCGCCGTAGTGACGTACATCGTGATCTATCTTCTGTGGGGGAGGCGGCTGCTCATCCCATACCCGAGGCGAGCTCTGAGGACTGTCATCAGCTTGTAACAACATGCAAAAGAATGACACCAAATGAGCTTTGGCGAAATGACTTTAAATAACATTTTGAGGTCAATTTCCGGCACTTTTTCCAATTCCCTGTGAGCTTTGGCACGGCAAGCGCTTTTTTCGACTTGCTTATTTCGGCTCTAGCATAACGTAGGAAAAGGAAATCGAATGAGCTTCTGAATTCGCCGTTCAAGAAAGCAAATGGCATGGGTTTTGAAGATACTGAAACTGGCTCCTAAGATCTTATGCCACCGTACTGGGGGAAACTGGATTTAGTGCATATGAGGAACAAGAGCACCCATTTTGGTCCACGTGAGACCTTTCAGCCCAGCCATTTTCCTTTTCAAGCTCCATTACGTTCTGGGATTAGGAGAGCAGGATCTGAAAGTCCTTCATTGGTGTAATGGGACGGGTTTCGGAACATCAAAGAACGGCCCCTTTCTTTTTGACGTTACTGTGGGGGAGTAAGCCAACAGACGGGAAGTCTAGTGTGATGAATCATCCATTGCGGAGTTCAAGGTCTCGGCCGTTGCTTCCGCATAGGCGCTAGATGCAACTATCAACCGCCAAATGGCAGCTCCTCGTCCATTGTCGGACTTTCGTGCGCATATTCAACCCCAAAGTTTTTCAATAAGCGGCATGGCATGTTCAAAATATTTCGAAGTTTGATAAAAGACTCCAGCTTAAATAGGCTTTCTTTCTCCGCATCATTTCCCGTTGGTCTTCAACAAAACAGCTCTTACGTTGGACCACAGAACGCCATCGTAGGAAGCATGCGTCGTGCTCGGAAACCAAATGACTATATCGAAGCCGAGAGTCAGGTCTCTCCAACATATGGTAGGGAACCAAAATTTCAACTTCCCAAAAGAAAAACCTTAACCAATGACCGAGCAGATGACGAAACTGAATCCTCGTATTGTGACAGCTCTGGGAGTTCCGCAGTGCCTGATGACTCCGTGGAATACATGAAAACACCATCGCCACAAACACTCACTATGCAGCCATCACGGTTGAGCGCAAGATACAATCGAGCTAGGCGTCTCCGAAGGCGCCGTTTTATTGAATCAAGCTCAGACCTCAACCTCTCACCTTCTCCTTGCCCTCGGATGCGCAGTCCAGATGGAAGTTCGTTCATGGTGTATGGTGGTTCCCTTTCAGGTAGACTAGAAAGTGCTATCTTGGCTCTCGATCAGTTGAAGAGTTGTCTACAAGGTGTTAAGCTGGATATCGACCAGGACGATGGAGAAGCTGGCGAGTACTGATTGTATCAATGTCAGAATCTCTTGAAGTATCTACATCACCAGAAAGAAACTGTCATAGTCCTGCAGTATGATGGCTATCTATTCGTGCTGAAATCTATGTGTTGATATTCTTGGCCGTCATCGTGGGAAGACTTCTTCCCTACAGTCGTAGAGCCATGAAAGTTGGGCATCTGGCAGGCCCATGACGAGATTTACCATAGCTTGATTGTCTAAATTAGTCGTCTTTCGACTCAAAATCGAGACATGGCTGCGCTCTAGTCTGGAATGACATCTACGCGGCTAAAGTCCAGGCTTTGCTCAACATTTCCGCTTCAACAGACATCATTGAAAAGCCAGCGATAGACTTCACCTCTTCTGCCCAAGCAATATCCGGTCTCTTGGGGAGTTCCTAATCTTGCAGATCAGTTCGAGCAGTTTCTCCGCATATCTCGGCAGAAATCGATGCCTGCTTCCACACTCTGGGTTTTCACGTTTGTACTTGGGACATCTAGAATCTGACCGTCTTGCCCTCTAGATCGCTGTCAATTTTGTCGACTGCTTGATTTCCCATATGTTTTCCCAAGTCGATCGGTTGCAGCATCAGTCACAGCATCAGTCACACGATCGGAGCTCTAACGCTCACATTGGGCCTCAGAATTTTCAGATCATGCTCCCCAGAGTCTTCGACATTTCAATGGTTCCAGGATGGCAGCATCGACAGAAGCCCCCTACGCCATACACGTTGGCTGATCAAACGCGCAACGCGGAGATGATTATACGATCCTGGAATGCTAGAGTGGAGTCTGTTCTAACCACCGGGTCAAATTCGGAACTGCAACCGGATCGAAGCCGGCAGAAATGGCGGTGGGTAGCCAAGCAATCGAAGCACTACCGTTTAGGGAGCTGGATAAGCCGAGACATAATACCAGTCAGTTCAGTGCACATCATGCCTTACGCCAGGGCTGTCGCACCGATCCCGCGCAGCGAATTCTGGACCTGATTAGGGAAGCAGCTATGTAATGGGTTGGAGTGCGGGATTCGAAATGTCGAGGCTCCTCACCTGGCCATGAGCGGCAATGATTCCTTGACACCCGGACTCCTTTTGCCAATGCTCAAGTCCGAGGCCCGTATGGCTGTCATAAATATCTCTTCCATGGTTTGGTCACCCTTGATTGGCGTGCAATGGTAGATGTAGTTGGGCAGATGACGAAGCACATGGATTATAAGCGATTCGACGTATCGACCACAAGGCCGTGATAGCCGCCCGAAGGAAGGATATGAAGATGACGGACCCCAGGTGTCAACGCGCGAATTTCCGGTCATGTATTTGGATGGTGCGTCCTTGCCCAATCGGAGCTCGGTTGGATGGTTCTCTGGTAGCAATCTAGAGGTCTACGATCGCGAAGCTCGGCAACTTGTTCAAATGACCAGCAGCTGCATGATGGTTTGGGCCGAGCAGAGACCACAGCGGGAATCTCCCGACGGAACAAGTACATCCCTTTGATGACAGGGCACAATGAGAGAGACGAAATTCGCCGCGATAGTCACCCAGGGACAAATTCGAGGTCGCATTCAACTCGACACCCCGTACACGAGGTCCTTCTGAGCTTCGGGCAATCCGTGCCGCTCCATCTCTCTAATCACACTCGAGCCCTGTAGCAGATATCCTCCTCCAGCGGGTATGACAACTGCAACAAGCAGCCACGTTGTCTCGATGCTCCCAAGTTTCAAGCAATGTCTGGTGGTAAAAGAGAGTAACACAGTTGCAAAAGTTGACTGGTCCTAGTTCAACTCATGTGAAGAGCTTGGATTATTCTTGCTTCGACTCGCCTGCACCAAGAAAGCCACAGGGATGAAAACGAACCAACAGTTTCGGCTTTCGCCAGAACGTCAACAGTTTCACCTGTTCGAACCAGTCCGCTTCCTTGTCGACCAGTTCCCAGTCATATGAATACGCCATGGTGGCAAGAATCATTCTAGCCTCAAGATATGCCAGATTGATGCCCAAGCAGGCCCGAGGCCCAATGGAAAACGGACGACTGGCCTCCTTGTTACTCCTAGTATTCTCTCCAATCCAACGCTCAGGATGAAATTCATCCGGATCGGGGAAGTTCCGTGCATCGCCAGACATGACAAAGTTGTCGACTGATACTTCTGTGCCAGATGGGACATAGTACCCATCTATCGTTGCACCGGGACAAACCCGTGGAAGGCCGAGCGGGACTGGAGGAAATAAGCGAAGGCCTTCCTCAACAACAGCGTGAAGATATGGGAGCTTCTTTGTGGAATCTCCATCCATCTCATCCTCTGACGAGAAAGAAGATCGTACCTCATGCTGCAGCTTCTTCAGCGCTGCCGGCGTTGTCAGCAAGAAGTAAGTCACTCCAGCTAAGAAGGTTGCCGTTGTTTCGGACCCGTCCAGCAACAAGATCTTGGCTTGTTCCGCCAGCTGGTCCTTGTTAAAGCTACCGCGGCGAAGGATATAGGCGAAAAAATCCTCACGCGTACTCAAATCACGCAACTTGATACGTTGGTCGACCTTTTCTTCCGCCCGTATCTCATGGAGGTCGACGTTCCTTTTAAGATCACTGGGCATGAGCCAGAACAGGAGCGATTCTGGGATAGATAGTCTTTTGGCTGCATGAAGAAGGTGAAGTGTTTGATGAACTCCAGGATGAGGGAGACGTAAATGTCTGGCTTCCAATTGGCGACAGACTCGAAAGATTACCTAAATGTAAGCTCACCTACCCTTGTCAGCTAGTCCATCTTTGTGTCAGCGGCACCACGTACCAATGATGTCAAATGCGAGCCAATTGTACACGGTCGACATGTCGACACCCCCAGTCTTTAGGCTACCATGCTTGCCGATCTGATCAGTGAAGAGTCTCACATGACTTCGAATAATGTCCTCAGCCCCCCGTAGAGCCTTTGCACTGAAAGCATGAGAGAGAGATCGTCGCTGCGGCCGGTGCTGCTCGGAGTCGATGGTGAACACGATGTCCGGGTGCACGACAGATGGGCCTCGATCGTAAAAGACTCTGCTCTTGAGGAATGGCCTCTTATCCCCGACAACGTGGCTGTAGATGTCTTTGTAGGCTTGTGGAGTCTTGAAGACGTTATTAGTATTGTCATGGGCAAAACTAAGATCTCTTCTATGCAACAATACGTCTAAATCATCCAGTTAAGCCTGTTAAGTAAGGCAACCGTAAAATAATGGTTGTTATTCTACCGTAATACCACGTGGAAGTTTCATTCCGTATGAAAGTAATAGTAGAGCGGATCACCTATCTCTAGATCTTTATTCTATCGCTCCCTTTTAAGAGAATTGAAAGCAGGCGGACGCCAAAGATTATGTTATGAGCCTGTTGACAGACCGCAAAAATGCGTCGATATTAAACCACAACACCGCCCTAGCCGACGTCGTCGCCTCTATAAACTAGAGCGTCATTCAGCTCCGTTGTCGAAGACCACAGGCCTGCACCGTTGAGGAATAGTGAACCGATGATAAGAAGGCTGTTGAAAAGAGTCAAGGAGGCATTCTGCCAACTGCAGAACTTGACATTCATGTGAAGGGAAAAGATAGCACTAATCCCAAATGAGAACCAAGCTATCGTGACCGCCGAGGTCATTGAGACGATGGAATCGAAAACAGGAATCGCAATCGACAGGACAAAAGACAACGTCCAAAACGCCGTGGCGATGCTCATCCAAATTGACCATGACCTGGTCGTGTTGATCGACATCTCATCCACAATACCGTAGTGCTTCATGACTTCGACGTAAACAAACTTGATTCCTGTGTGGCCAAAGGCAAGGCCTTTCGACAGAACCGAGGGAATGACAAGGCCGTAAGCAATCTGAGCCAATGTCCCGGGAGCCGAGCCCAGCGCAGGCGATGTCGTGTATTCGCCGGCAAGGCAGTAGATGGATACTGCGACAAATACGTAGAAGCCGATGGAACTAGCTTCGAGCCAGGTCAGCGCGGCGTTGAAGTCTCTTTGCGGGTTGGTCATTTCGGCCATATAAGACACAAAGCTGACATTGCCGGAGAAGGCGTAGCAGATCTTGAGACAAGCGTTCAGGCCGTCCCTGAATGAGGGGTTCGCGAACCAAACAGGCGCTCTCCTCCATTCAGCTGGGGCGTTCACAGGCTTTCCAGCTCCCAAGGCGGCTATCACAACAATGGTAGCGGCCAGGATGCTAATGCAGGATGGAATGCCGCTCTGCGACACGAATCTCGCTGTACGAGGGACGCAGAGAATCCAGCAGCAGATGCAGCCGATACCGATGAATGCGGTCGAGCCGAGTGCATCATCACTGAGCAGCGACAGCGCCACGGAGAAGGTCACAGAGGCCGACGCGGCGGTCATGACGACCAGGAGGATCATGCCGAACGCCGTCACGCATGCGAAGCCTCGTCCGCCGACGATACGGGCCATATCGACGATGTTGAGCACATACGGGTGGCGGTCGTAAAACAGCTTGAGCTCAAACGCCGTGTACCAGGAAAGACAGCCCAGCCCGATGATTGCGACAGTGCCCGGAACAAGGCCAAGGGTTTTCAACACCCCGGGGAGTGACAAAACACCGAGGCCGACCTGGTTGGTCAACAGCACAAAGATGGCATCCCGGCGGCTCATCGTCCGAAGACTGGGGGCTAAGGTGGTGTTGTCGACCAAGTGTGGAATCCGGCCGTCGACACCATCACTGCTGTTTGTAACCCCAATGTTGGTAGTTTCGACACTGATTGAGTCGCTCCTTGGCGGAGATGAGCACACCGGCTCCTTTGCTTCCTTGTTGTACGAAGCCATACGTTCGTCTACCGCTCTGCGTGATGGAGTAGTCTGGGACTCCCAGCTCGGGTTTGACAAGTAATGCGAATTGGTCGGAGCAGAGCCAGGTGAGGCAAGTTGCAATGAACTAGAACGATTCTCTCGTGGCCCACAGTTTGAGCATGCCCTTTTACTTAATCCTCTGGCCCCGGTGTTTTAGATGGCCTGCATGGTTCTTTCTGTCTATTTTCAAACGGCTGGCTTCGAAATCGGATAGCCAATAAGGGCTGGGCAAGACAAATAGCACTATTTACCGACTATTTAGCCCCTCCCCCAATGTCCTGTTTTGTTTGCTTGAAGCGGCACCATGCGTGCATCATTTTCTGGGCCAACAGCCGCGTCACGGGGCTAGATGCAGTGTCTTCTCATCCTGGATATGGTGCTGTAATACAACAAAAATGCCACAGTTGTTTATATCTAATTTCGACCTTCCAGCTCGTGCAATCCATCCATTCCGTACCGCTCACAGTCACTATACACAGAGGCGCCAAAGGAGCGAGCGCGATAGGACTTCGATCCACGCCTGGCCAATCTTCCATCTTACCATCCACACTTTCTCGATGTAGAAATACGTATCTCGATTGGACTCGCTGACTAGTTCCTCTCGTGCCAAGGAATCTTTGGCTTCTTTGGCGTGCTGAGAGAATTTTTCTCCTGCAGGTAAAAAGTTACTGGAGAGTCCCGGGAGTGCTCTTTTTCCATTTCAAAGGCATATTGATGCTGAGTAGCTTCCAGATCGTCGTTGGAAGATGGCTTGTACATCAGATCTACGGTATGTAACCGAAACCGTTCATCTTTGAAGTAGAGTATCTTAGTCCGAAGATTACCAGAGTCTTTTTGAATATAGTTGGCGAGGTCATCGACCTCGATGACGTGCCACATATTCGGCTCTGCGTGTCTCAATGTAACATCGGGATTCCTATAATGGATCTCCATAAACGTTTCATGTGCCTTCCAGTCTATCCTGAGCCATCCCGGGGGAGACTCCCAAGACAGAATCAGATGATGTCGGTGGAGGGGGTTTCCTGCTAGCACTGAGCGCAGACCATTGTAGAGGTACTCGAGATCCTTTCCTATCAAAAATGCGTTTCCTTTGTTTGAAAAAGCCCGATTGAAAAGCTTGATGTCATTTTCATTTGAAATAAAACGCCATACGTCGGTATGCTTCTCGCAGGGTTCCGAGGCTTGTCCTGTGTGTGATTCGGGCCTAATCTGCTCTGCCATGGCATGCGTTTTGTGAAAATAGAGTAATTGAGTCAGCAGGACGGTTGCCGATATTTATGTACCAATTCGGCTGGTTTTGGATGGCAATACCTTTACTCTCGTAAAAGCCGAGACGGAAGTGCCATAAAATCCAGCAAAAGACGTATTCCTCGACCCTGCTTGCGCGGTCAGACATATCGCCTCGATTCTTGAAATCTGATAGAACCTGTGAGGTGATGTACAAATTGCAACGGGACCCAAGAGCCAGAAGGGGGTTCACCGTATGCTTCACCCTTCGAGTGTTTCTGCGAGAGTGCATAACTAAAACTCCTCGGCAGCCTCCACCAAAGTGGGTGGCCGTACTTGAGAGGTCATTACCACGCACGGCGTCAGTAGACCGCTAGCTCCCGGCAGTTCTGGGGCTTTGAGGCTGGCCGAGAAGGACACTCAAGCGACTTTGGCTACCCACGTGATGCTGCACATTTACATTGCCGTCATATCTGACGGTGTCCTTACAGTACATTGCACTCCTCAGCAAGCGGCCCTAGGTAGAAACACCAGCAAGAAACGGCCTTGTCACCGTGGACTCTAGCAGTAGAAAGGGACCTTATCTTGCCTTTTCGCAATACGGTCTTGTCACATCATTAGCGTCCGTTACGGGGTTCAAGTGACCGAGATGCAAGCCTAAAAGTTGCTTCGTTTCTAGTCTTACTTGGAAGAACGCAAAAAGCTCAGGGAATAAGCGGAAAGGCATGGCTTGCTGATTGAGTACAAGCCATATCTCACTATAAACTGTGTATCAACGCCTCTGGGTAATTTCAGATTAGACTATCGGAGTCCCTTGAAAACATGTGGGTGGCGGTCAAAAACAGCTTGAGCTCAAACGCTGTGTCCCAAGAAAGGCAGCCCTACCAAATGATGGCAATTATACCGGGGTGATATCAGACCAAGTGTGGAATCCCACCGTCAACAGCATGACTGCGGTCTGTAACCCCAATGCTGGTAACTTCGACATTGACGGAGTCGCTCTTTGCCGAAGATGAGCATACCGGCTCCTTTGCTTCCTTGTCGTACGAAGCCATACGTTTGTCTACCGCTCTGTGTGATGATGCCTTGGTTGATGATGAATCGAAACATTGATTGAGATATTTGTTTCATGTCAGACAGTCCGAGTATGCCCTTCTGCACATTCTTGTCAGTCCCATGTTGTGATTGGCCTGCATGGGCCTGCGATCCATTTCCGACCGGCCTGCTTGGGCGTCGAATGGCCGGTAGGGGCCGAGCAGGATCGGGGACAAATTTCTAACTAGTTCATATCAGTTCCCGTACCGAGAATGCGGCACAGAATAGGCCTGTCCTGTCCCAAGGCTGAAACTAGACAACGGTGGGTGGTACCCAAGGCCTCGCGTAGCCAATGTAACAGCAACGGACTCGAGAGCTGATAAAGCTACGGTGAGCTGTTCACTTCCGCATACTTCCATCCTTGTTTCAAATCTTTCGGGACTGCACACTAGATATCAAACGCCATCCCTATCTGTCCATACGCCATCATGGTTTCATCCAGCAGCACCAAGTCGGAGATTCTGCGATCCCTCGGAGACCGCTTCAGTCGAGCGGCAAACCAACAACAGGAAAGGATCCGCGACGTGCGAATCGAGAATTGCGTCGGATTCTGCAAGGTCCCCCTTGGCATTGCCGGCCCGCTGCGTGTGGTCAACTCAGCGTTCACGGGCGACCTCTACGCACCACTTGCCACATATGAAGCGACCCTAGTGGCAAGCTGTTCTCGAGGGTCCAAAGCTTTCAACCCGTCCGGCGGCATACACATCGAGACTTTCAGCAACGGCATGTCTCGAGATCCCGTATTCGTCTTTGCCAACCCCGGTCATGCTGTCGCCTTCGTCAAAGCCTTGCCAACGATGCAAGACTTGTTCGCCCAGTGGGCGGAGGAGACGAGCAAGCACCTGAAGCTTCAAAAGCTTAAGCCTGCTATAATAGGGTCTCGGGTCCACGTCTTTTGCAGCTACGACTGTGGGAGTGCTGCCGGGCAAAACATGGTCACCAAAGCCACACAACACGCTTGCGACATGCTTCGAAAGTCTTTTGCGGAAAAGTACCAGATCCGAGACTTCTTTATCGAGGGACAACTGGCATCGGACAAGAAACCGTCTTGGGGCAATGTCAAGAGCGCCCGAGGCGTCGAGGTCTTTGTCTGGGGGAAAATCACTCCGGCGGCCTGCCAGTATGTACTTGGATGCACCACAGAGCGTTTATACATGGCCCAGCAGACACTGAAAGAAGGAGGCATCCGCAATGGCCAGTTCGGTTCCAACATCAACACGGCAAATATCATTGCAGCGATGTTCATATCGACAGGCCAAGACCCGGCCAGCACCGCAGAGGCATCTTGGAGTCATCTGACCTCAGAGCTCGACTCGGAGACGGGAGAGCTGACGATGAGCCTCTACTTTCCATCGTTGCCCGTCGGGACGGTCGGCAGTGGTACCGGATATCCGATGCAGAAGGAGGCGCTGGGGATGCTTCAGTGCGGCGCTGGCAAGCCGGGAGAGAAGGCTAAGCTCGCCGGGATCATTGCTGCGTTTGCTCTCGCGTTAGATGTTAGTACAAGCTCAGCTATTGCCAACAATACTTTTACAGCTAGTCATATGCGGCTAGCGCGAGGAGAGATGCCGGCAAAGTTGTGATGGTTGTGATGGTTGTGATGGTTTTGATGGTTTTGATGGTTTTGATGGTTTTGATGGTTTTGATGGTTGTGATGGTTGTGATGGTTGTGGTGGTTGTTCATAGGCTGTTGATAGTCTATTGATAGGCTGTTGATAGGGGCTGATTTTTTATACATTCATCATCTTAGCGTGTGAGATCTACTCCTCGTATGCAAACTGTGATCATGCGGGAAAGATTTCGTCAGTCCTAAAGACCAATCTAAATGTTAAATGGGTTATCTAACCTTGCATTCTGGGTCTGTTCGCTGGTAAGAGCCCTATCATTGCGATTTGGTAGTCAATTCTCGACAAAAGCACGCCATAGATGAATTAGTTTATACGTGAACAGTCTAGGATGTATCTTGATAGAGCGAAAGGTGACGGAGAGAACGCGAAGAGTTCATGGGTGAACACAGAAGCTTTTGTCGCTCTAGTGTCCCTTGTGTATAGATTTGACGAGAAGACAAGTAAGTCACAGGATCAGCTCTAATCAGTGTCAAGCGCAGTATACATTAGACAATAAACAGCTGAAACCTCAACGGTTCTCGCCAAGATTCACATGTCTAGCCTCCACGGCTCTACGTCATCGTTCGATTAAATCTGGTCAATTCCATTTCATAATAATGATGACTACTATCAGACGCCAACTCTAGCCTGGTTTGCGTCGCTGTCAAGCAACGGAGACGTAGCAGACTAATTTCCAACGGGTCGTCATCTTGCGAGACCCTGACGTAGATGCAGTCAGTACACGTCAGATTCTCTTTCACCTTGATCAACTTCCATCTCGACACCTTTCAGGCAACTTTTCAACTGATCGAGGGCCACGATGACACTTTCTAGTCTACCCAAAAGTGAATCCTCGTGGCCCATGAGCGGCCTTCCACTGAAGCTCCGCATCCGAGGACAAGGCGAAGGTGATGGATCAAGATCTGAGCTTGATCGAATCATACAACGAGACGATCTACGCCGTCGGGATCGCCGGACTCGACGATATCTTGCGCTCAACTGTGACGATGGCTCTGTGGGGGTTTGCGGCGACGGCGTGTCGATGTACTCCACGAAAGAATCTGACACTACAATGGAATCATCGCTACACGAGCCCTCGGTTTCGTCATCTGCTCAGTCGCGGTCAGGGTTGGTTCTAGCAAACTCGGATTTAGTATCCCTACCAGATGTTTGAGAGACCCGACTCTCGTGATCGATGTCGTCATCTGATCTTTGAAGGCGGCGACGCATACTTTGAACGACTTCCTTCTCTGACCTAATTCAAGAGGTGGCCTGTTTCAAGCCAACGATAGAAAAGTCGGAGGACAAACACCTAGTCAAGCCGGAGCCCTTGATTCATGTCTGGAGAAGCTTGAATATGCTAGGTACGGTCTATATAGCAGTTGGGGTATAACAGATGCACCAATGTCTTCTTTTGGCCCTTTGATCTGCCGTTCAACGGTCAATTTTTGGACGCCGACGCTGCAGAAGTAACATGAGGATATGTTACGTCAACGCATAGGCCATTCCCACCGGTTTCTAGCGGATTTTAGCAGCATCGCCAGTGAATGAAACCTTCCGGTAGAGCTCGTACTGTACCGCACCGCAATGACTATTCATTTGCCAATCCATCATGCTAAACCTAGCCATCCTAGTTCAACGAACCTCAACACTCACGGCGGTCATTCTTGGCTGTTAGCTGGCCACGCTTTTACAGTGAGCGTGCGTTCAATCTACACGTCCGTTGACGGCCACGAATAGCCGAAACCAGCCTGATGCTTGGCCGAATAGTGTGAGAAGGCAGGCTCGCTTTTGACCTGCATTATAGTGTATCAATGGTTCCTTTCTAACGTTAATCTTGCTATCCTCTTTATCAACGCGTCTTTCTCTCAAGCTGAGCCTTTGACTTCTGTATATTCCTCTATTCTTCACACCCACGACGTTTTCCAGCCTTTTCTTCTTTGCTTCAATTCTTCTTTGCTTCAATTCTGCAGGAAGTGAACATCCTTTACATGCCCGCCATGATGCCAGGCTCCAGCGGATCTGCCGTTGACATCTCTATCGTCACGACCCCCAACAACATCAACGCCGTTTCCTCCCTCCTCGATGAACTAAGGAAGGGGCATGAAGCACTCCCAGCAAAGGGTGATGAGGGCCGCAAAGACCTTTTGCTTCTAGCCCGAACTCTGGTGCAAAGCCTCGAGACTCCACGCGAGACCATGGCCAAGCATTGCTGGGCTCAGGTATGATATCTCACACCTCTAGTCCGTCCCGTACGGAAGGCTGACCTGGCAAGACTGCTGCTTTCTCGGCCCTTATCTTCGGGGTCGAAGTCAAATTATGGAAGCGAATGGCGGGCAATGGGGATAGGCCCCAGTCGGTTCACGAGCTGGCTGAAAATCTCCGTGTCGACCCTTTACTGCTAGGTCAGATATAGCCCCACTGACATGCTGTGTGGGGAGTGTTTAGCTTACGTCGCAGACAGGTCGAATGATGCGCCATCTCGGTGCCATGGGATACATTACGGAAACGGGCAACGACGAATACAAACCGACGAAGTACAGCAAAGCCTTGAGCTTGGACATCATTGGGAATGGCTACCTCGCCACGTAAGTCTCTTTGCGGCCACGTTCTCTAGTCGAAGCTTCAGCAGCTAAGTCAAGGTCTGCAATCAGATTGTCCAGTACAAGCGCCGCCATGATCAGGTTTCATGAGTTTGCAAGCAGGCGGGGATTTGAAAACCCTGATGACGCGAGCGACACATCTTTGATGATGGCCTATGATACGAAACTAGATGTTTTCGGCTGGTTGCAAGCCCTGGGGCGCGGTTCCCATTTCAATGACCACATGGCAGGCTACCGACAAGGTCGTACGCCATGGATGGACAGTTCTATCTACCCCGTTCAAAGCAGGCTCGTGGACGGCGCCGACACTTCTGTCGATGCTCCTTTTCTTGTTGACATTGGAGGGAATAGAGGACACGATCTGCAGGAATTCCAGCGATATCATCCTGACACTCCAGGAAGGCTATATCTGCAGGATGTAGAGGCCGTCATCAGCAGCATCGAGTCGTTGAGCTCCTCTATCACTCCCATGTGCTATGATTTCCACACCGAACAGCCAATTAAAGGTAAGGGGTGGCATACGGACTCAGTAGTGACGAGAAAGATTGCTGATCATCTGAAACCCAGGTGCCCGTGCATACTACATACATTCCTGCCTGCATAACTGGCCGGATAGTGTATGCAAAAGCATCCTCTCACGCGTCTCTGCCGCAATGAAGCCTGGTTACAGCAGACTGTTAATCAACGAATATGTGATTCCCGCAACAGGGGCACACTGGGAGGCAACCAGTCTTGACTTGATGATGATGAGTCTTATGAGCTCCAAGGAGCGCACTGAGGATGATTGGCGTGGCCTCATCGAGGCTGTAGGTGGGCTGGAGATTGTTAGATTCTGGCACGGGGCCAACGGCGTGGAGAGCGTGATCGAATGCAAGTTGGTTGAGAAGGAAAGCCGTGCATGAAGGCATATAGTAGAAAAGGACAATGTGCATTAGGCAAAACAGCTGCAGGCTTGCAGGAACAGCAAAAGCCAAACTACCATCAATCTTTAATCGGGTTTCTATTAATCACACAGCTTGCGGGACGTCCATGGCTTCCTAGTAGTGTCAGTGATAAAAACTCGGGATGACATCAACATCCACGCTGTCCGTGTGATTAGATAAAACAATGCTCCACTTGAATATGCAAGGGTACGTCAGCGATCGCTCTCTGGGGTCTCGGGTAATCCCTTGAAATTGACCGAAAATGTGCTCATCTACCGTCTCAGCGAGCATCTCTAGATAGAAGAAGAAGGAAATCAACGCAGTATACTGAACAGACTGTGACTAAGTGAGATTATTGGGTTGAATTGATCGACCTGCGATTCTCTCTACCTCGAATTGTCTTTTTTAATTAGAACTCAATTGTGGAAACTTGCTGAAGCTTAGATTGGCGAGGAATGCCCCAAGGTCGTCCGCCAACTCGCCAACCCGCCAATCGGAGATGGGATGAGGTTTAAGGGATTTCCCGGTGATCTGCCGGATCTGGTGATTCGCCGGACTTACACCTACTTGCATTCCAGACATCAATCTATAATAGCTCCACAGCCGCAGTCCCAAATCTTCCAAAATTAAACACATAATGAAAATGCAACTATAAGATATGTCTCAGTCTATTTCGCAGTCATCAAGCCATCGTGGTCGCTTGCTATTCCGCTGCGGCCGCCCGGTACCCCGAAATGCGACTACCATCTCCCGATCACTCTCAACAGCTAGACAGGGTCTTTTCGGACGAGCGGTACGGATTGGAGTGGTCGCTGCCTTCCCTTTTCGGTTGTCTTTTGGTAGATCTAGGGCCTGTGATGCTACCGGCGGCTCTGGTATGAGTGGAAGAGCGACGATTATCTCGTCTCGAACGTCCGGACTCTTCTCGCGGCCTTCAGAAGCCACCCGTCGTTCATGTTGCATTTCATGTGCCATTTCCAGATTGCGACGCTTAAGTTCTTGTCGAATCTGTCGATTGGTCTCCTTCTCTTGCTGCCTGGCCTCCCTTACCTGCCGTTTTCTCTCTATTTCCGCCTCTCGTTGCCTCCTCTTCTCCAGAGCGAGAGCTTTTTGCTCCGCCGCCTTCTGCTGTCGCTGAGCCTTTTGCGATTCCTTCTGCAGAACCTCCTCTTTCTTTTGGGCGTCCATCGCCGCTTTCTTTAGGCGGGCTTGAGCGACTTTTGCTGGGCTAAACACCTGAGCTGAATTTGGATCTGTACGATCAAAGAGCAGATCTTTCAGAGCTTTACCGCGCTGTCTGCGCTTCTTTTCTTGGCTAATTGTCTCGCGGAGTCCTTGATTCTCATATCGAAGCAGTTCAACCTCAGATTGCAGGCTTTCGAGGGTGTTCTTCAGCTTTCGGCTGTTGCGGTCAGCATCGATAGAGGATTTGTCGACTACTTTGTCAATAAGTCGGCGTAAATCTCGGGCCGTAGGTTGCTGAAGGGCTAGTGATTCTGCCGAGTCGCTACCCGTATTCGAATCATCATCTTTTTTCTCAGTGATCTGCGATAGGACCACTTCTGGGTCAAAAGGCAGGAGACCAGTCCGTTTCCACCCACTCGCAATGTTCTCGGAAGAGAAGGAAGTCTCAAATGCGTTCCAAAATAAAGTCCAGAACTCACGTTTCGATAGGCCAATAAGGCCTTGTGTTTTTGCTGTCCACTGGATAAGCTGATTTGAGTATGCGGTCGAAAGGGGGCTGAATAGCGACACGTCCAAGGGTTGCAGCCGATGCGTGGAATGGGGGGGAAACACCGCAACGATAATCCGGTGCTGGTCACACCACTCCAGAAAGTCCATATTAACATGGCTAGAGTGGCCGTCGGTAATGAGAAGGCGATAATCACGACCGTTTCGAGCTTTTGCCTTAGTAAAGCGATCGAAAACACCGACGAGCCACTCTTTTCCAAGCTCGTGATTTGTCCACCCCGTTTCTGAGGTGGTAAAGAAGGCTGATTGATGTTCTGGGTCAAATTCATTGAGCCAAGAGTCCTGGACTTGTCCTGGTTTGCCTTGATAGATGAGGAATGGGGGCAGCGATGTCATGTCCTGGCTGATGCACGCCAGGAACGTAATCCAAGATCGATTACCATCTTGCGACGCACCGAGCAATTTGCCTTGCTTTTTGATGTTAATGGAAAATACTCTCTTCGTTCAATTGATCACACCCAAGAGAAATCCTTTCTCATCCGCGTTATACGTGTTGCAGGGTAGGATGTTGTATTTCTCGATTTTTGTGCGGATCTTCCACTGTCAGTTGTGAAAGGGAAGCTTCGTGCATTGGCTTACAAGCTCAAAATAAGCCCTATACCTAGAGGCATTATCGGCTCTCTTTCGCGCGATGTCCAACCCGTCGAACCATATACAACCTAACTCATCACGATTGCGTCGAACGAAGCTGTACGGCCAGTCCTTTCCGACCTCGATTTTGGCGATATCCTGGGCGAAGTTCTTTATCATAGGTAAGGTAGGGGGAATGCCACGCGATGAAAGCTTATGAATATAAGCGATAAGATCCCGTTCTTGTTGTTTTGACAGACGTGACTTATACAAACTGTCGGCATCTCGTCTTGACCGCTGTTTGCCTTGATGTCGGCGTCGCAAGGTCGTCTCGTCGCAATTGAAACGCCGTGCAGTCTCAGCATAATTAACTGATTCCGACGATTTCAGGAAATCAAGGGCCTCATCAATCGGCGCCATGGTTGTTGAGTAATTGTCGATTGATGTTGAGTGTGTGAAGTGGCGGTGATCCGGCGGATCACCAGATCCGGCAGATCACCGGGAAATCCCTTATTCCGGAGGGACCGGAGAGACCCATCCAAGGTTGACTGCCTGAGGCATTATCCTCTGCACGGCGCTCCGCTCTGGGGTCTGACGAGTGATGTCGGCCTCAGCTTGGAGTCTCGCGTCCCTTGAAACCTTCGTCTCAAAAACTCCCGCAAGTTGGGCGTCAATCCTCGCACAGAGTGTCTCCACATCCTCATCTTTCCTCTCCATATCAACATCGCCGTCATCCGACGGCGGGTGAATCACGATGTCAGGAACATCCGGGTTGCTATCGTCTCCTCCAGCCAATGTCTTGTTCATCTTATCACCACTGTCCACCACCATTGGCTCAAGCCGATGCTGAGCCTCTGTCCCTTCGTCTCTGCCAGTGCTAGAAACATAAGAGGTCTTGTTCTTCGCCCATTTTTGTCGTCGCAAGTAAGCGTACGATGTTCGGGTTCGTTGTGATTGCTTCCTTATCCCCGAGTTGCCGCCAAATGGCCTGCGTGGGTAATGCCCCGTAGCGATACGGGTGGACTTTGGTTTTTGCATATCGATTGTCATCGGAACCGACCCGAACCCCACACGAAGGCGTGCCTCGTCTCTACTTATAGACGAGAAACTGCCTGCAAGCTTAGCTACACTCATGATGTGTCACATGACGGATACCTTCGAGTCCGACAATGGCTTCTTCGTAAAGGGTCAGCCGGCAACCAACCAGGAACCGATCGATTTTCTTCAACTTGCCTTTTTGATCTACTTCAGACTTCTGCTCTAAGCGTGAGCAAGGCTCTTTCCACGGGCTCTAGCGTCCATGGTAGGACTTTGTGCCTAATCCTCTGACACTCTGTAAAGCCTCGAGGAGACGGCAACGGGGAGCGGGATATAAGAAACAGCAAGGTATCCCAAGCGCTCTGTTCGCTCCCTCCCTCTCCCTCGCGCCGGTCGACCTTATCCCTCCTAGCGAATCCTCGAGTCTGAAAAATGCTGATTCGATGGCGTCCAATTACGTGCACAATCATGGGTTCTCGCCTACCGGAGACATAGATACAGAGAACGAAGAGTTAAACCAGGACGTCAGGGGAACCAAAAACGGGACCGTTTCATGCTTTCCACATCTCAGCCGCCTTCCAGTCGAGATTCGATTGATGATCTGGAAGACGGCCTTTGACGCCGTAGATCCTGCCGTAGTCGTCTGCTCCTTCTCAGAAGGCCGCCACAGAGCTTCAGTCAATCATCGGCACGCGAAAGCCAGCCGTCTACCACCTGTAGCGCTGGCATGTCGTGAGGCGAGGAGGGAGTGGGTCCGGTGTACGCGGTCGTGCAGGTCTCCGGGTAGGATGCCCGAACGTGTTTATGTCCCCCGAACGGTGTTTCTCGTTCCCGCGGCCACAGTAGTCAGCTCCCGATTAAGGGGACTCAGTCTATCTATAACGCACATCGCCATCGATATTGCCGATAGTCCCGACGTGTTCCTGATTTTTGAAGCGCTCGCCCGTTTCCCTCGGCTGAAGACCATCATCATCGTCATACCATCGGGCGCCGTCGACGAGACTCAGGTTGTCGAATGGCAACAAAGGCTAAGGGAAGACTTACATGTTCTGCAAAAAATTGGCGCTTTAGCAGATGGTCTATCGAGCGACGGCGAGTGGCACAAAGGGACATATCTTGGATGGCTGTTCCGCAATTACTTGGAAGGCCCACAGGTGAGGGCATTTTATGCGCGGGATAACAGTCCCCGTGTCAAGCTCTTTATTGACCGGTCAAGATGGTCTCAATCAATCGGTGGAAACTTTGAGCAACCATGGTCTCTCTTTCTTTCTTAAAATACATCCCGTTGTAATAATGCTCGATCATTTATTGTGTCACCTTGACTGAGCCCTTTAAGTGAACGCGCGCCCATCGGGTTTGCATCAGCCCAAGTACTAATTACCCTACACCTTCCTTCCTTTTTCATTTCTTTTCTTTTTTTCCCCCTCCCCCACTTACTTCCCTGCACCAGAACCAGCTTCTCCATTCAATGATGAACCCCGCGCCACTTGACACCTCTCCGCTCACCCCTCGTATTTCACTTACGCTATTACGGGGATCGACATGTTTAGTCGTGGATGAGGTTCTCTTACCCCGCCAAAATCTTGGTAGGGGCCCAAGTTCCAGCCTCTTTCAGCGATCAGGCCGACTAAAGCTTGTTGCATGGCCATCATTACTTCTTCCGGCGTACAGCGGTACGGCTTTTGGGTGGTAGTGACGGGCGGGTTTGGTGTTTTGGATCGGCCAGGCGTATTGTTTATTTCCGTCGAGGTCGTTCGTTGCCGCACCGCCCGCTGTGCATGTGCGGAGGAGGTTGGCGCTGGTTGCCATGCTCTGGTCGTCTCGTTGTTGAGATTGGGATTGGCCGTGGCCGAACAGTCCGGTTCGGGAGCTTGTTGTGGCGCTGACTCGTCGGTTGTGGTCGCTTTGCTGGTCTGCCGGTTTTCGCCAGCTGCTTCATGAGGAGATGCAGCTGATGCAACGGTGCTGGTCGCAGACAAGCTCGCCGTGGGCGCCTTTGGGCTATGGCTGCCCAGGGGTTCTTGCAGCTCGCCGACATTGCTGAGCATGTTCATGGCCATGTCGATGTCAAAATTCAGATCACTGAGGCAGTCCATGCCAAAGTCCGCCGTGCCCTGAAAGCCTGCCATGTCCATGCCCATGTCCATCATCCAAGGGTCATCGGGCATCATCGCGCTGATTTCGTGAGGCGTTGGCTGCTCATGGGGCTCTTCGAAGTGGATTGATTCGCCCGCGCCATCATGCGTAAGAGCTGCGCCGCCGTCTGCCGCCTCATAGGGCTCACCTTCGGCATCCTGTTCCGTCGCAGGTGGAGATGTGCCTGGCCCCTGTTGGCGACGGAGCACATCCCGGTCATGATCGGCTGTAGAAACGGCAAGACCAGTCGGGGCTATCTCTTCGTCGAGGTCGTTATCCTCGGGCTCGTGGGGTTCGTTGTCATTGCAGTTGTCCAGCGGTCCAACGGTCGGAGACGCTGGGGTACCCGGCACGCTCCATATGCTCGCGCCTCCATCCCCAAGTACCGACTCGCTTCCCGCAACTGTGATCTGCGTGAGGGCTGGAGAGGCGTGCGATGCTCGCTGGGCATCCGCGGGTGGCTTTCTGCGCCGCAGGTTGCGCTCCGTTGTCTGTTTTTGCACTTTGTAGGGCTTTACTTTGGCCATCTGCTTCCTTTCTTTCGCGGTGTGTCGGACGAGCTCGCCATTGGACACGACCTGTCTTTTCAGTATATCTCGTATCTGTAATTGCCGCCATCATTAGCCATCCATCGAAAAGGTACCATGTGGCTTTGTACGTACGATTGCGTCCGCCTCTGGCAGCGGTTCACCGTCTGGGGTATAGACTGAGCCGTCCCAGAAGCCGTGGATCTTGTTGTAGAAGAAAAAGACTGCCTTAGTGTTGCATTCTTTGCCAAACTTGTAATTCTTATGTATCGCGGTCATGCCTCTCTTTCGCATCGCCTGGCCCACCCACGCAGGATCCCATGGCCGAGGCCCTTTCGGACGAGACTCTGTTGGAAGAGGGTCTCCTGGATGCTCCTGCCTTAGACCGGGCTCTCCCGGGCGAGAAGACCTCTTCGGACGAGGTTTCCTGCAGCCCATCCTGGGGAGTTGACGCTGACGCAGATGTTTGTGGCGGACGTTTCTCTTCCTCTAAGAGCGAGACCAATTGCCACCTCAACCCATTTTTTTTCGGTCATCTCGCTGGTATCGAGCCCGGTTTTTGAACAACGGGGCGGAATCGTCTTGGTGCGGCGTCGAGTCTCGAAACGGACGGCCACTGTCCCGACGGGCCATTGCCAAAGTTGGCCATCCTGAAGTCCCATGTTGTATGATCCATGCTCTCTGCGTTCAGGTCAATTTCGCCGTATTTGCTCGTTACCAGAATGTCGGGACGGTGTAAAGGTCGAGATAGGTCGGAAGATGGGATGGGAGGGGAATATGAAGAAAGTCCACATTGGACGTGTTTTAGAGCCAACAGCAGGTGACAGTCGGCGAGGGGTCCTTTCTCCCCCCGGTACGTGCTTGACCTGATCTAGATCGGCCGTTGCGCTCGCGCATCGAAATCCCACTTACTTCTGCCGTTTAGATTACGCTGAGGATAATCCCCCACCCTCCGATGCCCACTTGGTGAAGCCACAAAACGAAATGCTTCGTTATGGCTGGATCGACGCAATCACTGATCGCCACGGGGAGCACTTCCGACCAGACTACGTCTATAGCGTCTTCATCGGCCGCGGAATAGTTCCTACATCCACCTACGATGGTCCTGTTCCGGTCACCTCAACTAGTAACGACCGGTAGCGGCCTCACTAGCTTAGCTGCCTGTGCGCGCATCGAGCGAAATCTCCACCCCAGCTGAACCGCGGCAGTATTGCCATAGAGAAGTTGCACCGGCTTCAGGGCTGATACACAGCGGCACTGGCACTGCCACAGCCAACGGTAGCCCATGCGAATCGCCATGAAGAAACGAAAACTTGGTTCTCCGTTTCGCGTGTTCATATTCTACATAGTAAGGAAACGGGCTCAGACATGTCATTTGTACACCCCAGGACAATTGAGTGAAACAAAGGCTCTCATAGACGATAGGGCTCTCTGGAGATTAACCCACAGTTTAGCAAGACATAATTTTGGGCGTCCTCACTATCTCATTTTGGCTGTTGCGTTGCATTCCACATGCGACGTTCTGTCACCTTGCCTCTTTCGCCCTTAGAAAATCATCTCCACAAAGGATCCTACCTCGTTGTGGGACCGTCCACCTCGCGGAATCGGACATCTTGTAAAGCATCTCTGCGCGAGGTCGTGAAGGTGTTCTCTTCCACAGCGAACGGGATCTGCAAAGGACCCGGGATGCCGAATTAATCCCTGAGAGTTCCTTGAGCTTAGAGCTACAAGTCATGCTCGAATCTGATCATTTGCGCGCAACTCCACAGCTTTGTCACGCACAAAGCCCTTTCAAAAGTTCGATAAACCCTTGTCCCTTGCCCCGAGGGTCAGGTCCGTAGCGCCGAGTAGTTTGGGCAATTTCAGTGCTTGTATATTGGTATCGTACATTCTCGGCCTCATGATCAAGCTACCGAACTGTTCTCTTCTCTGGAATTTTTTACCGTAAGAGCAAGTAACATGACCGCGTGTATATGCAGGTGTTGCATGCAGGCATGGCAGCTGAATCGGACCCTTGTGCAGCACGCACGATCGGCGGGGTGGTATGTCGCTCAACGGTCGGAAAAATCTTTCGCAGGATCCCTGCCTGCGCACGATTCGTACGTACCGGACCCTTCTTTTTCGGCTCTTTCCCGCAGCACGCGGTGGATCGTTGCAGAATTTGACGAAGAGTGATAGACTAATTCAGTGGAGAAAAACAAAATTGTTTCCCTGCGCTTTGCCCTCCTTCTGACTCGGTGCCTCCGATTGCCCTCGTAATCTACGTGACCTGTCAACTTCCATGATATGGGTCCATTTACATCGATTTGTCATTTCGTAGCCACATTTAACATCATCACCGTTGCAGCTGATTCCCGACGCGATGATCAGTTCGCTTGTCAAAGTAAAGTCGCCCTAGTTGCAAACGCCGTTTCCATTGAACCCACTCTAATTTCAGCACCTCTCCACCCCGGATGAGTTCCCCGGTAGGATAGTGAATTGGCCGCTTTTCAGCTTTCAAGGTGGCAATGATAGACCGGCGCGAAACGGCTGGTCTGGCACCCACCAGACACGCCCGGCGAGGCACTGCCCCGGTTGTCCAGTGGACAATAGTGGCAGTTTCTTGCCCTTCGGATCAGAGCTACATAGAAGAGCAAGTAACGGAGTGAGGCATAGCACAATATCGGGCAGTTAATGGGCGAAAGGTTCGCATCTCGTTTTACAAAAAATGGCAACTCCGGCGCGCGGGTACAACAGCCAGTTTCTGCTCTTCTTGGGCGAGGGGACAATACAAGACAAGCAGCTGCCCGAGCCCGCCAAGAGCCATCCTTCAGGCTGCACCCGGGACCCTTGCTATGCATGTTGGTGGCGGTCATCATTAGCGGTTCAGGCTGTACCGCACAGCCGAAGTCGGTCGACAAGTATATATTTCGAATGCTGCCGAGCACGCCCGATAATCGAGCAGTTTCATGCTCAGCTTCACATGTCCATTTTCTCTAAACATCGTTTTCACTCCCAATTTCGACCGCGCATCCCGTCATGAAGTATCCTCCGCGAAAGCATCATTCTAGAACTAATGACTCTCGTGCACGACCATACCCCTCGGCCCAGCATCGGACAGACCGGAGGTCACGTACATCGAAAGTTCGGTCTAGTCACTCACAAGATGTGGTCCCACCTAGGTCGACTCATCCGAGACCAAAGAAAGCTACCCGGCGTGATCCGCAGACCACCAGCAACGATCGAGGAGGGGGCTACGGGCCGCGGTCTCCAGCTGATCAGATAGTAGGAGACGAAAGCCCCGACTATGAATCTGAAAGGTTCGTTTTATACCAGCATGGAGAGCCCCTCTGATAAGCACAAGCTGAACAGATAGTAGAGGCGATTATGGTGGCGACTCTGCCAGCGATTCCGGCGAGGAGAATGCCAGTCAAAGTCATTCAGAGCTGGAGCAGCTCAAGGATCAGATCATCGAGTTTAGGAAGGAACAAAGCCAACAGTGATTCTCACCAAACCCCCCTCCCCTCTGGATTGCCCTTATTTCCACATTCAAAGCATCTTGTGTTGACCCTTTGTTTCCCTAGGATTCATGACATGGACAAAAGGTCCGTACTCTAAATCGTGCGAGCGACCTCGCGTTTCCTGCCTCTCTATGCTAACCGTTATACAAAACAGAACGAGGGATTTGGTTCAGCAGTACGTATCGATCTTCGACTTTTGCTTTCTCTTTTCCTAATATGGTTGCTTGCAGGGTTTCAGCATTGCGCAACCAGTGAGTGATCGCTTTCATCTAAGGAAATATACGGAGACGCTGAACGTTGTAGAATACAAGAACAGCCGCAAGAATTGGCCAAGACAATTTTGTCGCCCCTTATCCAGCGGACGTTCACTTCTATAACGCAAGGAAGACAAGACCAAGCGCATCATGGAGGGACGGGAGAACATGGAACGATAGACCCAATGGAGATGTTCAGCACAGGTGGCGAACCGTTTGTTTGATGACGTTTATTCATAGCCATGGACCATGGTGACGCGATCGCAACAAGCTTCCTTGAGTTCAGTATATTGTTATTGAAACGTTTACGTATTCGTATAGCGGCGTTACGGCAATCTGTACCTCAAAGAAGCCTTCATCAAAATAACCTGGATTGAAGAGCAGGTTGACTCTGGTGCCCAAAGGACCCACCAAAGAGTTATTTTGTCAATTTTTGCTCACTTGTGTATGCTACGATCTCAAAAGTGTTAACTTGCAGTCTTGCGCGCGTCTTGAGTACGGGGTCTCTATTTCATACTGAGCCTTTATAGCTCAGCAGACATTTGTCCACAATCTCTGCGGGAGCAGCGCCTCGGTGACTTTGAATTTACACTTCTTTTCGACAGTAGAAGGATCTAGCGCTTTTGTAAACACACAAAGCATTAAAGTCCGCGTACGGGCTATGAACGATGTAATTCAATTCAAAGTTTGCATTTTTTTTTATAATGAGTTATTGCCCTATTGGCTTCTTTCACCGCCCAAATGCTGTGGCATTGCAGCTTTATTTGCTCAGGAAGACGCCGATTGTGATAGGAAGCAACAGGCATATCAGAAGGCTGTGCAGTTTGCCAGCCATTTATTACGCTCCATGGTCATACGATCTTTCGCATTTTTGCAGATGAATTCAATTTGGTTCGCGACCTCTTCCGATATTTCCAAAGTTTGATAGATCAGCAACCAATTGCGTTGCAGCCTATCAAGTTCCGCCTCTAGATTTTTGATATCTTCACACAGGGTCCGCACACTGAGCTCCTCGTCAAGTGTAGTTGGCATGGGTAAGGAAGGAAGGAGCTCCTCTAACTCGAAAGGTTCGTCAGAATAAAGACTTGAAGGTGGCCGAAATTCTGGGTCCATGCCGACGAATATGGAAGTTATAAAGAACCAGGTGTCAGAGGGAAGACCAGAAGATGCCAGGTGATTATAAATAGCTCCGACTTGATTTTCTCTTTCTCCAGAAAATTGTTCTTGACTATGGCCCTTCAACGTAAGCGTCCTTTCTATCAGGAAGTAAAGCCCAATTCGACTCTTCCTGCTCTCATATGCTATTTGCACAGGCGTCCTGAAGTGGATTATTACCCTTACTACCCAATTCAACCCGATGCAACGACATGGGTTGGCCAGCATCGCCAAATCATGGCTCGTCAATTGGTCACGGTGAGAGAACTTAAGAGAACAGCATTGTCAGACATCCATATGCTTGCCTGCATTTTGCATGACAATATCGCACGGCCTGTCTCTTTCTATCATACCGGCGATCAATTCTTTGTGGCCCATGAATATTTATACCTTGATATATTTGACCTACTTCCGTTATCTGTGATGGAAGTATCCTGTGTTATGAAACAGGTGGGCTTGGTCCCTGCATTTAAGAGCACTTTTCTGATCACAAAAAGGTCACATGTGGCCTTCAATGTCTCAAAGAGCAGTCCGTCATGTTCGGTATCGACAGCATTCGAGTGGATGTTAACGGCGTGGTGAAGATAGGTCAGCCCGCAGCAATCACGGATAGTAGTAAGACTTTGCTGACACTGGAAAGTGCTTGACTGGGACTTGGAGTCCTGTGTTGAGGGCACGTTTCGGGAGGCTAACGAGGGCTATTTGGTGGCGTACCTTGAAGAAACTCTAACAACTATGGGCTATAGTTGTGGTCAATTACCCTCGGCTGCGATGGATTTCCTCACATCGAAGGTGCTGCCGGCGATGAGCGTAGGTAAATTCAAATTCTTTTCCAAACTTGGACTTACACCTCATAGCACCCTTTCATTTCCCACGCCGGCGGTCCTAGTGTGTTGAAAACGCCCATCCAGTTCGCAATTCAGAGGAAAATCTTGGCTGGAAACATCCATGGAATAGTCCGCTAGCTATGGCACCCCAAAAACCCGAGATTTGGAGGAACCTTTTTCATTAAGCAGCGGTCCTCTCTGCTCGACCTCTTTCTATCTATATATTTTTCAATACGGCCGGGTTACAACATCTTACAATGCCGGAATTTCCACACTGGCCAAGCTTTTACATGAATTTTAGTCCGTAGTGTTGTACTTTGTATGTCTATACTTCCAAGGCACTGGTAGACAGCCACTCGAGATATGCAATGTCCTAAAGTGCGCTTAAGGGCCCTATCTAGTCGTTCAGAGCGCTCGTTGAGGTCTGATTCTGGAATCTGGCGATCAGATGTCTCGGGGCAGTATCTTTACTTATGAGGGAACCTCAATGCTGCCGGCCAACAGATTGCAGTGTCTATCTACTCCCAGCACCACACCTTCCCCGCACACTTTCGAGGTTAAACGCCGAGTCTGCACTCGATCATGAGTTGATTTGTCATCCACGATCTCAGGAGAAGAAGGTGGCGATAAACGTAGGCGACCCAAAGGCGCTTCTATGTTAGACCTCCTCGCCGAAGTATAGCATGGGGACAAAGATATACCAGAAATACAAGATGTAAATAAAGGAATACTAGACTACAGTAAAATTCAAGGCATGCTCAACCATAACGAGACGAGTCGCTCGCCAGTTGGGGGTTCGCGCTTTAAGATAAAACGTGGTTCGCCAGATAAAACATAAACGGTAACATCGTGACTGCCGAATGCGGCAAGCCAACCCGTCCCTACATGGGATTAACACAACACTGAATATCGTGGCGGCCCACCATCACACACGCTCGTTTCCACCTCGACCATGTCAGGCCCACGGCCTTTGCTCTCTCCTGCAGCAAGGCGACAGGCACAGGCGGGCACCTCACCAAGCCTATGCAGCGGATCCCAGCAGGAAGCTACCACCGCCACATTTGTCGAGATCCAACTGGACACATCTTTATCCAGAGACCCCACAGGGACCTTCTCGAGAAAGTCTCGCACCTGCTCGTAGCGGTACCGCCTGTTCGTGTCACGGACCTTATCCATAAACTGCACGATGGCGTCGGGAGACAGGACCCACCTGCGCTCAAGCGCAACTCCCTTGCCAAAGGCATCGACGACTCCGTCTCGAGTCCACAAAAGTGAGTGAACAAGTATGGCAATAAGGAGATCGTGGCGCGCCGCCGTTAATCGCAGATGCTCCCTCGGGATCAAACGATCACGTGGAGAAAAGAGAGACTGAATGGAAACTGTCGCTAAGAGTATGCGGACCTGCCAGGAGCGTTCGTCCCTCATGGTGTGTCGAAAGCGGCCATCTCGGTCGAGAAAGAAATAGGACCCATCAACCCACTGATGAGAAGCGAGACTCTCTAAGGCGTCTAGCTCCTCCAGAGCGGCCTGCCTCACCCTCTCAGGTTCGATGTAGGCGGGCACACAGGTCATGGTCATTCCCTCGCGACTCTGTCGTAAATCCTGCCACAGGATGATCTTTCGATCTAATGTCCCCAGGACACAAATCACCGGCGCGACCTTTCGTGTCGCTGAACCCTCTCGGGTTCCGAAGATGTATGTTCATGCTCCGCCCTCACCCATTTCCAATTCTCTATCGCCCCACGACTCTCTGGCCCTCGAATGTAATGGGCAAGACAAGGACCCGGCCTTGAATATGTACCCCGCGCAAAGTACAAAAACATTTTGGATGGTTATCCAAATTCACTCGACCCTTGTCTCGCACAATGGTGGAAAGCTCAGCCAGCGTGGAGTGCGCCGCACCCTTAAGTACTCACTCTTCGCTGCGTGCTTAGGCAAGAGTTGGATGGACTCCAGTCCGTTGCATCATCCTCTTACAGACGCCCAATTACGCCTCTCCAGCTCCAGGGGTTTAGACAAGTCATCCCTCCCGCTCTCCGCTCTCGGGATGTTCGTGCACGGGGACGTGGCAAGGACCTAAACCGCCAAAGGCCACTTCAACCCGAGCTGTGAAATACCGTATCTGCACCGGACAGAGGAGTTTTGTCGAGCAGTTCCACAACGCCGTTCCATCAGTAGGCACGGAGGGCATCACGGCGGAGTGGTGAACGCCCAGTAATACAGTAGTTCGGAGAACAGAGTGAGAAAAGTGAACGACTACTCGTAGCCAGGGGGCCCGAGGGCGATGGCTACGAGTAGTCGTTCACAAACAGGGTTTGAACGAAGGAAGATGTCATGGAGCAGGGCGACAGGAAGGTGCTGGTCACCTTTCCTGAATGGAACCTGCGTGTTGGCCTAATCCTTCGATCGTATGGAATGCGGCCGGAGGGAGCGATCGAGCTTCTTTTCCCTAGCAGCATGGCACACCGGGAGGGGGCCTAACTGTTTTCGAGTAGCGTCTCTTGAACTTGTTGGTCAAGGTGTCTTTTGGAGGAAGCGGCTTGATACGGGAGGGATCTTTCCGGTCATAGAATCGTGCAAAAGTTGAAAGTGCTTTTCCCTACTTCTTTAGTCCAACTCTAGGGAGAATTGCATATGTTTGCGAGCAAGCACCCACTACGGCGCCCTAACGCTAACCCTAGCTATAGGGAGCACCGCATTCTATTCCCTAGTCGAGCACTAATCTAGCTGTAGATGCCATTGCCTTTTTCTTTCAGTTCTATATGAACTGGACGCAGGCTGGCGAATCTATCTACCGATGTAGACGAAATGTAGATGTAGATAGATGTAGATCTACATCTATCTATCTACCAGAGGACCCTGTGGGTCATCTATCTATCTACCTAGAGGTCCGGTAGATAGACGAAATGTACATAGACGCCAAGACCGCCGGTGAAAATTCGGAGAGGTATGTGTACTTCCCCGCACTAATAGTATCCTTGTGTGGCGAAGTATCGGTACCTCTGCATCCCTCCCCCACTGTCCCTTCGCACCCCACTCGTTGCGACCTTTTTTTTCGCTGTCTCGGATGGCATCAAATACTCTTGCTAGCATTTGCTTTCACATTTTCTCGTTACCCTTGAAGCTACAACCCTACTTGCAATATAACATTGCTCAAATGGCACCTCAGAGCAACGTGCTCAGTTACTCAACCGATCCTAGCATCTCGGAAATCTCCTCTCCAGCAGAAGATATCGTCTACTGACCGCGGCAATGACGAAGTTACAGACGAGCCAGAGAGGTGGTTGTCTACAAAACAAGTGATACACAAAATATGACCGTCCTCTTGAATACTGGTCTGCAAAGAGGTCTGAGTATCCGCGAGTGGCGAAATGGCGATTGACGTTCTCTCGGTTCCAGCAATGGCTTCCGAGTGAGATGACCTTCTCTTCCGCTGGTAGTATGGTTTCGCCCAAGAGGTCGCGCTTAGATGCAAGCACAATTGCCGTCACTCAGACGGCAAGATCATGGTTACGGGCTGGTCTACTAGAAGGGTACGAAAGATTGCTGAAGGAGGTGGGCGGCGACGCGGCCGAGAGTCAGCCGACCGTCTATCTACTGAATCTATCTACATCTACATGTAGCCTACATCTATCTATCTACATTGCAAATTATGACTAAGCATCTACATCTATCTACATGAGGCGCCGGTAGATAGATGTAGATAGATTCGCCAGCCTGACTGGACGCCACGTGAACAAAAGGTGAACTGTACGTAGAGCTTAAACAAGATACACCCGAGTGGGGCGAGAGTGACTTCCAAAGGTAGATTGCGAACAGCCTCATGTGGTCAGACACCACATCGAGTCCACGGAGGGGGGGCCAAGGCATCGAGCCGTGCCGGAATTGATTGACAACTTGAGTTAGCCTCGACTGATCACTTCCCTTCGAAGCCGAGACTTCAAATTACGATATCCAGGGAGAATGACCTGAGAACAAAAGTTGAATAGTCTATAGGGTATTCATATAAAAATACATAAAAGGAGAGAGAAAACCCTCTAGTGTTGTTCTATATACACCAGGCACCTTGATATTGGAAAAGATCTAGGCGCCAAATAAAATTGATCACCATGGGTTACATTAATTCTCCAAGCAACTCATGCACAAGATTACGGAGAACGAGTCGGTCGGCCTGTAGCCGATAGGTTCAAGGTTGCAGGCCGCGAAGGGGAGGTTTGGTATATTACGTTGAGTTAATAGACCTGGTCCCCCTGTGCAAGGTCCGAATCAAAGTTCCAAAGAGGAGAAGACAGCTCACGACGGTCGGTCCCATGACGAATGTGGCGAGGCCCAGAAGCCCAGCCTGGTTGCCTAAGAGACTAAAGGGCACAGGTGCGAGTCGTGCTGAACAGTACAAAACGATAGAGCTTGTACTGGTTACCTTATGTCTCGGGGCGGAACGGCTAGTAAACTTACATTGTAGCGCGACGAAGAACCCAGGCAAAACTGCGCTGCCAAATCCAGCATATCCAAAGGAGCATCATGACTCCATGCATGGGGGAGCTGGGCATCCGATGTTCCAGAGCGACAGCTCTCATGCTCGCAACCAGACTACTATACGTCTCTTTTGCTGCCTTGAGCCAATGAAAGTCGAGATTGTAACCTTGGGGCAAAGATGTGGACAGATACTGGATCATCGGCTTTGTCCGATTAAAAAATTCAGTTGCTGAGAATACATCCAGCTGGCGAAAGGGAAATTGGCCACGTGAAATTTGGGCAAATAGGTCGTAGAATTTCCATATCAGAACAACAAATCTTGTAGAGTCAAGGGCTGTAATGTTGCGAGCTCCTTCAGTCTTAGTGTTGCTATCCTTCGCCATAGTCTTGATCATAGATCGTTCAATAGAAATCACTAGACTTGAGTGCCAACGGGTTCTTTCAGATCTATAAGTACATTCTCATAATGGTCAATCTTGAACGTCGAGGCTCAGCCACTTCGGCAAACGTTGCCATCAACGGCGCTTTCCGCACGTTCTGAACAACGCCAAACACCCGAGCACCAAGCTGGGCCACGCTTTCAAGGGGCTTCTCTAAGCGTTGATTCTGGATGTAAGAGAAGGCAGATTTTCAGGGCATGTCCAATGTCGAAGGATACCTTCGCAAAGTATCGTAGGCATCACCGTTGAACTAGAAACTGGCAGCTGTTGGTCTTGTCTTCAGTGTCAGTTGAGTCGTTGGGGGGGCCAATTTTGGCCTCCAGTCTGAACATAAGGCTGAGACGGGATGCCTATCCATCTATTTACCACAACCATAAGAGACAATCATCAAGTTTCCTTCGAGTTTGATTTTACATACGTATTCTTCCACACGTTCTTTCCCTCTTCGTCTCTTCCTCTCAGGCAGGGCCTTTCTCCGCGCCCGCATACGGAGAGCATTATCACGACATTTGTGTCCAATTTTTCTGCTCTCATCATGACAAAGCCTCAAGCTGTTGTGGTATCTGTTCGTTGCTTTAGATGCGGATGTTTGATAGAAGCTATGTCTACGGATGAGCTTCCTGGGGCAGAAGTATCAACGAACCTATTCTACTGTGTAAGCTGTGATCACATCACAGGCTACTCCAAGGAGGTTTTGGGGAAGCAGCAAGCTTCGCGCAAGATGAAGGGCTCTAGCAGCTCAAGGGTAGCGTAGGATGGGGTTGAAGTTGCATGTGTATGCCTGGGTCCAGAATAGGTACCATGCTTTACCACGTAAAGCCAGATCGCTTGATTAACAAGAATCTTAGAGTAAACCTCATCGGTTAGCACCAACATGAACATTGATATACGTCCATGCTAAACGCAAAATTAGGCATTTCGAAGTACTCTCAATGTTCTTAACAGCATTACTGCCTGCTGTGGATAGGGTAGAATTTAATATTGTTAGCTGCGGAGGATCAATTAATCACAGATATTCGTGACTATCTTTCAAACAGGTAGCTCAAGCCAGGCTTCTTGTGTAAGCTCAGGCTTTGCTTCACAGTCAGCTTCTGCTTTTACTAAAACATGCACGTATGCCAGACAGTGAGCCCAAAGGGCTACTATCACTAACGTACGTAATTATCTCCTGATTTCTTTTGAAAACCATGCGAAGCCATCTTTTTATTTATCCCTCCTTGTATGTCTATCCATCTGCAAGGCCCCATAGTGAAGTATTGTTCCTAGAAAGTTAGCTTGGAGGCTAGTAATGCGCCCGCTTTTCATCAGGGCCCTCACTATGGCGGTTGGAGCGTTCCCTACCACCATATTGACTCCATAAATTCGTCTAAGTCGGTCAGTGTTTTGATTCCTATGACATTCTGATGAATGCTGGAGTAAAATAAATAAAAATAAAAATAAAAATAAAAATAAAAATAAAAATAAAAATAAAAATAAAAATAAAAATAAAAATAAAAATAAAAATAAAAATAAAAATAAAAATAAAAATAAAAATAAAAATAAAAATAAAAATAAAAATAAAAATAAAAATAAAAATAAAAATAAAAATAAAAATAAAAATAAAAATTCTTGTATTAATCTCAACTTCCTTTCCTTTAATGTCGAGAGACTCTGCCAACAGCTCCCTTTAAATTGCTGTAGATCACGTTGAAGTAGCTATTCATAGTTATACAAGTATAATATTTTCCTCTGCTGGCTTACTGTACTACAAAACCTGGCCATTGTGGTTTCAGTACTTGAACACCCAGAAGATACCAGCGGGCTCGTTAAACTTCATATGTCCAATTTTCTTTTCTTCCCGACCCCAGCGTGGTTCTGCCAATCCTCATCCGTAAATCTCCTCAACTGGTTGCGAAGAGCACAAATGACGTTGTTCAGCTTCGATATCTCATCCGTCAACTGACACACGTTGTGATGCAGAGAAACAATGTGGAAGCATTGCGTCTTGATGGTGCTGTCTCTTTCCTTTAGTTGACTGATCTTTTCGCTCATTGCCTCCTTGTGCTGATCAAGTTCCAACTCGAGGATGTCTATGCGAATTTCCTGCTCATCGAGTTTCCCCTCAAGTTCGTACGAGGCATTGATAGAAGTCTTGCCATCAGATGCACATGGGTTGCGGCTAGATTGGTGAAATATGTTTTGGAAAGACTGTGGCTGTGGTGGCTTGGCTGACGCGGTCTCATTTTCGAAGCAACTCCACTCTGAGACGGTGCCGAGAGACATCATAAGCCTGGGACGTTGAGCTTAGAGATCCGATCACGTGAGCCTAGAACCACGGTCGTACACTTGAGAATTTGAGCTCGAGCTTTATTATATAAACTGCGGACAAGGCCAAAACTGGCGTTGCACAGAGCATATGATGGCCACATATGTAAGGGGAGCCGGAAAAGGACAAAGTTCTCAAACTCTGAAACCGAGAAAGAGGTGAACCCCCCCAACCAAATGTCTCATTTGAGAATCAAAAATGAATTGGAACATGCCATCAACGATAATGTACCTGATTTCTTACCAAAGGCATGTGATTCGGTTAACTTTTATTCAACCTCTCCTTGGATACGCATTGTGCCTTAGTAAGAGCACTTGCTGCATGCAACTACGTTTGATAAGTTCCCTGCACCTGCTTCCAGCTTCTTCACCAGTTCCTCTGCTATGGCGAACAAAAGGTCCTTTTTCTTTTCTTTCCTTCCGTTTCTAAAAACAAACTTCAAACTCTTCATTCGGACTGAGGCAACACTTTACAGGGACGCTCATTCAGCTACTCGACTTTGGTCATAATTCAGGACCGGAGGTCCCCGCGCTGGCAATATAAGGAAAAGGCTATCGGGGCGTTTACGTTACAAAATCGAGCCGCATTGAGCCCCTGTGATCCTGCCATAGCCATTTCCATGAACCTTGACACAAGACTCAGCTAGACATCTAACTCGAGCTATTCTTTCATGGTTGCACGGCTATGGTCACTTGGAAATATCTTCACCAATCGCCACCAAAAGGACGTGGGGAAATATTTTTCAACTCTCTATAACGTCTTCAAAGGGGGCTGTACCCAATCACGACATGTGTGCGATCAAAAACGAGCACCTTGTTACTGAAATAATGCGTATAGCGGCCTCTTCATACGGCTGTGAATAGGATATTCTATATTGCTCAATCGTCCGCGCAATCCTGAGATTATTTTTGAGAACTCATGGCTCCACCCCATACAAGAAGATTGAAGTTTATTTCCAGTCCACAGTTAACTGTTCTGGATCAATATCTCACTGCTTAGTCTATGGTGGTCATTGGCAATTGCTTACTATAGCCCAACATGCATCTTATCTAGTTTGCGCTCTTGAAAGGTTTCCATGTCTCGATCCTAAACCGTTCCACCGCTAGAGCATTCGGGCTCGGGTAGCTGAAGCACCGAAGGCGGGCTATCCGGTTCGGGCACAAAACTCACTGCGTCGAGCATTGAAGCTTTGAGCGAATCGACAGAAAGTGTTGGATCTATTTGCATTCCGTAAGATGGTCGAGGTTGGCTTTTATTGCAAGGAATTCCAGCGCTTAATGATATGATCAACTGGTTCTGGGTGTCGGCCATCTGACCATACGTAGCCTTGTAGGCAAGCAGTCGCTCTTTTCGGGCTTGCATGTTCGCGATTTGTTGCCTTAATTGATCGTTTTCAGAGCTTAATCGACCGCCAAATTGCAACCATTGTTGTAGCTGGTCCCAGAATGCTTCTGAAACCGGAGAATCGTTGCTAACGATATCATTGAGGGAATTTGACATCGTGGTTCGTAAAGCAGGATCTTGAAGAGCTGTTGAAGAATAACGATAGTCCGCAGCTAGAGCATAGTATAAGTATAGAGGCAGGGGGTTGCTCTTTGAGCGCCATGTCCCAAAAGGTAGGTTTTGCTGTTTGAGTTACATGACTCACGGCCTTTTTCTGGCGTCCAGTTTCGAAAGTGTGATATCTGTGACGAAGTAGGGGTTCAATTTTCAAATCGATTGGCGAGCAATATTGAAGTCATCCCATTGCTGAGGCGTAACCGGATGAATCCTTTCCAGAACGCAGAATAAACTTCTGCTGTTGTTCAGATGCTTCAGCATCGTTTATTGTAACCTTTCGACCCGCAGATCGTTGCTGACTCCCAACATAGCGACATTCAACCCCTTTTTCTGCGCTCGGCTTTCGGCAACGAACCATGCAACCTCCCTATTACGACAAGATGCATGAACATAACTCCTCGCTCCGGTCTCCTGCCTCTCCGGCCAGAGCAACAAACACCCGTTCAATCTATGCTTCTCTCAAAATTCAGATCGACGAACTCATCGACATTTTCAGAGAAAGTCAACCAAATGACGCCCCTGAGCCGATCTCGCCGGAGCAAAAGCTCCCACACGAAGTCAATACTCAACAGAGTCTGCCCCGATTTAAGGGTAGATTCAGCACTCCAACCACAGGCTTGGAACAGAAGGAACCCCCGCCGGCCCTGGCCCAAGTGAAGAAGCGCTTCAGGAAATCACTATTGGCATCTAAAAAGTTTGGTCAAGAAATTGGCGACTCTTGGACAAGAAGGTCGAATCAACGGACTGTCCATTCGACAGGTTCGGCAGAAAGTATCGTATCCCGTCGCAATGTTGAGATAGATGTCCGGATGGCACGAGAGCTTTCCGGCCACATATCAGTGCCTCCATCACAAGAACCCTATCCACCACTTACCGTCCACTCCGGTCCTCTCTTTCCTAATCGGTCGACTACCATGCTTGGCCTGGATCGACCCAACAACAATAGTCTCGAGGCCTGGCACGAAGTGCAACCACTTCTTGAAACTCTACCGAGTCCCGAGCCTGTTATGAAGAGTTACTTCGACACATCGTCCGAGACCGAGGTAGAAGCAAGTCGCCGTCTGATTTATAAACGGAGAATATCTAAAATAAAGGACCATACTTTTAGATGGCTTCGAGAAACTTTCAGCCTCGATGAGGAAGAGAAGGCCTTCTTTATGGCCCGTAAAAGCATGAGATCAGAAGTGTTAGTCGCCGAACAGCGAAACACTCAATTTAGCTACGGCAGGAGAGTGAGGTAGGCGAAGGAAATTTAACTATGTTCAGCAGTTAATGTGGGTTTGAACGTACAGTACCAAGGGCTGCATCTGCGGGCTCTCTGTCGTAGGAAACACAGGCCTAAAATGCTTGTAGGGCATCATCTACTTCGGTTTTGACCCTTCCCCTTGGTTCTTCAGCAAAGTACTACCGTTGTCTATAAAACAATTCATGTCTCAATTACTCCACGTTCATCATAAGTGGCTACGTTCCAAGCATTCCGTAAGGTTTTATGGAGTTCCCTAAGGGGTTGTGCCTCGCTAGTAGGTGCGGTACTACCCACCGCCTCACCTTGAGTCCTCGACTCCAACCTAAGCACCTAGGATAGCCCGTTGATTTTCCAAGAAAACGCCCACCAAACCATGTATGAATCATACACTGCCCCATTGACAGATTTTCTAATGGATTGTGCACGTAACATGAGGCCGAACTATCCCCCCAGCGTACCTCGGCGTGAGCTTTCATACTCTTACTGTTTTACATTGAGACGTGTCTGACTACTCTCGCATCGATCACTCAATCCCTCTGGATCGTTAAGTACCAACAAGCAACAGGCACTATTCTAGTAGTCAATGACAGCTTGATGACCTCGAAAAGTGAATTTGGCGTCAGGCAGTCTGCCACAACAGATCAAAGCGCGTGAGTAGGAGACCACATACCTATTCTGCAACTTACCTAGGTCCGCCCAATTCTTCGAGTGATTTTATACAAGATGAACACGCGACAGTCTCGCGACGTAATGGAAATTAGCGTTCCTCGTTCAGCTGGTGCTTGGTGAAAATATGAGTTGCGATGCACTCGGGTTTAAGATAACCGCCAAATCCTGAGAAGAATTTCTTGTGGTAGTTCCTATGATGGCTTGTGATCGCGGTTCGCCAGCTCCATTGTCGTACGGAGGGACCAGAAGCCAGATAGAGGGAAGCAGTGTGCTCAAGTTCAATTGGCTGTACTGGTTGGAGGAAAAAAGAAAAGAAAAATAGAAAATCCCGAGTCATCGCTGGGTTCTTGGGGATGAAGGTAGAATGAGGCCCCACCTCGCAGGGCGGCCACTCTGTATTTCCGAAACCACAGGTAACTTGTCCATCAATGATTCCTCTCTGCCTGGCTTTCTATTCGCAGCCCGTTGCTTGCTGCCCCAAAGGCAACGATTGTCCATTGAAGAAACAGTGAAATAGAAAACAACAGGCTCAGACGAAGCAAAAAGCAAACTTCACGCTTCATGAATGGCCATTAGGTGCTACAACTTAAGGTTTTGAAATGAATAGTAATGCAAAATATAGAATAATCTCTCAAACAGGTGCCGAGCAACTGGGTTGGTGTTCCTGTTGCCAAAGTAAGAACGCTGACCTGAGCAGGGGTCGCCGGCTTCGGTTCTCCTTCCAAAGCAGTGTCGACCCAATAGATTACCCCATTGGGGCTGCCGCTGACAAATGGCCGCCCTGACCCAACTTCGTGGCGCCTCCACCAAAGTCCCCTTTTGCACTTGAAATGTACTGTATCAATGTATGTTGCTGCAAGCCCAGATCCACGGGGAGCATACGGCCGGTCCCGACTACCAAGAGGATGTAGCACAGCAGCTGAGTAGATTCTAATCACTACCGACTGGAACTCCATGCTCCTATGTTCGTGGCGATTGGGTGGAAGATCTCTATGATGTGCATTGAGAGTAGCATAGGAGCCGAAGACATCGCACAGTAAACATTCCCAACTCCAATGAGGCTGCCTGATGGACAACATCGTCAAACTCTGGAGCACGCTCGCCCACCTGACGATACAGCTTGCCGAGACAGCCTTGAATACGCTTCAATAGAACTCATCATATCCTGAAAAGGCGATATGCTTAGCATCAAGACTAGGCTCTTATGAAAGCGACCTCGTGACTCACCATAATGATGCCGTAATTTCTCAGCCGTGCCGCTTCTCGATTCCACATGTCGCATTGGCCACTGGCCACGACTTGGCTGAATAAAATACGTCCAACGGGACGTGTATACTTCCTTCGTCCGTTGGAGACATGCTAGAGATCCATGACTCGATTACAGCGGGCTTGTCTGAGTCGATATCAACCGTGATGGGTCGAAGCCGACGTAGGATCGGGGTTATGCGTAACCTTGAAGCTCGCGCTACGTTATGTGCGGGCTTCCGAGCACCAAGAAGTTGATCTGGCATGGCTCTCGTCGTTCTGTTAGTGTCAAATCAAAGTTGAATGTGAACTTGCGCTGAGGTTGCAAGGAAATAAACCTTATGACCATGTTCGGTGCCTCACGCGAGTCCATATTTGGGCAAGAGGAGGTTCATTCGAGCTCAATCCTAGCCCTCCGCCTAGCTTCAGACCTGTTCCAACTCCGAAATTGCACTTGCTTTGGCCAATACTTGCCGTTTTCCAATGCAAAATGCTTCCGCAATTAAGCTTATAAGTCTAAGTCGTTCGCTCGCACGTCATCTCTTACCAGGGCAAATATGAGAGGGCTGGACCAGTCGCTTCGTGAATTACCATCAACTCCCCTGTCGTCGCAGGATCTGTCTCAATGGCAGATGGCGGTGGAACGTGTCCGGAGTTACTACTCTTCTTGGAATCCTCTAGGGGAGACGCAAGCAGCTTACGACCATCTCTTGAAGCAAGATCTGCAACTGAGTGGCTGCGCTACGAAAGTTACCCAATTAGTTCACATTGAAGATGACAATATTACGCCGTCCAGAAGGCACTTGGCAGAAACAGGCGATATCTCAGCGGCTGACATTGACCTGTATCTCGAGCTACTGCGAACTTCAGACACCAGCGTCAACATTACCACAGTGATATCAAGTGACAAACTTGATTCGGTTGTCAGCGGACTTGACCGGGAGAGAACCTGGGTAATCCCCGTCCAGACTGAATCGGGCTGGGCCTTCGCAGCCATATATCCTGATAGCATTCACTGGTACAATAACAGCCAACCGACCTCAGAAACGGGCCCTTCAGCCGGGCCAGGGTCACAGTCATCGGACACTGGGAACACCGGCATTGTCATGCTTTTAGGTATCCGTCTAATTGCTAAACGGCTACCTCACGTAACCGATGGGATTCTCAAGGATGGGCTTCCGCACTTCCGCGCCCGATTGCTAGTTGAACTCATTTGCGGGCAGCTAGACCCTGACGAGTCCACAGTTGCAGCAGCTGAAAAACACGTCACCGCTCTTCTGGGGAGCGAACAGCAAGTCGACTCCGAATACTTTATCGACGCCCTAGGAGAGAGATTGGGGCAGAGCTACGAATTCCCTCTAGATCTTGGTCTACAGGGCGCCGAGGTGCAGGCTGACCCGATCATCAATGGAAACATCGATAAGCCTGTCGACAGTTCAACATCGAATGCTAGTGACCACATTTCTTGTAGCATCGCCACAGGTGTCCCAGGCGCTCCAGTTTCGCGAGGCAAGAAAAAGTCTCAGCGGCGTCGCCGTCCACCACGCCACTCCCCAGCGCCAGGAACTCTGCTTCCGACACAAAGCAATGATTTCCATAATATCCTGGAGGTTCTGAGCAGTGCAGTAATCGTAGCTCGCTCCGTAGGAGCTTCGTCAAAAACGGAAATGCACGCTTTATGTAGCGTCATCGAGACCGCAGCACAACCCAGTGACTTTCATCACCGATACTGCAAGACCAACCTCTACGATCAAATTGTCACGGAAACTATTGAAGGGTATGATATAGACCCAAGGCGTCTCAGAGAATACGAGGGGTATATTGAAAAAATACGAAACTCGCAAGTACATGAGTCGGAAATCAAGGCAATTGAAGACGAGTGCCGGCTGTGGATGGACCTGCGCAATTGGTGCACAAGTCAGAAGATATATGAGTATACTCTGTTGTGTGCTATCCCCAAAGGTCACCTCTTCTCTGTGTGTACTTTAACGCAGCTCCAGAATCGCTTGCATAACGAGCATGATCCCCTGCGATATCTTTTGAAGGACACCGAGAAGCTGTGTAAAAAAATCATAGACGGCAGTCTTCCCTCTCACTTACTTTGTGCTGAAGTATATCCCAGCAAGAAGAAGGAAGTATTCTGCCGCGATGCCTTCACCGCATATACCAGCGTGGAAACAAATCCATTGATCCCCATAAGGCCAGCTCCGCCCTCATCATTCTCCCGAACTCCCAAGCGCAACAGCACGAGGCTTTCAGCTCGGCGAAGAAGTCTTCCACCGAAATTAAACCGGGGAGCCCAGGTTTAGGCCACAGGGTTTGGTACCCGCGACCTTGGGCGTTGCTCGGTTGTAGGGAAATATTGCAAAGGAGGGTGTGGTCGAGAACCAGGACCCATTTAGAATTACGCCACTTCCTACCACGGCCAGTAGGTGCTAATTTGAGCCCCAAATCATGAGTCTTAGAACGGTAATAATAGTTGTAAACCGATTCCACCTTGGATGCCTAGATATCTTTGGTTTCTTATGTTCATTTCCAATCAAGGTAGCTGATACCGGTACACAGTGCACGTTCCCTCCTCAGTAGCGCATTCTCGCTTTTTGTATAATAGTTTAGGGGACTCTGGAATTTGCCTGACGTGCGACTAAGTAATTGCCGTGTCTTGGTAGTTCTGTATCATAAATTTAATTGTTTGTGAAACAGCCCTCCGTCCGCACATCCATACGGACGTATAAGTCTCTTCTAGCCAGCGTTTATAATCAAAGGGCTTACATACAGTACCTGCATTCGTCTGTAGGGACCGTGTCAATCAATGAATGTTCGAATTGAGCTACAGTACTTAGAGAAAATTGAATACGATTTGGCCCAACAAAGCCAAGTATGCTTCGAGGACATCGCTAATCATTGCAGCATGCCTTCAACTTGCATAAAAATCGGCCGTAACTCAGGAATCCAGATGTCTGCCACCAGGGAACCAGAAGGCTAGTTTTGGAACGCGATGAAGTATCCTCAAAAGCCAGTCTAGGACGATGCAGCGCACAACCCCTCGATCTTGCGCTCAAACCCCATTCGTCGATCCCTTGCCGGTACATATATTACCTGGCACTTGTAACTCTCTCTTATTCTTGGTTAAGCACTTATCGTATCATTTATTGCTAAAGCAACGTCCAAGTCGATCATGGCTGAAAAGGCTCCGAACTCAAGGTCGCCCGTAGGCACTCGAGAAAACAGGAAGATCGCTCGAGATCAGTGCAGGGAGGCACTTGCAGATCATATCAGTGAGATCTTTGCTTGCACGCAGGAGTGATTAAGTACCTAATTCAGACCAGACGAAAGGACAGGGTTGGAAATACAACCAAGCCAAGTTCGACTCTACAGGACAGAGAAGAACGGATACTCATGGAAAGTTCACAGCGATCCCATCAGATCTCTCTTTTCGAGAGGCCTGAGCAGTCTCGGAATGGCTACGCTTCAAAAGCTACGTCATGAAGTCGGTTATGGCTTTGAGGCTGTTCCAAGCAGAACAGGAAGAAGAACTCCTCATGAGCCTGAGATGATTCCCGGGCCAGCACCGAACCGATCTCATATTTCTGTTGGCCGTGGCGGAGAGACAGATGATGTAAAATTCCAAGGGGTCGACTACCACGGTCATTCATTCAGCCAACAGTTGGCGGGAGACGAAGCCGAGTCAAGGCGACTCGCGATCGAGCTTCAAAATACTAACGCACAGCTCGAGTTTGCTCTCCGGCAGCTCCAAGAGTGCACAGCACAGCTCCAGGGAATCGTTCAAAAAAAGGAGTACTACGAGTCCTCCCTATTAAGAGTTTTTCTCGCAATGAACGATATAGGGCGAGTGGTAGAGGGGCTGCAAGAAGAGAGCTGCAGAGCTTTGAGCGGGCACAGTGATACTGAGCAAGCTCCCAACACATTTCAATATGAGAACAGGTAGTATGCTGTCCTCTAAACTATGGTACACCTGTCGCGAAGTCATACCTGATTCGGAGACGGCAGAGCATAGAGAGAGGAGCGGTTGTGCCAAAGAAAGTTTAGTCGCTTAACCCATGTAGTCGAGGTGGTCTCCGTTCTTTTGAACGCCACGCTACTGAGTACCTCACCAAAGAGCTTTTTTGACTTACCTTCGCCCGACGAGGTGTTTACATTAGACCCAGTACACGCCATACGTCTAACGGTCTGTGACACAACTTTGGGTTTCTTCTGGACATTCCCGGCCCTCCACGTTGCGAACGTCTCTTACACAAGGCCCGAGGTAAATCTCTTGTAAATTCGGCACTACACCAGCCGTCATGTTCGTCCCGAATTTGCCGAACGAGGACGCAAACCTATTTACATCAGTATAGCTTACTTGGCGTAAATGCAATAAATATGCATGTTTTCGAAAAGACTAGCCAAATACATCAACCCCTATTCTGCAATTTGTCGCTTCCGGATGTAAACGGTAGCAAAAGGCCGATCGCGATTCTAGCTGCCACACATTAAATGTAATCAGACCGGATTCTGTTCATACAGACGCACCCGTCCTAGTACGGTGAAGGACTCCTGGAGGCATCGCCCCACAAGTTTCAAGAAGCAGATTATACCATCGTTCCACTTTACGAGGTAGGATATGAGTGAGACCAGTGTGGTGCAACGTAAAGAGACCGGGCTCTGGCCCTGTATGCTTTGTTTGCCCTTTGCTGTCCGACACAGTGAATATTTCATTAATTAGCGGACTAAGGTTGCACATGAGGCCTAACTCTGCTTCCGACGGCTATAATAGCCTCTACAAGTGCTTTTGGCTTTAGGTTCCCTGGAAAGTAGATTATTCTGACCAACCGAGCCGTATCAACCATTCTCACACCTTGTCGCTCTCGGGAAACCCCGAAGAATCAGGCAAGCGACCCCGATTAACGTGAATTTACGCTCAAGGGCGCCAAAGTGAAAGAAGGGCCTCGCCTTGCGACATCAGCGGCATTTCGAGTAATGCTGCTAACAATAGAAGTATCCCATGCGTCAACATTATATGCTCACTGGCCATCTAGTTCCTCCGAAACCGATTCCGGGTCCAGCGTCACAGCTCTAGTCGCCATGATGAGAAAGTAAAGATAAACTACCCGATGTGCCGAAAGCGGGGATGCACCCCCTTGGCACAGTGGGAGTGCAATGATGACTACACACCTCTGACAAGTTAAGCCACTTGAAATTCTCAAATGCTGCACCATTCAAATCACCCAACTTGTCAAAAGTACCCTCCAGCCGGCGCCGGAGCATATCAGGCACCGGACGATCGTAAGGATGATCAAAGCATTCAGCGTCACTAATTTCTCCGAACTTAAAGACCGAGTTTAATCGCACCGAGTCTCTGTAGCATCAAAAATATCGAGCTTGCCTGCAGAATATCCAATCTCTCGTGCATAGGCTTTTCATTTCCAAATTCCTAAATCTGTTCCAACTTGAGTTTCTTCCCAACAGTCCGCCGCAAAGCATCATTTGCGCACAGCAGTTTTAGACGATCGTTAGATGTGAAACATCAGAGGGCTGTATAGTCTTGTGTGTTAAGAGGAATATATATATATATATATACATAAAGGAAAATGGAGGGGTATGGAAAGGAAAGAAATGAAATGTAGGGCCTGTCGAAGCCATATTGATCTAAACTAAGTATCACTAATCAATCTGTACACACATATATTTGAAAGGAGGAGGAAAAAAGCCATACTCCCAACGGCTAACGACTATAGCCGTCGGTCTTGCCGTCAAAGTGACAAAGCAGCCCATTACTTGGGTCTGCGCAAACGAGGCTGAGCTGTACATAGAGACATTGCGATCGAACAAAAGCTCTCATTGGTGAATGGATATAGTCATGCTGGTATCCATATGTTCTTTTCGCACAGGGATGGCCGGCCCAGGCACTAGAACCAACGTGCGGCCGCGGCTCCAAAGAGAGTCGACCAGAGAATTAGGCTGCTCAGTTTGAAGTTGCGATCTGCAGAGGAAATTCCTGAGGGTGTTTCGGTAGGGAAGCCGGTGGGTGTCCAAAGTGTCCGTGAAAGATTACTACTCGCCCCAGCTGGCAGAGTATTTATTCGGTCTGGCGTTGCGGCCGTCGTCTGCCATACTGACTGCAGAGAGCAATCAACTTCGGTCGAGGAAGTTTGTTCTGTGCTTATAGCCTGGATTTCTGTGACAGGAGGTTGGATGGTAGATGTAGGTTGTAGCAATAAAGTCTCCGGTAATTGATCGCACTGACATTGTGTCGCGGGCTAGGTAATTGTAGTCAGTTCAGACTGTCCGTAGATATCAATATACATAGGGGGAGGGCTACACCAAGTCTGTATGTATTTGTAGGAATTCCCGTGTGTTCTCCCGGAATAAGCATGGTAGCAACGTGGTATATTAATCTATTCTACAAGGAGATTCGTCTTCATTTATACGTTTGCTGAGCCTCAATGGATGTCTATTATCGGCCGCCCCCAATATAGTATGGGTGATAGTAGCCTCAAATGGCCAAATCCCCTTTCCCCGTGATGCTCAGCCCTGCTACCAGGCTTGAAAGGGCCAGAAATGGCCGCTCAGCTTAGAATGAATGAGCCGTGGACCACTTATAGAGGCCAATGATTCCCACAACTTCTTTAGGAAGAACCTCGACTCACCAATTGTCCACGCCAAAAGCGGAAATTACAGTATCAAAATGTTCGCAAGACTGAAAGCTGTTGTTTTGTTTCTGGTTCACGGCTCATTGCTACTATCCATCCTCATTTTCACTCTAAAGCTACTTTCCGAAACCAAAAATGAAAAGGAGGGTATTTTCAAGATCTCGGTATTCCCCCCTAAGATACTTTTGTCTACATCACAGGCTGATTAAAATGAAGTTTGAACGAAACGTCTTCATCCGGGGGTTACCAAACCCCATCGAGAGCATTCAGGCACAGGCAACGCACGTTGTAGGAGATGCTGGTGATATTGCCGAGAAAGCGACTTCGGCAGTTGCTCGAGCTACGAAAGTTGGAGGCGACATCAAAAACAAGGCTAGTAGTGCAATTGCGGCTGGCGAGACTCTCATCAACGGACTCATTCCAAAAGCATGCAGTGTCGGAACCAAGTATGGGTGTGTCGAATTCGACAGTCGCTCAGACTGTGTACAATTTCCAATGCAGGACGATAACGTCTTTGATAAAATTACGGATCTATCGACAACGGTTAAACCATTGAAAGGAATACTACAGCACATTCCATCTTTACAAGTTTTCCTTGTTGTTGGAGTAATCTTCATTTTAGTTTCGTCGATTATCTCCGTTGCGAGCTCCTTGGGCTTTGTGTTTCCATTAAAGAGCCTCATAAACATTATTATAAGCGGCCTAGGACTAGCTGCTTTCTGTTCCTTCACAGGGATTGTCATGGGTATCTATGCAAACGGCCTTGATCTGGAGGATCTCACAGGCGGTACTCTTCATCGAGGCTTTGCGTATATTGCCTCCATAAGCATAGCCGTCATGTCATTTCTGCACTTTGTTGTAGTGATGGCAGAGGCGGTGGTAGGCTTCTGAGCCGCAATGGAAAGCTGTTACGACTAGGTTACTTGAGCAGATCACAATCAGGGCCGTTAAGGAGAAATGTTAGATATTGGGCATATAGCCCATAAGGTGCTTCAAATCAATTGAATGAAATTTGAACCATGTTGCTATGCCTTACTTAACCTAAGACCTACCCGTTTCTGGCCAAACGGCACAATGTTACACTGAATGGATAGGATCACAATGATGATGATGAAAGCTCTTGATTTCTAGCTAAGGGACGGGCCTAGAGCCCGTCTTTTATACATGATGAAGACGGCTGCTGTCGGAGGCGGCAGTCCGTCGCCGCCGCACAGGGGCCGAGGCCCTGTGGGGACCGGGGACCGGGATCGTGGTCATAGGGCCGGCGATGTGGTCCGAGAAAGAAAGAAAAGTGGCGTTGTCTAGGAAAGCCGGAAATGGGGTTATCATGCGTCTCAGGATGACCCCGAAATGTGACACACAAACGTATTGTATTTATTAGATTGCAAACGCACATAGCATTCATTTAGTTGATTTTTCTGTCCAAAACGGACTAAACGCACGGAGTTAGACATCACTCCCCTTACCACGAGCACAACTTTAGCCCTTCCGGTCGTTAGAACCGCTCAAGCTTTAGCCGAAATTGAACAGTCAGGTCGGCCACCCGCGCGCTGGCGGGTTGAAGACTAGAAGTTATCAGCCACGGGATCGCTATCATCTAGGCGTAGCTCATATCTAACATAACCATATTATTGTACTAGGCTGAGTCATGTTCCTCCTTCCGAGGCCTTCAGGTCAGTAGTATTGGGCTGTCAGTTAGCAGCGGATTTGAGATCGTTCACCTAGCAATTATGAGTCACAAGGCACCAAGGTTCAAGTGCTAGATATTAAAATAGTCCTGAAAGCGAGGATTTATGTATTCTTACTACGCAAAGATGCGAGTTCAAGCTAAGAGAAGTATTATAGTGTAGACAGGTGCGCATGTTGCCTCTGCCATCGGGAACACCCGCTGACCAAGTGGCCTTCTCTAGTTGCGACTAAATGGAAAGAAAATCTACACGCAACTAAACGGAAAGGATATCTAGCTGTGTCGCCTTCGCGATAAAGCCTTATCACCGGAGCCTCCGGCGCTTACTCTGCAATCGCGTTGGGACGCTTGAACCCTTACGTTTCCGATGATCCGACGTGCCAAACTTGGAGTTCAACCCTTGTCTTTGCATCAGCCAGTCGAGCTTGAACGGAGACCCGCTGATATCAAAAGAATCGCCCTCTCCTTCTGCCAATTTGATTGCGAATAGATCCTTCGGACTTGGCAAAGAAAAACAAACCCTGTGGCTGAAGTTCGCGTGTATATTCTGGCAGGTAATCCCCAGTACCTGTCCTCCTAATCGGAAAGATGCCGTCTTTTGCCAGAGTTGTTGCATGAAAGCCTCATACTCAGGCGTCATTGCTCGAAGCCTACACGAAATTGTTCCCACACATTGGTAAGCACCATTAAAAAAGTAAGGTGGCAATGAGTCGTCTAACTCGAAAAAGAAGAGCTCTGCTCGAAGATGACGAGATAGGCGGTGAAGGCTTGATGATCCTGTCATCGTCTGGCAAGCTGTTTGTCTGACATGTTCCATCTTGTTCACCTCATCTAACAACGGTTCCTTCTCCTCAAATTCAATATCAAACCTAAAGAAACTCGTGCGATCATCGGCTTTCTGGTGACCCAAAAGGTGGTTCCAAGCCGTCTTAGAGCTTGTCTGCCTCCATAGAGCCCTCGAAAGCCTAAAGGGAAATTTGTCAACCAGGATGCTTGAAGACTCGCCTTCGGGGTTCGAAGAAGAGGAGCCTGTTCCAAGAGAAACTACAATGCTGGGCTCGGCTGCGTCCGGGCTCAAAGCAAGAGCCTCGCGAATCGCAATGGAAGCTGGGTTGTTGAATGCGAGGCCACCATCCTGAAAAGTTCCAAGATCGCCAATGCGTCTTGGTTTGAAGTAACTGCGCTCTCGTCAATTGAGCTCCCGGACGTAGATAACGACTGCACTTACAACGGCGCTGCTGTTGCACATCGCAAGCTGCCAAGATTTAGTCTTTAGTCGCAGAAGCTAGGCAAAATTCACTCACACTTCCCACCACTTGACCTGCTGGTGTCCGTCATCTGAGCTCAGGTGGCAGTAGTCTATTCAAGGTTAGCGTTCGCAGCCTGGACTATTCCGTTCTTGACTCACCAAGGTTGTGGGGCCGTCTGCCCACCCCGTTGTAGTTTGTGGCGATAAAAACTCTACCATCACGGGCATTTGTCAGTGTGATACCTACCTGGGACCCCATTTCCGTGGCCGCAGAAACGTCTGTAATAGACCTTTCACGGCCGTAGGTACTCATAAGTAGTTCTTCCAAACCATCGGCAGGGTATTTGCGGTCGATCAGCACTGCGTAGATGAAGCAAAACAAACGAGTCACACTAGAGATAACCGGGATCCTTGACAGTAGGCGTAGGATATGGGAACCTCGAGTATCGAAAGCCTTTCCAGCAAACTTCTTGAGATGAGACATGCAATCATTTACGCTCCAGCCTAGGATGTCAAGACTTATCACGCTTAAGCCACCTTTAAACCAGTTAGTATATCACCGCTTACATCTCTCATGCAATGGTGTTACCTGAGCTGGTGCCAAACATGATATCAAAATTCCTCTGTACGTCGTAGTGAGGAATGCCAATCGCATCTTGGATTGTCTTGAGAAACCCAATTGGGGCTGCCCCACGAATCCCACCGCCATCGATGCTCAATACTCGAGCTCGACAGGTATCTGGAGCTAAGCGAATAGAGAGGTTAGGTGTGGATACCGCACAAATGTGGCATGCATCTGATTTAAAGACCCATGGATCGGAATCGTCCGGGTGGTAAAACGTCCTGATACAGTTTTGGCAGACTAGGTGCCCACATTGAAGCCTGTACTGAGGCCGCCGCGTGATGCAACCCAGGCATGTCTCGATTGAGTAAACCGATGCCAAGAGTGTGCTTGTGCGCGCAAGCTGCTGTCGATGCCAGTCCAGAGATGCACCAACTGCCTGGAACTGTGCGAACTGTGTAAACATACTACCCGATATCAGTCTTACTATCTCCGGAGTGGCGAAACAGCCTTTGTAGCCTGCTTTGAACTCAGAACTTGCGCGAGAACACGCATCCTCATACAGCTCTCGAAATACGTCGTGCGGGTCGAAAACTGCATTGTGGTTAGACACGAAAAGCATAACTTTGAATATCTTACGGTGCATTCCGAGCGGATAATGGTCAATAAGTAAGCTCGAAGCAATCAATGGTATGGCAAACTGCTTGATTGATCTCAAAGATGTAAATTTCTCCAAGAAGTTTGAGATATGACGAGACAGGTCTGGAGCCACATCGCGGTGTACGCGAGATGTCTTGATGAAATTAAACGGTTCACAGGTCAGGTTTCTCGTCGCATTCGCTCCGTGTTGTAGAAACTCAGCCAGATGCCGGACCGAGAAGAGGTAGTTGGATCGTCGACGAGATTGCCTACTGGTCTCCAAGGCTCTGAGTATTTCAGGCCCGAGCACTTGCCAGCGCCGGGTTAACCTGCACCTTCTACTTGTTCTCTTACTCGAAAACCTCGGGACCGCTACGATGGAAACACCACTGAAACTATCATTCAAACCTCTGAAATGATGAGTCTCCAAGTATCGTTCCAATTCAATACGATGCTGTTGCTTATCTTCTTGGTTTACCACAAGAAGTATTCGCGGTCGTACGGGGCTTTTCGACGGCGGTCCTTTCTCCAGCCACGCTATGACCCGCCTCATCGAAGCTTGAAACCCACCGATATCTTCCACAAATACACAGATAACATCGGCGAACGGAAACAAGGCCTTGTGAAAGAGATGATCGTGGATCTCGCTCACTTCACTGGGCATTGAATTTTCCATGAATGTGTGGACCGTAACCTCATGGCACAGACGACCTCTGGGAGAAGATGGCCTACTCTGGGATTTTGGTATGTCCGTGTCTGCGATCACAAAAGGCCTCTGGCGGTATTCCCTGAATGAGGATACGAGGAGGTGAACTTCACCATTCGCCCGTGCGCGGACTGGCTCATTCTGAAAGAGTAGTTTTCTGAAAGCTGCTTGCTTGGACTGGTTCCCGATGAGCATCAAGACGCCAGCAGTATCAATGTCAGGGTCGTCAAAGTCTCGCAGGATGCGTTGGGGTCGATCTGTAACGTCCAGACCAGATTCTGGTCCTCTAATCCAAGGTTTAAGCCAGCATGTATGCCTGCATCTGCTCATGTTAATTGACCGGTTTGAGGACTTTGTAGCAGCACGCATGCAGTTTAAGTACTCTTTGCCTCGCCACTTCTTCCGTTTTACATTGTTCAAGCCTGGCCAATCTCTGCCCTTGATTGCCCCATGACCAGTAGTAATCGAAGTTTGGACAGTGCATTGCGGTCCAAATCAGCCACCGAAATCATCAATCGTGTCAGGAAAAAGATCAGTTTTCACCTCTTTGTTTCCGAGATTCTTGGACCTTCGAAACTAGCCCGTAATGAACTCAGGTTGGTACCAGCTCATTACGTGTGGAAGAAATCAAAATCATTACGTTCGAGTTCGGCTTTACACACGTGTACTACCCCCTCTACTTGTTGAGCTGATGCACTGAAGAAAAACCTCACCGCTGTGACTAGCGCCCCAACTCCCCAAACGCCGGAGTATCCTACACGAAGTGAACCCCTGCATCTGACGATCTGAGAATTGAGCGCTAGATCACGGCGAGTTGATAAGAAAATGATTGGGCCAACATCCTCAATATCCTCTCAAGGTATTTTCGGTCCGACGGCTAGGATTTTCCCATTGCAAAAACATAGGGTCTTGAGTCTCTTCAAACCCCATCAACTCTGGGGCGAAGAAGGAGACATCCTCCAAAGTAGCAATGTCATGTCCTGTTTGTACGCCTCAACCGTTTGTCACAAAGGGGCTTTCGCGCCGCAAGTAAACCAAGCATCAATACCTCTCCCAGACCCTACATATACCACTGACCGTTTCTTCCATTACTGTGTTTATAGTATCGGATGAATATATTCAAGTACCTCAGGAAGTACTTTGGCTCCATTGACTTCCATTTCTACCATAACGCTGTATCATGAGCTCTTGGTGTGGCATTATTTGAATCCCATGGCTGATTTGCCACTCAATGGGTAAATCAAACGGCTGGATTAGTTCACATGGAGAACGTAGTAGCCTCTTTTAAATGCTGTGGGGCTTACAACAAGGTACTCCCAGCTATCTTGTGTGGACTTTCTTCATTACACTAGATCTAGGGTGTCTTAGCCTATCAGATCATTATAGTGGAAGAACAACTAAATGGCTCCATGTGACCCAAAGCCATGGCTCCCATTAACGTGGTCGCCATCTGTCAGCATTATGAGCATAGATGATGCGAATATTTCGCGGAGGTCACATAAAGTGAGGTTGTCATGTAGATGTAGAAAGATGGATGACGAGCTAAGACTACAATTGAGGACGGGAGCATAAGGTCTCCTTTCTCACGTGATGTTACATATAATGCCAGTCTTAAGCACCAGGCCCAAGACTGGTTCTTCACGTATCAATAGACGATTCGCAAATCATTGCTTGAAAAACAGTCATGAAGTCTCGACAATTACACGACTGTTGCTCTAGACTATCTTATACCTCCTCACATGCTTCCCGCCTCCTCCCTCACTAGATGAAGACGACGAACTGAATGCTTAATTACACCTGCCAACTGCCTTGTCTGACACTATTTTGTCCTCCCTCACTTTAGATATTATAGGTCGTTAACCCAGTTCAGAGTTGTACGTATCACCGTTTGAAGTCGTACTACTCGTCTAACAGAGACCCCTGGTCTCTTATCTTACCCTACGGACATAGTGCACCGCAAGCATCGATAGAAACCAAAATGCTACAGGTTGAGGGATATCTTCTAGTCTACAACAACTCAGAAACCATGAGGAGGCTTCATAATATGCAGAGCCGTCCCGCCTAGGTTACAACGGGGTAATGAGTCAATCTCAGATAGATTTTGAAGTGAGTAATATGACTACCTCAAGGCAGATGTGCGTGACCCAACGTTAACCATCGTAAAGATGACTGACCTGAGGTTTCCGCTAGAGAGGCAACAACTTCTGCGTGGGGAGTGTCGTGGCCTCTGCAGCAGCTACCATTCTGTCCAGTGAAATCGTTCGCTCTTGCTTGTTCAAGTACAAGAATTGGGATCTATCTTTCGACCATGTAGCCGGAGCAACGGCAGTCGTGTATGGGATCATGTATGTCCTGCCGGGGTCAACAGACCTTACGTCTCCCACTGAATTCAATTCTCTGATCTCCTCATATTCAGAGAGGTTGAGTGCTTGGCACACTTCCCATAAGTTGTCGTCCAAGCCAGCAACCCAAAAGCCATAGGTCTGCGCGTAAATGACTTTTACAAGAGCCAAGATGACAAGCCAAGCGGATGCCTTCATGATTGCGTCGAGGAAGAACCTAGTTGATGGTACAGTTTCATATGAATAAACCGTTCGCTATTGCATTCATCCAAGACCAGAGAACGTTTCGATTTAATAGCAGTCTGCGGTTGAGAAGACAGCAAAGAAAGAGCTTTTAGGGGTCGGATTTAGACTATTCTGTTGACCCAGCCGAGACCGCATTCGGGCAGGGCGTGATTTCGGCGCGCTTTTTTTTTTACCTTTATTAGAGCTTGAAATGTGTATTATGCTTCGTCTTAAGGAGGCTGACGTGCGTGATAAGCGAGCTAGACAGACAAGGGAGCTGGACACTCGACCACACCCTGCCTACTCTCTACCCTGCAAAATCGACGCCAACACTCTAAACCGGCTCGAGTCAAATTGTAAATATGTTCTCGAGACACTCTCACTTCTATCTAACATTTTCACGCGTTATGTCCTATCCTGCCGCAGACGCCACCTCGCCGTTGCTTTGTTTTCGCCCTCCTCTGGCGATGCACACTTCCTCGACTTTCTTTCTCTAACTGAACATTGACCTCGTTCTGAACTTGCAAATCTTTTCCTCGGCCTAGAGTTAGCCTTCTCCATTTTCTTTTTGGTCCGTCGATGTCGGCTGATTGACTCATTTTCCTCCCGAAGGGTCTCCTTATCCGGCCTCAACAGACCGATCTGGTGCATGACAGGGAGCAGATCAATCGCACCGTTGCAAGGCAGCATAATCTCAACGGTTGGGACGGAAGACCTCCATCCATCGCCGACCATACACTCTCGGAGCCGCCGACCTATTCCAATCCCCGTGACCTGTCGATGTTGTGATTGGGACGTGTTGCTTGGCTGGGCGGTGGTAATCGCATGTGGCCGCAAAAATGGTATCTTCAGGACACGAGGTCTTGTATCTGGGGACTTGACACCTCCTGGTTTCTGTTTCCAATGTGGGAGTACCAGCGATTGAATAAGGCGAAATAAGCCCTTGAAATTTCAGCCGAAAGCCGCGCTTAGCAACCTCTCCTAAAGCGCCCCTCCAGAGACTGATCCTTCTACTCACTATCGGGTGGGATGGATAGGCGCAGGATTTACACGTTCCCTCACGTTCGACGATCCACCTCTCCGCATCGTCGACCGAGTGGTGCTGACCGCAGTAATTCACTTGATACCTTTCCAGTACCTCCTGGCATCTACTGCTCCTTCTTTCACAAAGCACTTTCTTCCATACGCACATCTGAGGGAACTGTCAGCAGCTAGTCGTCTTAGCATTTCAAGTTGATCTCACTCTGAAGTCTGTCTACGGGAATGATGGGACAGGTGATATATGGGTTTTGTTCAAATCAAATAGCCGCAAGAGTGCAGCCTGCTCAAGGCGTTTTGAAACGCCTCCTCTCGTTGGAGAGCAAAGAAATGTCGACGCCATTCTTCAGTTTCGTTGCTTCCTTAGCCCGTGGCAGCCGATGTGACCAATCGGTCACCACTACGCACCACCACGCCGCCAGGCTACCTTCGTGGCACCATCCATTGATGTGGTGATTTTTTGATGTGGTGATTTTCGTAGGCCCTACTATGCCTGGCTACCATCCCTGGAAATCATGACTGTAGCTTCAAAGGCCGACCCGAGACCACAATCAGTTGGCGTCTGTAACTAAATTTCTGATTGGGCAGTTTTGATCCCTCACAAGGCTTGGTGCACAGACTGAGGTTAACGATCAAGGATACCTGCATGTGCGGTGCATGAAAACACAAGGGTTATCGAATCCGTGACAACTCTTTGATACATGAGCTCACAGCCGAGGTTTGTTCCGTTTTTGACGGCGTATGATATCCTTAGCCAACAGGTCAGAGATCAAAGAGGGACTTGGATTCACCACCCTTTAACTATTCTTAGGCTTCCTAATCCCTAGCAGCCTCCTCCTTGGCCGTGGTATTGCCATCCTGTCCCTCTCTGTCACCATGCACCGTTGCTGCCATGATCGCCATCATATCGTGACTGGTAGACGGTTCATTGCCTTCCTCTTCATTGATTGAAGGCTCATTGCGGGGAGTCAAAGGCTGTCCTTCCTCATCTTCGTCCTTCCTTAATGGCGTCACGGGTTCCGTAATATTACCACTGGCCCTGGGAGACTGCCCAGTATTGGTAGACGAGTCATTGACCTGTGCCTTGTCGCCTGAAGGCTCATCGCAGGAATTCGTGCCTTTGGTGTGTGCTTTGTTTAGTTCCATAGTTGCCCTGTCAAAGTTAACATAAAGATAATATGACCAACGGTACCACTAACAGTTTTGCTATTCTGAAAGAGATTCTGGCCGACTGGGTGATATAATGTCAGCATTGCAAACTTACGAAGAAGCAATGGGTTCACTTTATACTTGAGGAAGATGGAGGCAGTGAAGTTCGGGAGAAGACGGCAACCAACACTTGCATCCGTAGACACGTATTCTTGTAGTAGTCAAAATTTCGATGCTGTGAACGAATCCATTCACCGCAGCATCGCCTTGTACGTTAGTCCTGGATTTGCTGAGCCGAACCTTGCTTACATGGCTGCGCCAAGTCCACCGATCGTCACTTCGTTCATGGGCCGCAAAAAGGAAACCTGCATACCACCATGTCAACACCACAGTTTACACCAATACCCGAGTCCGAGACCCCCGCTAGTGCTGGAAGCCCATTGAACAGACGTAATCACCAGCGTGGATATGATGTTGATGAACCCGCCCAAGGCACAATCGCACGGGGTCGGATATATAGACCCCTCCCATTGCGTTGAGAGTGGAAACGCGGCAACCACAGTTCTCTTTCTTTTCTTCCTGTCACGAAACTGTTGTCAGCTCACAGGTCCTTCAACAACATGGCTCCCATTCAAATCAACAATGGAGCACATTACCAGTTCACACTAAAGTTGGAAAGCAAAGTAACGGTCGAGTTCAAGGCTCTTGACAGCGGAACTTTTACACTCCCGGATTGGATGGTAAGATAGTCACGAACTTCAAGAGCTCGTTACTGATTCTTCCAGGTCTTTGATAATGGCATTTGGTTGCTCGCAGGGGCGATTAAAGTAGAGCAAGTAGGAGACAAGCTCATATTACGGGAGGTTGTGAAAGTCGTGGGCTGTTTTCCTGGTATGGGGGAGGATTTGGACCGTTGAGGACCGCAGAGTGACTGAAACCAAAGAAGCAGAGAAGTAACATTCCCGAAGATGGTGCCGATGAGCATCCACAGGCTTAGAGGGGTGCTAGTCAGCACTTGAATTGGGACAGCTACCCGTTCTGCTGGAGCCATGATGGTCTCATGCAATGAACAATGGTGACAACCAAGTGATGAGCTGCGTCCGCGTCCCCCCGATTTAGCTGTGAAAATCTAGACCCACTTCCACGACTGGTGTTGGTCGCCCACGCCGATTCTCAGATACAGGTGGATCCGAGAAGGCTCGGGGAAGCGGATACCCCCACCGGTTGGTAAGAGAAGGAACGCTTTGATTGTGATGCTCCCAATACGGGCTTCAATGACCCTTGACGCTACGCACAACTGCAAGCCATGATGGTCAACCAACGCCTCCCCAAGGGTTTGTTGCAGTTTCGCCTGCCTTAGCGAAGCACTCATCGTCGTTACGAGCGATCCATGAACAGGGGCCTCCACCAACTAGCTGAAGATCTGACTCCACTATTTGCTTTTCTTAACATCACATTCATTCACCAACTGCTCACTTGGTACGAAGTACTTTTCCCATATGTAGCATAAAGTCGGCCGATCAAGCTGTTTTCTTTCTATTTAGGCCCGTTCACCCGCCCCCTATCAACCAAGTCAGAGTCACTGTATCTGCTCCCCTTCTACACATACGACGCTTTGCCACGGTTCATTGATGTCAGACGAATAGGTCCGATAGGAAAAAGTCAGATCTACATAGGCCCGGATCCGTACTGTGGATCGGATCAAACCTAGATAGAGACTTCAAACCTAGATCAACCTCAACAACCTAGATCGCCCTCAACAACCTAGATCATCGGCTATTGACGGCGTCATCGGATCAAGGGCATCTGGGTCAGTCAGATCCCTAGGTATAAATAGCTAGCTTTCTTCCTTCCTAGACCAAAAGACAAGATCATCCATCGTCACCAAGCTGTCTCAACTAATCCATCCTCCCTTTGATAATTGACATGAATATCGCCTCTCCTGTCAACATGATCTCTCCCACGATCCCAGTACGTTCCAATGGCAGAAGCGAAAAGCTGCCATCCTGTAATGAAATCGTGCAGAGACATTGCCCTCAAATACTGGACGAGCCTCGCCTTGCTCTGTCTTCCTTACCTGCCCATCCAGCATGCTTCAGGCCTCAAGATCCAGATCCTTCGGCAACTCACCCAGCCCCAGGCACCCCTTTCCGCCTGGACAACTCTTCTTATAAATGGGCGCTGCCATGGAACCCTGCCAAGTCGGTCTGGCCTTCGGATGCCCGTCAACGACACCGTCATCGGCGCTCAGCAGATGCTCATCGCCAATGGCATCGACCCAAGCTCGCTTCATCCTAAAAAGTTGCAGCAGTTTGTCAATGCTCCACCCCCTGCCCAGCAAAAGTCGATTGCCATCTACTCCCAGTACCTGCACCAGCATTATGGAACCCAGGCGAGAAGCAGCCAGGTGCTAACTTCTGCCGTTCCTCCTTGGCCTACCGCTTGGCCGCCCGTTGCGCAACAGCATAAGCCCGAGGCTTACACTTCCCAAGAGAAACTTATCATCACAATCGGGGGCCCATGGGTTGCATCGCCAAAGGAAGGCGAGGAAACCGAGGGAAGGGCATGATGCAAGCTTCAGGCGGATGCAAAAGGTGTGGCAACACACACACAAGTCAATGGAGGGCTGGTTATAGGGATGAAAAGCTGTATAATGCGTGTGGCTTGGCATACAAGAAGAATATGACGAGGAAGTTATGGCCTCTAATCTGAGCAGTTCTGTTTATGAGACAAGGTCCAGGGCGACTACCATAGATTCACTGCCGGTTCAGGATAAGTTAATACATAAGTCGAATGCAATGGCCACTCCCGCTTGATGACGAACCGTGTTCAGAACAGTGTCGCCATTATCGTCTAAGGTGGCTTCTGTGCATAAACACTAAAACTGCCAACAGAGTAAGCAATATTTCCTTGATAAGAAAAAGCATTGGAGCGTACCTTTCAAACTCCATATCCTCCGCTAGATCCTGTCTCATGCTCATGGCCAGGAGCTCAATCTGGGGCAAAGTGAAGCCCAATCCCTCATAGAGCGGAAGCATGATTTGACCCCGAATGTCAAAGTCACGCAGGTCCGCCGTGGTAAGCCCACACTGAGATGCAGTCTCACAAACCTCTGCGGTATTAGTTTTGAAGAAACCTGCGTCTTGGAACAAACACTTGATGAGGTCAACGGTGGGAAACACTCGATTTGTGCGCCGTCCCACCTCGCACTTCAGGCGCTCCCACACCAGCCAGGCCTTATGTTGGTGTCGTGGCTTAGGTTTAAGCCAGGTGTACTCGATCCATCCTCCTGGTTTGAGAAGTCGGCGCGCATTGCGGATTAGGCCTCCAAGATCCCCGCTCCACACAAGCTGCCGAAGAAAAATCAGATCCGTCGTGCTCTCCTCAGAAGGGAGAGCCAGATTCAGGTCTTCTCGGATCATATCGAGGTTCGGTATGACGTGTTGTGGCATGAAAGGGGATTTATCTATGGCGATGACCTGTGAGCGCTGGTTTTGCATCGCGAAGTGCCTGAAAGCCGTTAGCCTTTGCTCACTTGTGGCGGACCTGGTGATGCGCGTCTCACATCGACCAAGTGCAGTGCCAGATCCGATGTCCATCACCCGGCGAGGATGACTTGTGGGGCTGCTGTAAAACTTTCCATCGTTCATCGCGCTCCAAAGTTGGTGCCTAGAAGGATCAGCTTGTTGAAATGAGAAGATTCAAGTTGCTTAATTCATACTAAATAAATAGTAGGAGAACTGCTATTTATGTACAGGCACGATCTCTGTGGAATGTTCCACCTTCTTCCACACCTTTGCCACCGACTTGGTCGCCTCACACTTGTGATCTCCAACACAGCTCCATCGGTCTTATGATTCCATTGTACTTAACTCACAACAGTAGCGAAGATCTCTGGGCCGTGTCATCGACAGGCTCCCTGTTGAAGTCAGATCGAGCGCTGAATCTTGGGGAATGCTCCTACCATGCATGATGCACCCGCAACATTAGCCGGCATTGCTCTGCCTCCTAGTATATAACAATCGAAGTATTCTGACGGAACGTCCGTGTACTCGCTTGATTGCGAGTCGCTCGAATCCAAATATGAGGTCGGCGTAGGCGGGTTACTACTGAGGTATCTGAGCCGCTCAAGCTCGACGACGATAGGGCATCGTCGTCTAATGTTGGAGATCACAAGTGTGAGGCGACCAAGTCGGTGGCAAAGGTGTGGAAGAAGGTGGAACATTCCACAGAGATCGTGCCTGTACATAAATAGTAGTTCTCCTACTATTTATTTAGTATGAATTAAGCAACTTGAATCTTCTCATTTCAACATCTAATTGGTCGAGCCATTTTTATACTTTGTCGAACGCTTGCTCGTTGTCAGGTTTGGGTATTGAAACCATCTTACAGTATCGAGTAGTAGTAAAGACAGCTAAAATAGGTTGGGCCATGGGAAATGGTTCGCGAACGACAGGAAAAGGGTTGAGGCAGACGGAGTGATATGCATCAGTGCCAGTCATGTGCCTGAGGCATTCACAGCAACCAGGGGCCGCGGGAAGTCATTAAAATCAATGGTTTACTCGTCTTCTAGCCAGGATAAGACAAGATCAGCAATGCCAAGAAAAGGCTCACTTGCTTTCAAGTGCTACGTAAGCGCAGGTCAGTTGAGCGCGACCCAATCAGAGCAGATTGCGCCCACAATCGAGCCGCGCCCCTATGAATCCTTATTGGACAAGGACGGGGCACACTGATCGCTTATCCCTGGTTGGACAAATCCCCAAAGTGATCTCTACATCGCGCATTCTGCTCAACTTGCCTCATCCATCCTACCGGAATCTGCCCATTCTGTCTTTCTTCTTTCCGTTTCCCTACATCGTGGAGGAAATTGGTATTGCCTTGAACCTGGAGAACATCATCTTCGAGCACCCACAAAGACCGCAGCAGCTACGGCGTCAGCAACAATCAGGTCCAAACAGATTGGCTAGAGCACTTGGTATGGCCAAAACCTTTCTGAAAGGACTGCCTCAAGGAGAAGAGGACTGGGACAATGAAAAGCCATGGACACAAGCGGATGTTGACATGCTGCACAATGAGCTGGTTTTGAGTAAAAATTTCCCACAAAGAGCGTGCTCAGATGGATTCCACGGGGCTTCTCCAGAGATTCGCAGAGGAGCACGCCGCTTCGCTCAAGGGAAGGGAATCGCAAATACATACTTTTGTCTTTATTGCCCTGGGCGAAGTGGCGATTGGGCCTAATCATCCAGTGAGGGCGGTTAACGCAACGACAAAGAAATACACAGGCGCCAGTGATTCCGCAATCAGGGCGATGAGACTCAGCGTCCGAAGATGGATTAAAGCCGCAGACCTTCTCCAGGAGAGGTGGCTTCCACGAGCTCACGAGCTACCGCGACGTCGTAGGTAGCAAAGCAGCGAATACCTTGGCTTAACATTGACTAAGAAAATTTAGGCAAGCCTTTTATGCATGCGATGAAGAGATTCTCGGACAGGGATATCGCCATTTTTGGGGAAATGAAGATCGATGGAGATCATGCGATACTCGATGAGGTCAGGGTCTATATCCCACGCAAACAGTTGTCCTCGGCCTCACTCCGTCTGCCTAATCGTATTCACGAACTTCATGGGGGAAACACAAATATGTCTCCTGGCGTGCTTCACAGACACTGCTGACTTGAAAGTCTGCTTGAGATTGAACGCTGTCTCACTGTTTCCGACAAGGGCGACGTCAACCCTAATCCAACTAATTACCCGCCCACCAGCCACGATATGATGATGATTATGAAAGAGTCAGTCCCGTCTACCTTAGCTTTAGTACATAAATAGCTAGAGAGAATTTAATGTGACGAGCGCCAGCTACAAGTGCTCCACTAAAGTACAACTCTTGATTAGGCTCCCACTCTGTTGCTCCGACAAGGTACCTCGAGTCCGGATTTGGAAATTCGCCGTATACTGCGACAAGAGAACGGCACGTCCCAAGTATCCTTCTGATACCCTCGCGTCATGGCCTACCGAAAGTTGGAATGCCTGCGGCTCCCGCACTCTTCGCCCGATGTTTGCATTCCTCAACATGGCCAGATTTGTCTGGAACGACAGCATAAGTGACAGCAGCAACTGGCATGATCAGGGGCGTACCTGAGGTTCGAGAATGTTGTACGTATCCATGCATGGCTTGGGCGAATCATATCTCTGAAGGCCTGGTTGCTTTTCAGAAGGTTGCACCACGACGATATCTGCGATCGCTTCCTGTCGGAGTGTCTGCAATTCCGCGCTCAGGGGGTTGAATCCAAAGAGTGGGCGCGGTCGAGAGGTAACCGTTTGGTCCACCTCTGGCGTGCGGTTGGCCATCGTGCCAAGAGAGAAAGTCGCGAGCGATAAAGAAGGCTTCAGCTGACGGGATGCCTTCACCGTGGCTTGGGGGCCGAAATATCGACGTATCGAGGTATCTATGGGGTGCCTCAGGTTCACAGGCATGGGGTTGTCCGCCGAGAGACGACGCGATCGCTGCACGGATGGCTAATATCCGTACTTTGCCCCCTAAATTTTCATACGACACTGATCCACCAGCATGAATAACGGGAACGGAGAGAAGAGAGAACGGTTTCGTGTGCTGGGGGCGAAGTAATTGATGGGTAACAAGGGTCTATTGATCCCGGCTCCGTGCTTGGTAAAGCGTCATTTCGCGGAGACACCTTAATTTGCACAATCGCTCAGTCCATGGTTCATTCGACCGGGTCGAATCCCTGACCACAAAAAGTGGGAGCTAGTGAAATCTCGACACACAAGGGGGTAGAATGAAAGTCTTTCCTACCTCGGACGGGGATTTTCTTGGCGACGCTGGTGTTGTCGAGTTAAGCCCCACTTCAAAGTGTGACGAGGGTGCCGAACCGAACCGTCTCGCCTGTGTTGGTGATGAGAACACCACGCCGCACGGCAACAATATGATGAGACGCCCTAACTATCGGTGCTCCACTGGGCACATCAATGTAATTAGTTGGGCGCGCAATGTCCCTGATGATTGACCATCGAGAGGCAGCCGCAGTGTAAGGACTCAGGCTTGCTCCACGATCATGACTAACCGTCAGCCAGCTACATCAAACTTTTGGGTTGGCGTCGTTTCGCAGAGCTATCATGGGAGGGAGAATGGTCGTGCAAGGCAAAGGCAAAATTTCCTAGAGGTTTTAAGCAAGTGGTCGTTGAACTTCGCAGAGAAGAGAGAATTGTCGCCATGAGATCAGCATCGCACGACTTCTCACTGGATGAGAGCGACATATATTCTATCGTCTTCGATCCTGCCCCTTACAGCGGCTTCTCTGTGGTCTTTACGGCACAAAATGGTGCAGACGGCGTGCGAGTGATATCTAAGCCATTGGAAAACTACGGGCCTCTTACGGGGAAACCTAACGGATTGATGTGCACCCTCAAACTAAGGTTCGTCTTATATCATCACTATACGCCTGGCTAATATACCTCGGCCTGACTTGTTGAGGGCGAATTCCTGGCATCCAAATGACGCCAGGAATAGTCATAGTCCAGAAAATCCAAGCACCCGCAACGATTGCGAGCCTCGGGATGAAGTTGAAGAGGTTGGAAGGACCGATGCTAAG